TTTCCGGGTACAGCACCCATGGCTTGTAGGAGGCTGCCCAGAGCCTTGGCACGCTGTTGTTGTTGTTGCTGTTGTTCAGGTGTTTGAGCCGCCATCTGACTCGCAGCGGCAGCATAGTTGGGTGCGGCGGTGGCGGGGCCCGTGACTTGCGTCTTCTTCGAGCTTATCGGGATCCGGTCGCGGGGGGGCTGGACGCTGGTGGCGGATACCGGTGGTGGCGGTGCCGGCAGTGGGGACCCAGGGTCTCCGGTAGACATCTTGTCGGTGTATCACTTGTTAACTCGAGTATCGAAGGCTGCAGTAGGGCGATAGTGAAGTGAAGTGAAGTGAAGTGAATTTTTTATTTTTTTTTAATTTTTACTGGGGCTCATAAATTGCAATCCTTCGGGTTGGCTGGGACCGCTAGAAAAAGAGCTAAAAGACGTTATAAAGCAACGACGGCAAGCAGTTGGGTGAAAATCAAACCCCTGCGCGCAAAGAGCGCTGCGCGGATCAAAACCCGCCGAGCACCTAACGCGGACTCCAACGGGCGGTGAGTACTGCTGCCGCTTCACGTCCCAAGAGCGAGAGCGAAGATACTCGAAAACCAGGCAAGAGCGCCTAGAGAAAGAAAGGGGGAGAATATTCAAAAAGTCACGACTGGAAACACGGAGAACCAGGAATACTAAAACAGAGAGGAGGGGAGGAGGAGGGGAACACACCCGAGGGGCCAAGGGAGGGGGTCGAAGCCAGAGCTAGAGGTCCCCAGGGACTGACAGGCCGCAGCCAAGCCCCAGCTACTCGTCACCCCGACAGCGCCTGATGTGTCCTCCCTTGGCTGAGTCTCGAGTGCTGGCTGTTGAGCCGTCGGGGCCGAGCGAAAACGATCCAATACAACGAAACAAGCCTCGCCTTGACGCGAGGATATTGACCAAAAAAACGAGCGACCTTTCTTCCCGATCCATGCCGTAGATCTTGACCAACGCGAACGAACGATCTATTCGACGGAATCCAACACACGGCTTAGGAATAAAAGGAGAAGTGGCTGAAGCGTAGTCAACAACCGAGCAACAGGAACGAGAAGAGGAAGGGAAGGAAAAAAGGGGGGGAATGAGAGGGGAGAACTTCACAAAGCCTCCAACGCAACGACGATCGACCCGGCTTGCCGATCCATCCAAGAACGAAAACCGCTACTGCACAAAGTAGAGAGAGAGGGAGAGGTGCGCAGCCTTCCACTGCGCAACAAGTTTCAAGACAGTCAGCTTCTGACCGAAAAGGAAGGGAGGAAAGGAGGGGAGGAAAATGGGAAGGAAGGACTTAACTCGGTCATCACACCTCCCAATCTCGAACCCCAGGCACAAAACCCGCTCGAGAGAGAAAATCTCGCTCGAACGCTCTGAGCGCACTGGGAAGCGAGGGAGGAGCCACGACGTTGTCCAGCTCGAACCGCTGATGAACGCGCCAGCGGAGCAGGTGCAGCCGCTGGAAGCCGATCGCGCAGGCCAGCCGAACCCACATCCATTTCGAGGTCGTTCTCCCACGACCCCGCAAAAGGGGGAGCCCCATAGTCAGCTGCTCCGGAGTGAACGTCGACGGATCGACGTCGGTATCCTCGATGCCGAGCTTGTCAAGCAGAATGCGTAGCACCCCACCCCAGAAGCTGGTCGAGTACGCGCACTCGAAAAAGTAGTGGGACACCGTCTCGATGACCGCTGCATCGTTGCCACAGAACAGACACGTCGGCGAAGAGGCATGACCCTGAGTATGCTGCCTCTTGCGCGTCGGCGTCACGTCGTACATGAGCCGCCAGTGGGTGTCCTGCTCGACAGCAGACGCGAACCGGTCATGAAGCCATCTCCAGAAGCGCTTCCTATCGCTCTGAGAAGTCCCATCAGGGAAACGCTTGACACGGTCCTCCCTCCCTGGGAACCGCACCTTGTTCACAAGCCGACGAAGCTTGCGAATCGTAAAAGGTCGGGAGAGCCCAAAGAAGTTGAAGCACCGAGGACGGGGAGCCTCCTTGAGAGGTATCCGAGCAGGTCGCAACGCGGTCTTGGGCAGCAACGCTTTCGCCTTGAGCAACTGACCCACGCGCGACCACACGTGCTCGTGCTGTAGGGCGGGTTCCTTAGAGTGCTGCCAGAACCCGCGTCGATGACCAACCAGAGCCCATCCCTTCCCTTCGTCCCTCCAGTACAGGTCCGCGATCTGCGCAAACTTCGCCACCGCGTCCGCATCGTCATATGCGTGCTGGGCACCTTCAGCATAGAGTGAAGGGAGGCGAGGCGGAAGCGAGAGCAATTCGGGAAGCGTAAGGAGTTCGGACTTGATGGTTGGAACTGTGACCCTGGCCGCTGCAACGACTGCCCCCCAGCGCGTCGAGTCGCGATACAGCTTCTCGACCCGAGCCGTGCTGCTGAAGAACCCCCACGGACTGAAATCGCGGGTCGCAGCGACGAGGCACCTCCAGCTCTCGCGAGCTAGGGGCGCCCAGATCGCCTCGTCCGAGCCCGCCACAGCATCCCAAAATCGAAGCGCCACCGAATGAACGATGTCGCCAATCGAAATCAAACCCAAGCCACCGTCCTCCCGAGCCTGGAACACGAAATCGCGAGCGACGGTATTTCGCCCTGCTCCTCCCCAGACAAAGTCCGTAAGTGCCGTCTCCGCCGCCTTAATGAACCATTGAGGCGGTATGTCGAAGGACAGCACGTGGAGGACCGTCGAGATGATGTGAGCGTTGGCATAGAAAACCTTCCCACTCGGCGAAAGTGTCCGGTCTCGAGCGGCGCGGGTCTTGGCCTTGATCCTGTCAAGAACATGGGTCCAAAACAGTTTCGAGTCACCGTGGCGAAAGAAGGCATAGCCGCACCACTTGAAGCTCTCCCCCTCCTGCACCGTTGGCAGCGCCTGCGCAGTCTCGTCCCGAAGCCAGTTCGGTCCGAGTGGTAGCACCAGCGTCTTGTCCGTGTTGGTCTTCCCGTTGGTAGCCTCGTACCACGTCTGCGACAGCGTTTGCAGCTTCGACAATGCCGCCGGTGACTCCACCACCACCACAGCATCGTCGGCAAACGCCAGATGCGTAAGCTGCGCACGCGGCCCCCCTGGCCACACCTTCTGCAGGTCGAGCGCGATCCCGCGCCGAACGAGGGCGTCGAGGAAGGGCTGGAACGTGATGTTCCAAACCGGGCACGAGAGGGGATCCCCCTGACCGAGACCACACAGCAACCGCACCAAGTCCGTGGGGAACCCATTGACAAGGTAGCGCACCCCCAGAGTCTCGGGATCGTAGAGAGCGCGCAGCAGCGAGATGAAACGCTCACCGAACCCAAAGGCCTCAAAGACCTCGAAGATCCAGGCGTGATCGACGCGATCGTACGCGCTCTGCTGATCCAAAGACAAGAGGGCGCCCTCGGGGAAAACATCAGTGCCTAGCGACTTGAGTTTTTCGAGAAGGAGAGTGAGATGACTTTTTTTTTTTTTTTTTTTTTTTTTTTTTTTTTTTTTTTTTTTTTTACTGGGGCTCATGAAATTGCAATCCTTCGGGTTGGCTGGGACCGCTAGAAAAAGAGCTAAAAGACGTTATAAAGCAACGACGGCAAGCAATTGGGTGAAAGTCAAACCCCTGCGCGCAAAGAGCGCTGCGCAGATCAAAACTCGCCGAGCACCTAACGCGGACTCCAACGGGCGGTGAGTACTGCTGCCGCTTCACGTCCCAAGAGCGGGAGCGAAGATACTCGAAAACCAGGCAAGAGCGCCTAGAGAAAGAAAAGGGGAGAATATACAAAAATTCACGACTGGAAACACGGAGAACCAGGAATACTAAGACAGAGAGGAGGGGAGGAGGAGGGGGAACACACCCGAGGGGCCAAGGGAGGGGGTCGAAGCCAGAGCTAGAGGTCCCCAGGGACTGACAGGCCGCAGCCAAGCCCCAGCTACTCGTCACCCCGACAGCGCCTGATGTCCTCCCTTGGCTGAGTCTCGAGTGCTGGCTGTTGAGCCGTCGGGGCCGAGCGAAAACGATCCAATACCACGAAACGAGCCTCGCCTTGACGCGAGGATATTGACCAAGAAACGAGCGACCTTTCTTCCCGATCCATGCCGTAGAACTTGACCAACGCGAACGAACGATCCATTCGACGGAATCCAACACACGGCTTAGGAATAAAAGGAGAAGTGGCTGAAGCGTAGTCAACAACCGAGCAACAGGAAAGAGAAGAGGAAGGGAAGGGAAAAAAAAGGGGGGGGGAAAGAGGGGGGAGAACTTCACAAAGCCTCCAACGCAACGACGATCGACCCGGCTTGCCGATCCATCCAAGAACGAAAATCGCTACTGCGCAAAGTAGAGAGAGGGAGAGGGTTTTTTTTTTTTGTAGAAAACGTTCATCATATTGCCCCCAATTCCTGTTCCCCCTGTTTCGGCCTACGGAAAAACTAGATGGAAGACTACGATGATAACACAAACCGCCCGCAAAAGTGCGAGAAACGAGCCAAGTCCACCAATCCGAGATTCGGATTCAAATGCCCTAGCCAAGCGGTTGCTCCCCCCCAGGAGACGAATGAGAGAGAGAAAGAGAGATGAAGAGAAAGAGAAAGAGAAAGAGAAAGAAAAGAAATGTACTAACGACAGAAGGCCCACCCCACAGCCACTTCCCACTCGGTCGAGACGAAGACAAGAGCACGACTGCGCAACCACCACGACCCTCGACGCTCCAAGTCTCTGCTCAGTCACAACAAGACGCGGTGAAGGTCCCTCAAAACCTCCCCCTCGGCAGTCCCTGGCCCCTCAAAGCCGACTTTCTGCCTGTGTCCGCTGATCCCTCCCTTGACTCAGAACCCCGAAGCCGAAGAGCGCGAGCCACACCGAGTCGACGCCAAATCGCGAGATGGTCCATGATCCGCAACGGTGAACCTGTAACAAAAGAAAGAGGAAAGCGAGCTATTTAGTGTACAGTAGGAGAAAATGATGTCACGAGAATTTGGTGTGTGTGTGGTGGTGGGGGGAAAGTCGAACCCAGCCTCTACTGCCTTCTCCTCCCCCAAGCTCCTCCCGCCCTCAGCTTCAACCTCTCCTCCAAGATTATCCTCCTCCTCCCAACACCCTCCATCCTCGTCCCCCACTTCTGCATCCCCCACCTCCCGCTGCTGATCATCTCCAAGACCAGCCCGGTGAATATTTCGATCGTCCTCCCCGCTCCTTCTTGATCGCGCAGACTGGCCTTGAGCTTCGGAAGTCCGAACATGCGTTGAACGGCCGTGTAATGCGTGTTGTCGATCGTGTCGAGCCCCAGTGCGTCGCAGAGCACGCCCCTTGCCGCGATCCAAACGTTCCTAGAGTCAACGCAGTCGAAGAAGTAGTGCTCCCGATCGTCCTTGGGCGCTCCACAGACGAGGCACGCGGGCGAGTCGTCGTGCTTTTGATGAAACTGCAGACTCCGAGTCGGGGTGAAGTTCCTGACGAGCTTGAACCACACCTCGCGTTCCCTCGCCGTCAATGCCTTCGAGTTGACCCCCTTCCAGAATCCCTTGAGATCGTCGGGCTGCAGCGAGTCCCTGAAACCGATCGTGTCGGTGAAGGCCTTTGCATTCAAGACTCGGCGGACGCGACGGATGGTGTATGGCCGATCCATGCTGAGCAAGTTGTATTGTGTTGATTGGTCTGGGAGAGCCGGTCTCGGAAGGCGCTGCGGCGGGTCGATCGGATGGGGCAGGATCGACTCGAGCGGCGTGGTGGGGCGGACTCGGGGAGGCCCGTTGATTCGTACTGCCGCCACCGGTTGAGCTATTGGTGTGAACCTCAATCGATTGATCGCATGTCGGTACCATGCCACGATGTGCTCTCGTTGTGGGCGGCCCCGTTGATCGTATTCGCTGTTGCTGACGACCACATCCGTCGGCGGCGTCCAGAGATGAAAGCCCCCGCCCGGGTACAGCTCGCGTCGAAACAGGTCCGCTACCTTGGCGTAAATGGCAAACGCAGCATAGTCGGCGTCGTAGGGTGGTCGCGACACAGCTGGTGCTCCCGGTAGGTAGTGAAGGGTGTGCAACTTGATCGGAAGAGCGAGAAGGTTCGCGAGCGTCAACGTCCTCGGCTTGACCTGCGCATTGTGCGTCGATGGTACCTTCAGCACGGCCTGCCATCTTGGGTGTAGATCGGTTCGGATCGGAGTGTAGTCGCAAGGCCACGCATCGGTTGCCAAGTCAAAGTCGGGGGCGGGATGGGCTCGTACAATCGCCGCGCGCGCAAGTCCCTGCCAGATCGCATCCGAACCGCCAAGAAGCACGTCCCAGACGCGTGCCGCAACCGAGTCGACGACGTCCTGCATCCGCATGACCCCAAGACCCCCCTTGAACCTCGGTGTGAAGACGACGTCCTTGCCATAGCACGACCTCCTCTTGCCGCCGCGGACAAAGTCGGCGAGAATGCGATCAAGCTCCTTGACGACCTCGAGCGGTGGGATGTCGGCGGAGAGGATGTGCAGAATCTTGGGAATGGCGTATCGGTTGACGTAGAACGCTCGGGTGTGGTGTGTGAGCCCTCGGTCCCGTGCCGAATCGAGCACCGCTTCGAGCCGTGCGACGAGATTCACGTTGGCGAGTTCGGTGTTGCCGGTGGGGTCGAAAGATAGGCCGATCCACTCGAGCGACTCGCCCTCGGCCTTGACGACGAGCGGACGATCGCCAGCCTCCCAGCGACACCCGATGGGTAGTACGACGGTCTTGTCGGTGTTGAGCCGGCCATTGGTTGCGAGCCTCCAGTCGAGCGCCAGGTCGTCGAGCAAGTTGAGTGACTCCGAGCCCGCGACGGCGACGACGACGTCATCGGCAAACGCAAGGGATGTAATGGCGCGGCTCTGTGGGTAGGGGTGAATGGTAGGAAGCGAGAGGTTCAGCGCGATGCCTCGACGGTGCAGAGCATCCAGGAACGGCTGGAACACGACATCCCAGACCGACGACGACGCCGGGTCCCCTTGGCCGAGCCCACACGTCAGCCGCACCGGCGGAGTCAAGAAGCCGTTAAGAAACCAAAAGGCAGATCGCGCTCCGGGCGGATCGAACCCTCGACCACTGAGTGCGCGCCCACGCGCCCTCACGACTACGCCATCGCGCCGTAAAGGTGACCGACTGCAAGAAATATTATTTATGTATGCCACACGCCGCGCTGATTACAACCAAAGTTGGTTCTGTGGTGTAGTTGGTTATCACGTATCCTTAACATCTGATTCGGATAAGGTCCCCGGTTCGATCCCGTGCAGAATCATTTTTTTTGCTTCTCCCACCTTTGTGGGTTTTCGCATGATGTTCAGTTACTAGTCCCATTTCTTTTTGCATTGTTCTTTTTTTTCATTCGTCAGTAGTAGATCCCGTGCTTATGACTTAGTGCGTGTTCGGCTGCACTTTTAAGCCCACTTTTAGGGAAATCCTCAGCCATTCTGAAAGCCTTCCTAAAAGTGCTTGAAAGTGCCTAAAAGTGCCGTGTACGGTTGCGTCGCTAAAAGTCCCTAAAAGTCACTTTTAGGGACCATTCCTTAAAAGTGGTCCGAGGGCACTTTTAGGGACGCACTCCGAGCTTCGACCCGCTTAAGGCTGGGGGGCGCCTGGGACGCGCTCGGACCGCTCAAGTTGGCCTCGGTTGCAGCATTGGGTCACGGGCGCGTCGGTTGGCCTTCGTCGCGTCACGTCGTGCGCTGTCGACCATGGCCAAGAAATCCGCCCTATCACACTCAGCAAGCGACGACGACAGCGAGAACCACACCGAGCACACCGCTCATTCGAACACTCTGCGCAAAAAGAACAAGAGCAAACAGGCAAGAGCAAGAGCAAGAGCAAGTCGAGAGGGACGCGAACGGAGAACTGGTCCGTTGCGCAGACCACATTTTTTTTTTGGTCCACCTCTATGGCAACAACATGCTGTTCCCCGAGCTTCCTCTGAAGTTTCCGGTCTGGAACATCATTTTCGCCGCGATGGTGAAGCAACACCCCGAGCGCAAAGAGAACTGTAGCCGAGACCAAGTGAAAGCTCTCTGGTTCAAGGTGAGCCGTGTGGCGACGTGAGGAGACGCGTCGCCAGTGACCGCATCCGTCCGTCATGTACTTCAACTAACCCTGTCGTTCCTGGTTTTGTAGAAAAGACACAGAAAATGACGAGACGTTTCAATAGATTGCATCTCATGGGCGGTGGTTGGGACCACGTGCTCCATCGACCGGCATACTCGGACGAACGATGGGCTGCCGTGGGTCCGAATGGCCCTGACCCTGCCCCAGCTCCCGTCAATTCGGACGCACTGATAAACGCGTGTACGAATGATGTACTTCATCAGCTCGAGGAAAGGACCCGGAGTGGAGTCAGGTGCACTCAGGCTCGTTTCCGTGGTACTGGGACGCGACAAAGATCATTGGTATCAGCTACGCTCGCGGCACCGACATCACCGACATCAACGCGCTATTCAACCCCGGGAAGAAGACCGCTTCTTCATCAAAGAAACGAGCGCACTCGCCACAATCTGAGCAGTCTGGAGCACACCTACGCCGAGACGCGGAAAGCGAGGGCGAAGACTCACCAGGTCCTTCGCTCGCCCGACTGGGCGTGCAGGACATGTCGCGTCCCTTCTGGTCACCCTCGCCTGCTGCTGGCGCGCAGGCTCGTGTGCACGTGAGTACCTATTGTCAGGAGCTCTCCCCACGTCGCAACCCGGGAATAAACATCAAGTATGTGTCCTGTGATGTTCTGCGCCACTGATCCGTTCGCATTATGCCCCGTAGACAAAGACCGCCTTCGCTTCGCTGCTGAATCCGCTCGACCCGTGCCAGTCTTCGGAATCGGCTACGAGCAGCAGCAACGGTTGGAGCAAGGCAAAGCGCGAGAGCCGTGGAAACAGCGAGCGATTTACCTACTTTCAAGACGATCCAATGCTCAAAGACGCCGTAGCCAATCTCGCCGGCCTTCAGAACGCCACCACATCACAGAGGCTGACCCACTTCTCGAAACTAGTGGGCACACTCAGCCTAGAAGCAGACGATGTTCACCTGCTAGCCGATCATGCTCTTCTCACGCCGACTCCGCAAGACATCCAGACGGTGCTACTCCTGGCTGCCGCGGGAGTATTGATTGATCTCCGCGTCAGGCAAATGATCAATCGCCTCTCATTTCAACCGGTATCGTCGAGCAACGCGCTGCCGAGCCACGAGGCGCCGCAGTTCCCACTTCCCCCGATTCGCTTCAAACCCGGAATCAACCGTACATATTCTTCCTCGACGTCTATGCCCGGCGCGGCCCCTCTTTACGGCAACTGGTCCACTACCTACTCTGGCAGTCCCGCAAGCGGCGGTCAATGTTCTGAGAGATCCGACGGATGCCTGCCCTCGCCTTTTGGTCTATCGGGTTAATCATGCTGCATCAACCGTAGCAAGCTTAACATCCACTTCACTTGCTCTATCAGATGTATTTTGAATGTTCAATTCGTAGTGGTCATCGTTGCAATACACTCTGAATGTGAGGAACAAGCCGAATCAATTCCCTCTGGTCCATAGCAAGTAGAGCTCCCTGAGTTCCGCTCTCCGTGACGATCGCTCATCTGGCGCGTGTGCAGCCAGTCGGCGGGCCTCCGCTTTGTAAGTTTTGTAATCCGCTCGGTGATGTTGTTGAAGAGTCCATAACGAAGATTAGGCCGGTTCGGACCGAAATTTGCCGAGGCAAGGGCGGGTTTCGTCTTTCTTTGGCCGTTTCGTCGAGGAGACGGCGTTGCAGACGCCATTCAGTATACTTCTGCAGTGTGTACGCTGCCGATTCGACGGCAGAGTCTATCTGCTCGTCGGATAGCGACTGGAGGGGTGTATCCATGACTTTGAGATGTTCTCATGCAGGGATGCGCATTACAGAAGCAAGACACGCGTCTCCTTGTGCAGGGTGTTGCGCTTCAAATTACAACCCATGCCAGGTTCAAACACGTGACCTGAACTCGTCCGGTGAGCTCTCGCCCGTCAGATCGTTCCCGGCCTCCGCATCTTAAAAGTGCTTCCTAAAAAGTGAGGTGTTCGGCTGCTAAAAGTGGTCCTTAACCGCGGCGCGCGCCGCTTTCAGCTAAAAGTGAAAAGGTCCTAAAAGTGCTTTTCCAGCCGAACACGCCCTTAGTAGTCCCACTCAAAAACCCCGTAGAGAAAGCGCGCCGAACCAGTTCCTGAGAAAGTCTAATTCGAAAAAAAATGAAAGCGATTTTCGTCATGGTCGAGTTTCTGCGGACGTTGCAAATTCACGTGCGGCAACCTTTTCTGCCTTTCAAAAATGAGGCGGACGGTCCGTGCGCAAGTGATCTGACATGTAGACGAAGACGCGTCACGGGATAAACCGGAATAGGAGCGTCTGTCGCCGCGTCCTTCCGCGACTCGTTGGCTTAGGGGTTCCTTTCCGACATCCCTCCGACACGTCTTCTCCTTTCGCCTTTTCGTTTCCCACTCCCCGCTCGTAATACTCGGCGTGCAGAGCGTCAATTTCGCCTTTATTAGAGGAAAGTGAGCAGCGCTGCAGCGCTAGTCGCGGCCTCGGGAAGTCTAACGCTGGAAGAGGAGGTCCAAGCGCGAAGCTCGAGCGCGTCTAACAACATCTGGCTTCGGCCAATCTCCGCGTCGCGTGCTAGAGTTGAGCGCTCACCTGTAAGGTAGTGTACGATGACATGTGGAAGAAAGGCCCTATCCGGCGGGGCGTACTCGGCGGAGCGTACTCGGCGGGGCAACACGGGCGAACTTCACGAAATGAGCGCGACAACTCTTTAATAGGGGGCACGGGCGCTCGGCGTTTCACGTGACCTTCACAATCTACATCACGAAATAAAATGAAAAGTGAACAGATCTGTCCAAAAATCTGAGGTTGAGGTCGGATTTTTGAAAGCGCTTCAAACGTGTTTGCTTTTCAAAAACTGAAGCGATCACGATCGAGCCTAACCCAAAGAGGAAGGCGCGAGCGATTTCACAAAGTCTAAACTTCAGAATCTGAAGCGCTCGGACGGTCGTTTGGGGTTTTTGAGTGGGACTACTATGACTCTCTCTCGATTTTTGGATGGTCCCCCGCGCAAGTGGGAGAGGTAGTATATCGTGAGTAGTATAGCAATGCAAAGGGTATACGATTATGAGGGGACCCCGCTGCTTCTCAGGAAGCACAACAAGTGATATACTCTGAACGTTATCAGGAATGCAGACACTGTACAATTAATGCACACCACGATTTAACCGGCCCACCCCCGAAGTTATGTCAGATCGCTTCTTGATCGGACACGGGCCGGATCCACAATTTACCCGGCCTCGACTTCTCCCTCAAGATCCTCCAAGGCGTCGGGTGCGGACTCGCGATCTTCTCCATCGCGACGCGACGGTGTTCGGTCGTGCTTTCGATCTCGATCATGATCGTTCCTGCCCAGTCGGGGTGCACGACTTGAGGTTTCGGGGCCGAGATGTCGAGGATCGCGTCATTGGCTCGGACTTGGATCGATCCACTAGAAGGTAATAGGAGGTCAGCAATGTATTCGAGGTTCAAGGTCGAGAGAAAAAGAGGTGAACATACCGGTACATGAATCGCTTGACCATGTACCCCCCTGCGGTGATGTGACATGGACCTTGTCCTCGCGCAGCTTCAGACTCTCGTGCGCCTGGGCGGCGAACTTTTGCAGCCACAAATCTGGGAGCGGACGAGCGACGACCTTAGCGCTTGACCATAATCTGCCGAGCGTCTACCGAGAGACCTACAAAAGACGGGACTGGCTGTTGAAGCTGCGACGATGTTGTGGTAGTATTGAGGTGAGAACGAGAGCATACCGAGCCAATTCTGCAATGGCAGTCGCTCGAAATGTTAGTCAGATGCGAGACATGGGGACGAGGGAGAGCGACTCACGGGCAGATGACCAACGACGTCGTAGCGATACTCAAAGTCGCGCAGGAACTTGCCATCAAAGATGAGCTTGCCGAGGTTGCCGAATGGTGCGATCGCGGTATTGACGACGACGTCGCCACGACGCATTTCACCCCACACGCCCGAGCGCCAAATTTCGCGTTCGCATTCAACGACTTCGCTATCGGCCATCCAACTCGTTGTACCACTGAGGGGAACCCAAGTTCGCAGTGTCGGCGCTCGACCAGATCGGAAGACGACCGCGAGATTCTGCGCTACGATTTGGCCTTCGAATGCGTACGGTGCCCAGCACCCTTTGCCACCGTAGCCCTCGAGTTGCCAACGCAGCCGCAGCACAACACGGTTCCATGCCCTAGTCGATGCCCTGATGATCCTGAGCGTTGTGGCATGAAGGCGATCCAAGTTGTACTCTTTCGCGAAACGCGCGTATTGCTCAATCTGGATCTCGGTCGCGATGAGAAATGCATCGAGATCTCGCAGCGTCAAGACGATCGGTTCGGTCGTGGCGGATGGAGAAAGCGACGTCGGTGTCTTGTCGCTTCCAAGCGCATACGATCGGTATCCCCATGGCCCCAGGTACCGCTGCAATACGAGCTCCTTGGCGAGGGGTTCGTCCATACTGCGTCGAAGAGCACGAGAGGTCGCTCGCAGCGCACAGAAGTCGTCATACTTTGTAACAGCCAGGATCCCACGCAGCACCTGCTCCGGGAATGACGCAACCGCCTTTTCCAACGTCGAACCGCCCGGAGTGCAGATTTTCAGTCGTGGAGAGAGGGTAGGGGACGACGAGCCAGCATCCGAATGCCCCGAGGACGAGGCATTGCGTTCTCTCGCGGCCGCCAACGCCTGAGCCCTCGTATTGTTCTGAGATACGGATCGCACCGGTCCACCCGCAGCGAACGGATCGTCTGGAGCGGCTCTAGTCGATCTCCGCGTTTGTAAAGGGGGTATTTTCGTCGGCGTTGAAGGGGAAATCAGGACAGGCTGTCGGCTCGGTGAACCCTCATAGCCAGGCTCTTGTCGCGGTCCATTAACTTGTTTGAACGCTCCGTCTTGCTGAGCTCGAGCGCGACCCAGCGGTGAATTGTCCCTCGACCCATTCGAACGTCGACCAGTTGCTTCGGGCGAGTTAATCGACAACTCTTGCAAGCGGGTGACATGCGAGTCCGCTCCGGGCCGGGCCATGCCGCTTGTGCTGATCGCGGAAAGGGGCCGTCCGTGATGCGACTGGTCATGCGACGAGATGGACGACGTCCCAGCTTTGATCGAGCTCGCGGTCGTATCTGGACTTCCGTGACCATTGCGAGACGCTGTTGCAAACAGAGATGGCGAAAGGCGGGGCGACGAAGAGCCCATCCCACCGAGTAGAGAGTTCGACGAGTTTCGGGACGGCGACGGCGACGCGCCATGGTAGTTGCCGGGAGAAGAGTTGTACGCCATTGACGCCGTCTGCGGCGGCGGCGACGCAAGTGATGCAGGCGAGGCAGGAAGGTTCGCGTCGAAGAAGCTCGAAGGAGAGTCCGGGATGACGAGACCACTTGCTACCGCATTGACGCTGAGGCGGTTCGGACTCGGCAGGGGAAGGACGACTGGAGGACGAACTTTCGCCGAGTCAGCTCGGCATGCTCGCTTCGGCGCCTAACATCTAGCGGGCTGGTACTCACAATTTTGTGTATCGATCATCAAGCTCTCCCGCCTTGGCGGCCGCGCAACGAAACCTGTTCCACCTTCGCCGTCGAAACGACCTCGTGCTTCAGAGTTCGCAGACAGAGGCGACGCCATGGGCGATGCATACACCGAACTTCGCGGCGACGACACGATCGACATGCGAGCTGGAAAACCCCCCACATGCACAAATACTCCAATCCAGTCAGCTTACCAGCCTCGGCATACTCAACACACAAACATGCATGTTTGTGGGACCCTCCCACACCACAAACACTCCTGATTGGACGAACAAAACTAACCTCGAGCCGAGTCCCTTTCATTGAACCTCGACTGGATCGGCGCGCCCCGTGCCCCGATAGGACTAGTGCTGCTGCCCACCGCGCCAGCTCCCGTTGCCGCCGACGACGACGAGGGCGAAGCGGGAGTGACTGTCTCCTGCCGAGCTCCTTCCAGGGTCCTCTTCCACGTCTGTGCATCCTCTCTACCGAACTCGTCAACGCCCCAACTGGTTCGGATCGTAGCTGTCGGTGGGGCTCGTCGGGAAGAAGGCGGCGGCCCGCTCGGGGTCCGTGTTGAGCCACTTGACGACGACGACGACGACGCTGAGCGTGGATCGGCCCCGGAGCGCGCCAGTCGAGCTGAGGCTACTTTCGAAGGCATCGACGACGAGGAAGGGGGTATCATCGCGTTCCGACAGTTGTCGGCCGGAAACGACGATGACGAAGACGACGACTTGGAGGACTTGGCGCCCCCTTTCCGACGTGTACTACTCATACCAAACAGACCCATCGTAGATGTTGGGCTTGGTGCCGAGGCACCCGCACGGACGAGGGGGAGATCAAGGCCACCAGGGCAAACGACTTCAAGGTCATGAGACGTGGGTCGGTGGGAAAGAAGTAAGGATGCGCCGGCGGCGGGAAGAAGCCCGGCAGCTCGGGCCCACTTTCAATCGAATGCTCCAAGTCGAAAGTCTGGGGCGGTACCGGTGCTGGGGGTGCGCTTGCGCTAACTCGCGCGCGCCAATTGAGTTGGCGCAATTGAGTTAGCGCACTTGAGTTGGCGCAGTCGAGCGCCCGAGTTAGCGCACTTGAGTTGTTAGCGCACCGCGCGCGTGAGTTGGCGCACCGAGTTGGGCGCAATCAGGCGCGCCGCACGCGGCCATCCCCTTGTCTTCATGCTGCAACATGCCATATCCTACGGTGCAACTGCTGTCACGCTTCTTTCGGAAACGAAGCGCCGATAACACGGACGACAAAATCGTCGGCACCTCGGCTACGACAGCATCGACAGCGTGCCAGAACGAGATCGGCCCCTGTGTCGACACTCTACACAGCGCGAACACCGCGAGCCAAGTCCAGGCCGCGAAGCGCCGCTTCGATGAGCTTTCAATACATAATGATGGACAGAATACAGGATCGACTGCAATTGATCAGTCGACCAAGAAGCCATCGTGTTGCGAGGTCGACCCCGCAGCTTAGTCCCGGCGCCCGCGGCGACCAGGCCTCAGGGTCGTCCGAGGAAGACGGAGGAGGAGAAGGAGGAGATGGCCATAGCCAAGTCCGAGAGAGCAGCACAGCAAGCTGCCGAAAGAGAACTTGATGATGAACGTGCAAGACAACTCAAGGAAGCGGAGCGAGCTTGGCTAGAGGCCGAGCGAGCGCCTCAATGCCAACTCATATTAGACGAGCAGAGTCAGCGGATGCAGGTCAGTTGTGAAAGCCCGATTTGCGATAGATCAGTGGGATCATGAGTGGATAAACCTGTTAGGCATGTGGCATTGACGTCAGAAATGAAACGTGCCGCATCCTTCCATACAGTTTCCCCCTGCAAAAGTGTACACTGTGAGCCGGGCTACATTCCCGTCGCCCGTATTCCTTCTGACTAATGCATGTCCGTGGCTCCTAATCTTAGACTCAAACAACTCTCAACTTTGCACCGGCAACAACTTCACCCCAAACTCCGTTTCCAGACGGCTCGTCTGCCATACCTTCCGCATCCGATGCCTCAGTCTCGACCAACTCCACGTCGCGCTCGATTCCGACGTCGGTCGGATCGGCATTGCCCGACAATTCAGACTCTTTCAACAGTCTCGAAGGAGGCATCCACCGGAACCTTCGCCAACGATTTCCAAAGTCTGGTGTTTCTCCGTGCCATGCCAATGCGTGCTTGGCTGACTACGTGCTAGTGCACAATCTCACGGTCAGTCCAACTCCACCATCGCGATTCGAAGAAGCGGCAACCATTCTCACCCATTATCCCTTGTGTTCGCAGGTTGGGACGTTCAATCGTACCGGAAAACCATTCGTGGGGCACTACGACCTCTGGCTCACTGTGGAATTACATCGTCTGAGGCGCAAGACCTCGGCATTTCTCCCACGGCACTCAACCACTGTGTCAGATATAGTCAACCCGCTGCTCTACACCACCGAAACATTCGGCATCGTACCTGTTGTTCAGTCGCCAACAGCGCAAATGCGCTTTTTGATCGAGCTCTATCACGTCGAGCGCGGGACTCTGCGTTTGGAGCCCGTCAAGTGGTCGCCATGGAACTTGCTGCAGAACAATACGCCGGCGATACAGCATATGCAAAGCCTGCTGCCAACCGATCGCAAGCTTCGCCACGACTGGCTAGCGGAACGTCAGGGTACTCGATTCGCTGTATTGCATGTCCATACACCCAGCGAACGAGCGCTATACAGATATCTCTCAAGCAAGGTACGACTGGGAGCTCCTCAATCTTCGGATACTCGAGATTACCGAGCTTTGGAACAAGTATGCCAACGGAATAGACATTTTTTACAAAGTATGTCGCGTCTGTGTCACACTGAATGGTGATGTTGAGCTGAAGCGCAATTCTCACACAGATGCCAGAGCACATCAATACATGGGCATCGAGATGGTCGTCGCTGGCAAATGTTCAAGCCACAATGAACATGGGTGGGAACGACGTCAGAGTGATTCAAGCTTTGCTTACCGACCCCTCCCGCGGTCGTGATGTCAGCGTGCTAGCGGCTGAGCCATTACTCGGTCACAAACCGCCAGTTTTGGGGAGGCTTACGGAGGTAGAAGTCGATGCCTCGGATCCTCCAACGTCATCCATCCGCCCCTTATTGCAACTGCCTCGAGCGACGCTGGTTCGAGCGCGGGCTTGGGCACGAGCAGCGCTTTGACGCGCGCGGGTACCACAAAAGGGGCAAGGCACTGTCGATTATGTGGCCAAACTACTTGTCGACGCAAGGGGTCAAAACTAAGCGATGACGGATCGATGACTGGGTGTGACGGGGCGTGCTTGGACTGCGGGAAGCCTTTCGGGCTGACAGACGAGATGGATTCGAACGACCCACAACCACGAAGGTTCTGTAGAGGACTGACAAGGGCTGAGATGAATGGCCGAGCTCGGCATCAAAAGGCACAACTTTGTAGCTGCATAACACCTGGGTAATATGATGTATGCTGTCAAAATGACATGTTCCGTACCACTTCCTCTCTTTCTCCTTTTTCACCTCCCCCTCCCTCTTCTTCTTCTTTCTCCTTCTTTCTCTTCCCCTCCCTCTTCCTTTCCCCCCTTTTTTTTCTTTCCCCCCTCCCCCTTTTTTTCCTTCCTTTCTTTTTTTTCTCCTTTTTTTCTTTTTTTTTCTTTTTGTTTTCTTTTTCTTTTCTTTTCTTTTCCTCTCCTCCCCCCCACCCCCCGACATGGGTACGGGCCCGAAAGTCTCCACCCGAGCAGAACCAAGCCTGCCCAAGCGCGCCCGCTGTTTTGTTGATCGTCACGCCAACCGGTCCGGCCGCTTCGATCAAATTGCTCCTACAAGGCGATCAACGCCAACGCAAATCAAATTGCAAGCGATCCTGGCAGCTTGCTCGGAACAAGATCCCCGATCTCGGTGCAAAAAAAGTCCCCTGCTTGATTCGTTGCTCCTCAAAACGCTCGCTACTATGACCTTGTTTGGTTGACAATCCCTTGTGCGACTCAGTTGCCCAGGTTTCAACGTTTGAGAAATATCAGGGCACAGGACGAGACCGTACAGATTTTCGGCCACTTCGCTTCGTTCAGGTGAAAGAATAGGGCATGATAAACAAAGGAAGAGGAAACGGCACAGCGCCCCCAATTGATATACGGAGATGAACAGTGGAGTATGAGGTCATTCAAATTCGAATCAAATGGAAGAAGGAACAGTGGGGGAAAGAGCAGGAAAGGAACCAGAGGCACAAAAAAGGACAACAGGATCGTTAGTCATTGGTAAAGGTGTGACGAAGGAAGATCGCACGCCAAAGGAGCAGTCGTTCTGAAGGAGAACAGAAATGATGAAATTCGAAGTGAACAGATGAGAACAGGACGAAGGGTGATAGGCGAAAACAGGCGAGCTCAACCAAAGAGATACGGCGCGGCAGCGGTCTGTGTCAGGATTGGGTTTTTGAATGTCAGCCAACAACTCACTCCAACCAGGGGATTAGCATGCGAAGAGCAAGAACTAACAGCACTGACGGCGAGAGCCAAGCCAAAGCCAGCGACCCATCGTCGACCCTCGGCCTCTTCCCTTTGCACCAAAGCGAGCTGCGCAGGCGCCGCTCGGATCTCCCTTCCAGCATTGACAGGCACGCGACGCCCACCGTTCGGTCTCCTCCTGAAGAGCTTGCCAAAGAAGCCTCGGTCGTCTCGCAGAGCATCGGCGAGGGTGCCCGTTTGCGGCAACTCGTCCTCGTCCTCCTCGTATGCGCGCTTGGCCACGGATGAGGAAGGGATCGTGGTGTCTTGTGTCAACTTGGCCAGTGTACCCGAAGCCTTGAGGTCTTTGACGAGCTGCTGGGCTTGGGCGATTTGCGCGGCGACGGCCTCGTCCGAAGCGACCAGGCCGTTCGACGAAGCCTCGGCCGCGTCCGAGACGGGCACATCGACCTTGACTTCGGTCGTTTCGGTCGTCACGCCGGTCTTGGCATCGGTCGAAAGCGTTTGCAGGATCGAGACACCGTTTGCCGACGAGCCGGAGAGCGCCGACTTGGGGGTAGGAGAGGCGGCAGCAGTACGGGGTGACTGCACACGTGCGCGTTTGGAGCGAGGAGAGCGAAGAGCGGGCGACTGCAGTATCAACAGGAGCAATATCTCTGGTCAGGACAGCATGTTCTCCGCCCGCGTCCTCGCCGAAGTTCGAGGACTCACGTCAGCTTCCGAGTGATCGGCGGCTGCGTCGGATGTGGCGTTTTGCTCATAGTTGACGAGGTCGGTCGCGAATTTAGTCAGTCCATACTCCTCAGCGAGCGCGAGGGCCTTGTCACACGGGATCCTGTTCGTGACCACCATCGTCAGCGATATGCTCCTCTCATTGACCGATCCCCAGAGCGACTCGGGTGGACTGACCAGGTGCCACTGAGGCGATGGGCCTCGTCGTCCTCGCGACCGGCGACCTTGGTGTTGCCGAATTGCCTGGGGTGAGCGACGATGTACTTCATCTCTGCGCTCTCGGCTGCGACGGATGCGGTCGGGAACGCGGCGCGGAAGAAGGACGAGGCAGAGATGGCATTGGTGTCGAAGCGTTTGATCAAATGGCTGTGAAGAGACGACGCCGCGGGAGAAGAGCTGGTGTCAGCATACTGCCATCAGATCGAGATGGAGTGCGGCCACGACTGGGAGTCTGGGCACGGAGGTCCGAGTCGGTGTCAAAGAGCACGTGCAATGGTGCGCGCGCTTGTGCCGGAGTGATAGCCGTGGCGCGCAGGTAGGTTTGTTTACCCCAGTCCCGCCTCTGGCCCCCCTGTGTTTTTGCGACGAGCACGGACGACAGCCCACAAGGATAGCACCACAGACGAGTTCGTGATCGACCCGATGTGATAAGAAATGACAAAGCTCGACGGGCCTTGACAGTTTGACGCGTGTCGGAACGCGATGTAGCACGTGACACGGGCGATCACACCCCGGTCCGACTGGCCCCCCCTGCGCGCCTTCGCCTGGACCAAACAAAACGCCGGTCCGGCTGGAGACTCACCCTGGGACGCCCTTGGGCACGGGGCACTTGACCCTGGCGATGACGATCGTGTCGTTGGTCGGTGGTCCGAGGTGGAGGGTCTGGGTCTTGACCTTGTGCAGCTTGGCCTTTGCCTCGAGCAGGAGGTCGTTCTTGTCGCTCAAGGGGAGCGGCGGACGCGTCTTTGCGCCGGCCGAAGCGGGCGAGTTGGCCCGACCGCTGGGCGTACCCGAAGCCGTCTTGGAGCGGGGCTTGGGGGACGGACCACGCCCACTCGCGGACGAGGACGAGGAGGGCTTGCGTCCCGAGGCCGAGGGGGGTGCGAGCGTCGACGCGATCGAGGGCACAGGAGGAGGCGTCGATCCGGGCGACAAGGCTCGAGCGGTGGGCGTGCTCGCTCGACTCGAACGACGTGGGGCCGCCGTCGACGCGGACGAGGACGAGGACGACTTTTGCACCATGTTGCGTTGGATCGGGTTGGCGGGGATTGTAGGTGAGCTGAATCGGGTGCGGCGAAGAGAGGGGTGCGGGTAGGCACGTGGGTGGTATTCGCCTGACAGAGGGTGGGGTGGGGTGGTGGTGGAAGGCAGGCAACGCAGGCGCAGCGCAGGAGGGCTGGAGCAGGCTGGAGCACACTTGCGCCAGGACCCCCGAAAGCCCAGCCAGAGGCGCATGTGGAAAACCGCCCTTTTTTGGCCTTTTTGTCACTATTATGGCCCCAAAATGTCAAATTTTCACATGCGCCTCAAAATGTTATCAAAATGTGTGTCAAAAAAATAAATGCGCCTCCGGCTGGGCTTTCGGGGGTCCTCTTGCGCCTACTTGCGCACTACTTGCGCACGCGCGCGAGCTCACGCGAGGCTTATATGGAAAGTGTAATCACCTCGTTGGTAATGAGTTTCCATTAGAGAGGCTTCTGACCACCCGCCGTCCACGCGTCCACGATCGGCCTCGACTCTCCGCCAATCCACTGCGCTGCCTCAGCCCACAGGCCCGTGCGACCCTACACCATGAAACCCGCCATCCGCCCCATCCTGCTCCTGGCCCTGGGCTCGTTCGTCACCTATTCTTGGGCAACCAGTATCCCACAGCAACAACACCCCTTCGTACCCCCAACTGCCGGTGACAGCCACAGCCAAGGACCCGCCATGACGATTCCCAAGACGAACCCTTTCCTCTCCTCAAGCACCAACGCCGTCAGCTCCACGACCATGGCCCTAGCCGATCTCTTGACCCAATCTCGTCGCACGTCCATCTTCTACGACTACTGCCGCGACGTACCTTCCGTGTCGGCATTGCTCAATGCGCCACCTTCACCTTCCAAGGAGACCCTGCCGACTCTACTCGTCCCCCTCAATAGCGCCATCATCGCCATGGCTCACAAGCCTCATCAAACCCAACCTAAGACCGATTCGAGGTCCCCCCAGCTCCGAACCGAGCGCCAACTCGAGGACGAATCGAACGCGTATCTCTCTCGCTGGGTCCGGGCCCATGTCATCCAGGCAGAGGTGCAGATTGGTCCCGAGGGATGGCAAGACAAGACGTACGAGACGTTGGATCACTCGAGCGTACAGTTCGCACTTCGTAAGGATGAGACGACGAACGAGGAACGTGTCGTTATCATCCCGGGTCAGATCGAGGTCGTCGGGATGAGTCAGGTACGTTTCGGAGTCAGAGGCCGACCCGGCAAAAGAGGCCAACGTACGAGCCGCTATTTGTGATTCTGACATCCGAATATGCTCTCGAACATAGGCCAGCAATGGTATGATATATTACATCGACGGAACGCTCAACGTTGGTTCCGTATAGGCACCAGATTTGACCCCATTTGTACAACTTGTGTGTCCTATTATGTTGATACTTTTGTCCCTATCAGTGCTGTAGTCGTTCCCTCGCGTGTGTTGCCATGTCTTACCCTCGAAAGCTGGAAACAATCCCGTGGACGTGTTTTCTCAAGTCCGCTGAACGAGCAAGTTGTTACAATCAAAGCACTGCGACGGCTACACCCAGGGCGGGAGCCAGGAGGATTAGGATGCAGGGGGGGGATCCGAGCTACTGATGAATATGCTACAAGGTATTGAGGTATAGAACCCAAGATTGTCTAGAGGAGATAGAAGCACAAGGGAAGAGAGAAACAACTCCGGAATCCATCGACCAGCGACCAGCGATGACCACAAACCAGTCTTTTCCCCCTCAACTTAGACCCAAGCGAAAGCCCTATCCGAAGATCTGGATCATACTGAAATCTCCAACCCAAGCCTCGGCGATCGAGATTCCCGACACATAAGCGCGGTACAGTCCGAACTTGACCGACGCCTGAGCGCCCATCTGTCCCGTCGCAGAATAGGTCAACAAGACCTCATCGGTCACACCGTCACTCATGACGTAGAACAAGGTGCCCGAATTGCCGAAGGTGACTTGGAGGCTGTGTTGGATCGTACGACCGGTGAATTCGGACCAGGGAATCGAACCGCACGAGTTGCCGCAGCCTCGAATCGGGTCGAAGATCACTGCGGAGCCACTCTTGCCGTCCAAAGTGATGACGGCGCCACCGTTGGCATCACGTCGGAGCAATTGCCACAAGTGGAAGAAAGTGCGCGTTGTCGTGGTACGCGTCGAGACGAACGAGCGCCATTTATATTGCCATGTTGTGTCTGTTTGGAAAGCGTCATCGAGGCACTGTCAGCATAAAGAATCTAACGGAAGAGCTAGGAAATGAGGAAGACCTACCGCCAGCAGCGGCAGTAGAGTACATCTCAATACGCTGACGAGGTGTTGGCGTCGGCGTCGGCGTAGTTGTTGTTGTGGATGATGTTGCTGCAGTAGTAAAACCGGGAGAATAGTACGTCAGCATCGAAACCGCAGGGGGGTTGCGCAGTCAGCCACCTGTGGATTGACTTACTGGTTGTGGAAGGTTGAGTCTGGGTGGTGGTGATAGAAGGGGTGCGGGTACTAGTAGTCGTCTTGGTACTAGTACTGGTGGTACTGATTGTAGTGGTGCTGGTCGTGGTGGTGCTGGTCGTAGTGGTGCTGGTCGTGGGAGGCTCCGGCGAAGTCGTCGGGCTGGGCGTCGGGCTGGGCGTCGGCGACGTGTCGCCATCACCACCATCACCATCACCCTCGCCTTCGCCTTCACCCTCCCCGGGCGAAGAACCAAAGTCCTTAGGATTGGGAACCTCCCTCGGGTTCGCTCGCCTAAAGAGATTCTGAGCGTTAACGTCGACGGCTCCACCGGCCCACAAGGGCCTGGCGTCGGCTTCGTAGAAGGTGGGTTCGGGCTTGTAGAATGGCTCAAACGCTCCGACTTCCTCGTATCGCTCTTCGATCCCGGTAATTTCTTCTTGCGCTACGAGACCACGCTTCCTAGTGGTCGCAAGGTTGGCGGTGGATTGCAAGACCATGGACCAGCAGTTCTTTTAACGAGTAAGAAGCGCACGAAAGCTTTCTGTCAGCAAAAGCTATTCGGGGATGCTGAGGGGAGAAACGAGCTCACGTTGATTGCGACGTTGACCGGGCAGCCATTTCGAGCAAGGAAACCCGATGCTTGCCAACTGAGACCGCCGCCAGCGTTGCCACTGACAATCTGGCTCGCTCCTGGGCCGACACCGGTGGCAACGACGGTCGCGACCCCCGCGGCGGTGCGGGTGTAGTACGGAGGTGAGGTTGTGCTCTTCGTGGTGGATGTGGTAGTTGGGGCGGATATGGTGGATGTGGTGGAGCGAGTCGAAGTGGTGGTCACCCTCGAAGTAGTCGTAGGTGAAGGCGAGGACGTCGTCGTCGTCGTCGTCGTCGTCGTCGTCGTCGTCGTCGTGGTGGCTTGAGGGTTGGCATTTAAACCCGTAGACGTGCTCGTCGTCGTCGTCGTTCTGATCGGTGTTGTCGATTTGGTCGTCGACTTGGTGGTAGTCAACTTGGTGGTGGTCGACTTGGTGGTGGTCGATCGAGTAGTAGTAGACTTGATTGTTGTCGTCACCGGCGTCGTTCTTCGATCCACGGGAGTAGTCGACTTAGTCGTACTTCGAGTCGTCGAGGTCGTCGTGGTCCTCTTGCTTGTCGTGAGCAATCTCGCATCGACGCATCTGCCATCTTCGACTCCATAGCCCGAAGCACAAGTCAACGCGGCCTTGGATGTGCACGTCAACGCACGGCTGTCGACAGTGGTGCATTTGATGCATGAGCCATCTGATGGGATGCGACGGAGCAAGAACCGGGAAAGGCCATGAGCTTGGCTTTTATCATAGGGAGAAAGCCGAGGTCTCCAGCACGCAAGAAGTGTCATGCACCACTCACCAGCAGCTTTGTACATGTCCTTACGACAAGCGGCCGTCGAAGTCGGCTCGGCGCTCTCAGCCGTTGTAATTCTTTCGGTCGGCACGACGCAGCGCGTTCCGCTCACGACATATCCGTCAGAGCACGTCAATGGCGCTGCGGAGGTACAGGTCAACGCGCGCGAGTCGATCGTGACACATTTGATGCATGTACCACCTTTAAGTAGTAAAGAATGTCACTTTGTCAGCCATGCAGCTCCTTGGCTGAGTCAAGCTGAGTCGAACTTCGATCAGCGACAACGCTTTCGCGCGATCCGACCCGACTTACTCGAAGATGCGTATTGGTCCTTTCGGCAAGTGACGGTCGTCTGTACGGTAGAACTATCCGTCGTACCGTCGGTCGTTCTCTCGGCGGTGGCTTCGACGCACTTGTACCCCTCGGGAACGAGGCCGTCCGAGCAAGTCAAGGGCGTCGTCGAGTTGCAGGTCATAGCATGCGGGTCGACCGTGATACATTTGATACAGGTTCCATCTGTATGTTACAAAGGTCGATTCAGTCATGAGCAAGTCCTGCGAGTGCTTCCAATTTGACTCAAGCCTCGAGTTCACAGTCTCGATCCAAATTGGGACGGGCTGGTCTTCTCGGGGTCTGCGAGACTCCGAACAGGTAACCCCCCACTTACTCAGAGCTTTGTAGTAGTCCTTGTGGCAACTAGAGGTTGTAGTAGCTGCCCTTGCAGCGACCTTGAGAGAACCAGAGTCCCTCTGTACGACATGAGCCCGCTCTTGCTGTTGGTGATGCTCGCGCGAAGCCGCCGGCGCCGGTGCTGCGAGCGGAGCCCGAACGAGCAGTGGCGCGTTGCCGTGGACCGCTCCCGCCGGGCTGCCCGCGGCCGCACCCACGCCAGCGCGGGAAGCGGTGGCCAAGTCCCCTGTCGGCGCACCCGTTGCCGAGCCGAGCGCCAAAACGAGAAGGCAGAGGGTCGAAACAGCACGCATCACCAGGACGTGTGATGGGGAGCTGTAGCGGGAGAATGATTAGTTGAAGAAGGGTGAGGGAGAAAGGGAGAGGGAGAGGGGACAGGAAACAATCGATGAGGGGGGTTCGGGATAATATCCGACCTTGGTTCGCGGGGGTATCTTCATTGAGCGACGAAGGCAGATTCATTCGGTCGAGCCGATCACCGTCGGCTTTCTCCCTTCGAGTGCCGCATGGACCACTTCCACCCAGGGCCCACACACCCCAGCGCGATTCCTTCGGGGCCATCGAATATGTCGATGTCGACTCGGCAAGTGCGCCCGCCCAGAACTTCGCGCAGGCCCGCCCCGTTTGAGGCCTAGTCGAGCCGGGGCGCCTCCGGATTCGGAAACTGGTGATCGACCACGCCCGCGCATGGCACTCGCTTGGACCCGAGAAGTCTGCCGGCCTGGGTGTTCTTCACCATGTATGGGCTAGTTACGTTTGTAATTGCTTCCACGGGTCTTCGCTGGACCGAAATACATTCACCAGTGGCGCCCTGGATGACCCCTTTTTTTTCCTCGTCGACGCCGGCGCGGCAGAGCTGGGCCCGCTGGGCCTGCGCCGAAGCCTTCCCGACTGGGGAAGGGCCTCTCTTCGCTCGTCGACCAGAGGAATTTTCTCGCTCTGCCTTCACTACGAGCGCTCCTCTGTACCTATCTCGTTCCTCGGCGCGACTCGTTGGCACAGTTTCATTTTCTTGGGCCTGTTCAGGATCCTTCTGCTGACTCGTCGGCAGAGGCGCAAAGCTCTTCGAAGTCGACCTTGGGTCGGGGCTGGCAGGGCCCGGCATGCGGACTTTTGAGCGCGGTGGCAAACAGAAACATGTCCAGGCAGTCTCGGCCAAGGGTCGGCTATCACAGGAGCCTCGAAGGGATGCCTGACTACCCCGACCACCACACCGTCGAGACTATGTACCGCGAGCGGGATCGACTTCGGCCATGACGCTGGGATCGCTGATCGAGATCGCCAGCGGGGCCGGTCCCTGTCTTTTCAGCCACCTCGGCCCACAACGTCCCCTAAAAGGCGCAGCTCTGATGCATCTGATGCGTCGCGCGCGCGCGTGCGCGTGCACTGATCAGTGAGGCGCTCAGGCCTGCGCACGGGTCTCGGAGTCACTCGTGCAGTGCGTCCCCGCAATTATGCCGAACCTAGTTATCCCGAAAACGCTCGAATGCGTACAAGACGATGATGCAGGGTATTTTGGCTTTGTTTTTGCGTAAATCACAATAGTGGGTATATTTCGGAAGTGAAGGTTTATCTGCCATCAGTTTGTCTGCTTCCTGGCAGTTCATGCACGTGCACTCGGTCCGCCGAGTCGCTCGTGTCGTCGACCAAGGTCACGTGATCTTTCTAGCACTGCATGGTCGAAGGCTTGATGCTTCGAGGGCGGGGATACCAGGAGAAGTGTGTGCTCTCTTGCGACCCGACACACCAGTAAAGATCTTTTGCAACAGACGGTCCGCGAAGGCCTTGAAGATTTGGGAAGGGAAGTCGGGCTAGGCTACTATAGTACTCTCCGAGGAACAGGGTTTGGAGCTGAAGCTGGCTGAGTGCTGGCTGGCGCCGCCGCAGGTTGACGCCGCACGCTGTCCTCGACTGAAGTAGGACGCGGTCTCCTGGCTGCCCATAGGCCCAATATCCCGTCAAAGTCGAGGCCGAACTGTGGACACCGTGATTCTACTATGAGCAGTGCAACGGGGATCGAGTCCCTTCCTATCGAGCTCATCTACCGCTGTATCGACCTTACACGCCCGCACGATCCCGAACACCGACGAGCCCGTCACATCATCAAGCAACTCGTCCCGCTGACCCTCGTCGCGAAACGATGGAGGGACTATGCGCAACAGTGCCTGTTCGAGAACGTGATGCTGATCGGTCCGCGGGATGTCGAAAAGTACGGCGACGCTTTGGAGATGCTCCAAGGACGGTTCGACACGTGCTGCCTCATCATCACCGCCGACGTCACAAGACCGGCGAATCGGGCTTTGACAGTTGCCGGTCTCGAGGCTGATGCCAAGTACGCCGAGCTCATAAGTCGAGTTTTGTATTTGACGACGGACGTACAAGAGCTGAGGCTGGTCCCCAAGATAACCGTGGCGCCAGCGGTACTCATGTTCGAGAACTTGTCAGGTCAGTTGGGACAAACCTTTGCCTACATCGCAGAGGTGGAAAGGACTGATCTATCTTTTCGTTTTCGCCTTCACCTACATTTCGATTGGGTAGGCTTAGAAAAGCTCACTTTGGAATGCTGCTTCTCAAGGTTGGAACCCGACGAGCTCGAGGACTGGCCCTTTTTTCAGCTCGAGTCCTTCACCTTCATCCCCGCCGCGGGACTGGCGCAGTCCTCGCAGCTCAACATGACTACGATGGCGTTCGTCGAGTACGTCCTGAGTCGCTCGATGTGGGGCACGCTCAAGCATCTCGACTGGCGCCCTGGTTACGTGGACCTGGTGCAACCCGAAATAACGGAAAGAGTTCGGACGGCTTCCGAGTCCGAGTACCTCGACAACTGGGCAACAGACACGACGGGCCTGGCAAGCGTCTGCTAATCGCTCGAGTCACTGTCCTTGACATTCTCCCTACCCGCCAGCGTCGATACCAATGTCACGTTCTCGCTATTCCCTTCCCGCTGCTATTATTTACGCACGTTCTCGACCGATGTGGAATCTTTGCGGATGTTGCTTCAACTCGATTTGGAACCAACGTGGATCCAGCACCTGATTCTGCGCCAGGTTTCGAATATTTTGAGTTTGCTACACCTGCTGGAGTACCACAAGCAAGCGTTCCCAGCGCTTCGCACGCTTCGCGTCATTCCTGACGAGGCAAGCCCCCGGGGGAACAACGAAGATTGGGCATGGCTGGAAGAAAACTGCGAATCGAGGGGGATTGAACTGGTGCGCGAGGCATCTCATCAGGAGGCTAGTGCATGGTAAATATTCTCATCCATCTCCTTCTATTGCAATACATCCCTTGTGGCTCCACTGTCCGCTCAGTTTGCCCCTCCCACGCTCTTCCCCATACGCGTCTAACCACCCCTACGCTTCTCCGACCGCTTCGGTCGTTCCTTGACGACGAACTTGTTACCGTTCTTACTCGCCGGCGCACGCGTACGTTGTCCCTTGGCGCCCTTGGCGTTGTACGTCATCGGGTGGTTATTACCCTTCGATTTACCACGTCCACCACCGTGAGGGTGGTCGGTCGCGTTCATCGCCACACCCCGCGATTGAGGGCGGAAACCCAACCAACGTTTACGACCGGCCTTGCCGAGGTTTCGGTGCTGATGATCCGCGTTACTGACCGTACCGATACTGGCAAAACATTCCAAACTGACGAGTCGTACCTCGCCGGAGGAGAGACGGATCTGCGCGTGTTTGCCGCTCGCCGATTGCGCGGAGATGATGCGCGCCGAGGATCCTGCCGAGCGAGCGAGTACGGCCGCTCCTTTGGGGGCGAGCGTGATGGCGTGGATCACGGTCCCGACGGGGATCATACGGATGGGGAGACAGTTCCCTGGTCGGATAGCGACTGAGCGCAAAACACCGAGATCGATCTGGGCCATCGAGGTCGAAGACGGACTCGGCGCGGAGGGGGTCGGAGCTGCTCGGGCGGGTACAGGTGCGAGCCGGACGCCGGGCAAGGACAGAGCAGAAGAGGGGGGCAGGACAGTCTGGGGTGCTCCCGGATCAACGACGGGGGCCGAGAGTACTGCGGTCGTCGGCGCAGCAGTGGACGCGATCATGAACGAGTCTGGGAATCCGGATCGGAAAGACTGGACGACATCACCGGCTCGCAGCGCCGCGGGGGCGAGGATGTAGCTGAAGCACTTGGTCTCGCGATGCTGCAACAGAGCGATATGTGCCGATCTTCCCGGGTCGTACTCGATCCTGACGACGTCCTGCTCCCCCGTTTCGTTGCGTCGAAAGTCGACGAGACGGATCCTTCGCTTGTGTCCACCGCCTCGAGCACGAGTGGTGATCCTGCCCGAGTCATTGCGACCACCCGTAGCGCGCTTGGCAACGGTCAACGGTCGATGCGGACCTCCTTTGTGCAGGTGTTCTGAAATGGGTTGTCGCAAGTGACGCAAACCGGGACTGATGGGCAGGAACGTCTTGAAGTTGGACTGGCCCGATTTTTTGGTAAAGGTCAACTGACGGCGCGGTCGAAGCGTCTCGGACGAGGGGGGCGGTGCTGCAGACGGGGTGGAAGTGGAGAACGAAGCCTTGGCGATCCCTGTTGCTGCTGCGACCGAGGAAGAGGACAATCCAGCGCTCGAGGTCGAAGCGAGTGCGATCCGCTGCGACAGAGCGCGGCGAGCGAGGGCGGTCGCCATCCTGGACCACTGTGCAGAGAGCAAGAGATATCCAAACAGTTCAGGAAACGATTCACCACGATGGGGTGAGATTGTGAGCAACATCGGCCGCGGAGTCTGCTGATCGTGATGCCGCGTTGGCCGCGACCTTTGCGGGCGCACCGATGCGACGGCCATCGTGCGTGCCAGTGCAAGTTCAAGCGACGACCACGAGCAGATCGAGGCGTCCCGGACAATGCATAGTAGAGTATCAGAGGTGTTTGACTCACGAGACTGGGTGGCCGGATGTGGGGTGGGGTGAACGGAGCAACGAGGGTTGCAGTGCTTGCTTTCGCTCGCTCGCGGCCTTGCTCTCGATTTTGAGCTTGGACCTCCACTCGCTGGTGCTCGGGCCAATTGAAACTCACGGCGAATCGAGGAAGTTTGTGGGATATTTGCGACCGGAATCAGAGCGCATTACGATCCTCTTTGTGGACAACCAGCATTTTTTCAGAAGCCTGCTTCAGTCTGAAACATCCTACTCTTCCCTGGCTACACCCTTTGGAGTGCGCCAAGGTTTTCGCCCGCACCGCCGCGAGTTGGCAGATTTCATTGCTAGTCAACATTGCAGATGTTATAACATCGGTCCTATTCGCTACGCTCATAAATAATGATAACAATAAGATCAAACAGGTCCATGATTTGGAGCGGGGTAGCCTAGGTCAAACACGCTGAAACAAATAATCCTGTCCTAAGCTTGCCTAACAAGCCCATGTTGCTTGTCAAGCTCGTCGACGAACGTGTACGTCTTCCTCTGCCTCGCGTTGCCTTCATCGGTGATGGTCTCGTGCGTCTTACCGACGGTGCTGACGATCCATCGGTGCCATTCGGGCAAAGAGCGGAGAGAGGGCAGGAGGACACGGGCGAATCCAGGGGTCACGAGGTGGTCCGATAACCCCGATTCGAGGATCGAGACCATCTTGTGCGCGAGCCAGGTTGCGGACAATGTCGGGGTCATGCTATTGGAAAGTATCGTAATGTCAGACATCTCTTCAGACTTTGCGCCAACAGCTCTTGTCCACTAGGGACTCACAACTGGTTGTCCTGCTCCTTCATCGCATCTCCCATCTGAGTCGAGACCTTGGTCGGGCAAATGACCGAGGTGCGCACTCGTGGGGCGTTGTATCGGTGCTTGAGCTCGCCCGTCAACACCTCATGCAAAGCCAAAGCCGCGGCCTTGGAGCAAGCGTACTCGCTCAACTGCGGGATCGCAGCGTACGACGCCGACGAGGCGGTCGTCATGATGTGGCCGTGGTTGACCTTGATGATGTGGGGCAGGAACTCGCGCAGGATGTTGTGGCAGCCGAGCACGTTGACCTTGTAGGTCAAGAGGAACTGCTCCGGGGTCGTATCGAGGATGGTGTTGCCTCGTGCGATTCCGGCGTTGTTGATCTGAAGAGATTTTCATCGGGCAGCTCACTCGGGGTCAGTGTCCGATATTGCGAATAACAGGCTAAGCCGGTTAAGGATCACTCACGATGTACGTAGGGTGCCCAACCTAGTGTACCGAGTTTATAATATAAAAGTGGTCAGGACCTGAAGCCCATGATCAATTGCGCACGTGCAACTGACCTTGGCTCGCACATCCTCGGCGATCTTGTGAATCACTGCTGGGTCGGTGACGTCGCACTTGTAATAATGAACGCCAGCTATTTTGTGAAGACAGAATCCGGAAAATTCCCACGGACCGAGTCAGCTGCTGAAGCACAGAAGGCCTTTCAATGAAGAAGAAAGGACACACAAGCCTTGTAGGTTGGTTCGGCCATGTCCAATACGACGATCTTGTTGGTCTTCTTGGCCAAGAGCTCCACGATCTCCTTCCCGATTCCGGTCGAGCCACCGGTGATGAGCACGACGTCGCCTTCGCCCTTGATACGACTCCAGCGCGGCGGGTCTGCCTTCCAACCGTTATTCCTCATCAATCGAACCAGCACCCGGTTCGTCGATTTCAGAGCGACGAACGAAAGGAGTACGGTCAACCAGCGGTGCGCTAGGATATGGTCGGTGAATCGGAGTTGGGGTCCGAGGATCTGCCGAGCGCGGTAGAATGAGACGGCGGCGATGATGAACGACGCTGGGACCGAGCATGGGAAAATGTCCAGCACCGAAGCGATACTGCAGGAGGTAGTTGGTGTCAATTTCCTCTATTTTGGATGCAATTGCAAGGCGTGGCCCCTCTCGCTAGGGCAGGTAGGCTGGTGCCTTGTGACCTGGCCCAGCGCCATCTGGGGGCGCGGGGTTAAATCGCCGGGATGCGAACGCCGGCAACGAACCGAGCAGCGGCTGAAGACAGGACAGCGCAAAACAGACTCACTCGTCGATGCTGATGGATCTGCCGTGCTTCATCAATCCAAACATGATGGGTGAATGTAGGCGTTGTCGAAAGAGTGAAGGGGTAATGTGCAAAGGAGCGGTGAGTGGAAGAAGAGAAGAACTTGAAGATCGTAATAAGCTGCTTGCTACCCGAGTTGAAGATGGGAGTCAGGAGCGTCACCGAGCCGTGATGGGGTTTTGCCGCTGAAAAGAAAAGAGGCGACCGCCGGAGCGCGCGAGGCAAGGGCAGGGAGCGGTTATGTCATAGCCTTGGGGAGGTGTTGGAAACTTAGGAAACGTCAGTCGGTTTTGGGGTATGGTGTGCCATGTCGATCGGCATACTCGCATAGCCCCGCCGCGAGTCCTACTGCCAAATCCATGCAAAGGTAGCCGGGCCAAGGTAGCCGGGCCGTCCAGCGGCACCTGGCGCGCGCCGCCCTCCGAGTCGGAGACGGACAGACGGTTCAGCCGTGGAATGATCCGATCGAGACTTGTGCAGCCGTCGAGTCAATTTATTGGGTAGAGGTCCGCGCTTGTTGTTCGGATAAGCTACCGATTCGGTCAGTAGTGAGAGCAGTCGACGCGTTCCGACGCGCGCACCGGAAGAAAACTTACCTTTCCAATCTGTCTGGCTGGGTCACGTGAACCCCTGCTCTCGGGTCGCGCCCGCCACTGGCAGTGTGGAGGGTTGGTGCCTCGACTTGTCCCGGTCTAAACGATTTCGAGAGACTTGCCTGAGAACTCGATCCATGCATGGAAACCTGTGGTAAACCGTTCTCGGCGCTTAGATAGGACTTCACTTTTGGTGCGTTCGCTAGCATCCTCAGGGGTTCGGTACCCGGCCGTGCTCGCTCCGAATGTCGGTCCCGACTCCCGACCGGAGTTCGTCTCAAGAGTAGGTGACAAATTCCCCAGGCGGCAATTTTCAGGCTTCTCGTCATATTTGACAGGATTGAGATCATTCCTAGCACAAGCGTAGCAGATTGAGTCGAACATCGCTACTACTAAAGACTCTGCCGAGCATGACTGAGAACCTTTTGGACAAACTCGACGGTCCAAGTAACTGACGACGCATGTGTGCACCCGAATAGCGTGCGCTCAGCTTCCCTCCGCCACCTTCGCACCCAGAAACGACCCGCCTATCCGCGGACGCATCTCAACCGCCTCCACAGCATCGAAGCCACCGCAGGATCAAAGTTCAAGCAGTAGACACCATCAAGCATGGCATCCCGAGCTCCCGCACGCAACATGCTGGCAGCCTTGCCCCGCTCGCTTCGCATCGCGCCGTCGACGCCGATCACGCGAACGCATCTGCTCGCGCTGTACAAGGAGCAACTGCGCGTCGCTTCCTCTTTTGGGTCGTACAACTTTCGCCAGTACTTCTTGCGTCGTACGCGTGACAAGTTTCGTTCCGAACTGCCGAGCCTGCTCGATGCGGCGTACAATCCCTCGGCGATCGCTTCGGGGTCGAGCGCGGCTTCGTCCTCGTCGTCTACGTCGGCTGCTTCAACGAGTGCCTCGACAAACTCGTCCGCAAAAGCTACGAACCCCGTTGAAACCAGTGAGGACAACTCGATCTACGCCCCGACAAGAACGGAAGCCTCGGCTGCGTCGTCGTCGTCCACAGCGACGACGCCCGAGACTCGCCTGAGGGAATGGTACGCCGAAACTTTGTCGGACCTGGCCATCATGGCGCGAGCGGCGATCGTGAATGGCATGTACGAGGCACCCAAGTTGGTCGTTGAAGGGAGGGCCAAGATGATGGTGACCGGTGGTGGTGGAGCAGGAGCCGACGCGAGGTGAGTCCGAGTCAAGCTGCGTCTCACTTCTGAGTTCTGTCTCCGAGGAATGGCACACGGTGCTAAATTTTTTGCTCAATCTTGGATTTCCAGCTACGGTGGAGGTGGACAACCTGCAGATGGTCAGAAAGGAGTCGCAGCAACGCCAGCGCAGTAGTCCGTCGTCACCTCACGCTTTTCGGACTCTGGTGGCTCCCACCATAGAACGAGCTAGAGTTTGTCTGATAGTTGTTGCAATAATCGTATAAGGGAGTAACAACTCGCCATCTGTGGGGTCTCTGAGAGTGGTGTGTGGCCTACGACCGAGCTCCCAAAGTTGGGAACGTTGCGTCGGGGTGTGGCCGCCGGTGGTGGCGGTGATGACAAATATCCGGCCTGCGATCGTGCTGCTTCGGGGCGATGGCGAAGCGCCACATGAAGCCATGAAACTCCCTCGGCTTACTCTGGCCCGCTCTACCTTCCTACCTCCGTCCCCCTCTCACCCCCGTAACCTGTATAGTGAGCACAACATACGGCTGAACACCTCAAGAACCTCAGGTTGACAGGACGTGCTCTTCCAGTGCTCAAGCATTTCAAAGGCCTCTTTGCCGCTGCGACCGTCCACGCCTACACCGGACCGACTTTACCGACCGCGATCCAATCCCAACGCTCCCTATCGACCATGGCCAGTTCCGAGACGGCCATCTTTGCCAATGGATGTGAGTTGAGATCCCAACATTCTACGTGTGGGGCTGGAAGGGACAACTTTTTGCTTTAGCGGCTTCTACCCCACACGTTGGCCCCGATGACGTGAACCTATGCGGATCGGCTCAAACACATCGGTCTTTTCCTTGACTTGTCTGTAGGCTTCTGGGGAACAGAGGTGAGAAACAATTCCGGGATCTCGTCCATACGATGCTGTCACGCAGATTTGGACGTTTGACTCCGGCTGCACCCGTTACTAACGCTTTTCGGACGGGTGACGTTCCTCCGCTCCCTGCAGCACATGTTCCGCAAGCACTTTATCGGTAAAGGCCTCAAGGACGCCAAAGTAGGGTATATTGGTGGCAAGACTTCGGTAGGTCGAGATGGCATCTGCACAAAAGCGTCGACCGTCCACGTACTGGAACCGCCAAGTTAAAACTTTGCTCCTTTTCCTCGCCACACAGAACCCGAGTTACCGCGAGGTGTGCTCGGGATCGACGCAACATGCCGAGGCGGTCAAGTTAGAGTACGTACCATCATGGAGATCACAAAGGAACTTGATTGAGCGCGATGCTGAACTTTTGAACCTCTCGTCATCGCGTATGTGTCGCACCGCAGATTCGACCCCTCGCAATTGTCGTACGCGACCCTCGTCGAGTTCCACTACCGCATGCATGATCCCAGTAAGTCGGAGGAAGTATAAGTGAAGTCGTTATTCACGGTGAAGTCAGGCTGAACCCTTCACTTCTTTCACCCTACAGCCCAGGTCGATCGCCAAGGTCCCGATCGTGGAACACAGTACCGATCGGCGATCTTCACCACTTCGGACGAACAAGCCGAGATCGCGAAGAAGGTGACCAAGGAGGTACAGGAGGCACATTTCCCGAATGACAAGATCGCTACCAAGGTGAAGCCGGATTCAGTCCCTGCTGATTGCGTTCCGGCGAAGGCTGACAAAGTACTGCTGCTTTCAGATCGAGCCCGCCGGTCAATGGTGGGATGCAGAGACTTACCACCAAGAGTGTACGTCGACCTCCTTTGAGCGAATTGGCAGAGCGACGAGTGCTCACTCACTCCTCGTTTCCCTTCTTAGACCTTGACAATAACCCGGGAGGATACGAGTGCCCGACGCACCGACTTCACTGGTAGAAACGATATGATATATTCTACTCTTTGCTTCTACTTGATTTTTTTTTGTCTTGTCATGTAGCTATCTGGAATGAAGATATGCTTTCCATCTTGCGGAAATCCGTTATGAATATTTGTTACTTCGGTAACTCTTCCTTTCGACTCAGGTCGGCCCAACTTGTTCTCCAAATCCAAGACTAAAGTACATATTGCAGTGTTGTTACATTTTTCACGTGCGAGATGACTGTGCGCTCGGACTCCCTCCACTCGCGGAACAACGACCCAAGATTCTTCAAATTCTTCCTTCTCCAACTCAAAGCCTAAGCCGCGTTCGTCTCGGCCTGCACTTGTTGTTCGTATTGCTTTGGTGTCAGTGTTCGCTATTGGAGGCAATGCGATCCATCACAGAGTGATGTCAGCATTCGAGACGTTTCAAACTCGAAACTTCGACCGAAGCGACTGACCTGGGTGAAGGCGTGCAGTTCCGCGATAGCCGATTTGAGCTTCTCGTTGACTAAAAGTCGGTGGGCGGAAGGAGTAGACGTGTTTTGCGGTGATGGTCAGTTCTCTCGTGCTTGATAACGCGTTCGTCTTGAGGGGTGCGATGTTGGGTGGAGATGACGTACCTTCGCGATGCCGTTTCAGGGTCGTCTTGCCTTCGAACGAAGGGGACACGATAAGGACCTCATATGACTATAGACGGAAAATCGAAGAGTGATCAGTGAGTCAAATCGTTCTCGGGGAGCGAGTAGGTAGGGACTCGTTACGTGGCAGGACCTAGGACCTACAGCTCCGCAACCGCCTGCTCGTGCGATTCCCGCCGTTCACCACGGAGGAGAGGATTCGTCAGCTCTGATGGAAGCAGACCACCGTGTCGGTGACTTGAGTTGAGGCAGCTACAACGCACCTGAGATATCCCAGACTTGCTTTGACAGGCCAAGTCGCAGCATAAGAGGACGGGTTAGCTCGGAAAGTCGAGACCGGGTACTTTACCCGAAGGAAGCTCGCTGGAGCTCCTTGTGGAAGTACGTACAATGTGCGTTGCTTCAGGGTACGACGCCTCGAGCGATGCCCGTAATGAAGTTTCGTCCACCGGCATGCTACCCACGAGGTTGAGAGAAGGGTAGAGAGTTTGAGAGCCAAGAGTAGGACGTCCGGAGGGGGAGGGGGAGCTGGGACCGACTACTAAGCTCGATTACCAATCGCTTGGTCCCGCGCCCGAATTCACGTTTGGCACCTCGTCGTCATCCTTGTGCACAGGTCAGGAAACACTTGTAGAAGCGCAGCGGCCCGGCCAGTCTCAGCCAGACCGGGCTGATCAGGCCGCTTTCGACGGAGAAAAAATGGAAAGCGATTCATTCCAACCAATAGACTTCGGACATTTGACCATGTGACGTGTGCTTGGTGGTTCAGAACGTCGCGGAACGCAAAAAATGATTCTGCACGGGATCGAACCGGGGACCTTATCCGAATCAGACGAGAGAATCTGTTAAGGATACGTGATAACCAACTACACCACAGAACCATATTCGGTTGGTAGCACCTTCCCATGTGGCGTAATCATAATCATTTTTTTTGCAGTTCGTGGATACCGACCGATCACATTGCGCGAGACGACCTACAAGGTCCTCAGCAAGGTCTTGGTGGCGCGACTCAATGGGGTGCTCGGCGAGCTTTTACCGCCGGCGCAACACGGTTTCATGCCATCAAGACGTTCAGCGGACGCGGGAAGTCATCTCACTCTCCTTCTCGAAAAACTCAAGTCGCTAGGCACTGATGTTTTCCCCGAGGGCGCCCTCTTGTCTTTGGATCAGCAGAGCGCGTACGATCGCGTCGATCACGCCTGGATCTTCGAGGTCTTTGAGGCCTTTGGGTTCGGTGAGCGTTTCATCTCGCTGCTGCGCGCTCTCTACGATCCCGAGACTCTGGGGGTGCGCTACCTTGTCAATGGGTTCCCCACGGACTTGGTGCGGTTGCTGTGTGGTCTCGGTCAGGGGGATCCCCTCTCGTGCCCGGTTTGGAACATCACGTTCCAGCCCTTCCTCGACGCCCTTGTTCGGCGCGGGATCGCGCTCGACCTGCAGAAGGTGTGGCCAGGGGGGCCGCGTGCGCAGCTTACGCATCTGGCGTTTGCCGACGATGCTGTGGTGGTGGTGGAGTCACCGGCGGCATTGTCGAAGCTGCAAACGCTGTCGCAGACATGGTACGAGGCTACCAACGGGAAGACCAACACGGACAAGACGCTGGTGCTACCACTCGGACCGAACTGGCTTCGGGACGAGACTGCGCAGGCGCTGCCAACGGTGCAGGAGGGGGAGAGCTTCAAGTGGTGCGGCTATGCCTTCTTTCGCCACGGTGACTCGAAACTGTTTTGGACCCATGTTCTTGACAGGATCAAGGCCAAGACCCGCGCCGCTCGAGACCGGACACTTTCGCCGAGTGGGAAGGTTTTCTATGCCAACGCTCACATCATCTCGACGGTCCTCCACGTGCTGTCCTTCGACATACCGCCTCAATGGTTCATTAAGGCGGCGGAGACGGCACTTACGGACTTTGTCTGGGGAGGAGCAGGGCGAAATACCGTCGCTCGCGATTTCGTGTTCCAGGCTCGGGAGGACGGTGGCTTGGGTTTGATTTCGATTGGCGACATCGTTCATTCGGTGGCGCTTCGATTTTGGGATGCTGTGGCGGGCTCGGACGAGGCGATCTGGGCGCCCCTAGCTCGCGAGAGCTGGAGGTCCCTCGTCGCTGCGACCCGCGATTTCAGTCCGTGGGGGTTCTTCAGCAGCACGGCTCGGGTCGAGAAGCTGTATCGCGACTCGACGCGCTGGGGGGCAGTCGTTGCAGCGGCCAGGGTCACAGTTCCAACCATCAAGTCCGAACTCCTTACGCTTCCCGAATTGCTCTCGCTTCCGCCTCGCCTCCCTTCACTCTATGCTGAAGGTGCCCAGCACGCATATGACGATGCGGACGCGGTGGCGAAGTTTGCGCAGATCGCGGACCTGTACTGGAGGGACGAAGGGAAGGGATGGGCTCTGGTTGGTCATCGACGCGGGTTCTGGCAGCACTCTAAGGAACCCGCCCTACAGCACGAGCACGTGTGGTCGCGCGTGGGTCAGTTGCTCAAGGCGAAAGCGTTGCTGCCCAAGACCGCGTTGCGACCTGCTCGGATACCTCTCAAGGAGGCTCCCCGTCCTCGGTGCTTCAACTTCTTTGGGCTCTCCCGACCTTTTACGATTCGCAAGCTTCGTCGGCTTGTGAACAAGGTGCGGTTCCCAGGGAGGGAGGACCGTGTCAAGCGTTTCCCTGATGGGACTTCTCAGAGCGATAGGAAGCGCTTCTGGAGATGGCTTCATGACCGGTTCGCGTCTGCTGTCGAGCAGGACACCCACTGGCGGCTCATGTACGACGTGACGCCGACGCGCAAGAGGCAGCATACTCAGGGTCATGCCTCTTCGCCGACGTGTCTGTTCTGTGGCAACGATGCAGCGGTCATCGAGACGGTGTCCCACTACTTTTTCGAGTGCGCGTACTCGACCAGCTTCTGGGGTGGGGTGCTACGCATTCTGCTTGACAAGCTCGGCATCGAGGATACCGACGTCGATCCGTCGACGTTCACTCCGGAGCAGCTGACTATGGGGCTCCCCCTTTTGCGGGGTCGTGGGAGAACGACCTCGAAATGGATGTGGGTTCGGCTGGCCTGCGCGATCGGTTTCCAGCGGCTGCACCTGCTCCGCTGGCGCGTTCATCAGCGGTTCGAGCTGGACAACGTCGTGGCCTCTCCCTCGCTTCCCAGTGCGCTCAGAGCGTTCGAGCGAGATTTTCTCTCTCGAGCGGGCTTTGTGCCTGGGGCTCGAGATTGGGAGGTGTGATGACCGAGTTAAGTCCTTCCTTCCCATTTTCCTCCCCTGCTCTCTCTCCCCTCCTTTCCTCCCTTCCTTTTCGGAGGTCGACTTTTCTTTCAGAAGCTGACTGTCTTGAAACTTGTTGCGCAGTGGAAGGCTGCGCACCTCTCCCTCTCTCTACTTTGTGCAGTAGCGGTTTTCGTTCTTGGATGGATCGGCAAGCCGGGTCGATCGTCGTTGCGTTGGAGGCTTTGTGAAGTTCTCCCCTCTCTTTCCCCTTTCTCCCTTCCCTTCCTCTTCTCGTTCCTGTTGCTCGGTTGTTGACTACGCTTCAGCCACTTCTCCTTTTATTCCTAAGCCGTGTGTTGGATTCCGTCGAATACATCGTTCGTTCGCGTTGGTCAAGATCTACGGCATGGATCGGGAAGAAAGGTCGCTCGTTTTTTTGGTCAATATCCTCGCGTCAAGGCGAGGCTTGTTTCGTTGTATTGGATCGTTTTCGCTCGGCCCCGACGGCTCAACAGCCAGCACTCGAGACTCAGCCAAGGGAGGATATCAGGCGCTGTCGGGGTGACGAGTAGCTGGGGCTTGGCTGCGGCCTGTCAGTCCCTGGGGACCTCTAGCTCTGGTTTCGACCCCCTCCCTTGGCCCCTCGGGTGTGTTCCCCTCCTCCTCCCCTCCTCTCTGTCTTAGTATTCCTGGTTCTCCGTGTTTCCGGTCGTGAATTTTTGTATATTCTCCCCTTTTCTTTCTCTAGGCGCTCTTGCCTGGTTTTCGAGTATCTTCGCTCCCGCTCTTGGGACGTGAAGCGGCAGCAGTACTCACCGCCCGTTGGAGTCCGCGTTAGGTGCTCGGCGGGTTTTGATCTGCGCAGCGCTCTTTGCGCGCAGGGGTTTGACTTTCACCCAATTGCTTGCCGTCGTTGCTTTATAACGTCTTTTAGCTCTTTTTGTAGCGGTCCCAGCCAACCCGAAGGATTGCAATTTATGAGCCCCAGTAAAATAAAAAAAAGACGAGCAAAAAAAAAAGACGAGGTCGTGGCCGCGATCGGGACGACGCACCCGGGGCGATCGCCGGGCCCGTCGGGCGTGCCTTACGAACTCTATCAGACCGCACCGGAGGCGTGGTCCAAGGTGCTGACCAAGGCCTACAACGCGATGATCGAGCGCGGTTCACTCTCTCCCAAGCAGGGCCAGGGACTCGTGCGCCTCATCTTCAAGCGCCACAAGAAGAATGCCGATCGCGCCGAACTCTCGTCGTATCGCCCCATCACCCTGCGCGAGTGCGATTACAAGATTTTTACCAAGGTCTACGTCGCCCGATTGAACCAAATTCTGCCCGATCTCCTCCCGCCGCAGCAGCACGGCTTCGTCGAGGACCGCCGATCGGCCGACGCTGCACTACACCTTCGTCTCCTGATCGAGGAACTTGGCGCGCGCAGGACCGAGTTCCCCGCGGCCGCGCTCTTGTCTCTTGACCAATCATCCGCCTACGACCTCGTCGAGCATGACTGGATCTTTGCCATCTTCGACGCTCTGGGCGCTCCTACCACCTTTCTTCGCGTGCTGAGGATGCTCTACTCGGGTGACTCGACCTCGGCGCGCTACATCATCAATGGGTTCCTGACGGCGCCGGTGCGACTGACGTGTGGGCTCGGCCAAGGGGACCCGGCGTCATCGTCGGTCTGGGACATCGTGTTTCAGCCGTTCCTGGATGCTCTACACCGTCGAAACATCGCGCTGAATCTCTCCATACCTGCACTTCATCCGTACCCACAGAGCCGCGCCATTACATCACTTGCATTTGCCGATGACGTTGTCGTCGCCGTCGCGGGCTTGGAGTCACTCAACTTGCTCGATGACCTGGCGCTCGACTGGAGGCATGCAACGAATGGCCGGCTCAACACGGACAAGACGGTCGTCCTACCGATTGGACGTCGCTGGGACTCTGGGGAACGGCCAATCGTCGTCAAGGCCGCAGGCGAGTCGCTCGAGTGGATCGGCCTCCCCTTCGACCCCAGCGGCGACACCGAACTCGCCTACGCGAATCTCATCGAACGGCTCGAGGCGACGCTGGAAGCGGTTCAGCATCGCTGGCTCACGCACCACACCCGTGCCTTTTACGTCAATCGGTACGCCATTCCCAAGATCTTGCATTTCCTTGCAGCCGACATCCCGCCGCCCGAAGTCGTCAAGAAGCTCGATGACATGCTCGTCGATTTCGTCCGTGGGGGCAAGGGCAGGACCAGCTACGGCAGAGACATTGTGTTCACCGCCAAGAACAAGGGGGGACTCGGGGTGATAAGGATGCGGGACGTTGTGGACGCGGTTGCGGCACGGCTCTGGGACGTTCTTCTCGGCGGTTCCGGCGCGATTTGGCAAGGACTTGCGCGCGCAGCACTCCAGCGAGCTCAGCCCGACCTCGACCTGGCCACCGATCTCTGGCCACATCCATCCACTCCCATCCCCAACGACCTTCATCCCCGATGGCACGCCGCACTGGGCGTTCCGAAACTTCACGACGCGCAGGTCAACCCGAGGGCCTTGACCACCGCGAACTTGCTCGCGCTGCCCACCCTGCTCGGCAGCCTCCACACCCCCATCAGAGGGAGACAGACCATCGACGCGGTTCATGTACCTGACTACCTTCGTCTCCAGGGCTACCCGAAGGTGGCGGATCTCTATCGACGCGAGTTGTATGCGGGTGGGGGGTTTCACCTCTGGACGCCGCCGGCGGATGTGCTCGGCGACAACAGCGAGTACGATCGACGCGGGCTCCCGCAGCGACTGGCAATCGCGGCCTGGTACCAGTTCACTGTCGATCGACACAAGAACACCCCCTTGGCGGCGGCGGTGGCGGCGGGACGACTCAACGTGCCTCCCCGGATCGGCACCAGCGCACCGCTCGAGGCGATCATCCCCAAGCCCGTGGCCCGCTTCGCAATGGAGCAGCGCCTTCCGGACCCGGTGCTTCCACAACAGGCGAGCCAGTATACGCTGCTGAACATGGCTCGCCCCTACACAGTCCGTCGCATCCGCCGGGTCCTGAACGCGAAGGCATTTACCAACACGCTCGGGCTAAAGGGACCACCGCAGCCGGACGACCTCAGGAGCTTCTGGAAGGCAGTCAACTCGAAGGCACTGACGGCGAGGGAGAGGGAAGTTTGGTTCAAGCTGATCCTCCGCTTCACCCCGACGCGCAAGCTCCAGCACGAGCAAAAGCACGACACTTCTCCCGCGTGCCTCGTCTGCGAAGCGCCGGTGGACGACACCGATCACTACTTCTTCGGCTGCTTCGACTCGCGAAACGTCTGGATCGCGGCGAGGGGCGTGCTCTGCGACGCGCTCGGATGCGACACGATCGAGGACGCCGAGTACACGACACTGCAACGACTCTTTGGCCTCCCCAAGCTCAAGGCCAAACTCAGCGAACAGGAAGGCGCAGGCAGGACGATCGAGATCTTCACGGGGATGGTCTTGGAGATGATCAGCAGTGGGAGATGGAGGATGCAGAAGCACGGGACGAGGATGGAAAGCCTGGCGCGGAGGAGGGTGGTACTGGAGGAGAGGATGAAGTTGAGGGCGGGAGGAGCAAGAGGCGGGCGAGGGCAGTAGAGGCTGGGTTCGATTTCCCCCCACCCCATCCCACACTCACACACCCCACATCACACATCCTCTTACAAAAACTGTATACTAAATATATTTTCTTCATCTTTCTTTCTTTTATTACAGGTCTGCCTCCGTTGCTCATGGACCGGCTTGCGTTTTGGGATTGACTCGACGGTGGCTCGCGCTCTCTGGCTTCGGGGTTCTGAGTTTAAGGGAGGGATCAGCAGACACATGCAGAAAGTCGGCTTTGAGGGGCCAGGGACTGCTGAGGTGGAGGTTTTGAGGGGCCTCCACCGCGTCTTGTTGTGACCGAGCATAGACTTGGGATTTCGCGGGTCAGGGTAGCTGCGCAGTCGCTCTCCTGTCTTTGTCTCGACCGAGTTGGGAAGTGGGTGCGGGGTGGGCCTCTTGTCGTTAGTACGCCAGTTCTTTTTCATTTTCTCTCTCTCTCCTTCTCTCTCTCATTCGTCTCCTGGGGGGGGGCAACCGCTTGGCTGGGGCACTTGAATCCGAAGTATCGGATTGGTGGACTTGGCCCGTTTCTCGCATCTTGCGGGCGGTTTGTGTTATCATCGTCGACTTCCATCTAGTTTTCCCGTAGGCCAATCAGGGGGAACAGGAATTGGGGGCAATATGATGAACGGTTTCTACAAAAAAAAAATCGTGAAATTATTCTGAAACAGAAGTTTCCACGGTGCCAATGGTGTTAGTGGCACTTCTCTAGTGATGAAAATGAATGCGGTAGAGTAACTTAAAGTTTTGAGTGGAAAATCCGAATTGCTCCGGCTGTAGTCGTCATAAGGAGTTGTAGTAGAGTGCAAATGAACTCTTCGTGATATATCTCTAATTTGCCAGGTTTTTGGGTCGATACATGAAGCGGTGCTATCGTTCTACCCCGTTTGAGGAGTCCGGCCCGACCGGCTGGACTCGGCCAAGGGTGGAACAGTGGGCTCCTCACAGAGATTGATCTCGAGTTTCCGCCGGCTGTTTTGGGCCCTGGCGGACACCCGGGTGAAGGAGCCGGCCCCCAACGTTCGCTTTGTTTCCTGCGTCTTTCGAGATACCTCGTCCGAGTACCCAAGATGGCCCGTGCGACAATCGAGCGACAATCGAGTGCAAGTTCGAATCCTGCGCCCTGCATCAGAAAATGATCCTCCGATGTGAATCTCCTCAGAAGCTCGATTCCAGAAAGAAGAGCATCAGGGAGAACTAATGCGGTGAAAGGGTCTCGTCTCTCCAAAATCGAAACATATCAAGTCAGGCAGAAGCAGTTTTTCCCGAATGGTGGAATTCTCCTGCTGATCGCCCGCCAAGCAAGGGCATGCTGTTACAAATCGCCCTAACTCACGACGATACCTGGTTCCGCTTATCATTTAGACCGAATAGGCAGATAGACGAGTTTGAGCCGCCTGTGGTCCATGTAATGGTGCCATACCTTGACTGATAGTCTGCCGATATGGTGCCGGTCTTACGGCCGTTGGATTCGCGCGGGGTAATCGGTCCGGTCTCAGGTTTAAGTCAGAAACTCCAGCGAGTCTCAAAGTCAGAGTCGAACAAGCGCTAGCACTAGGCCCTCTAGATCCGTTGCACCACCGTAAAGCCATATAGCACATGTTGCCGACGGGACCCCTACCTCGCCGGGATTATGGATGCCCCCATGTTTACATCGGTATTTCCCTCCGCCAACTCAGCCCCGGCCACATTTGCCACCATCGCCCCCCGGTCAGCAGTTGGGTGGCGAAGGCGGGGACGTCCCTCTGTCTCACTTCCTGGCGGTCTCCAATTTGAGGCGTGAGGATACCATGTCTTGCATGTTCGCAACTACCAAAATGATCCAGTCGTGTCGATTCACGCGCGACGTGTGCAAGCTGCTAGGCTCCGAACCCACCCAAGAGTTCTAGAGCGTTCGTGTGCGCGCCTTGGCAACCGTTGGCGCGTCGGCGCAAGAAACTAGTACGGGCTGACGTTTTTCATTCCTACCCTCCAGGTTTACTATCCTCCCCTCTAGTTCTCCACTTGTTTTACCACCACTTCTTCCTTCAACCCTCTTCGGGCAGCGCCGATGGACATCGACCATGAGTTACACCTGAGTTTCAGCACCGGGGACTCTGCTTCCCTCTCGGGCGACGACGAGCAGACCATGCAGCTCCTGTCCCAGCCCTCTCATGCACCGTTTGCGAACCGTGACGCAAGACGCGAGAAGAGGAGGCTGTATTGGCAGTACCACGAGACCGGAAGCGCTCACGATCACCCTTCCGCTCGACTGAAAAAACAGTACTCGAAACGCTGCGGTCGGGCTTTACTGTCGTCCATCATATTGCTTCTAATGTCGTGGACGCTCTTCGGGGTGTACAGCATCTGGTATGCAACGCACTGGGACAAAGCCTCGAAGGCTTCGGCAATGCGGGACAGCCCGAAAGGTGCTTGCGGCGTCAACACAACCGGCGGGCCGACTTTCAATACGACCGAATCTTTCCCCAGCGGCCTGACGGACTTGACGCAACCTCGACCCGCGATCACTGTGGGACTTCGGCACAACGCACCGGTCCAACAACGCTGCACGGCGACCGAGTTCACGCAGGCTCTGGGGAATGTTGTCTTGCCGGAAAACGCTTTGTCTCGACACGTGAATTATTCTGTACCCTCACTCAACGAATCACAAACTTTGCCACCGTTCGAGTTCTCGTGGAAGCTTCCCAGTTGCGACCAGCCTCGGATATATACGAGGGAAGAGGCGTGCGATATCATGGCTTCGTTCCGAGGTACGTTTCTCGAACCTTGTTCGCTGCGCACAAGCGCCCGCCCTCTCGCGTTCGGCGAGATGCCATGGCGCTTATCCGAATAGCCTTAATCATTTGGATTCAGGTGTTTATTTTGCTGGGGATTCCTTGGTACGACACCTATGGGACGCAATTCTGTTGCTGTTGACCAGTGAGTCCTCCTCAAACCCTTCAGACTCGGCCAAGATTTCCCCAAGCTTGCAAACCTCTTCGCGCTCGTTTACTGTCCGATCCCAACAGATGATATTGGAGGTGCGATCTTCACCGACAAAGAAGACGTGAGGGAACAATGCCGAGGTAGTCTGCCCTCTCTGACCTCCAAGTAGACTTGTATCACCACGCCGTTTGTCTGATCGTGCTGATTTTGGCGATTTACTTTCATAGGTGAACGACTTTTTCGTGACCGTCGACCCGATTGGCACACAACGAGATGCCGGAGCGCCTACTACAAGAACATCGATCTGATGAAGGTCTGTCCTGGAAGGAAAGTGTCTGCCAAGTATCATGATCAGTGAGTGATCGATTGGCAGCTCGATCTATCAAGTCCTCGCTGATCTTTGCAATTGTCGACTTGCTCCATCAGCAACGACGGGTAAGCAACTCTGACTTTTGCGAAAACAACGTCAAATCTCGGTACACTAATCTGCTTCGATCGTTTCAGATTCAACCTAAACGACTTCAAAAAGTGGCGCAAGAACCTTCCCGCCCCTTCGCTCTCCATCGTCTTCCTCTCTAGTGCCGGCATCCACCAAATGTACAACTTCAACCGCGTGCGTGAGAATTGGCTGCGCCACGTCCTCGCCCTCCGGTCAAGGCCCGATTCGACGGCGCCGATCCTCCTCTGGCAGGGGAATCATTGTCCTGGAGCCAACATTGCGAAAACCTATTCCGAGACTCAGGGTCCCGAGGTCGTCAAGAAGTACAATGCCAAGGTCAAGGCTCATATCGCTAAGCAGGGAATGGACTATCTCGAGGGAGGGATGAACTTTATTCCCTGGTTCAATGTGAGACCTTCCTCATAGTTTCTTATCTAGTAACCACTGACGAGGCATGTGACTTTCGTACAGGCAACTCAAGGAGGTAAGACCCCACTAGTTTATTACAATGTCGGCGAGCTAAGCTCACACCCCTATCCTCGACCCCAAACTCCTCAGCCCAATCGTACGACGGCCAAGTAAGCTCTTGACAGGAGCTGTTTTCGGTCAAGACGGCGACTGATGGAGTCGTCGATTTCACTTTCACAGCATTATAGCTACCAGGTATTCCGGACACCCTCCGCCCGTAGCAGCGAAACCCCTCGCTGACCTCGCGCACCATTTTCTCACTAGGTCAACATGGAGAAAGCTCAAACGTTCCTCAACATCCTGGATCTCACCTGGCGTGACGCCGCTCGACGAGGAGGTTTGGCCACCGAAAAATTGACGTCGTCTTGAAGCGACAACATGCGGTTGGAAACTGGACTTTTATTTGTTGACATAGAGAGAGAGTGCGCACCTAGGCCCCCCCACCTTCCCTCATCTTATTCACGCCATCGGGTGGTTATATACTAGAGTTTTGATGTAGCCTTTGCTGAAAGTGTTAGTAGACCTTGCACTGATATTAGGGCCCGGATAGCCCAGAAGGTAAAAAGCCTTTCCAATGAATCGAAGCGACCCAAGGTTCGGTTCCTCTTCCAACCGGTCTCTTCTTCTGTCGATCATTCCGGAATTATTGTTGATTCCAAAACCGTTCATACTTTGTTGCCAATCCCAAGCCTCAAATAACAAGACACAATTAATATCAATTGTCGTCCTTCATGCACGGGTCAAAAGGACGCTGAGGATGTCTTTCTCCTCTTGCTTCAGATACTCCGTGGCGAGGGCCTTTAAATGGTTCGAGTCGTTGGTATAGGCTTGATGGAAGAAATCTTTGAGATACGTCTGAAGAGGGTCCCACCAAAAAGGGATCAGCACCTGAACTTCCAACCCCTCTCCTCTAAACCAACCCCCCCACCCCCTTCCTAACCAAGCCCTAACCAAGCACAAGGAACTCACCGCGACATCCAACTGATAAATCTCATCATCCTTCAGATCCTCCGCGTCCTCTTCATCCTCCTCCCCATCCTCACTCCCCTCATCCCTAAGGTACTTCCCCAAACCCCCACTTCCACCCCCCAACAAATCCGAAAGGTAATCCAAATCCTTGCCCAAACCACCCGAAGCGAATTCCTGTCCTTCGTCGGCCCATTCGTCGTCCCCGTCGTCGGATTCGGCATCGTCGTCTTCGTCATCGTCGTGGTGGTGGTCTTTGCGACCTGAGCCGTTGGGAGCGGATTCGGAGAGGGCCGATTGAGCGTCTTTGAGCAGAACTTTGAGTGCTTTGGCTCGGAAAGGGATGAGGGAGAATTGATCGGGATCTGAGAAAAAGGCCCGTTGTGGGTCAGTCAGTACGATCGACTTTGATTCAATGAGATGGGGTAGACATTTCGACTGACTGTTCTTGGCTCGTGCGCGCGTCATGATACGGTTTCGGTTCGCATCGGTTAGTAGCAGATCACCTTTGACGACGATTTGGGACAACGAAGGACGAGGTGAGAGGAATAGTTCGGCCAAAGCGACGGTTCTGTACGTAGACGAAAAACCTGATAAGTACTGCCATCGACACATTATTGTATCAGAAACGGAACCTGTGGACGTACGAAGCTTTGAGTGCCCAGAAGCCTTGGAAGACATCGACGTTTTCGGACCAGCTTGAAAGGAGCACTTGGAGTGCTGGTCGTGGTCCGGTGGGTGACGCGACTGTGATGCCTTCGAGCAAAGCAAGTACGGTGTCGGCTTGTTTGTGAATGAGGTACGCAAAGGGAAGGATAAGCGACTGTTGATGATCGATGAAGATTCAGCACGCCATCGCTCTTTCTTTGCCGCCTACACATCCGAACCGAGACACTCCAAGTCTCACCTGAGAAAAGCTCGCCGTCTCGGCCGTTGCCAACCTCGTCACAAAAGCCTTCAACAAATCCGGCAACACGGGCCCCAACTGTTCGCCCGCCTTCCTAATCAAATGCAACACCAAATCGCCGACGAACAAACCCCCCGACTCGGACTCGTCAGGTTCAAGCAATTTTGCAACTTGTTGGAGCACCAATTCCAGGCCCGATCGACCTTGGGCGTCTTTCCATGCTAGTAGTTGACCGACGTCTTTGCGCACTACGGTCGTGATGATGTTGAGACCCGATTGAGTGACCGATCGATCTTCGGTCGAAGAAATGACTTCGAACAAGCTCGCTGCGACCGTGCCGAATAGACCAGGCCCAAAGTGTTCAGGTCCCGAAGGCCGTCCGGACAAGATCGCTTCGATCAATTCGAGGGCCGATGCAGCTGAAGCCGAATAAGGGTCCGTGCGGATCTCGAGGAGGATATTGGAAAGGGTAGGTAGAGCATCGGTTTGAAGACAGTTCGTGACGATGGGTGAAGGGGTCGAAGCGAGGGAGGTGAAGACTTCGCCGATCGCGACGCCAAGGATCGGGTCTTCGGGCTTCTTGAACCATGTCTCGAGGACGATCTGGATGAGCGAAGAACACGTCGGTGCATCGAGGGAAGGGGCCGCGACTCTGAGGATTGGGACGAGGGCTTCGACGATGAGCACGAGCGTATTTTCTGTTGTTTGAGGCAACAGGGGAAGGAGCCGGGCGATGGATTGCGCAGCTTGGGAAGGTTCGACGTTTTGTTTGAGGTGACGGAAGAAGCTGCGGGGCGACAGAGAGGTCGAGATGAGCATGCCGTTGTGCTTCTACAATATTCCTTCGTCTGCGACTCACTTTGTCAAAGCCCTAACAGCCGAAACTTTGACGGGCACGCCCGCGTCCGTCGCATCCAACACCTGAATCGCCGCGTCGATATACTGATGCGCCAACTGACTCGGCAAAACAGGGGCGAACTGACTCGCGAAAACAAAACTCCGTCCTTGCAAGAAGGGCAGTTCCGTGGCGCCGAGGTAGTTGGGGATGATGCTCGTGAACACGGCTTCGAGATCGAACGCTGATCGCTTGTTCTGGCTGGCTTGATCTTCAACATGTGACAGAAGGTCCGAGGAGACGTCCCCGACTAGAGCGAGAGCGGCTTCGTAAATCTTCCACCAATCCGCATCGGTTCCATTCGTCCGGGCAGCATCAGCATCATGCAAACGACTTTGGAACGCGCCCCAAAGTGATGTGACGGCCGCAGTTTCGAATTGATCGATCAGAGACGATGTGAGGTCGATCGAGGCGGCGCGCACATTGTAAATGACCATCTCGTCATCCTCGTCCGCGACAAAGGCGTTCGGGTCCGAGGCCCAATCGTCTTCATCGTCGGTCGTCATGCGAGCGTACAGGATCGCCGTCTCGAACGTCGATTGCAGCAGCTGTGTTCCGGATTTGGTGGTCGGGAAGAGGAAGAGCGCTTTGACGCTCTTACGCCCCGCGAGTTGGGTCACAAAGTCAAGTACGGTCGAGATGTAGCCGGGGAGATCGGCAGGGACTTGCGAGTCCCCCTCGGCCGGGACGGGGACGTCAAATTCGGATGTGGAAGAAAGGAAAGCGGTCGAGTAGACAGGGAGAAGAGCGGCGAGGTCGTTGGAAGCGAATTGCAAGAAGATCGGGAGCAAAGCCTTGAGCGTCGAAGGGAACGAGTTGAGGATGACCTCGAGAGCTCCAAAGACGGTCGTCCGGACAGCAAGCGCTTCCCATGTCGGGAACGACGTCAGTTCGGTCGCGACATCGGTCGCGAGGAGATGTTGGAACGCCGAAAGCCATGTTGGGAGGATGTCGGTCACGGCGGCCTTGACGGCGACAGGATGCTCTTCCTTGACGGTGAACAGAGTCATGACGCAGGCTCGGAAGATGAGGATTGCTCTTGCTCGAGTTGAAGGGGAATGTGTCTGTGGAAACGTATTAGAGTGTAAGTATATCATTCGGATGTTAAAGGACCGGTCGAGTGCTCGCTCACCTGTGGTGTGCCCACGATTTCGAGCAACCTCGGCAACATTTCCCTCGCGATCGGCAGCAGTTGATCTTCGGTCATGTCAATGCCAACGAAATCGTTAAGCACGCGCATTCCTCCATCGACGGCATCAGGCGAGGCTGCTGGTCCAATGAGCTGCAACAGTTGAGTCATGAGCGATGGCCAATCATCGGGCCAGTCGGGATGCGCAATATCAGAAACGACGACGGCCTGTTCCAAAAATCGCCCGAGGAGTGAGCAAAGAGTCCTGCATGGGTGGCACGCCGTCCAAAGCTCAGGTACATACACACGCCAAACGCAGTTTGCGAATCGGGTCCGAGAGACCTCCAAATATGGTCTGTCGGATCTGGGCTTTGATCTGCACACCATTCGCCGACAGAAAAGAGTCAGGATTTTCTCTGGACCGTTTCGCCGCGTGCCTCGAATGGGTGTACCTCTACGGTGGTTGCATTTGGACCTTTGAAGGTTGAGAAGAAAGGCGACCAGTGCTCCTTGACGTATTTCTTGAGCGCGAATCCCGCGGCGTGATCTCGTTGGAGAGGAGTAAAGCGTATCAGCCTCCTTCCTGTTTGGACGCGTCTACGGGCCTCGTGTCGCGGCGCGCCGACCCAGATGGAAGCGGCGAGTGAGTGGGGACTTATCTGACGCAAGGAGATGTCGAGCGAGTGTTCGACCGTGATTTGAGCCAACGCAAGGGCAGTCTCTACGCGTAAGAGTGGATCAGGTAAGGTAGGCGAGGCCTCAGAGCGAGCTGGGACTGACCAGATTGTCCGGTCAGCTGGCTGAGCTGCAACTCGGCCGACAGTCGCGCGTTCGGGTCCGCGGAGAGCGTTCCCTGCAGCACTTGGATGAGCTGATCCATCCTTGGAGCGGACGCAGGTGTAGGGACACGGTGAGCAGGGGGACGTAGCCGAGGAGGAGAGGAGCAGCAGAGCCCGACTGAGGAAAGCACGGCGCTCGGACCGCGCTTCGCAGCGGGGAGAGTGCGCACGGTCCAAGCGGCAAGTCGACGCCGTGCCGTGCGCGCGGGTGGAGCTCCGTCTTGCCAAGCTTGCCCCGCGACAGTCAGGCAGAACAGGGGTCAGGGGTACACCGAGCAGACCGATAACCCTTTGGCTATGTTTCCCATCGAACTCCTACAACGTCTGACGGATGCGCACTGCCATCCCGTGGACGATTCGGCCGGCCTCGATCGAGCTTTGACCGCGATCGAGCAGCTCCACACCGCACGACTGGTGCGCTCCTCAGCGGAGCCATGGTCCTCAAAAGATTTCAACCTGATTCTGATACCTTCTTCTCCACAGTGTGCTCAAAGCTCGACGCTGGAAAACCAGTCATGTACTCGATCCTTGGCCGTGGCTCATCCAGATCGAGTGATTCCCTTCTTTGGTTCGTGCCCCACACCAAACCGACGACGTCATTTCGGCTGCGGGAAGAATCTTCACTGAAGCCAAATTGTCGCCTTGGGTGCGCCAGGTCTTCACCCGTGGTTCGTTCATTCGATATCTCTTGCATCGCCCTCATCCCTCCCCACCAAGCAAGAACACTACATGACTCTCTTTCCCGAACTCGGCACCGACCCCTCCCTCCAACCAGTAGTCGACTCGCTCCTCCCTCCGACTTCACTCGAAACCTACCTCACCACGCTCGAGCAAAACCTCGTCCATTACCCTCATTCGCACGTCGGAGAAATCGGCCTGGACCGAGCCTTTCGGCTCCCCTTGCCGACCCATCTTCAACCTCCCCGAGGCCAAGGTTCTCCCCGTTCAAAACTTCAAACACCTATCCAGCATCAACTGGCGCTCGTTCGAGCTCAACTCGACCTCGCTATCAAGCTAAGACGACATGTCTCGTTCCATTCGGTCAGGAGCTCCAAAGAGACCGTGACACTACTGCGGGATTATCTGGATCACAATCCTGGATTCGAGAGTATTCATGCGTGCTTGCATTCGTTCGGGGGCTCACCCGAGACTATCAGGCAACTACAAAAGGGTGAGTCGACCTCGTTTCAGGACTTTGTAGATGAACTCTAAAAATTCAGTGATGGATCTGGTTGCTTGCAGTCCACCACAACCTCTTCTTCTCCTTCGCCGCCGTCATCTCGGGGCGCTCGCCACGCTTCTCAGAGATGTTACGCGCCGTCGACGACGCGCGTCTCTTGGTCGAGTCCGACTTTAGTGACACATCGAAAATCGACGAGCAGGTGTGTGTTCACTCTCCTCTCCTTAGATTGGAATTGCGACTGCGTGTACTCATGTCCGACGCCTACCTTCCTTCCCCGATCAGATATCCGAAGTTGTCGAAGCAATTTGCACCGCTCGGTCATGGACTCGCGAGTACTGTGTCGCTCAGCTCGAGAAGAACTGGCTGAGCTTCTTGGAAGTCGAACCCGAAGGTTCGAGACCAAAAAGGAAGAGCAAGAAGGAACGCAAGATGGACGAGCAAGCTCGGCGGCGACAAGCTGAAGAAGCAGAAGAGTAAAGTGAGGACTCCTTGCACGTAGTTCCGAAAACTATTAAGGCCACAATATACCACAACATGAAGGCGATCCAAATCACACCCGAATCCCACTGATCAATTTCTCGACATGGTCGACCTTGGCCTCGGCCAACTGCTTCTCCTCCCTCGCGCGTTGTTCCATCATCTCCAACTCGTAATCCCTCTTGAGCAACCTCTGCTCCATACTCCTCAACAAGGTCTGCACACCTTCGACGTACCCTCTCAACATCTCGTACCGTGCTTGTTCGACCGCACCTTCCTCTTTCGCACTCGCACTCGCATCGGCACTTGAAGGTCCCCGATCCGTCCCTTCTCCCTCGTTGTCCTCCTCTACAATCCCATGCTCGATCCCCTCTACCCTCGAAGCGATAGGCGTCACCACTGCAGCAGCCCCACCAAAGCTCATCCTATTCCTCACCCGATCACGTTGGTTCCTCATCGCCGGACTCGAGAGACCTGTCGTAGCGCTGAGCACTTTGGTCGTCGTCAAGAAGGACGAAGCATTCTCTTGGTCGAGGCCAAGTTCGGTCTCGTAGTTGGGTCCGTAGGTCTTGGCGAGGATGTCGGTGTAGCGTCGTGCTCTGTTCGGAGAGCATCGAGACTCAGTGGTTAGAACTAGCTCTGGACCAGTAGGTTCGTACGCACTGTTTCTTCATCGCCTCGATCGTCAAGAAGGACTTCTCGGCGTCCCTCTGGTAGCCCGCGAGCAAGCTCTCTTGTCTGTGAAAAGAACTTTTTTCATTGAGCCACCACCACCAATTCCCGTCGTATTTAGACTCACTCTGCGAAACTTTTCTCCAATTCTTTCAACTGAATCGCTCCCACACCTTCCAAAGCCGAAGCCGTCGACGTCGTACCATTCGTCCCCTGTCTCGCGCTCGCACTCGCACTCGCCTTCGCCGCCACCACTTCCTCCTGCAGCCCCTTGACCCTCGCATTCAATCTCTTATTCTCCTCATTCAACCTCACCACCTGCTTTCTCAAACTCTTCACCTCTTTGTCCCTCTCATCCTTCTCCTTCTCCTTCCCCAATTCGCTCCCTTCCAAGTGCAGTTCATTCAACCCATTCTCCTTCTCCCCCTCCCCTCCGAAGCCCGAACAACCGAACCCCAACCTCTCACACATCAACTCCTTGACCCTCTTCCTCTCCAACTCCCTCACCCTCTCTGCACCCCCCATCGACCCCACTCCTCCATTCGAACCACTCGACGAAGAAGGTGGTGGTAAATGACTCGACCTCCTCCCCATCGTATTCGACGACGAACCACTAGTAGTAGAGGTCGAGCTAGACGAGTGATTCGAACTTGAAGAGGGTCTGGTATGGTCGTGCGAATGAAGCGTTCGTACGGGTTTGGATAAGGTGTCGGTTAGGGAAAGGGGTACGAAGGACGAGTTCGTGTTCGTTGGTTCGGTCATGGTTTGTTGAGCGCCGGGGGAGGTTTTGGAGCAGGAAGCGGTAGGAGGAGGAGGAGGAGGAAGGAAGCGGTCACCGCGACGCGACGCGTCGAACTCGGCTCAACGGGACCGAAAGCTCTGTCAACACGTGACCTGAACTTACTCTCAAAGACGTTCGGGGAGGAAAGCGGGATGAGAATGTGATACGAGTACAAAAGGACAAACAAAAAGAAGCGAAAAAAGGAGAAGCACACACACTCCTACAGCATAAAGGCCGGACGACGAAGAACACCCTCCGACTCAAACGACGGGAAATCGACTAAACAAATTGGAAAAACGAATGGAGCAACACGCACGCAGAGACATGGTACACGTACACGAGAGCAACGCAAAATGTCCTGCAAAGTAGTACCGAAATTCAATCCCGGCAAATAGCCGGTAGAAGCCATCAAGGCCTCCACGCATCGAACGAGTCAAAAACTCAAGCCCTACTCTTGGTCCTCTTCTTATTCCTCCCCAGCGTCGTCGTCGTCGTTGATCCGACCAGCTTATTCGACAACAAAGGGTTCGCCAACTCGGACGTCTGCGAGGCACTCCTCTTCAAACTTGCCGACAATGAACCCGTCCCGGTCGTGGTCGGCCTTTTCGGACCCGGTGACGCGCCCTCCTCCTCCTCCTCCTCCCCCTCCCCATCGTCTTCGTCGGATTGGGACATGTTGGCTGTCGCTTTCGCGACTCTGGCAGCGATCGAAGCGGCCCTTGAAGCGGCCGCCGCGGCGTTCTGTCGTTTGATCCTTCGCATCGAACGACGAGCCGATTCGGACCTCGGCGTTCGGGCCCAGGCGGAGATGAAGACGATTCGCTTCGCTTTACGGTTGTACAGGAAGTGAAAGGTCGACCATAATAACCCTCCCGTCGAGGATTCACCAAAGTAGTCGTCCGCGAAGCTGGCGTCACCTTGCATAGACGCGGGAGTTCCAGGTGCCCCACCGCGGAAGACGGACGAGATGGACTTCATCGGCGTCGAAGGACGCGAGTACCAGTCATTGCTGTGGTGCATCGCCGAACCGGCGCTCGAGCGAGACAGCTGCGTATTCGAATAACCCCCACCACCTCGCGACGAATTCGGACCGTGCGTTTGATGATGGTGGTGTCCGTTCCCTCCTACGACCGGGGATCCTTCGAACCCATCCATCTCCCATGTCATCCCTCCATCGCTGTCCCTCTCGAACGCATCGGGGTCGAAATCATCGTCATCGGATTCGTCGTCGCTGTCGTACGCGTGAGGATCGGAATCAATGTCGGGTGTGTAGGAGAAGACTTCGCATTCCGACAGGTCGATGATGGGATCCAGCACGCGACGCAAGAACGGGTTCGTCGGTATCGAATCGCCTTCAAAGCTCGCCGACATCATTGTCGAGGGCAGAGCCAAAGGGTCGGACATGGGCGATGAAGGAAGGGCAAAGCTCGACGAGGGAGGGTACGACGAGAAGGAGCGTTGGCCCGTCGGGGACCTCAGGTGGTCAAGCGCGGTCGACAAGGACGCCAACACCGCCCGCGGACCTTCTTCCCTCCTGAACTCCTCGGGACGAACTTTGGAAAAGTCGTGATCGGGGAAGGCGACGTTGAGCAAACCGATGAGCAACCACAACGTCTTGCGCGACTCGCGCTTGTCGAGCGGACCGAACGCGCTGTCGAGCAAACCGGGGTGTTGCTCAGGGGGCGACACGGAGGTCGAATGCGACAGGTCCTGGATCAACTCGGATTCGAGCGTCTTGAACAACTTGCGTTCGCGGGCGATCGGCTTGCACGAGTAGGCCTCGACGCGCGTGGTGACCTTGAGCGTCGGCGTCGACAGGTCCAGCGCTCGCGAGAGCATGTCGAGTTCGGGGATCTCGAGGTACTGCAGATCAGCGTCATGGCGCACGGAACTGATGTGAGTTTCCCAGTTCGATTTCCGCTCTGACAGAGAAGCGAGGTGGCCGCAGTTGAAACCTGGAACGGTTCCTTCTCCGCATGCATACACTGACCTTCATAGCGCTGAGACAAGCGGGGGTGCGGTCGACCGCTTTGTGTGGGATACGGCGGCGGGTGCGGGTGGCCGGCCGGCGGGTGCCGAGTGTATGCGCGTGGACGCGAGGTCGAGTTGCGGGTCTGATGTAGCGGATGTGCTACGTTACTGTGGACACGACAAGGTGAGGTCAGTGCTGTTCATGAGGGTATGGCGGATCGATGTTGAAGGGATCGGATGTCTCGGGTCGGGAGTTGTCCTAATCGAGCAGGCCGTCAGGGGAAGCCAGCCCGACCGACGCCGAGGGGCGCGCATGTACGCAGTCGCGGGTGCGATACGACACTCACAAGGGCGAATCGACGTGTCCGAGCGGATCCTTGGGGTGGAATCAGATCAGGAAGTCGTATCGAAGTGTTTGAGATCGGAGATGGCGGTGTGGGAGGGGTGTGCAGCGAGGGGAAGAGCGAAGACGGTAGACAACAAGGACGGGCGAGGGGGAAGGGCAGGCGCCAACTACGCGTTCGGTACGATCCAACGCGGTGTTGCAAGAGGTGGGAGGGGGGTTAGGGACGTGTGTGGCGCTCTACGATAGCGTCACGGGGGTAATTGTTTTGATGTGGGGTGGATGGCGGGGAGTTTCAACTTCTCGTGATCATCAAGCGGGAATCGCGGTAGGTCGAGTGGTCGGTCAGGACTCGGGAGTTGACCTTGAGAGGCGGGCCACACAATCAATTGAGGGCCCCCGGCCAGAATCTCCCAGAATCGACGGGGCCGTCGGGGCAAAAGCCTAATTTGGCAGTCGATGCAGTCGAATATTACAACCCTACGACGTGACATGCTGACTGGTCTCGAAAACGCAGCGAAAATGCAGCAGTTTCAACGGAGGTCGTTGAACGTGCAACGCTTGGACCGGCCGAGCTGTAGCTGATCGCACGTGCCGCCATCTGACACTCGCACTGCCACCCGGGTCAAGCGACGCGCCTCGAGCTCGCCGAGACTTCGGCTCAACCGTGACGTAGTTATCTACCTTCCTTTGCGACAGGGCACCTGTAGAGAAGCAGATTCACTTCCGAAAAAAAGTGATTGGCTTCGGCGATTGTGTAAAGCCCTCGTACTGTCAGCTCGGCGAATTCACGAACAGCCTGAGCAAACGAGTATGCGGGGAAAATTCTGAGACTTGCAACAAGCCTCTACATCGCCAACGTCTCGGTCACGTAGCCCGCAAGCACTTGAAAGGTTCTGTGCTGACCATTCAGCAAGATTCAACATCTACGACACGATTGCTGTAGCGAGAAGTTCATGGAAAATGGGCCTAGCATCGCCGGGACACCAAACTACGTCACCGTGCACGCATGTTTGCCGTCGGGCAGCTTTGGGCTGCTTTGGGCCTCTTTGGGCAAAAGAGCTTGGTGATTTGTCGGGGGCCCTCGCCAACGACGTGTTCAGGCTCTCTCCCCTCCCCACACCTTCATCTTGTCACTACAGATCCAGGTCGGTCGCCTGGTGTCGATCCACCCCTGAGCTGTGATGTGGCCAGCACGAACTGACTCTTGACCTTTGCAACACCATTTTGCTCCGCATTCCCCCTGCTCTGTCGTACCGAATCTGGCTCGCCGTCTCTGTGCTTTGCTGTTCCGCCTCCGCCTGCTCGCCGCTGCGCCCCCGTGCGCTGTGGCTGGCTGTCCGATTTGCGTGCTCGCGGCGCTCGTCGTCTCGCTTGGCCTGGCCCACCCGCCCTCACACTCGCCCTCACACGCTGCGCGCTTTCCTCTGCTCACTCACACTCCCTATTGGATGTCTGCCATTTCTCGCCGTGGTTTGTCAACTGCCCGCAGCATGTCTGTGAGTAGCCGCTCTCTTCTTTCGAGTCACACCTCCATCTGCTTCCCCTTGCCCTCCGCTCTGGCTCTCTGCTCGTTGTGGCCGCATATCCGTCCCCCTGTCGCCGCATCTCGTCGTCATCGGTGGCCCCATCTCGCCGTGGGGCCGCCCCTCCACGTTCCTCCACAGCATTGCCCCCTCCTCACTTCTTGTCCCCGTTCCACCGTTTACTGACCTTTGCGCCTCCCATTATTTCCCTTGTCATCGTGTAGAACGTGTATGTCCCATCGTCGACTGCGGTAGTCTGGTCAAGTGGCCCGTAGACGCTGACCTTCCTCGACGTTCCATTAGTTTCTTCGATGTCACCAAGAACGGCGAGCAGCTCGGCCGAATCGAGTTCAAGCTCTGTACGTTTCCTCCTCTTGATGACTGCCTCGAATGCACACGAGAATGCAGGGACTGATACTCAGTTGCGTCTTTTTCCTCTACCTCTCTGCGCGTCCCTAGACGATGATATCGTCCCCAAGACGGCCAGGAACTTCCGCGAGCTCTCGACCGGCCAGAACGGTTACGGCTACGCCAACTCGGGCTTCCACCGCGTGATCCCCAACTTTATGCTCCAAGGTGGTGACTTCACCCGCCACAACGGTACCGGCGGCAAGTCCATGTAAGTTACACAGTGTTGCGCTTGTTCGACTCTGTGTCCCGCGACATTCATCTGACGCGCTCGTTCATCTTGTTGCTCCACAGCTACGGCGAGAAGTTCGCTGACGAGAAGTGAGTGGCGTGTATAGCCCATCAGAAGTAGGAGCGCATGACTTACCGATCCCAAAACATGGCCCACAGCTTCAAGATCAAGCACACCAAGCCTGGATTGCTCTCGTCCGCCAACGCCGGCCCCAACACCAACGGCTCGCAGTTCTTGTGCGTCTTGACCTGCGCGATTACTCTCCATCTAGAGCACCACTGATCTTTCGTGGGACTCTTGCAGCATCACGACCGTCCCCTGCTCGTGGCTCGATGGCAAGCACGTCGTCTTCGGCGAGGTCGTTTCGGGCTTTGACATTGTCAAGAAGATCGAGGCTGAGGGTACCGACTCGGGCAAGACCAAGTCCAAGATCACCATCGCCGCTTCCGGCACCGTCTGAACAGAGCAAGCGTAGGAGTTCGGATCGCAGCAAGATGGGGGGGAAGGGATTTGGGCCGCGGTTCCGGGAGGCGCCGGCTCTCCGAGCTTCGTCGGTCTTGCTCCACACCTCATTTGTGATCGGGATCTTCGTTTGATCTTTCTCTTAGACCCGGATGCTTTAAAAATGACCTGAAATTTGAAATAAATTTGAAAAAGAGAACAGACTTGTGTGTTTGCTTTTAAGGAAATAAGTGTATGACGACAGCATGCCCGAACAGCTAAAAATTAGCGTCGCCGGCACGGACCCGGGACGCGCACCTCCCTCCCTCCCGCCCCTCTCTTCCAGGTTCCTGCTGAAGAATCCTCGTCAAGGATGGGTTCAGCACCTCCTGAAGCGGACGACTATGATCTCCCTCTGTACTCGGTCCACGAAGATCACCACAAACCTCTCCTCTTGACCGACGAGGAGGCTCAGACCGGAAAACCTAATCAGGAAGGTCCCAGCACGCCGTTATCGTCATCGTCGCCCTCATCTTCGTCTTCAAAGCCCACGGTCCCACCTCGATACTCGATCTCCCTCGTCATCGGTCCCGAGCCCTCTACTCGTCCCAGTCATTTCACCGTCCGTATCCACGGTGGTACTTTGATCTTGTTCCTCTTAGCTTCCCTGTTCGTCACTCGGGTCGTCCAGACCTTGTCGTGCTTCTCACCCAAGTCCGCATCATCGATCGGACAAAGCGGCAAGAGTTTCACGTTACATCCTTCTACGGCCAAGATTCATCGAGGAATTGATTGGAGTGAGATCTCACCGGAGAAGGTGTGCGAGAAGAAGGAGAGGAGGGGTATTGATCTGGAAGAGTTTGCGAAGAGGAGGGATACGCTCGCGGGGTTACTTAGTTCGGGGCAGGAGGACGATTGGGGGGTTTGGGTATCGGAACCTAGGTTAGTTCGAGGGATGGATTGGGGTTTAGGGAGTGTGAGAAACTGATGGTGGTTCGACTCTAGTCCAAATACGTTGTACTACGTCAACCTCAGCACGAGCGAGTGAGTGAATCCGTCGAACCCCCAAAAAAGATCAAGATCTTCACTGATCCCTTTGAGCCCATCATCTGCAGTTGGTACCTCTCCGAAAGACCCTGGCTGGTCGTTATAACACCTTCCATCTCGACCTCTTCCCCCAAGGCGCATCTCTCTATCCTCACTCCCTCTTTCGAGCTCTCGCGAACCAAACGTCTCCCCTTCGCCCTCTCTCCTTCGGACCTGTCCCAAATCTCTTGGGTCACATGGGAAGAAGCCGAAAACCCTTACGCCATTCTAAGTCAACACCTCGGCGACCTCTACGCCTCTTACCTTTCCTCAATTAAAGAATCGAAAGCAAAATGGACGATTCATCTCGAGGAGAATACGAGGCAACTTGTTGCGGATGGGATTGGTCAGGCGATGAGGAGGGGAGTCGAAGGGAGGGGACTGGAGGTGAAAGTCGGTTTGGTGGGGGAGAGTATCCGAGAGCAGAGGATGAGGAAGACGAAGAAGGAAAGGGAGCTGTTGAGATGCGTTTCAAAGGTCAGTCCAGAATGAGGGACTTGGGAGACTTTGGTTTGGAAAGGGGTTTGGAGCTCATGGGTTGGGACCATTGCAAACGACAGGTCACGATGCATGCGCTTCGCAAGGTACAGACACACCTTCAAGTCGGCATGTCGGAGAAGCAGGGCGAAGCGGTTCGTACTCCTCATCGTACAAATGTCGTCAATAAATTACCTAGAGTCTGGGCTGAACGAACTCGGTGTTACGCCTCCCCTACGCCGCGCAGCTCATCTACAACGCTCTAACCTCGGCCGGCCTGACGGACTTGAGCATCATCGTCCTCTTCGGTGCCAACGCGGCGTTACCCCATGCTTCTGCTTCTGCAGACAAGTGGTTGGAAGAGGGCGAGTTTGCCCTGTTCGACGTCGGAGGCACGTTGAAGGGTTATATCGTGAGTGTCCAGATCGTGCTGACACCGAAAGTTCCAGCATCCAGCAGCCGAGAGGACTGACCCGATTGCCAATCGCTCCCCAAAGTCCGACTTCACACGAACGATGCTCCCCAATCCTCGCTCCTCACTCCACCCTAGTATCGAACCCAGCTGGCCTTCCCGCCGTTCCCAAACCATCTGGAACCTCGTACACGATGCGCAGGCGACCGCTCTCCGAACCCTCGACAAACGAATCAACATCACCGCAGCCGAAGTCGACCTCTCTGCGCGTCGCATCATCACTGATGCAGGATACGGGGATCATTTCACCCATCGACTGGGACATGGGATCGGACTGCAAGGGCACGAAGGGCCTTATTTGAATTCGGGGAACTCAGGGACTTGGTTGAAAGAGGGAGAAGTATTCTCGATCGAGCCGGGGGTCTATTTGGAAAATCAACTTGGAGTGAGGTTGGAAGATTTGGTGATCAAGACCGAAGAAGGGTACGAGTTGGTCTGGTCAGCAGGGTTGGCGAAATCGCCGTGGCTACCTTGAGGATCCTTCCGAGGTGATGGGAGTCGTGGACCTTGCTTTGTTTGTCGATCCATTTTGCGACTGTTGCACTACTATTTTTACATACTTGACCAACGAAAAAAATTGAGGGCGAAAAAGACTCGAACGGACGGGGATGGGCAGGACTGTGCGCAGAGCTCTCTCTAAATGCACTGGGAAACACTCGGTATGTGTCACTCGACTTTTGTTCCTAACGAAGAAGGAATGCAACTTAAAAAGGGGTACGATCACAGAGATTAGACAAAGCCCTATAGGTCTTGAGATCTTTCGACATAACGCTTTTGAAGTCCGCACACGCCGAGGTTATGCGTGCCGGCGTTCTTGGATCCTCTGCATCGTCCTCGACGGTCGGTAGCGTGATGCCGCCAAAAGTCCTCTCGACCATCGTCGACCCCGGACTCCCACCTTGCACTGTAAACAATTCACGATCTTTCTTGCTACCTCCCCGATGCCGATGTTGCTACTCCCGTCACGCCCAGCCCGCCTCGCTTCCCCTTTACCCTTCCATCAATCGAACCGAAACGAGCAGATCCCCGACCAACCAGTCCGCACCACATCAAAGGCCCCACCTTCCTCAAACCCGTCCCAAGTCATTTCAAATCGAACAATCATTTCGTTCCCGATCCAGATCTGAGGGTTGCTCGTAGCATGCGTCATGGTCATGTTGCGCGCTCGCCGTCCTACCTCTCTTGACGCATATCCTACCCGTGGCGCGTCTTCGCCATAGATGAAAGGGTCGCATCTGGCCTTGTGCGATTCACATCGTCGTAACGACGTTGGATGAAGGTATTGATTGGTCTTGTTGGTTCTTGCGGTGGCGTAAGATTGGGCCCAATGGGTCGTTGAGCAAATTTGGTGCTGAGCTTCGTCTCGGAGGCCGAGGCGGGCGGGAACTTGGGGTCGGTGGGAAGGGAGGGAAGTGGTTCAGGTGGTGGTCACGGAGGCGCGCAGTAGCGCATCGCGGGTCGGTCTCGAACTGGGTTGAAGTGGACGATTTCTAAATTCGACGTTACCGACGGACTACTCGGGTCTTCGATTCGCAGGTATACGAGGCCAGTTCTTGGGGGATTTTCTGTTGACTGCTTTGCGAGTGGTTATTTGTGTTTACCTCCTTTTCCTACATACAAGAAAGGAAAAAGTCGTTACATCTGACGTGGTGAGACACTGTCTACAATCGCTGGGGTACCGAGTTCGGGGTCGGACGAATCGGGGTGCGCGAAGAAGATTCGGTGCGCTCGAAAAAACTATTCCGATCCTCCTCCGTTCCGTGAGTTGGTTATCGGTATCGAGACTTGTTCCAAAGGTTGTCGAAGCACCTCTTCCGCCGCTTTCAACTGTATACGCAAAGAAAATTCCCGAAGTAATGCCATCGTCAGCCTCGAAGAAAGTTTTCGGTCGTGTTTTTTTTTTTTTTTTTTTGCTGGGGGCAGATTGCGTACTTTATGCTCCAATACGGTCCAGGGTGTGACGTGAGAAGCGACGAGGACGAGGAGGAACGAGCCAAAAGCCTGGAGGAGGGTCCGGCCGTACTATAGGCACAACGAGCAAAGACCATGGGTTCAAGGGGGGTTCGTTTCAAAGGCGAAGTCGTCCACTGACCTCAGTCTGCAACCTCAAAGGATCCCGCTCGGCCTCGCGCTTAGGCGCTGTCCCCTCGTCGTCCTCGGCCGCTCTGCTCGCCTCCCAGCAACTAGACCCCACCGCCGCGAACGTCTTGTTGCGATCCTCTTCGGAAAGCGTATCACCCCAGGGTAACTCGGGCCAGGGTTTCTGGCTGGCTGTGGACTGGGATACGAGTACGGAGCCGGAGGGAAGGGAGAGGAGGAGTACGGTGTGGGGGGACGCTTGGGAGCTGACGAGTTGCGAGAGCAGGGATTCGATCGGGGGCAGGAGCAGGACCATCCTGGGTGTCGCGCAATTTGACGGCAGGGGAACGTTGGAGAAGATCCACGTGGGGGGCGGAAGCGGAGACGGAGCTTTGCCGGTCGGTGGGGAAAGGAGAGGAAAGGATAAGGATCAGTCGAGCAGTGGCAGTGTATTAGAGTGGATTAGAGTGGATTAGATTGGATTCGCGGCGCGTAATAAGTCGAAATGGCCGCGCGGCAGACCGACTCGGTTGTACTCGTACCCTTTGCATAGCCTGGCGATCCCGGTAGGACGTACCTTGTTTCCAGCTCATCTTTCAGCTGGTTTGGTCTTGGGGAACTCTTGCAGAGTGACCGACCCGCCTCGGCTCTTTCTCTCTCTGCCACTCGCTCAGCGCCCGACCGCGTTCGACGATGAAGTGCCCCCTCTCCCCCCTCTTGCTCCTCCTTCTGGCGACCACCACCTCCCTCGCCCTAGCCCACGGCGATGACAACGAACACGCGACCGTGATCGAGGGGGACGCGACCTATACCGAATTGCACATGGCTCAAGAGGTACGTGCGCTCGCGTGTCCCCCCACGGAGCCAAGACGGTGTTGAACAATTCTTCGGGGTTCGTACACAGCATCATATGGATTCGTTCGATCTCCAATCTTTCTTTCATCTGCACGATTTGAACCGGTCAGTTGTCTTGTCCTGAGCCGTGGCGTCAAGGCACCGCGGCCCGCACACCCCTGTATTACGCGTGGGCGCGCGCCCCAACGAGTGCAAGCCACGCGGCTCGACGTGATTGAACTTGTCGCTCACTCGGCTGAACGACTGGCCGCACCACCTCCTCCCGTCCGCTCCCCCAACAGCGACGGCATCCTCGACGTCAACGAACTCGAATCCATCTACGGCGTACACCACGAAAAAGCCAAAAAGGGCTCTTCCTCCGTCGAGGTCCACACCGCCAAAGCGAAAGAGATCGTACAAGAGGTCTTGAACAAGTTGGATACCGATCGCGATGGTTATCTGACCATGAGGGAATTCGTCGCCGGTGGCGTAGGCGGTTTACCGAATTTCAAAGGCGTCGAACATTTGGGGCATCATTATGGTCGGTCAAGGCCAGGGCCCCGGGCGCGTAACGATAGCGGGGAGAGTGGGGCGATTGCTGATGAGAATTTGAGCCTGATTCGGTCGCGCAGATGCCGAGGGGGAATACTTTTTACAGTCAGTCTTTTTCGAGATGCGCTTCATTGAGAGAGAGAAGAACGCTGAGAGAGACGTGAACGCTGATCGTTCGTTTGTCCTTGTGCTCTCCCAGCCACGAGGAAAAGTACCACAACACGCCCGAGACCCAAGGCGAGGAGAGTTATATTCATCCAGAGGGTACGTTTCCTTCTCGAAGCACGAAGCGGTTTTTAGGATCCCAACTCTTATTCGGACCTCAACCCTTCTTCGGATCTCAAACCCAACCCGAACAGACATTGAACACTTTATGGCGCACGACCAAATCGAAAAAGAAGAGAACGAACGCGTGCTCGAATTCCAAGGCGTCTCCTCCGACAACAAGGACTCGATCCATTCGCCCGACCGCGAGCCCGTCAAGATGGACATCTTGATGGACAATTCCGAAAAGGACATCGAGAAGGAACATCAGAGGTTGTTGGCTAAACAGGGTGCGCAAGCAGGGTCCGCACCGGGGGGTCAGATCCCTATCGTTGCTCCTAGGAGGAAAAAGATCCCTACCTCTGGTGAGATCCCTACCCCTGGTCAGCCGTCGACGGGGAGTGCTGGATCTGGAACGGGGGAGAAGTCGGTCCCTGTTGAAGGCTCGGCAACGAACAAGCACGACGCCGATGCCAAGGATGTTTCACCGGAAGAGAAGAAACGCCGCGAACGAGCCGAATTCGCTCGTGCGCAAGCGCAAAAGTTTGGAAGGGATGCCAAAGAGGCGGGCCGGAGAGGGGAATGGGGCACCGCGGGAGATGAAGGGGGTCAGTTTGGGAGGCCTAAAGATGGGGCCGATCGTTTGAGGAAGAACGTGCCGTACAAGTTCAAGATGAAGAAGTCGTTTTGGGGAGAGTTTTAGGTTAGAGGGAGATGGGGGGGAGGTGTTGCGTTGGAGTCGCAAGAGGTCGTTCTTGATCTTTTTGCCTATTATATTTGCTTTTATCTCGCGAGTCATTCCCCGTTCTTTGCAAGCCATGCCCAGGGTTTTCGTGGTCTGTGCTGCGGCCTCGGCGTGACCTGGCGCGTGCCGTCGGTGGTCGTCCTCGGACTCGGCGACGTGTGCTCTCTCTCTCCGTCTCTCCGTCTCTTCGTCTCTGTGTCTCTGTGTGCTCATCACGGGTCGCCCTCCCCCACCGTGTGCGCCGTGTCCACCGCCCCCGCCATGTCCTCCATCTTCCCCCAACAACCCTCCACCCCAAGCACCAGCACGAGCACGTCCTTTGCCAGTCCAACGGTCTCGACGGTCGTGGCAACCGCTTCCGGTGGCCGGCTCGGGGCCGGTGGTGGTGCTGGTACGCGACGGCGGCATTCGACCAGGGTCAGGGAGACGTTCGCTGCGTTGGCCGCGCAGGAGAAGGGTCAGTTCTGGTGGTTCAGGAACTTCGTGGTCGATCCATGTGCTGTGTGCTGATCCAGTCGTGCCTCATCTCCCTCTCACGCGCGCCGCGTCTCCACCCACAACGGACTACGGACTCTGACCCTCGCACACGGCGACACCTTCGCGCCTCCTCGGGATGCTCACAGCCCTCGCAAGTGATCCCAAGTATCGCAAGTACGCCCAGTCGGTCGAAAGGACACTGCAGTCGTTCGACCAAGTCAACGAATGGGCCGACTTTATCACCTTTCTCGCTAAACTGCTCAAGGTCCGTTCAGCGAAGTGGGGGGGGGGGGGGCATGAACGGTGAACTGATCCTATCTTTACCCACTCGAAACGTATCGTAGTGCCTACAAGCGTACCCGCAGTTCGTCGTCATCCCGCACAAGCTGATCGTCGCCAAACGGTTATCGCAATGCTTGAACCCGGCTCTACCGACCGGAGTCCATCAGCGCGCCTTGGATGTCTATACCCACATACTCACCACCATCGGAGTGAGTCGGCACCGCGGGCGTATCTCATCAAGTGTCGAGAAAGCTGATATGCTGCGTTCCGCCAACTTCACAGACGGAGAACCTCCGACGAGACCTCCCGGCCTGGTCCTCGGGCATCTTTCCCTTCTTCCAATACGCCGCTACATCCGTAAAAGTAAGTTCAGACTCTATGCTGATCGAGGTTGCACATTGAACGCTGATACCGATCACGCTCACCCCTCGCTTCCCTTTCACCGTAGCCGATCGTGCTCTCCATCTTTGAACGCTTCTACCTCCCCTTGCAAGAATCGCTGCGGCCCGCGACCAAAGCCTTCATCCTCGCTTTGTTGCCAGGGCTAGAAGAAGAGACCGGCGAATTCTTTGAAAAGGTGCGTGAGGTAGCGAATCTTGCCTTGCCTGGACTTGGCACTGATAGCATGGTCAATCTTGACCTCACAGGTCGCGGCTTTGCTCGATCGAGTCTCGGGCGCCGTCTCGCCGTCCTTCTTCTTCCAGAATGTCTGGCTCGTTTTGGTCACCGCGCCGGGGTCGAGGATACCGGCGTTGAACTACCTCAGTCGCAGGTTGCCCAAGTTGCAGTCGGAAGATGGTCAGTTCTACCTGTGTTGCCTGGTGTTCTTTCAAAGCCGATTCTGACGCCCTCCCGAACTCTCCTTAGGTCTGACCTACATCGTCGGCCAAGACATCGGTCTCATGATCCGAGGGTTCTCCGCCGCGCTTGAAGATGCACAGATCCTTGTCCAACGAGGAATCCTCGACCTGCTTACCGCGACACTCAAATTGGACAGTCGAGGATTCCGAGCCACATCCCGTCAGGACCAAGTCCTATTGATGAGAAGCGTATTGGGCGTCGTCCTTCGGAGGGACCTCAGTCTGAGTCGGAGGTTATATTCCTGGTTACTGGGAACGAACGAAGGTTCCGAAGCCCAAGTCGCGTACCTCAAGGAGCATGGGTTGGAATTGGTCAGGGAGGCATTGAAGCTCGATATGGACGCGCAGTCGGTCGATTCGGTCGATCGACAGCGTCCTTTCAAGATCTTCATTTCGCTCTTGGACAAGTGGGAGATTGGAGCCGCTTTGACGGAGGTGCTTGTGCTGGATGCGTTCGCGGCGCTCAAGGTCGCGTTGAGGCCGAATGATGATCATGATGAGGTAAGACGATCCGTCCGACGAGGTGTGGGGTAGCCAGAGCTGATCTCATTCAGTTCACTCGGGTTCCGCAGCTCTTGATGACGGGTAACATGCTTTTCGAGATCCTCGATCCTTTCCTGATGTGGAAAGCCATTTACTTTTCGATGCGCTCATCCATTGTCTCGGCCTATTCCGCCGGATCAAGAAGCGACATCTTGACGATCGAGCTCGTACGCTTCATCGTCGCAACGTTCCGACTCCACGACGAGGAGGTGCAAAAATTACACGCCCCCTTCGTCGCGTTTGGTCTGATCGACCTCGTCGAACAAGCCTTGACGGGAACCCTCCAAATCGAACAAGGCCTAGCGACTCGGGCCCTCGAACCCGATCGACTAGTCCTCACCACGATCCTTCAATTCGTCGTCGAATTGATCAAGGAAGTCTCCCCCCATTTCTACGACAGCAACGACGCGCTCGTCGTGCTTGACCCACCCGAGGATCCTCATTTAGGTCAAACACTCGCCGATCTCTTGTACGGTGCGACGGATATGAAGACGGCGTCTCTACCCGAAACGGAAGGAAGAGAATTACTGGCCAGTGGACTGGCCTCGACGACGAGGGTCATTCAAGCTTGCGTCGAACCGAATTCGAGATTAGGAGATGCCCAAAGTCGATACCAAACCAACGGAGGCAAATTGCTCCTTGACTCGCTCAGGGTCCTCCTCTCTCTGTTCGTCGTCACTGAATCGCTCGATACCCAGATCAAGGTCGCTTGGGAACCCGAAACGTGGGCCAAGAGTGTTGTAGGAGCGTTGGAAAGGACCGAGACGACGATGGCGAATTGGGGTATCTTTGGCTGTGTGGTCTGGGGATTGTCGACGGTGATGACGGGGAAGAATGTTAGGCCGACGCTCAAGAGAAACCGGAGGGATTTGCTGGAGGCGATCGCTGCCAAGGTCGGTGCTTGGTCTTGAATCAGATAGGGGTCCGGATTGAATTGACGTGCGCCTTTTCTCCGACTGTGCAGTTGCTCGAGTACCTGCAACCTTCCGGAGCACCCTGTTTCGTCGAAGCCGTACAGATGCTCTGGGCGATCGAAAGCTTCTCCGACTATCGTCTGCTCGAGACCATGATCTCGGAGCGATTGGCTTCGCCCGACCCGGCCGTTCGGCTAGCGGCGTTCGAGGCATTCGGCAACCTGTGGCGCTTCACCGAGGACTCGCAGTTGCCCGGCGTGGTGTTGCGTACTCCGATGTTCCGGATGCTCGATTCGCTCAAGGCCGATGATTTGAGTACACGAAGAGCAGGCGAGGCATGGATGCGCTGCAGTCTCAAGTCCTACCTGCGTATACTGGATCCTTTACTGTTCACGCTTTTGGACCCGTCAATCGAACAACGTTCGACCATCATCAAAGTTGCGGATCTGCGCGTGCCCATCCTCGAATACGAAGCAACATTCGACCAAGCACGAGTGCACCACGTCTTGGACTGTTTGCTCGGTCTCGCGAGATTCGGCGGCCAAGGCTTCATCCGCATCGCCAAAGGGTCGTTCATGAAGCATTCGTTGGATCCGAGTTTCAGGGAACGCGTCCGAGCCGCCGATTTGGATGCGCATACCTACCTCGATGGACTGATCATCATCCTCATGCGATTCCTTCGCGCCGAACCCAATCCTAAACTCGTCCCTTCCCTCGGTCCGCTCAATTACCACATCCATTCGGTCGTCGCTGAACTGCTCCAAGTCGTCATGTCGCGTGGCGAGGCGGAGATTACGGGTCTGTCGACGATCGAGTCGGCGTTGACGTCGAGGTTGTACCTGTGCGTTCATAGGGGGGAATTGGACCTGCAGAACAAGTTGTTGCACGTCTTACATTCCGTCGTCCATGCTGTTGCGGGGTCGAATGCACGAAGACATCGACGAGCCCCTTCGGTCGCGTCGACGACGGGGACTTTAATCGCGGCGAATGAGCTCTCGAACGAAGCCCAACCTCCGGATATGACTCACGATGCCATGTTCGTGCGCGTCGTTTCGGACGGCGTCACAACACAGAACAACAACGCCGTCATCCATCATTGGATCGATTTCCTCCTCATGACCATACCCCAATTCCGCCAATCGCTGCATTCCGTCTTGTTCCCTTTGATCGATTGTCTCGTGCAGAGGTTACGTTCCTTTGTCGGCGATTTCGAAGGAACGTATGGGGTCGATCGGTCCGAATTGATCAAGCCTTTGACTTCGGCGACGGATGCCGAGTTCACGGTCCTCGTCAATGCGCTGGAGAGGCTACTCCTCATCGCGATTGCGGAGAGTAACGCCGTCGCACCGGACGAAGAACCCAAAACCTCCACCGCGATGTCGAGTGATGCCTCGGCCGGAACGGGTTTGTTAGGCTACATGAGTGGCGTTCTCGGATCGGCGGAAGTCGAAGTGACGGAGGTGTCGGAAGCGACCAAGACGAAACATGCGACCTTGCTTCGGCTACGCGATTGCGTAGTCATGCTCCTTCAATCGTGGGACGTCTCGACTCGACTCGAAATCCTCGCCGGCGACGACGTTTCGACTTCGATGGGTCACTTCGCCGCGAGGGCCAAGTTGAGGGCTCGCAAGGCGTTGGAAAGGATCTACAAATCGGCGCCTTCGGATTCGCTCGATGACATCGCCGCGCATTGGCAGAAGTTAAAGGATTCGGAGAGTGAAGCGAGGGTCTTTGAGATGGTCGGGATACTGGCTCCTAGCGCACAGTCCGTCGTTTCGATGATATGTGAAAAGTTGGGACCGTTGTCGAAAGGCGCGACGAGCTCGAACCAGCACGACAAGAACCGATCGCCTTACCTGGCTTCGGACGAGTTGTTGTTCGCTTTCCTCGAGGCCTACCTTGATCGTTTGGACGGGGCCATGTCGATGCAAGTCTGGAGTACATGCCTCGGGCTCGTCAGGGATTGCCTCAGCAACATCTCGACGTCCCGTCCGCACATCTTTGCGTGCTTGAGGTGCTTCACGACACTATCGGAGAAGGTCTCGCAAACGAGTGCGTTGGAAGATCGAAGGATGCGCAGGGATTTGCAAGAGACCTTCATTCGCTTGGCTGACGCGTCGATCCAACTCGCTGGTCGATCGGTCGATCAAAGTGGGTGGTTGAGAAAGGGAAGGACAGAGAGGTTGAATGGTGAAGGGGAAAGCGCCATGTCCAAGGAGACAAAGGAGACCGAGGACGTGACCGATGACGAGAAACGAGCCCTCGCCGCGACGCCGAGCAACCATGCGCTCGATATCACCGACTTCCTCACACGCCGCGTCCTCCCCGATTTCAGGCGATTCCTCATCGATTCGGACAAGACCGCAGCGACTTGCTCCAACATGGTCTACTACATCGTCGCACCGGCGTTCAAGACCAGGTCGAAGACGTTCGAGGTCGAACCGGCCGTGTTCTCGCTGTTGCATGAGATGGTCAAGAACCCGGCGACGGTCAAGGCGTGGAAGACGATGGTCAGCGATGCGTTTGGGGATAATCGCTTCTTCAATGCCCCGCCGACAGCAGATGCGCATTGGAGACCGGTCATTCAGGCTTTCGTGGCCTCGGATAAGGAGAGGCTTGTCGAACTTACTTGTGAGCAAGAGGCTGGTCGTCTGCTCGAGGCTGATCTGATAATGGGGAGACTGATCTTTGTCCACCACCCCGTCATGCACCTCGCTCACGCACAGCCAAGATCTCGTCCGTGTCCTCGGCCAACATCTTCACCAACCGCGAGCTCGAGAACCTCTCGCGCGCGCTCTCGCTTCGTCGCTTGACCTACGTCCTATTCACAGGCGATAAGGACCGCTTTTTGACTCAGCTCCCCATGATTCAAGAAAAACTCGTCGACTTGCTCCGCTCGAGTGTAGGTGACATGGTCCATGCCGAGGTGTACCTCTGCTTGCGGGTCCTATTCGTTCGCATCGGGAATCAACACCTCTCCGGTCTATGGCCGACGATCCTCACCGACCTCTTGAGGCTCTTCGATTCGCTCGTCGAGCAAAGCGTCCCCGACAAATCGGACCTGTTGCAACTCGTGCATTCGGCATGCAAGTTCCTCGACCTGACACTGGTCTTGCAGACGGAGGACTTCCAAATCCATGAATGGATGTTCGTCACCGACACCGTCGACGCCATGTACCCACCTGATTCGTGGCTCCCTCAAGCGATCATGGATCGATTGGGCGAGATCATCCATGATGGTCGATTCGCGCCTTCGAGTCCTTCAGCGTCCATCTCCCCCGTCGTCACAAGAGGAGGGGGCGTAGGTACAGCTTCCGAATCAACGGCTGCCTGGGCTTCGGACCGCATTACCCCTCGGAGACCTATGCTCGTCGGACGAAGGGTCAACACGATCGGCGACTTGATCCCCTTCTTCTCGACCGTTAGTCTCGCAGCGTACGAAAGCGTCTATGGCTCGGGAGGGCGCATCGATCATGAGGCCGTCGAAAAGGGCCTGGCGAGGGACTTGTTCGACTTCTTGGATTGAGTCAAGTTCTTTGGCTGTTTGTTCTCTTAATAGGTTTTTTCCTTACTTTCGTTGGCGTTAGTGTCGCAGTGTGCTTGTCTCTTTCCTCACTGTCTTGCTTGCATTGAATGATACCCCACGCGAACCCGCGTGTTTGTACCACTTCATCCTTAAGTGCGTGCTGTGTTCCTGAGAGATCTCTTAACAGCTACGACCCGTATCTACACGCTCAAGCATCAACATCAAAGATCAGCTCCTGGAAGCTGGTCAGACTTGCTTCACTCGGCATCGAGCCGTACGCTTCGAACCCCCCAATGCCAGTCAAGGTAGGCGCGGCATCATCTGCCCGGCGAGACGCCGGATCTTGGCGCAATTGGAGTTCTTGAATGCTTCGCTCAACTTCAATCTATGATTCGTCGAGCGGCGACACTGGGTAAGAAGGCTCAATTAGCTCAGCAGCACCTGTGACGACTGACCATGCGTTCGGCCCCTATGATTCCTGCGAATCCAGCTTCCCTCGTTGTCTCGTCGAGCTGGAAGAATTCGTTCGCGGAGCACTGTGACAGGATTCGACTGGCCATGTATTCGTTGATCGTATCAATCTGAAGCAAAAGCCTCTCCTCCTATGAGATGAGGTCACATCAGTCGCTTCTTCCTTCCTGGACGTCGCAGTAGCTACACTCACCTCCGAAGGGTCATCCAACCATTCTCGCGAATCAGACCCGACATCCAGATCACTGTGTCGCAGATCGATAAGAAGTTTCCTCACGATCTTCCCCGACTCCTCGGGCGATCTCGAAAAGACGACTTGGATGTGAACTCGATCATCGCTCCCCGTCAGATGCTCGAGAATCCCTTGATCAAGCTCGCGCAGCGCTTTCAAAACTGGTGGGGTATACTCGTTCGCGGTCGTCGATGTCTTTGGCCATCGTTCGGTGAGTACGACTAGGATACGGTCGAAACGATGTGATAGGCGATATAGAGTAGTGAAGAACGCTTCTGGACGTGTAAGATCCGTGCTCGTAGATGTGTTGTCGACCTCTTCAGCCCGGTATGCACGACCAACTAGGGACCAGAGAGGCCGGAAGACGACGCATGTGTGGCTGTTGAGGATAAGATGCGGGTCCAACGTACGATATCGATCCTGTACCCATCTCGAATATCGATGAATGAGCTCGATGTTGACCTCTTCCAACGCGGATCGCAGCAACCGGTTTTGGAAGAGAGAGTGGAAGCCGATGACGCGAAGGTGGCCAACGGGCAGAGTCTCATCGTCTACCTGGAGGAACTGAGGTTTTGGAAATGGTGTATCTTGGTAGGGTGGGGATTGAGGAGGTTGTGGTACTGGTAAGGGTGTGATATCGGGAGTTTGTGTGGCCTCGCGTTGGCCCGCCTTCGTCTTCGGGACGGCCACGGGACGACTGATCTGTCGGCCTCGCGTCGAGAGAAACTGATCGATGGCTGCTCTTCGACTCGTGAATTCTGGTACGACGGAAGCTTCTTGAAGACGTCCCAGTCTGCTCATAACAATATCCTTCAGTCCTGAGTCATCTTCAACGCGCTTCGACGAGAGCCCTGCGGATCCGGGCTCTTGCGAAGGAGGAGGACTCGAACGACTTTCGCTCGCAGGGTTGTTCGACTCCAGTCCCGGGGATAGGAGACGACTGAGCGGTGAAGAGCTCGACGTCGTTGATTTGACCGCCTGGATGAGATCGGGGGGTATCTTGGACATGTCGAGATCAGAAGCGGTAATCTCGGTGAAGCGATTGGTCGATGACGATGTCGACTGCGCATGGGCTTGTTCGGAAAGTGTGGGATGCGATTGGCTGGCGGTGGTTGAAGCTCGTGGTTGGAGGAGGAATTCATTGAGGGTATCGCCCGTCTTGAATTCAACTTGGCTCGTGTCATCCAACATGAGCTCAGCTAGCTCGTCGTCAGTCTCCATCGTCTGTACGAGCAGTGCTCCCCCTCGCTCTTGCGGATCATCCGAAAGCCCGACTTTCTTTGAGTCATCGTCGAACATGATGGAATCGAGCTTGAGACCGTCGACCTGCCTATCGACAGCCCAAGACAACCCGATCGTCGCACTAGTGAGCTCGCGATCGAGCTTCAGACTCCAGGCAGAGGAGCTCGTGGAGGCAAAGTCTGTCGGCGTGGGAGGCGGCGGTGGCGGAGCGAACGTTGGGTTCGATAGGTGAGGAACTGCGAAGTATTCAGAATCTTGAGAGTTTGGATGAAAGCATCTAGTGAGGTTCTTGTCGGGCTTACCTCGCAATCGAAGCTTGGTCAGGTCGTGTGGGGCAAGTTGTTCGGCGGGGCCGATGGTGTCGTCCGAAGCGAGCAACTCCGAAACAGGCGGATTTGTAGGAGTCAATACCTCCTTGATGGGTTCATCATCACTGTCAAGTAAGCTCGAATCAAAGGGCACGGGTGGCATCTCGACATCGACAAGGGTGGCTGCGCCTTCCCGTTCGGCACGTGGGAACAGCGGTTTATCTGTGCGCTGCCCGTTTACTCAGCGGACGGAACGCGAATGACTGTAATGACAGCCGATAAAACGTACCTATTTCCATCCACTCGGATACCTTTTCAGGCTGGTCAGACGTGGGCGGACTTGACCAAATCGGACGGGAGGAGGCTTCGCGAGAAAATCGGACGGGCGATGAAGGAAGCGATCGAATATCCTCTGGAAGAGCTCCAGACAAAGTTCGTCAACAGACGACACGCTTCGAGAAGTTAGTTCCGAATGCTAACCTTCTCTGTTCCATGCATTCATGGGGACCCCACTACCCCTCGGCGACGACGGTGGTGTGATTACATCAAGTTCGTCGAAGAGATCGAGTCGAGACGACTCGTTTAATTTTGATGTGGCTCTTGGCAACAAGGGCGGACTCGGCATGCGGAAAGTGTCCTGGAGTTAGGTTCGAGTCAGCCAAGTAGGCCGATCGCACAAGTCTTATTCGGAAGGGAAGTGTTGCTTACAATATCCAGCCTGCTTGGTCGGTGACCTTCGGCTTCATCGGACTCGGTAAGCAGTTGCCCCGTGGTCAGTCGACCCGTGGCTTTGATGGAGCGCGTCATCTCTTTCAGAAACGCGACTTGCTCCGCGGTAGTTGGTAAACGCAAGTCACTGTGAATCATCACCGAGACCTTCAAGTACGCTCTGAGGCAAGCTTCACTGCTAGAGCGTTCTCGCCAGGATGGGACTCACAGGCCGTCTTCGATTTCGGGCATGTCGAGCATTCTCAAAAGCTCGTCGTCATCCTCAACCTCCAGTAGATCCGGAGAGATTATTCGATTGTCTATCATGTCCTTCAGAGCGAATTCGGACTCGAAGAAAGCTCCTCGGCGCCGTGCGACGCGAGATAGGAGGTAGGCGTCTTCCAATCGGTTGGGGAAACGAAACACTGGGGCAAGTGACACGGAATGAAATGATATCGAAAGTGAGACGTCTGAACAAGGTAGAACGGCATCAAGTGTTCCTACCGACCTTGATCATGCTCCTTGTCTTCCATCAGCTCACTGAGCTCCCCCATCTTGGACCATCGCCCCCTCTTGACCTCCCTAACCACCCCCTTAATCCTCTGCATCACCTCCGCCTTGACCTCCAACTTATCTTCCCACACCTCCCTCTCAACACCCTTCATCCATCCATCCCACCTCCTTTGATCCCAGAACTCGATCGAGCGAATGTCATCCTCATCGATCGCTTCGGAGGACGGGAGAGGAGCTTGCAGCTCGACGACAACGGGCTCGAGTAAGAGGGCGAGGTAGTCGTCGGGAGGGAGGAGGAGGCCTTTGGAGAAGATGTAGGCTCGGAGATCCTCGTCCATAATCTTTTCCGAGCGAGTGGGAGGAAGGAAGCCAAGAATGCGAAGAATTTCTCCTGCGTCGCACCATGAAGCGGGGATCGGGGTTCGGCTCAGACCGGAAAAGGAGCTCGATTGCACTCGGCCGAGGCAGCCAGGGTACAGGTCACGTATCCATCTCATCCGAAAGAGATGGCGTCAGATAGTGTGCTAGGGCCACATCATTCTTGTGTACATCGTCAGACTGTATTTTCATGCATACATGAACCTATTCCTCCTCCCGTGCCTTCGCCTCAACATCCCCTTCGTCCGCCCTTTCCTCCGGCAGATCCACCCTTGGACTACTAGCCCTGACGAATCGTTCCCGCAAACTCTCACTCGACCCATGAGCACCCAACAAAGAATCCGCCGGTCTCGGCGCGATCTCCGTCGCGCTACTGAGAGCGACAGGATCCACAACTTCGCTCCCTCCCGATCCGGGATCCACTTCGTCGACGACTCCTCCCGTAGGGGTCGTGTGATTCCCTGGGTGGTTGTTGAGTTGACTTGGGGAAGGTGGGGAATGAGATCGACGAGCCGTTCCGAGTCCTCGGATCGGGGACCGCACTCCGTCAGAACTTCGACTGGGCGACGACGAAGAGTGAAAGTCATGCCCTGCCGAAGTATTGGACATATCCATCTCTTCGACACTCTCGTTCCCATCCCCATCGGCCGAAGTCTTGATGAGCCAAGGGATCGGACTCAGCAAAGGGACGACAACGGGTAACGCCCCCGGACTGGACGACGGACTCCTCGGTACGCTCGGTCGGCGCGTCGGCATCGTCGGGGAAGGTAAGGGGGATGCAACGGCCGTGGTATGGTGCAAGGTCACGATCGGTGCGCCGTCCAAGGTCGTTGCCGATGTCGAGGCGAAGGGTTCGACAAAAGTTTCGTCCTCGTTGAACGCCGATCGGGTCGAAGCGACGCTCACGACGCGCATAAGGGCTCGGAGGTATTTAGGCAGTGAGGTGTAGTGCTTTCGAGGGTACAGAATGAGTTCGCAAATGCGTTGGATCGTGAAGGGCGGTCTGCTCAGGGTGCGAAGCTCGCGTCAGAGTCAGCTTCAATCAAGAGGGCCGAAGAGGAGTCGGACAGGAGGAACTGACCCTGTGAACTGATCCAGCGCGTCGTAGGCACCTCCACGAGCTTTGAAAGCATCTTCGGGTGAAAGTGGCCACGGTGGGCCCAACGTGAGGTAGGCGTTGATGTTCTGTGCGATTTGGGGACGACAGAGTCAGCTCGCCCATTCGCGCTCCTAGATTAGGTCCTGGCATCCCCTGGCGTCCAAACATGCGCACCTCGGCCAGTTTATGTTTGAGCATGTCTCGCAAGATACGCCAATCGGCACTGCAATACGTAAGAAGTCATATCATCAGCACTGCAGCTCTCCCCACGCGCACGGTCATCGAAGCAGGCTTGGACTCGACGTCACGCTCACTCTACGACGTTCGTGATGGCGATCTGCTCCAGTAGTTCGTCATAAGCTGTGAGAAGTGGTCAATTAATCATGGTTGGATGCACCTTGGGCACGCCTGATGATCCTCTCTCACTCACCTGCGATGTATTCGAATCCGGGAGAATGATCAATCGAAGGAGCGGTGACTGTCCGGTAGCACCCATCGCACCAACAGGGTCAGTACGTTCTCTAATCTGAGCTTATCGGGCATATGTTGTTCACAGAGCACTCACAGCCATTCGAAGCAGAGCCGCCGGCCATGTCGACGTCCTCGCTGCGCTGGATGTATGCGCGCGAAGGCCAAGGGACGGCACCCCGACAACGTCTTCGATGGCCGCGGACAGAATCAAGGTAATCGACATAAAGCTCGCACGGCGTTCCCTCTCCTGTTGTCCACTTTGACTTTACTCCACTCATACGGATTACCGAGTTGCAAATGACGATGACAAGTTCCCTACTGCCCCTTCAATTCAATCCATATCCCAATCCTCCTCCTTCGGCTCCGTATCATCCCAATTCTCATCCTCATCCCTCCCCCCATCTTCGTCTTCTTCATCCTCGTTTTCCCCACCCAACCCACTCAAAAGCGTCTCCAACCTCTCCACCATCTCCAACGTACCTTCCCTTCCCAACGAATATTCCCCTTCCTCATACTGCTTCAAGACCCCATCCCTCACGCGGATCAATTCCCTTGTTTCTCGTACGAGGTGTCGTAAAAGGTATTTCGCGTCCGGGGTCGTGGAGAGGGTTGTCAGGATGGGGATGGAGGAAGGTTGGACTGTGTAGGAATCGCTAGTGGGGAAGAGAGGGTCGGGAAGACCGAAGAGGCCGGCGGGGGAGTAAGGGTCCATTGGGAGCGGCGCGGAAATGATCAGGGGTCGACCGTTGGGGAGGAGGGAGCGGAAGATCGGGAGTGACGAAGGGAGGATCGGGTAAGGTGGGGGAAGGCAGACCCTGGTGGGAACAAGACGGCGCAGGACTTAGCTTTCAGTGGTGCAGGGCCCCTCGGATGACGTGACGAAAGAGCTTGTACTCACCATTGCGCCAGAGGTTCCTTGAGGGGCAGCGACGCTCGCTCTAGGATAGGACCAAGCTCTTGTGTCTCCTCAAACTCGTAGCCACGCACAATCGAATACTGAGCAAAGGGCGTCGAAGTCATTCGGGGCTTGTTCTGTAAGACAACCACCAAGTTTCAGTCAGCTTTGCCACAGTTGGCGTCTGATGTCTCTGGGGAAACCCTACCTTGGCTTCCTCGTCGCTTCCGAAAGGCAGGACGGAAAAGTCCATCATTGACTCCTTGAGTTTCCGTTGTCCCGTATCTCCGGCGAGATGTTCGGCTGGTGATAAGGGGGTTGCACCGACGAGATGACAGATCTTGTTGTCGCCACGCCAGTTGAGCTGAGCGACTGTCTGATTCAGCCCATCAGGCTCTCTGGGAATCGAGTCGAAGCTTCAGTCAGGACATGGTGATGACACAGCCGACTGTCCCGGTCGATTTACTCACCTCAGCTCAGTATTGGCGCTCTGAAGATGGGTTGTCAAAACTTGGTCATACGCTGCTCTCCGATCGATCTGCGTCAAAAATAATCCCTCGGCTTAGTCTGCCAACTCGAGTGGCTCTTATAAAAGCTGCAATACTCACATCCTGTCGCAAAAATTTTGTCCAGGGTTCGTTGTCTTGCCATGCTCGCGCGGGTTGTATCGGCAGCAATAATGACGACATCTCCTCGAGGTGTTGAAAAGAGAACCCGAGATTCAAAAGCCGTTGCTTCTTACTCCTCTGCTCGGACACAGCTCCGATGCGAGTCAATGTCAACTCTACTTCGAGACGATTCAGACGTGTACAAACCTCTGTATCCTCCCTCTTCCATGCGAACGCGTCCGAGATCATCGCCGTCGTGAACACGCTCGATTTCGTGAAGTCGTCTCTCAAGATCTCGAGGAGCGTCGCCGACAGTCCCGAGAAGGCATCCGATACCGGCGTTGTAATCATGAAGCCCTATAGCAAGAGCATCAGTCTATATATTTCCCAAGTCTAAATCGAGGACGATAGAAAGCTTACCTCTGTATGGTCGCTCTTTTCGGCAAAGCCCCTGAAATCGTCTTCGCACCCTTCTCGGAGCTGGGGGACCGGTACAATCCCTGGAGGACATCAGCGACGCAATTCACTTCCTTCACCTGAAACGAGTGGGATGCTCACACTTCTCGACGAAAGCATTGTTTCTCTACCGATGTTCCACGTCGCGAACTCGTCCGTCTCGTCCGAACCAAAGGGGGAGAACCCCGACAAGGATCGGATCCGCTCGGTCCTGTGGGGAACCAAGCACGGTCAGCCGGGGACGGCCTCATAAAAAGCCATTTGAAAGAGATTTAACTGATTGATTCGTTCAGGTCTCGAGTTCGGGTCGGCTAAATTTGATGGTGCTCCGGGCCACGCTGATGGGGGTCTGAAGATCCCGAGGAAGAGGGGGGGACTCGTTAGCAGGTGCAGTGGGCTTTGCGCTGTAGTATCTAGGCACCTACGCCTCTGTGATGGTCTTGGTATTCGATCCCGATTGCCCTGTAAGGCAAGCCATTCGATTGGTCAGCTTGCCATCGACCTGTCCAGCGCTGAAATGGCCCCTGGTGCGAAAGACGGACCTCTCGCTAGGGCAAGTCGGAGCGTGTAGTCCGTGGTCGAAGGGTTGCCTTGGGCATCATGTTCATCATTACGTGCTACGAGAACGACTTCGAGACTGGGTCCCGTGATGGGCGATGACATGGGTGCTTGATGCGCGGTAGAGTCTGAGGAGCGGAGGGAGGGAGCGCGGGCCTGCGACGGCTGGTGCACCGACCGGCCAGCACTCAAATTCGAACCCGCTTCAGTGAGACTAAGTCAGTCGTCATCCTTTAGTTGAGAGATCTCCGTGATTTGTCGAGATCAAGTGTCATCTGCACGACGGTGACGCTCGTCTTGGTGAGTCCGCGCGAAAAGTGTTCCCCATCATGTGGCGCCATGGTCACGTGAGGGCGAGAATGAGGTTCGATTTCACAGTACAAATCACGGCGCGCGCGCACGCGTGAAGCTTTGAAGAGGGAGCGCGCGCTCGAGGAGCGAGGTGCCGGTGGGTGGGGCCGTGCGCGCGCCGACTCGGAGGGGCAAAGCTGGGGAAAGCACAAGGAAGGCTTAAAAAACAGGATGCATCACGATTCAAAAGCCCAAGGTTCGGTTTCCCACTTGACAATCAGAGTGATCTTCCTCGTGAAAGGTCCGCGATCTACTCTTGGCGGGTTGATATACACGCGTGTTTGTCACTTCAAACTTGACAGCTTGACCGCCAACTCGACCCGGACTTGCGACTCGTTCTCGCTTGCTTTTGGGCCCTTTTGGTCACGTCGACCGATCGCCGTCGACTTGGGTCGGACTGATCGAGCGGCACACGACCTGGTCGGCCTCGCTCTCCAGACTCGACCCGCCTTCGAGAGGTCCTCACCGGCTCACAGGCAATCGTTGCGACACTTGACACGACGATTACTACCTGTCAATACTCAAGACGCGAGTGCTCGACCCCCCACCATGGCCAGTTCGTCATACGCTTCGAGGAGCACCACCGCCGCGGCGACGCGACACGCCGAGCCGCAGCCGCCACCACAGCATGACGACCGCTACCGCTACCGTGGGGACGTCTACGACGAAGAGGATGAAGACCAAGACTATGATCGTGTCCCACCCCCTTCACCACCCATCCGGCCTTCCTCAACAGCCTCGACCTCGTCCAAGCGAGCGGGCACGCTAGGCACCTTACCCCCGCTCATGAGGAGATCCAGCAGCAGTGGCGGCGCATCGGCCACGGCTTCGGCGCGACCGTCGGGCGCAGCATCCGTCGGAGGGGCGCCACTTGGTCCTCGCTCATCGTTCGGAGGAGCCAGTTCAGCATCCATTCGACGTCGCACATCCGCTTCGGGGGGAGGTGCAGGCGGTTGTCGACCGTCTCCGTCGTCGATCAGTGGGCTCAACGGCGCGAGGATACCGATCCAACCGCCAAAGCATCCCGATATGTTTGACACCGAGGAGCAGTGGAGGGTCAGTTTACATTCGTGCTAGTAGACGGGATAAGTCGGATACTAACAAGCATGGCTTTGATATACCCCAGACACACCTTGATACGACAGAAAAGACGCAAGCATGGCATCATTTGCCCTTGTTCCTCGTCGTTCTGCCTCCACTTGGAGCCGTCGTCCACGGACGCGCCGAGAACTGGTCCGACGGCATCGTCATCACGATCGTGTGCTTCTACCTCTACCAACTCATCAAGGTACCCTGGGACATATACTACGCGTCCCATGCGCGAGTCGTGCTCGACGCAGCTCTGCCCAAGCCGGGACAAGAAGGCTATGATCCGCAGCAGGCCCAAAGGAAGGATTTCTCGGTCAGGCAGTTGAAGAGGACTGAGCTCTTGTCCTTGCTCGCGACGATGCTCGTACCTGCCGCTGGAAGTGGGTTGCTGTACTATGCTCGAGGTCTGCTCAGCGACCCGGATCGATACATCAACCGCTTCCTCATTTCAATGTTTGCGATCGCGACGAGCGTCAAGCCTTTCTTGCACTTCGCCAAGCTCGTCCAGCACAGTAGGTTGACTTGCGTCTATCAGCCACTTTTGTATGATCATTGCTCATCATATCTTTCTAAATCCCGCAGATTCACTCTATCACCAAGAGCAGGTGTGGTATCCATCTACCGAAGTCCACTTTCTACGTCGACGAATCGAAGCGCTCGAAAAGGATCTCTCGCAGGTGAGAGGCATTGTCGTCGTATCGCACTCGTGATCACAACACTGACGAGCACCGCTGTGGCCCTCAACAGCTCACTCGCGCATTTGCCACCAAGGATGATGTGCGCAACTTGCGAGATGGCGTCGATGTTCCCCTCTCGCAGCTCTCCAAGGCCGTCCGAAGGTAAGCGCCGACCGAACATCAGAGGCGATCGGAACCGACGCTGACTGAAGCTCCCATTTTTTTTTTTTGCAGATTCGATCGCAAAGAGGAATATCTTCGACTGTCGTCCGAAGAACGTTTCTCGCTACTCGAACAACGCCTCGAAGAAGCTACCCGCGAACGCCATGCACAGCAAACTTTAATTGAGCAACTGCGCTTCGAAGCGCACAACGCCAACCTCATCCAACAAGTCGTCCAAGCACTACGCTTCACCCTCTTTGGTGCTCATCATCATCGCGCAAGAGTCGAACAAAGACAATTGAAGTGGTTTGAGAAGGGTCCTTTCTTTTGGGTCTTCCTCCCCGTCAATGGTCCGAGGTTGGCGATCGAGTACATCTCGAATACGAACGATTTCGTCCCTCCTGCGTCATGGCAAGATCACAAAGCCGTCGGTGGGATTGGCGTTAGTCCAATGTCGTCTGACCCCTCAAAGTTCACGGCGCTTTGAGTTGAGAGGCGTTTTCTTTCTTTTTCGCGGGTCTGCCATCTGTATCATTCATGTGTCCCGGCATTACCTACCTATTCTTTGACCGTCTCTCTTGTCCTTTCGATCATGTCTACTTTGATGACCCCTCATATTAACGCGTTCCCAGAACCCCCCATGTTGATTCTCATTGTTTGTAATCGACCTCTTTGCTGCTGCTTCAATTCGACGCCGAGCACGCCGTTCGCTCACACATCATCATTGACTGCGTACTCAAACGTGGCTTCCCTAACCCCGTCGGCTGGGCAAGGAACGATAATATACCAACAGGATGATTACAATTCAGGCTACATTTTTGGGGGAGTGACAGAAATGCTGGTGCGGAATACGTGTTTTCGACGCGCCTGGGATGAAGTAGAAGACCCGGACGGCGGGTACGACGTTTTCTTCACCACTCGTCAGAATCTCCTCGTGTCTTGGGAGCTGTCTCGAAGCTGTCTTGGAGCAATTTGAAATGGCTGTTGTATTTCGTCGAACCCGGCCTCCTTGCCTGAATCGTCCGGCTCTAAAGTGACCACCGCTTGAAGTTCAAACCTGCGTCGACGGCAGCCGGGTAATTACGGCCATGCAATAGCTATGTGGATGCTATAGGGATCAGCCACGACTCCCGCAACAAACCCGTGTAGATCCTGGTGTTGGTACATCAATCCAGCAGTCTTGTTGGTATAGCTCGACGAGGTAATAAAAAACCTGAATTGCAATACTACACATCGTCGCGCGAACCTGACGGGCTCCGCATGGGCGCGCCCGGCTCCTGTGACCTCCTCCTGTGGCCTCCGCCTGGGATTTATGTGTATATACATGTGGGCTCCAGCCTGCAGTCCGGCATGGACCCCATTCGAGCGTGTCCATCGGAGCTTCGCGTCCACTCCATCGAGATCCCCCGAGCTCATCTCACAAGGCCCGGGCCTCCGGGGTAGGGGCTTGGATGGGCCCCATCTGAATATCTGAATCCCGCGCAGGTTCCATGTAGCTTCCCGCACGCGCGCTAGATGAACATTACCGTATGGGCTCGAGGTGGACATCTTATAGACACGCTATGGCGAACCGCATACGTTCGATAGAAATGAATTTCATGGAGGCGAGGTGAGTACACTACAGAGCCTTTGCGGTTAGTAGTACCAACGTAGGCCCGGCATGGATTTCTTGTGGCAGCGCGCCGCCAAATTCACGATCACTGTCCTGAATCGGCCGGGTACACCTGATAGTCTGATTGGTCGGTCCACTGGCACTGCAGGCGGTCTGGTCTGGCTCTCTCGGCGATGAGAGATTCTGGGTGCACGATACGTCCGGAGCCGAAATTCGTGGCCAGTGGGTGCCTTTCGGTGGCGAGTGACCACTGGCAACTGCGACGGGGGGCCGCGTGAGGAAACCTCGGCCAGGTAACTCCAAGCGATTCCAGAGCATGTCGACCTCTTTTCGCTGCACTCGGCCAATCTGATCGTGCAAACGGGTTGCGTCTAGCCCTCAAGGTCCCAAGATCAGTACGATTGCGAGTGCAAGGTAGAATGCAAGGCACGTACGAGCTTGTGCAGGTCTGAACCGGCCGTTGCGAGTGCAGTCGAGAAAATCCGCAGGGCATCGTTCTGGTACTCAAGCTTGAAATCCCAGATGCCCCGCGTGACCGTGCCGAATCGAAGCAATGCCTCCTGCGAGCGAGCGTGGCTCGTTAGCGGATGTCGACAAGTTGGTCAGAGGGACGCAGAGGAGAGACCTTACTGCGAAGATCGGCGCTGTATCCCGGTGGCACAGAAGGAAGGGGTTGGCCACAAAGATCTTTGCTGGGATCGCCGCCTTGCGCTGTCGCTAACGTTCGAGTGTTCCCAACATATGTGAGATTCTCAAAGTACTTTAATTCTCTCTTATTTCCTTCTAGCATCATGGCCCCTGTGTCTCTTCCCTTATTCTCCTTCTTGACCCGGCTTTGCCGTCTATCTTCCGCATTCTGGCCAGACTCGCGCACTTGCTCTCAGCTAGCTGGCCCCGCGCGACTCTCTCTCTCCTGCTCAAGCAACTTCTTGGTCTGGTCTCCCTTGGTCCGTCGATCAGAGACTTACCACTGCTTGAGCAGGTGTGTAAAGCAACTTCTTGGTCTGGTCTCCCTTGGTCCGTCGATCAGAGACTTACCACTGCTTGAGCAGGTCTGTGCGTTGCTTCTACCTCTCATAACATACACGCGCGACCCTCGCTCGTACAGATGTTAAGCATCCCCAAACATTTAATTAACCGTCTGCAATAGGTTTCATACTCTCAGAAAATGACAATCTCAACTTCTTCTCGTGTCTACCGTGGAATCCGTATGATCCAACACCGCGAGCCTAGCGCGAGTCAGACCCTGCGGAAATCAGGAGCCAGTCCGTGTGAAATACCCATCCGAAAGGGCTGGCCGTGTAGCAGGGGTCCGCATTAGATCAGATCACCACCAGATCTGATCTGATCTGATCTTAATCTTTCTGAATCTGCCTTGATTGATCTGATCTTGATCTGGTCTGAACAGATCATTTTGATCTGACACACGAAATTGCTTTATTTGGCGCAGAGAGACTCTACATGTCTACGTGTTGAAATCCCCATCTTCTTCCTCGACAACCTCATCCTCATCCATCCTCATCATTCTCCAAAGTGACCACCTTGCTAAGTCACCGCTTTTTGGAGGAGCTCCGACCCGCTTTTATGACTGGAGACCACTCCCTGTAGTGTTTCTGTGGCGCGGGGCCGACACCCAATGCGGCGGCGATGGCAGATGGCAGATGGCGCGATCCATTTTCTCTCATGATCAGGTGCGCCGCAGTTGGCATTTCAAATCACAATGGCACCATCTAGGTACCGCCTACTTCTGGATTTTTTTCCTCGAGGCTTGATTGATCTGAACTTGATCTGACAGGGGTCAGATCAGATCAGATCTAATGCGAACCCTTGCTGTGTAGTCAGTCTCCTTCTTCCCGATTACAGAGATTCTGCCGTTTGCGAAAAGGATGCACGAACCTTGAGATCAGTCGCACTCAACTCGAGTACCGCTTCCTTCAACATGGTCATTTCCTCCAAGAGAACCTCGATCATACGTGCATGAGTGATATGGTAGCGAAGGAGGCCGGGTCGCTCCTTCATGTCCGGATCCTCGAGCAATCCCTGGCGAGCCAAAGACCGATACCCAGAGAATCTCACATGAGTATCCGCTTGAATAGTCTCCACATAGTCTACGAACCCACTCACTTGAGCAGCTTGCACAACATGTGGCGTTGCGGGAATACCCATGGCCGCGAGGATGACGGCGGGGTCGTTCTCGGGCGGCCTGAACGAGCCGATCGCCCTTCCCTGTGGCATGAAGTCGACCCGTGTCAATGCAGGGTTTGTCATCGAAGTCAACTAGAGGTCTCTGAGGTGTTGGCTGACCTGTCGGGTGTGGAGGGGCAGCACTCAGCCTCCGCACGAGGCAGCGCCACCCCAGTCACGTCACGGACGTACCGGTGTCGGATACGTATCCTGCTCCCACATACCCTGCTCGCTCCCTAGCTCCGTACTGTCCACCCTTTGCTCGTCTGTTGAAGTCGGGAAGGAATATTTGGCCAACGCGGGGGCGGACACGGCCCCGTGTCCCTGGCCCAGCCTGGATGCTTTCGCTCGGTGTTTTCTCGAAGCGGCATGCTTGATTGCACCGCTTCTCCTCAGACGCCCTGAGCCACAGTATTTACACGCGAACCCGACGGCTGATCGAACGGAAGAAGTTTGGATGACGAAGTCTGGATGGGTTTCGCCCAGTGCGGCGCGCCCGACACGAGTCAGCCTTGCTGCGACCCGTTTTTGCGTATGGTACTAGATCAAGGGTTTTGTTCAGGCGCTGACCTTTTTCGAGGACGACATCTGGGTCCACGATTAAGTGGTCGCCGGAATGGGGTGCACTGAGGGCGGACACGACGCACGGCGGAAGGCGGAAGGAGGACCAGGTGTGGGGCCTCTCGCCGAACTGAGCCGCGCCGGCCGAACTGCCTGGCAGACTCCTGAATACTCCTGGCATCGCTTGGAGTTGCCTGGCCGAGGTTTCCTCACGCGGCCCCCCGTCGCAGTTGCCAGTGGTCACTCGCCACCGAAAGGCACCCACTGGCCACGAATTTCGGCTCCGGACGTATCGTGCACCCAGAATCTCTCATCGCCGAGAGAGCCAGACCAGACCGCCTGCAGTGCCAGTGGACCGACCAATCAGACTATCAGGTGTACCCGGCCGATTCAGGACAGTGATCGTAAACTTGGCGGCGCGCTGCCACAAGAAATCCATGCCGCCGGGCCTACGTTGGTACTACTGACCGCAAAGGCTCTGTAGCGTACTCACCTCGCCTCCATGAAATTCATTTCTATCGATCGTATGCGGTTCGCCATAGCGTGTCTATAAGATGTCCACCTCGAGCCCATACGGTATGTCCATCTAGCGCGCATGCGGGAAGCTTCCTTTCTCTCCTTCACATCACTTCTCCAAACTCACTTCCAACTATCATCCACTACCCCTCTCCTCTCCTCTCGCTACCATGTCCCTCTCCCTTGCACACAATCGCCCAGTCGAAGTCTTACACCTCTACTTCAACCGCAGTGGCGGCATCATGACTCTATGTGAGCTCGCCACAACCGAGAAGACCGAGGTGGCCGCATTCCTCGTCCACGACCGCCGAGTTGTCCTGCGCGCCCTGGCGAACGAACGATTCTGGCCCGTAATCCGCACCATCTACCTGCGCCAGTTAAATTCCTACCCTGCTCCGGGCAGCTAACTCCTCGCTTCCGCACCATCGCTGACTACCCATCGGACTTACCTTCGTAGGCCCTGCCCGTCGTCTGGGACCGTTTGGTTCGACAGTTCATGCGAGTTGTCGAGGGCCCTTCCGGCCTTAGCGAGACCCAGGCCCGAGACTGGCAAGACGAGACGCTGCAACTATACGACGAAATCGCCGACGCCTTGGCGGACACAGCGCACGTCGCCGCCCAGGGACAGAGGGCCATGACTCACCTATTCGAGTCACTAACCTCGCCCCCACACCAGTTCCTTGAGCGGGCCCAGCGCCACCTATTCCAACCGGCCTCCCCGACCGAGTCCGACCACATCCGCGAGGATAGTAAAAGCCATGGAATGTTGTGGAAGGTTATGGAAGGTTATGGAAGGTTTTCTACAAGCGAGAGATCACGATGCCGATGTCCGGATTGCCAGATGGAAGGTTGAGGAACGATGTGGAATCCCATGGAACAAAGACGACTCGGGTTTCGGCGTGCTGCCTCGAAGAGGAACGTGAGGAGGATCGGAGTCATTCGCGCTTGAGCTTGATCTTGATAGCTTGATCTTTGACCCGGATCTCGTCGGTTGAACTCTGGCTCACCAAGACCGTTACAGGAAGCTACATGGAACCTGCGTGTAAGGCATCCCCTTACACCCCTTACACTGCGCGGGACTCCACTGGGGCCCGTCCAAGGCCCTACGGTACCCCGGAGGCCCGGGCCTTGTGGGATGAGCTCGGGGGATCTCGATGGAGTGGGCGCGAAGCTCCGATGGACGCTCGAATGGGGTCCATGCCGGACTGCAGGCTGGAGCCCACATGTTGCATACACATGAATCCCAGGCGGAGGCCACAGGAGCCGTGCGCGCCCAATGCGGAGCCCATGAAGTTCGCGGCGTGTACGGGAGCTTTGTCGCTCGATCTGTCTAGATTCCAAGAGAAAAAGCACTACAGCTACAAGGAAGGCGACCTCTTAGGACATATCCATCGACTCCTCATCACCCTGATCCTCACCTAGACCATCCTCTTCCTCCTCCTCTTCCTCCTCTTCATCATCCTGTTCCAAACCCAAACCCATCTCCGCTTCTCTCCCACCTCCATCTCTCCTGCGTAGTTCCCCCACCCTCATCTCCCCTCCGATCCCCTCCGCAACCCCACCAATCTGCGGACTTCTCCCCAACAAGACATCCTTCTCCAACTCCTCCACCATCCGATCAATATCCCTCAGCGTCCCCTCCCCTAACCCAGGGAACCCAATCCGCCCTTTCGAAATCAACCCCGCCGCTTCCTCCAATGCCAAATTCAACAGATCACACACCACGGGATCTCCCGGTGTGATGGATAAGGCTTCGTGGTAGCGGGCAATGGCTTCTTGGTAGTGCGAGAGTCGGTGTTCGACCATGCCTAGGGCGGCGTAGGCGGACGAGGAACGAGGTTCGAGGGAGATGACGAGACGGAAGGAGGTGTGCGCTTCGGCGAGACGGCTGAGCGAACGCAGTTTGGTTACACGTCAGAGAAGGGTACTTGAACTGTGTATTCAACTACCGGGGACTCACCCTAGCTTGCGATACGTATGCCCGAGGTTGAGATGTGTTGCTGCCCATGCGCTCGGGGGGGCCTGCACTCTTGCGGCGAGCACCAATGCGCAATTGAAGTGGTTGATCGCTTCGGCGTATCTAAAGGGATAAAGGCCATTTATCAGTATGTTGATCTGAACCAACGCGGCACAAAGCGCTAGGACCCAAAACTGACCTCCCCATATGAAAGCACGCCACGCCCAACTCATTATTCGCCAAGGGATCCTCCTCGCACATCTTACGTGCAGTGGAGATGTACTCATGCGCCAAAGTCAGATTCATCAAGCCCAAATGCTGCATTCCGATGAAGAGGAGGGGGAGATGCGAGCCTTGGGAATGACGAAGGGCGGTGGAGTAGGCTGTGATGGCTTGGTCGTGTTCGCCTTCGAAGGCGTAGGAATGCGCAAAAGCGAGCCAGGCGGGTCCGAAGCGAGAGTCGAGCAAGACGGATTTACTGCGCAAGACGCAAGATTGAACCCGAGAGAGAGAGAGATCAGTCACCACATACTCGCACACGAAACCACTGCTGGGGTTGAATAGAGATGTACCCAAAATACCGCCTTGACTCTTCCCACCTCTTGCCGGAAAAGTACCACAGCCCAACGGCATACCAGCTTGTGCAATCATCCGGCTCGTTATCGACGAGATGATGAGCGTAGAGATACAGCTTGGACCGCAGATGAGGTAGATGGTGCATGCACGAGAGGTGTATCGGTAATGTCGGTCGATGGGAAGAGTGAATCGATAAAATCCTGTGCGGAAAAGAAGTACCATGAGTGAGTGAACGAGAATAAGGTGCATCACCGTGACGAAAGTCCCTACGCACTTTGAGGTGAGCTTGTAGCATTCCGCGAAGCGGAGGCTGGTATAGAGCTCGTCGACGAGACTGAACATGACATCGGGGTCATCGCCCAGACCAAACTCGTGTGTGAGGCGTTGCCGCGCCATCGCCATCTCCTCATGATGAGTCATCTGCAGCGGACGAGAACTGTATCAGCGATGCGCAGGACGGCCGATTGGGGTCCCCATCGCCTACCTTCTTCAATCGCACGGTGTACATTAACTGAATAAAGTCGGCGTCGTCTTCGGTTTGAGCAGTATACGGCAAGCCTTGTATGAACTCCCATTCTGCATAGTAGATTCGTCGACGCCACTCAAATCAGAGCCAGTTCCTTGAAATAGTGTTCCTGTCCCCTTTGGCTCCAACGCACCTTCAGAATTGGTCATCATCTCGCTCCCCACGAGCACCTGAAAGCTCTCAAAGCATTTCACATCCTTGGTCAAGGCCTCCATGAACGCCTCTTTGGCAAGATCGGTCGCTCCCAAGTGAAGGTGGATCAATCCCCGAAGGTGTGCGGTTGATGCGGTGAGCTATGAATACCCTAAGTGGCATTATCAGCGTCGATCAAGACGAGAATGGGCCCGTGGTGAAAACCCACCTTGATCCCATTATCCGCAGCCCCTGCACTCGTGTCATTTCCTTCTTCCTCCTGTTCCACATCGTCATCCAATCCATCCAAGATGAAATTCGACCCGTTCCACCCGACCATCTCCAACGCGTCGTCCCATTTGCCCAACCGGACTTGGCATTGAGCAGCGAGGTACCGACAAGCCAACGAGGTATCGGTCAATCTCGCCGATGGAGAGCCGGGTCGGATGGAGGTGAGTATGCGTTCGGCTTGTGCGTATTGATGGGTCAGGAAATGCGTTTGAGCGAGCCAGAAGGCGTCGTCAGGATTGGCTGTGGAAGAAGCAGAAAAAGTTAGGACGGACTCGCTCGCCTCCGAGGTCAGTTCCTCCCTCGAGCCGGGATGACACTCACCAGTGATGGCCAAGATCTTTGCGCCCCAAAACTCTGCGGTCGAATAGAGATGTTGGGTCATGGCATCGTTGCGCCAATTCCTCATTCGGTCGACCCTGGTCCAACGTTCGCGTTCGCGATCCCCTCCCCCTTGCCCCTCTCCGTCGTCCTGGCCATGCTCCCGACCAGCATAACTCGTCTCCCCGTTCGGCGCGGCCAAATTCGACCCCCTCACATACCTCGTCCTGGCCTTGGCCGTAGGTTTGCTAACACTCGTGCCCGCGTCACTGGTGCCTTGTCCCTGTCTTCTCGGACTGAGGGACAATGTACTCCAATGCCGTTGTCGCTTCAAGCCTTGCAATTGCTCGTGACTGAGGTTGTGCGAGGTGTAGCTTGTGGAGAGGTCAGCTACGGAAGCTGAGGTCGTCGTGTTGGAGGGTAGGAGGGAGTTTCGTCGTGTACGGGATGGGTGTTGGCTTCCTGCTGTGGTGGGCGTCGGTGGGGGGAGGGTGGAAGTTGAAGCATGTGGGTGAGCGTGCGGGTACGACGAGAAGGACAACGATCGAGGAGGGGACGACGGGCGAGGTGGGACGGAGGAGGAGGAAGGCGTCGAATGTGAATGTATGGGTTGAGCCCGTCGTGACATGATTTGGGCCGTGTAGGAGAGGCACCTATCGCGTTGGACGGAGTGCAACTCGTCGCGTCTCAAAAAATCACGACGACACGAACGCGTCAAGCGGCGCGACTCACTCGGCGCACGCTGCACGACGAACAATAGTTATCCTGCATCTCTCTTTCGAGTAAGTCCAGACCAATATATATCAACATCAAAAGCACAGATTCCTATGTTCCGCCCCCTCACCTCCTCAAAAAACACCTATACACCTCCCCGTCCCCCTTCTTACCCTCCCCATCACCACCCACTACAACTTCCACGACCCCGATGCCGACTCCATAAGCTTCCGCGATCCGAGGACCTAGTACTATATTCCAGCTCCTTCTCCCTTCCGTCGCTGAAGCACCTGGTATAGCAGAGCCAGCTTTGTTCCCCTTTGTGTTTGCCGTCGGTGTCATAGGAATCTCCTCGCAGCGTAATTCAGTCCCCGTTCCTCGGACAAAGACTCGCATCGGTACGTTGCCCGAACTGTCGCAGGAGAGCACGGGTGTGATCTCGACGCGTTCCGTATCGATAGGGAGGGGTAAGAAGTGCTGGCGGACTGTCAAGGTTGGGAGCAGGAGCAAAGGTTGAATGGAGGGGGTATTGGCAGTGGAAGAGGTTCCCGCTGGGTTGGTCGAGTTGAGGGGTCGGAGCAAGAGATACGAGAGCGCTGTATATATATAAAAGAGAGAGAAAACACTCAGATTATGCCGCGTTATTGTCAATGGTGAGTAAACACTCACGAGAGCTCTTCTCCGACCCGTTCACTTTCGCTACCATTCGATCGACCGAACTTCCCGAGGTCGGCACGACCGAAAAAACCGAAACACCACTCATCACGACCGGAAGGGCGGGCAGGACGCCATTCCCGTTGAAGGGCATTGGTGACCCGAAAGCCGAGTTGACCATCGCTGCGGGTGACTCTACGGACACTGCAGCGCTGGGAAACGGTGATCCTGCACTTGCAGGCGCCGGCGCGGCGGGATACGGAGCTGCCGAAGGTAGAGATACCGACGTGGGCATCGGAACGGGTAAGGGTCCAGGTGGTCGACCATAGTGAATCGGGGTCATCCCCTCCCCTGGAGGTAAGGCCCGATCTCCCTCCTCATCCCGATCATCATCTTCGCTTGGCGCATCATCCTCGATCCCTTCGGGCGGCTCGCTCCCACTCACACCTTGACCCGCGCTCATGCCCCTGCCCCTCCCATCTTTGAACCCATTGATTGACGTCGACGATGACGAATGCGACAACCCCTTGGCCCTCAACTCGGCCTCTTTCCGCCTCTTTTGGGTGTTGTACGTTCGGGGCGGTACGAATTCGGGCGGTTGTTCCTTCATCACCTCCAAGAACTTCAACTGCAAGTACTTGGCGTCCTTCCAAATGCTCGAGCCCTCCTCATTGGAAATAAGCGCATTGTTTACCAACAAGTCGACGTCGTGGATGAAAGCCGCGACGTTGGTGTAGATGCGTTTCTCGATCTTGTGACGAATTTGCTCAAAGGCGATGGGCGAAGCGACGAGTTTGTAATAGTCGACCCATTCTTTTCGATCGGGAAGGGTCCAGAAGGAATCGGCGTAACGACGACCGAGCGGATCGACGTCTCCGATCAGTTCGTCGAATTTGCGTTTGAGCCAGGGGCGCAAGGTCGGACCTCGTCGAGCCCCACCGGCACCCGATGGTGTCGAGGATGAGGAAGCGAGGGGTGAGGGTCGGTATGAGTTGGATGAGATGTTGTGTGGTTCCGATGTTTTGTCGCCATCGGCATCGTCGTCATCGGTAGGCATGGCTTCACCCGTCCAGCTCGCGAACGCGTCCTTGAGTACTCTCTGTGGGGGGGTGACGAAAAGGGTATATTATTGAAGACTACTCGGCAGGTATGAACAAGTCTCGAGGATGTAGAATACTGACATGGAGTGCCCTTGCGTCGAGAAAAATGCTCGATCCTGGAGCGTTGTACCTCTTGGCGTTGACGAACAACTGGTTGAAATCGTCCTTGATCTCGAGAACGGATCGGTACTCGACTGGGTGGGGAGGCAATAGCAGAGGTTGGTCAGCTACAGTTCAATACGGTCGAGAACAATACGCAGAGCGACCGACGCTTCTCGAGCCTGTCCTTGATGATGGTAAGGTCGATCGGCTTTTTGATGATTTCGTAATAGTCGGGGTAGTCCGTTCGGGAAGGCAAGCGCATGAAATCGAGGTGGATCGGTCGAGTCGGTCTGGGAGGTTCAACTTGGGATGAGTATAGGCGAAACAAAGCTCTTTCTGCAATGTGCAGTCGACTGACTGATACGGGTCATGGTGACTGCAGATCTTGTCGTAGAGGGCCAGGCCTCGTTTCCTGACGTCGAGGAACTCGGAGGGTTCGTTCGCAACGGTATAAGCCCATCCAGAGGACCATCGCGATCGGGTCTGTCGTCATAGAGGGAGTTTTATAAGCCCATTGCTGCAGGAGACCATCCGGGTCGGACGCAGCGCGGGAAAGGGGTTCGGGCCTCTAACGCGTGAGCTCGTGTGTGGGGTGGGGGTGAGGCCGACAAACAACCGCCGTGTCACGCCTCGGCCACTCGGCTTGATCACCAGAGCTGTGCAAAGGTCGAATGCACAGAAACACGTACACACACCAACACGACAAAGGTACAAGAGACTTGCCTGGGACTGAGGCTCGGGACTTGGAAGCACGCGACTGCGCTTGCGCGATCCTTCCATGATCAACGACGGATCGACCCCTCCTCGCGTCGTTCTCCCTCCCGGAGTCGAGCCGTGCATCTGTTTTCGCTTGCACTTGTGAGCCAGGGCGAGAGGAACGAGTCCGTCCGAGGAGTGGGGCTGGGTGCATGCGCGGGGATTGTATACAATCGCGGTCCTAATCTGATTTGATCTAATCAGAAACGCGGCATTAGTAAAATGGGCCGGATTTGCGCTTGGCCCGCGCGCGAACGAAAGAGCGGCGGAGAAAAAGGTCGGTCGTGGGAGGGTCGTGCGCGCTAGCTGGCAAAGGCTGACAGGCAAGGACAGGCAAACGACAAAGAACGGGAGCAGTTTGCAAGCTGTGTGACACGCCCTTCATTTCCACAAGGCTCACCGCTCACCGGCTCACCGCTCGTTCTTGTTCTGCCACCCGCACTCGCACACCTGTCAGTCCCCCCCACCCCCACCCCCACCCCCCCTCTCAACTCGACTGACTACTGTACTGACGCTCTTCACCTGTCCTACTCTCCCAGCTCGTGCACGCACATCTCTCTCCCCCCCCCCCCCCCCCCCCCGCCCCCTTCGCCAGCGCCCGCTCAAAAGTCGCAGTTCGCTTGCCTGCTTGCGTCGTCGCTGCTTCTACCCACTCCATCGTCACACCGCTCCTCCATCTCTTGATCTCTGTCTACGCTCTACACGCTGCTTGTTCCCCCCCTTTCTTTCCGCCCCTCCCCCTCCCCCCCCCTCCCCCGCATTGTGATCATGTCATCGACCACAGCTTCGGCAGCACCACGAGGAAGAGGACGAGGCCGCTCCTCGTACGCCCCGTCCAAGCCGCACCCACAACAGCAACACCAGGTGCAGGTCCAGGACGACAACCAAGAGGTCGCCAGGCTGCGTAGCCAGTACAAGTCCCAGCTCGCGACCGCCAAGGAACTCTTCCCCGACTGGTCCGACGAGGACGTGCTCTTTGCGCTGCAAGAGGCCAACGGCGACGTCGAACTCGCCATCCTCAGGATTACCGAGGGTCAGTCCCAGAACATCACCGGAAGAGCCGTGTTTTCTTCTTCCCATCCTTCACGTGGCTGACTTCTCTCTCTCCGTCGCGCGCCAGGCCACGCCGAACAATGGGGTTCCGTCAAGTCGAAAAAGACAAAGAGTCAACCGTCCGCAGCATCGGCCAACAACACCAACCGCTCCGTCTCTTCGGCCAATGCATCCGCCGAGAACAGTGGGTGGGGTGCCGAACAGCCCGCGTCGACCCCGGCCGGTCGAGGAGGATTCGCCGCTCGAGGCGGTCGCGGTGGATTTGGTGCGTCTTTTCGAAACGCCGTCATTCGAAGGTCTGCACAAAGCAGTCACTGACCACAACACCTTTGTCGGTTTGCTTCACAGAAGGAGGTGTCCGTGGTGGTCGCGGAGGTCGAGGTGGTGCCAGGGGAGGCCGTGGAGGAGCTGCCGGAGCAAACGGCACCCGCAGCGCATCCCAGACCAACGGGCAGTCGTCGTCGTCCTTCACCAGCTCGACCCCGGCTTCCTTCGAGACCTCCGAGTCGAATTCGACCCATGCCGCCCCCGATGCTTCGACCTCAACTCACGCTGCCGCCGCCCCGGCCAAGCCTGCTCTCAAGGTGCCGACCTGGGTCAAGAAGTCAGAGCGCGCTCCCGAGCCCGTCGTCGAGTCGCAGCCGGAGGCCGAGCCCGCTCAACAAGAGCAGCAACAGGAGCCTTTTGTCGAGCCCGCTGCGACAGAAACTGTGACCGGATGGGGTGACGTTTCCGCCGCGACGACGGACAAGGCCGATGCTTCGGCCGAAACCGAGTCGACGACCGCTACCGTCGGATGGGGTGATGAGATCCCGAGCCAGCCCGCCACCGGTGGATGGTCCGACCGACCCGAGACGCCCGTGGTCAAGCCCAAGTCCAAGGTCATTGCCCCGGGATCCAAGATCTCGTGGGCTCAGATCGCTCGCCCTCCTTCGCCCCCTAAGCCTGCCCCCGCTCCCCCCACCCCCGTCGCCGCTCCCGCTCCTACCCCTGCTGCCGCCCCCGCCCCCGCCCAAGTCGCCTCTTCGGAACAGAAGCCCGAAGCCGCCGCAGAGCCCGCCTCGGCTCCCGTCATCAATTTGCCCTCGTCGGTCGACTCGACAGAGGCACCCGCCTCGACGACCTCGGGATGGGCTGCGGCCGAACCCGAACAGCAGGCCTCGGCCCCGGCCCCCGCCGCCGCTCCTTCCGCTTCCCTCGACCCGTGGGGCACCCCGGCTCCATTGGCAGCCGGCGAAGGATGGGCCGATGTTGTCGTCGCTTCAAACGAGACTTCGACGAACGCTTCGACCTTTCCCGAGGTCGCGGCCCACCTCCCACCTAACGACCTCAACGCCGCTGGACCTATCGAGATCTCGACCCCTGCCCAACAGCAACAACAACCCGTTGCTGCCGTGGAGCAGTCGCAACCCCAGGTGTCCGATTCGGTCGACAACAAGTTCGGCGCTGGACCGCCCGGATTGCCGCCCAAGAGGGCCCAACAAGAGGCCGTCGTCTTGCCCGGTGCGACCTCGTCCGAGCAAGCGCCGATCGGCGTTCAGTTCGGTAGCTTGAGCTTGTTCGACGGGCAACCGTCGTTCGGTCAGGAGCATTTGCAGCAACAACAACAGCAGCAAGAACAACAACAAAAGAGCGAGCCGATTGCGCAACAGCAACCTCAGCAACAAGCTCAACAACAGCAGCAGCAGCAAGGGTAAGTTCTTTGGCGCAGTAAGACGGTACTCAGGAGGATGTCGTGAAACTGACTTGTTGTTCGTTGTTTCGTGGTCTTAGCTACGGCCAGCAATACGCTCAACAAGGTGGCTACGCCGACCAATCGTCGCAAGGCTACCAACAGGCGCAGCAACTCGACTCGACCGGTGCCGGTGCCTTCTCGCAAGCTCCGCCCAACCTGTTCGGCCAACAATCCGCTTTCGCTCGTTACCCGAACCAATCCTACGGCCTACCGCAACAGTACCAACAGCCGCAGCCGCAGCAGCAGCCGCAACAACAGCATCAGCAGCAACCGCAAGCGCCTCAACAACCTTCCGTCGAGGATGCTTCGAACCCTTACGGTGTTAGCTCGTTCATCAAGCACGACCACTCGGCCGCTTCGCCCTACTTCCAAAACCCGGCGCAACAACCCCACTCGCCGGCGCCTCAACCTTCGGCCTACGGTGCCTCGCCTTTCAACTCCACCGCCTCGCCGTTCGGTAACGCTCCTCAGCAAGCGCAACAACAGGCTCAACCACCGCAGCAACAGCAGTCCGCGTCGGACTACTTGTCCTTCTACGGTGGTGGTCAGGACGTCTCGCGCATGGGCTTCTACGATGCGTACGCGCAGTACTCGCAGCAGCAACACCATGCCCAGCAACAACAAGCCCAACCGCCTTCGCAAGGTGTTCCACCCGCCGCCGATCCGACCGCGAACGGCGCTGCGGCTGCGACGACCCCTGTTCCTCAGCCACAACAACAGCAGCAACAGCAGCAGCACCAGCAAGGCGGTTACGGCCAGATGATGGGTGGTTACGGTGGCGGAGCCGGTTACTCGCCTTACGGCGCGTACGGTGGATACGGCTATCAACAACCCGCGTACGGTTACCAAGCCGGGTTGCCGCAACAAGGTTACGGGTACTACGGCTACGGCGCGCAACAGCAGCAACAACAACCTCAGCAACAACAACAGGGTGGCCGAAGGGGTTACAACAACGCTGGTGCGTCGAACCAGTTGCGAGGGTACGGGCAAGGTTCGTACGGCTACGGAGCGCAACAACCGCAACAACACCAGATGCAAGGACAGCCTCACCATGCCCAAGCCGGTCAACAAGGCGGACAAGCCGGGCCGGGCAACTCCAAGGACCTCGACAGTCGGGGGTTCTTTTAGATGGACTGGAAACGAGTGAAGAAAGCAGGCAGAGGAGGGAGGGCAAAGAGACTTTGTCGTTCCTTTTTTCTCGTAACTCCCCTGTAAATGAGTTTTTCTTCTCTAACTCCACAACGTAAGACGAAGAGATAAATCCACACAAACTATCGCTACTCATTTTCTCACGCCTTGTGAGTGTCATGCATTGCAAAAGGAGAGTGCGTCGCAGACGAGAGAGCATCGTTCAATCATGGACTGGCATTACATAACCGTCCATCACGACCTCTTCAGATACACAGCATCAACCTGCTTCACACTAGGATACTTGTACATGATCCTCCTCTCGTAGTTCCCTCCCAACTCCTTCTGCAGCGGGTTTCCTTCCAAATACACCGTCTCCAATTCCTTGCTCTCAATCTCGGGCAGTTCGGTCAATTGATTATCGTTGGCCCAGAACTCGGTCAGGTTGACGAGGGTCTTCAATGCCGTTGAAGCGATCGTTGAAATTTTGTTGTGGCCGATATCAAGTGTCGTAAGTTGGGTATTGTGTTCGAGACCGGAGAGCTCGGTCAGTCCGTTGTGGGAGAGATAAAGTTCGTCCAACGAGGTCAAGGTTTCGAGTCCTTCGATCTTGGTCAGTCGGTTGCCTGTTACAAGTGGGTGTTGGACCCACAGTTAGGTTGCATTCCGTCCATCTTTGAAAACCACTAATTCCTCTCACTCACTCTGAATACTCAATGTTCTCAGGCCGGTTAGCCCTTCGAGGCCTTCGATCTTGGTGATTTTGTTCTTGCCCAAGAACAACGACCTCAGATTGGAAGAGATAGGAAGGTTCTCGATCGACTGATGGGGTAGCCGTGATCAGCCCGAGGAGCGTCAAAGCAAGCTAAGATTCCAGGTACGTACCCTGATCCGATTTCCACCAAATTCCAAGTAGGTCAAGTTGGTTCGATGTCGCACGCCTTGTATACGAGGGAGCTTATTTTGGATAAGGTAGAGGTGGGTCAATTCGGGGTAGGCGTAGGCCGAGTCGGACGAATCGTCTTCCAGTTCAGAGATGGATCGGAGGAGATTGAACGAGAGGTCGAGCGATCTAGTTCGTCATACAGATCGGAGGTCCTCTTGGTCAGCAATTGTGCGATACGAAAGCCCAATGTCGACACACCGACTCACTTCAAGCTCGGCAGATTCTCCAACCCTTTGACGCTCTTGAGACTATTGTCGTACAGGTCGATCTCCTCGAGCTGCTTCAGTCCTCGCAATGGCCACTGGACTTGTTCCTCGCCTGATCGGACCTCATGGTATGGGAACTCGTCCTCCTTCTTTTTGGCATCCGGGTCATCGAGTTCGTCCTCGTCAATCTCGTCGCGGTGCTGAGGTGCTGTGGCTGTGGCAGATGCAGCTGCGGCGTCGGAAGCAATGGTCGGGATCGACTCCTCAAGTGCTGGTGGTGGTAAGGGTCTGTACGAAAGGGACGTCAAGAGGTTCTGTCGCAACGAGATGCGCTGTGAATCGTTCGCATGCCTCTTGCGGGTCAGCTGGAGGTAGAGCCTCGCGATGAGAAGCCGCACTCACCTCGACTTGGGTGAACCGATGCAGGTCCAGACCGCTCAGTGTGCTCAGCCTTTGGTGTGTGAGTTCCAGATCGAGCGCATCATCGGGTACATCAGCGAGCAAGGCTTCGTTGTCCTTCAACGCTTCCCCCTCGTGCACGACGTCACTCGGCGGGCCGTTCGCTGTGGCCGAGGACGAGAGCTCCTGTATCGGTTCACCCATAACGAGACGCGCCTTCCTCTGGACCCTCTTCTTCTGGTCTTCGAAATGACGCTCATCCGCCTTGAGGTTTGAGAAGGGCTCAGAGTTGGCCAGCGCATGAGGGGAGGGAGGTGGCGACGGCGAGGAGGAAGCCGAGGGGGCCTCATCGTCCAGGCCTTGGGGCAGGTGATGAGCGCCTTGAGGTTGAAGAGGGAGCGACATGTCTGAGCTAGACGAGTAAAGCAAAGTGGTGTCACCGGTTGAGGCAGGAGGATGGTGAAAGCAAGCAAGCCAGCAAGCCAGCAAGCCAGCAAGCAACGAAAGATGATCGATTATGACGCCGGTCTGGTCAGCAGTTTGAGCTCGGACCCACTCGGCCGAAAATGACGACGCGCACCAGGGAGCAGCAAGGAGAGGCAGGGAGCCGGGAGAGGAGGGGGGAGGCTGGGAGAGGCAGGGAGCAGCCAACTCGGAACTGCAGCCAACGCGTCCGTCGCACCGATCACGTTCACTTTCACGTGCTGTGCTATCTGGCTGCTGCGGGAACAGGAGCTCAGCCGAGCATGGGCAAGTGGGGAGGCCGAATATGGTCAGTTGGCATTTCTTGCAGTAAGAAGATCCTTCCCGCTGACCATCATCCCTTCTCGCCGACCTCATCGCCCGTGTGCAGGCTCTCATGCACGACCCTCCTGATCCTGTTCCTCGGCCTGTCCTCGCAAATCTACATCATCATCCCGTGGCCTTCGTTGAGCTCGGAAGCAAAGTGGCGTACCTTGTTCCCCTTCAATGTGCTCTTGGCTCTGTTGTTGTACAACTACTATCTCTGCATCACCGTCGACCCCGGGAGGGTCCCCGTCGATTGGGTCAGTCGTTCACCTCTCCTTGGAGCCGTCTCGTGCGACATGGACTCAGGCCTTCTTTTCGCTCGTGCACAGCGTCCCAATCACCTTGAGCCAATGCAAGTCAAGTCACTGACAAGAACACCTCGATACTGTCGAACCTGCAAAGGTGACCACCCCTTTTCCCCCATCTACCTCTCCTCGCGCGCCTCGCTGACCCCCCCGCCCCCACTTTATGGGGACCCCAAACTCATCAGCCTACAAACCTCCCCGAGCGCACCACTGCAAGAAATGCAAGCGCTGCGTCCTCAAAATGGACCACCACTGCCCCTGGGTCAACAACTGCGTCGGCCACCACAACTATCCCCACTTCCTGCGCTTCCTCATCTACGTCGACCTCGCCACGGCGTGGCATCTCATCATGCTGTCGCGCAGGGTCTTTTACGGCAATCAATGGGTCGATTATACTGATCACGAGATGACGAAGGGGTTCTTGATTCTTTTGGTGATGAACTATGTGCTGTGTCTACCGACTTTCATTGCTGTTGGCAGTTGAGTACCCGCCTTGCTCTCTTCGAACTTCACGAAGCGAAAATCCGGCTTGGCTTTCGGCTTCGGCATGGCTGACGCTTTTGATCTGCTCCTGTGCCTCCAGTATTCTCGCTCTATCACTTGTGGTGTCTCGCATCCAATACGACAACGATCGAATCGTGGGAAAAGGAAAAGGTGGCAACGTTGCAACGAAGGGGCCGGATAGGGCAGGCACGTCACTGAAACTGAGCTCCATGGACGAGTGAGCCAGGCTAAATCGCGATTCCCCTTCGTCGACAGTTCAAATACCCCTACCATCTTTCTTTCATCAAGAACATCCAAGCCGTGCTCGGATCGAATCCGTTGCTATGGCTCGTGCCAGGTCAAAAAGCACCAGGCGACGGGCTTAAGTACAAAGTTGGCAAAGAAGTTGGTGGGTCCACGAATCAATCATCGGGGCACGAAAAACGCTTTGTAAGAGGAAGAGACTTACCAAATGACTATTTCGTAATCCACAAGAGCAAGACTCGCAATATCTTTGGCCACCTAAAGATCCCTATCTCCCGTCCTCGTCGACCTCTCTCCATCGGGATCAGGTGAACGACCCTTCACAAGCCTTCACTTATGGTGCCGAAGCCTTGAACCCGACCCTTTCCTCGCAACTTCATCAGAGGAAGCGAAAGCTTGTCAAGTCCGATCGAGCGCCTTACGAACAATCGTCGGGTGTGGACGACGACGACGACGACGATCATACGGCGCTCGACATCGACGAAGGGGAAGAAGACGACATTCCACTTGCCACCCTCAGAGCTGATCAGACCAACGGCAGGGTTCGATTGCGAAGAGGATCAGAAGGTTACGAAGTTCGACCTCGAGGGCCATGGGGGATGGATGACCCAGGCCTCACGAGCCGATTAACGGACCAGACGGTGGGGTTCGAACGACCGCGAGAATTGGACGAGTGGCAAGGCTTGGATTCGAGTGATGGGAGGTATAGAGTTTATAGGCCTGGAGACGAGGAAGCGGAGGGGAAGCGGACGGATAGCTCGGAGGATGATAGTGGGAGTGGGTGGAGTAGTGAGCAGAGTGCGGATTGACTAACTTACTGGCTCTTAGCGAAGTTGGGCGGAAACTTGGGAGAGGTCCGAGCGCAGCGGGTTTGAGAGGTTGACGAAATTCCGGTGATGTCGTGTGCATGACGAAATCGGCACCTGATAGGCGCCTGCCTGCCACCTAGCTAGCTCTAATCTACGAATAGCTCGCTATGTAGTGCCCTGATAGGGAGTACAGGTCCTGATGACCACAAAAGGGCCCGTATCGTGTAGGCGGCGGTTGGGGAAAGTGTTGTCAGGGTTGCGAGGCCGAGGACCCGCCGACGCCGGTCGATTCTCGGTCACGATTTGCAATGTCTGAACCTGAGCAAGACACCCGCACGCGACCAGGTCGACGTCGACCTTACTCCAGATGTTGAGTTCGACCCCAACCCAGTATACCCAAGTCCCAGATCAATTTGACCATTACCAATTAGTCGTGGTCAAAAAAGGCGTTGCCGAGGCCAGCACTACAGACTCGCCGTGATCGGGACTCGGGAGTGGTACCAACCGACGCGTCCGCGATTGATTCCGACTTCTCCGAAGTCGTACAGACTTCCAATTTCCAAAGCGACACGAACCCGTCCTTCCCTAGGGTGCAGAGAAAGGTGATCGAAACTCTTTACGGGACCCAGGCTCTGCGAGCCGGTACGGGCTTTGTGATTCGTCGAACAAGATTTTTGGCATTCGCGTCAATCTAAGCTATCTATTTTTAGTCGTCGATCTTCTCGCCGTGGCCTGTTGCGCGCGCGCGTGCGTGCCCTGTACGCCCTGTGCAGGGTGTAAAGGGGATGCCTTACAGAAACAGCCCCATAATAAGTAGCCTCTGAGTAGCTAGAACTGTCGAGTTCTAGAAGTTACGACTTGCTTTTAGCCTAGCGGTCAAAAACGACAGATTGTAATTTATGCACATCAGAGGCGCATAGTACCTTACATTATTGCCGCAGCGGACCGGGCCCGGACCGCTCAAACCTTCTCCCCTGAGTATCCATCCACAGGTGGCTTCAACAATCTCTACTGTGACCTCCGATCCTCAGAGTTTATTCTAAGGCGCTGATGTGATGACCCTTGGTGAGCTCCGCCATAGGAATCGAGTGCTTGCCGGAAGGCGATGTTTTCCATCGGAGATTTAGGGATTCGTCGCCCCCTACGGGCGCGCGTTAATTCCAGCTACTAATCTTGTTCAAAGAAGCCGTAAGAGCGCACCTTCGATCATCAGTTCCTAAAACGAAGAATCAGGTTCGTCGCCGTCCCCGACCGGATGTAGCCAGCACACTGAGCTTCAAGCCTCGTGCCGGTGGAGGCGAGCCTCCTGAGTAACGGGTAGCCATGGCGGTAAGCCGGCAAGACCAGAGTAGCCGAAATTCCGGCCCGGGGCCGACTTGTGCCGCGCCTCGTCGGCGTCTACGGGAGGAGTCGATGACTCGAGCACTGCAACAACATCGTTGCGAAGTGTCGACAGATCCTACAACCCTGAAGTCTTATAGCCGCCACCTTGGCACTTCAACTCAGCTTTGTTCCTCCCAGCCGGGTTTTGGATGCCTACTATCTAGCTTCCGTGGAGCTTAATGTGACCCCTGTCAAAGTCTCACGTTAGTCTCATTTTCCCAAGTCTCGCTTTCAGTCGACTACCACGCCCGTTTTCCGCGAGCTGTGCTCCCAGCCCATGGCAGAACCCGTTCAATCGTTTATTCAAACTAGCCAGAAGTGATCCCACAAGAGCAACTGGCGAGGTTTCGCATACTGTAGTGAGAGAGTGACATCAGATTGGTCTTGAAAAATCCCGGAAGTTCCGGTATCCTATTACGAGACAGCATGGAGTAGCCCCAACATAACAACTCTTCGTACAATACTATATAAAGCAAGGAATGTCAGAAACCAAAGGTGACTCGACCTTGCGAGATGTGGAAAATGCCGCCACGCACTTAGACGACATAGCGGAAGCCCTCGGCGTGGTCGTAGTCCTCGTGGGTGTTGAGCGCAACACCCTTTTGGGGCTCACCCTCGGATCGGTCACGGCGCGAGTTGACCGCTCGGAAGTAGAGCGAAAGTGCGATGGCCATAACGAAGCCGAGGGCCTCGAAAGCCAGGTTGATGATGATACCTTTCCTGTACTGCGGGCCTTGGATGGTGGGGAACGAGAAGGCAGCGAGGACGGAGAGGCACTGGCCGATCGCGTTGAGCATACCGAGCGAGACGGCACGTTGCGATTCGGTACCGGTGTTGGCCGAAACCCACGAGATGATGAGCGGGATGGCACTGTACCCAGCAGTGACGATGCAGATGCAACCGAAGTAGCGGACGTGGAGCTGGGTGTGCGTAGCCTTGTGGGCGGGGATGGTGAGCAAAAGAGCCCATCCGATGATGCCGACAACAAAGACGGAGGCGACGGGGATACCACGGGTCTGCTTGCGATCGGAGAAGCTCGAAAGGAGCAACATGAAGACGAGGGCGACAACGTAAGGAGGAACCGAGAAGAGTTGGGCGTTTGCGTTCGAGTAGCCGAGACCCTTGATGATAGTGGGCAAGAAACCACCAACCGAGCCGAGCGTCAAGTTCATGCACGAGAACATACTGTGAGGCGCATGGGAAAAAGTAAATGATCAGTCGCGAAACTCAGGCGCGAGAACAGCTTCGACTGCCAGGGTGGACGTACACAGCGAAAGCGTAGGTCTTCCAATCGAAGAAGGCATGTCGGACGCCAGACCACTCGATACCACTGCTGGCCTCGAAGGAGGATTGCTCGTTCAATCGGGTGTGGGCGAGGGTGCGCTCATCCTCGTTCAGGAACTTGGAGATCGAGGGACGCGAAGGGAGGCAGAAGAAGACGACGACGGCGAGCGCGAGAGACGGCAAGCCTTCACTGTTGACGAGGAAGCCGAACGGAGAGAAGGTCAGCCCTGGATCACTGAGCCTCGACATATTCGCATATCAGGTCCTTTGGTAATGTACATCAAGAAGAGAATGCGCCATTGCTCGAGCTTCGTGTTGTGGATGTGGGCGACACCGTAGGCGATCAAACCGGAGAAGGCACCGGCGGTCGCACCAGCGGAGATGAACAATCCGACACGCTTGGCCAATTCCTTCTTGGTGTACCAGAGACTGTGTTTCATTTTTTTGAGCATCAAGCACGTCAGTTCTCCGAGTCTCCTGGATATCGATCGCTTAGTTTCGCAAACCCACGTGAGATGGAAAGCCATGGCTTGACCGAACATGGCCTCACCGAGACCGACAAAAAGACGGGCCGTGTAGAGTCCGCCAGGGGTCTTGGCGGCAGCTTGGCAGGTGGCGGCGATGGACCAGATGAGAGCTCCGATCGAGATAGACGTGGAAGGGTTGATAGCCTTGGCCAGCAAGGTACCGGGGATGGAGAAGACGATGTAGGTGATGCTGTTGGGGGGGGAAAGTGGAGGAGCGGGGTGAGCACGCGCGTGGGCCAGAACAGGCACTGCGCTGCAAGTTCCCGCGATGACAGCCAGTACATTTGACACTTACAAGAAGCAAGACAGAGCTATTGAGTATTTGGTGTCGCTGTTATCTAGAACCTCCTTTTGGAGACCCTGGAGACGGGCCGATCCCATGTTTCCTCGATCTGAGGATTGTGAGACAGGGGTCATAATCAGTTCATCGATGCTGCGACGACGGAGGACACGCGTTCGACCGAAAAGTGGAAAACTCACCAAGGTAAGCAGAGAGGTAGAGGAACACGGCCAAAGGCAAGATGACGAAATCTGAGCGTCCAATAGGGGGAGGGGTGGTCCGTGCCATGTCAGTGCTTTGTCATTTCAAACGTACCTACACGGCGCATTCCGCAGCGTTGCGAAGCAGGAAAAAGGGTGGGGGAGATGGAGCTAGTCACGAGGGCGGCGGCAGAGTGGGGCTAACGCCGAAATTTCAACGGATTCGCCGCCGCACCGCCCGCGATTGGCGTATGTTGCTACACTGTGAAACTGACCTTGCTTGCGAACGAGTCGTCGTTCACGCTTGTATAGGTCAGCACGGAGCTCAACACCGGCGGTCGAGTCGGCGTAGCTCGAGTTGGCGGTGCCCTTTTCCGTGTCGTAAGTCACGGTCGGCGCGAGCTGGCCATCGGTGGTGGTCGCCTCGGGGGCGAAGCGAGCGTTGCGATCTTCGACATGCTGCTGTGTGGGTTTGGTATCGTCTTCCATATAAAGAGTGGTGGGAGATGGAGGAAGTAAGAGGAGAGAACAAGCACGAAGGTAAAAAAGAAGGTTGGGAGTGTAGGAGAGAAAGAGAAGGGGGGCGAGAGAAACTAAAATCCCGTGGGGTGAGTGTGAAGCCCGAGCGGCCTCTAGCGTCGCACGCACATGACCAAGGACTGAGTCTGGTCGAAACCCGGCTGACCGAATATCGGACCAATATTAGCCGGTTTTCCCCTTTTGTGTAGTTCAGTCTCGGTCCTCTCTCTCTCTCTTGAAGAACACATTCATTCGGAACCGATTCCTGAAACAACGAACACAGTCAACAACACCCTTTCGAATACGACGAGCGATCGGCCCAGTACTCGCGATCCTTCTGTAAGGCCGGTGGCCTTACAGTGAGGTCAGGCTACGAGAAAATCGGAGGGCGCCGCCACGGATGAGAATTAGAATTTGAATTCCAGCTAGTCTACAAAGAGACGACCCTTATCGGGAGAGGCTTACGGAAGTGTGTCAGTACTAAGTGCAACCCCGTGCGAGGCGCGGAGCTCACAAACTGCGGGTTGGATCGTAAAGCTGGGGTACAGCTCTGCGAACGGTCTAGTGAATCTGATTGGCCAAAGCAGGGGCCTGAGCCATCCAACCCCAGCACAAGGTCGGGTTCACTCGTGGGGTAGGTCGCTAATGCTGTGCGTGTGATGAAACCAGAATTGGGCGTATCGAGCCGACAGTAGTCGCGATGTGTTGACGTCATACAGCTCAGGCTCTGTCTCAATCATTGGGCAACTTGGACGGTGCGCACCCCGGGTTGTACAAGTCGAGCGAAAAACGGTATGCGCGGGGGACGTCGACCAGGATCGGCGGCAATTCGGATTAGTTGGAACCGTCACGGATTCCGGGGAGCCCGGAAATCAGTCGTTATCCAGGCTGGCTGTACGGCTCCTCAGTTTCCTCATTTCCTCATACCCGGAGGTCGCTGCCGCCCTAAATTCTCAATCCCTGAAGCTCTTTAGAGCTGAAGGTTTCGTTTCGAAAAATGGGGGGGGGGGGGGGTGGGGGGGGGGGGGGGGGTCCCAGCCTTGAAAATGATGTTACATATTCTGAGATTTTATTGGACGAAATAGCCGAAATACCCCGCGTGGCTGTTGAAGCCCCATAGGAGAGCCCGATATCAGCGCCGATTGGTGCGAACAATGCTACCCCGGATAGGACGACCCTGCCTAAGAGCGCAATAGGGGAGCCCGATTTCAGCGCCGATCGGTTTAAACAATGCTCCCCCGGATAGGAGGACCCCGGCTAAGCGCGCCCATCATTAATTCTCAATGGCCAGTGGCCACCAGCCCGGTTGCTAACCTAACCTGCCGAGTCGGCGCACTCAGCACACAGCTTGGGCGTCATCAGCCTCCCCGAGTCCCCGCGCCAGAGCGCACTACTAGCGCAGACAAGCGCAAGCTAGCGCACTCAGGCTGGCCTCCGGATCCGTTAGCAAGTTGCCACCGCCCAGCCCTCTGCTTTACGTCTCTCTGTACTGCCTTATTCTAAGTTGGACCGAGTTTCCTCGCATCTCTAACACAGGCTATCACACAATCGCCGTCATGTCACTGCTTTCTGATCTTGTACACCTCCGCACCATCGAGGTCAGCCCACAACGCTCAACGCCTCGAATCTCGACAACGTGTTAAGCCCGCGTCCACCACTAGCGACAGCCGATCCTCCCGCTGCACCGATCGAGCACAGTGTATGTCTTCCGGTCCGCTCCTACGCAATAGTTGAGTGTCAGCACTCGAAGATGTGGTTGTCAAATGCAGTCTTGGGCAGCTCGTGCGCAGCAGCATCAACTTCAGCATGGATCTCCTGAAGGAGCTTTGTCGGGCGCACCACGTGGAAGGATACTCCAGGAGGAACCCGCTTGCGAAAGAGCTATTCCTACAAGCGCCCCTTTGGCCGTGCGATCTCAACTGTAATGCTTGTTCAAATGGGTGTGTTTTCGGAAGGCAACAAGCCGCGACCCCCGTGACTCCGCCACAACGTCATTGCTTCCCGAGCACAGAGCATACGCATCAAAACCTGTTACCGTGCTTCGAGCCTGACTGAACGAGGAAGTCCAGAAGAATCGCGAGAACGTCTCAGCGACTGACTCTAAACAAGCGCTGCACAGACGTCCACCACTGCATCCCGAACCCGAACAAGAAGAACCCGGTAAAGTGACATCGCATTTTGCGCCAGCATCCGATCAGTTCAAGACCGAGCACCGTTTTGAATGGAATGATTACTTCACCGACGCTCGTTCCCGTCTCTTCTGCTGTCTGGTGTGCTCCGAGAGAGTCTTCGGGCATAAAGTACGATGGGTCCCTGAACACCACATCAAGCGTGAGGAATCAGGGAATTGGAAGATATTAACCAACTCTACACTACGGACGGACCTCCGACCACCGACTTACGATTCTTCAGCTTGGCGGGGCGCACTCATCCATCCCCGAGGTCTTCAGCGACCGAGCGATTTAATCGATCAGATCGCGTACTCTCCCATGAACAACACGCTTCAGTGCTCACTTTGTCCAGACTGCTTCAAACGGTTGTTCCCTACCACAGGGCCACCGACTAAGCCCCCTCGGTCGTTGAGCAACGGATTTTATCGCGCACTGGGTCACGTCCCCGCTGATGTCCGAGTATGCTTCTCCATTGCGAGTCAGCTTGAGCACCTCTTCACTGCGTGCGCCAGAGCCTACAAGAGCGCGTACAAGCTAACTCGTTTCGGAGATCCCAAAGTTCAACAAGAATATACGCGCGGAAACACCCTCATCTTCAGCCAGAACACCGCTTCGTTCACCGATGTACTGTCCATGTCAGTCGAGAAACTCGCTGACAGTGTGTACGTTCTATTCTGCAGAGGGAACCCCAACCTTGCGGAGCTGGACAAGTTTCGACCCATGATCGTGAAGCAAAGTCGGATCCAAAAGATGCTCAGGTGGTTGATCAACGAAAGCAAGAATCCGGCGTACTCTGCCGTCTCCTTTTTTGATGGCGAAAGACTTGCACAGCTCGTTCGACGCAATTCCGGTGTGCTCAACTCTACCTCTCCAGCACCCACGGCGGTTTCAGCTTCCACTTCGGCTTCGGCTTCCGTCTCGGTTGCTCCCCAAGTGTCGGATGGACAAACCTCGGATGGAGACAGTCTCGTGCCCGACGCAGTTTTGGCGAATGTGTTTACCGCAGAGACAATGGAACCAACATCATCGCTCTTTGAAGGCTACGCAACAGCGCATAACGACTCTGATGAACCAGTATTCGAACACGTCCATGTGCCGCCACCCGCTACCGACGAACCAGTTCACTCGTGGCAGTTCTCTGAGAAAGCTCTCTGTCGTTTCAACCACTGCAAGACCAGCACCCCCATGTCATTCCGACAGGCGACGACCCTTTGTGGGAATCTTCGGATGACTTCCTGCTCTCAAAGCTGTGGCCACACCTCGATCCATTCGGTCTCGTCGGTGTCTGTGTCGAGCGCGACGTCAAGATTTCTCTGGAGGAGCAAGTCAAACATTGGCTCAATCTATACGACAGCGATTTTCGATGCGACCCGTCTTTCCCATTCAGCATCTCGAACATTCTCCGCCGCGAGACGTGTTTCGCCACCTCGCTTTTCGGGTCCCCAAAGAGAAGGTGGCTCGAATCGCAGCAGCACTGCTTGAAATTTACCGCATATCGACCGTATTCTGGCGTTTCGTCCAAGCACACACGTACTTCAACCAGGCGAGACAAGCCCCACACGCTCGCTTTCAGTTCGTGCCGCATCGGATCCGGGTACATGCCAGGAACAAGCCCCTCTTCATGCAAATCACGCGTACAATCAACTAAATTCCTGTATGGGTAAGCTGATTTAACAATTCTACCGCATCGTCACCATTACAGCCTTGTCCCCTTCTTCTCACCGACCGTCCGTTAATTCAAGCTAGTCTTGTTCGAAGACAGAATATCACAAACGCTAGATCCGCTGGACCACCATAACATGTGCCATATATCGTACATAATATGTGCGAGGACCGTGCCCGGGTGTCTCTACTATGACTCCGGCGCTCGCATCTCCCGAGCCTCCTCTAGCCTCTTGGAGAAATCGCGCCTTGGCTCGTGCCCCCAATCTAGTACCCCCGCCACTCATTCCTTCTCCTTCGTTCCATCGCCACTCGTTCCCTTCCTCGAGTCGTGAGGCGTCATCTCAGCAAATGCAAAAGGACGTGATCAAGATGCAACACTTTGAGGATCGTCTGCCCATGCACCACGCCGCCAGCGACCCAGCCAAGCCCAGCTCCTCGATTAACTCGTCAGACTCCGAAAAGGTCGTCCTCACGACCTTTGAAAGCTGTGATGGCCGCGATCCCACCTCGTTGCGTGTCATTGCTGAACGCAAGCTCGTTCGCAAACAAGGTCGGTTTATGACTTTGACTACTCTCGGTTCATGTACAGCTCGCCGACGGGTCACTCGTCGCTGCCGCCGTTGCTCCCGTGACCCAATCCGGAACGTGCGGTTGTGAAGCGCGGCAGCACTGTCTCAGGGGCGCCGCGGCAGTGCCGGCCTAGCCTACCTTCACCTTATTTCCGAGATGTTTTACTCACTTCAGGGTTGTGTGATTTCACCTCCTTCCGCCGGCCTAGATTTTGTGATCATACCTCTGGCAGTGTGCCTGTATCTGTCCGCTTACCTCGGTAGGTGCCTCTCTGGGACCCATTATCTCGTCCGATCGCCCCGGAATTCGCAAGTTCAGTTCTGGGTAGGCAGCTGACTCTCCGACTGACCCCCTGACGGTTTGGTCTTTGGTCGGATCTCTGTGACTAGACCGCGGCAACCTAGGCTCGGCGCGTCTGCAAGGCCTCGAAAAGGAAGTGCTCGACAACGATGACACCAAGTACTCCATCGCCCTCTCTTGCTTTTTGTGAGTTGCTCCCTCGGACGACAAAAGGCGCGGCATTCGGATCACCCGTTTTCCGCGAGCGGCGAAGCGGAGATCACGCGAAGGACATCTTTAGACGCGTATGCCTAGCGATCACTAACCGATGTACCTGATGTACCTGAAAATCTCCTATGCAGTATCACCTACGTCATTTTCTCCATTCCCGGCACCATGCTCGCTAAAGCGACGAGCCCGTCCACCTCCATTTCGATCGGCGCCCTCATTTGGTCCATCGCCGCTTCATGCCAGGCGGCGGCGACCAGCCCTGCCGGTCTCTACGTCGCGCGCCTTTTTGTCGGCATCGGTGAGGCTCTGTTTGGTCAGGCCATGTCTTTCCATCTCTCGTGAGTTGCTCATTGCCGCTCGAGGTGATCAAGGCTCTGCAGTAGAAGGCTATTCTGACCGTGGTACCTTTTGCGCGCCTTAGCTTGTGGTACACCAAAAAGGAGCTCGCGCGTCGGGTGAGTGGATATTCGGGATTATTTTGAGTCTTCTTCAAAGGGTTGTGGCTCGACTTCGAGCGATGCTGATGTGATGCTCTTTCGTCGCTCCTTTCTTGTGGCGGCAGGTTGGCTTGTTCATCAGCGCCGGTGCGACAGCCGGCGCATTTTCCGGTCTGATTGCCTATGGTGTTGCCCATTTCGAGAACACAAGCATCCAGCAGTGGCGGATCCTGTTTCTGATGCAAGTCTGCACCAAGTTCGAGCAACTACCACCCTTCGCTGACCCATCTCAAACCCTTGTTCCGACGATCCCTGCGACAGTGAAGGGCTGCCGTCACTCCTGCTCGCGATCGCGGTCTTCTTCTGCCTCCCGACTCGTCCCGGGAATTCCAAGTTCCTGAACGAGCAGGAGCGCAAGCTCGCACGCCTCCGCCTCGAGGAGCAGTCTTCGTTCGAAGTGTCCTGCGGCATCGAATGGTCTGGAGTTCGCCGCGCTTTCAAGGACTGGAAGACGTATGTGTTTGCCGTGTATGTCAAATCTCTCCCCTGTATCCAGCTTTACAATACACGATCCAGCTGACGGCTACGCTGGCATGCCCCGCTGCTCAATCGAGACTGTAGCCTGTTCTCTTGCATGAACTTGACTCTCGGATCCGTCGGAGGCTTCTTACCGACCATCGTCAAAGGACTGGGGTACACTGCCCAGAATGCTCAGCTCCTCACAGTACCGTAAGTTTGATACGAGACGCTGAAGCGACCAGCTTGGTGGGGCTAGAAAGGTTGGCGTCTTTCTGCGCGCCCTGGATGGAGTCTTTCTGTGTCGACCGGGATATTGAAGTGTCTTGGGATTCGACCGTCGGTTGGGAGGCTTCCCATGCCCAAGGTGTCGCTCCTAATCGCGTTTCAACCTAACACTTGTCCCGATCGACTCAACGAACGGGTGGCGCGGAGAGAGGCACACTTAGCTGTGTTAGAGGTCACATCCACATAGCTTGAACAGACAATTGCCGAGTGTATCATTCGGCCCAACCAGGCTAACTCGAGACGTGCTTGGACTTGCCCAGACCTTACCTCGCCGCACTCGTCTGCATGTTGTTCCTGTCTACCTTTTCCGATCGCAAGCAGAGTCGAGGTCTCCCTGTCGCCTCGGTCTTTGGCATCGGTCTGGTCGGATGGGGACTCCTCTACGGGATCCCGGCGCATGGAGCGACCCATGGACAGCTCCACGCTCGGTACTTCGCTTGCATTTGTATCGTGATGGCTGGCTACAGGTGAGTTACCTACCGAGAATCGGATCGCCGTACCTTTTTAAAGGTGCGGCACCCCGACATAAGCTAATCCACTGGGTTAATTCCTGACATTTCCGATAGCGCGATCCCCATCATCGTGTCTTGGGTCTCGGCAAACACTGGCAACGAATCGCAGCGCGTAGTCGGATTAGGTATGCTCAACACCCTCGGTCAAGCGCTGGCGATCCTGGCGGCGTTCAGCTTTCCCTCCAAGCAAGGACCTCAGTACCGCGAAGGAATCCTTATCAACTTATCGTTCCAAGCGCTCGGGCTTTTGATCGCGCTCTTCTTGACACTCTACTTCCGCTTGGAGAACCGACGCCGGAACGAGCTGGAAGGCTATCCTCCGTATGGCACTCTGCTGAACACCGGAGAAGAATTCGACCTGGCGACTGGTTTCCGTTACGTTGTGTGAGCTGTTACTTGATATGTGTCTGTGCCTGGGGTATCTGTGCGGGTGCGGGTGCGTTTAGTTATGAGTAACTTGAGTATTGGAGCTTAAGCTAGAAAATCCGCGAGGCTTTCTTCTGCGCGGCTGTTTACTCTTGGCAACTTTCTCGTCACTCGCTCTTCGTTGTGGTCCTGACTTCTCGGCGTGGCTACCTTTTTCCTATCGGAAGATCAGCTACTGGAATAGTGTTATCGCTCCTACATTGTGGTCCTACTTTCTCGGCGTCGCTACCTCTCTCCTATCGGAAGACAATCCTCCGCGCTTGCACCGTTTCTACGACATGAGTAAGCCCCTTGTTTTGGCGGGATGTCTAGTCATGGAGAGGCTTTTTTAGCGTTTTGTTGAGGAATATGATGTGCACTACGTAGCATTTTGAAGATGTGAAAACGCTATAATTTATCTGATCCCTCCTCAGGAAGTGGGAGTCGATCAGTGGCGGTTTCGGATCGCAGGAGATCGATGGCTGACGCTGTTGGATAAGCCTTCAAGTACCACCCGCATTGCTTAGCCATGACACGGCATAGTAGCTTGTGATATATCATACCGCGTCAGCTGTGTTCAATGAGGCCTGAAGCTCCCGGGTTGGTATTCCTAAGACCGCTCGGCGGAAGACGGCTGACAGCCAGCTGACTCCGCTGCCCCACATTTCTTTGGTGCCCTCGAAAGCTTTGGCGCTTGGCCTCCGTCCGTCGCACCCATCCGGCCACCCACCGCCCTGGCTTCGTTCGACAGCTCGTTGACACGCTTGAAGACCGAAGGCATGGACAAGCGCGAGCTCGCGATGCGCAGGCTCGAGCTGGCCGAATCGCCTCCGCCCAGTCTGAAGATCTTCAGCAGCACCCCGCCTAGCACGCAAGCTCAGTTCGATCCACTCGGCGAGCACCAGTTGGAGGACTCTGCTTGCTCATTGGACACCGTCTTACGACTTCGCGCCGCTCGAGCCACAACTGAGAAGCGACTGGTTCGCAAACAAGGTGGGTGGTCGAGATCGGACCCTGATGAATCGCCATCGTTCACCGCCGCTCCACCCGGAGCCGTCGAGGCGCGCTCGTCGTTCGCCATCCTCGCAGTCGGATGCAGAAGCGGGCGAGACCCCACGTTTCACAGGACGCCCCCTCGACCGTGGGTTTTTCATAGCCCCTTGTATCTGTTTTAACTGAGCACTTGACTGGACCAACAGATGCTGTGATACTACCCATGACACTCCTCCTGTACCTAGCTTCACACCTCGGTGAGTCACTCGCCTTGTTCATGACCGGAGTGACGTTGAGCTCCCGGGGGAAGTAACCGGTCGGGTCTCACCGAGTCATCCAGCGGCCGGGAGCTGAAGTCCGGCCCCTGAGCCCTGAAACCACCCCTGTCAGACCGCAGCAACCTGGGATCTGCGCGCCTTCAGGGCCTCGAGGTACAGGTCCTCAATAATAGCGATACAGCTTATTCCATCGCATTGTCTTGCTTCTTGTGCGTCATTTCGATATGCGACACGGTGCCGCAATTCGTTGCGCCACCCCCACCGCAGCGCTGCTGACGCTCTCGTGGCCCAACGCCCCAGCGTAACCTACATCATTCTGTCCATACCGGGAACCCTGCTCGGGAAAGCGATCGATGCGGCAACGTGTATCTCAATTGGTGCTTTCGTCTGGTCCATCGCCACCACTTGTCAAGCTGCCGCACGGACCCCGGGTGGACTCTACACGGCGCGCTGCTTTGTTGGCGTCGGCGAAGCGATGTTCGGACAGGTGATGGCATTTCACCTCTCGTGAGTCTCAGAAAGGAGCTTCATATGAGTATTGAACCATCCGTAACGGCAAGTTCTTTCTATGATTAGTCTTTGGTACACCAAACCCGAGCTATCGAAACGTGTTAGCTTGGTTTTGTCTGGTGGAGCACTGGCGGGAGGATTCTCTGGCCTGATCGCCTATGGGATCGGACGCTTGGGTCAGACAGCAATACAGCCTTGGCGTATACTCTTCTTGATGTGGGTGCGACGCCCATAGATACTCACCGAGCAATCTGCTGTATACTGATTTTGAAGATCTCTTGCCACCTAGGGAGGGGTTACCGAGCGTACTGCTCGCCATCGTCGCCTTTTTCTGTTATCCATCTCGACCTTCCAAGTCTCAGTTCTTGACGGAAGCGGAGCGAGCGCTTTCCCGTGCTCGAATGAACGATCAGTCCACCTACGAGGCGACGAGGGGGATCAAGTGGAACGCGGTCCGCCGCGCACTATTTGACTGGAAGACGTACACCTTCGCCATGTGAGCTTTTGCAGGCTCGAAATATTTTTCTTGTTGGTTAGCACGTTCTGATGCCTTCTGCCTGGTCTTCAGAATGTACTCCTGCATGAACTTGACGCTTGGTTCGGTTGCAGGTTTCCTGCCCACCATCATCCGGGATCTCGGTTACACGGCAACCGACGCCCAACTGTGGACCATTCCGTAAGTAGATAAGCATCTGGTCTTGAGGCCACGATCGCGCTGACCCTCCTTGCCTTGGAAGCCCTTATCTCGTAGCTCTGGGAACGACGTTCGCTTTGTCTTCTGTTTCGGATCGGACGCAGAGTCGTGGTGTTGCCACCGCTGGGGTTTTCTTGATCGGAATCGCAGGGTGGAGTGTCTTGCTCGGTACACGGGCGATCAATGCCTCGAACTCACAGTTCGAGCTGCGCTACGTTGGATGCATTCTCGTGGTAACTGCGGCTTACGGGTCAGTTGGTCTCTTGATGTCTTGCGCGTGTGTGACCCATGGGGAGCTCATGGGAGTTGAAGTATTTTAGTACGATCCCTCTCATCATTGCCTGGGTGACAGCAAACACGGGCAGCGAGTCCCAACGTGGGATTGGGTTAGGGATGCTCAATACGGTCGGTCACTGTCTCTCAATCGTCGCCGCTTTTGCTTTTCCTTCGCGTCAAGGGCCCGACTACCGCGAGGGTATCACCCTCAACTTGGCATTCCAAGGTCTGGGTTTCACGATCGCGGTCTGTTTAACCGTGTTCTTTCGTATGGAGAACAGACGTCGGGACACGATCGAGGGAACACCGAAAACCGGCGTCACTCTCAACACCATGCAAAAGCTCGACTTGGCGCCTGGGTTCCGATACGCGGTTTGAGAGCCATCTTGCGGGGGAATAACATGCAATGACCATAGTCTTCCAGTAAATTTTCCGTAATGTTACACTGATTTTCCTTACGAAGGTAAGCTGTTAAGAAAACCCACGTGCACAACCACTTACATATCGTCGGGCCGCACGCGCGGAATCATGGCCCGGTCTGTTCAAGTGACGCGTGACACGTGACCGAACGCGTTGCGCTCGAGCCCCTTTCGCGCTGCACGGGGGAGGCCACGATTCCGAGAAGCTCTGGGCGCGTAATGAGTCTCCACACCCTTTTCTACCACCGCAATCTATGTCGTGTCAGCTTTCCTTTCTTGTGAGATGGCACCAGACCTCCCGCACCTTCGCATACCCCCAGTACATCAGGTCAGTGCAGTGGAGTTGGCTGAGGACGGTCCTCTCCTCCCCCACCCCACCCCACCTCCTCTTTCGCCCGCGTCATGATAGGCCCTTCTGATCAATACGGCACCAAGCAGCTGATACAAAGAGTCACACCACTTTTCTATCCTACTTGAAGATCCCACAGCCGTTCATCATCGAATACCATGGGCCATCCTCGCCTAACCCGCTCCTTCCGCACGCCCCACAGCAGATGAGCGAGGCTCTTGCGAACGGTCTCGCCGCGCCGTACTATCCAGCCTCGCATCCTAGCATGTTTCAGCCTCAACGTGGGTACCCTGGAGAGCCTCTGAGACCAACTCCACAATACGCGTACGGATACGGTGGCACCCCTATCACTTCTGGCCATCCTTCGCCGATGGTCCGATCGCCATCGGGCTCATCATCAATCGCTTCTTCGAGCGCCACGTCCAATGCCATTAGACCGATCCTGTTCAACCCCGAAGCGCGCTTCTTCCTTCCCGGGACGGCGGCGTCTACCTATGGGAACCTTGCATCACCCGCAGAATCCGTTCAATCGTCTTCGTATGCTCCATCAATGTCTCCACTCGCTTCTCCCTTTCCTTCGAACGCGTTTAACCGACCCCTCTCGAGGAACCAAGGCGGAGATGAAGGCGATGGTGTTTACTTTGGCGTTCAACCTTCTGGACTGCCCAGGAGCCGTATAGGTCACGCAAACACGCCTTCGTTTCATCCCGTCAGCTTCCAGCCGCGCCAGCAGCCACCACAGCACGGCAAATCGTATCCGAAACAAGGCAGCACGTCCTTGAGGCCTGGTGGGGCCGGACCACAGCGGGCGCATGGTCGGGCTGTGAGCGTCAGTCCAAGCGCGAATTCGACAGCTTCGGGATCTGAGAAGAAGAAGAAGGCTGTCCACGTCCGAGTCCCCAATGAGAATGGTCTAGAGGAGGGGTCGTCGAGTGTCGGCATTTCGAAGAAGGCGAACGAGGGCGGCAATGCGGCGCCGCAAGACAAAAAAAAGGCTAGTATCTTCGTGCGCAGACCCATACAGGGCGAGGAGAAGCGTTTGATGCTTGTGGAACTTGGGTTCGACATCGATCTCCTTGCTGAAGATGTCACCTCACGTCACGTGCATTTTGACGAAGTTCGCATCAACTCGCTCCCGCCCACGATCGAAATCTTTTTACCCGGCCAGGATGCATGGCAGGATGTACGGGAGCACATTGGCATACCAGTGGTAAGTCAAACAGCCCAGCTTCATGTTGTTTTTGGGGCCAAATTTACTCAACGTGATCTTGTTGCTATCATCAGTCACCCCAATCACCGTCGCAAGGTCGCTCACCTCTCTTGTCGGGCCGTTTCGGCTCTTTCCTCGATCGCATCCCCAGCGCGTTCTCTCCTGGAGGACATCAGCGTTCGAACTCACTCTTCAACAATCGGCCATCCTTTCCTCCACGATTCCAAAACGCCATCGAATCGTTAACGCGCCACGCTTCATCACAGTCCGTCTCCCGCGGGTTCACAATCCCTCATTGGGCGCAGTCGCTCGCGGCAACAGCTCCCAAAGTTTTGGACCAGCTCGAACGGGGAATGAGACCCGGCATCACGGGCGAGCCACAATCACCGATCGATCAAAACACAAAGTCGTTTGAAGCGAGTCGTCCAAACGATGGAGATTTCGCGCGGGACATTAGGGCAGGAAGCTCGGGGAGCGGCCTCACTGACACACTCGGAGAACTTGAGACCGACCGGAATCCACGACAGTCCTCCGTATCTACCCTTCAAGCTGGAGTAACACCAAAGCTGTCGACTGACACGTCCATCGCTACGCCCAAGTCTCAAGGCTTAGTCATTTTCGAAGCTCCGCCGGACGTCGACCGCACTCCGCCTTCCGCCTCACCGCTGGCCGTCCCCAAAGGTGTCCACAGCCTCACGCCTCACAAGGTGACCCACAATTTCTCCTTTCCACCTCGGGGTATTCAAGGGGACAAATTGGCTCCGGCTCAGCCCTACAACGCAGTCTTTGCTTCACAAGATGTTCCCGTGGCGACGCAGGAATCCGTACCGGCGAAGAAGTCGTCGCTGAATATCGCCGCTCCCGAGTTCGTCTTTGGCGCTTCTGCCGCTTCTGCCCTATTCGCCTCGCAAGCTCGCCAACCTGGATTGCAACTTGGCGAGATATTTGGTGAGCCAGGTACTCCCGGCTCACTTGCCGCGACCGACGAATACGGCGTCGTGCAAGCACAGCCACCACTGTCGACTTTGTCGGCAGCCTCTCTGAATCCTCTGGCCGGCACTTTCCAACCGACGTCTTCTCTGGGTCTTAGCTACATTGGCCAATCCCATGCGTTTAATTTTCAGCCTCCTGCCCATGCACCTCAATATACGACCCTAGCCCAGGAACCCACCTCGTTACCGACTCGCCACACCCCGGCCGACTCTGCTGACGGACCTGCGATCGAAGTGATTCAACCGACTCCCCTTCGGCCCGTCTCCGCTTCTATGGCTTCAGTCATCACCCACACCAAACGGCAGAAGCTCAATAACGGTTCCGGAGAGACCTTGCAGAGAACCAAAAGCCACTTGGAGCTACGGTCACCGTTCTCAAAGAACCCCACTCTCGCCGAAGTCGATCGCGAGCATGATGCCGATGCGCCCCTCATGTCACCGTCTCCGACTCGCAATCCCGCTTCTCAGTACTTATTGCACATATCTGACAGTGTGGACCATTTGGTCAAGTCGGAATCCGAGTCGACGCTGCCGCATTCCTCCACGCTTCGTACTGCTGCGTCGTTCAGCGCAGAGCGTCCTTCAGCTGTTGTGGACGTGCGCGCATCAAGCGCTCCTCTCGTTCTCGCGACGCATCCTAGCCGACGTCATGAAGCGGACACGAGTGGTGCTCCCGAGTTCGGGGTGGCAATACATGTGGACGCAGCTGTTCCTTTTTCAGCCTTAGACCCGCAAGCGGAACACCCGTGGGAACGAGGTAGAGAACAAATGATCCCTCATGATCAAGTAGGTTTCCGAGGAGCAGCAGGCTCCCAAGATTCTCCCGTTCACAAATCTATTTGGCTCACTCCCAGATCGGACAGGCACAAGAAGATGCCTTCTCGGTTGTATCGGAAGACTCGTCTCTGGAACTTGAATCGACTTTGGACGACACCGATCTCGAAAGCGAACTTGGCGAGAGTCCACTTCAGATCCTCGAGAACCTGCTCGCCGGTTACTTCAGTGCGTTGCAGTCGGCCCTTGCGAAGAAGGTCGCCGAAAGAGCCAAATCCGAGCTTGAGGATCGCGATGGCCTATTGGGCGATCTAATCGGTCGCGTTGTCGCCTCGATTGCCGACGCCCGGATCGTAGGTGCAGACAACATCGAGAAACAACTGACGAAACTTCACGAGGCACTCGAAGATGGTCAACGACTTACCCGAGACTCTCTTGGATCTGCGGTGCAACAATGGCTCGAAGAGGGCCGAGGTTTCGACTCGAGACCTTCGCCAGCTCCACTCACGCCCGAGCTGGTCTCCTCGCTGCGAGACGACGTCGTGAACGCCGTGGCCAAGCTCTTGAATGAGCGAAGTCTTACCGTCGACCGCACAGCCCTCCCCACCGGTGTCACATCACGAGAGATCACCAAAGCGGTCGAGATGGCAACGCAACCCCTCCACAAGGCTTTCGCCGCTTCCCGTCGTACCGATTCGATCATCGAGACTCCGCTGCCTGGAGAAACAGCAGGCTTTGCGCAGCATATCTCTGACAAGGTCGAAAGTTCCACCGCGCTGCTCAAGAATGCTGTCTCGTTACTAGACGACCTCAAGAACTCGACCGCTAGCTCGGCTGATGTCGATTCGTTGTTCGAGCGCATTGCGTCTCTACGATCCTCGTCGGCCACCGTGGCCGCAGGGGGCTCATTCGATGTTCACAGTGTGTCATCCCAGCTCGTCTCGGACTTGCAACCCCGCTTGGACGACCTTGCGCAAGAGGTCAAGCTTTCAACCATCGCGTCATCCTTTGATATCGACGTCCTCATCGAGAGGATTGCTGCAGAGATCCGATCGGCTCAACCGAGAGATGTGTGGTCCAAGTCCCTCGAAGCTCTGGTGGAGGCTCATCAGAAACTCGAGCGCGACGGCTCAGAGATTGGTGCGAATCAGCAGTCGTTGCTTCTTGCGTTCAAGTCACTCGAGGCGTATTTGTCGCAACAACTCCAACAACTTGGAGATAGAGTAGAGTCCCAAGTCAAGAACGTCGTGCTCAGCACTGATGCCGTGGCCAACGTGGCGGACCTCGAGTTGCAGCTGGCGAAAGCACGCAGCGATTACGGCAAAGCTCGATCCGAGAAGGCGACGATGATGGAGCGGTTCGAGCTAGAACGTGGGACCTGGATATCCCGGATCGACGAGCTCAAGGCCGAGATTGATCGAAGGAAGGATGTTGATCGAGTGGTCGACGAGGAGAAAGCGATGCTGACTGCGGCGATCGGTCGACTGGAGCAAGCCCTGGTCTCGTCGACGTCTCATTCTGCTCAGCTCGAAACCGCACTCGCGTCCCTCACGTTACGTCAAGATTCAGATAGGCTCGATGAAGTCGAACACAGACAAGCGCTGTCATTGATGCGAGACGAGCTCGATCGAACCAAAGCCGGCGCCGAGCTCTCAGCAACGGAAGTCCGCTTGCTGCTCGCAGAGAATAGTCGCCTCACGGCCGAGCTCGGTGAGCTGCGAGAAGCGCACGAGAAGCTCTCGAACCAGAAGCATGAGGATGATCAACATAGGCGAGTCGAACGTGAAGCAACGGCGAAACTCTCGGGGGAGGTCGGTGCTCTGGAGAAGCGAATCGCTGTACAGGTCAGTGGAATTATGTTGACTTCTTTGAATGATTCACGCTGACTCGCTCCGAATACTCTCCTTAAACGATTAGGACGACAAGATTGTGTCGTTGCAGCTGCTCAAATCGAAGCAGCAGCAAGCACTGGCCCAGGCGAACCAACGCGCCGTCGATCTGAGGAAACGAGCTGCCGAGGTGGGCACCGCCGAAGCCCGTATTGCCGACCTCGAAGCGGCCAAGACCTCCCTTGAAGAACGCCTGGCAGCCAGCGAAGCCGTCAGGGAGCTTCTTACGCGCGACTCGACCGAGTATCGCCGTACGACCGAGAATGAACTCGAGGCCGTGCGGGAGACCGTCACGCGCGAGTTTGAGGGCAAGGATGCTCGTATTCGCACGCTCGAACAGGAGCGCAACGAGCTGTCACAGGACAATGAGCGGTTGGAGACACTCAATCTTGAGTTATCGGATGCTTTGCGTATGGGTTCGATGCGATCGTCGTCATCGGTGTCCAGATCGGCGACGCCTTCTCGTTCGGCAGCACAGAACTTTATGTCTTATGCGGCTGGAGCTCAGCATTACCCGTCCCCCGACACACTGAAGCCACAGCGGACAGGCAGCTCGACCGCGACGATCAGAACTGCAACAGATCGTCGCACTTCAAACTCACCTACGCCAAGTACTTTGGAGGGTCGTGCCTTGGTCGTTGACGAGTCCGGTTGGTGGAGCGCTGAGTAAAGCTTCAGTTTGTTCAAAGGATCAATTTTCCCTTGCTTGTCTTGGCCGTCAAATGGGGATCCCGCAACTAGCAACAATCCTTTTTTTTATCGATATATAATTTAATGTAAACAACTTCCAAGCCATTTGAATGGAGCTAGGATCAGTGGTACCCGGATGCAGGACTGGAGGCGCTGTCTAAAACGGCGTGGGAGTAGCGTTGTTGCGGGTACAGCCGGGATCCGGAAGCCTGGCTATCTGCGATTAACAGCGATGCATACTTAAATGCAGGGCCCGTTACAGAAGCACGTGAAGACGCCTACAAACGCTTTCAATGTGGGATCACCTTATCATAGTACCCACCGCTTCGGCGATGATTTTCTAGAGACGAACCGAAGCGGGATGCAACATGAAACATGGCACTTCCCCTGACAAAGGGGTCGACCCAGATGAGCGCAAGAGCACGCGCGCGGGAGTTCACCCCAGCAGCCAGGCTCACAAAGGAACAGTGACAAAGGGCCAAATGCCAACCGACTGTCCGAACTACGAATCTGCTCTGGACTACTTTCGACACTGTGCTACGGGTCATTATTTCCTCCCAATTTCTGCAGTTTCATCATGGTCAAGTGAGTCCTCTGGCCATTTTTGACCCCCGGAAGGCGTTTTGGCTGCTGTGGATGGATTTCGGGCATAACTGACGTGTACGATTTCGCAGGCCTGTCTCTTACGCGCTCACCGTCAAGACTGACTTTGCCGAGTCGAGCTTCAGTGGAACAGTCGAGATTGAGTGAGTGGAGTGTACAACCTCGCGAAGAAGGTTAGATCGAGGGCTGATGCTGTCACACCTGCTTGTCAGACTCGAGCTCTCGCAGTTGACGAGATGTGTGGTGCTCCACGCGACCAGACCGCTTCAGGTCCACGCAGCCGTACTAGTCCAAGAGGGGAAGCGATTCGCACCATGCTCACTTGAAACGAATGAAGAGGAGGAGACGCTCAGCATCGACTTTGAAGACGAGCTCAAGCCGGGCAAAGCCACCTTGGGGCTGCATTGGACGGGTCGACTCAGCGCCGAGGCGAGGTTCGGTCAGTCGAGGTAGGCTGCTGTAACTAACGTTTCAATGTGCCTGACAGTTTCTAGATATACTTCCAGGCTACTATAAAATCCCGTGTGAGGACGACGAACCCGAGGGAGAGCACTACGCGGTCACCCACTTCCAACCTACCATGGCCCGCCGAGCTTTCGTTAGTCGCTCATAGAGACAGAATGCGTCGTCGTTGGCCTATACTGACGGAGGATTCATCCTCGACTACAGCCTTGCTTTGATCATCCCGCGCAAAAGGCTACGTTCTCCTTGACGCTCCTATCTCCCGCTGGCTATACCTCGCTCGCAAATTCGCCCGAGTTGGAGCGCTCGTCCAGCTGCGGAGAGCTCCCCACTACCACAGTACTTACAAGGGACTTCCTCGGATTGGAGGAGAGTGCTGAAGGTGCTGCTTGGGAGGTCGTGAGATTCAAGACGACCCCGATCATGAGCACTTATTTAGTCGCCTGGGCCATCGGTCACTTCAGGTGAGAACATCGATTTCTATGCCATGCTTAGTGACCCTCGCACTGAGAGTGAAGATTATTGGATCATAGTCACTCAGAGACGTCATACATCTCTCCCATCACGAACATCGAGGTCCCCTTGCGACTCTACGCGGCCACAGCCCGGAAATACGTGCAACGAGGACTCGGCGGTCAAGCACTAGACACGCTTGCCAGGGCCATGCCGATCTATGAAAAGCTGTTCGACATCGCCTACGAATATGGCAAGGTCGACCTACTCGTTTGCGACGCCTTGGAAGCAGGCGCGATGGAGAACCCAGGCCTGATCACGGGACAACCTCTTTCGTTGCTCCATGATCCAGCTACGGGCGGTCGCTCCTCGAAGAAAATTGTCACGACAACCGTCGCGCACGAAGCAAGTCATCTTTGGTTCGGCGATATGGTCAGCATGAGCTTCTGGGACGAGCTTTGGCTCAATGAAGGGACCGCGACGTGGTTGGGAGAAGTGGTCGTCGTGCATGAGCTCCAACCGGATTGGAATGTTGAAGTCGAGTTCGTGAGGACGCATCGAGCTAGGGCACTTAAACTCGACTGCTTGCTGTCGTCCCATCCCGTCCATCTGCCAGTACTCAAGAATCTGCCAAACGCGGTTGCTGAGGCGTTTGACGACATCTCGTACGCAAAGGGATCCACGCTCCTGAGGATGTTGAGCCATACGATCGGACAAACCGCTTTCATCCGGGGCATCGCTACGTACCTCAAGAAGCACGCCTACGGCAATACAACGAGCACTGATCTGTGGCAATCCATGTCGGAAGCAAGTGGCGTCGATGTGCCACGGATGATGGAGACTTGGACGAGCCAAGTCGGGTTTCCCGTCGTCACAGTTGAGGAAGACGGTCAGGTGCTCAAATTGGCACAGAATCGCTTTCTTGCGTCGGGTCCAGCATCGGAGGAGATTGACCAAACGGTCTGGACTCTTCCGCTGGGAGTAAAAGCCTTCGAAGCTTCAAATGAGCTCGAGAGCAGATTGATGACGACGCGCGAACTGGAGATCCCCAAACCGGCTGGCCTATTCATCGTGAACCGGGAAGCTGCCGGGTTTTGTAGGTTGTTCGCTCATCGGTCCACCACGCGGCGACTGACCGCCCACTGCTTTGCACTGTAGATCGCGTCTCCTACCCTCCACTCCACCTCTCCCTTCTCGCGTCCGAAGCCATCTCCCCCACATGCCGTCTCTCCCTCCCAGAACGCCTCGCCCTTCTCCAAGACGTCATCGCTCTCTCCTCTTCAGGCCACACGCGCACCTCTTCGACGCTCTCCTTCATCCGTACCCTGGCGTCGACGACCGAGACGCCCGAATATCTCCTATGGCACGAAATCGCCGAAGCTTTGGGTCACATGCTTGATACGTGGTGGGAAGAAGCACCCGAGGTACAAGAGGGGATCAAGGCTTTTGCACGAAGTCTCCTCGAACCTCTTTTGGATCGCGTTGGTTGGTCGTACGATGTGGGGGATTCGACGGAGAGGAAGAGCTTGAAGAGCTTGGCTGTCGGGGCGGCGTGTGTCGCTGAAGTCCCTGCGTGAGTGCCTTTTCGATTGGCGATGTCATAGCTCGAGAAGGTTGACGACGTCGATTCAATTTCATCGGGCAGAGCGATCGAATGGGCCCGCACCTCTTTCCAAGCCCTGCTAGCCTCCCAAGCCGCCCCTGACTCGCTCATTATCGACCTTGCCCCTATCGTCCTTTCCACAACGATCAAACACGGCTCAAGCATGGAGTTCGACATCGTGCAACAGATCTACCACCAACCTCCGACACCTGCTCATAAAATGGGTGCGATCATCGGTCTGACGTCTTCGTCCGATCCGGAAAAGTTGGTAGGGTTGGCGCAAAAGTTGTCGACAGGAGAGATACCGATGCACGATGTGCCACTGTTCCTGGATGTGAGTTCGGCATTCACCAACCCAACCCTTTGGCGCGCGACTGAGCTCGCTTCTTCTTTCATTCTGATCCAGGGGTTCGCACGCAACCCCCATTCTCGCCGCCTCGTCTGGTCCGTCGTCTCCAATGCCTGGCCCCTCCTTCGCGCCGAATTCGACTCCACCTCCTCCCTCTACAAAGTCCTCGAAGTTTCAATCCAAGGATTCTCCTCCGAACGAGACGCAAACATAATCGAAGACTTTTTCAACGATGAGAAGCTCGATGGGTTCGCCTATGCGCTTGGTCAAGGGTTGGAGAAGATTCGGTCCAAGGCGGGGTGGTTGGGGAGGGATGGAGAGGATGTCGAGCGATGGTTGAGGGGGGAGGGGTTCATTGCGTAATTGTAGATTCGTTTGGAATTTCTCGACAGAAGTCCCAACTTCCTTGGAATTAGGTCTGGTCCCATAATTGCAGAGAATCCCCTCGCGCGGTCGGCTTTGTCGCCGTCTCTGTCTCGGGCCCGGTTCCACCATCCGACTCGGAGTCGCTTCCACTCGAAGTATCTCCAAAACCCATAATTTGAAACTTCCTCGATCCGGAACACGTCATCAACTGATTTGTCCCGGGTACATAGTGGCAGGAACCTATCGGTTCTTGAGCGGCTTTGAAAGAGTAGAAAGGCGTGGCGTTGAGAGGGTCGAATTCGGCTGAGTAGAAGGAGATCTTGCCGGTCTATTGACATGGGATCAAGATCAGCAATCCGACGCTTGGAATGTATATTGGGGGTACCTACAACATCTCCAGCGACCAACCACGTTCCAGAAGGATCGACATCGATGCCTAGTCGTTGATTCGTCCTCGCTCGACGAGGATATCTCCCCAAAGGCTTGTTGAGATTCCTCATATCGATGACTTCGATCGATCGAGAGAGTCGAGAGGCGACGTAGAGTAGATGGCCGGAGGGGTGGAATAAAACCTGGGACGTGGAAAGACGGAATGGTCAGAATTTCCGAGGTTGATCTAGAATGAGACTTGAAAGCTGACCTGGGTGACTCCGCCCCTTTCATTCGTGCGTATCACTTTCATCAACTTGGCATCAAAGGTCAAGTCATAGAGACCGACCGATCCAGAGAACGATCCTGCAGCAACGAAAGTCGCATCAGGGGAGATTGCGAGGCTCGAGATGATGCCTGAGGAAGTAGATAGCACGGTCAGCACGGAAGGATCCGCCTTGTTGTCCGGCCCGGTTCGTTTCGCTCACCTTTTTGTCCGGAGCGACTCTTCTTGGTTGGGGAAGTGGGTATCCGGATTCCTTGTGCACCTGGTAATGAGACGTCAAAGATCTCGAGCGCATTGTCGTATCCGCAAATGAGACTGTGAGGCGAGTTGTGGCACACAGTGAGTGATCTCAAGCCAGGTAGGTTCTCTCATTCAATCCCGCGAGCATTACTCACTGTGACCCATCGGGTGTGAATACCATGGAATGAGGAGCAACGAAGCGTTCTTGGTGGTCGATGATGGCGTAAGTCGCCCTTAACTGCGATGCGCACGAACAGGAAAAAGATCAGCTTCCGATGTTTTCCCGAGCCGGGCAGAGTTCTCGTCCGTCAAGCGCCGTACGCACACGATGATCAGCCCCATCGAGTAGCTGGACAGGATGATCCTTGACGGCGACGACGAAGGCAAAGTAAGGTGGGTTCGAAGGCGATGCGTGGGGGAACCATTGGAAGGATAAGAGCGCATCCGGCGGGGTATAGTGCCAGACAGGGGTCCAGGGGGCGGCGGGAGTTGAGGTTGGGGCACTACAATTGGGTGCGGTAGCGTGGGTGAGTACCAGCAACGCACATGTCGTTTGACCTTGCAGAGGTTGTCGCTGTGACTGACATCATGTACAGGGACAAGGATCGATCATCCGCCGCGACGAGCGCACAGGACCCGTCCGACGAGCTGTCGTAGGCATATTCATCGAGTGGTGAGTCGTTCTGCATCTCGTACCAAATCCCCGGGGACTGGTTGTAGGCTTACATTATGGCATTGCGAAAGAAGGCGCTGGACGACTGCTGTAGCCGACGGGAGCTGACTGGAGCTGCCGCTGCTGAGCAAGCCAGTGTTGGCGCTTGGCGGTACTCTGGCACAGTCATGACCCAAGCTGGAGCCTGGCGCTAACCTTCTTGCACGCACCGGCGTGGCGAGATGCGTCGCACGAGAGGCAGCGACGACACCGCGCGTTTGGTCGTCGGTGCGACGCAGTGTCCGAAAGGAGGTCCGTGCGACGGCCGCGCGATCGATCGAGTTGAACTCGTTCGATCACTTTTTGAGCCGGTTGAGCTCCTCGCGTGTATCAGCATAGCATCGGCTTCGGCGGTGAAGCTTATTCTCGGCACACCGTCCACGCCAACTCGAGACCAGGCAGGACGAGCGCAGCAGCAGGTCGCACCCTCCTCCCTTCTTCCTCTCCAAACATGGCCGCAGCTGCTACTCCCTCGTCCATACCTGCGCTCAAACGAGCACTTTTGCAGATCCACCACTCGCATCCGCGGCTGATCGCTGCTCCACCCGTCGTACCCGGCTCCCCGGCCTCGGGCGCATCACGACGAGCGAGTGTGGCCATCAGTGAGTTCGTTCGTGTAAATACGCGCGTAGGACTTCGCGTTCGCTGGAGGCCAGGTCGAGGCGATCATGTATAGATCTCGGCATTCGGTCGTGGTTGGGGAGCGCGATCGAGATCACCCGAGGCGACGATCGAATCCGTGGATACCGTGTTTCCCGGCTCGGGCATCGTCAAAACTGACCCCTTGAATGATATCCAACAGTCATTCGCTTGCGACCTGCAGGAGGATCGCCATCGCCGACCGCGTCCGGTTCCCCCACTTCGACCGCGGCGCCGTCCCCAGCTCCCGCGTCCCCTTTCGCATCAGCCGGTCTCCCCTTGCACGCCAGTCCACCCGGATCCCCCCCAACAGGCGCCCACTCCGCTTCCATCCCACTGCCGACCTCGGGGTCTCTAGCTCCCAAGTCGATCGCGGATCAGCTCGACGACTTCTTCAGTCAGAAATGGGTCCACGCACCTGGAACGACCGCCGAGATCCTCTACATCAAGCGTGCGACCCGATCGACCGACAAGTGGTCCGGGCACGTCGCCTTCCCAGGTGGAAGGCAGGAACCCGAGGATGAGGATGGGCGTTACACGGCGATGCGCGAGTCGTGGGAAGAAGTCGGCCTCGACCTTGCGGAGAAGGAGTGGATCCCCGTCGGCGCATTGGACGATCGAGAGATCACGACCAGTCTTGGCAAACGATTGCTCATGATTCTGAGCTGCTATGTCTTTTTGCACACGTCGCCGCATGCCCCAATCCCGGAACTGCAGGAGAGCGAGGTCGCGTCGGCACATTGGGTTCCGCTCGAGCAATTGACCGCTCCGCAGGCCAAGGTTGGGGTGGTGTCGATCGACATCAGTACGAGGTGAGTCAAGTCGCACCGTCAAATCTGACATCTCTTGTGGTGCTGATCCGTTGATCGCTCCCCTCAGGCTGGCACCTCGAAACGCTCTGGCACGGATATTCCTCAAGGCGCTCGTCGGATCCATGAATTTCAAGTGAGTGGTAGATATCAAAATCGAGGTCCGTTTCCCCAAGATGTTGACGCCACTTTCTTTCCCAGATGCATTCTCCTTCCGAACCACCCGGTCGCGCTCGGTCTGCACACCCCCGTGCTCCCCTCTCATCCGCTGCCGGATCTCAAACTGTGGGGTTTGACGCTGGGCATGACGCTCGATCTGCTCACGCACATGAACCCCGCAAGCTCGGCTCTCTCTTCTGGCGATTCAACCGACCTCTCGACTTACCCGCACCTCGCCTCGACCTTGCCCGGTACCCAACAAGAGATCGAAGAACACCCCTTTGCGCCTTCGGCGGCCTCCATCTTCCCTCGGTTCTCGTACCCCGATATCAACTTGCTCATCTACGTCTTTGGGTTCCGGTACCGGCGTATCCTGAGGTACCGACCTAGTGCACCCGGGGAGAACGCAAGGGTCAATTGGGCGGGCATGACTCTGGGTTCGTATTACTCTGCGGTGAGGCGAGCGCTCGTCGTTGCGGTCGTGTTGAGGGGGTGTGCGGCGTTGGGCGCGGTGGCGTATGTGCTTACTTTGGTGAGGAGGAAAGTCAAGGCACGAATCGTGGGCAAGGTGCTGTCGTAGAGTGATGGGGTTTTAGAACCGAGTATATTGTTCCTCTTGAGGGATGCAACACAGCGGAATCAGTACATGCATGGCCCTTGCGGGCACTTCTGGCTAGCGAATTGCCCGATTCGTGAGCCGATAGCGCGGGTAGGCGCGGGTGCGGTCACCTTGCTCGTTGCCCTGCTGCCGTGGCCTCCTCCTCTTGCCGTCTGCCGTCCACTTGCAACCCGTGTCACTGCAAGCCACGATGGCTTCAGCAAGTCGACTGAACCCAGCCGAGGTGCTCCTGCTAGAGTCGGCCCTGCTCAAGGTCAGTGCTACAGCTCTGTCAGCTCACGAGTCACAGCCCCCTGCCGCTGCTGGCGCCCCACGTACCCGCTCCTGCTCCCTGCTCCCTGCGCCGAGTCAGCCTCGGACCGACCCGATACCACTGACGCACATCCCTCCCCAGGCCCCAACCGAGACCCTTCGCAAGATCCACAAGACAACTCAACGTACCTACGAATACAACCTTGGCCCGAGCTCGTCGTTCCAAAGAGAGCTCAACGACCTCATCAGGCAACTGACCGCCGCCTCGTCATCATCGACGAACGCTCCCTCCGCCGAACAACGCCAGGACCTCCTCCGCCGCATCGACGCCATGCTTTCCAAGATGAGGGGCTTGAAACGCAAGTTGTCCGATCTATCGAACCAATCGAGTCGAGCATGCCATCTCACTCGAGCGCGACTGGACCATCTCTCCCGTCTCCCCGACTCCATGGACAGTCCCTCCTACCCCGCCTGGGCACGTCGAAGGTTATCCTACCAAGTCGCCGACTACTTCCTCCGAGCCGAACCGAGTTTGAAAAAGACGGCAGAGGTGTTTGCGAGGGAGGAACGCGTGGACGAGCTGGTCGATAGGGAGTTGTGGGATGAGTTGGGGAGGGCGACGGAGGAGTTGAGAGGCGGGAAACTTGATCAGGTACTGGCCTGGGTCGGCGAGAACAAGGTTGCGTTGAGGAAGAGCAAGGTAGCCATATCTCATGTGCGACGGGTTTGATGCAAGCGGACTCTGACTGACTATGTGGGGGGTTTGCTCGTTCCGAAAACCTGGCACCCAAACGCAGTCCTCGCTCGAGTTCACAATCCACCTCCAAGCCTACATCGAACTATGCCGATCCCAAAAACACCGCGAAGCCATCCTCTACGCCAAGAAGCATCTATCCCCTTCCGCCGGGAACGACGCTGCCATCGCGCAAGGAGGGACCGAGATCGCCGAATTGTCCCGCGCCATGGCTTTACTCGCCTATGGTCCCGATACGACTTGTCGACCTTATCAGGATCTGTACTCCCCCGCTCGATGGGAGACCTTGATCACTCTTTTCAAAGAGACGTTCTTGGCGTTGCATTCACTCCCTTCCACCCCGCTGCTTCATATGTCCCTCCAAGCGGGGATCGCTTCCCTCAAAACACCCATCTGTTGTCCCCTCCCTTCGACCGACCCCAAAGTGCCCACAACGCGAGATACGACTCGCAAGTCCAAAAATTGTCCCATATGTTCCTCACCTTTGGGCAAACTGGCCCCTGAAGTACCTTACTCGCACCACGTCAACTCGACGATCGTCTGTGGCGTCACGGGCAAAGTCGTCGAAGGCGATGGTGGAGAAGGGGGTCAACTCTTGGCGCTCATCAGTCCGACGACGGGGGAAGCGAGTGTGTATTCCAGAGAGGTGGGTCGTGGTTTCATGCTTTAGCCGTGTCTTGGACCTAACAGAAAATACGTCATACAGGGTTTGGCCTTGGTTGCAAGTCAGCATCCCGATCATCGGCTCGTCGAACCGAGGACCGGGGAGATGCACGAGTTTTCGGACCTCAAGAAGGTAGGGGCCAGAATTCTAAGCCTGTCTATGGACGAAACTGATGGCATCTTCCTCTTTAACAGGTTTTCATCTCGTGATCATACTCGATCCAGTACCCTAGCTGTCCTCCCGTCAGCGATTCTGTCCTTTTGCAGTTCTTCACTTGTCCTTCTTGTACATCCCCATCGCGCACTCATTTGAAAGTACTCTTTTTTTCTCTCCCACCTACTTTTGGATTCGTCATCAACGTCTTTGCAAAGAGGAGGAAAGGGGCGACCTCTCCCCAAAACCGAAGAAAGCCTGACCAAGAAGCTTTGGTGGGGGAGAACAAAAATCTAGTCGTCAAGATCACATCCGCTATGAACAGACTCGTATGCGAAAGAGAAAAGAGAAGGGAATTTGTGATGAGATTCGGAGTTGCTGGGCGGTCTGGACGGGGGAATCGCGTAGGGGTTGCAAGAAGGAGACACAGGAGGTTTCCGATTACGATGCCGAAACGAGTTGGACCAGTCCACGCAGATGAGGCGCATTCAACCAAGCGGGGACATAAGTCTCGATACCCGTCACCTCACGCGGTAGCGGTACCTCGTAAGGACCCGCCTCCTCGACCTCAGGCGGCAAGAGCAAATGATCGTTTTTATCACCAGCGACGACGCGCGAGTTGACGGCGCGCAATATCTCGGCCGAGATCGGGTTCTCGTAGTCCGCGACGTAGTAGTTGGCGATCAATTTTTGAATTTGCGTCGGTGTCAACATCCAGCACACGTCGTAGATGATGTCGATGTCGGCGAGCGTCGCCTTCTTGAGCTGCAGCAGCTTGGTCGCTTGCATCAGGTGTTCGAGTTGCAATGTGCCTTCGGGCATGTCATGCGACTTGCACCACTCTTCTAACCGTGTGATGTTGCTGTGGAGTCAAAGTCAAGCTAGATCAGAATCCATACTTTCCTATGGTCATAAGCTTGACTCACTATTGGATCTGCATCGCCCGCTTCCAAGACGAGAAGTTGCGCCTCATCAAGAGGTCGTTGAAGCTCGAGACGCCGATGAGCTTGAGCAACTCCGTCACAGCCTGTTGCACGACGCTGTGCTCGACGTAGTACGACTTGAGGCTCTTCCACACCTTGTTGAGCAAGTTGAGGATATCGTCCATGCTGAACGCCGGCGTCGACGCGGCACCACCACCGACCAAGCGACCGAACAGCCGTCCCGAACCTTCGCTCGTCACGAAGCCCGGCAAGGACTGCGACTCGATCAAGGCGGGGATGACCATGCGGTGCAGTCGCTTTTTCGTCTCTTGCATCCATGTATGGTAGATGTTGTATTCGAGACTGTCAAGGTCGTGCTTGACGATCGTGACGAGGCGTTCGTAGTCGTCCCACTCGTACTCGCGGCCGATGCCATCACCCCCGGGCCCAATGCCCTGCAAGATGTCGCTCTCTGCGATGCAGACGAACGAAAGGATCTCGTGGACGTTTGAGAGCCAGAAGATGCCGGGTACAATCACGTCGTCGCCTTGGAAGCTCTGTGGGAGTCACGTTGGCACGGGCTCAGTAAGCTGTTGTCTCCAAGCAATGGCTGCCATCCCTCGTAGCGAAACTTACCATGACGTGCTGCTGAACGGTCTGCATGACGTTGGCCAAGAACCTTTCGCTTTCTCTCATCATACCATACTTCCACATCTCGTTCGTGACCAAACTGATCAAGTGCGCAGGGAAGAGAACCTCCTTCGGCGATGGCGGGGTCTGCAAGTTAGCACCGGGGATCTTGAGGTGGCGGATGATGCCGGACAGGACGTCTTCGTCGAGCGGCTCTTCCTCCTCGAGCAGCCGCATTATCTCTTCGGCCGGATCGTCGTACACTTCGGGTAGGTAGCCCTTCGTGCCCGTTCGTTTGGCGAATCCATTCTCCTGCGGGTAAGCGACCGACACGGGCCGGGGCGCCTCCCATCGATCCGTCTCCTCCGGAATCGGCGAGTGGTCGGCGGTGACGTCGCTGTGACGTCGCTGTCTTCGCTTCGCTGTCCCCGGAAGACCTGCGGGTGAAAGACTTCCCACGGCGGCCATGGGCACGCCGCCTGCACCGTTCTCGAGGCCTCGCGAAGCGCCCGTCGCCATGTTGAAGTTGGTCCCTTCCGGTCGGACGGCCTTGTTGGCATTCGCGAGCGCGACCTGCCTGGTCAACTGCTCGCGCAAGGAAGCGATCTCGCTCCTCAAGCCCGAGACGGTCGTCGAATCATCACTGGCTTTGGCCAACGATTCTTTGAGCGTCACATGCGTCGCCTCGAGCTCCTTGACCTGTGCGGCATGCTGCGCAATCGCCTTCTGCATCTCCTGCTCGTGCTCGACAATCTTCTTTTGTGCGGCTTGCAACTGCTCGTCGAGGGCCTTGCGTTGCTGTTCGAGGGCCTCATACTCGGGCAAAGCGACCGTCGGCTTGTCGAGCTCGGCCTGCAACGATTTGGCCTTGGTGTCGGCCTCTTCGTGCTTGGCGACCCATCCGGCGAGTTGGGCGTCCAAGGCCTTGAGCTTGTTCGCCAACTCGCGGTTCTCGCCCGTGCGCCTCTGCAGCGTCTGCGTCAGCTCGACGACCTTGTTCTCGAGCTTGTACGACACCTCCTTGAAGTGCACGACCGAGCGCGCCTCCGTCTTGAGACCCTGCAGTTCCTTCTGCGCAGCTCGTCGGCGCACGCACGATTGAAGCAGCACGATGCGACGGCGATCTTGTCGAGTCTGGCGGCGCACGAACATACCACGAACGAGCGATTGCAGTCGCACAGCGGCCGCCTCAATACGCTCCTGCTTGAACGCTCGACGCACGAGCGTGGCGCGAGCGATAGCTTGAACCGCGACGATCGCATGTCGTGCCCTGACGAATCGCAAGCGCTGCAAGTGACCGCGCATGTTGCTCTGGATGATGACGGCGGCTCGATCCCGGCGCTCCTTCTCCGCGGCACGGCGTGCCAACGTCGCACGCCATCGCGCTTGCGTTCCAATGACGGCGCGCCTCAAGTTCTGGTACGACTTGAGGGCCTGATGACGCCTTACATTCTTCTGCATCAGCGTCGCGAGCGCGTTCAGTCGTTGCGAGCGCAACTGCTCGAAGCGGGCGAGCAGACCGGCGCGGAAGAAGATCTTGGTCAATCCGACTTGGTACTTGTCCTCTTCCTTGATCGAGGTCTCGAGGATCTGCTTGCACATTTCCCGACTCTCCGTCCCCCAAACGCGCGAGTTGACCAGCATGTAGTACCTTTAAGAGCGCAAGCGGTGGGAAGTGGTTCAGTCTCGAGGATCATAGGATTGAATACAAACTAGTAGACTCACCGTTCAGCGAACTCAGCGAAGGTCCACCTTGTCGGGTACCCAGCGCAACTGATCCTGATCGTCTCGAGCACACCACAAGCCCTCAATTGGCCCAAGACCATCTGCGGCTCAAACTCCCAAGCCCGCTTGGCCTCGTTCGGCTTGATGCACCGAATGTAATGCGCGTTCGTCGAGTCGATCGTGTCCATCAGGCTGATCAGTGACAGCTTGAAGATCGAGCCCAGTGTCGGCTTGCGCGCCGTCGCGCCGACTCGTTTCATCGCTCCTCCACCCGGAGCACCCGCCACGCTCGCTCGTTTGTTCGCCACGTCCCCAAGGGCCGAGCCCGGTCGTTCGACCGGCTTGTCCTGAGCTTGAGCGGCGATCTTGGCCGCATCAGCGCGATCCAACACCTCCTTGAGGAACGAGTTGGTCGTGGTCGATAATAACACCAAGTGCTCATCCGGCACGGTATCCCTGTTCTTCTCCAGGAAGCCCTCAACCTCGTAGGTTACGTCCAAAGCGTAGTGGGCGATCGTGAACGCTGTTGAACCGAAGCGGGGCTTCTTGAAGACACTCGAAGCCGTCTCCGGCTTGGCCCCGACGGTCGTGTACAGCTTCTGGACAAAGTTGGCGTCCGATCCTGAAGGGAGACGAGACTCTTCGTCGAGCAGACTGAGGATACCGAGCTTACCCTCGATGAGGTCGATTGTGGGCTGGTTGTCGGAAAAGTCGATGAACGTCCAGTTGATCTGTTCGCGGATGTACTCTTCTTGCTCGAGTTTAAAGACATGCGCGTTGAACTGGTTCAAGACGGCGGCGCTGATCAGCGAGGATTGCCAACACACGCTCTCTAGATCTGAGCGCCTACCTCTTGCTGAAGCTTCTCGTTGGCGTAGTTGATGCAGAACTGTTCAAAGCTGTTCTTTTTAAAGTGCTCGAACCCATAGATATCCTAAGGGGCATATGATGTGCCAAGTGTCAGCGAAGCCGACAAGGGCGAGCTAGCCAGGTAACGCGGCGCAGAACTCACCAAGACACCAATGAAGCTCTTGACATTGGCCTCGACAGCCTCATTCGTCAACGATTCGTTCACGACCGCGACGAGCCACTCGAACATGGACGCGTAGATGTGCTTGGCCACGGAATCCTTGACGACGTTGGCCTGGGCCGCGTTAAGATTCGACACAATCTTGTCCGTGCGCGTTACGATCTGCTTCTTGATGATCCATTTCTTGAACTCGGCCTTGTCGATTCCGAGCAAACGGGTCGCGAACTCCAACGACTTGTCCTCGTCATCAAGCAGGGCGTCCGTTCGCGAAGAAGTGATATTGATGTTGCCGAGATGCAACAGAGCAGCAAGCAATTTGAAGATCTGCCACTGCCTTTCAATCGTGATGCCGACCGTCGACAGAGCCTTTTGCGTCGCTCGGAACTCTTCCGCATCATCGACACCCGGAATCGCATAACTCGGGGCTCCACCCTGATTGAGGTACGCAAAGTTCGACGCGGCCTTCAAGCCGAGATTCTTGCGCTCCGAGCTCGGCGCGCCAGCGAGCAGTTGATAAAAGATGTGGTAGTTTCGCTCCGTCTCGGGTTGGTAAACGAGACGCGATCGCTCGAGCAGATAGGTGCGGATGCGGGCACCGACGATCGTCTGCTCGCCGTCGAACAGGATCTCAATGTATTTGCCGAAGCGCGACGAGTTGTCGTTGCGCGTGGTCTTGGCGTTACCGAACGCTTCCATGATCGGATTCGTCGCGAGGATCTGCTCCTCCGTCTCGGACATGCCACTCGTCGTTGACGTCTTGCGTTTGCCGGGTTTGAGGGGATCCTCGACTGTCGCAAAGTAGCGCATGATATACTTGGCCGAGACGGTCTTTCCCGCACCGGATTCACCACTGACGATGATGGTCTGGTTCCCACCGGCCTCGCCATTGTTGCCGGCCATGCAGCGGTACGCATCCTCGGCGATGGCGAACAAATGGGGTTCGAGCTCGCCCTTTCTTCGTCCCGCGTAAGCCTGGACGATCGAAGGCGCGTAGACGGACAGGGATGAGAACGGGTTGACGGCGACGAGTACGATACCGGAGTAGGTGTAGATCTGTCTCAGCGAGTATCGATGCAAAATTGTGTGAAGAACTGGGGGGGGTGCGCAGCCAGTTTTGGTCAGCCCGGCTGGCGCAGACGATTTGGGAGGGACGCCGAATCGTACCTCCAGGTTCATTCAAGTGACTGAGATTGGTTAGATCCTCGGTTGCTTCGAGCAAAGGAGGGTTCCGCAGAGGCGGCAAGGTCGTGTCGGAGGCGCTAGCCCGGGACAAGGCGGAAAGGGAAGTCGAGACTTTGATTATCTATGTGTGAGACAATATAGGGGGAATAGTTTAGTTTTCGACGAGTAACAGGTGCGCTGCTATGCGATGATGAGGACTTTGGCCAGGATTCTTGGCTAGCGGCGATTGGGACGCGACAATATGCACGAGCATCGACGAGCGCCACCGCGGCCAATGACGGAGCGAGCGGGGCAATAGACGGGAGGACGGGGGCATAGGCATGACGAGTGATGCATGGTACATGCTCCTGATCTCCGTGGGTTATTCCTTGTGCTACCGGCCCTCGTGCGATGCTCGGTCGTCTACTCGTCCGAGACACACGTCGCGCGCGGCGTACGGCCTGACCTGTCGTGCCCCCCTGCAATGGGCGTGTGTATAGCTCCGCCCGGTGATTTCGCAAGCGCAGAGCCAAGTCTCGGATCGCATCCATAAAGTAGGAACGGCACTCCGTAAAGAACGCGGCTGTGCGCACTGACCTGGCCCGCCTCTGTCTCAAACTCGAGCTGGACGTGTTCGTGGCTGTCGTCGAGTGAGCTCGCGGTGACCTGGCCCGCGATCCAGCCCGAGGTCCTGTCCTCGTGCCAGGTGCGTGTCCCGACGACATAGGTCTCGATCACACTTGACGAGGGACGGTGTTGACTGAGACTGGTCGAGGAGGCCGACTTGGCCATGCCTGGTGTGGCCATAGCGGCGTCGGGCGTCTGTGCGCTTCTGCTGCTGGAGGCTGCTGGAGGCTGCTTGCTGCTTGGCGGCTGTGGCTGGCGAGAGCGAAGTTGAGCGTGAGTGAAGGCGCGTCGACACGCGTGGCGTGGCCCTGCGGCGACCACTGACAGCGACTGACTGACCGACGGAGTTGGGGGGGGGGGGGGGGGAAGGGGGCCCAGGGGGGGTCCAGAGAAGTGGGTGGGGGATGAGAGAACAGCCGAGGGTACGGCGACTGAGGACGGTGGTTGAGAAGAGGAACAAGAGGAGAGGGAGGCTACGATCGGTCGATCGTCTTAGTTGGGCTTGTTCCTGCTTGGTCCCCCGTGGCGCGGCCTGAGCTGACGGGCTCGAGTGCACGCGCCAAGCGTCGGCGATTGGGAATTCGACATTAGCGTTGGCGCCATGATTACAATCGACGACCATTTGCGCAAGCCGGAGGTTTGGCGGAGGAGCTTCTTGACTCGGCCGTCTCAAAGCGAGCGCCGCTTCAGCTCTCAACTGCTGCACCTTGCACCCGCATCAACTCACAAGTGAGTCCATGCTTCACGGCTTTTGACCGTAAAACCCTCACCCGGCGGTTTCGGCGCAACAACCAACCTCGGTGCGAATTCGCCGTGCTCCGCAACCCGATTCGAACCAAGTCTAGCTACGGCGTTGACGGGATATTCGCTATCCCATCATCGACCTTCGACATCTCCAGTAGCAGTTTCGGCATAGCCTTAGCCACAAAAATAGGCTGGGTCCCTTCAGCTCCTTTCACAAACCCACCACCTTCCTTCGCCTCCCAAGGAGTGTAGCGCAGCTTATCTCCGGCGAGGCGCACTCAGCTCTCGCGCAAGGCTCGCTGCGCTCACAAACTTACTCATCAACCGCAGACCCGACTCTTAAACGTACAGAACCAACTCCGGAACATCCACCATGTCCGCCCAGGCAATGATGGCCAAGAAGCTGTGGGGAGGTCGCTTCACCCAAGGCACCGACCCCCTGTAAGTTCGGTCCATCGCTCCACATCCGCCGCTTCGACCCAACCCCCACTCACCCACCTCTCCACCTCCAGCATGTGGGAATTCAACCAATGCCTTTCGTACGACAAGAAGCTCTACGCCGTCGATGTCGCAGGATCGAAAGCCTACGCCCTTGCGCTGTCGAAAACCTCTCCCCCCATCCTGACCGCCCATGAACTCTCCGAGATCCGTCGTGGGCTCGATCAGGTCGAACAGGAATGGAAGACCGACAATTTCGTGATCAAGCAAGACGACGAGGACATCCACACCGCCAACGAGCGTCGGTTGTCCGAGATCATTGGCTCCGACATCGGTGGCAAGCTACACACCGGTCGCAGTCGTAACGACCAAGTCGCGACGGACATGAGGTTGTGGTTGATCAAGGAGGTCGTGCAGGACATCGAGTGGCTGCAAGGTGTCATCGGTATCTTGACTGTCAAGGCCGAGGAATGGATCGACCACCTTGCGGCTGGGTTCACCCATCTGCAGAGGGCTCAGCCGATCAGATTCTCCCACTTTTTGCTCGCGCACGCCCACTCGTTCGCTGGTGATCTTGGCAGGATGAAGGATCTTCTTCCGTGAGTTCACTCTACCAGTGCAGCATAAATGTGCTGTACTCATGCCCTTCTCTCTTGACAGCCGCGTCTCGACCCTCCCTCTCGGTTCCGGTGCTCTGGCCGGCAACCCCTTCTCCGTCGACCGCGAGCTCCTCCGCTCCGAACTAGGCATGGCCAGCGTCTCAGGCAATTCGATGCAATCCGTCGCCGACCGCGATTTCGTCGCCGAGTACCTCTTTGTCTGCTCCCTCCTCATGGTCCACATCTCACGCCTCGCAGAGGACCTCATCATCTACTCTTCGTCCGAATTCGGCTGGGTAATGTGCGGTGATGCGTATTCGACCGGATCGTCCATCATGCCTCAGAAGAAGAACCCGGATGCGTGCGAGTTGCTTCGAGGGAAGAGTGGTAGGACCGTCGGTCAATTGACGGGCTTCTTGACGACGTTGAAAGGTTTGCCGGCGACGTACAACAAGGACTTGCAGGAGAGTCAGGAACCCATGTTCGATGCGGCGGATACGGTCGGCAAGAGTTTGAGGATCTTGCAGGGGGTCATCACGACGCTCAAGGTCAGTACAAACCACGGAACTCAAATACAGTTGGACGACCCGAAGGGTGGAGACTGACATTCTCAATTTCGTTGCTTCCACTCATCAGGTCTTCCCGGAGAAGATGAAAGCCTCGTTGACGCCCGACATGCTCGCGACGGATTTGGCCGAGTACCTCGTTCGCAAGGGCGTAAATCCAGTCTACTGACGAACCGACATACTTCTATGAAGGGTGACCTCAGCTGACCCCTTTCCCCCTCCGCACAGCTCCCTTTCCGAGAAACGCACCATATCTCCGGAGCCTGCATCAAGCTCTCGGAGGACTCGAACCTCAAGCTCTCGGACCTGACTTTGGAGCAATTCCAATCCATCTGCCCCAGTTTCGAAGCCGACGTCAAGGACGTGTTCAACTTTGAGACCAGTGTCGAGAGGAGGGATGCGGAGGGTGGGACGTCGAGGAGGGCCGTGTTGGGGCAGATTGACAGGCTGAAGAAGTTGTTGACGGAGGGTTCGGAGTGAATGACCTGGATGTTTATTTCTTGAGAGTGCTCAGCGGGGAGACGTTTTCATAGAGTCGCAAACGATCGTAGCCGTTTGATTCATCTTGACGTAACGAGCTCCGCGATGAAGCCCTTTCTTCTCCCCAACTGAGCACGGATGGTCCGATCGCAATTACAGCAACTACTACAACTAAGCCGCGGAAGTGTTTCCTTGACTCTACGAATCCCCAAATCCTGAGATGACTAAGATGATACAACTCGCCAACGCCAGCCCACAAATCGCCCAGGTCGTGAGCGTCGATGCTCTTCCGGCGTAGACGAAGCCCGTTCGTCGTCGATATTTGTCGTCGACGCTGAGTGTGTCGTGAATGCCCACGAAAAGGGACGAGAACGCAGCGATGAAGAAGAGGATACTGAGCTGTCGGTCGTTGGTCGGGACGGGGAAGCGGAGATCTTTGATGAGCATACGTGTTCATTCGTGCGGCTCGGAGGTACCCACTTTCCGAAACATGACGTACCGGAACTGCAGCATTTAAAGCGAATTGAGGGACTTCTTTGACACCTCCTAGCGAGAGGTGCAGTAGGATCGCGGCCGAGATGATGCTCAAAACGGAGCTGAGCTTGATCCAAGAGAGAAAGTTTCGTTCGCGAGCTGTAAGAAGATCCGGGAAGGTGAGATCGGGATCGCGAACGTAGCAAAGGAAGCTGAGGTGGGCTCACCGAGATAATCTCGCGCTATCCTCAGGAAACAAGAAGAGTGTTTTCAGCTCTGACCTCCTGTCCAGTCTTCCCCCTTGCGCCGACTCACCGGTCGACCCCTCGTTCGGAATCAGCCTAGTCCCACCATAGTACGCGTCCACTCCGCAAAGATACCGCGCCCGATGATCCTCATCCTCTTCCTCATCTTGTGCTTGCCCAAGCCTAGGCCTTTCCGACCTCGCATCGTCGCTATCATCCTCGTCGCTCGCTATGGCTTCTTCAGTGCGATCGCGTGATCCTCCCGACGTCTCGGCGGTCGGCGCAGCAAGCCAAGTGTGAGCGAGTATGGGTCCGTTCCCATGATTCGAGGACGTTGTGTTGGGAACGGAGTGGACGTGGGCATCTATCGGGTCCGAGAGCGACATTTCGTTGAACGATCGCTGAGGAATGTTCGCGGGGGAAACGTGGCTACTATACGACGCGGTCTGCGTGGCTGGCGTCGCCTCGAGCGATCGACCGCGCGATCACGTGCGACATTCAGTGCGCGCGTCCGTGCAGGGAGAGGCGAGTTTCATCACCGGTCGACCTGGCCATTGGAGAAGCAGCCAAGGATCCGCATTAGATCAGATCAGATCTGATCTGATCTGGATTTTTCTCATTCTGCCTTGATTGATCTGATCTTGATCTGATCTGAGCAGATCAATTTGATCTGAGACATGAAATTGCCTAATTTGGCACATAAAGACTTCTACATGTCTACATGTTGAAATCCTCATCTTCTTCCTCCACAACCTCATCCTCATCCTCATCCTCATCCTCATCATCCTCCAAAGTAGTGATCACCTTGCTAAGCCGCCGTTTTTTGGAGGAGCTCCCCGCTTCTATGACTGGATTGGGTCGCATGATCCCTATGAGAAAGTGTTTGCAATGAGTCAGCACCTGACACTGCAACGAAGGCTCATCAGAGGAGGACCACACCCTGTAGTATTTCTGTGGCGCGGGGCCGACACCCAATGCGGCGGCGATGCCAGATGGCAGATGGCGCGCTCCTTTCTCTCTCATGCAGTGATCAGGTGCGCCGCAGTTGGCATTTCAAATCACATTGGCACCATCTATAGGTACCGCCTACTTTCGGATTTTTTTTCTCGAGGCTTGATTGATCTGAACTTGATCTGACCCCGGTCAGATCAGATCAGATCAGATCAGATCTGATCCTGATCTAATGCGGACCCTTGGGGCCCGCAGCGAAGGGATGGCCACGTAAGGGTCACTCTAATCATCACCGTCTGTTCTTCGTCGTTCTTCGACTTCGCATTGCGTCTGGCCCTCACAGCCCGCAGCGCCTCGCACTCGAATCCGTAGCTACGGGCCCAGGGCCCAGGCGCTGGGCCGCCCGCGCCTCGTAGAAAGCCTCAGCTACTAGTACTGAAACATCGAAGACTCGACAATTCGGTATGGGGGACTGACAGGACTCGTTATGCGATCGTGCGGTCGAGTCTCCGAGATCGCGGCCGGTGACTCAGTGCCTGGGTAGTATCTTTGCTATGAAGGTACTACCCAGCTGCCCAGTGTAGACCTGCCGCTAACTCACACAAGTAGGCTGGCAGGCCATGCGATCGGCGCCCCACTTCGGTTGGTCCCAGAGTCCGAGTCGCTCCCCACCGACTAGGGACTTCCTACTCCGCAAAGTTTGCCGCAGAACTGTTTGTCCCTTCACTCCTCACTCGTCACCTTCCAGCGTTTCCAACTTCGACTCTGTCATCTCTTACCATACAGTTAGGACACCCTTGCAAAGTTGTCTCGGGAAAACGCGCGCCCCTGACTCGTCATGCACGTATTTGACTGGTTCTCTGCGACGTTCGCCTTCGTCGCGCTCGCGCTCACACTCACCTCGGCGGCGGTCTTGCCGGCGGATCACGGTCCGAGAAGTGCACGCGTAACGCGACGAGGGACTCTATCCCGCCGGTACGTCTCTTTGACATCTCCGTGGGGGGAAGGGGGGTCACAATGACTTGTGCACACCACATGCTGCAACGACCTTTCTTCGCGCTCCGACCCTTCAGCCTGAGCTGACCCTTGCACGGTTTTTTGACCCTCCTGCAGTGCCGGTTGTGTTCCTAAGCGTTGCCCCGCGGTCGCCAACGCCACAAGTATCTGTACGGCTCGAGGCAAATGTTCTTTCGTGTGCAATGCCCGCTTCAAGAATGTGAGGAACGCTTGTGTGCGCGATGTCACGCTATGCCCACAGTTTGCGAACGCTCGCGTGATTGTGACCTCGGGAGCCTGCGACTTCACTTGCAACTCTGGTTACACCAAGAACGGTGGCGCCTGTGTGAAGAACTGCGACAAGTCGAATTGCCCCGGGGTCACCAACTCGGTCTCATTGTGCACGGCGTCAGGTGATTGCGACTTCACTTGCAACTCTGGTTACACCAAGAACGGTGGCAGGTGCGATCAAGTTGTGTAAGCTTCAATACTGAGCATCAATGGCTCTGGCTTGGGCTGCGCGCTCGACATCATAGCTGACCGTCTATTGTTCTCATCGCGTCTGCAGTCCCGTTTGCGATCCTCAACAATGCCCAGCCGTTGCGGACGCTATCACCGTCTGCACTGACAGAGCGTGTGACTTTACTTGCAACTCGGGTTTCACCAAACAGGGCGGCGCCTGTGTATCGACCGTTTTGACCGAGTGAGTAGATGCAGTGTTCCTAGCCGGGTGAACGGCCGGGAGCCCACTGACTGGACTGCGCACGAGCTGACAACCTTCTGCCCCAGGCGATCGGTATCAGTCCTACCTGCGTTGCGAGTGCATGCCCCCAGCCAAACAACAGTATCAGCGTCTGCACTGGCACGGCTTGCGATTTCACTTGCAACTCGGGCTTTACTAAGCAGGGCAACGGGTGTGTCGTGACCCCGTGAGTAGTAGACGGAGGACCGAGACCCGGGAGGTCAGTAGGCATAGGAGCTGACGGAGGAGCGGTTGTGTCTCGCTCATGTAGTCCGTGCGTTACGGTCAATTGCCCCGGAACGGCGAATGGAGGCGCGATCTGCACTGCCAATGGAGCATGTGACTTCGAATGCAACTCGGGCTACACCAAGCAGGGCAACGGGTGTGTCGTGACCCCGTGAGTAATCGACGGAGGAGCGAAACGTAGGCCGACGGCACAGAAGCTCACAGACTCCCGCATCTCAACGCCGATCCGCGAAATAGTCCAGCCACCTGCCTCGCGAGTGCTTGCCCCCAGCCAGACAACGGCGTCGGAATCTGCACTGCCGACTCTTGCGACTTCACGTGCAACTCGGTTTACTTCGAGCAGAGCGGCGCCTGTGTGTGTGAGTGATGAGGCACGCCCGGGGGGAGAAGGAAGCGTGCCACCGTGAGCAGACTAGTACGCCCGAGCTGATGCCTTGTCACCCATCCGGATAGACCCCTTTGCAACGTGAACAACTGCCCTGGCACGGTCAACGGTTTTGGGTTCTGCTCTGTCAACACGTGCGTCATCGGCTGCAAATCTGGTTATGCCAGGCAGGGTAACGTTTGCGTCTCTACCGCCTGAGGACACGCCCCACCCTCGCTCGTACGGATAACATAGGCTTGAGTCCAGTAAGCTCTCCTCATTAAACCCTTCTGCAAATCTATACATTTTTCTTTCTGGGATCCATATGGAATGTAAAATATTATAGCATCAGTTCACCAGCTGCTGTTATGAAACACTGTGGTTTCACTCCGAGGAGCTCGATCCCGGGAGCCGTGGCGGGGGATTGCAGTGACGGCGAGACGGTGGTTGGGTCCTTTCAAACCGAAGCTCGCGTTTCGTCGAACTCTGACAGGGCTCAGTGCACGCAATGAATTTTAATGATGCTCATCGAACGAAGACTCGACTGCGCGCAGTTGACCATCAGGACATTCATACGACGTCGTTGCCCAAAGTGGTAATCTACCTGTGCTGCGAGAGTTCGTTTGATGGCCAACGTGGCCCACGGGCGACGTCATTGCTGATCCAAAACAACATTTGGTCAAAGCCAGAACCTTTACCAGATAAAATAAGCACCTACTCCACGAACTTTCTCAAAGCGGCCTCGGCCCTTTGCAACTCCTGTGCATCGGCAGCGCGTTCCCACAACTTCCGCGCGATCCCATCGTCCCTCTTCCAAGCCCTCGCAATCTCAACCCCGACATCTCCCCGTTCTATTTCGACTTCTCCGAGGTGCGCCCCAGCATTCCTCAACGACTCGACGATCCTCAGCAGGTTCGAGTCGTTCGTCGTTTCCGATGCGGTCGCACGAGCCGCGTAAAACAGAGCCGAATGAGAGAGTTGATCGCGAAGATGGACCGAGGCACCGCTTGCTAGTAGAAGATCAACGTTGTGCGCTTGTCCCGCGATGACGGCGATGTGTAACGGGGTCTGAAGGATTGGCGTCGACGGTTCATTGAGGAGGGCGATGACTTTGGTCGGAGAAACAGCCACGGCGGCTCCTGGGACGGGCACCTCCTTTCGGTCCTTCTCGGACGAGGAGGCGTCGTAATCGAGCGACGAAATGAGCTGGTCGAGTAGGGAATTCGGCCGAGCGGCTGCTTGACCAAGAAGGTAAGGCAAGATGGCTTTCTCGGCCGCTTCGGCATCGCGCAGGTTGGCTGGCCAAGGTCGATCAAGGTCTTCGGGCAATGGATCATCGGCGGTAGAATGCAAGGTCAAGTGACTCTTGGTTGAGGGTGAGGTCGTGACGCCCTTGGCGGGGACCGAGCAGTCGAGGACGCGGGAGAATAAGGTCCGCAGCCGGTCACCGGCAGGTACGGGCGAGGAGTAAGTAGGAGCAGGCGATTGGACAGTCAGTTCGCCCCGCAGCGAATGTCCCATCAGTTTTCGCACTTGAGCTGGCGTAAGGTCTGGTTTGGAAAGCAGGTAGGCGAGTTTGGCGAGTGCACATTCGACCGTCATGTCGGCTCCTCCTGCAATACCGACGCTGCACGGGAAGAGTTTCGAGTCAGTCTCTAAGAAGGTAGAGCTCGGCCGCAGAATACTGACGCCACCAGTGCCCGACCCGTCTCATAGATCTCTGATACACTCCCGATTGCGCATTGCGACACGTTGACGATCACCACTCCTCGATCCGCGGCCTCGCGGAACGCGGACAGAAGGTCTTCCCGCCGCGGCGCATTCCCAGCGCCGTAAGACTCGAGCACAACCCCCTTGATCTCGGGGCCAAGGAAGGCGCGAATCGCTTTCCCAGTAATTCCCGGGAAGATGCGCAGCGTGGCTATTTGGGGCAGGATCTACCATCAGCAATGAGCTTCAGCAAGCGGCGAACAACCAGGTCCGACTGACCAACATTGGCCGAGAGCGATTTGTGGGCTCTGAAAGGTCGCAGGCCCGGCCGGAGTACTTCGTTCCATACGACATCTGGTGGATATATCGACCAATTTAGCCTACGCACCACTCTTCACGGTGCGTGAATATCGTCCAACCTACCGATTCCCGTTCCGACCGATGCCAGAGGCGCAAGGTTTGCACTCTCAAAAGCACCAAACTCTTCCGAAGAAGCCTTGACAGATCGATTGCCGCGAAGTAGATGATTGTCAAAGAAGACACACACCTCGGGTATCCGATAGTGCCCCGCGATGATCAAGGAGCCGAGCAAGTTGTCGATCGCATCGGTGAACAGCTCGGACAAGGGGATCTGGGCACCCGTCAGAATGACAGTCTTGCCCAGGTCTTCGAGGAGGAACGAGAGGGCTGACGCGCTGTACGACATGGTATCTGTGCCGTGCAGGATGACGAATGCATCAAACATCTTGTAGTTGGCTTCAATGTCCCCAGCCATGCGGATATAGTCCGACAGCTCCACCTCGGAGCTGTCGATCAATTTCTGGTATTCGTAGATGGCGTAACGGATCCGCTTGCCTTGAGCCGTCCGAGGAGTGACAAGCGATGGTAAATTGAGAGGGCCTTCGGGTGTATGCACCGTCATCGTCGCCAACAGATCATGCTCTCCGGGCGCAGAAATTCCCGGTAATCGGGGTGAGCTCGATCCACTCGGCGGTTTCGACCCATTCGTCGAAAGCCACGACGAGTAGGCGCTGACGCTCTGCGAGTTGGCGAACACAGAGTCCTGATGAGGGTCGTGGAATCGAGCCTGTGACCGAAGACTGTAAATCCATCAACCGGGCCCAGACAATTGTTCGTCAGCCTGAGCCCTCGCGGAAGAGACCAGATCCGACGGCACCGAACGGACTTGGAAGCAAGAAAGCCAGCATGTGGGGCATAACCTCCTTCCTTGGTCTTGAGCATCCCGATCGTCCCTCCTGTATGATCGTGGAAACTTTATCAACATGCAGTAGCCGCCTCGCCAAGACCTTGCAAGCTGTCGAACATTCTGCAACTCACTGTCGGCAGGAGCGAAGCCTGCGGTCAGCTATCGAGGTGCGAAGGCTACAGAGGGGCATCTCCGGACAGGCCTACCCTGTGTACAATACGAGCACTCGTGCCTCATCCTGACTCGCCATTGTGTCCAAGTCCCCCGGCCGCGACGGATTGCGATGTCGAGCCGAGCGGAGTCGAACCCATAGCGGTTGGTTGGCGCAATCCGGCATATGTCGGAAATCAAAACCTGCTTTTCATTCATTCTATGCCACTGCAGCCTGTGCAGTGGCCCAATACCGATGCACACCAGCGCAGCCGGAAATTAAAGCATGGCTTGGAACAGTCCCAAAAACTCATATATCGGTTAGGTTTAGGTAAAGATGTTGCTGTTTAGAACGATCGCCCAAGTACTCCGAGTCCTCAGGGCATCATCGATTATCGGCGATCTGCGCGAGTCGCCAGGCCCACGGCGCGGCGCGTGTCTATACGTGTCGCGAGCAACGCGTCGCGTCGCGCGTGCATGGCCGTTGTCAGTCCCACCGTCTTTGCCAAGTGGGCTTGCGCAATGGAGCAGGCGCGTATTTTGATATTCTAGGTGCCTACTGAGCCTTGAAGAACAAATCTGGCAACTCTTATGACAAGAGCACCCGTGGTGTAACTTTATGCGCCTGTCGTCGGGTTCAGAGTCGCGTATGGCAGCGGATCTAGCTGCACCCCACACTCCGGGTTCGTCTCCACTAAACTATACTAGTACCCTTCTCCCCTCGTCCTTGCGCATCGAAACACACTTTCAACCTGACTCCTCTCGCACTCTTGCTGAACGAAACAACATCCGATCCATACCGACACCTGCAGTCTCGTATCATAATACCCAAATACTCGAACACCTCCCCCACCATGATGATGATCTACGGCGCACTCAGCCTTGCTGGGATCTCGCTCGCGTCGACGGTCTCCGCCGCGGCTGCCAGCTCCAAGGGAAACCAGACCTGGACCGGCCAATTGGGCTACGGCCGATTCCCCTGCGGCGTCAAGACCTCATCCAGTGGATGGGTTAGGAATCAAACCATGTGCAAGTACTCACTCCTCGTGTCTCCGTAAGTTCGGTTCCGCGCCCGAGCCGGGAAACACTCCATCGATGAAGACTGATATCCTTGCGTTATTACCAGCGGTGCGAACACCAACAATACCGCGGGGAACCAAGGTGACGGTCACAAACCCAAATCGACCAAGTGCACGGCCGACGGCAACGGCTACTGGTACTGCGGCATTGCCAACGCGATGTAAGCCCGATTGGAAAACGCTCCTCCGTTCGCTGAGGGCTAGTGAGAGATCCGATCCGGCAACTAACTACTTGCGGCCGATCGAATTTTCTCTGTAGATGCTCAACGGACAGCAACTGCGACAATGGCAGATGCGTCAAGGGAATTTGCGCGTGAGTAAAGGCCCAAGTGCTACTTGTATCTGTTCAAGTGCTGACTGCATCAGCACGCCGCACGTCAAATAGGAGTGGCTTCGATGTCAAGTGCGGCGGCGATGAGTGAGTCTCGTCGTTGAGCATCCTCCTTGCGAACTGCAAGCCTTTGACCTCTGTGCTGATCCATGTTCCACAACCCAACAGCACCAAGTGCTCCGGCGACCTTTACTGCAACGCGGCCGACTACTCCAAAACGAGTTCGGGCACCTGTGGTGGCCGCGGTGCTTTCTGCCAGGCAAGGCGGCTCACGTAGATTGCACTTTCAGAAGTCACTTGATTGACGATCTTCACCGTCATCTGGTTTGTTCGGGATTACACCACCGGCAGCACGAACTACACGGCAGTGTCGAATTACAAGATCTGGAATGCCAGCTGCAAAAGCGGATACTGCAACACCATGACGGGCAATTGCGACACGCACAAGAAGCTTGGACAGGTCTGCAAATCGGATCCCGCATTCGTGAGTGATATGACCGATCGAAGTGATCTCCGACTATGCGATTTTCGATATTCTCACTGAAGCACTTCGTCTTTTTTGTTGCCCAGGCTTGTGAGACCGGCCTCGAGTGCGTCAAGAACAAGTGCGCCAAGTCCAAGAAGTCGATGAGGGCAAAGCGAAACACCCTGTCCAAAGAGGTTCATCACCCAGCCGTTGTCGAGTCCCACCGACGAAGAAAAGTCTAGATTCAAACCAAAAGACTTTCACAGCTGAGCCGGCTAAGCTTCCGTTGGCTCGGCAAGACGACGTACTCAAGTGACCAATGTGTCACCGGCTCGTCCATACCTCCAAGGTTTTATTATATTATCCGGTGTGTTAGCCTCATTTTGTCTAGGTGTGTCTTCGTTGGAAGAGCGTGGGGCTATGTACGATGGCTTGAGCACCATAATAGGAGTGCGGATTTCGAGCCCCTAACGATGCACGCTGTGCTGTCGGTGAAACGAAGAACCAAATTTGCTCGATATAGGATTCCACTTGTGTGATTCGCTGGGGCCCAAGTACCTGTGCTTTGAGCTTCGGGTGGGTCCCTCGGCACGACGACCGCAGTGAGATGTTCGGAATCAAAAGAAGATCTTCCTTGCCAAGCGAATGCAGGATCGTCTAATAGCCTCTGGTCAGCCGGAGATCGCTGCCCGCCAGCGCCTGCAGGCGCCTGCCAGCACTGGTCACCACTGGGCACTGGGCAGGCTCGACTCCGTTGATGCCCTGCCTGCCTCCACGCCCTCTCACGTCCACTCAGTTCTCGACTCTACTACAGCTGAACAGCTACCCCGTGTCTCGCTTCCTCCGCCACTCGTTACCGCCTCGGACTCGGCTCCGTCGGACATCCGTTCAGATTTAAGGCCCTCCTGGCAGGCTGGGCACGCGTCGCGCCGCGCTCAACGCTCTCCCAGCCTCCCTCCCCGTCTCGCTCCGACACGCGCCTGAACATGATCGACCCGTCGCCTGGACTGCTCATCATCCTAACTTTACTCGGTCTCGTCCAAGCGGCCCCACACTCTCTAACCCAATCGCAACCCACGACGAACGTCCTCTTGGAACGAGCCACCGCTCGTATCAAGAATACTGATGGATCAGTCGCCCTCGATCGACTGCAACGCGAATTCGCGCTCTTGTCAAAGTGAGTGCCGGAGCGGAGGGTCCGAGCGGCAAGCACCGAGGAGGCTGCTTCAAGCAGCGAGCCTGGCCATTCGAAGACGTGCTTGGATCACACAAATCTCATGTCCTGACTGAGGTCATTCTCACACTACAGTAAATATGAACGCGTCTGTCATCATCGCCAATTCGCTTGCTGTGCTTCGCGCGCCGATCTTTCCCATTACCGAGACCCTGACGACCCCGCGCTTCTTCCATAGAATCTGAACAACCTCAACAACATGGAATCAGCCAGGGACGTGAATGCGACTGCGAAGAGGATGCAAAAGCGTGCAGCTCAGTCACTAAGCATGCCGAGCGAGGGCATTTGGACTGGACCCGTATACATTGGGACGCCGGCGAAAAAATTCAGCATCTACTTCGACACTGGTAGTGCCGATATGACCCTCGCTTCAAACAAATGCCCTAATTCGAGCTGTGGATCCAAGACTCGGTACAACGTCGGCCAAAGTTCGACGGGAAAGTCAACGGGTGGACAGGTCGAGACGAACTATGTCGATGGTACGACGACGGAAGGGAGCGTCGTGACCGATACGGTCAAGGTAGGAGGCATCAGCGTTACCAAACAAGCGATTATCTCGTCGACGTCTATGTCAAAGACCGTCAAGGGCTTGCCAAGTGATGGACTGTAAGTGGTTGCCTCGACAGCTTCATATCTTTTTTTCTCCAGGCTCGAAGCTGACCTCTAAAGTCTGTACCTATTACTCCGATTCGCCAAACCAGCATGGGACTTGCCTTCTCCGAGCTTTCTGCGTCGGGTCTAACGACCCTACCCTGGACGCAATACGCCCAAGACACGACCCACAGTCGCTTCGGACTTCGACTGTCGAATACCGCCGGTGCTTCATCGATCACATTCGGTGGTATCAGTCCGAACCATATCTCGGGCAACTTGACTTGGTACAAAGTCGGCAAGACCAAGGGCGCTTGGTCGTACACGTATTGGCAGGTGGCAAACAGTGCGTTCCACCAAACACACACCACATCCTCGGCAGCAATCGTACTGACTAGATATATTTCTCCAACCACACAGGCGCCGCTTACATCAACAATGAAGTCGTATCCACCTCGCGAGTGCAATACATCCTCGACTCGGGTACGACCCTCATCGTCGCCCCTCTCGACGGCGCCAAGAAATTCTGGGCCAAAGTCCCCGGTTCGAAGAAACACGACTCGCAATCGTGGACTTACCCTTGTAAGAACGCGCCCAACGTCGGGTTCGTACTCGGAGGTACAGGACGACAATGGATGGTGTCCGCGTCGAGTCAGTGTTTCCACCGTCCACGCCGAAACTTCTTTCTTACCTACGGACTAATCTAATCATCCTCCGCGAAACCCCTTCACAGCCTTCAACCTCGGACACGCGAGCGGTGACAAGACTCGATGCCTCGGCGCAGTAGTCGGCATGGACCTCGGACTAGGATCGGCATGGATTCTGGGCGATTCGTTCTTGACCGGCGTGTACGCTGCTTTCGACGTCAAAAACCGTCTCATTGGGCTTGCGGACCCCAAGTGATTCGAGATCGATAGTCTGGGCTTAGAATACCCCTGATGAACGAGGATACCTTTTGAACAATGTGTACCGGTCTTGGTAGTGTAGAACATACTGTACAACATGAAAATGCATAGCACACGGACGTAAATCCCAGACAACACGGGGTTCCAGCCTTCTAGAATTCGGTCTGATGCAACCTCGTTTTCCAATCCTTCATCCCACAACTCCTCGCCAACATATCCACCGTCTCAAACCCGACTCTACACCTCAGCTTGACCCCATCCAAGACTTTATCCTGCGCCGAGACGCGTTGCAACAGACGCAGGTTGATCAAGGTCGCTACTTGCATCTGCACGTCGATTGTAGAAGAGATGGCAGGGTCGTCCACGAGGGCTTCGAAGATGGCTAAGAGGCGTTCGAGAGGGAAGGCCTTGCCTCCTGACTCCAAAGAAGTGATGTGTGCCTGAATAGCAAGGGGGGGATATGCATCAGTCTCGAAGTCTCAATCTTGGTGCTCGACCATCGGGATTTCTTCACCTTTGTGGGACTATTCCCCACCCTGAATTTCTTGATTTGTCTCCCTTTCTTCCCCTTCCGAGCAATCCCTTCATCAACCTTGACGAAAACCCTCACATCACTTTTAGGCGGATTGAAAGCCGCATAGAAGCTCGCGAGGATCAACATCCTCGCGACAAACGGTAACGAATTGGCCAAAGTTTGATCAGCTTTGGTCTCGACTTCGGCCGAGGTGAGTGGGCTCGAAGCCGCGAGGTTCATTGCTTTGGCTCGTTTAGCGAGTGGGGTCGTTGTAGCGGCAGCGGAGAAGAGGCTGGGGGATGGGATGGAGTCGTTAAGAGTGCTGGCGGAAGTGGATGCAGCCGGCCAGATAGGGGAAGCGACCGAGGATGAAGGGCTCGGAAGGTAGTTCGGGCGAGCAGGCAAGTCCGGGATCGAGCCGATGAACCCACGCATCGTCGTCTTCGTGGGAGTCGAGGCGTTCTTCTTCTTCGGTGAAGCGAGTCCTTCTGCCACGTGGGATGATTGACGAGGCGCTCCGTGTCGCTCGTGTTCACGTGCAAACTCAGCTTTCATAAGGGAGGTCAATGCCGAGATCCGATTCGGATTGACGGGCACTACAGGACGGAAGCGGCTGGCTCAGCTTTTATGACCTCAGGAAAAGCCTCCATCGACGAGACGGCTACGTACGACTACCCTGATCGAGACAATCCAACCAGCTCGGCCAGAATTTGGCTGCCAAATGAGCGAAATCGTTGACTTCGGTGTAGGTGTTGCTGAAGATTGACCATAACACTTGTACGAGGGAGCGGAAAAGAGACACGGTTTCGTCGGTTGTCATGGGTGAGAAAGCGGGCTGGGTCGCGGCAAATCGTGCGGTGAGTAATGCGACGATGCCTTCTCCTGGAGCGTTCTTGTTCGACGCATCTGGAGTGAAGACAAGAAGCTCGATCAGCGGAGGTCCATTTGTCTCGCCGAGCTTGCCCGGGTCTGACCTAAATTGCCTCGGCCTAAGTCGGGGAAGACGAGCAACTGGGGTTCGACGTTGCCGACCATGGAGTCTCGCAGCTTGGTCGGGGCCAAACTCGAGATCAAAATGGTCGAAATCGGGAGTCGGGACTGCGAAGCGTCGTCAATACCATGTTCAGTCACCTGTGATCGTAGTGCGACATGTGTGAGAAAATCTCTTACCAAACTGCCAACCCTCCTCATCGCATTCGAGAAGGTCATGCCCAACCCGGTTTCTTTCGGTGCACCTCCTACCGTGCCCGCGCTTGGAAGTTCTGACAGCTTCTCAGCCTTGTCCAAGATGATGAAGCGATGCGGTGTCGCGATCGTCCTTTTGGCGTTCAGAGCAGCAAATTCTTCGGCATCCGAGTTTTCGTCGTCACGGCTTGCATTGGGTCGAGATCGCTTCCTGGGTGTTGGTAGAGAGCCTTCTTCCTTTCCCAGTGAACATATGGTAGAGAGTGAGACGAAAAAGTGTTCGAGCGTGTCGTGTATAGGCGCGATGGTAGATTTAGGGGGTGCTTTCGAGCGGTTCCAGCGGATGACCCATTCCTCGTTCGCTTCCTCTTCCACGGCTTCTTCTTCATCTTGACTCGATTCGCCTTCTGTTTCCTGCTGCTGCTGCTGCTGCTGCTGCTGCTGCTGCTGCTGTGTTTGAAGCCTGCTGACCCTCTTGCGCTTGTTGCCTCTCCGCGCTGACGCTTTGTCCTCGCTGCTTCTCTTCTTCGACGCCGCCACATCGACCTTTACAACCTCACACCCCTGATCCCTCCCATCCCAACACGCGACCGCTCTAGCCCTCTCATCCCACACATCCTCGTCACCCTCCCCAGCGAACCCACTAAGCTTATTCAGTACCCGATCAAAGAGCTGCCTCGTCGAATGCAGCTGATTCAATTCGACGCTCGCGTATCGAGGGAGCAACTCCTGCACCGAAGGTTGCGCAGGGGCATGCTTGATCACCAGGCGTTGTTCGTCGAGTATGTGGTGAATTATGGGGAGGACGAGGTGAGAGTTGGTCGGGGCGTGGATGTGTAGACAGGGTGGGGGAGCGGCCGAACAGAGTACCGACGAAAGGCGCGTGACGAAGGGCTGTAGCGAGGGGAGGGCGACCAGGGTGGAGATGGCTGGGTCGGCCATGAACGATGATGGTGTCCGGACTAGCTCTGCTCCACAGAGACGGTCAGGGGACGAGCGACGAGTGCGTGAACAGAGGTGAGAAGGCGAAAGGCCCGGAGGTGACGCGCCTCGACGCGCCACGCGTGCGAACGCGTGCAAACGCGTGCGAAGGAACCCAGTTGGCTGCTTCTATTTGGGTCCTGTACGGCGCCTTCCTCTCTCCTCTTCCGCTCACGCTCCGGAGGCATCCACGAGAAGCCACGGCCACTCGTACGATGTCAAAGGCTGTCAGGACCCTCGAAACGATCGCCTAGACTGCCTTGCCAGCCCGGAGAGCGCTGACGGTGAGTGAACAGGCCTGGTGCAAGCCAACCCCACCCCACTTCTCACCCTGCACCTTGGCTCTTGGCAACTCATCGCACCGGAAAATGTATCTCATGTATCCCACAGCTTCCTCGTGCACCGTACATCTCGCCCTGGGGTAGCCTTCGAGCTCGATCACCACTTGGAAGATCCCGGTGCGACGTCAGTGCGCTCAGGAGCAACCGCACCATCATCGAGCTCCTATCGTCAACATGGTCTGGGTGTTACACGGAACCGTCGACTGTAGAGCCGAGAGTAAGCGTCACTCCCCGGCTCGCGCTCGATCAACTCATCGGTCCCGATTTTGACATCTCGTGCTCACCCTCGCTTCTCTCCCGGACAACAGCTGCGCCTGAACTCAACTCGATCCCACCTCGCTCGTCGCATCTTCTCCGACCAGGGCGTACCTACCGTCTGGGTCGACTACCCAATCAAGCTCAAAAAGTCAAGAACCGACTGCACGACTTTTACCTCAACTCGTCCAAGATTTCAAAGTCGGGCACCTGGGAAACGACCATCCCTTCGCTCTCGGACGGCGCATCCTCTTGGGCGTACGAGGACGATCCGACCAACCCCAACAACCTCGATCCGTACCCCTTGGTCTTGAAAGGAAAGGTCCAGCACCGCGGATCGGACGGCAAGCTCACGGCCATCGATGGCGAAAGCGTCAATGTCAAATCTGGTGACAGCTTCGCCTTTGGCGCCATCTACGAGATGACGTGAGTGGTGCGGGAAAAGCCGTGACGCCGAGATTGGCAAGCGACACTGAACTCATGGATGGTCTCCGACTGCTCCGCTCACAGCTTTGAATGGGTCCCCCTCATCTTTGCGATTTCTTCGGCCACGGTCGCCAAGAAAAGCATTTACGCCGATTTGGCTAAATCAGTCGGTGAGTGCGATCAGAAGCAGCTCTTGGCAAGTCCGGACTGAATAATCGATATACGCCACAGGCTTCAAGATCGCCTACAAGACGTTCCGACCCCACCATACCCATTACCTCACCAAGAAGCTGACGCCCAACGCCTCGCTCATGAGTGCGGCTCTTGTCGGATCCCATGTTGCCGATCCAAGTTACCTCGACAAGTTAGCGGCCTGTACGACGTATGCAACCCCTCCAGCTTTCAGAATGCCTCCGCCTCGACCCCAAGGCGCCGACAAAGACTCGACGGTCGTACTCGCGTGGGAAGCCCAAGTCTACGAGGCGCATCCGGACGCCGGATCGGACCCCGAGCATTGGTGGGGCAAGAGCATCCTCGAAGCCGATTGGTCCGTGTTGCCGAGTCCAAAGGAGTGTCCGTGCAACGTCGATCCGCAATTCCCGACGGGGACGACGGAGGGCTGGTCCCCGAACCCGCAGCGAAGGACGATGTTTCGCGACGTCATTGCCTTGCCTTTCCAGGAGGACGTGAGTATCTTCGTCGCCACGACGAGTCTCAAGGAGTTTGGTCTGACTCGTTGTTTTCTTGCTCGTTTGTTCGTTTCGTTCCTGCTGCGCCCCAGCCCGAGGGTGATCCAAGTGGCCTGCTCGAACTCGGTGGTGCTCATCTCATTTCACGCGACATGCTGCCTCTCGATCGACCCATCTCAGCCCTTCGCCATGCGATCGACGACTACAAGCACGTCAAAGGCTTCGAGAAGGATCTCCGGTTTGCCATCATACCTCCTGAAGGTTTCGAGCCCCTTCCGGCGCCGAATGAACCAGCCAAATTCAAGACGGTGCGCCAGCTGGCCCAAGCGTGAGTCCGCATGGATGTTTCGCCGAGATAGAGGAAGGACTGAAGGTTTTTTGGTATAACGTGTAGTCTTGGAGAAGCCAAGTTCGTTGGACATCCGATGATCGACTTGCTGCAGGCCATTTACGACGCCGACCCCACACAGCTCTTGGGACCTCTCGTGATGGTACCTCCGACCCCGTCTCCTGAGGTCGAAGGGAGCCCAGTTGCTGGTGCGAGTCTCAGTCGTTTGACGGCGACAGCGAGTGATCACATACCTCTCCCTTCGAGTGAGCTCCAGTCCACCATGGGGGATCAATCAGCACCGTCGACGGCTGCGGTGCAGACGCAGGCACCAGCGTCTGCAGAGGAAGCAGCTTCAGCGCCGGCTCCGACGGTCGTTCGTAGAGTAAGCAACCAGAGGTTTCCCTGGGTTCTCCTTTCGGTCAGCTGCTTTCTCATCTACCACTTTGCATCTCCTCGCAGCTCAAGCGACACAGACGTGACGCTCCAAGCAAACTGGATGAGCTCTTCGGTCTCGACAAACCGTCCGCCGCCGAAGAGGATGAACCCCCTTCGCATGGCCAAGAGCCCGACCCACTTCCCTCTGTATCCCTCCCCGCCGCTTCTACCGTGGAAATTGACGTACCTTCATCGTCTCAAACGGTCGGAGAGAGTACTTCCAAGCCCGCGCCAACGGCTCGAAGGTTTCTCAAGCGTCGAGCCGTGAGCGGTGATCCACCCTCCAGTCTCTTCGATGAAGTCGGCAGCTCCTCTTTGTCCGTTCCCGAGGCGAAAAGAACAAGGTACGATTCCATGACGAGGGAGGCAAGGTTGAGGAAGATCCAGGAAGAGGATGATGCCGAGGCTGCCAAGGAATTGGAGAGGAAGCGCGCGAGTAAAGTCATTTCACCTGATGATGTGGAGGTGGTGGTGGAAGTGGTGACACCGAAAGCGGGACGCGGACGCAAGAGATCAATCGACCAGACCGCGGAACAGGGAGATGGGAAGGAAGATAAGGAAGATAAGGAAGATGACACCCCGAAGAAAGGGAAGGGCCGAGCCAAGACGGCTTCGAAACGAGCTCGATCGGAGAGCGTACAACCGGCCGTCGTTGTGGACGATGAAGAGGAGCATCGACAGTCTACGGGCAATGCATCACCGCATAAATCACAGAGCACGAAGAAGAAGGGCAAAGGCAAGGCGTCGAACCAGGTTATCGATGATGAAGCCGGGGTCGAGCAAGCCCCCGTACTGCTTCAGGTCTCGTCAAGACGGGGTAAAGGCAAAGCCGCGCTCATGGAACAAGAGCTGAACGACGACTTCAACCGACTCAAGATTGTCAAACCCAACTTCAAGAAGATGAACGCCCCTGAGCGCCACCGTATGACCTGGGACGAAATCGACAGCAACGAAGAGCACATGCGCCTTGTTCGGGATGATCAAGAACAGCGAGAGGAGCAAGATGTCGACGACCCCAATTTTTGGGCGGGAAAACCTCATGGCATGTTCGTCGTCAAAAAGGTTCACTTTCCGAGGCCGCAGACGCTCCAGCCACGATTCGAAGATACGGGTCAATGGGCGGGGAGGGCGAACTTCAAAGCTTTCAAGGTGAGAAAGTCGACGCGCAGAGCCCGCGAAAGGGCCCTTTTTGACGAGTTCTGTGCATTGGTTCTTCACTCGTAGCCCAAGGAAGCTCTGGGGACGGCAAATGAACGAAGCGAGCCCCGACCTCCAATCCGTCTCGCCCCCATCAAACGCGCCGACTATGGCATCGGCAAAAGTAAGTTTCGCTAAACTAGGGCATCTAGGCATGTTTATGAACTTACGATCCCCCCCCCCCACCCACCCACGGTGTAGGCTACAAAACGAAAGGCAACCGCAATCCCGGCATGCTGGGTACTCAGTCGCAGACGCAAAGCCAATCGCGTCAAGTCGACGATGACGACGATGACGACGATGACGACGACGAATTTGGCATGGACAGTGATGGCTTCCAGCCGATGCTCAACTTTGGATCAACCGCGAAGGCCAGGACCGCTGCGGCGACCAAGTCGACCAAGAGCAGTAGTACAAACAGCAAGAGCAAAGATGGAAAAGATAAAGGCAAAGGCAAAGGCAAGGCAAAGATCTCACAAGTTTCCATAGAATCTGATGATGATCCTTTCAGTTCGGACGACCTGCGCCCGAGTCGTGCCGTCATCAGCGATGTCGAAGAAGTGGACGAGATGGACGTCGACGATAGCGATACCGCACCATCGAGGTCGACTGCTAGCAAGAGGAGGGGCAGGTCGGCTCCCAGTCAAAGTGGATCGAGTATGACGGTGAAGCAGCCGAGCTTGTCGGCCGCATCGACGACCACTCGCCAATCTCGTGCTAAAGCTCCGGCTGTTCGAGCGTCGAGCAAGATGGCCATTACGGTGCTCACTGACGACAGCGATGACAGTGACTCGGGGCTGACATTCAAAGTAAGTGATGATTTTGGTGACTACTGAACACCCTTCTCAGGAATATATGCTGATCTACAGTAATTCAACAGGGTTTTGAGACGAAAAAACGCAAGCGCTAGCAAGCAAATTCGAGGCAGGGATTCATCCAGTGGCTTTGAGTAGAAAGAGCCCATGGGTTCTGGCTTGAAATATGCCTTTTTGCACTTGTACATCGCACTTTTTCGCCGTCTTCGGCAGCAGTGACTTGGGGTAAAGTGAGGATTGGCAGGGCGCGGAGTTGCATGGGATGTCTTTTCCGAGGCTTCATCGGGTGCTTGCAGGTGAGCTCTCCGGATTTTACTTTTGCTGTGTGAGCTAGCTCGCAGCTCGCTTTCTCGCGTGGGAAGACGGACATCCTGAATAGGTTTCTTGAGATCGTACCTTTGTTCTTGCCATCTTGCAGCAATACACATATCTGGTGGGGTGTACGAGCGTAAACTTTTGCCTCCAAAAATCACATCGGAAGGCGATCCGACACTTCATCTGAGCTTGTCGTCAGGGGTCAATTCCCGATGACGACAAGCTCGCCGAGCGTTATGTATGGCGAAGACTTCGGGGTATGCTGTAGAAGCTGATGATGGCTACAACGCAAGAATGCCCTTTTTGTCATCGGCGTTAGAAAAAATTACTAGAAAAGACTGCGACCAGCGGTACCCTCGGAGATATTCCCAGTGGTGCTGCCCCACCAAAAGAGCGCCACAGCTTCCCTCGGCAAGATAGAAGGCTTCGTTTCTGACCTAAGATACGATGGACTGCATCTTCGGATGTTGTCATCATTGCGGTCAGAGGGGTGGTACCCCTTTCGAAATTCGGTTCTGTCAAAGCAAAGTCGTTACCCAAGCAGTGATCAGCATCGTCTCGGCGGACGCGTCACTGCGACCCTTCGCGGGCATTCCGCCTTCCCTTTCTTCTCCCAGGCGCTTCGGAAAGATCGTCCCGAGCGGGCGGCAATCGGATGCGTGACAAGCCACATCATTGCAGTGACGTCTGTGACCGAAGTGATAGCGCATGGAGCAAAGGTGCGGTGGCCCAGGCCCTTTTGAGGCATCGCAAGATAGGCGTTGCTTTGCATTCGAACCCCTTATAGATGGGATCGCCGTTTGCAGCAGCAACTCAGCACACCTGCCAGGAGAGGCTTTGCAATTGTCTCAAAACTCCAGGCCACATGGAAGGCTCTAACCCGGGATGGCAATTGACACCAGTGAATACTGTCCATCATCTTTCGATGAGGAAAGTTTAATTTTCTGCCTATCAGTATCGCGACATTGAACTATCAAAGGGAAGTACTCCGTGGCGAGGGTGCGGCGTTCGCTCTTTGGCCCTCTTGGCGCGCCGGATGCTGACTCCCCCTTGTTGAGCTGGCGACGGGCCCTTCAGCGCTGGCAGGAGGCCGAGGCGTAGACCCAGACAAGTGTTGCAACGTACGCACGCTCTTTGCGTAAGTATCTATAAATGGATACCTTGACACTTTTCAGCGACTGCGAGTCAACCATCGGAGAACTGTTGTCGAAGATTCGAACGACCCTTCAAACTTTGCCTCTTGGCTTCTTCTCATCCGCCCTAGAAGTCGACTAAAACATATCCCACGCAACACTCTACCCTTCGAAATCTGAACCTAGTTCTAGATAAACTTCACGAAGTATCTCGTCTACCTCTGATCGATCCGCCTGCCTCCGATCTTGCACCGCTTCGAACTCTAGCTAGCGCTGGGCAACCCGCTTTCCCTTTGTTGCACCCGGCCGGCTTCCGAGCCCGCTCACACGCTCACCACCTCGTGACAACCATCGGTTCCCAAGGAGCACCTCGAGTCCGAGCCTGAGGCAACAAACAAGTGCACGGAGCGCTATTCGAACACCTTTGCTACCTCCCCGTCGACCTCGACCTCCGCTTTCTCTTTCCGCTCCTGCCTTATGCCGGTCCCAATTCGCTTCTCCCGCGACTACGTATCCATGAGCACCCTCGACTCGTCCCCCAACCCCCAACTCATCTCCATGAACCCTGCCCAAAAACTCCCAGTTGGATCACGGTACGAGTCCGTACCCCATGTAGGACCCGGGACAGCGGTCTATGTTCGTCAACCAACTCGATCTCAACTTGTGAGTTTACTTTCCTGCTGGTGTCGGTGGAAAAGGGGCTCATATCCTTCTGGGGCCGCCCCGCGCGAACAGAAAGCAAACTCGGGCTTGTTCTCCAACCCAAACCGGGCATTCTACATTCCTGACCCAGAAGGAAAACCTGTAAGTACATACAACTGTCGCGGAGATTCTACTATGGCCGTTCCAATATACTGAATCTGCCCCCCCTATGTCGGGTGTCGTTGTCCAGTTCGTTGACGTCGACGGCGTCGAATCCGGGCCTCGATGGATCCTCATTGACCCGCAAGGCAAAGTCGGATCTGACGACGGAAAAAAGCACAAGGAGGAAAGGGGGTGCTGCATCATGTGATAGCGCCTTTCGCATCATTCGACCGTGAATCACCTCGGTCGATGAAGCTCGTTTCTCCGGGAGTTCGCCGAGCTTCCCCTTCTTACGGGCGTACTACGTGTTTATGTTTTGTGATGTTTTTCATACTATCCTTTATTAGCATTTGTCGCAGCTTGCATTAATACCTTCCGTGCCCATTCAAATACATCAGCTCCACTTCTTCCAGGGCTGCGAAGGCGAATGACGGCGCCTCCCCCACTTTATGGCGTCACGCGCGGACAAGATCACGCGGACAAGATCACGGGGCTCACCAACCTTGATGATGATGTATGACATGTCACCCCCAGACGAGGTTCCCACCGAAAGCTACCCATGAGATGGCGACCACCAGTAGACTGATCCTCAAGGCCCATACCCCCCTCCGAGTTTCCGCAGCGCTGGCACTTCCCTTTCTTACACCCTCACTGTGACACGAGATGGGCGGCAATAACGACGGAGCTACGTGATCTTCCAGCTCTGGATGCAGCTCGTTCTCGGAGTTGATGCGATCTGTGTCCACGGAAGGGAGATTTTCCTCGACGGTCGGTACGAGTCCATACTCCATCCCCCGATGATCGTCGTCAGATCGATCGCGCTCGAATCGAGCGAGCGAAGTCCACCACCAAATAATTACCCCGAGCTGGAGCTCGCAGAACAGCAAAAGCAAGCTCACGGCGAAGAGCGCACTCGCTCGATCCTTATCCGCACCCGTCACTTTGGGGGATTCGAATGCCGAATGAGGGGTTGAGAGGATTGCGGCGGTGATGGTCTGCGAAATGACGGCCCCGGCCATTTCGAGCGATTTATGTAGGCCTAAGGCTGTCGAAGTTTGGCTGTGGAACGGGACATGAGCAATCAATCAGGATCAGTGGGACCGGACAAGCATGGAGAAGATGACGCACTGTCGCTCGACGATACGGGGAACAACAACAACCAGCAGCAAGGGACCACCTCCTATCCCGATAGCCGACGGTGTCAGCGCGAGGTAGTGGGGTACGACGGAAGTGAACTACATGTGTGAGAATTTGAAATATGTTGAGCATGCGTGGGCTTTTCCGGTGGAGAAACCGGAGAGACGAGTACTGACGCTAAGCAGAATGATGTAGGTTGCGGAGATGGAAAGGGGCACAGCCATGTACAGTCTTGCGAGGATGCTCGGACGGCGATCCAAGGCCCACCCGATGACGGGGTACAGCTATAAGTTTTGAGAAATAAGGTTCTCCAGTGAGTACGATGCCTGAATTTGTTCGGCCAGATCAGAGGGCCTCACCAGTGTGCTCGCAAACAATATTTGAGAGGCGGAGGACGCGGCCTGGGACTCCGTGATTTGATATATGGACATCAAGAGCGATGTCGAGAGATGAATGGTGGAATACCATCCCCCAGCAAGGAAGCAGACCGCGATGTAGAACCAGAACAAGTCGCCAAAAAGGGTTGACTCGGATAGGGGTACCCATCGGCCATGATCGTCTTTAAGCTGTTCGCGCGGATCGGCGGCGGGAAGCGTTCGCTCCACCATGCTGTAGAGCAGACAGCACAAGAAAGAGAACATGGCGAGGAAGGTGGCGATGATGAAAGGAAGCCGAGGTGAAATTGTTGATAGTGGCTGCGCCGTGATTGAAGCCAGAAATGCCGACTGTGAATACCACGCGCGAGATTAATTGACGTACTTCGACTTATGACTAGATATGTAGACACTGCAGCGTACAAATTTGCCCAACAAGAGGCCGATGGCGACGGTTCTCGCCATAGTGGTTGAGTTCGAGGTGTTATGGCGCAGGATGATTGACTCCTGAACAACGGCAATAGGAGCAAGGCCGAGGCCGAAAATGAAAAGGCCTGAAATCTACAAACGCATCCGGGCCAGCGTATTAGTGCGCCAAAATGATTGTTCATAGCACTTCTGGTGTTGTGACTGACCATGGTGCCGACGGAACGTACCCCACCGCCCTCCCTGTCATCGAGCTGACCGTAGACAACGAGCAGAAGGCCACACAGTACGATGGCGGTCGAAAAGAGCCCCACCTGGTGTATACGGATCAATTTATATCAAGCTCGGCTTCGGTGCCTGTCATGAGAAACACATCAGGAAAGCCTTACCCTGGCAGCTCCAAATCTGTCGTGGCAATCCAATCGGGATTTTCCAGTCAGCACAGTCGTAGAGTCCGAAGCAGTCCACTTTGCGGGCAAAAATCGGTTTGTATTTGACTTACTTTGGGACCAGCAATCCTGAGATGAGAGGCGTTATTGTGTTTGACAGCTCAAACGACGAGATGAGGGCTTTGAGCGTGGTATCAAGTGCGCCCGCGGAGTCAGTAACGGAATGTTGCGCGACGGCCCACCCCCCCATCGCAGCAGCCCCAGAGTGCATGACACCATGCAGCCTGAGGTGCAACGTGGGGCGCGACTTACACGAAAAGTTGCCTTCGGACGTTTTGAACGAGTGCTTCAATGGACCGAGTAGATATGCACCATAATGCTATGGCAGTACGAGCGATATTCCAGCTTAGCCATCGCATGGTGCACCACATAGTACCCCAGCCCGTACGGGGAACCTACTACCGACTCACCGAACCAATGGCAAGCAGGCAGGCCAGCGCAAGCAGTATCCGTCGTATCCTCTCTTGTTGTGCCAAGCTCATGCCATCTGCTGGTGCAATGAGCAGGCCTCTCACGCGCGGCACCTCCTCATCGTCCTCGTCGCCGACCCACACGTCTCCTGTCCGGACCGCTTCTTCGTCATCGAGCGCTTGCGGGGTCGTACCGCGGTGATCCCCCGGTGCGAGGTGGTCGCCCACGGTCAGAGACAGCTCGAGGTCATCCTCGAGGTCCCAGTCCGTTGAGAGGCCTGGTCGATGATGTCGACGCTGCATGCCAGTCGCTCCTCTCGAAGGCACTGAAAGCCCGCACATGAGCCGCCTGGCTGTGCTAAGCGCCTGTCGTGCGAGATCACAGAGCGACACCCCCGGCAGCACCTCTGGCTATATATTGCACCTTGCACCTCTGGCTATATATTGCACCTTGCACCTCTGGCTATATTTCTAAGCACACCAATAAGTGGCGCGCGCGGCGTACCCATACAGGTTGCCCCCCCCTGCAACCCGGGTTGGCCGCTGGCGCCAGGCCAAGATTAACTTGCTAATGAGATTGAGCATTTAGTGACTAGTACTAGTATGCCCGCAGACCTGTCTCTTTCAGCTTCCGCTCAGCGCCAAGTGAGACCGGCCTCAGTTCTAACCAGAGCATCAACTATCGAGACACCCTTCCTAAATCTCGAAGCTACGCAATTCACATCGACGATGGGCAGGCATCGATGGAGACCTTTCAAGGTCCGTCTGGACTACTTTGAGGAGCATCCTTCCTATAGGCCTCAAGGCCTCCGATCGGACGCCCGACTCCGCACCAACATCCCCGGAACCCGGCACCGTGTTACTTACACTGCCCGCCAAATCCAGCAAGGAACCTTCGATGATTTTGGCGAAGCTAGCTCGCCGTCTCCTCAGCGTCCAATGGCCCTTCCAATTCAGGCCGATTCCGACGAAGCCGCGAGTGACGCCGCCAACCCGAGTGGGATGGATTGGGATGAAGAGCGTTACAGCGAGTACGGTGGTGGCTTCGAACACGACTTCGATCCAGCCCCATACTCTCCGGATCGAGCATCCCATTTCCCAACCTCGCTTGACTATAGTGCAATCGCCGAGCGATTATCACTGGCTGACCTGCGCCAAGTCGAAAGTTTCGAATCAGCCACACGTGGTCAGTCGAAGCAAGGAACGTACAAGCAATTCGTGTTCAACGACGCTCGCCTTAGGCGCTTGGAACGGCCAGCGCTTCTGCGCCAGTACATCGCGTTTTGCGCTGGGGTCAAAGGTCATCTACGGCCCTTGATTGACGTGGACGAGGAGCTGTGCCAGGGTTCGGTCGCTAGCGAAGTGCCGCCGCCTTGTTCATGCAAGAGTCCCCTCACGTTACGGCTTGACGTGTACGACCTCATAAGCTGTATGTGAATCAGGCGAATTGGGTCGCTGTGTCGAACGTTGCGCTGACAAGGTCGAATGGTTGAATCAATGCAGTGGTCGAGGTGCCGATCGCTTTTTGTCCGAGATCCAGCAGCGATAGCCCATGCCTTACGTACGCCGAGCGCCTTGCTCAGATTGGATTAATCGGATCGACCGCAGCTGCTCCTCGCTCTGCATTCACCTTTCGACTTCTGGTGGAGCACCGCGCCGTTTCCTGTCGATGGAGCAGCTCGCGGGCTCGACATTTTCTATGAGCAAACTGGATGGGGTCGGCCGGGCCTGAGTCAGCATAAATTCGTGAGTTCGACCTCCTGTCATGATTGCTATTGAGCATTATCTGATGTTTATCATCGTTTGCGCAGGACAAGGAGTTGCGAAAGCAACTCCAGCGCGCCCTTGACGAATTTCGGGCTCTCACGACATCCGAGCGAGAATTGGGCGACCTCGTCCTCGGTGTCGCGGATTCTCTCTCGGACAAGTGTCCAGCATGCTACGGATCGACGCGTCTAAACCAAGCCCACCATAGAGTCGAAGTGCAGCATCTTGTCGCTCTGGATGGCAACTTCCAACATTCTCGCGACACCTCAGCCAAATACGATCCTCAGGAGTCGACGCCAGCCCTCTTCCTCGGCGAAGATGAGCTCGAATCGATGAAGGAGATCTGTGATGGTGGCGACAGCAAGAAGTCAGAAAAGGTCCGCTGATCCGAGCCGCCCCCTGCGATCCTTTCAACGCGCTGACGCCTTTCCTCTTGCGTCTTGAAGGCTTGTGCTGATTCGTGGAAAGCGGCCAACGGCGGTGCGACACAAATCTCGCGGGGCAAGTCCGATACGGGCCTAGTTGCCTGTGTCTGCCGTCACGATATCGCGTTGAAGATGGTCAACTTGTATCAATCAGGTGAAAAGTTCGTCAGCTCAGCTCCTCTCTCACCCGCTTACAAGGCCTGACGCTCGTTTTTGATGAGGCAGGCGCTACTACGGCTTATCGCTGCTGCAACATATTTCGAACCAACTCCCGTCCGACGATACACTCGGAGTGCTGTATGATGTTGCGTGTAATTTGGACGGCTACATGCAATCGGTCAGCAAGAGTGGCGGATCCGTCGTTTCTTAGATTTCTGGCCCTGGGGCGCCGCTGACCTTCACTGTACTTCGATCGCCCGCAGAGAGGTATCCTTCCCGATTTGTTTCCGAGATTGAAGTTTGCCACGAGCGTGTTTCATGCTTTTGCTCATCAATGGCCCTGCCAGCTCGAGTACAACCCGCGCCTGATTCAGCACTTTGGGTTGACGGATGGGGAGGGATGCGAACGCGTTTGGAGTCAGCTCCGATCGCTCATCCCGATCAATCGTCCTGCGAGCGCTTCTCACCGGCGCGTCAACATCTCGCGTCGCATCGACCTGATGAACAAGAACGGTGTTGACAGCCTCGGTATGCTCTGCCATCCACACTTTCACGCCGTGTTCGTTACTCAATCGTGCGCTCCGCAGACGACTGTCGAATGCTCAAGATCAGCTTGGAAGGGCACAAACTGATCTGAGCGACGTTTCGGCAATATGGTCCGAGTCTGACCTTCTCGCGCAATGGGATTTACAGCGAGCTGCTCAAGCGGCCACAACGGCGAGTCGACGTCGGGAGAACGAGGACAAGGAGCGATTAGAGCTTTTCAACATTGTACAGAAGCTACACCACGTGGAAGAAAGGCTGTACGTTCGGCGCGTCAAGCCCCATTGGAGGACAAGGGCGTAAAATTGACACTGTGTCTTGGCATTGTGTGTTCAGATTCGATCCAATGGCTTCCGATGAAGCGAAGGCTCGCTTGCAGCAACAGCTAAGAGCTTACCAACAAGAATACAATCGTACGAAGGAACTTGCAGCTTCAGGTGCGGCGCGCGTCCTATCTTTATGAGTACCGCCACCTGATAATTGATGTCCCATGACATACCTAGATTTCCAGCATTTGTGCAACTGCGTAGTCAAACTTCGCGCATTACACAAAGCGACGGTCCAATTGCAATGCTGTCAAGAACGAATTGACTCAATGGGTCGGGGACGAAGCGGCGCGACAATCGGTCAAGTCGAAGCCAGCAAGCTTGTCAGCGTCTCACAGACGCACAGCAAGAAAGTAAAAGTGGCAATCGATATGTACAATAAAGCGGTCGGGGATTACCGAAATGCTGCGACCGAGCAATCGGCCAAGATTCTGGACAACTTGCCGCTTGCTACCACGATAAAGTCGCTTGTGACTCTGTCGCCAACGGACGCTTTCTGGCAAGACGGTTTTTTCGTACACGACACTGCGCCTTGGGCGATCGATACCGATGTTCAGAAAGGGATCAAGGCGGTTCTACGCAAGCAGTTGTCGAACCTCAGCTCCGATTCGAAGAATCTCTTCTTCCGCCCTGGCCCTGAGCTACTCAAAGCCAGGGCGGAAGAAGAGATTCTTCGAATCGGAGCTGAGGTTCGACAACTGCTTGCGTAGAACCGCCTTGATCCCTTTCTGAACATCGGTATCGATCGCCCAAGGCGCAGTGTCGTGTACGAAAAAACCGTCTTGCCAGAAAGCGTCCGTTGGCGACAGAGTCACAAGCGACTTTATCGTGGTAGCAAGCGGCAAGTTGTCCAGAATCTTGGCCGATTGCTCGGTCGCAGCATTTCGGTAATCCCCGACCGCTTTATTGTACATATCGATTGCCACTTTTACTTTCTTGCTGTGCGTCTGTGAGACGCTGACAAGCTTGCTGGCTTCGACTTGACCGATTGTCGCGCCGCTTCGTCCCCGACCCATTGAGTCAATTCGTTCTTGACAGCATTGCAATTGGACCGTCGCTTTGTGTAATGCGCGAAGTTTGACTACGCAGTTGCACAAATGCTGGAAATCTAGGTATGTCATGGGACATCAATTATCAGGTGGCGGTACTCATAAAGATAGGACGCGCGCCGCACCTGAAGCTGCAAGTTCCTTCGTACGATTGTATTCTTGTTGGTAAGCTCTTAGCTGTTGCTGCAAGCGAGCCTTCGCTTCATCGGAAGCCATTGGATCGAATCTGAACACACAATGCCAAGACACAGTGTCAATTTTACGCCCTTGTCCTCCAATGGGGCTTGACGCGCCGAACGTACAGCCTTTCTTCCACGTGGTGTAGCTTCTGTACAATGTTGAAAAGCTCTAATCGCTCCTTGTCCTCGTTCTCCCGACGTCGACTCGCCGTTGTGGCCGCTTGAGCAGCTCGCTGTAAATCCCATTGCGCGAGAAGGTCAGACTCGGACCATATTGCCGAAACGTCGCTCAGATCAGTTTGTGCCCTTCCAAGCTGATCTTGAGCATTCGACAGTCGTCTGCGGAGCGCACGATTGAGTAACGAACACGGCGTGAAAGTGTGGATGGCAGAGCATACCGAGGCTGTCAACACCGTTCTTGTTCATCAGGTCGATGCGACGCGAGATGTTGACGCGCCGGTGAGAAGCGCTCGCAGGACGATTGATCGGGATGAGCGATCGGAGCTGACTCCAAACGCGTTCGCATCCCTCCCCATCCGTCAACCCAAAGTGCTGAATCAGGCGCGGGTTGTACTCGAGCTGGCAGGGCCATTGATGAGCAAAAGCATGAAACACGCTCGTGGCAAACTTCAATCTCGGAAACAAATCGGGAAGGATACCTCTCTGCGGGCGATCGAAGTACAGTGAAGGTCAGCGGCGCCCCAGGGCCAGAAATCTAAGAAACGACGGATCCGCCACTCTTGCTGACCGATTGCATGTAGCCGTCCAAATTACACGCAACATCATACAGCACTCCGAGTGTATCGTCGGACGGGAGTTGGTTCGAAATATGTTGCAGCAGCGATAAGCCGTAGTAGCGCCTGCCTCATCAAAAACGAGCGTCAGGCCTTGTAAGCGGGTGAGAGAGGAGCTGAGCTGACGAACTTTTCACCTGATTGATACAAGTTGACCATCTTCAACGCGATATCGTGACGGCAGACACAGGCAACTAGGCCCGTATCGGACTTGCCCCGCGAGATTTGTGTCGCACCGCCGTTGGCCGCTTTCCACGAATCAGCACAAGCCTTCAAGACGCAAGAGGAAAGGCGTCAGCGCGTTGAAAGGATCGCAGGGGGCGGCTCGGATCAGCGGACCTTTTCTGACTTCTTGCTGTCGCCACCATCACAGATCTCCTTCATCGATTCGAGCTCATCTTCGCCGAGGAAGAGGGCTGGCGTCGACTCCTGAGGATCGTATTTGGCTGAGGTGTCGCGAGAATGTTGGAAGTTGCCATCCAGAGCGACAAGATGCTGCACTTCGACTCTATGGTGGGCTTGGTTTAGACGCGTCGATCCGTAGCATGCTGGACACTTGTCCGAGAGAGAATCCGCGACACCGAGGACGAGGTGCCCAATTCTCGCTCGGATGTCGTGAGAGCCCGAAATTCGTCAAGGGCGCGCTGGAGTTGCTTTCGCAACTCCTTGTCCTGCGCAAACGATGATAAACATCAGATAATGCTCAATAGCAATCATGACAGGAGGTCGAACTCACGAATTTATGCTGACTCAGGCCCGGCCGACCCCATCCAGTTTGCTCATAGAAAATGTCGAGCCCGCGAGCTGCTCCATCGACAGGAAACGGCGCGGTGCTCCACCAGAAGTCGAAAGGTGAATGCAGAGCGAGGAGCAGCTGCGGTCGATCCGATTAATCCAATCTGAGCAAGGCGCTCGGCGTACGTAAGGCATGGGCTATCGCTGCTGGATCTCGGACAAAAAGCGATCGGCACCTCGACCACTGCATTGATTCAACCATTCGACCTTGTCAGCGCAACGTTCGACACAGCGACCCAATTCGCCTGATTCACATACAGCTTATGAGGTCGTACACGTCAAGCCGTAACGTGAGGGGACTCTTGCATGAACAAGGCGGCGGCACTTCGCTAGCGACCGAACCCTGGCACAGCTCCTCGTCCACGTCAATCAAGGGCCGTAGATGACCTTTGACCCCAGCGCAAAACGCGATGTACTGGCGCAGAAGCGCTGGCCGTTCCAAGCGCCTAAGGCGAGCGTCGTTGAACACGAATTGCTTGTACGTTCCTTGCTTCGACTGACCACGTGTGGCTGATTCGAAACTTTCGACTTGGCGCAGGTCAGCCAGTGATAATCGCTCGGCGATTGCACTATAGTCAAGCGAGGTTGGGAAATGGGATGCTCGATCCGGAGAGTATGGGGCTGGATCGAAGTCGTGTTCGAAGCCACCACCGTACTCGCTGTAACGCTCTTCATCCCAATCCATCCCACTCGGGTTGGCGGCGTCACTCGCGGCTTCGTCGGAATCGGCCTGAATTGGAAGGGCCATTGGACGCTGAGGAGACGGCGAGCTAGCTTCGCCAAAATCATCGAAGGTTCCTTGCTGGATTTGGCGGGCAGTGTAAGTAACACGGTGCCGGGTTCCGGGGATGTTGGTGCGGAGTCGGGCGTCCGATCGGAGGCCTTGAGGCCTATAGGAAGGATGCTCCTCAAAGTAGTCCAGACGGACCTTGAAAGGTCTCCATCGATGCCTGCCCATCGTCGATGTGAATTGCGTAGCTTCGAGATTTAGGAAGGGTGTCTCGATAGTTGATGCTCTGGTTAGAACTGAGGCCGGTCTCACTTGGCGCTGAGCGGAAGCTGAAAGAGACAGGTCTGCGGGCATACTAGTACTAGTCACTAAATGCTCAATCTCATTAGCAAGTTAATCTTGGCCTGGCGCCAGCGGCCAACCCGGGTTGCAGGGGGGGGCAACCTGTATGGGTACGCCGCGCGCGCCACTTATTGGTGTGCTTAGAAATATAGCCAGAGGTGCAAGGTGCCCGGCAGTCCCCCGGCAGCGTCCGGTCCACTGGAAGCGGAGGTCCGAGCGCGACCGTTTCATGCGCAAGCTCCACATTTCACTGGACGAGCGGGCGATCGCGTGTCACTTTGCGCCTACATCCGCCCCGTTACACCGCGTCGACTTCAAAGGTTGCGCGCATCTGGACGGTCTCCAGGAGGTAATGTCGTCGATCCCTCGACACACTCCAACGTCGAGTCTGGCCTCGACCAGTCGCGGCAAGGTCGCACCGACGAGCTCCGCTGAGCCGGAAGCAGCTCGAGTGTCGCTGTCGTCCAAGCATCCGCCTATCTCGCACGTGTTTCTCGCCGAATTTGATATTGACCAGTGCGTCCGCGATTTGTATCCTATACGCGTCATGATGCGATTAACGCGAGTGCTGATCGTCTTCCACCTCACTCGTCGCTGAACCCCGGTATTTCGTTTGAACCGTGTTCCTCGTTGTTCACCGACTTCGCCTCGGGTTTCTACGTCTCCATCCGCACCACCTCGCTACCGTATAGAGGTTCAATACTCAAACATCAATATCCGGGTCAGAGCTCGATCGATGAGCAGTCAGTGGCGTCGCCTCGAGCCCCGAAATCCTCCCGAGCTCAGAACTAACCTGTAGATTGACTCGGGCCGATTGGTGCTTCCACAGCCTTCTCGCAGAACACATGCTGCCAGACGGAGCACATGACCGGCAAGAGGATTGGACCGTCTTCTATCTCAACCAGATACCGCCCTTGACCATCTCTGATTCGTCGACCCCCCCGACCTCGGAGACGGATGCCAGATCCACCTTGGGAGCTGCGGGAGCGAATACGAGTGGCCAAAAGAGCGAGCTGTTGTATGTCATGAGTTTGGTCAGGACAAAGAAGGATGCGACAGTGCGAAGGTCAGTTCAACAGTAAGCCCGATTTTACCCTGAGGCGCCCTGCTGACGACCTCGCAAATTCTGCCGACAGAGGAGCTCTCGTTAAAGCGCTCGCGGTGGCATCGCATCATCCTTATATTCAGGTTTTCAAGGTGAGATAGAACATACGAGAAGTCGTACCGGTATATTTCTGACAAGAATGCTCCATATACCTCAGCCGGTACTCTTACTCGCCCTCGAAGCCTATTTCATCGAACCCTCCTCAGCCTACCTGGCCCGTCTGTTCCATTCGATCAACTCGATGGATATGTCGGACGTGCCCAGTCTGTCGTTCGATGAGCGCTTGGTTTTGAGAGCCACTGAGCGCAAAGACTTTTTCGAGGAAAAGTGGAGTAGGAACTCGACTGCACAGAGGCATCAGCATTCTGCCAATTCAAGCACCGACACATCTTCGATCCACGATCACCATCGCGATTCTAGGGCTCCGCACCATCATCAGCATAGCTCGATCACACATTCAACCTCGATGGGGTCGCTGACGAGTGCCGAAGTGCTGGACGGCTCGGGTCCTTCGCCATCGATATCCTCCAATAGCATTTCTTCGCTCGCCCTTGGCGCAAGAACACATCCGCCATCGTCCGCCGATCACTCCTCGTCTTCGGCACCTTCCGCTGATGGATCACCTTACGCCCGGTCAAGGACCAACACATTGGGGTCTTCAGATGATGGTTTCAAGGTCCCGTTCTTCGGTGGCTTGGCTCATCTCAATGGAGGTGGGGCGAGTTCGACGGCGACAAGCTTCAGCTATGGTGCACAAGGCGACGGAAGTCGGTCGCTGACGCCGAGCGCAGCGGCATCGATGGCGGTGGCGAACGTCTCGCGCGATACCCATTGGTTTGATAGCAAGATCACATTTAACTCGATGACAATCCCGATACGGATACCCCTCTCAACGTTCCCGGAGGAGATTGGCGACGTAAGCCACTAATCATCATCACTTACCTCTTGCTCGTGACGTGACTGACCGCGTTCGCCCTAGCAGTACTCTCTGATCAAACTCATCCAAACGTTCTCATCACCGACGTCACTAACACCCGGCCCGCTGCACCCGCACCTCCACACCTCCGGATCAGCGACACCACCGATCATCGTCCTCTTCAACGCGCTCGTCACGAACAAGCGGGTCGTCTTCCTGGGCCACGGGCACGCCGCCAGCCTGGTGGCGAACCTGGTCCTCGCCGCTTGTGCGCTTGCAAGTGGCTGCGGCGCTGTTCTTGGCGGCTTCGTCGAGCGAGCTTTTCCATACACCAACCTGACCAACTTGGACAATCTCGAGAATGTGTGAGTCTTGATCTTTGACTTCCTCTGTTGTGGAGGTTGACTAGCTGACGACCTCAGCCTATACTCTCGATAGACCTGGTTTCATCGCCGGAGTCTGCAACCCCGCATTTGCGGATCGACCGTCATGGTGGGACGTGTTGTGCAACTACGAAACGGGCAAGATCGTCATCTCCAAAGAGATCCGTCCGGCAGCACCGATGCGAACACACGCCACCGGGGCGACTGGTCGGACAGCCACCGCATCCACTTTGGTATCAGCAATCTCGTCTGAGTTGACGGGGACGAATGGCGACGACGGAGAAGGAAGAACACCGAGTCTGGCGTCCGCTCCGCTCGGGTCCGCGGTCGGTGCAGCGGGTGGTGTGGCGGCGGGGTCGACTTCTGTAGGGCGTGTGCAATCGTACGACTACGATTTCATGGATGAGGTGAGTCCATGTTTCCGGCTTGGGCACGATCATATGGAGGTACTGACGCACCGGAACCGAGCGCTCACAGATCTTGTCGTCGATTGCGAGTCACCACGGCGAAGCCGCCATTCGGGCACGCTGCACGGACTATGTGCAACGCTTTGTGCGTATCGCTTCTCGCTACGAAGAAGATGTCACGGGCTCGACTTCTATAGGCTACCCCTATGCGCCATTCACTCCCGGACCTGTTTCGGTACTGGGCAGTGGGGTGTTCTTCCCTGATGAGACGATGACGACGAGAGAAATGTCGATCAATGCCGGTCGGGTCGAGGGGTGGAGTTCGACGAATGGGTACACCTTGTTCAAGCAGGTCAGCTCTTTTCTACTCTTCTCGGGCTGATCTATCTTGCGCTCTGCGCTAAGTCAGTGGATTTCCCCCGCTCCCTAGTCGTTCGCCTTGGACTGTGAGCGACCGATGCGACAAATCGACCTGTCGCACCAGCTTGCACGATTGCGATACTCTCGACGAATGCCGAGCACCGAAGTTGCAGCCATCATGCGGAGCCTAGCTGAGCTCTGCCGGACCTCCGAGGATGCAGTGGTAGCAGTGAGTGCTGGTGTTCAGGCGCCTGCTAACGGACAGCACGGACAGCACGGACAGCACGGACAGCACGGACGAAGACAACTGAAAGGTGTTGCCGCGCCGACTTGTCTCCAGCTGCTTGCACGCCTCCCAGCACACATGGGAGGACTCTTGCCACTTGCATTCGGTCTTTTCCACCCATCGACGACCGTTCGATCTTACACTGTCAGCTTGTTTGACCAGATCAACGCGAATCCGGTAAGTACCAAGTATTCCTCGTGATGCTTTTCAAGTTGGCCTTTCAGGGTGCTCAGTCAGGATCGCTGTACTTCACCACAGACGGGCCAGAAATTCATCCAAGCGCTCAACGCCTTCCATCGTTCAGCTTACCATCGCCTCTGCAAGGAGAACGAGGTAGATCGAGTCGCAGGCAAGCTAAACGACACGTTGGAGGCGGGAACCAGTCCGGCTGCACAGAGTCAGAGTCAGCTCAATGGGCGGAGAGGGAGTCAGATGCAATGATTCAGTGTGGGTCTGCAACTACGAATTCAATTGTTGTGTTGTACCTTTTTGATGCGGGTGAGTGCAAGATCGATTCCGGAGTGGTAGACTGCTAAAGTGAGGCGAGGATGCAAGAGCCCGGAAAACGCGCACTCAGACTTCAATCTTGGGTTGGAACTGGCGACACATCGATTTTGTCTTGACGAAAAGCTTCGACGGCTCCAACGATGGACCTCATTAGGCTGAGAAGTCGATGTACGAGTTAGCGTTGACTTGTGCCTGCAAGGTGCGACGCCTATCGGTTGTACGACGTACGCAGCAATCGAGTTCTTTTGCTGCTCTGTGGCCGATGTACTCTTGTAGATCAGTCAAAGACAATCGTGCGGAGTTAGTTGGCGAAGAGGTGTTCTGTCATTTGAACGTACGGTTCCGCTCTTCTTCCTTGGCGAGTTCTTGTGCCATGTTTTCCAAGTCCATCTGGTCCTCGATCGCTCGGCGCGAGACGTGCGCATGACTCCACACTTCAAAGTCCTTCATCAGCTGATCAAACTCGGCCAGGAGTGCTGTTTCCGGTCTTATCAGTCCATCAGTAGAAGTCTGTGATTTTAGATGGAGGAACGAACTGTTCATCTGCTCGTTGTCGTGACTTTGATCGGCCTCAAAGATCCGGCGCATCTCGTCGACGTCGAAATGAGGCGTCGGCGTGTCTGGGCTGATCGTCACAGGGGTGGGTGGGATGCGAGTGCTGTCACTCATGTTTCAGAGGTAGATGAACGACTTCAACTGGACAGGCTGAGGACACTTCTGTTTCGATCTTCGTACGACGCGATTGTTGGCTTCTAAGGAGTTCGGCGAATTGTGGGGCACAAGAAAGGAGGTGCCAAAACTCGACCGATGACTAAATCCGGCTCGATCGTTTTGGGGCCAGTTTTGCTGCGCGCACGCGCCGGGCGTGAGACCGATCGCTCGATTGCGGAAGGGTCCGTGCGAGGGAACGCCCTCCCGCTTTCTTTCACGCGTTCCCCTTTTCCCCTTCCCCCAATCCGCCTTCTCACCATCTCCTGCTCCCCCCCCCCTCGTGGTTCTCAGCTCGACACCAAGTACTTACATCATGAGTCAAACTATCGATCCCGTAAGTCTAGCTTCATCCCGCCGTGCATCCCTTCGCGGTGGCCTGAACGCGTGCGGTGCGACGCGTGGAAGGCCAGGAAAGTTCTTGGCGCGTCGCGGTGTCTCTCCGCCTGGAGCTGGAGTTCATTATCTCTCGCCCGCGGTCAGTGGGTCGTTCATAACTGATCCCACGTTCCCCTTTCTTTATGCAGGTCAGGGTCAAGAAGATCGCTTGCATTGGTGCCGGCTATGTCGGCGGACCGAGTGAGTGCTCATCGCCTCTACTCTCTCGTGCCGGCCATGCCCCCGGTTTCCGCGATTCCTCCTGAATCTCGGCCCACTCCGACTCGTGCCGATGCGGTCAAATATTACTTCAAAGACGATGATTTGTCTCCCAGCACGACTCAGGACAGAAACGTCTCACATCTAGACTCATGTGTGACGAGAGACGGGCGATCGAACTGCTTGTAGCGCGAGGAAGGACACGTTCCATGTGATTCGCCCCCAAAGCGATTCAGCTTGGGCCCTCTTTGTACTGCGGGCTTTCTTGAAGCACTTCGATGTTCCCATCAACAACAGTCTACCGATGCCGACATGCCGAACTTGATGTTTCTTCGGCTTTTGATATCGGCTTCGTTACGCTTCCCTCGTCGGACAACCCGATGACGAGCTCGCGTTGCTGCGCGTGCTGCTGCTCCCTGCCCGACAAAATATCTTGGGAAGGAACATATTACAGTCTTACTGATGCAGCTCGTTTGAACTACTATCTTGAATAGCCTGCTCGATGATTGCGGCCAAGTGCCCGCACATCACCGTCACCATCGTCGACGTCAACGCGGCACGCATCGCCGCGTGGAACTCGGACAAGCTCCCCATCTACGAGCCCGGACTCGAGGAGATCGTCAAGGCGCACCGTGGCAAAAACTTGTTCTTCGACACCGACATTGACAAGGCCATCATCGAGGCCGACCTCATCTTTGTTTCCGTCAACACCCCGACCAAGAAGTCCGGTGTCGGTGCCGGTTACGCCGCGGATCTTTTGCAAGTTGCTGCTGCTGCTATCTTTTCTCGAGCGAAGGACTGGCGCGCTGACATAAGCGATCTATTCCTTCACTCCTTATGAAGCTACATCGAATTGTGCACTCGCCGCATCGCATCGGTCGCCACCTCGTCCAAAATCGTTGTTGAAAAGTCGACCGTCCCGTGCCGAACTGCCTCGTCGATGCGAACCATCCTCGAGGCCAACTCGCGACCGGGGTGCCGCTTCGACATTCTGTCCAACCCCGAGTTCCTGGCTGAGGGAACCGCCATTGCCGACTTGTCCGCTCCCGATCGTGTCCTCATCGGTAGTCTTGGTACGCCCGAGGGTAAAGCCGCTCAGAAGGCCCTCGTGGAGGTCTACGCCAACTGGGTTCCTCGCGAGAGGGTCATCACGACTGGTCTCTGGTCGTCCGAGCTCTCGAAATTGGCTGCCAACGCCTTGCTCGCCCAGCGCATCTCGTCGATCAACGCCCTTTCGGCCATCTGTGAGGCCACCGGTGCCGACGTCGATGAGGTCGCCCACGCTGTTGGTCTCGATCAACGTATCGGCTCGCGTTTCCTCAAGGCTTCAGTCGGCTACGGTGGATCGTGCTTCCAGAAGGATATCCTCAACTTGGTCTACCTGTCAGAATCCCTGTATTTGCCCGAAGTTGCCGACTACTGGCGACAGATCCACACCATGAACGAGTACCAGAAGAGGAGGTTCTCGAACCGAATCGTAAAGTCGCTGTTTAGCACCGTCACCGCCAAGCCTTTGTGCTGCCTCGGCTTTGCTTTCAAGAAGGTTAGCCCGACCCTCATTCTGAATTTTTCAGATAATGAGCGCCACATTTACTGATACCGCTTCCTCTCGCTCATCCAACAGGACACCGGAGACACGCGAGAATCGCCCGCCGCGACCGTCTGCAAGCACTTGCTCGAAGAGCAAGCCAAGTTGACGATCTACGACCCCAAGGTTCCCGAGGCTCAAATCTGGCTCGACTTGACTCAGCCTGGTGTCCACGATGACAAGGCCGCACGTGAGTGCCTTCTCGTACCGACTGTGAATTGAAACCCTCCCTGACAACATGACTACTCGCCTCTTGGCCAATTCAGTCCAGAAGCAGGTCACTATCTGCAACTCCGCAATGGAGGCCGCGCTCGGCGCCGAGGGCATTATTGTCTGCACAGAATGGGACGAGTTCAAGACGCTCGACTGGTCCGCCGTCTACGACAGCATGAAGAAGCCCGCCTTCGTCTTCGATGGCCGTGGGATCCTCGACGCCGACCAGTTGCGTGCGATCGGCTTCCAAGTCTTCGTCATCGGCCGGGGTGAATCCGAGTAGATACAAGCACTCGAGTCGTCGTCAACGTCGCTATACCGTGCGCGCACGTCTCAAATCCATCTCGTTGTTTCCTTACTAGAATACTCGCAAATTCGTTCTCTATCCTTCCTCAACTCCTCGCCAAGAGAGGCGAGCTTCCTCGATCCGGGGACAGTGTACCCCCGTCGCTTGTCCCTCTTCTCTGTTTTCATGACTCCTTTCTCTATCTATCTCGTATCTCGTTCTTTTTCGTTCGTTCTTTGTTTAGACCTTCGCTTTGTATTCTCTTCGCCGGCAGGGACGGTTTGCTTTCCTTTTCCCGTTCCCCTACCCGCTTCACTCTTTAATCGTCGTTCCCCTTTGCCCCGGTCAAAAGTTTGAAAAATGCAAACGTAAGGTTGTTCGGTCTCTATCGCTGTCAGAAGGGCTCGTCTGTGCTCATATCTTGTTTTGTCGTGGGTCTCGGTGAGAGGGGTCTTTGCAAGCAAGCAAAGCCGAATAAGGCTCCCGAATAGCTCATTTGTCGGCCCTGACAATCAAATACAGCTTGATTGCAGGTATTGTACTTGTAGTAGGAAACGAATCAATCTTCAGCTTCCCCTGAATCTCCTTCCTCCTCCTCGTCTTCTTCATCTTCGTCGTCGTCGTCGTCTTCCTCTTCTTCCTCTGCGGGCTTGTTGGCGGCCATTTCGGCTTGCTTCTCTTTCCAGGCGGCGGCCATCTCGAGCACTTTGAGCGAGACGGCGTTGGTCGCCGTTTCGTCGTCGGGGAAGATAAGGTCGTAGTCTGCGTACAAGAACGGTCATCGGAAGCGTGAGCATCATCTCGGCTTTCCCAAACGTTTCAATGAGGGGGATACTGACATTCTTCCATCATCGACGCGTCGCCATCGACCTTGCGCATCTTCTTGACAACCCGAGGCATCTTGGCCACAACCTTGGCCAGCGAAGCCGCATCGCCCTCGTTCGTCTCGAGGGCTTTCCATGCCTCGAGCAAGACGACGCGCTGTGAGCAGAACTCTCCGTGGTCAGACGGTCCCTTGCACAGACGCACAAGCGAGAGAGCACTTGAGGTTTTTTAGAAGACTTACCTCTTCCTTGAGTTGCTTCTTCTTGAGATCGTTGTACCCACGTTCGAACACGGCCCGCGCTCGTTCCAATCCTTCCTGTTTAGCCTGTTCGACCGCCTCATGATCGACCTCCGTCTTCTCCTTCTCCTCCGCGCCTTCCTCTGCATCCTCCTCATCCTCCCCAGCATAAGCCCTGGCGATCGCCAATCCAGCATTCACCTCGAACTGAGCGAACGAGACCCAAACCTTGACGTGACTGGTCCTCTGCAACAGACGTTCGTACAGTTCCCTCGCGCGATCGTATTCCTCTTCTTCATACTCAAAGTCGATCCAGCTCTTCCAGATGAGTTCGGGCATGTCCATTGAAGGTTGGTCAACGGCGAGCTCGTAAATGGCGCGAGCGCGATCGAATTCTTGCAGACCGGCTTCGAGCTCGGTGAATTTGATCCAGGCCGTCGCGTTGGATGGGTCGAACTGGAGGCCAATAAGGAATTAGGTGAGGTTCTGTACAAGTGGGATTGACGAGATGGAAAAGGCCTACCTCGAGCCATTTTTGGTACAGTGTGCGTAGACGGTCAAACTCGCGCAGCTTGAGTTCGAGCTCGATGTACTCCTTGAACAACTGATGTTCGGGAAAAAAGACATGTCAACAAATAAGCCCGTAGATAGAGCAAGCTTGGCATCAAGTCTCACCTTGTCCTTGGGCGCCATACCGATAGCCGTCCCGAAGATCTTCCTCGCCGCGTCGAGCTGCATCTGCCTGACCTCAAACTCGGCATACTGCACCCAGACTTTGGCGAAAGTAAAGCGCTTGTGCGGCACGAGCTTGAGGCACGCCTTGTAAATATCCCGCGCCCTCGACAGATCCTTGGTCTCGAGCTCCTCGAACAAGGCGTAGTTGAGCCAAGTGAAAATGTACCGTCGCCAATGACGCTTCTCGTCGCTCGGTGGCACCTGCGCCACGGCGCGTTCGTACACCTCCCTCACTCGAGTCAACGCAGCCTCGTCGGCTTGTCCGCCTGCGGTCGCACTCCGGTACGCGTCCTCCTCGAGTCGCGCATAGTCGAACCAAACGTCATAGTTGCGCGATTCGTGGGTCAACTCTTCCTCGTACTGAATACGTCGTTTCCCCAATACGGTCGTCTCGATCGCCTGTCGATCACCAAACTGCTTCTCAAAGTTGGTGTAGGCCGCATAGAGTTGCGTCGCTCGGGTACGGGGTAGTCGTTCCAAAGCGAACTTGTAAATGACCCTCGCTCGATCGTACTCCTTGTGCCTGACCTCCATCTTGGCGAACGCCGAGTACAACGACTGGCTCTTATCGATCCCTTGTTCGTCCTGGCCGTAAAACTCGAAGCCCATCGTGAAGATCTCCCTCGCGCGATCGAGCCTCCTTCGTTCCTCCTCAAACTTGGCCCACTTGATGAACATCTTGGGTTCGGGGTGGCAATTGACGAGGCGTTCGTACAGCACACTCGCACGATCGAGTTCGTTGTATCGAATCTCGAGTTTGATGTAGGCGCTCCAGGCTTTCTCATCAGGCTCCCAGGCCATCCAGCGCTCAAAGACTTGGCGCGCCCCGGCGACGTTGCCGAGCATCTCTTCCAGGTAGACGTACTTGTACCAGATGCGATCGATGCGAGGCAAGAGTGTCACGGCTCGGTCAAAGAGGTTGCGAGCATGGGCGATGTTGCGCGCTTTCAGTTCCTGTCAGAGTTATCGAGAGTGGAGAGTGGTTTAGCATGCAGTTGGGGTGAGCCCTGGTAGGATGCGGGAGTGACTGACCATCTCGGTATAGGACAGCCATAGCTTGAGGTTGGTAGGGTCGACATCGAGTGCACGTTCAAACACGGAGCGTGATCTGTGTTGGATTTAGTGGTGGTGAGCTCAGAAAGGCACGCCTATGGACACCCTTACGCGAGAACCTACCTCGGGAACTCTCCCTGCGCGGCTTCCCAGTTGGCATACTTGGCCCAAGCCGTGATCTGTAGCCAGCGTAAGGAGACATCAGCTTTCTTAGCGAGGTTACAAGTCAGAGCGTAGGACTGACATTGCTCCGGGTGCGGCGGATGGTCTCCTCGAACTCTTGGCGCTTGCGCCCGCGGTACTCGTGCAACTCCTCCAAGTCCTCGACATGCTGCTTGGGCTTGACCGCGGTCTTTTCTTGAAAGTCGGCTGCTTCTCGCAAGAGTTGTTCGGCGGTGATCTGTTCGATGATGAGCCCGGGAGGAAGAGAGCGGCGCCAAGCGAGGGGGAGGGCGTGGAGTGCGGCCGGCCAGGAGCGTTCGCAAGAGGTGGAGGCGGGAGTATGGGACATGGTCAGCGACATGTCAATGCTGAGACCACTACACCAAGTGACTGACTTGGATGGCAGCGGGCGCACGGTTCTTGACCCGGCCGGCTCCCTCGCGTTGCGACATGTTGAGACCGTTGAGCTCGTACGAAGTGGCTGCCTTGATGGGTGACGAGGGGCGAGCCTGCTCCTAAGATTGGTTCAGCAGTGCTTCTGCTGTTGTGGCGTCACCACAAGCCGTGTCTGCTGGGCAAGTGGGTGCACGCTCCGAAGCCAACAGCCCAGACTCGCGCGGTGCTGAACTGCTGCTAAGCGCGGTATTTCTGTCCATTCCCAATTTTCCTCCATCTCGCTTCATTCCGCTTCATCCCGCCTCTACCCGTCCGCAGGTGCCGATTTTGTTCTCGAAACGCCCACAGGTTCATGCACCCGTGTATGCTTATGCCGGTGGTTCGATCATGCTTGTGACTTTTATTGTTTTTCGGAAATTCCGAATCTGACTCGGAGTAGGCTCCCGGGGTCGGATTGCAGGCAGATGTAACCCCACGTCACCGATGTAATCAAGCGTAGGCGAACCCTTCATTTCATGATCGAATTCCATGAGAAGTGGGCCGCCGAAGGGGGCAGGGGGACCCGTACAAAGCAGTCGGAATTGAGGGGGATGGCCCGAGCGAGCTGAGCGTACTAGGACTAGGAGGTTGGCAAGCGAGCGCCCGCCTCGGCCCTCTCTCCGCCTGCCACGCGGCACCACATAGTAGACTAGTACCCGGTCGACGATCGTGCTACATACCTCATTCGGTGTTGATCGCTACACCCGGTGGATATCTCCCTCTCCCTCTCCCTCTCGAGCTCGACTCTATCCTTCCAAATCGCCACATACACGTTCAGGCTCAGCCCAGGAGGCATCTGTTCTGTCTCCGCACTTCGTTGGCAGTTGGCGCTCGGATCGTCCTCGCCGGCTACGGCCTACCAAGCCCAGTCGCTTCACCCACCGGCGTTGTTCAAAGCTTGCCATTTGGTCTACCCCGCCGGATTCATTCCACTATCATCAATCGTCTGCGATCAACTTCCCGATTGCAGCAACAGTGGCTACAGGCCATCAACTCTAGTAAGAGGCACTCGACTGGCCTTTACGGTATTATATTACGGTATTATTACCCCAGACCGGACTGCCAATCCGTGCCCAAACGCGGCCGGCTGGCGATCACTTTGCGCCGCTGCTGATAGCTGCTGATCTCGTCCAAGTCGTCGTCTCAGTCTGTCGAGTCGTCGCCGTCGGGCTCTGCTCAGGCACGCCGTCGGAGCGATCGCGGCACACCACAACACCCATTTCACACCTGCACCCTACCCATTTTCAACGCAGCAGACTACGTTGTAGTGCTACGCCATCGACTTGCACCCGCAATCGAACGAAAATCAGACCCGTCGGACCCGATCTGCCGGCTTGGTTTGACCCACACCTCCTCACGTTTCGCGTGCGCCTGCCCCCCCCCTCCTCTCCGGCGTTCCCTTCATCCATCGAATCCTCAGCTCACTTCCGCGCGGTCAGGATCGACGCCACGCCTCTCGTTTGATATCGATAGGCCTTGACGATGGGTGCACTGTGTTGCAAGCCAGAGGTCAGTCCTCCCGTCCCACTCTCTCTCCTTCTCGAGTCTCCACGCGATCGCCACGTGAGCCGCCGCCAAACAATGGGCCGACCCCATCTCTGTTTCCGGTGTGGATTGACACGGCCCAGCATTGAGCGCGTTAGAGGCACTTCTGCCGGTTAAGAGTCATCATTTGGACGACAAGTTGCCGGATCGAGCCACCCAAGGCTGACCACTCATTCGGGACGAGTCTCATGGACCGGGGCACGGGCACTCGATCTCGGCCCTCTACTCGGACATCCCGCACGAGTTGACGACGAAGACTCGAACTGACGCCTCCAAACACCCTTCTTCCCCACATAGGCTGTGGACTTTGATGGACCGGTCGATTTATACCATTTCTACCTGCTGCGATCCGTCGGCAAAGGGGCTTTCGGAAAGGTCAGTTCAATCAGCTCGCACCCATTCATCGTCCCCGCCCCTCGTGCTCGTGGGGGCAAGAGCGAGCAGCCCGGGTCATCCGTTGCTGATCTCCTCTGTCATCGAGCGCACAGGTCCGAGTCGTTCAACACAAACAAACAAAAGCGTTGTACGCGCTCAAGTACATCAACAAAGCGCGCATCTCGAAGCAGCGTGCCGTCAACAACATCATCCAGGAACGGCGGCTGCTCGAAGAGATCGACTCGCCATTCGTGTGCAACTTGCGCTTCGCCTTCCAGGATGACGAAAACTTGTTCATGGTACTGGACTTGATGCTCGGGGGTGATTTGAGGTTTCATCTTGATCGGTTAGGTGCCATGAAGGAGGACGTCGTCAGATTCTATGTCGCCGAAATGGCACTTGCATTAGGGGATCTGCATCGGAGAGGGATCGTGCACCGGTGAGCAGTACATGGGCAACGCACTTGATACCTTGAACGCAGTTTTCTCATGCCCTTTGCTCTTCTCGCGCACTGCAGGGATCTGAAACCGGACAACATCCTCCTGGACGAAAGAGGGCACGCCCACTTGACCGACTTCAACATCGCCGTTCACTTTACCGAGGAACGAGCCTTGACCTCAGTAGCCGGTTCGATGGCCTACATGGCGCCCGAGGTGCTGGCCAAACGAGGGTACTTCTCGACCGTCGACTGGTGGTCGTTGGGTGTCGTCGCGTACGAGTTGTTGTTTGGGAAACGACCTTATCGGGGCAAGACGAACTCGTCTTTGACGACGGCGATTATGCGGGATCAGATTCGGTTCCCTGAAAATGCGGGCGAGATCCTCAGCCCGGATGGGATGGCTTGTATCAGAGGGGTCAGTATGAAATTGGCTCGTTTACCGGAGGACCGCTCGGACTTACTGATTGGGGTCTCGTCATCATCATACGTTACAGCTGCTTCAACGCGACACGAGGAAACGACTAGGGTGTAAACACACGGGAGGACTGGAGGCCTTGAAGCGGCATCCTTGGTTCAAGGACTATGATTGGGACGTGATCGAGAAGAAGGAGGCGATCCCGCCGTTTGAACCGGATTCGAGAAAGGCCAACTTTGACGCGACGCACGAGCTGGAGGAGTTGCTGTTGGAGGATAATCCGCTCAAGGCGAGGAAGAGGAACCCGAATTTGGACGTGACGACCATGTCGGCCGATTATAGGACCATGGAACAAAAGTGAGTTCCTTTGGGGTGCTTCTCCGTTGGATCTGCGAGGTAGTAAAACTGACTGGGTCCTTTGGCGTTCAGTTTCACGCCGTACGACTTCACACGGCAACCTCGCAAGTCGTGGTTCGTGTCGGACGAAAAGATGACCGCAGCAGCAGGCGGCGCAGCGGCGTCCTCCTCGACACCGACGGCGGCGGGCGACCTTTCACCTGCCTCTCTTCCCGTCCATTCGCACGCCGTCAAGCTCGAGAACCAACCACTATCAGACATGAGCGTCGAGCAGGCCTCGTCGCATCTTGGCTCGTTCCTCGAACCGAGTACAACAGGGAGTGGGCGTCAGAGTTTCGAGATGCAGAGTACGGGCACAGGATCGGCCTTGGCGGCTGCGGCGAGCGTAGCGGCGAACGCACCGTCGGATCCGACACGACGGATCGATTCGGAGGTGCATGGGAGTAGTCTGGACGCGTCGACAAGCGCAGGTTCGACAAGCGCAGGTTCAAATTTGGGGACAATAGGAATGACACCTGTTCGGGCATCGAGTTCGGGCAAAGCTTTGGATCTGAATCCGGTGCTCGAGTCGGCTCCTTCCTCGCCCCAAACAGGGTAGTTTTTGTTGGGGCATCGGGGTCTGATTTCGTTCCTGCTCGCAGTTGTCTCTGCTTCCTTTTATCGTTTTATTCTTGTCGTTTACTAAGCTACTCATATCCTCTCTTTTCATCAAACCTTTCCTCTCTGCTATGCTCTTCTCTCTTGCGACCTCCTTACGTTGTGCATGGTAATCCGGCCGTCTTGCGCGTTTGTTCCTCGTGCAAAAGAATAAACTCAATCCTGCCCGCTCGTCAGCCATCCACGTCGCTCCTAATTATGTGAGAGCGGTCAAGCCTTGGGTCGGTTCTCCACCGACGCCGGATCAGCTGTGCCCGAGCGTGAATGTCCGAGGCGCGTCGCGTCGCCCATGTTCGGTGCGCTCGTTCGCACCCCTCCCCTCCCTTCACCCCCACCCCTGAAACGATTCGCGCGCCATGGCTCGCCGTACGCGCAACCCCATCGGATCCGACTCTGATTCCGAAGCCCAGACCCAACAAGGAGGCCGTCACAGCCAAGCCCAACACGACCACGGCGTCATCATGGACGACCTCGTCGACCCGGACAAGACGTTACGCCATTTGTTCTTGCAGGCGTTCATTTCCAGACGCGTGGTCGAGGTTGGGTTGGCCCAGAGGCTTTATAAGGAGTGCGCGAAGATGTGTGCACGTCAGTCTTTGGGGATTTTGCAACGGTGGAGGCGGCTCCTTGGGTTGGAGTCGGTGGCGCTGTAGTAGCTGTTGTGTGACTTGGGGTTTGATTGCCCGTTCGCACCCCGACGCGTCGACCCCAACTTGCATCCTCGAGACCCTCAAGGCTCCATCAGCCTCCTCTCTCCAACCGTCACTGCGGATCAAACTCACTGACATCTCCCAATCTCTTTACAGTCCCACACGACAACTTTGCAGGCTTCATCAGCACCCTCGAAGATGGCCTCACCCTCCTCGGTCTGGACATCAAGCGCATTCGGGATCAAGAATCCGGCCTCTCCTATATCGTATTGGTGCGTTCACTCGGCGAACGCGATATTCGACGCTCGTTCTATCGAAATCATCCGCAGCGATTAACGATCAAGTCTTTCGAGTCTCCCATAGATCAATACGGCCGAGGACGCGGCGTCCAAGATGGCCACCGATTTCAAACCCGAGGAAATCGCCTTCTTCCGGGCAATCGTCAGTTCTTCTGTAAGATCGGCACGTAAAACCCTGCTTTTCGACTCTAATACATGATTCTTGGTTTTGTACAGGTCGGAGAGATCATGTCGACGGACGACTTGTCGTATTCGGTCACGATGAAGGAGGCGTTGAGGTGCATGAAGGGGTCGCGCATGATTGCGCAGGAACTCGTTCGATCTTTCATCGCCAAAGGTGACTCGAGTCGATCGGATCCCCTGAAGCAAGATCGTGGCTGATATTGTCTTTTTACCAGGCTGGCTGCACCTGCATCGCTCGCAACGCTTGACTTTGTCCGTTCGATCGATCGCCGAACTGGGTGGTTGGCTGCGGGATACGTTCGACGAAGACGAGCTGGCCGTCGTTGATTGTAATGCTTGCAACGCTATCGTCACTTGTGTGAGTTTTCCTCGCATGGACGTGCATTCTTCGGGGTTAACTGGTCTATCGAGATCGGACGAAGGCGGTACAGAACAAAGTTTTCGTCGTCAAGCCCCGATCTCGCTGACACGCTGATCGATGTTGACGACTCCAACAGGGCTACGCATGCCCCAACGACGACTGCCCCATCCGCCTGCACAGTTACTGCGTCGAAGCGCGTGTGAACCAAGGCCGATGCCCCGGCTCGTTGGCGGGAACGTGCCAAGAAACGTGGATCCCGACCGCGAATGGGAAATACGTCGGTACGATCATTGGGATCAAAGCGATTGCTGGGATGGAGGGGGATGACGAGTTTGAGGATGAGGTCGGAGCGGGAGCGAGTAGTACCCCTTTGGGGCCTACGAGTACGGCCGCTTCGAGGGCGACGAATGGGAGGAGTGGTGGTCCGAAGAAGAGGAGTGGGGAGGCGAGAGGGGCTAGAGGAGGCAGGGTCGCCGTTAGTGATGAGGAGGACGAGGAGGATGAGTTGATGGAGGATTGAGTGGGGCTTTGCGTTATTGAGAGGGTTTTTTCTGTACTTTCTGTAGCAATATAGGTATGCGATCGTGCCAAAGAAGCCACCAATATCTTCGAACCGCCCTCGAGTTTGGGTTGTTTCCGATTAGTAATCGGGCGCCGATCCATAAGCGCGTCTCGGTTTTTTTTCTTCTTTTTTTTGACCTTTTGCCTGCACTGATCAAAAGGGTTGACTCGCGCTGGGCTGCTTACACTCGGCTTGCTGGCACCACCACCACTGCACCACTGCACCACTGCACCACTGCACCACTTCCTCCCGCCGCTGCTGCTCGTAAGCCCATACGCCATGGCGGAATCCACAACACCAACCCAAGCGAATCCAACGTCAGTCGGGTCGAGGCGGCGAGCTCGTTGTGTCGAGTATGCGAGCTGACATGGACTCCTGCTGCGGCCCGCATCCCCCGCTCGCGCTCGCTGGCTGCTGGCTGCCCGTCGCCTTTTCCTCACAGCGATGTCGGCGCCGATTCGAACCGTATCTCGTGGGCTTTCCTCGCGCAGTGAGTACGGCTGGCACAGTACGAGGACCGAGTCCGACTAGCTGACCCGAATTCGTGTTTACCTTGCTCAGATACTATTCGTTCTTGGTAGGTTGTCCTGCTGTATCCGCTGGTGACGCTCCATCGACGAGGTCGAGCTCACCCACATCACATTGCCCACCGGTTCAACATCTGCCCGTTCACAACTCGCCCCTACTCACACTTACGCTCCCCCCCCCCCCCCCACCTTCTCGCACCTCGACTCCTCGCAGAACAAGGACCCTTCCCGACTACACTGCTTCTACACCAAGCGCTCGACCTTGATCCACTCGACCGAGGGCGAGGAGACCACCGCGTGCTATGGCCAACAGGTGCGCTCAACTTTCGTGCAACAGGCCATGTTCAAGCTCACCGAACTCCTTCTTGGCTTGTTGATCAAACAGGAAATCCACCACAAGCTCATGTCGCTCAAGTTCGAGGACTGCAAGGTTTACATCTCCAACGTCGATTCGCAATCGTCGGCCGAAGGAGGCATCATCGTCCAAGTCAGTCACACATGCGGTCAACGTATCCCTATAATGCTTTTGGATCAGAGAGTTCATTGAACACCACTTTTTTTTAACCTATCAGGTCATTGGAGAACAATCCAACCACGGCGGCCCATGGCGCAAGTTCTCCCAGACCTTTTTCCTCGCCGAGCAACCCAACGGCTACTTTGTCCTCAACGACATCTGCCGCTACATCAAGGAGGAAGGCGACGACGACGACATCAACGCCGGGTATACCCACCCCGCTTCCATCGTTACCGCTGCCGCCGTATCGAACGCCCACCTCGCGGGCTCGAGTCTTCCCCCCGCTCAATCGACCGAGACGACCGCCGTTTCGGACGATGCCGCCGCCATCGCCGAGGCGACCCCCCTCTTTGCCGACGACACTTACTCGAGCATCCAAGAGACCTTCCCCACCCTTGACGCTTCGCCCGCCTTCAATGGCACTCAAGAGCCCCAGTCGACGACCAAAGCCGAGGCCGTGAAGGAGATTTCATCGCCTGCCGCCGCTGCCCCCACTCCACTTCCGAATGGTCACCACGCCCCCCAGGCCACAACCTCGACCCCCGCTGAGCCCGCTGAGCCCGCCGTCGCCGAGACGGAAACCGAAACCGTCGTTGAAGCTAAGCACGAGGAGCCCGAGGCTTCGATCTCGGCCTCGACCACTGAGGAGTTGACGCCCGCCGCTGCTTCCGCACCTGCGGTGACCGAGGAAATCCCCTCTACGATCGCTCAAGCCGCTACTCCTGAACCTACCGCCGCCGCCGCCGCCGCCGCACCAGCAACATCTACCCCTGCTCCCGCTCCCGCTCCCGCTCCCAGTTCTAGCCCCGCCTCGACCCCCGCCCCTGCTGCTGAGCAAGCCCCGGCCGCTCCTGCCCTGCCTGCCGCACCTGCTGCCCCCAAGTCATGGGCCAGTCTCGCCGCCGCGAATGGTGGCGCCAACAAATGGGGCAAGACCGCCGTCGCTTCGGCCAAGGGGATCTCGGCTGCTCCTACACCAGCTCCTTCCACCTCGACTGAACGTCCCTCGGCCGCTTCGACCTCGCACGAGGCTGGATCTGCGGCAGGTCACGAAGGTGGAAAGACAAGAGGTAAAGGTGTTTCGGGATCGTCGTCGAACGCGGGTCATGGCTTGAGCGCTTCCGGATCAACCACAGGTGCTGGAGGCAACTTCCACGATTCGGTGCTGGCGGTGACGACGACGATGTGCTACATCAAGGGCGTACAGGAGAACGTGTCGGAGAAGGCGTTGATGGACGTGTTGACGAGTCGGTTCGGACCGATGTGCGAGTGCTCCATTATCAGAAATGTACGTGGGGCGACTTTGCTCCTACTTTTTTCATCGAGAGGGGGAGTTTCTCTTACTTAACGCCGCACCTTTTTCTCTGTTACAGAAAGCCTGCGCTTTCGTCGAATATGAATCCCTCCTCTCGGCACGCAAAGCCCTACAAGCCTCGGTGCTCCGTTCCGAAGGTGGAGAAGGGGGTGTGCGCGTGCCGGTCGACCCGAGTCACCCCGCGAGCAACGGGAAGGATTTCGCTATCATTCAGATTTTGGAGAGGAAGGAACATGGCGAGAGACCACCTTCGCAACCTAGGAGGGGGCCGGGAGGAGGGAGGACAGGTGGTCAGGGACAGGGTCAGGGTCAGCCGGGTCAGGGACAGGGACAGGGACAACAGGGCGGGAATAAACGAACGGGCGGTGGAGGAAGGACGGGTGCGCAAGGTGCTCAGCAGGGGAATCAACAGGGGACCAATAACAGTAGGGGATCTAAACCGACTGCCGCGACGAAGTGAAGGAATCAACGTAAACGAACGATGAAATGTCGGGGTCGTCGGGGGTTCCCTGCTTGTTACTCGGTTCCGCGGGGGTTGTTTCCTTTCTTTCCTTCTCTCTGTCTTCCTTTTTTTTTGAACAGTGTTCCATTCTTTCTCGACCGTCCTTGTGTTGCACATCCACATATTCTTTTTTGGTCTTTTTGGACACTCTTCCCCCCCTCAAAGAGGACCTGCCCCTGCCTACCTAGTACAATCTAGAATCCTTTAGGTACTTTTACGCTACAAGAAATGAACGATCCTATATTACCACCTCTTGAGGTTGGGGATATGAAAGTATGTATGACAACGAAGAGTTCGGGGGCAGACTGCGCGGCCCCAAGGAGAGCGGGAGAACTTTGGGATTATTGGTGCTGGTTGGCCTTGGTTTGGGTTCTGATTCGTTTATACAATTACAAGAAAAATGAACAGAAAGGACAAACAACTCTTGGCTTGAGGCATACGCGGAGGGAACTTGACAAAGGAAGGGGGGCGGTCGACTCGCTCGAGCTTCGACCCTTGAGACCACTGTGCTACCCGCTATCATCCTCTGTACACGCTGTTCTGAGTTCCTCCCTCGCTTGTCTGTCACCTTCATAAGAAAGAAAGACCGACCACCGCAATCTATGCTCCTTCACCCTCACCTCAAACTCCCGATCCGTTTCCGCTCGGCTCCAATTTCCCCCATCAAGGCTTGTAGTTCTTGTGCAACCTCGGGTTCACCTCTACGACCCTCTGCAAGAGATCGTCGACGACCTTGTCCTTGTTCTGGTCGAACGAAGAGGCGATCTTGCCCAGTTGGTCGGAGGTGTATTCGTCAACTTGGGTTTGAGAGGTCGAGGAGTCGCCGGAATGCTTTGGGCAAGGGTGAGAGGAGGATGCGGTCAGCTCAATATTTCTTGTAGCCTCCAAAGGGTGCCACGCTAGGGTTACCTGTTGTTCGAATTGGGAGAACTCGTCGTCGGCCTTCTTCTTGAGCGCGTCGATCTCCTTGGACGCCTCGCCACGCGCATCCTTGATCCTTTGCGTGCGGTCTGAGCGTAGCCACGTCCGACCTCAGTATTTTCTCCTTCCCGAATGAACATCGTACACTCGCCCAGGCCAGGTACCTCACCCCACGCCGCGATGGAGGGGTGGGGGGTTCTTTCGACCGGGATCGCCTGATCGACCGCCCTCCGTTGCCGTCGAGGCAAAGGTAGCAACACTTACATTCCCTAGCCTTCTGCACGATCGCAGCGGCCTCCTTCTCGGAATCCAACAGCGCTGAGATACCTTGGGCTGTAGAAGAGAGGGGAACGTGGGGATCAGTGACCACCCGCGCGGCGGGCGGCGGGGTTTAATGACGACAGCGACCCGTGTGGTGGTGCGTGCTGGGAGAGCTTACAGTTTTGGGCGGCCTAAAGGGAGGGTGAAAGGAAGCTTCAGCAGGTCACACTACTAGCGAGTGTGCAGAGTAGTACTGACCATTTTGGGAGGTTGGGGTAAAGGTGAAAGCAAGGGAGGGCGGAGCGACGGACGAGCGAGGCCAGCGAGCAGCAACCCTCCGCTCCTAGCCGCTCCTTGGCCACTGGCGAGCCTTGGCGGAGCGCCGGGTTGCGCCGGCGCCAGGCCCGAGTGTGTCGAGGCTCAACGTTCAACATTCTCGGCCACAGGAAAGTAGTCCATAACTTAGATTGCACACGTTGTTTGCTCCTCGCACGTATTCTGAACAAGCCAGTTCATCATTGAGCATTTACAGCATCCGGAGAACTCGAAGGCTACCCTTTTCCTTGATCCTACAAGAGCGCACTGCAAATTCTTCTGCATCTTTTTACTCCGTAGTGACAATTGTTGCTACATCGTCAGATAAACTCTTCTCTCCCCCCCTCACGAATCAGTCCTTGAGCTCTTGCATATCGACATCCTTTTCCGCCGCGGTGAGCTCGTCGATTTTAGGAACTTGGTCCAAAGCTTCGTCGACGGCAGCAGTAGGACGAGGGGAGACTGACTTGCTTCGAGTACGACTCCGACCGCGTTCCTCCCTCTTCTCGGGTGCTTTGACTGTGTCGTCGTCACGAGCTGGTAGAGGACTCTTGGATATCGACATCGCCCGGCGGTTCTGGGACCTCGATCTTGACCTCGACCTCGAGCGTGACCTCGAGCGTGACCTCGACCTCCTCCTCGGACTCCTGGACCTACTCCTCGACACACTTCTGGACCAACTCCTGCCCCTCTTGTAAGCCCTCGCAGGACTCGGACTCCTTCTACCCCATGAACCCCTCCGAACAGGTGGGGAAGGGCGTCTAGTCTGCCCCCCTCCTCCTCCTCCACCACCGTACATCCCTCCCCTCCCTCCTCCACCACCTCCACCTCGGCCATTGTATCCACCCAAATGAGGAGGAGGCCCATACCTCGCATTGCCATTCCCATTGCCATTGCCATTACCACCCCAACCCGCTCTGGAAGGGGGTGGCGGAGGTGGTTTGATCGGCTTCTCCAACACGACCGTCACTTCCGAACCATCGATCTGACCAAAGTCCATACAATCGACCGCTTTATCGGCTTGGGACAAGGTGGAGTAGGTGATCCACGCTGTACCTCTGTGCGTACCGACTGATAACTCCGGAAACGGAGAAGAGATGTGTCAATCTCGCTCTCGTTTCTGCGCTCCGTTTGCAGGGTCGAAGAAGACTCACATCGTCGATCGAACGGCAAGTCGATATCGAGGATCTTGCCATAGGGTGAAAAGATGATTTCGAGGTGGGAGCGATCGACGTTCTTGGTCAACCTGTTGATACGGATCACGTAAGGCGGTCGAGGAAGATCGTCATCGATGTCGCGCGATCTGTTGGGGGTTGGTTTTACGCAAAGGGGGGTGAGTTGCGGAGGCGAGAGAGTGAACGGGGGAAGAGGGTGGTGTCACCTTGATCTTGATCTGGAACGAGAGCGAGAACGGGAACGAGAACGGGATGGGGAACGGGATGGGGAACGCGAGCGAGAACGCGACCTTGACCTCGACCTTGACAGTGAGCGAGAATCAGGTCGTCCAGTCGTCGCTGCTTTCCCCTTGGTGGGGGCAGGGGACCGCGTCCTCGAACGAGAACGGGAGCGAGATGGGGAGGGTGACCTGTCCATGGTTGAAGAGGGCGCTTGACGGGGTTGCGTGGGCAGGAGAGGGGGAGAGGGGGAGAGGGGGAGAAGGAAGAGGGGCTGCGACGGGGTTGCGATGGTGGGCGTGGTGAGCGTGGAATTGGTAATGGCCGAATACAAAGGGCACGTCATCGCCTTTTCCCAAGTCACGTCGAGGCTCGCTCGCTCTCCCTCTTGACGCTCATGCTGGGATCTTCAACTCGATAACAAACCGAGTCGCGCGTAGCTTAGATTATCGAGCACCTCCCTTATTGTCTCCCTCACCTTCTTCTCAGCCCGAACCGTCCTCGACTCGGCGTGCAATCGTTCAACCCATCGACCAGCCATCATGGCCACCGCCGGCGCCTCCATCGAAGATGTCGACTACTACGCGCTACTCGAACTCGATCCGGAAGCCACCGAGCAACAGATCCGTACAGCGTACAGGAAAAAGTCCCTCAAAGTCCATCCTGACAGGGTACGTCTCTCGAGCGGTCCTTCCTTTCGGGTCAACAGGTTGCAGGAGAAAGCTTAGTAGGGCAACGAGACCCTCGAGCGCACAGAATCGAGATGACCCCACCGCGGCTGCGTTGTTTCATGATTTGACGATCGCCTTACAAGTCCTCTTGGATCCCATCAAACGCGCCTCGTTCGATAAACTTCGCTTGGCCCGTCAAGCCCGAGCGCAAAGGTTCTCGTCACTCGATTCGAAACGCAAAGCCATGGCCGACGATTTGGAGAGGAGGGAACAAGACTTCAAGAAACAAAAGGGGGAAGAGGGGCAGAAGAAGAGGGAACGACAGCTCGAGTTGATGCGACTGCAGGAAGAGGCGAGGAGAATGAAGGAATCACGCTTGAAGGAGAGGGATGGGAGGGCGGATAGGGAGAGGGATGAAGAGGTCGAGAGGAAGAAGGAACGGTCGAGAAAGGAGGCGCGCAAAGATGATGGGGAAGAAAACGTTGTTGCGTTGGGTTTGATGGATACGACCTTGACGCTCAAATGGCCGAAGGAGTTACGGCCCAAGATCAGGCGCGTGCAGGACGTGATTGCACTGGTCAAGACAGTTGTCGAAACGGACGAGGATGGGATCGATGTCGTACTTTCGGCGGACAAGATCCCCAAGGGTAGATGTAACGTCAAATTCAGGACCATCAGTGCGGCAGTCAGGCTTATGCAAAAAAGCGGAGGGGACAAAATGCGGGAATGGAAGGGTCTGGAGATTGGGTGGGCTGCGGGGAGACCACCTGTGGGCGTGGAGGATGTCGGGGGGAACTCGGCAGCAACGAAGAAGCAGGAAAGTGAGGCACCTGGCTTTGGGAAAGGTTTGGGAGGTATTGGGGATGGAGCGTTTGGGTCCAGAACAACATCGACGACCAAAAAGGAGGCGCCAAGTTTCGCTTCGTCGTTCCCAAGTGTGGTGAGTTACTCTTCGAGACGGCCTTTCAGATATGTTAATTAAAAGCTCTTCTGACCTGACCACTTCATTCACTCTCTATGATACAGACAGCTCTGAACAACAACGACGAGACCGACATACTGGCCCGGTTACGTCAGAAGGAGAGGGAGAGGCTGATGGAGCAAATGAGGGTCGAGGATGAAGCGGACGAGGCAGGGGCCTAACAGAGACTTTGTACATGCACGAGATTTCGGCTTATCGAGGTCGGATCTAAATCTGTTGTAATGCAAGAAAAGTACCATCGGGGTTCGGATGCAAAAAAGGAAGCGGATGCGGTCGCACACGTCTGGACGGAAAACCTTCCTCCGAGCCCAAAGTATCGAGCGGCGCGCGGAGTACGCCATCGGCTCCGGTCTCGGGTGCCCCGCGGTGAGGAATAAGTTGAGGGAAAGGCCGGGGGCCCACTGGGCCACTGCGGTCATTAGACTCAGTAGGTTTCGATCATTGGGGTGTCATGTCGATCCCTCGAAACGATCGACAGCTAATCCTGAAGCTCGATACGGTGCCAATTGCACTGCTCGACGAGCACGCACCGCCTAATTACTTATCACGGCGCGCGCAGATGTTAAAAGTGCAGTGCGTCAAGGTGAAGCGCCCCTGGGGAACGGTGCGCCTGCGTCTCTGCCTGCGCCTCGCCGCGGCACCCGCGTCCGCGCTCGCCCGCTCAGACCCGCTCAGACCCTCTCGGCGCGCTCGCCCCTGCATGCTGCAGGCTGCCCGTCGCCCCTTGCCGCTTGCGCTCTTGGACCATCCTTCCCACACAAACCCCGTCGGCTCGTCATCCTCACGCCTCCTCACGCGCGCCTCGAAGCCCTCGACAGCCCGCTCTCTGCATCCGTCTAGCTGCTTGCTTTCCCACCACTCCGGCGGGCTAGCTTCATCTCTCATTTCGTTCTCTGCAAAAAGGAGCGAAAAGGAGGTGGCTCAGCTTGAGTTGGATCGCGTCCACGCCAGCTAGTCCTCTAGGCCCAAAAGGCCCGAAAGGCGCTCAAGCGTGTGTGACATCGTGATCGAAGAAGCGCCGCGACCTCTGTCCGGACGAGAGGGGCAGGTGGGACCGTACACAGCGATACAACGACGTCCCATCGCTTAGTCGATCCATCAAAACATCGTGGTCAACGACAAGTGGTGAGCTCTTGCCTTATCTCGTCTATCAGGTGGTGGTCGCATGCTGCAGATTAGGGTGTGGCCTGGCCGACGGCCGTGCCATGTGTGTGTCTGTGGTGGTGGGCTGGGGCGGTTGTCAGTGTGTTGGGCGCGGGCGTGGGCGCTCGAGGTGGTGGTGGGCGAACGGACGTCGTGCCGGGCCGGGGTAACGCGCTAACAACGAGCGCGGGTGCGAGCAGCAAGCAGCAACACGGCGAGGGCGCTCAGCTCCGAGATGGCGAACATCCGAAACGTATGCTGACGACATCCAGGATTCAATCTAGATCGTGCTCGTGGCAAGATGGCCTCGCAAGCACCACCTGCAACACAACCGCCGCCGGGCTCACAACAGGTCCGTCGTCCCTCGGGATCCCCTTCCCCCAAGCCAACGTTCCCCTGACCGCCCCCTCCTGTCCCACTCTCACTCACGCTGTTCACGCTTGATCTTGCCCCAAATAACAGCCACCGAGACCTTCATCCACGGCCCCAACACCAACGCTCCTGACCAACTCTTGGGAAGGCGACGCAACACTGCACTCGTGAGTGGTCCTTTCACGCACCACCCGAACTTCTCTTGCATTCGTCGGCGACCCAACCACTCCTGGGCTCGCTCGCTCGCTCGACCCTCCCCTCATTCGCTCCTCCTTTCTCTGGGCACACTCGCTGTGTACCTGCCTCCTTCCTCGTCCCAATATCCCCTTACCGACACTCCAGGGCGAAGGAACTAATCGCCTGCTTTATTACGATTCCCTTCAGGTATTGCTACGATTACCTCAAGGTAAATACACGCGCGACGCTCGAGCCGGGTTCGATCTGCCGGGAGCTCAACTCCCAGTTGTGCTGACTCACTTCTTGCTCTTCTTGTGTCTTAGAAACGAGGGTGGAACTCGACCGCTTCGGCTTTTGCAGCGGACGCCGGCATCAATGAGGCCGAATGGAAAGGGCCACCGATCGAAGCACCCCAGGGGCTGCTATACGAGTCAGTCGCCGCAATCTGAGCTATGCGGGAGGGGATGCGACCATCTGTGATGCTGATCGTTGCCTTTGCCTGATGGGACCGTAGATGGTGGAGCGTGTTTTGGGACGTATTCATCGCACGCTCGCAAAAGAGCGGACCCAGGAATCCGAATGCCGACGTCTTTGTCGATGTGAGCTCTGCGAGGGAGAACCGGGGTATCTGATGCCAGTTGGTTCTGACTATGTACGGACCATTCACAGGCCATGCGACACAAGCGTGACCCGTTGGTCGTCAACTTCTCCGGACCGAACCCCCCACCTCCCATCATCCTGCCCCGAACGATGGGGCACCCCGCTCGACCGAACGAACCCCCGCAACCGCCGGGGCCATCTCCGATGGGCCAAGCCCGACCAACCTACACGAACCCAGCGCAGATGCACGTCTTGGAACAACAACAGCTGCAGCAACAGATGCAACAGGGGCGTGTCAGCGTTGTAGGGATGGGAGCTGGGGGACCCCCCACTCGACCCCCTGGACCACCGATGCCACCAGGGCCGGGAGGACCGTACATGCCTCAAGCGTCGACATCATCGCAACCCATGGGTCCGCCGGGGTCGTCGCAGCATAATCATCTCCTGGGCGACGCAGGAGGCCCCGCCGCTTCCCCTGGTGGGTTTATCGGTGGTCCGCCCGGATCGCACAGCAATCTCCCACCTCAGATGCAAGCCTCGCAAGGTCAAGGGCAATACGGTCCAGGATCCCACGCGTCATCTTCATCGGCTTCACCTCATTTGGCGCATTCCCCACACCCCTTCGCGAACGGTCCCCGACCCGGTCCAGGACCGACTGGCGTTTCACTCCCTCACCTCATCGCCGGTCGCCCCGACCTGACCGCCGCGTTCAATCAAGCTCTGAGAATGGTCGGGATCGAAGGCAAAGAAGTCGAAACCTTGACCGCGGATGAACACGCCGCCGTCGCCGCACAGATGAGGCGAATGGGCGTATTACCCGAGTTACGTGTACCTCCTACCGCCGGCGGTGGACCTGGGAATGGCATTGGGACAGTTGGAGCCGCGGGTGGGCCTGGAGGACCGCGTGGGGTCGTTCAGAGACAGATGTTGGGCCCGGGGGGTCAGGGACCGCCGCAGGGGGCGATGATGGGGCAAAGGGTCGTTTCGGGTGGGGCGATGAGGCCTGGGCCACAGGGGATGCATCAGCTTGAACAAGGGGGACCAGGTGGACCGGTGCAGCAGAGGCTGGGGCAGCAATTCGCGGTGAGTTTGCAGAGGGGTTGTCAGCGATCTGAAGGATTTCAAATGGAGGGCTGATGGCTCTCTTTGACTGTGTTCGATCTTAGGGGATGTCACAGCAGCAACAACAACAGATGCAGCAGATGCAGCAGATGCAGCAGACGCAGATGCGACAACAGAACGAGATGATGATGCAACAGCAACAACAGCAACAGCATCAACACCAGCACCAGCACCAGCAGATGCAGTCGCAGCAATTCCCCCAACAACAGCAGCAGGGCGCGTTGCGCAACGGTCAGGGGGGTCCACAACCGCAGCACATGCAACATATGGCTAACCAAGGGTGAGTACTTGGGTGGGAAGTGGGTGGAGCTGGGCTCACGGCGAGAAGCTGATCCCTTGAACTTTTGTTACCTCTCTCGTAGCGACACGCCTGCCTCACCCGCGTTCTCTGCGGCATCTCCCCATCAATTCAACCAGAATGCGGCCTTCCAAAACGCCGGCTCAATTGGCTCACCACAACCTCCTCCGACACCATCTGCGGGTGCACCAACTCCGGGTCCTTCGGCGGCCAATGCACCGACGCCAGGAGGTGGGAGTGGGAAAGCGACGTATGCACCACCACCTCAACGCGGTCCTTCGAACCCAACTCGAGGAGGCCGAGTCACAACCGTCGCCGGGAAACGAGGTGCCGGCGGATCCAACGTCGAGGAACCGAGTCCACGATCGAGGAAACGCGCTCGCGGCGGGGCGAGTAGTGGGGGCAACTTGTCACGAGAAGACGGGAACGACGTTCAACCGCCCGGGACGCCCGATCTGGCCAAATCGACCCCTTCGAGTCCTGGGATGGCGCCGCATAGTATGAACAACCCTGGAGGAGCGATGGGGTACCGACTTGCTCCTTCGCCTTCGCCGTCGCAGCTGGATGGGTTGCAAGTCGATCAAGATGGGCGGGCGGCGATGATGTCTGGCTCGGGCGCCTTTTCCGGTGGAAATGGTTCTGGGGACGCGATCATGTCTGGTGCGGATGGGTCGAATCAACCGAACGGGGCAATGTACGGTCAAGCAAATGGAAACGGTGGAGGTGGGAACAACAGTCGACCTTCATCTGCCGCATCGAACCAGTACCACGGCGGGCCAGGTTTGGTCAACACTCTCGTCCGCAGGGACTCGATTTCCAACTCGGGAGGTGGCAACTGCAGAGGAGGTCGATCGCCACCCAAGATGCACATCGCCATGCCACCGACACCGAGCATGCACCAGATGCACCAACACCTCACTACGAGTGGGATCAATCCGCATGGTGGCGAGGGCAACCCGGGTGCGATGGCCGTTACGCCTGGGGGAACGGCGAGACCTTTCGCGGGGGCCGTTGCTCCTCCCTCTTCGATGGCGACTTACCAAGCCAGTAATACTGGCGGGTCAGGCGGTAATGGGACTTCGGCGACGAATGATGGCAACAACGCTGCTCCGGGAGGTGGTGCTGGTGCCGGTGCAGGAGGCGCAGGCATGCCGACTTTGAGTCAGTTGGGCGGTTCGGGCTCGACGGGCGACGATCTGTACGCCGACCTTCAATTCGATATGGCGTTCGACTCCTTTATTGATTTCGACACCTTGGGCGATGGGGTCGTCTAGCTGTGGGATCGACTTGGTCCCGAGCCCGCATCAGCACCCTCTCCTATATATTTCGCATCATTTTAAAAATATTACCCTCTATCTCCTCGACATCGACATTGAATCATCTTCTATATCCACCCTGTCTCTCTACCCACAACGCACCTACTACCGCTATCATCTTGGCTTCCTTTACTCTTTGCTCATATGTTTTGCACGTGCCCTATCTGTTCTGTGTAGGCTTTCCTTTTCTTCCTTCCCCTTTGCAGTAATCTGGAGGTGTTTCTCTCTTCTCGTTTTTGATGGTTGTTTTCGTTACTGTGGGGGCTTTGTTTGATCCCTCAATATAGTTTCTTTCGTGTATGTGTGTCCATCTGGGACTGTATGCCGTCCTTTTTCTTTTGCCTTTTTCGTTTGCAAGAATTGAATGAAGATGCTGTGCGCTCTCTCCGGACTCTGGGGCGTTTCTAGATACAAAATACAACTCACCAAGCCTCATAAAGAAAAAAATACCCATCGCGCACCCCATCACTCAACCTTGCCCACCCCACCTTCATCAACCTCCTTCGCCTTCCCCTTCTGCACCCTCCTCGCGATCCTTCGTTCTCTCTTCGCGAGCCAAAACCCCGAAGTCGCCGCGATACCCAAGAAAGGAGTCGTCGCGGCGATCGCTACCACTCCGATCCAATCCACGAGAGAACGATCCTCTTTCCCTTCGAGGATGATGAAGATGAGCATAGATAAAAAGGCGAATATGACGTCGTAGCTGATACTGGATTGGGCGGGGTGAGAGGATAAAGTTTGGATGGTGGAGGAGAGGAGATGAAGAGGGGTTTGCGTGGACGAGGAGGGAAGGGTGAGGTATGTTGGGTAGCGGAGGGCGAGTGAGAGGAGGGAGTAGAGGAGGTAGAGCGTTGAGGGAGACAAGGGGGATTTGCGAGAGGCTCGAGTGGATCCGGGAAGGAGAGGGAGGAGGAGGAGTATGTGCATTAGGAGGAGGTTGGGGAGGAATGTCGGTTTGTGAATTGTTGATGGGACTAGAGCGATGGTGAGGAAGGATAAGAGGGTCGACCAGATCAAGAGAGGGGAAGTAGTGATGGCTTTTGGGGAAAGGGTTGGAGGAGAGAGGGCGAGGGCGAGGAAGAAGAGGTTTTGCGCGAATGATATGGCCACGACTTGGCCGAGCAACATGAAAGCCCAGACGCGGCGAATCCGATGGCGTTGACCTTGTAGAAACGAGAAGAGGCTTCAGCCTTAGGAGGATGTGCGTGACGAGATGGGGAATGTACCTTCAAAATACCAAAAGCCGGTGATGGGTCCCGCTGTCCAGGCGCACAAGACTTGACTCCACCACCACGCCATGGGCGTCGCGCCGACTTGGTGCCACGCCTCGACAAACAGGGATGTCGATGCGAGCCATTCCTTGGCCGTGTACTTTGAGGCGTTGGAGCCCGCTCGTGCCGCTGGTTGGACCGGGAAGAGGGCGTTGGAAAGCGCGAGTCAGTGTGTGGGGCCTCTGTCAGCGTGCGGAAGGCAACGGAAGGGACATACCCGCAACTTCGAACGACCTCTGAAAGTACTTGAACATGTACGTCCATGTAAATCCGAGCGAAAGAATCGCCAACCCGAGGTAGCACGTGGCACTCGAGGATGCTGCCCCACTCGTCACCTGTGATCGTCGCGAGGGAGTCGATGACGGCAAGAAGTTGGGCGAGATGAGGACGAGAAGCACCAAGATGAGAAGAAAGTAGCCCAACAATGGGAGCAGCTCTTGACTCCACTCCATCGCTCCGTGTAGACTGCTGGGGAATGAGGTGAGCGGACAGAGAGTGCCCGAACTGCCTTGCGGCGCTTCGGGCATAAAACGGGGTCCGTGCGAGCTCACCCGTGTGAGTGCATACACTCAACCCGGCCTCTCTGGCCGACAGAACAATACTGTGCTGGAATGCCCTCCTGGCAGGGAATTAGGTTAAAAAAAAAGTTGAGATATCTGCAGCTGTGGGGACCTGCAATTCAAACGTAACCGTGTGCCGAACCGGCTTGGGAGTTCATGCACCCATCTCTTGTCGGGCGTGGAATTTGGAAACTCCGAGGCTGAGGCCTGAGGGATCGCCGTTACGTCTCGGATTGAAATCGAAGCCGCTAGCTTCTGAAAGCGGTCGCGCACGCGAAGTATCCTTTCACATCCTCACCCTCGTCGCATCCAAGTCATTCATCAGCAACGCGCAGCTCGTCGCCTATAGGTCTCTCGTCCACTCCCGTCGCTCGCACTGGAGCTGGCTTCACCTCATCCCCATAATGGGCGAGAAGCTCGCCTCCAAGGAGAAGTCAGGTGCAGCGCCTGCCACACCGAGCGGCAGGAGAGAGCCTCGGACTCGCTCGGCGGCGGCGGCGGCGGCGGCTTTCCCGGCCGAATCCAACGCGGCAAAGGCGCGCCATCGTCTGCACTGCGCATGGTCCGCAACCAAGCAACGCATCGGCGTGCAGGATGGAGTCTTGCGCGACGAGGTCTTGACCGAAGCAACTGATATGGCCGACGACGCGCACTCCCTACATTGCCACGCCTCGATCAAACGCGCAAGGTCATGCGCTGCCCAACGCAGCGGCACAGCTGCCGACACCAGCAGCGCCCCCGCCACCAACTCCATCTCCGGCGCCGATCAACCCGCGGCACAAGCTCGAGCCACCGCTGCTGGCGCTGCCGCTCGTGGCGAGGAAGTGGAGGATGTGTCCGTGGACGCCGTCGTCGTCGAGAATGAAGGAATGTTTCGCACTTGGGGTGGCACCGCCGATGACGAGCACGCCTCGGCAACCGGCCATGGTGGAAAGGGGGGAGCCCCGAAAGCGGCATCGGCCAAGGCTGAAATCGCCGAGGGGACAAAGAAGGACGATGCGAGCATTTTCCGCGAGGTCACGTCCAACTATGGTGGTCCGGTCATCATCTTTTGTCGATGGACTGTGTGGCCCCGTGTCGTGTGAGTCGCGGCGTTTTCCGCGGGGATTGCGCCCCAACGCCGAGCTAAGGAGCTGACAAAGAGAAAACGCGCCGCGCCCGCAAAATACGAATTTCGCCATCTACCAGCGCCTTCTTCGCACCTCAATTCGAATCGAGAGAAATCGAGGCCGCATATCAAAAGGACTCGTGGACGAGCATGAAGCGCTCGGTCCTGTACGGCACCCTCTTCTTCGAAATCAACTGGATTCTGTCCGTGTCGATGCTGCCGAAGCCGTGGTCGGCGTGGAACTTGGCTGCGAGCGCCGTCTTGATGCCGTTGAGCACGATCCCTTTGGTTCCGATGGCTTTGTGGGATTGGCCGGCATTGCATCGTGGAGCTCGGTACTGGGTATGCTCGTGGTGCGGGGCGCGGTCTTAACGTGGTCGGCTGACCGACCCACCGAAATATGTGATTGAACAGATCTGGCAATCCTTTGTTTTTCTGGCCGTGCTCATCGCTTCGACGAACTCTATCGTGTAAGTTCCGTGATTTAAGTTTGCCCTGCATTCTAGATGAGCTCACATCAAACATTATCCGTCTGCAGGGACATGGCATTGTGCGCTTATTTCGCTCCCGATCGTCACTGCGGTGCCAAAGACTTTCTCACCGTCTTCTTCTATGCTGCCGTGAGTTGAGACACCTGAGATGCGTCGATGAAGCTATGTTTGACACGGGCGGTCACACCTCACTTTGTGTTCAATCAGGCGCCACCGGCCGTCTCGCTATTCGCGCTCAACCAAGTCCGCGTCGGAGCGTTCGGAATATTTGTCGCGTGGACGGGTCTGGTCCTCGGCACATTTCTTCGCCTCAAGGGATCTTTCATCCGCAGTGCCATCAACCTCTTCAGTACGTATCTCTCGTGTTGCGGATTATTTCCGCGCTCATGATCACTGACGCTACGACAAACACCTAACAGTCTTCTACGTCTTCCTGCTCATGTACTCGCATCAACGGGAGATCAACGATCGTCGGACCTTCACCTTGCGGCTCGAGCTCAAGCGACTCTATCGACTCAAGCAAAAAGCCGAGCATCGCGAACGACGCGAGGCCGATGCCAGCAAACGCTTCTCCAACTTTTTGTTCCACGAGGTGCGCGTCCCGCTCAACACCTCGACGCTCGCTTTCCAAAACATCAAGGAATCGGGGATTGTTATGTCGGACACGGATTGTGACTTGTCGATCGAGTTCGAAGCGCTCGAATCCTCGTAAGTGGTCCGCACCCGGTGAAGTGCTTGGAAAATGGTGTCTGACGTGGCACGGCATCTCAACTTCATTACCGCAGACTCGCGGCCATGGCTCAAGTCCTGAACGACGTTCTCGATCATTCCAAGCTTGAAAAAGGCGGATTTTCGATGTTGTCGAGCCCCTTTTCGCTCCACCGCGCCATGCACAGCATCTTTAATCAACTCCAACTTGACGTCGACGCCAGGCGCCTCACACTCGAAACCCATCTCGACGCTCGCATCGACGAGGTCTGCGTTAAATCGGCGTGGCCGACGAGTGAATGGCCGACACGGATCCTGGAAGGCGATGGCTTCTTGCTCGGTGACGAGATGCGACTGCGGCAGATCCTGACCAATCTCACCTCGAACGCGGTCAAGTTCACATCAGCGGGTGGGAAGGTCGCGGTCACGACGAAGCTTTTACGACCCTCCTTCACCCCAGGCGGTTATCAAAGACCCGAGCCTTCGCCCAGCGACTATTCGGACCTACCAACATCGAGTGAGGGCTATTCAGACACTGAGAAGGGCCTGACATCGGCGACTCTCGAGGTGTTCGCGGTCGAAGGTAGCACGAGCAGCAGTTCCAACTCGAGCTCTCGCGATCCGGGTGAGGTCATCGTTGTTCGTTTCGAGGTGCGCGATACGGGCGTCGGTATTCGGCCCCGGGATATGCAGGGGGATCGGTCGTTGTTCTCGTCGTTTGTGCAGACCGAGGTCGGCATGAGGCAAGGTGGGACAGGAACTGGGTGAGTCGGTTTCTAAACGAGCTGTGCGCATTTGATTGTATGGGGAACATACTGACTTGACGTATGCGATGCTGTCATCAGCCTTGGGCTCTCATTAGTCCGTCAACTCGTCAAACTGAGTGGCGGCAGGCTTGGTGTCACGTCGAAAGTTGGTGAAGGCTCAACGTTTTGGGTCGAGTGAGTCGGTATTGGTCAGATTCTGATCGCCTCTATTGTCTCCACACCTCTGATCTAAACACTCATCTTCTCTCTCAGGTTACCTTTTCAAGTGGGCGCTGCTGCCTTGGTCGCACCGGTCGACGACTTTATCACGCCGGTCAAACTTGAAGCTCGACCTCACTCGTGGCCCATCGAATTCCCTCCGCCGACGCCACCCAGCTCGCACATGGAGTCGGCGCCGCAGTCCAATTTTACCACGATTTCTCCAACCTCGCCTCACGAGAAGCCGGCGTACAGTTTGGCAGCGTCAACCAGCGACGGATCGGATGCGATCGAGATGATCGCCCCGTCGGAGAAGGAGAAGGTGAAGAGTGGCGCGAGCGAGGTCCCACAGCTTGCGATATCGCCTCCGGCTGTGACGCCGATACCGACTCCATCCACTGCGACGAGTTCGTCGCCTGCGTTCAAGTGCCTGTCTGGTACATCCCCGCCGCTGCCGACGCAGGCAGCCATCTCTATCCCTGCGGTCGTGCCCATGCCCAGTCCCTTGTCCCTCCTCTCCATTACGAGAACTCCTGCGACGCCCCCGCTCGAGTTTCAGGATGGGCCAATCCGGGTGCTCGTCGTCGACGATGACGCACTGACGCGTAAGCTGATGACACGAATGATCGAACGAGGCGGCTCGCTGGTATCGACCGCGAACGATGGCGAACAAGCGCTGGAATTGATCCTCGCTCGGAAGGAGTCAGACCCGGTCGGGGTGCATGTCTACAACTATGACGTCATCTTCCTCGACAATCAAATGCCGAAGCAGACGGGCCTCGAAGTCGTGCAGGCGCTCCGGACATTGGGCCGTGAAGACCTCGTGGTCGGGGTGACAGCGAACGCGATGCAGTACGACCAAGACGAGTATCGGTCACGGGGTGCCGACGAGGTCCTGACCAAGCCCGTCGCCGAAGCGTCGCTACGCAATTACTGTGCCTTTGCCGACGTTCGGCGGAAGCAACGAAGGGAGGAGGTCGCTGCTACGAGCTCGAGCGCCGCTTCGGAGCCGCTTACCCCGCCGCAACGACCGCCGCTCACTCATTTCCTGATCTCGCGCGATTCGTCTCGGAGCATTCCTAGAGCTCCGTAGGATCGTCATTCGGATCAAATTATATATTACACTATGCGTTCGTCTCGGGGTTTTGTGGGTTGGATGGATTTCGGTTCGTTCCGCGCGTCAAGACGGGAGGACGGAGCGGCCGAAGTCCTCGTTTTGCGGGCACCCGTCCCCGCAATGCGTCGCGGGTCGGTCGGGTCGTGTCTTGGGGCTTCAAATTTGTCAGGTTGTACCGAGGGTATCATATCATGGGGGTGGTGCACGCTATCTGTTCTCCCTTATTGTGTATGTGGGTTTCGCGGCATTTCTGTCTGTATCTTGCCGTGTGCGCTAGAGCGCTCGTGGGATGTTCGTTTTCTGGGCAGTCTTGGGACTAGGATCTGCAGTTGCATTCTGGAATGCACATATTCGTCATCGGCAAATTTGGATGTTGTGGAACGCGCGCAGACTTCTGTTCCTCGGTCCCGCCGAGTGACATCGAGCTCGATCTGAACGACGGCATGCCATCAATGTAAGGGGATGCCTTACAGAACAGCCCCATAAGTAGCCTCTGAGTAGCTAGAACTGTCGAGTTCTAGTTACGACTTGCTTTTAGCCTAGCGGTCAAGAACGACAGAGTGTATTTTATGCACATCAGAGGCGCATACCTTACACCCGCGCCGTTGGCTTTGGGGTCGTCTGTTTTTCCGTCTTGGCAGCGACTTGTCTCCTATCTATGTTACCCGTCTCGGGTGTCATCGCTTTTATTATCCGCTCTCGTTGAATGTGTTTTTTGTCTTAGGTCTGTCTTAGTTATCCATGTGCAATCTGACCAAGCGATGGCGTCGTCAGACGTCAGCGGTCTCTCCTCCAGGCGATCTTCCGTGTCGTTCGAGCACATGCGAGACTGCTGCGCCATGCTCTTAAGCACGGGTCGGCGAGCGTTGTACCTCAGGATTGACATGTTGGGCTATTTCCACATAAGTTGGCCTTTCTGATCGGGAGTAGGAAGCAACACAGATGCAAGGTGGCGAGACGGGTGCCCTGCGCACGATCCCCACCCACCTCGTGGCGCCTTTGTCTCAGATGCGACCCCTGTCGCCTAACGCACGTTCCCCTCCGAGACTGTCAGACAGCCGCAGGCGGGCAATTCGTCGGGTAATCAATACCTTACGCTCTCCTCGTCCTTCCACACTAGAGAGTCATTGTCTCACAGGTCAGGCCATGTCTTTGAGCTGGCAATGTCACACGTTCAGGCCCCCACCTGCCTCGCGACGATCTTTCCGCCAACGTCGTTGAACAAAAGCAGACGCCTTTGGATTTCCTTACTGTTTCACTCTCTCTACCATCTCTGTCCCGTCCGTGTACTCAGACTGCTGCTTCGTCCACCTCCCATCCTTCCAACCGGACCCATTCTCACCAACTCGCATCCGTCAGGTTTCACGCGATGCGTTCCCTCACCTTTTATCTCTCGGCGTCGACCGCCTTAAGTCTCCTGTCCGCGCCTCTCATCTTCGCGCGTCATCCTATCTCACACCTTGAACATCCGCCCGCGACTGCGCAGACTCCGGTGGTCAAACATGTGCTGAAGGAGGGGATGTTGCTTCGTCGTGCTCCGGTGCGTTCGCATTCGTGTCGAGGGAGGAAAAGACATGATAGGCGGGATGGCCCTGGGCATGATGATGAGCATGGGCATGGGCACGGGCATGGGCATGGGCATGGATGTGATCCGCATCCCAAGCGTAACCACAAGGAGACTGATCACAAACATCGTCACAAGGGAGACAAGACCAAGTCCAGGAATGATCATCGTCACCACCACCACCGCCCCAACCGTGGGCACGACGCTAGTTCCACGTCCTCGTCGTCGCAACATCCCGATACTCACACCCACAAGAAGCACGTTCAGAAGCCCGACAAAGTGCACGGCTCCGTTCCCGACCCTACGACCGGCTCCGGCGAGAAAGGGAAATCCGGTACCCATGATCCTCAAGGTAAACAGCCGCAACCTGTTGGATCGACGACGCCCACTCCTGGTGGTGGTGGAAGTGGGAGTGGGGATCCACCTAAGGGAAAGGACCCGTCTAAGAAGGACGGCTCTCCTAAGAAAAAGGAGGACACGCCTCCTACGACGCCGAAGCTGACGCCGGGCCCTGGGAAGGGTAGGAAGATTACGAGTTATACGGGAGCGATGGTGAGTTCTTTAACACTTCCGTTGATCGGACGCGTGGATGGCCGGGGAGAAACAGTTACTGATTAGTTGTTTGGGATGTTGGTGTGCAACAGCAAGGAAATGCTACTTTCTATGCAGTCGATGACGATGGGAGGGGCAACTGCTTGTTGCCTGTTCGCACGGATAGGGTACCTTCGACCCTGGCCTCCTATCAAATTAACCCAATCACATGCTCAAGCTAACTCAACTCTTCTTGTGCGTTCTAATCCTCTCAGATGTTTGCGGCGATCAACAATGATGGATGGGCCGGTTCTGCGCAATGCGGGATGTGCGTTCGTGTCGAGACGTTGGATGGAAGCCGTAGTACGACGGTGATGATCACGAACCGAGTAAGATTTCGACCCCGACCCCAGTCCCCATTTTCCCCATTTTCCCGCGCTCTCACACTGATCCTCAAGCTCATCTCGCTACCAGGAACCCGTGGACGACAACGGCGCCCTCGATCTCTCCGAAGCAGCCTTCACAGCTTTGGCCGAAAGGAAAGTCGGGAGGTTGTTGGTCAATTGGACGCCTCTTGATTGCCACGAGGCGGGATTGGTGTCGGGCAAGCCTTCGGTCGTTTGGTGAGTTGGTATTTCGACTCGTCGATGGAGGGTGGAGAGATCTGAAAGTGGTGGCTCATTATTTTGTGGTGATACATGTGCATAGGAAAACTGGTTCCACTAAAGATTGGTTCGCGGTCCAGGTTCGCGAATCCGCCCTCCCTCTAGCCCAAGTCTCCATCCGCGTCACCGCTCCCGCCAACACCACGTCCACCCCATCGGCCCCGGACTCTCCCTCCTGGATTCCACTCCATCGAACGGACTACAACTTCTGGCTCGCCGAACATGGTCTTGAGGATGGTAAAGGAGGGAAAAGTGAAGGACCTTTTGATCTGTTGGTCGAATATCAGGATGGGTCGAAGATCGTTTTGCCTGCGGTCAAGTTGAACAGCGAGGTGTTGAAGCAGGGTTGATGAGTCAGGAAGAACTTGCTGGTCTTTGGTGACTTGTTTGTTTTGTGGTTTGTGCTGCGACTTCATGTTGCCGGATCCGTTCGTGTTCATATGTGTCTACGCCCCGTATCGACGTCGTTGACTGGTAGATCCAGTCCCACGGTTTACGCGTCCAGGCGTTGCATGCTTTTCTGCAATCCAGCCCGACACGAGCGCGCCAGGAGCGTGGCTCCGTATCAGTCGTTCTTTACACTCCAATTGCAGCACTGAGCCTACGAGCCCAAACTTCTTCCCATCCCCGTCCAACTCCTGCGCACCCACGTGGCGAAAGCACCTACGCCCGCCAACCCATCGGACTTGTCCCAGATCCGATCTAGAAAATCGTAGGTTTCTAGTGTACGTTGGGAGGGGTCGAGGCCTTGTAGTTGGGGGGAAAGTTGATGCAGTTCCGAAAGGCCGTAGAGGGTTCCGAGGGAGGCTCGGACCGAATACCACTCGAGCTGTAGGACGAGAAAGTTTGATCAGGATGTTGGGGGTTTCGTTGCTATACGTAGGCTGGATGGTATTCACCCCTTGTGATTCGTCGCCGGAGGCTGCGGCCAAGTCGTGGGCTATGCGTGCGACGTGTTCAAAGTGGGGCAAGGGGGAAGGGAAGGGGAGGAGAGCGGAGGGGGAGGACAGTGGGGTCGAGGTTGGGGCGCCGAGCAGGGCCAGGGCCTATTGGATGGAAAAGTGTCAGTGCCCGGTGTGTTCTTACAGCACGAGGTGATGCAAAGAGCTCACCTCCACCAGTTGATCGACCACGGGCTCGTTGTACTTGATCCTGTGCCTCAGGCCCAGCTTGACCAACTGATCCTGGTCCGCCTTCCCTCGGCCGACTGTGAGCTGTTCGACCATCTCCGTCCTGCCTTGCTCCAACCAAGCCTGGACCAAAGCCTTCAAGGGTCCTACTCCGATCGTAGGCTGGGCGTCTGCATCGATCGCATCAAAGTCGTCCAGTCGTGATCGAGAAGTCGAGGCCGTTCCAGATTGTGCTTGCGCTCGTGCGTCTCGAATCAGTTGTTCCCTTGTCAAGGCCTTGCGTGGGGAAGCGGTTCCGCTCGGATGTCGTCGTGTAGAAGGGTGGGAACGGGGTGGTGGGGAAGGGAAGAGGGCGTTCAGAGTCGAAAGGGAGAGGGGCGAGGAAGGGGAGGAAGGGGAGGAAGGGGAGGAAGGGGAGGGAACAGCTTGGGAAGCGAGTTGTAGTGTGTGGAGGGAGAAGCCGTGGCGTGGAATGAGAGGCAGCGCGTGGCGTAGGAGGGTCGAGGTGTAGTGTGGTGCCGAGGCCATGATGCGGGGGGCGTGGGCGTGGGCGTGGGCGGGGGGGTCCGAGTTTGGAGCAGAGAGACCGAGAGACGGGCGTGGCGAATCGGGTTAGGGGTAGTTAATACGGACCTTGTCGGGCCATTACAAATTCCTTGGACCTCTTTATAAGTCGGTCATTGAATGATGGAACGACTGGGCAAGACTGGGCAAGACTGGGCAGACGGCACGCGCGACTCTCGCTGCTGATCGGCTCGTGTTCTCTCGTGTTGCACCCCTTCTCTCCCCTTCTCGTCGCCGTATCAGCACAAGGAAGAGGGGTGCGATGACCACCCTCCGACGACCTGCTGCACCTGCTGCACCGGCCAGGTCACGAACGCCTGCGACTGCCTCGTCGTCGACTGCCGTCTCGGCCACCCGTCGTTCAACCTTGGCGGCGCGTGCGACGCCGACGCCGACCCCAACAGCCGCCGCACAGGATGACGGGCAACAGCTTTCGCGGAGGATGGATACCACGTTGGATCTGGGAGAGCACAACAAGTCCAAGCCCTCGGCGAAAGTCAGCTCGAGGAAGTTGTGGCCGCAGCAACAGTCGCGTATCAGGACAGCCGCGTCGACCTCCACTTCGGCAGCGAGCTCGAGTGCCAGGCCCAAGCAGGGCACTACCACCAGCTCGAATTCACCAAAACAAGATCCCACACCGCCGCCAGAACGAGCGCGACAGGCGATGAAGACGATCAACTCCTCGCTGCAGGCCATCTCGGCACTGCTCAAAACTCGCGCCTCGGCGCCAACGATGGCCGCCAAGACCACCTCCAAAACAAGCTCGTCCTCGTCCTCGTCCTCATCGGCCTCTAGTTCCTCTCGACCCGCCTCGACAACGCCCCCTCCGGAGATCATCTCTCTCGCCAAGACCTGTACCCAAGCGTTGAACGAACTGCGAACACTCATCACTCAAGGCAAGATCGACAAGAACCTCGTCGAGATTGAAAAAGCCGCCATCAGTTTCGTCGCCGGACTCGTCGAGACAGAACACGTGAGAATCGGTTACCCATTTCTGCAATCTATTTCCTGCGCATGAGTTTCCTGACGACTGTCTCGATCCGCACAGTATCGGCTCGCTTTGGCCGAATTGGAACGCATCAAGACCAGTTTGCTCCGAGTGTCGAACCCAGATTTCAGCTCGAATGGGGGTGCCGTCTCCGAGTCATCCGCATCGACCAAGACTCAAACACCGTGGTCCTCGTACGCTCACTTGCTGTGCATCCCCTTACCTTCTAGCCCAACTTCCCCACACTGGACCCCAGCCGAGATCGCCACTCTCGTCCTCTCTGTACAGCAATACGCTCTCGGATCCCTGTTCCGTAACCCCGATTTCGACCCCAAACTACGTGCAACTCTCGTGGCGAAGGTGTTGACCTCCCACATGGGTGCACCGATCGAATGGCGCGATTGGTGGGCCAGGTCCAGGGTTGAGATCGCCGATGATGAGGGTGGTGCTGCTGCCGAGGTGGTGGCGGTGGAGAAGAAGATGGACGCGTTGATGACGAGCATGTTTGGTTCGCTCATCAAAGGATGTGTAGGCCTGGATGGGGACGTTGGTGAGTCGCGCGCAAGCTCGAGATCAAAGGGCTCATTGAAAACGATTTCTGACCGAATACCTCTCCTCTACAGATATCAACGACCTCTTGACGATTCGCTCTCGAGCGCTCTTGCTCTACTCTACCACTTCGACCATCTCTTCCTCCCCTGAAAAACTTCAAGCACTCCTCGACCAATGTCGCAAGAACCTCCTCCTCTTCGGTCGACAAGCCGAAGCCCAGTCCCTCTCCGCAGCAAGCATCAACGGACCCGTTCAACGCGTGTTCCAAGAAACGATCGAAGCTATATCTTCGCGACATCGTGGAATCGAGTTCCATGGGACTCAATGGATGAACTTGTGTCAAGTCATTCTGAGGATCGCGCAACGTGCGGAGGATGGGTTGGCTATCGAGAGGGTCAGGTTGTTGTTGGAATCGGAGGAGGACGAGGGAGGCGTTCCGGTGGAGAAACAGGTTGATCGACTTGTCGTTAAATTGATGGGGTCGTTGTCGGGCTTGCAAGTGGGGAGGGAGAAGCAAAAGGGCAAGGAGAGAGAAGAGGACGGGCTCCATAGGGCGCTGATTTATGTTCAGGCTTTGGGGAAGTTGAGAGTCAAGGAGGGGTTGGATAAGGAGAGTGTGAGTAAGGTCGACTCGATTTTGGAGAAGGTCAGGTCCTGGGTCGTCAAGGAGGTCAAAGGGGATCAGAGGCTCGATATGCTCGTCATCCAGGAGGGCAAACAACCGAGGCCCAAGGCCGAGGACGAGGTCTTGCTGCGCAAATTATGCGAGACGTTGGCGCAACATGGCGAAGCGGTGTCGACGAGTGGAGCGCAGCGCGGGGAGCAGAGTCGTCTTATTTCGGGCACCGTCGAAGTGCTCACCGTCCTCGCCTATTCAACGCTCGTCGTTGACGATCGCTCAACCTACACCCCTTGCTTCGACCATCTCGAACGATGCCTAGCCGTCCTCGGTCTCTCCGTTGAATCTGAAGGTGGGATTAAGATCGAGCCAGCCCAACTCGGTCAAGCTTACTGGATCCGATCCCTCGCTTCGGCTTATTACAACCTCTCCGGTCTCTTGTATAACGCCGGCAAACCCGAGTCGACGACGCGATTCGTTCAGCGTGCTTGCGAGATCACGCGTGCCGTATTGACGATGTCGTCTTCAACTGTGGAAGACGCTCTTGTCGAGGAAATGGATGCGTTAACCCTTGCCTCGATGGATTCGGAAGGCTCGTCACGCACAAAGATGGAGCGCATGGAACTGCAAGCTGATTGTTGGAAATACGCAACCAAGCGCTTCGAACTCTTGGCTTTGGCCCATCATTCGATCGGGGAACAGAAGGCGGCGTTGCAAGCTTATGTCGATGCATTGAGCTTCCTACCCGTCGAGAGTCGGGATGCACTAGGTGCTGCATTATCGGTGTCGGATCTGCTCAAGCAGAGAGGGTCGATGACGACGGTCAAGCTTGTGCAGAGGATCACGAAGTTGGCGACGTTCGACTTGTTGTTGCATGGCGATCAGGTCTCGCTTTTAGAGATGTTGAAGGCGAGCGGGTTCGACGCGAGGACAAGAGGCATGGTGCTGGAGGTGCAAGTGCACACGTTGGAAGCGGCCATGGACAAGCTCGAGGCGGGGAACGCGATCGGTGCGCTCGTGCAGGATTTGTTGGAGCTGTATGACGAGCATGAATTTCCAATCAGGAGAGCTAGGTGCGTTCATTGCCTGATCCCATTCCCCGATCGTATTCGCTGAATGCAATTCGGACTTGCGCGCATAGGATCTTGCTGCGGCGAATGCAAGGTTTGTGCGCGCGCGGCGCGGTGCAGAAAGACCTTTCGGCGGCGATCGTGGCAGCTGAGATTGATGCGCTCTGTTCTACTTCGGTAAGACGGGCTTGTCAGTTTTGTCGTGATCAAGACTTGCTGACGTGTTGTCATGCCATCCAGCAGACACTAGGCCAGGACGCGACACTCGCCTCTTACAAATCGCACTACCTCGCCACCTCCCACCTTTGGCTCGCTTTCCATGCCCATCAAGCGCGTCTCCCTTCAGCCGCTCTTGTCGACGAAGCTCGGGCAGCGATGGGTCTCTTTCGAAATATTTTGGATGCCGATTCGAATGAGCTCAGGACGTCAACGAGTCGGACACCCAAGAAGACGACGACGCCGAAGCTCAAGACACCTTCGCCTGCTGCTGCGACGGTCAAGACGGGTCGAGTGACGACGGCGACGAGGAAGAGGGTGTTGACTTCGACTGCTGTACGGGCAACGGCAACGAAGTCGAGCGCGGCTACGGCTCTCAAGACTCCGAGGACTGTTAGGAGTCGAATGGCGGTTGCTGAACAGATCACACCACCGCGACAACCTCTCGTCGATTTGACGAATGACAAAGCCCATTCAGCAACGACGCCGAAATCCAAGCGCGCGCCGGCGGTGGATGCAGAAATGTTTGAAGACGTCGATCGATGCTACGACTTGATCGAGACGATGGCGAGTTTGCTCGGCACATTGGGGCATGCCGTACTTCGGATTGGGTACCTCAAGCTTTTGCGTCGCATGGCGCCTAAGCGAACGAGAGGGACGGACGAAGCTTATGTCGCATCTTCCATCCATCTCGCCCGAGAACTCGCCAAGATTGGAAACTCGTCTCGTGCTGCGACGCTGTTCGCTCAAGCTGAAGCTTGTATTCACCAAGCTTGCACGTCGGGTGCGGCGATCTCGTTGGCTCTTCAAGTCGAGCATCACCTTCTTCATGCCGAGCTCCTCGCTCTTACCGGTCAACACGAACGATCTTCTCAATCGTATACGCAGGCGCTCAAACTCACAAAAGGCCTCGATGACGAAGACGCCGTAGGTTCAACTTCGGCCCGGATCGTTCAGCGCACGCTTTTGCTCCAACGCGTCGCCCTCGCTTCGTCCGTTTGTTCGACGATGTTGCAACGCCATGGAGATCTGGGGAGGTGTCTTGCCCCCGCTTTGCAAGCGATGCGATTGCTCAACCGCGCTCTTGCGAATATCACTCGACTTTCGACGATCGAATCGACGAACAAGGATGAATCGGCGTTCGTCTCGGACCGAACGGATCCCAACGCCCCCTTGCCTGAGCACCCAGCCCAAACGAAGCAGTACTCCGTCTCGACCGCCGGCCCTTACGCGAGCGTGCTCTACAGCATCGCGGATGGGTTAGGCTCTGCGATCCTCCGTGTCGCGAGCCTATATTGGATCCGAGGCACCCCGAAATCAGCCGAGTACTTCGCCGGTCACGCCCTTGACATCGCAACACAGTACGGTGCGAACCTCCCGATGATGCGCGCGATCTTATTGAGGTGTGAAGTACGAATGCATGCGGGGAACTTGGAAGGAGCCGAGGAGGACCTTCAAGCGATCGATTTGGAGAACGCGGCGAACGATTCGAGCGAGTTAATTGAATACCATCGGCTGTGCGCGGCGTTACATATGAGAAGGAGGATGATTCAGGCTGCGAAGGACGATCATGCCGAGGCGCAGAGTGCTTTGGAAGGGTTTGCACAGAGCACCAATCAGAATGAGGCGGGGGGAAGGTGAGGGGTCGTTGACAAGGCTCGTCTGGCGTGGGTCTGGCATGAGCTGATGTATGTCCAATTTAACCTCTCACAGTCCGATCAAAGTGGGAACGCCGAAGAGTGTTTCGATCAAGGATCTGTCGCCTTTTGCGCTTCGTCTTGGCGCGAAAGGGCATTCACCTTCGCACGTATCGCCATCCCAGCGTATGGGCCAATCATCGGACCGCATACTCCCAGCGGTTCACTCTCGACTCCTTCGGATGCACATCGGTCTACTCCGACTCGAGAGGAAACAGGAGGAATGCCAAGATGTTCTCCGACGATTGGGCGAACTCCCTTCGCTGGAGGAGGACAAGGCCGAGGAGTTGAGACTGCATGTCATGATTGAGATGCAGGATCTGTTGCTCAAGTTTAGTACGGATGCGGTGTTGGGGATGGTACCTGAATCTGGTCCGTTTTAAAGTGGGACTAGTTGGCTCTACCGAGTTGGGCTGACGTGTCGGTGCCTTTGTTTGACAGTTCTCTCAATGCCTTCGCTCGCTTCGTCCGCGGCGGTCACCTCGAGCAAGACCGCCTCGCCGACCAAAGCGAGCCCCAGTCATCTCCACAACCTACGCGAGATCGAGACGCTGCTCCAGCGTGCCATCACGATGAGCGTCTCCCGTGTACGACCCGCGGTCCTGCGCGAGCTGTCTTTGCTCAGCGTTTCGTTGCGCGCTTTGCTGTCCAGTATCGGGAGGGCGGACAAGAAGGTCGCGGAAGGGACTGCGCATCTTTTGGACCTCGGTCTCGCCGTTACACTTCGACGGGACATGCTCGAAGCGATCGACTACAGGATCGCGAACCTCTCCCGCGTCGACGACCTGAAGTGGCCTCAGATTGAGCCCGTCCCTTCTCACGAGCAAGCCTCGGCCGTGGCAAGCTTGCTCACCCTGCGCGAAAGGTATCGATCCGAAACGATCGAACCTGTCTTAACCGACCCTTCGATCAACTCTATTCTGCCCCCCCGATGGCAAACCGTATCGATCCATCTCTCCGCCGAACGCGATGCGCTCATCCTCGTACACCACCAAGCGAATCGACAACCCCTCGTGTTCAGACTCCCTCTCGATCGCATCACTCGAAGAGAAGACGATGAGGAAGATGAGGGACTATCGTACGCCCAAGCCTCGGCGGAGTTGGCGGATATCGTGGAGAGAAGTAATTCGGGGGCTCAGAATGCGAAGAATGTGGAGGGGAAGGAGGCGAGGATCGCTTGGTGGGCGGAGAGAAAGGAGTTGGATGCGAGGTTGAAGGGGTTACTGCAGTCGATGGAGGATTCGTGGCTGGGTGCTTTTAAGGTTAGTAGGCAGCAGGTTGAGAATTTGGTTGAGCAACCTACTGACGGCCATGTGTCCACACTGTAGTGCATCTTCTCCGACACGCAAGACTTCGGCGCGGATGCGCTAAACACATTCAAAGGCCGAATCGAGCGCATCGTCAAGCGCAGCCTCATCCGTGCGACCCCGAACGACAAACGGGCCGCGCGCTTCCAGCTCGACGATGGCATCATCAAATGTATAGCTGCCCTATCCCCCAAAGCGCGAGACGAAGATCTCGAAGATCTGTATCATTTCATCATGGAGTCGTTCCAATTGTCCGGTGTCCCCGTCGCGTGCGACGAGATGGACGTTGATCAGGTCGTCATTGATTTCCGATCTGCGCTCGAAGAGCTGCACAAAAATGAGCCGACTCCGACTCCGACTTCGACGTCGACGACATCGGACCCGAAGCGTCATCTCGTGTTGATTCTGGATAAGAGTGTGCAAGGCTTCCCTTGGGAGTCCCTTCCTTGCTTACAAGGCATCTCGATCTCGCGCCTGCCCTCGCTCGCTTTCTTGCGTGATCGACTCGAACTGGCTCGATCTCGATCCGACGACGGATCGCACGAGTATATCGTCGATCCGAGGCGCACATCGTACGTCGTCAACCCCGGAGGAGATCTCAAGAACACTCAAGCGAGATTCGAACCTTGGCTTGAGACCAAAGCGGCGGAGGGGTGGAAGGGTGTCGTTGGTCGTGCACCGAGCGAGGAGGAGATGAAGAGCTCGCTCGCGTCACAAGAGCTCGTCTTGTACGTCGCGACATATCGGCTCAGTTTGTCAACGATCACTAAAATTGCACCTTTTTTTCCGAATGTACAGATACTTTGGTCACGGTGGTGCGGAGCAATACGTTCGCTCGCAGTCGATCCGACATCTACCTCGTTGCGCCGTCACAATGCTTTGGGGTTGCTCGTCTGGCGTGCTTCGCGATCAAGGCGAGTTCGATCCTTATGGCACGCCCTATCACTACATGATTGCTGGATGGTGAGTGAGAGCTTTTTGACACGATTTTCTTACGCTTCACTGACGCGGCGATCTTCTTCATCAGTCCCTCGCTCGTTGCCAACCTCTGGGATGTGACGGACAAAGACATCGACACCCTCACCGAGAACGTCTTCAAGCTCGTCGGACTTCACACGGACGAAGCGACCAAGTCCAAGAATGACAAGACGACCACCAAGCTTAGTCTCTCGCAAGCGATCGCTCAATCTCGTCAAGTTTGTAATTTGCGGTATCTGTACGCATTTCCGCTATTCTTGGTTCCGTGTACTGGCGAACGAAAACTGATCTCACTACTTTTGTGATCCACAGTAATGGAGCGGCGGTCGTCAACTACGGCTTACCCGTTTGGTTCTCCCAATAGTAGGATTTCGATCGAATCTTTCATATTTTTATGTTGTATTCACCAAGCAGACTCTTGGAAAGGACGCGTACATTCGCCGTTGCATCAAGGAATTCCGCACTACCTCAAGAAGAACTCGTCAGGACTGAACCTGCACGGCTATCGACTCCTCTAAGCCCTGTTGCTGCACGGTCTCTTCCTTTGGTTCCCCTAAGATCTCCATAATCTCCTTCCCCGCCTCCCCGACGGGTCCCATCCCCGATTGAACGACCTCTCTCAACCCCTCTTTCAAACCCGCTTGTCGTCTGACCACATCCTCCAACTGTTCCCTGGGTAACAACAACAAAGCCTTGAAACTGCCCGGTTGGACGACTTTGGCTAAACGGATGAAGCCTTCCCAAACGGGTGGGGATTGCCAGACTTGTTTATTGATGAGTTTGACTAGGAGGGTGGAGGAGATGAAGGGGGATAGGGCGGATTTGTAGGTCGACACGGCTTGGATGACCGTACGCAGGAAAAGGGTGGGTATGGTGGAGAAGCTGTCGAGGGTGTATTGCATGAAGGAGGAGAGGATTTCAGGGCGGAAGGCGTCCGTCATGGAAAAGCAGATTGAGATGGCTGTGGGGAATGAAATCTGGTCTGAGCAACTTATTCTTCACAAAGTGAGGGACACGCAAAGCCTCCCAAGGTGTGACTTACCTTCGATCGCAGGTTTAATCCCACTGATCGCATCGCTCTGATGCAACACCGACATCAACTCGACGGCCGTCAAGAGCTTGATCTTGCTCCTACTTGCCATCGCGCCTTTCTCTGAAGGCGGTGCGGTAGCAGCGAGGAAGACGGATCGGATCAAGGCTTTCCGCTCAGGCGTACAGTCCAGTAAAGAAATGATGCGAGGGATGTATGCCTTAAGTTCATCCTGAGCGTTTTTTAAAGCACCTCCAAGGTCAGTTGGGTGGTGCACGGCACCTTGATTCGGTCCCTCAAACGCACCTTGTCACATTCGGAAACAATCATGACGTAGAACTGCGGGTCCAGCACCCTCTCTTTGGCAATCTTCTTCAAACTCTGAATGATGCCCGACGGCAACCGAGGCAACTTCTCCCCGAGTAGATTCAGCACACGTAACAAGAGTGCATCCGAGCCCTCGGGAGCGAGGTCGATGGCTTTGAGCAGTTCGGGGTTGGTGATGCCTAAGGACTTGATGAGTGGTGTGATGAGGGACAGGATGTGTTCTTGGGCCATCGGTTGGAGTGTCGCGAAGGCGGTGAAGAGTCTGTACCATGCCGCCCGTCATCCTGATCATTAGTCATCTTCATCAACTGCTGATCCTCGCGATGAAGCTGCACGTACTGTTTAAGCAAATGCGGGTGCTTATGACACAGCGCAAAGAGCAACTCGACATGTCTCACGACATCCTCTCGACTCTCCGGCGGGTCCAAACGATCGACGACCCGAGCATCCTTGACGAGCGCATAGGCGAAAACGGGCTTTTGTTCTTCCGGTGGTGGTGTCACCTCCATCGCCATATCGACTTCACCATCTTCTGCACCATCCTCCTTCTTAGACTCTTCTGATTTTGTCAGAGGTGCGACTTCCATCCGGGAGATGAGAGAGAGGGCAAAATCAATGATGGTCGGGGACAGCGCGGCCGAATCGGGGACCCATTTCTTGACCGTGTTGATCGCCGCGTTACGAGTAGGTTTGTCTGGGCAATTTAGTGCACCGTACGACATTTAGAATTCCAATTAGGTTTCCAATCATCATAGATGGCACTTCAATGTGAAACTGACCTTTATGGGTCGTCAACGATAACAAGACATCCACAGCCGCAGGTCGAAATGGTGGCCGAAGCACGGCCAATTCTCTCAGCGCCGAGAAGCCCAATTGCACCCTGCTCACCGATCACAAGACAAAGTCAGCCATGAAACCTGGAGCCTCGTGCGATGAGATATCATACTCACTGTTCCTTCTTCATACACATTTGCCCCAATTTCTCCACCTCGTCGACGGGCAAGTCGGGCAAGTCGATGACGAACTGGGTGAAGCCTCGATCCCGATTCGAGCTCTTGGACATGATGTGCGCCAAGAGCTTGCGTAACCAAATGTCATAGGTCCGTTCCTGTTCAAATTTCGACGACGGTCAGCCTCGATGATCTTGAGGCAGAAGAGAAAGACGAGATGTTCACCGACCTTATGCCCTTCCCCTCGTTCCTTCCTCCCCTCCTTAGTCCGCATCGCCATCTTCTCCGCGAACCATTCCTCATTCAACCACTTCCTCGCAAACTCCATCCTATTCCTCGGATCCTCCTTCACGAACTCCAACATCTCCTCCCTCATTCTATCCCCCAAAGCACCTCCCCCCTCCCCCTCCTCCTCCCCGATCCCCCTCGTCACCAACCTCGCCACCAGACTGATCCAAAGCTCGTCGCCTCCCTCCGCACCGATCTGACATAACCTTCTGACACCCCTCACTAAGTACTCGTCCTTTTCAAGCGGTGTCATCTCACTGCTCGTCATCAATTCCTTCATCGTCGTTGAAGTCAATGCCGAGTCGAATTCAACGACGGGCAAAGCTCTATCATCCTCGTCCTCATCGTCCCCTTCGTCCTCGTCGTCACTCCCCTCATCTCGAGAAGCTCTGATCTCATCCTTCGTCCGTGTGGGTACTGTAGTTTCGGGCTCGTCGGTCTTGAGTACAAGTTCGTCGTCACCCAGGTCGATCTTCAATGGGTCGTAGACTTCGTAGCGCGCTCGCCCTTTGCCGATGACTCGAGCTCCATCTTTGGTTTCCACTTCCTCGGTCGGTAATGTCGACGTCGAAGCTACGGCCGAGGCTTGAGATAGCCGTGCTTTAGCGGCCTGCCCACCAGATATCCGATATCTTCAGTCGCGATCATCGTCAAGGGTAAAACCTTTCCGTGAACCCACCTCGATCCCTCTCGCCAAGACCGCCGCATCTACCTGCTGCATCGTCGCGACCAGAAAATCGATGCACACATTCAACGGCAAGATACTCGCATCAAACTGCGCCAACGCGTTCGGTGTGCCATCCGTGGTCGTGAAAACCTCTCTCAAATTGATGAGCGCCGTCGTCGACGTTGACGGACCCGCTTCGGCGTTCGGCGAGTCGGTCCTTCTCCTTTTCGTCGCTGCGGCGATGGAGGCTTCCGTCTCTTGGAGTTGTCGCTTACGCGCTTGTTCGAGGAGGAGTTTCTCTTGTTGTTGACGCGCCTCGAGAGCGGCGGCGTCCATTCGTACTGCTTGGCGTTGGAGAAAGTCGGTGACTTGGGAGGCGAAAGGGGCGATCGTGTTCGTCCTGGATGAATACGAGATGGTCAACGAACTGGGAAAGGTGACCCCACCCAAAAAGATGCATACTCACTTGAGCAAATGGGTCAACGACGTTCTGACGATCTTTTCCGTACTCCTGATCTGCGTAGGCGTCACCTTCCCCACCAAAGCCGTCGGGACCCAATGCGTTAAAGCGGTCACTACCAACCTCGCGAAACTGGTTCTGGACTTGACCAAGACGGTCAGGGTTGAAACGAGGGCCGAAACGAGGTCCGAGTCGTCCGAGGTGAAGAGGGTCGTGATGGCTTCTTCGAACAACTTGTTCGCCTCGTCTTCGAGTTGGACGGGTTTGAGGAACGCGTGGTTCGGGTTGCACATGAGCAAGTTGGGTTCTTGGACGGTTCGCTGGAGCTGTTTGGAGTCGAGCCAAGAAGGAATAAGCCAATGTCGCCACCTGCCTGTGATCTGACGGCACTGACCCTCGGATCCGAAGTCGCTTTGGTCTGAGTCTGGATGATCCTCTGCAAGACCTTGACGGCAGCGACCTTTCCTCCGGTCTTGCCCTTCTGGGTATCCCTCCACATCTCCAACGTGATCATCTTGAGGCCATTGACGGTCATCCAAGTCTGCTGGTCGTTACCCGAGCATCTGGAGAAGCGGAGGGGTATTCATAATCGACGCCTGAGTGCCCAGAGCCCCAGATGGCGCACTTACGCGTATTTGAACAAGAGTGGGTATATCGACGCAAAGCATTGCAGCCCAATCTTTTGGATCGACGTATCGCGAGCATAGGTCATGGTCGTCTTGATCGCGGGCAGCGCCAGCAGCGACACTGTGCGATGCTTGTCCGGGGGAAATCAGCGCGGGCGTCGCGCAGGAAGGCCACGACTTTGCCCACCCAGGAACGCACGGTTTATCCTGGTGTCGACCGCGAGCACATTCAAGGTGAGCGCGTATCGCACGACTTGTGTGGCCCAGTTGAACAGCCGCGTCGAGCGAGGGTCGGTGACCGAACGAAGTACGGCTGGCCAGATGCCCTGAGAAAGAATCGTGGCGTGTGAGTGTGAAGTGGAGGTAGTTCTGCAGTGGAGGAGTACACCCACGGGTATGAGAGCCGGCTGTAGCTTGATCAAGGCGGTCAGTTGGTCGAGGGTTTGATCGGTGCCGAGCTCATCGTCGACGGTGCTCGCACTCGTCGCGCGGTTCAACAGCGCACTCGCTTCGGCGTGACTCATTGAGTGATTTGGCTCGAGAGCGGCCTGCCTCGATCCAAGTCGCGAGTGCGGTGTAGTCCTTTGTGGCGCGACTGAGGCGGTGCAAGAGCTCGACTCGGCGTGAGCGAGTGGGGGGGGGGGGGGGGGTTTGGGAGCAACAGTGAAGCTGAAGCTGCGGGTCGGGAGGTCCGCGCCTCCGAATTCGTCACTATCACTCGCTTCGCTCACTTTGTAATGCGGCAGGGGCAGTTCTGTTATGTTCTATACTAGGGCTCGTGGTGTTCTATTTCTGGGCAGCGCCCTCCCGCAGCACGCGGTCGATACCTCGCCTCCCTCCCCTCCTCAGGCTCTCTCAGTGTCCTACGAGACGGTGTCCCAACCTCAGTACCATCAGTTGTGTAGCGACCCTCGCTAACGATTCTCACCTTCTCGGCTCCGACGTACGATAAGGCGTCAACCGATCGTCGTGTTACGCGCATCGCTCGGAGTGTGGTCCCCTCACCCCTGCTCGGATTCCGTGCACCGACCACGCCCAGCCTGGCGCTCGGCGCTCGCTGGCTGACAGTGACAGGCATCCCGCCGACCCGTGGGCTGCAGTGTGCGACACCCCCCTAGCCCTCGACCAGGAGCAACAGCAGCTGTGACTGGCACAGACTGACCTGTGGATTGATTACACTACATGGACTCGTCGTCGTACTCCGTGCCCTCGATTAGTACCGGCTCGCTCTCGTCTGGCAACGCCGGCACCTCCACCGCGAGCCGCACCGCTCTCACCAACCCTTCCGCGAGTCGGTGGCTCAAAGCCATTTGGACCTATCTCCGTCAAATAAATCAAAACAGTACCACAACCCACTACAAAGGCACCGGTCCGTCGCGCTGGAATCGCACCCGTCTGGGCTTCGGCTCAACCGATCCCGCGTCGTCGTCGTCGTTCAAGTTCAAGCCCGCCTTTCTCGCCGACGTAATGGCCACCAACCTCTCCCAGCTGTGCCTGCCTGCGTGAGTCCTTCCCGGGGAGCGCCGTCAGCTTTCGTGTACTCACTCCTTCCCTTGACAACAACACCAGGTACAACGTACTCGACAATCATCTCAACCAGAACCCATGCGAGGTCGCACGCGCTCTCCTCGACGAGTGCAACGACAACAAGAACGAGCCAAACTCGTCGCGCTACTACCCCCTCTTTGCCCTCGGCCCGCTCGGAGGCACGACCCACACCTATGCCCAACCGGCCAAGGATCAGGTCAATGATTGCATTTGTTCAAGTGGGTGCACATCAATCTCTTCGATCTTCTATGGCTCTGCACTAACGCCTTCTGTTGCCCCCCCCCCCCCCCCCCCCCCCAGTGACGACCTATAACCTTATCCAGGTTCGTTTTTCTCATACTGACCGAGCTCGGTTCCCGGCACAGGATAGAAAAATTGCTAGGACCGAAAGACTCAACCATAGTTTGCATTCACTTCTTCCAGGCTTGCGCGGCATGTCAATTTTACGCTCTGCCCTCATCGACACCACGCGTGAGTCCTCACCTCCCCGGTTTTTCCTCATTCTTTTCAGGCCCCGTCGGCTGAATGCAGACTGCTTTGCCTTGACTGCAGTGGGCCACGTTTTCTTCAAACTGCTCGATTACAGATAAAGGCTTTGCGAGACCGTTGCAAGACAAGGATCAGATCCCGAGTTGGGCTTGGGCTGTAAGTGTCATGGACAATCCGCCGGCTAACCTCAAAAAGGACAGATGATTAATTGTGGAGGGTTGCTCTCCCATTTCGTAGGACAACTCCAATGGAGCACTTAATGTCCAAGAAGCGTAAGCACATCTTCATGCATATCTTCCATTTTTTACTACATATCCTGACCCTCTCCACCGGCCCACAGTCTGCTCCAAGCGGTGATGAAAAACGCGCAGCACCGCTCCAACTCGAGTTCGGCCTTGGCCTCGTTCCCGACGCCCGCCCTCGCTCCTCCGGCCTCATCCTCCTCCTCTTCCGCACCCGCCTCTCCGACCGCTGCCGCTACCTCCGCGGAGATGAACTCGACGTCGGCTTTGGGAGGGTACCAGCGATCCGGTAGCGGACATGGACCCCATGGTACACCCCCACCGATCATCGCCGCGCTCGTCCTCTCGATCCTCTTCTCCCTCGGTCTGATCATCATGATCGGTCTATGGACCCGTCATCGAAGGCGCGTAGCAGCCCATGGGAAACGATTAGCTTCCTCGGACGATTTGCACCGCAATAGGGAGGGCTCGTCGATGCCGGACCACGGATCGAGCATGAGAGAACGGGAAAGGAACGAAGGTGTTTTGGCTTGGTTACCTCCCACAACGCTGTCGAGTCAAAGATCTTTCTCGAGAGGTTATGAAGGGGAGGCGGAAGAGGAGGAAGAGGAGGAATTGGGGTCCGAGATGAGTTATGCGACCAATTCGGTGTCGATCGGTGGACCGTTGGCGAGTGAGCGGGGTGGCGCGGGGGGTAGATGGTTGAATTTACCTTATGGGCAGGCGCTTGGAGCGAAGGGACGAATCGCGGCGAGTACGTTGTACACCACCACCACGAGATCGTCGTTCGATTCGCAGAGTGGAACAGCACCCCTTTCCCTAGGATACGGATCCGGCTCCCGAACGAATTACTCCACCTCGGCCCGCGACCTCTTCGACGATACTCATTCTTCCTTCGTACAAGACGAAGACGATTCTCAGGACCCCCGAGGCGGAGGGAACGAGCGATCCACCTTATTACGCGGTTCCCTCGCCAAACCTCCAAGAGTGATCATTTCGAATCGGGACAATCTGTATCACTCGAATGTGGAGACGAGGATTGAGGAAGTGGGCTTTTATTCGAGGCCGAGGCCGAGGAGTTTGGCGAGTTCGACGGGGGCGACGTATGGGTTGGGGATGAGGAGTGATTCCGAGGGAGAGGAGGAGGACGAGCAGGATGAGGAGAGTGGGGATGAGGATGAAGAGGGAAGTGATACGGAAGAGGGGAGGTCTGGCCCCAAGGGAAGAGGGAGGAAGAAGGTCCTTGATGTCGATCTGATCTCGCTTAGTAGTGGTTTGTAGCAAGCAGTTGGACACGACTGTAGCTTTCCTCTCGGTTTGTTCTGACTTTTCGCGTTGTATCAGGTCATAGCTTTGAGACCTTGTTTTAGGTTCACGTTCTTTTTTCAGTTGTTGTAAATGCATCTCGATCGATCCAAGCCCTACCCTCACACGCATCACTGCCATTCCCATAAACTCCACCCCACTTCATTATCTTTCTCGCTCCCCACCTTCCTTCCCCCAAACCAAATCTCAACCCCTCTCATACCACCCTCGCCCAAGTCCACCCCTCCACCAGCTTCCGAGGAGGCCTCTTCCTCCTCCCCCCTCCCACGTCCCCTCTTGACCCTCTTCCCATTAGGTCTCTTATTCGTACCCACGAGAGGTTCTTTGCCCCATTTATTGAGGTGGGAGAAAGGGTGGTGAAGGGTGGTGAGGAGGGAGAAGATGGTGGGTGGTGATGTAGACGAGGGTGTAGAGGCCTTGGGGATCGTCGAGGATTGCGCCCTAAGGAGCGCTTCTAGAATCCTTTTCATCGCGAAAGGATGAAAGAAGCCTGTCCATCTCAGCACTGTCACATCCACCTCCTCCCTCCCCTCCTCCTCCTCCTCCTCCTCCTCCTCCTCTTCCAACCCCCTCAACCCAGCATCTCCCAACCTAACACTCCCAATCCACTCCCTCATCCCTCTCGTCCGTTCCTCCACTTCCTTCGCCAACGTCAAAGTCCTCTCTTCGAAACGCTTGGTAGGGATTCCGGACGGTGTCATGAGTTTCCGACGTTTCTGGTTGACGCTAGCCTTTGGTGCGGAGGATCCGAAGGGTGGAGATAGGCAGTCTTCGGGCGGTAGAAAAGTTCTGATCGTTGACCTTGTAAGATTTGCTGTGCAGCGCTTGATTCGAGTGCCTGCTTCTAGCAGGGAAGGGGGAAAGTCGATCGGTTGGAGCGAACCTATTCGCGACGACGAATAAGCTCATCAGTCTCTCTCACAAGACCGCTCAAACCCAATTCCCCGAAGAAGGTCCCAACTCACCATCGTCCCCGACAAAACAGATCAGCACATCCCACCTCTTACCGCCCTCTTTCCCACTCCGTTCGAAACTGGCCACTCCGTCCAATTGGGCGAACAGATCCGTACGACTTCTTGTAGGCCAATTGCCGAGACGGGATTTGATGCGCTCAAAGCCGGGTTTCCCACAGACGTTGGAGGGGGAGGAGAGTGGGAGCTCGATGACTGTTTTTTGGGGGGGAAGAAGTTAAGCGGGGGAGAAATGAGTGGGATGGCGTTGGTTCGCTCAGGGGGCCTGGATCCGAGGGAACGTACCGAATCGTTGTCCCGTCGCGGAAGCGAGTTGACGTGATTTCCTGCCCGTTAGACCGAGGGTTTCGTACGTGTGTTTACTGACGTTCAGGATCAGTCGACCTGGGAAATTGAAGAGGATTCGAATCAGCTTTTCCGCCGAGAAGGAGCAGCCAAAGGGGCTCACCTCTACCATCGATGGCTAGGACATCCCCTTGCGCATCATCTTTTGACCGAGTAGGTATCGAAAGCGCAATCAAACTCCCTAGATGATCGACCACACGAAGAGGAGCGTTTCAGCACACGATGTCGATCTGATCCGCTCTCTCTCTCGCTCTCGAAGCTGAAGCTGACCTTTGCGGATATAGTCGTTCATGAACTGGGGTTGGAGCAAGTGCGAGAGATCGAGTCGAGTGAGATGGTAGAAATAGGCTTGTTGGTGGATCATCTGCTCGAGTTCGAGCGGGAGAGCGGCGCCCAGGGGGTGAATGATCTCGAGCTGCAAGTCGGAATCGGAATGTGGGTATTAGCACTCGAATGGAGATTAGGGATGTATTACCCAGCGACCGACCTCGTCGATAGAGGGTAGTCTCAACAAAGCATGAGCCAACTTGGACTGCTGCTTGCTGTGCAGACCCTTGCTGTCGTCATCGTGGTCGTGTGAAGCGGTCGTCGTCGTCGTTCCCGAAGAGTAGTAGGCTTTCTCGGCTGTCAATGCAGCTCTGTGCGACCTCTTTTGATGGTGGCCGTTCATGTGGGGCTCCTCGGTTGATCGGTCGTACGACGGCTGGCCCCGCCGTGCGACGTTGAAGCTGAGAGTAGTGGAGAGGAGGCGAACCTTGTCGCGATCGCACGGCTCTCCTTTCCGGCCGATCATTTTATTCGCGCTCGCAGACTGAGCTCGCCCAAGTTCGCGTTGCGCGGCCCATCCTTCCCGCTCTTGCCCCCGTATCCCGACTTTCACACACCACAGCGCTCTCCACGTCCCAACCAAAGATGCTACGAGCCACAACACCCCTCGGCTCCAGCGCGTCGTCATCCAAGCTGCTCTTGCGATCCTTCAACTCGTCGGCGGTCGTCGCCGCTCCCAAACCGAATCGTACGTGGCCAACACTAACCCCATGTCCGCACCGCTCTCCAGAACCAGTGCTACACTGAACTCCGACCTGGGATCCGTGCCTTGCGTAACAGCCAACAAAGCTCTGTGGAGGAACAAGGGGAAAGCGGGCGCAACGGATGAGGTCAGTGCCACTGCCCACTCCTCACGACCCAGTGCTCCGTTACGACCTGGCCACCGCTGACCGTTTGTGGACCACCTCGCTCCTTAGGACGCATCATCTTCCTCAGGAGGCTCCCGAGGGCTGGGCAACGTGCTCGAATCAGTGACCCTGAAACCCAAGAACCTGTCCTCGCTCGCCGAACTACAACCCGTCAGTGGCCAGTACGACAGACCAGCAGAGGGACATGAGCAATCCTGACCTTCGTCGAGTCTTCTCAATCGACAGCAAACCCTGACGCAACAGTCGGTCGGACAAGTCAAGGCCTTCTCGTCCCAGGCGCTGCAGGCGTTCAAGAATTGGACGATCCCCGGTCTGATTCAGAAAGAGGTTAGCCCTTCGAGCATGCTCTGGTTGAGGTTACGTCTGGACTGACTCGCCTTTCGTGGCGACAGTTCTCGGCGACGACAAGACCAGCTACGGTCGTACGATCGGTTACGTTGAAGGTCAAGAACTTGATTGATCAGAGCAAGGGCAACAGTTCGGAAGCGAGTAGGACCGTCCTCAGTCAGTCCTCGGTCTTTGGGCAAGTCAGACGGCAGAGGAGTGCCGACCGCTCAGTTCCAGCACTCTTCCACTCGTAGATGGTCCATCAGGCAGCGGCAAGTCGGTCGTCATGTTGCAGGGTCTGGCCTACGCTCAAGCGACAGGCTGGATCGTACTTTACCTCCCATCTGGTACGTCCATTCCCGGTCCATTCTGCTCACGTGCCTTCTTTGGCTGATCGATTCCCCTACTTTACAGCCACCCCCCTGGTCAACTCCTCCACACCTCACGTCTACTCCCCCCAACGAGCCTTGTTCGACCAACCCCAATTCGCCGCCCAATTCCTCCAACGCATCGCGCAAACCAACAAAACCCTCTTGACCTCCCTCAAAACGACCCAGCCCTACGAACTCACCGCCGATCTCCCCATCGGCACCTCCTTGTATTCCCTCATCACCCAATCCTCTCCCCAAGATCGAATCGCACCCCTTCTTCTCGAAGCGTTGTTCTTTGAATTGAGTCGACAGACCTCCCACCCCGTTTTGTTGGCGATCGATCAGGCGCAGGGTTTGTTCAATACGACACAATGCGTCGATCCAACGTATCGAAAGTTGGAGGCGCATGATTTGAGTTTGCCGAGGTTGTTGTTGGATTATGTTGGGGGGGTCAAGAACTTTGTACGTTCGGGCCATCTCTACCGGTTCCTCCTCAGGATCCTGACCTCTGCCTTGCGGCTCTCACAGTCCAACGGCCTCGTTCTCATATCCCCCTCCCACCAATCCACCACCACTTCCCCAGCTTTGGAAGAACACCTTTCCTCGTCCCCCTACCCATCCTACACCCCTCTAGGACCCTCGCACCAAATCTACTCCTCCCTCCTCTCTTCGGTCCGTCAACTTCCCGTCCCCGCCCGTCTCGAAAAACAGGAAGCTTTGGGGATCGTCGATTTGTTGATGGGTTTCAGAGCGGTCAGGGAAGTCGGTCAGGAGGGTGTGGATGATGGGAGCTTCATGAAGGCTTTGATGGAGAGTGATGCGAGGGTTAGGGAATTTAGGAAAGGGTGGGAGAGGAACCAGGCGATTTGAGTTTCGATGCAACAAAGTGGTTATGGTGGAATGTCATTTCGGGGTCAGAGAGAGAGAGAGAGAGGGGGGTTCTACAGGTATTTGACCCCCCGTCCGAAAACGTAAGAAAGTCCCGAACCGATCGTCGTACCAGCGACGACGAGTCTGCCATGCCGGAGAAAGCCAAAGGGGAAAACGAGAACGTCAGTCACTAGTTGAGCAGCCCGTCTCTAGAATAACGTTGAAGAACTGACTGTAAGCCGACCAAGCCGATCCCCAATTCGAACGGCAAGAGCGGTTGGATCGTCGTCGTGCCCACCAAGATCAACTGCAACAAAGTGTTGTATTTTGATAGAGTGGTCGGTTTGACTTCGGCGGAAGGGATGGAAAAGTCCCAGAAACGGGTAAAGGATTTCTGGGAGGGGGAAAGAGGTTCGGTGAGGCTTCTGGAGGATTTGTGAGGATGGTAGGGAAAGGTCACTTACGGGTGGTGGTAGAGATTTGTATCGGAAGTAGAAAGCCGAAATGGAGAGTGCGACGTCTCGTCCTATGATCAAGATGGCCAAGGGGACTGGCGAAAACGAGAGAACGAGGTCAGCTTTTGGGTTCAGGTTGCATCAGAAATGGGTGAACTCCGGCCCCGGACTTACGAGGTAGCATACTCTTCATAGCCAACGTCACGACCATGGTCGTCATAAGGAATTTGTCCGCCGCTGGATCGAGGATCGACCCCAACACGGAGCGCATATTATATCTCCTTGCGAGGTACCCATCAACCTAAACGGAGTGCGAACCCGTTTCCCTTGAGCTTGATCGAAATCTCCCGATCAGGAACGAACACGACGTACCACGTCTGAAACGCCAGCTACGAACAACAACGCCGTCGCTTGGGCGAATTGACCCTGCAGTACGAAATGACCTATCACGGGTGTTGCGGCGATGCGAGCGAGCGTCAAGGCGTTTGGGATGGTGTAGATGTTCTCGTACAGATCCTTCTTCGCTGGCGGGGTGGACGGAGGGCTGTCTTTAGGTGGTGTTGAGATTTGAATAGGTGGTGTGGGTGGTTTTCTGAGAAGGGCGGTGTTGTGAAATGGCTGGTGGAACGCAGCGAAACGACGTCAGCTATCAGTGGTGGTGGTGGTGGTGGTGGGGGGGGGGGGGGAGATGAGGATGTGCCACGGCTGCGTGCCTACTCACGCGGGTACAAGGGTATAGTCGTGTTGTGGTGGGTTGGAAACATAGTCGTGTTGTGGTGGGTTGGAAACATAGTCGTGTTGTGGTGGGTTGGAAACATGCTGTTCGGGATGTTCGTAAGAGCGGTATCCGTAGTCGGGTGAGCAGCATCGTGTGGGGGCAGGCTGCATAAGCCAGTCCGAGTCGTCGCCGACACGCTGACGCCGCGTCACGGAGCCTCTCGGAGCTCGGCTCGATCACGCGCTCACGTGCGCATTTTCAAATTTCACACTGGTGTGGATTATTAGCGAATATGAAGTGTTTGTATCTCGTTAAAGTTCAAGAAACAAAATGCCCCATCAACCCCTGCATCATGATCTCGGGCGGCGCCGCGGAAGGAACGAAGAGATTTTCCGCAACCCGACATTCATTTGATACTTTGGTCGCACTTCTTCGACACACAGTCAAGTCAATGATGACCTTTCTGTGTGCCCGGAACCGATGAACTGAAACATGTCGCGGGGTGCTCGTGCGAGCGCGCACGGTCCCCTATCGTCGCCCGTCGGGTCGTTCGCGCGAGTTCGCGCGCGCCGACCCAGTTGAGCGTATGAAGTCGAGCGCGGCCAGTTCGTTCAATAATGTCCGTTCTCTGTCTTCATAACCGGCCGCGACGACGAGTTGGATTCGCTCGTGAAGAGTTCCTCACCGCCGACGAGCTGGTTGTCTCGATCTGCGAGGGCTGCTCCAAGTAATAGCTCATTCGAAGGGCAGGACGTGTCAAGTCTCTCTCGAGCTCTGGCTAATCGAAATCGGGGGGGTCCTATTAGCGACAACAACGGCGACGAATCGACTCGTCGAGAGTATGGCCACAACGGCGAGCTCATTTTCTCCCGTTAGCTCCTCACCCGTCATGACAACCTACGCTTCAACATCAAACGTGGATGATTCTGGCGGTCTGGACGGCGTACTACCTTCGGCAACTGCACCACCTCTTCCGACCGTACGCGCGCGACACAGTTCGACCACCTCGTCCGTGGCCACGTCCGCATCGACCGGCTCCACCACCGCCCGCCCATCCACTTCCACTTCGAACGGTCGTGCGACACCCAACAGGGATCCCGGCGCAACGAACCACGAGACGGACACGCTCAAGCATCAGCTGCGTATCGCTAGGGCTACGATTGCCGACTTGTGAGTGCTGCTCCGTTCGACTCGGTCGTCGTCGTCTTGGTCTTGTCGCGTCACGTCACGTCACCTCGCGCCCGGACCCCCCCACACGACCAGCGCCAGCGGTGGGTGGGGGTCCGGTCAGATTGCGAGTCGCCCGGTGGTAGCCGACGCAAAGCCAATGAACTGACACCCTAGTCTGACACCAGACAATCCAAACTCTCCGTCAAGGCCAATCCAGCCCCCTTTGGATCGTCCTCCCCGCGGAATCTAGGCGGTCTCTCCATCTCCGATCACCGCGCCTCCTCCCCCAAACCCATCATCACCAGCCAAAATCAGAACGGGAGCAGCGCACCGCCGAGTCCTTCCTCACCTTCCCTCTCCACCTCGTCCCCCAGTTCGGCAGGCCGACTCCCCTCTGCAGGCGCAGTAGCGCTCAATCGAGCACTCGTCTCGGACGATCCAGGTCGATCACCCTCCACTTCTTCGCCCCCTTCATCCCCGAATCTCTCCCCTCAAAACTCCGAGCATTTCCCGTCCTCGGTATCAAACTCTCACAATCCCTACGCACGACAATCCTCCTCGACCAGTACCCGCCGCGTGTCCGTCGCTTCATCAGGTCATTTCGGCAATTCGACCGGAAACCCTCGTGATCGCTTAGCCGCTTCAGCCTCAGCCGCGACGTCGGGGAGTGGCAAAGTCATCGCGGCATTGCAGAGTGATCTGTTGATCGCCAGGTCGGCGTTGGATTCGAGTCGGATTCAATTGAGGAACGGACAGAGGGCGATCGAGAGTTTGACCAGGTTCAATGGTGCGGTTCGAACCATGCCGTCCCTGAGCGAAGCCTCTTTTTGGTACGAGCTGACAAAGGTTCTCACTTCAAATCTACTCTAGACGACATGAAAGAAACCAAAGAACGACTTACATTAGAAATCGAAGGACTTCAACGGGTTTTGGCGCGGAAAGAACGCATGCAGGAAGAAGCCTTGGCTCGAGCACGAACGGCGGAGACCACGTTAAACGAGTTGCAGAGCAGTCATAAGGAGCTGGTCGCCAGTAGTAGGCAACAGATCAAGGATTTGAGTGCGGAGAATGAGGAGAATGAGGAATTGAGGAAGAAGGCCGAGAGTGAATACGGGAGTTTGGCGAGGGGGATCAAGTGAGTTTGTTTTTACGGTGTCGAGCGGAGGTGGGGCACCGGAGGAGCTGATCGAGTTTTCGATTCGCTCATTCAGGTCGATGCAAGAAGGGTTCAAGCGCGATTTCGATGTACTGCGACAAGAGTTGGCCAAGTCGCAAACCAAGTTGGCTTCGTCCACAACATTAGGTACGTGACTCCACCCCTGCCTCCTTTTCAGCGCAACGCGAGCTAACTCTTCGCATCTCCGTAACCGCAGTCTCGAAACTTCTGGCCCTCCCTTCGCCCTATTCCTCCATCCCATCGACATCCCAAACCCCTCGCGCCCCCTTATTGACAAGCATTTCACCTTCCACACCACTCATCACCACCAAATCCTCCATCTACTCCTTCTCCTCCCGATCCCCAAATCGCGCCCCGCATCCCGCTTCACCGACCCTGACAAATCCAACACCAACGGACCCCTTCCTCCTCTCCCTCCAAAAGACCCAACAAGACCTCTCCCTCTCCATATCCGAAGAATGTTCGAAAGCGTTGAAGTTGGTCGAACAGTGTACGAAACAGAACCAGAAGGATCTGTATGCTACCAAGGATGTTCAGAATGAGATGGGGAGGCTGAAGAGGTTGATTAGGGCGGGGATGCAGGGGGATGCGGGGACGGCGGCGTAGTTGGTCCTTGTTCATCCGGCTGACTCTCGGAACTTTGGTCATCTTCATCTTTACTCACGAGCATCACCGCCGATACGAACGAAGAGACGTGCAACATCATCATACCCCCTTGACTTCGTCAAACTTGTTTTTACTCTCTTCTTCTTGGCGTAGACGTTGTGAGATCACACGTAAAATAGCTTCTGTTAGTCATGACTGCACCCCCGATCATCCGAGCAGCATTGCCGAGCTGAGCGATGGAGCGAGGCGAGAACAGATCAAGTAATCCCTAAAGTCTGAAGATGTAACTGATTCTGACAGCCAAGAGAACGTTGGTAGCCACTGAGACGACTGAACTGACCGGATACTTACAGTAATCGGAGTCCCGACGGTGTGTGGCAAAAAGTTTTAGTATACGGAAGCGAGGAAAGGTAGCAATGCCGTACTCCGACTGACCCAACGGGCGGAATGCAGCACTACTCACTTCAAGTATCGTGCATCGCATCTTCTAACCGACCAGATCCCAATGTTGAACGGGCTGTAGCCGCTGCGTCAGACCCCGTGTCATCCGGCGTCCGAACGGTGGCGGACCCAGTCAGTACGGACTCGCTTGTCAGACCACCCCAAGTCTGAACATTGCGTACCGGATACCACGTCCTTCGACGTGAGGCGTTCTATCGTCTCAGTCGAACTGGTGAAAGTAGCAACGAAGAAGACGTGCGCCAAGCTGGTTATGCGCCGCTTGCGGATGCGGATGCAGCTTAAGAATTCACTCCGGTGTTCCGTTGCATCCCATGCAGGCGCTCACAATTTTAGCGGGCTTTGGTTATACGTGCTCGGTGAGTAAATGAAAGATGTATTTCACTGAAGCTCTTGAGCCAACAATAGTCCGTCAGTTTTCTCAACCCTAGCTGTTGTCACCGGTGTGTGCGAATTCTGAGGTTCGGGTCAACACTAGAAACTGTCACCTCAGAGCGTCTTCACCAGACACAGCCGCGCGCCGTGAGTTGATCGAATCAGCAATTACCGTACATGTCCATGTCCATCAGCTCCCTCCATTGCCAGCCCAAACGCCGCCGCGACAGAGCGGTTTCCGACTTGGTGAGGAGCCGAGACGAGAAACGAGGAGACTTACACTCGATAACGCCACAGCAGGAGACGCGTTCACCAAGGCTCACTCTAACACCATACGAGTCGACATCTTACGGAATGGACCGCAGCAAGCGGCTGGATCGCATCACATGAGTCATTCAGCCTGTGGCGTGCCACGAGGGCCTGTCGAGGGCGGCAAGGACTCGAGCACAGCCCGCAACTTCGTCTGGATGGCGGTCCACTTGAGCCTGGTCCCGTTGGGAGGCTCCAAGTCGTCCAGAAGCACCGGCCACGTGTGCGTTATCTCACCGACCAAATCCCCCAGCGCTTCGTCTTGCCCTCCGATCATCGCCACAGTCGATCTCGCCAGCCCAAGAAGGTGAGCATGAGACCCTGTTTCCACAGTCGCACTCGTCGCCCCCACCGATCCGCCATATCCCTGACTGCGGGCGTCTCGAAAGCGAGCAAGTCCCATATCTTGTCCCCTGGCGAGATGTGGCACGAAAGGATATCCAAGAAACAGTATATCCACGACTCGAGTGGGTGCCCGAGCTCATACCTACGCGGAGCATCGAAATCCGGACGAATGTTCCACCAGAGCACGTCTATCGGGGCGTACCGAGGTGCTCCCCTCATGATGACCGAGTCCATGGCCCCCATGAGCACCGCGTCTCCTAAGGGCGCTACGATACCAGCACTCCAGTCCACGAGCACGAGGTGGCCTTCACGGTGAAGGATGTGGCGGATACAGATATCTCGGTGGTGGAAGTTGTGGTCGAAAAGTGCCAAGAGCACCGATAGCAGTTGGTCAAAGACTTGTAAGATCTGACGAAACGACGCCGTCCGAGTAGTGCTGACCGAAGTCGGTGTGACGGCCCACATTGGCGTCGGCATCGGCGTCGGATTGCGCAAGATGAGCAGCTCTATCGAGCGTCGAGATACTTCTGGGTAAGGCGGCCACGCCCGGCAATACACCTTAGGCAACGGTTCCGCCGGCATGCATTCATCGTCGACCTGTGAGCGAGGAGGCGGGGGAGATGCGGAGTGCTCAAGCACCGCAAGATGCTTGGCAACGGTGGACGGCAGTCTGCCCTCTTCGAGCGCTTCGTTGATCTCGCGAAGAACATTGACCTCGGTGTTCACAGAGCTCGGATTGACGTACTTCATTTTGAGCACGAACGAAGATGAGTCATCACCATTCTGCTGCAAGCTTGGTCGGGTGAGATGAAACACCGTCGTGCACTGTGCGAAGACTGAATCGCCGTTCGTAGTTGCACAAGACACCAATTCGATCGGCTCCTCCTTAAATTCGACCGTGCGCCCGAATGGTGACCCGAAGACGGCCGTGAGGAGTGAGACGGCTGCGAGACCACTTGCGGCTTCGCACTGTGGTACTCGAGATCCCGTCGCGTGCAGCAAAGTCGGAAATAAGGCTCCTGTTGTCGGAAATGAGATGGGACTCCTGATCTTGTCGGCTGCATTAGGGTACTCGGGTCACGCGGGCGTCGGCTAATTCGGTGGTCTCGGAAATCGGGCTGGAGTCGCTTAGTCGGGAAGCGCAGATTCGGCTAACTCGGCCTAGCGTCACATGAGCGGATAAAAGTTCAGAGCAAGGGACCGTGTGACAGGAGCAAGGAATGGCGTGATCAGGACGAAGTATGGCGTGATCAGAAGGCCGAGTGTCGGAAAAGAGGAGGAAGCTGGCCCGGGGGGATTGGAGTGTCCTGGCGTTGGAGGGAAGACTCGCTTCTTGTTCGGAGATGGACTACTAGACTAGACACGACTCAGACCGACTTTGGAGGGAGGCGACTTTCGGAGGGGTGGACCACTTGGGGAGAGGTCATTTCTGCGAATCTGTCATTCTCGGTTTCATTATCTGCGTGTTTCTCGGTTTCGGCATCTCGGTCTCTGCGTTTCGATAGCAATCAGCCCCCCCCTGTCTCTGATCGTCCGCTCACTATTACCATAGCACCTGTAGCGGGAAAAGGGGAAGAACCCGGCCGTATAGACGTCCAGGTCAAGCAGGACCGAAAGCACCGCCGCAAGCTGGCCAAAGCCTCGACCCCAGCAGTGCGAGATAGGGGCGACGCGACACGTTTCGTGATCCAACACGACCAGATAGGCATGCTTCTTGTTGATGGCTATGCCAGGCGCAAATTGTCGAGTCGGTTGCGCTAGCAGATGAGCCTCCAGGTCGAGCACGACTTTCACCAACTCCGGAGCCCACGCATCGCCAGGGTTTCCCCAGTAGCGCGCAGAAAGTCCAAAGGCGAAAACACCGAGGGCGTGTTCCCACGACAGGGGCACCTTGCCCAACGGATGAAGATGCGCTTTGCAGGTCAAGAAGCGAGTCACCTCCTGCTGCCCGGCTGACGCTGTTGAATCCATACCGTAGTGAGGCTTCAGCTCGGTGCGAACGCCGCGACGACAGGGTCGCTGGGCGGTGGCGACCGAGAGTCTGTACTCGCGCGGTCGCGCGTCGTAGCTGCGCGCCTGGTAGGCCCAAGGAGAAGAACGGGGTAAGGAAAGGAAGGGGGAGCACCGACAATATAGAGGAAGTTGAGCGCTCTACACTAGAATGGCGGCAGGCGAACCCTCGTAAGACCACCTCTGGCTGTCTATCTACTCACATGTCGTGCGACACCTTCGACCCAACTCGCAGTCCGCATCGGATCCGACACGTTTGCAGGTTGCTGCTCTTGTTGGAAGCGGTATTGGAGCGAGCCTTGCGCATCTTGGTGCCGTCCTCGCCTAGGCTTTCCCCCCGACTTGCGAGCGCGGTGCGACATGACGCGAAATTGTGACGGAACGACTTCGAACACTCGCTCAACCAAGTCCGAGACGGAGCAAAGCACGACTCGAGGTGTGATGATGTTCTCGAGCACGGCATGGTCTTGCGTCGTCCAGGAATCCTCCTTCAGAGTCTCGATGACTGGCCTTACAGCCGAAAAAGGGGACGCTTGTGGACCTAGTAGTGGCGATGACGCTGATGACGCTGTCGAAGACGGCCTTGGCGTGCTGCACTATCAGGCAAGAAGCACAGAGGAAAGGATCAACACATGCTGGTGGCCTTAAGTTCGCGGCTTACAGCTACCGATGGACGAACTCCCACGCATGCGCATGATGCGTTTGGGGGTGAGGACGAGAACGATGACGACAACGACGACGCTCGCATACGCTCACTAGGCCGGATGTACTTGCTCGGACGTTCGGGTGTGGTATCTTTCGAACGGGATCGCACGTTGGACACCATGGCAACTCGTGAAAGGAGTGACACGCAAAAACTGAGGTACAAAGAGTGGCAGAGAAGGCGGGCGTGCGCTCGGCCCCCCCCGCGACCCGCCCTACATTTTTCTTAATCTGGTGGCCCGGCGCCCTTTCTGGGTCAAAGTACTGGATCTTATAGTTGCAGCCTGCAATGCCGATACTGTAGGAGATGCGAAGGCTATGTACCCTAGCGTTGAACTGCAGTCGAAGGGGTACTACCAGCTGCAGCACTATATGGCCCAGAGTGATGTTTTGGCTGTACCATAGTTTTGTAAGCCGACGTTTCAGTTTTCTCGACCATGAAAGATCGTCAGTTTACATTAGTGCGTCAGAGGTCAGTCGCTATGGGCGGGTCGCAGCGCGCAGCGGCGAGCACCGCCGATCGCCTTGAGGACCACAGCCCCTGGTAGGCTGGTAGGCTGCAGTGGTAGCCCGTCCGTTCCGCGTTAGCGCTTGCCTTCCAAGTTGATATGGTTAGTAGGCCGCCTCGTACCCCCAATATATCACCTGTACTGATCCAGTGGCGATCCAAGCATTGTTGACGGGTGGAAGGAGATTCTGACGAGCACTTGTTCGAGAGCAGAAGTGCGAGTGGCTTCTCGGCAGACCGAGGGACTCGATCACGCACATGCTACAGTTGCGTGCCCTGCTTCGGCCGCTCAAGGCTGCAAGAGCGTTCTAGCTTGCTGGACCATCTTTTTTGCAAGGTGTTCGCTGATGTAATGACCAGTCGGCCTCTACGAAAAAAGAGACCCTCGAGGACCACGAGTCGCTCTTCGTCCGCCATTCACTGGCGGACCATGATAAGAAGTTTCTGTTCCACTCAGGCGGCCTCTCGCGTTCAACAGCAATCTGCGATGCAAGCAATCTCGTTGGGCACGTGTGTCCTCTGAAACCCTCATGCAAGCAAATCAACGGTTGGCAAGCCTCATTCAGCTGCGTCAGTAGAACGGAAAGAAATCTTCACGGCTTGAGCAGCGCTGTGCGAGTTCTCCACAAGAAGCGCGTGTCCGAATTCACTCTTTTGTTGAGAATAACACCTTCAAAAAGTAGTCTGACGTATTACTTATCCCTCTTGCGTTATTAGACCGGGTTGAATACGATATTCTGACACAGAAGCCGGCGTCACCTCAGGGTTCGAAGATCGCTGTGTCAGGCGGCCGAGCGACTTTCTCACTCGCCACCCGAGCGATTTGGGGGGAAGGGTGTCTCATAATGTGATGGAGGTGGCTTCCACGTATTTCTTGCTCGGCGCAAAAAACCCAAAAACGGTTTGCCCATTGAAGACCGACATGACAGCGATCTCACGGGAACCGCGGTGTGACGCGAAGGCAAAATAAGTCTGTTACAGCAAAGCAGGACGACAGAAGTATGAGAACAAGACATTCTTGAAAGGGCTGTATAAAAGAAACTCCTGCATGTCGAACCAAGTCATCTCTACCCGGGTACCCGTGATCCGTCGACCGAGTATAGAAAGGCATCTCTAGCGATTGTCTGCGGGAGGTGTCAGAGTTTGTAGGTTAGCGGTGAGATGAAATATAGGGCGTGAGTGTTAGTCTACGTACGCCAGAACAACGTCTTGAGCGGTCGAAGCGGACTCCAAACCTCCGAATCCAAGTACAAGTACTGTGTCGAACAAGACCAGCCCCGAGTGAGTTCCTACGGCTTTTGCTCTAAGCTCTGCCCCTCATTTCTCTCCCTAACTGACCTGCATACTGTTGATCATCCCACTCTGCAACGTATCCCTTCTCTCCGCAAACAACCACATCACCGCACCCCAGGACAAAGCTGCATACACCTCGAACACCTTGGAGTTGGGCGGTCGGGGGCGAGCGTACGGGAAACCAGGTGGGGGCGGGACACCTGCTGCCGAGGTCGCGGCGGACAGACCACCGGGGGGAAGCTTTGGGGCTTGAGGTGGGGTCGCTCGGGGCAGGAACGAGGTGATGACGCGCGAGACGACATAGAGAACGATCTAATCACGGGGTGAACGGGCGCTGTGGGGTCAGCTCGCTGGAGACACGATTCTTCCTGCCTTACGATGCCCAGCTCTCCGCGCCGATACACAACTTGTGCACGCTCACTGCGATCGATGCAACGTACCTGCTCATTGATCGCATTCCTCTCTCCAAAGATGCACCACCCGCCGAGCAATCCCGCAAAGAACGTATCGGCCTTCCTCTGCTTGCCCCCTGCCAAGGTCTTTTGGACCAAAAGAGCGGTCTTGTACACGGACACGAACTTGGCCAAGTTAAAAGCGTGCTGTCTCGTCGCCTTGAAAATGGTGCGAGCTCGGTCTCGGTAGCTTTTAGTCATGAGATCGAGATCGAGATCGGCAAGAGGTGGGGGAAAGGGGCCGTTCAGTATACGGGGGGGGGGGGGGGGGGGCGTGGGGCGTGGGGCGTGGGGTCTGTTTCACGGGGTATTGGCCTGGGACTGACCTGCCTCGACCAAAGAGAATGGCCATGATCAGGGCATGCGGGAACCGAACTTTGGCTCCGTAGACAAGACCATTGCGTGCGCCTGATCGAGGGGTTCAAAGCGTCGGGACGGGGTGCCAAGACGCGGCAGTTGGTCGAATCGGCCAAGAGATACAGAAGGGAGCCGGGCCAAGGGTGGGGGGCACGAACCGCGTCGAATGCAGGGTAGAGCACATGCAGAACTTGAGGTTAGAACAGCATGGCGAGTCCACCTGAAAGCAGACTGGCCGTACCTTTGATGATGGCAAAGATGTCATGGTAGGCCGGGTTGGTGATCGCGGATCGGAGAACGTCGGCCATGGCTGGACACGGGGGAGTTTCGACGTGGAGGCGATGCGGGCGTGCCTCGAGTGGCGCGGGTCGGGGAAGGGGAAGAGAACCCGCGAACGGAGGTCGAGGAAGACGCAGGACCGGGACAGGGGGAGCACAGAGGGGCACAGGGGCGGGGGTGGGTGAGGTAGAAGAGACGCGGCGAACGGGGCCGAGCGATCGGCCTTTCTCTGGAGAGCCTGACAGAGCAGTGACAGAGCCTGACCGCCAGTCGACCTCCGCCGACCGCCGCCGACTCGGCCCTGTCACAAGACTCGGAGCAGTTTCCGTATTCGACGTCACGTGAATTCTCGCGACGCTACACAAAAGTACATGTAACACAGAAAATTTATGCAGATGATTCTGATCGATAAGACTGAAAACATGACTAGGTCAGATCATCAGCACAAGGTTTCGTGGAGCAACGAAGAGCAACGACTCGGCTGAACACTCGCGACTCGGAGAGTAAAGAAGTAGAGCGCTGGTTGGACTCAGCCGCCTCTTCCAGACGAGCCCAACACACCCCGCGTACAGGACCACCAACAAGATGTCGCTCCTCCGTGGCCTAGCTCGACCATTGTTCGCGTCTACATCCTCCATCACGCCCTGCTCCCGCGTGTCGATCAGCACCCTAAACCGGTCGATGTGCTCGACGGCCTTCGCATCCACCGCTCGACCATCGCTCGCTCGCTCCTCTGCATCCTCGCCCGTCAACTATCCAAGAGCAGCAACAGTATGGTCCACACCATCTGTACTCTCTAAAACACCACTCGGCTCATCTGCGCAACAAACGAGGTGCTACACCATGCCGAAAGGGGCGCGCAAGTTTTACGCCAAGAGTCCGCTGTCGAGGAAAGGGGCCAAGACCAGTCGAAGGAACAGTGCCAAGAAGGTGGGCTCTCGTGGGTCTACGCAGGCGACTTGTTCAAGTTACTGATCTTCTGCTCCGCCAAATCCGCACAGGCCAAGCTGAGAAGTAAAAGGCGAAGACAGATCAACTGAGCGACTCGGGCCGAATGCTGCGCGGCGGGCTTTCTGTATGCATGTAATAAGAAATCGAGTATCAGTTAAATAGAACTACCTATGTGTTTGGGTTGCGAGAGCCACGAGTCCGTAACAGAGACACGGTCATTTGAATGCACGGAGCCATGCACGGTCGTCGCGCGATAGACTACGGCGCTCCGCTCCTCGTACTCTCACCAACCACTTGCGCAACCCGCCTTGACAAGCCAACCCAACATGCTGCTCTCATCGCTCTATGTCCTCCTCGCCCTGAGGGTCACCCCATCGCTCGCGTTCTTCCAAAATTTCTTCCACCAACAAGAACCCCAGAAGCCGATCGTGTTCAGCTACGTGCAAGAGTTCCAACGAGGTACGTCGCGTGTTGGGCAGGCTCGCCTTGATGCTGCCCAACCCGAACTCGATTCCTGAGCATCAGTGGTTCTTTTCGTCTCTCGATAGTCGACTGCCAACTGGGCTACACCTGCCCCGGAACGTTGGCTTGCGTCGCGAACCCGTCCGAATGCCCCTGCCCGCACGAAGGCATCGACGTCAAGTGTCGTCTACCCGGCGCCAAAGACGGCGAGTACGTGTGTGTACGCGACTGCGCCAAGGTCAGAGCGAGTCTCAAGATCTAGGGCCGACACGACTCTTGACACTATCACGTTACGTCCACGAGGATGTGAGTGGACTGCTCCCCGCGATCCAGTCGGGATGACGTGGAGTTGATGACCGACCGCCACTGCCGAATCAGCCCAACTGCCAAGCGCTGAGCGCTAATCCCGGGTGCACAAGCCCTCACAGACCATCAAAGTACCACCATGGCGGGCTTCCCCTCTGCAGTTTTAGCTTCCTCCTCCTTTTTTGTTGTAACGGTCTATAGCAAGTCACGCATTATTCGCACAAACACAAATCACGTCGACTCCTGAAGAGCCTTGGCAAACTTGGCACAGGAAACTCCACGCGAGCGACGTCAACCAGGCTAGACTAAAGTCCGTTGACGATGAGACATTCTCGCGCCAGCTGGGAGCGGCGGTGCTGAAACGCGTCGGCTCGGGCCTCAGGAGGTAGTCGGCCTTGGCGTCAGGGGCTAATAAAGACTTCAACGTGTCAGACCCCCCGCCCCCGATCACCTGCTCTCGTTCCTTGGTTCCCCTGCGTCCTTCCGTTTCTTTGAGAACATTGTTCTCGTACCGACCTTCCCTTCCTACCACACCATACCACGGCCACACAGCTACACACCCACACTCGCTCGTCGTTCCTTGTTCCGCCCCCCGCCGCCTCCCCCGGCCCCTCCCCTCCTCTCGATCACTGAGTCGTTGGCGTTCGAGCCACCGCACCTGATCAAGCAGAGCCGATACACCTAGCTCGCCCATCTGCTCTCACCACTCGGCCGCCCCGCCCCATTTGACCATTATGCGGACCGTCGATCTTGGAAAGAACTCAATGGGACGCCTGTGTCTCTTGGGTCTCCTCTCGCTTCAGTCAACGTTGACGTCCGCCACGACTCACGAACCTTCTGGAGCAACCGGGCCGGCGGTCTTCAATCTCGAAATCGCACGGAGTCATTCGCTTCGTCATTTTAAAAATGACGACGGGACAGTCAATCCTGAGTAAGTTCCTCCTCGAGCGGGCCATGGTATCATTTCGTTGCATCCTTGGTTTCGTCGCTTGCCCTGAGCCGGAGGGTCCGACGGCAAGTGGAGTGGCCTTTTCGGACGCTCCTAACCTTGGCGGTTGTCGATGACGTGACCGCGAGGCATCGCAACATGTGGACCAGTGAAGCGAAACTGTGAATGAACACTACTGATGCACATCACCGCGCCCTGGGAAACCCTAACAGCCGCTTACACTCACATCACGAGCATCTAGAAGCCAAGTACCTCCGCAACTTCTACATTGCCAACAGCAAGAACGAAGTGACCCCGCCCTTTCCGAACACCGCCAACCCCTTGCAAAAGAGGGGTGTCTCGCCTGATCTACAGAATACCTTGGTCGTTGCCCAAGCGATTGAAGCTAACTTCAAGGCCAAGATGAAGACCAAAGGGAAGCTGGATAAACGAGCCGGGGGCACTCGAGCGTCCCGAGTCGCCCTTGACGGTGTCAGTGAGTGGTGCCTTTCAGAGTCTGCCATTGCCTCCCTTTGCCTATAAAACACCTCACGAATGACGCCTCGTCGTTGACTTTGTCTACTAGCCTGTGCATCCGGCGTCGTCCACCAGGTTCTCGTCAAGATCGGCACGCCACCCAAAGCCTTCTCCTTCACGCTCGACTCGGGTTCAGGGTTGTGAGTGAGGGTGGTTTGATTAAAAAATTCCCTGCCCTCGGGGCTCATCATCTTGTTGTATCGGGATCTTTTCCCCCAGATCGTGGGTCCGAAGCGAATGCAAGGACGGCGATGAGCAGCAGTGCGCTCCGGATCGCTCGCGCTTGTCACTGAGGGACTCGACTACTCTGATGAAATCGAACGTAACTTGGTCGACATCGTATGGTGAGAAGAACTGTGTTCAAACTCCTCTACATTCAAGGCATCATAAGGCTAAGCAGGACATCTTATTCCCTAGTTTCGGGCGAAACGTCGGGGTATTTCGTGAGGGACGTCTTCCAAATCGGCTTAGCTCGATACGACCAACAGGTCTTCGCCTCGGCGAGCAAGATTTCGCAAATGATCAACATGGTCCCTACCGATGGCGTGTTGGGCGCTTCCTTTTCGACGATAGCGAAGGCCCAAACGCCGACGTTCCTCGAGAACCTCATCAAGTCGCAATTGATAGAACAACCCATCATGTCCTTCGCCATGAAGGGCGGTCCTTCTCCCCCACATGGATCTCTCATCATCGGTGGGATGGATGAGAATGTGATTCAACCTGGAACTTTGAGATATCATCCTGTCACTTCGGTGGGTTACTGGCAGGTCAAGGCGGCGGGTCTCACTGCCGGGGGCAAAGTCGTGCCCGGTACTGAGATGGATTGTGCAATGGATACCGGCTCTGCGTGAGTGCATCTTGTCGCCAAGAGATCTAGTTCAGCCGGTGCTGCAAGCGATAATCAGCTGTGAATTCTGACGCTGCGGATTGTGAACTCCTATCCAGGATACTGTATCTACCATCCGCCGTGACCGATGCCTTCTTTGCCGCCCTTCCGGGCGCCATCAAGTCGGACCACTTGGGATGGACCGTACCGTGCAAGTCTCTACCAACCATCAAGACCATCGGAATCGCGTTCTCGAACGTCATTTACAGCATCCCGATTTTGAGTCTGGTCATCGGAAGTGAGTGAAGCTGAGGATGAACCGTATGATCCCGAGTCGCGTCTTGACAATTGAAGCTGACTGAAAATCGAGGGTGGTTTTGCAGCGGACCCCGATGATTCCAGCCAATGCAAGCTTGCCATCTCATCTTCATCAAGTACCGATATCAACGGCAAGCCCGTCGCGATCATCGGCACCGTCTTCCTCCAAGTCAGTCAAATGTGCCCAGTTCCAACCTCCGGTCGACCGGTGCCGGGAGACGTTCTGACGCTCAATTTCACCCCGCCTTTTCTTTCACATCTTGCAACAGCATGTCTACACCGTTCTTTCGTATTCGAATAACAAACAGCCGGCCGTTGGATTCGCCTCCTTCGTCGGCAGCGAGCTCGTCATCGAGAGTGTTGACGGTGCTGCTTTACCTCCTGCCAACGACCCGTCCCCACCCCCGAGCGACAAGGATGTCAAGCCCAAGTCGATTGCACTTTCGACCCAAAGTACGGATACGAAACTCCCTGCCAACAAGACTCAGACACCGCCAACCACCCAAACGCCCGTTCACGGGCCCTCCAAAGATGCTGGCAAGTCCAATCCAGACCATGGAGGCGAAGGCGGCGGAGAACCGACTCCTGGGCCCGATCTCAAAAAGGGTTCTCCTCCTGATCTTCCCGAGACGACGAGGCATGCCGCTAAGAAGGTTGAACCCCCTCAAGATACTGAGGCGGGTCGACCGGATCCCAAGGAAAAAGATGCCACCAAGCCTCATGGCAAAGGTGTCGAGACACCGGTTCCGGATGTAAAAGGGACGAAGCAGCATGACGCCGGAGGGAAAAGTACTCCTGTTGCCAAGGAGCAACCGGGTGCGAAAGACATCGGTCCGAAAGAAGGTCCGCCGGAACGACCCCCTACCCCGAGCGATTTCCACGCTCCCGAGGAAAGTGATTCGACCAAGAATATGACGGCGAAGAATCCCGTTCCCAAGTCTAAGGCGGACAAGGTCGCCCCCGAGAAGAGCCAACATCCCGAGGAGCACAAACCTGCCGCATCGGACAAGACGCCGGAAGCAAAAGGAACAAAGAAGGAACATAACCAAGCAGCCGGTGGCAAAGACAAGGACGGCAAAACGCTGCCGCCAGCTGATCAGTGAGTCCACCCCTCGACGACCGATGAGCATGAGATGAGATGCCTACACCCTGATGCTGCACTTTCTACACACCTCACTTTAGGCAAGCCGACTTTGGCCCTCCGACGGTCCAGAAAGTGCCGAGCCTCAACATCTCCGGCAACGGAAGCGACTCTCAGCCCGGTGCTCCAGGTGGGACCAACAATTCCAACCCAGTACTCCTAGGCAATGGTACGCTGCCGCCCGACTCGTTCAAACCAGCGCAAGAGTCCCACAGTGCAGCTCCAGCGATAGTGTCGAGTGTTTGGTCAAGTTCGGCCGTCTTGGTGCTGGTATCGGCAGGGTTCCTCTTGTTCGGCATTTGATCGATTCGAGCGGCGCCCCATACGTAGACTTTATCCTTTCGTTTCGTACATAACTTTCCAACTTGATTTCCGGATCGATTCGGCTTTATACCTGCCTATCTATTCCCTCCCCACGCTATTCGCGGACCCACATGTGCAACTAATCGCGCTCGTTCTTTTTTTGCCACCGTAGGTGACGTGTGAGCGCGGCCGCGTTGAAGTTTCTCTTTTCTCCGTCCTTATAGATTCCTGAACTCGGGTAGACCTATCAGTTCACAAAAAAAGGGGTAGGGGTATGCCAGTTTGACTAGCTACGAGGGCGAGTGACCTAGCTGGAGGCCTGAGATGGCCTGAGAGCTCCTGAGGTGGTCCGTGCGAATGACGTCGAGCGCGGGCTGTTTCGGTCTGGTTCAACTTTAGTGCTTGAGCTGCCACTTCCGCCTCAATTGGTCCATGAAACCCAGCTCAGCCAACATCCTCTTGAAAACCCGATGTCCGGCCCGTATGACTTCGGATCACTACGTTATACTAGTGACTTCCCGCAAGGTTCCCCCCTTCCAGTGTCCACCCTGCAGCTCGACCCCGCCTTTGACACCCAAGTCGCGCGCTCTTCAATATATTTACCCCAGTCCTGTGGCACCTACGTACCGGTCAACTGGACCAGTGCTCACAGCACCTGCTTGCGAGCTGCTCGACCGTAAGTCTACCCACACAAAGCTGCCAGCTCGCGTTCCATCGTGCACTCCTCTCGCCTTGACGCGTCGAGGCGCGTGAAGTTGGTTGTACGGCAAGAGTTAACGGTGTCGCAAGATTATCACTGACGTAACTCAACGGATGTGGCACATCTTAAGGTAGTTGAATGCAGCCTCCATCAGGCTCCACCATGGCACGTACGACTTCCCGAGGCTGGCTCAGGTCGTCAACAATCGCAGGGTACGTTGGTTGAGCTTTCCGAGTGTTTTGTGTGCAGTGAGTCCAACTCACTATTCCATCGATGCCACACTACTCCACAGGCGTTTGATACGGTCACCGAATCAGAAGTGACGGCTGCCCAGCGCGAACTGGCGCACGAGATGAAGCCCCAGATCTCGGAGCTAATCCAACGGGCGGAAAATGGACTCGAAACGATGAAGAAGCGGGAGAGGCTGTTGCGGACGAAGGTGAGTCGATCGACATCCTTGTTGGTCTTTACCATCAATAAGAGTAGGCGCTAACCAGGACGCAATGGTCTGCCCATGCAGGTCGAGAAGCGGGCGACGTTGCCGAGTCCAGCGCCTCTGGTCGCGCCGAATCTGGGAGCACTCGAGAGCCAGTTGGAAGTGCTGCGGCAGAAGAAGGAAGCCCTGGGAAAGCAGGTCGAAGGGTTGGAGCAGCAACTGGCCGACGTGAACAAGCCAAGAGGGGCGTTAGGTCGACGAGTCGGGGGACAGCAGAAATTATGAAGTCATGCAATAGGCGAGGGCGTTGCGCTGGAGAACCTGTCAAGTCGTGACTTTGATGTGATTCGGTATCGTGATGAAAGTGAGTCCGCTTGGAGGTGTACTAGCTAAGCTTCTTGCCTTCGTCACATGGTCCGCTTGCTCGACAGTCTTGCACGTTCGGATCAGTGGTGGCTTCAGAACGCTGGTCCCGGCTGCCGAAGCTACCTCGCGTGGGGGGGGCTTAATGTCTACGAAGTGCTCTTCGTCGCTAGCGACACTGACTAGGTATTTGCAACAGATCGAAGCGTTTGGCTATACCCTATAGTGACTCGTGACACGCGAAGCACGTTTAACCGGCGACTGCCGGGTCAGGAGGTGCGGTGTCTCAGGGGCAATTTAGGGGGGTAAGTGCTGAGGATCATGGTCGACCTCTCAACGTGCGCCACTCTCCCATCTGCCTCTTGGCATCGTGTCACCTGGCTGTAAAGAAGATCACCCATCTGATCTTTGCATCCAGTGTGTCCTCGGTCACTGTCCATCTACATACAAAGGCACCTAGTCTGGCTGTCGTCTTTTCTTAGGTGGTTGCCCATCTCCAAGCTACGCCCTCCCCTGAGATTGCCGTCAACCTCCGCAACGACCGTACCTCTTGCCCATCTCCCTACCTCTCTTCCTCATCGTCTGGAGACCTTTCGTCAGTCGCTCATTCGCTCTCAGCTATCTCAGTCGTCCCCGTCATGCACTTCCAAAACCGGCCCCAGTGTAAAATTTCGACCATGTTTCGACTCTCTGCCTACCTGTGCTTGTTCCAATCGACCGCCGTCTGGACGCTCGTCACCGGCGCAGCCCCCGAGTCGCCTGGTGTGTTCAGGTACAAGACGACGGCCCCTTCCTCGAGAAGCCAACATCAGACCAAAGATGGATTGCTCAATGTCCAGTAGGTCTTGCAGCGTGGCAAGTGGTCCATCCCCACCATTGCCGAGTTCTATGGACTCTGCGCGCGAGCCTCCGCCGCGTCAACACCGCGCTGGACACTCCTGACTAACTGCCGGTGACGCGCGAGGGGAGCGGTGAAGGCGGTGGTCTATCAAGAATTCCACTTGTGCTCGCACTGAGGTCAAGATGCACGGTTCCATTCCAGACACTTTGTCGAGCACAAAAGCTCGGTCGAGGAAAAGTATCGCAACAATCAGCTGAAAAGCCTCACCTCGCCCAATGACGTGAATCTCCCATCACGCAAGTCTCACGCCCGAAGGGATCTCGATACCATCGATGTTGAGTAAGTTCCCTTCGTTCACCACGACCGCTGTCTGACCTCCCGCTGCGGGTACTGTCTCCGATGAGCGGTGGCTTTCCTTCGGCCGACTCGTTGCCACGAGACGCAGTGCAAATCATCCGAGGCGGAGGCCAGCCGAAGCACGTGCTAATTCAGCCGCACTCCCTCCAGCGGCTTTCACAACCACAAGCAACAGATCGAAAGCAAATACCGCATCAACCAACAGCTGGCCGCCGCCAATCAAGTCACTTCTACGACCGATTTTGTGTTCAGGAAGGCAAACGCTCTGACGCGACGCAGCTCGAAAAATCTCGCCCGGTCTCTGCATAAGTTCGATGGAATCACTGGCCAATCTACGGCGCTGAACAAACGCGGAGGTGCAAGCTCCGCGACCACCCCTCTTGCAGGATTCAGTGAGTTCCCTTTCTTCCGTGTGCCCGGCCATGGCTGTTGGGCTGAAGCCATCTTCGCATGTGAATGTGTGCTATTGCTATGCTGGTACTGACGTTATGAGGTATCCAGAGCAAGAAAGTGGAAATTTTGTCGATTTCAACGTCTCGATCGGAAGTCTACGCGAGCCTTTCTCCGTCGTCTTCGATACGGGGTCTGCAGAGTGAGCCTCCGCTACTTTCTCCTTTCCAGGAGGGTGATTCTCGACGAGTGCACTTCTGAGCTTTTCTATTCCCGACCCTTCCCAGGCTATGGGTGCCGAGCTCTTCGTGCAAAACGAAGCACAACCGTTTCAGTAGCAAATCTGACACGTTATACCTCTCGGGCAAGTCGTGGTCGATCAATTATCGTAAGCCAGCCAAGTATTGCAGAATGCAAGAATGCGAAGCCTGAGGCTCATGTCTTGGAAGGAAGCTAATTGAAAGAAGCCAATGCCTGACAGGGAGTGGCTCCACAGTCGGCACTATCGTTAGGGATTCCGTGCAAGTTGGGGATTTGACCATACCGCAACAACTCTTTGCCCTCGCCGATCAGATCTCGCCCAGCATCAGCGAGCTGCCGACCGACGGGGTGATGGGATTCGCGTTCTCTTCGATAGCAACCGGGCAGATGACCACCTTCTTTGAAAATCTGGTCAATACCAAAGCAATCAGTCAACCTTTGATCGCCTTCAGCCTCGACTACACTACGGCGACAGGTGAACTCGTCATCGGAGGAACTGACAGTTCCAAGTTCCAAGCCGCCAGCATGCAGTACCACCCCGTGACGGCTCAAGGGTACTGGCAAATCGCGTGCGAGGGAATCGTTATCGATGACCAGGTGGTGCAGGGCACAAAGACGAACGCTGCTATTGACACAGGTACCGCGTAAGTGGTAGACTTGAGCACCCGGGTTATCCTGCGGCCCGGGCGAAATCCATATTCTGACCTCTCGACTCCCGGCTCGGGTCTCACAGATTGATATTGATCCCTACCGACACGGCGACGGCTCTTTTTAATGCGATCCCAGGCTCCGTCCAAAACCCAACTCTTGGTTGGACCATCCCCTGTCAAGCTACGATCAAGACGATCGGCCTTTCCTTCGGTGGAAATACGTACAAGGTCCCCCTCAGCGAGCTCGTTCTTGGACGTGAGTGTCGAAAGGATCGCCCTCGCGCGCTGCGGAGTCCACTGACAGGCGTCGGGTGACTTCAAACACCGTGACACAACAGGGGACCCCAATGATGCGAGCCAGTGCAAAATAGCTATCGCGAGCTCTTCAGCCATCGATCTCGACTCTAAACCCGTGGCGATCATTGGGAGTGCCTTCCTCCATGTGAGTTGACCGCGACGGATGGGCTACTTTGGAGCATGACCGTATCGAAGTGAAGTCCTGACGTTCGCGCTCCGCCACCGCCTGGACCCACGCGGGACCACACTTCCCCTTTTCCTATATTCAGACCGTGTACACCATGCTCACGTACAAGGATCCAAAGAGCGGCCAGCCGGCCGTGGGATTCGCGCCGCTTTTGGGCGGCAGCGGCGGCGGCGCAGCTGGGGTAAGATCTTCTATCAAAACCCTCGAATCAGGTGTATCCAGCACATACAACACAATATTGACAGCTTCTTCAATTTCTATTTTGCGCCTGAAAACCCTACGTCTCCGGAAATGCCTACACCGCCTCGCACAATGCCACACGTGTAGATTGCTCCCCTCACGACGAAGGGTTCGGCTCCGTCGGCCCCTGTAGGCTCGTCGGGTCCCAACTCTACTACTAATAGTACCGGTACCGGTGGAGGAGGAGCATCCGTAGGAGGATCGGGGTCAGCACCAGGATCGGGGTCAGCACCAGGATCGGGGTCAGCACAGGGATCGGGATCAGGGACTGGTGGAGGATCAGGATCAGGATCGGGAGCTGGTGGAGGCTCAGGGGTAGGATCAGGAAGTGGAGGAGGAGCTGGCGGCGCCCCTCCTGGCAACCAGAGTACCGCCCAGACGCCCCCGCCCTCGGTCAACTTGCAACCTGGCTCACCTGCCGTGTAAGCAGCAAGTTTCTGGCTAGACGATCCTCCGTCAAAGTCCTGGCGTACCGCGTACCGAAAAACGAGCTCATTCTATCCCCAACCTTTGACACCGTATAGTAACCAAACTGGAAACTATTCGTCTTCGGACCAGGACTCGAACCCCGACGGTCCGGGGAACCTCACCACCATCAATCCTGTCCTGCCACAGCTGCCGACCGTGCCGCCTGTCAACAACAGCAGCACTTCGAACACACCCTTCAGCCCGGCCTCTGCGGCCAGTATCACTACGTTTCCCCTCTCCTTCCTCTTGGCGCTTGTGTCGGCTGCCTTGGCTCTTCTCGCTTAGTATGTTGATGTTGGGTGGACCTACCCATTCGCAGAAACCATTCGGGTTTGCGCGACGGGCCGAGCATAGTCTCCTTCTCTCCCGTGCTTCTCCAGGTAGCGTCTCCATCTCCACGTCTCTCTTTATTCGTCTCGAACACTGTTTATCCGTCAAATACCACTACTTGCATCGCACAATTGGCGAGTCTCGCGCTGCCTTGCCAAATATCGCGCAGCCCCGGGCAGTGAGGGAGGTGAGCTAGCCTGCGTCCACTGTACTGCGTCTTTCGAAACGAGGACGGTGGTTAAAGGGATGATAAAGTTAATGCGCCGAGTTCCTGAGAACCACAAATTCTGGCAAGCTTCGCCGGCCGAGCAGCTAGTAGCTGGGCAGGAGAATCTCCGCGAGAAGCGGTCCGTGCGAGCAGCAGCGCGTCGTGGTCCCCCCCGTCTGATTGACAAGCACGCTCCCGGTAGCTCCCGGTCATTAGCCTCAGACCACCTCGCAGTTCCAACACAACTACACGCGCACTTTTGAACAGGACATCTACCACAGTCTCGCCGCTCGCCCCCCGTCGTACCCCAGAACTTCGCTGCAAGGGCCACACCACCCTTCGTGCTACCCGTCCTCGTCGTCATCGAACCATGTCGCGCGCTCGGCAGTCGATCTACCCTGCTCCCGTCGCGCCCACGTACTGGTCAACACTGGACCAGTGCTCACAGCACCTGCATGCGAGCTGCTCTAACGTAAGACTGCCCATACAAAGCCACCAGCTCGGGATTCCCTGTCGCTCGTGTCCCCTCTTGACGCGTCGAGGCGCGTGATGTTGGTTGACTGCCGAGCATGGAGATGCTGGCTGAACGCCGAGCGTCGAAGGTGTTGCACAAAAGGACCTGACGTTCCTTGTCTCGATCGTGTTGTCGTGATACAGTTGAATGCAGCCTCCATCAGGCTCCACCATGGCACGTACGACTTCCCGAGGCTGGCTCAGGTCGTCAACAATCGCAGGGTACGTTGGTTGAGCTTTCCGAGTGTTTTGTGTGCAGTGAGTCCAACTCACTATTCCATCGATGCCACACTACTCCACAGGCGTTTGATACGGTCACCGAATCAGAAGTGACGGCTGCCCAGCGCGAACTGGCGCACGAGATGAAGCCCCAGATCTCGGAGCTAATCCAACGGGCGGAAAATGGACTCGAAACGATGAAGAAGCGGGAGAGGCTGTTGCGGACGAAGGTGAGTCGATCGACATCCTTGTTGGTCTTTACCATCAATAAGAGTAGGCGCTAACCAGGACGCAATGGTCTGCCCATGCAGGTCGAGAAGCGGGCGACGTTGCCGAGTCCAGCGCCTCTGGTCGCGCCGAATCTGGGAGCACTCGAGAGCCAGTTGGAAGTGCTGCGGCAGAAGAAGGAAGCCCTGGGAAAGCAGGTCGAAGGGTTGGAGCAGCAACTGGCCGACGTGAACAAGCCAAGAGGGGCGTTAGGTCGACGAGTCGGGGGACAGCAGAGGTAACCACTTCATCGATGCAGCCGAAGGAGCGAGTGGGACCTCGGGTCATTTTTTGCCCGTGTTGTAATACAAGGCTGCGAAGTGGTTCTCGTAATGACTCATGGATACCATTGTCACCTATCACGTTACTGAGGTGCTATAAAGGCCCATGGGGGTGCCGGGGCAAGCGCTCTTGCAGTCACCCGGGAGACTCCTTTGAGGCCCCGTGTTCAAAGGTGGGCGGCCGCTCCGCAACTCGCGCTCGTGCAACTTATTTAGCCGGCACCTGAGCCTGAGAAACCGCGCCAAAAGTCTCCAAAAGTCTGCGAAAGCCGCCTCGAGTGCGACGGTACATTTTGGATGTCACGTGACATGTCACGCTAGTACTTGTGAAGGCGTTCTCATTCCTTAATTCAGCCCGGGAATCATGATCCCTGTGACATACCCCTCCCCCGCCAACATTTGCCTGGCTCACCGACAGCGCAGTTTAGCTCGATGAGAGGCCCAAGTATCTTGTCCGTCAGACCTGCTCGTCTTGGCGGCTGCGCTGCTCCTCTCGATCGCCAATCCGAGTTCACCCGTCAGCTCGCAGAATTGTCACAGGCAAGCCTGCGCCCATCCCAGATCGCTCCGTGTCGAGAGGAATGTCAACGGGATCGTCAATGCCGAATTAGTCCAGGGTTGGCAGACAAAGGTGCTTCAAGTATTATGGTGGGACATGACCGTTTCGCAAGTGAGCTTAGCGCCGTAGCAGGGGTGATGCGCCCTCTGAGTCGTTTCAGTCGTCTGCACGGCGACTCGCGCGTCGGGGTCCGTGAATCGAGTCGCCTCCTGTCAGAACCACTTCGGGAGAGGACATCATCACCGCCGGCCAGCCTACAGCGATCTGTGGTACGAAGTTCCTCAACGTAAGGCCTTCGTACGTGAGAAGGGTACCTCAAAGCACTTCAACCTCATCCTACTCACGGAAAATCACCGCAGAGTGTGTCCACCGCGCTCGCCTTCCCGGTCTCGCTCGTGTTTCGACCTTCTGGCTTGTGCTCATGTGTGCTCATCAATTGCTGGCTTGAGTGATCTGTGGGGCTTCTCCTTCTCCCATTGATCGACCGCTTACATTTCTTGCACTTTGTATTATTCGGTCAATATAGCGGTATCTAAATCTTAGTTGTCACAGGGTAGACGCGCTATGTGAATGTCAGCGAGAACCCTTCAATATACATTTGAGACAACGATAGCCAAAGCCGCCTTCCCATGACGATCAAAACAAGACCGTCTCCGTATGGGACTCTCACAGCTCGTCATGCACCTCGGCCGCCACCGACTCATCCGCGTCTCCTCTCGCGGCCGCTCCGTCCGTGTCGCCAGCTTCCCCATCCTCAAGGCTGTGTAGCCAATCTTGCACTTCTTGCTCGCTCATGGATTCGAGTGCCTCAGCGAGCCTTCGATTCTCCTCTCGTTCAAAAGCAGTTTGCTTCCAATCGCGCTTGTCGAGAGCCCACGCGGGCTCGTCCCATTGCTCCATCGGCTTGATCGTTCTCGCCTCGTCTTCGATCTTCTTCGAGATCGAGTAGTCGCACCGCAGCAACGGGTAGTAGCTTGGTATGGTGGAGCGAGAGAAATCAGAGGCAGGGGTGTCATATTTAGAAAAGACGCTGAAGTAGTGTGACAGACACAGCGCTCGTTGAGTGAAGTGATCGATCTTGGGACGTTCCGAGGCACCGTGGGTGGATGCCGGCTCCTCCTCGTCATCGTCGTCGAAGGCTCGATTCCACAAGCCTTTGGAAGGTATGGATCGCAACGGCACTTGCGACTTGAGAAGCAAAGGCGCACGACGAGTCAAGTTGGAGACGACAAAGTTGATCAAGATGTCGTCGCAGTTGAAGACTGGGGAAGGGGGGGTGCGAAAGCGAATAAAAGTTACTCCCCCTGTACGTAGAAGGATGTGTCGTATGCCCCACTCACCTTCATCGACATAGTTCCTTAGCATTCGATACTCTTGCGTCCCTTGCCAATAATGCTCAAGCCATTTCTTCTTCATGAATGCCGCATTGCTAAGCACCATCGAGTAGGTTCTCGTCGGCTGGGCATTGTAGTCGATAGGTGAACCCTCCGAAGGGTCGTTCTCGGCTTCTTCATCGACGCCCGTCAACAGCTTGTCATGAGGCGCGATGTAATCCCGCCCTGTAAATCCAACGATCCTCTCTTGATTCTCCAAAAATCGTTGGTACCCCCATTCGATCGTTGTCCAAGGCAAGACGAGGTCGTCGTCAAAAATCATCACGTCCTCCGTAGGAATCTCCTGATCCCAGTCTAACAACGGACGGAAGCGTTCGTTCATCGAGTTGACTTTGGAAGCTCGAACGACGACATTGATTCGATCACGGAGGATGGGCGCAACGAGTGATTTGATTCCCGAAGGTTGAAGAAACTCGGGCAGAGGTACGCCAACGTTTTGCCAGACGATGACGAGGTGACGTAGTGAGTGTGGCGGATTCCTTGTCAGATACACCAATAGTGAATGTAAGATCTCGTCCCTTTGGTAGGTTGCAATGATCATCCTGTGCAGGAGGGGAAGAGGCAAAGATGAGCACTCTAGCACCGCTCGTGTGGGGCACATCGCGGAGACTCGTTCGGCGCCGAATCGAGCGACACCGACATGCGCTTAGTGAGAGTATCGGAGTGAATACAAGACGTACGTGAACCCTTCATCGATCGGTCGAGGTTTGGAAGGTGGCAATCGATCAAAGAAGCTCAGAAGGTCGTCCTCATTTCTGGCGCTAACAGCAGTCAGGATGCTGAGAGAGAATAGCAGCGAGTAGATTGACCAGCGACCCCACGCTTTGATACAACATAACAGCATCTTTCCTGTTCGAAGGCGCTGAGGCTACCGGTCCATGAGCTTGGACGGCGTGTCGACACAACCCGCCGCGTGTATTGCAGACGCAAGACATTGACGCGACAAAGCGCGCGCGCCATCGATCGCTGATTCCGACACTGGTCAGGCAGTCGTCAGGCAGACTCTGCCAGCTGGTCAGCTGATCCGTCAAGCCGAAACTGGAACATAATAGAATCATACGCATTCACATGAGGACACCCATGTTTCATATGGGTCGCTGTTTTGTTCAACTCTTAGATGGCGCATCACTGCACCTTTTCCCTGGCTGCGCTTCATCGGTGTCGTAGAATTCGACCAATAGTCTTCAACTTCAAGGATCCAAATTCAGCGTATCCAACACAAATAGACGACCCTTCCATCCCCAAAAGTGAAAACGGCCCCCAGAAAGCCAATCAAACCTTGAAGCCCAACATCGGGCCCTCCTTACCCCTCCGATCAATCCTCAAAACCTGCTTCGAAACGAGCGAATAAATTGTCGGCGTGACGAGATCCTCGGCCCATCCTCGCGCCTTGGCGAAGTCGCTGAGATGCAACTTGAGCGCATTCATCGAGATCATGGGATCTTTCTTCCCCGGTGGAGGGGCGACGAATGTGGCTGCTCCTGCGCTCCCGAGCGACGAAGGGAGTACAGCGTCGCGGAGAGTGATGGACAGAGGGGGCAAGGAAGACGAGGGTGGAGGGACCAAGGGTGTGCGCGAAAGCGTTGACAGGATCAGGTTGAGCGCCTCATATTCCATTGCCAATGCAGGTGAAGGGGGCAACGGGTCGTCCTCGTTCGTAATTGTCGTCGTGGCGTGACTTCGGGCTGGCGAAACGGGTTCGATAGGGGCCGTAGAGGCGGCGTTGATCGCGGTGCGAAGGGTGGCCCTGATTTGAGAAGGAGTTGCGTATGAGCTCCCTTTCGCGCTCTCGCTGTTGTGAGCTAGGAAGACTTGCAATGTGTCGGCGATGGACAAGACTCCTTCGGCCGGAGCCTCTGCGGCATCCTGTGGTGGAAGCGCTTCCCGAGCCCACGGACGGATCGGATCTCCGAGTGTTGCCCAGAGCTTGCTCTGTGAATGCGGTTGACACAGGATGAGCATTCTGACACATGCTCTCTACAGCGGATCAGCCTGTACACGCACCGAATACTGGACCAAGTCGGCCGCCGTGACGCCGGAGGGAAGTAGTTCAGCGTCCTTGGATTTCTTGGGTGACGCTTTGGCGGGGCTCCACCTCACCCCAGCTGGTGTGCGGGCAGCTCGAGGCGTAGTCTGGCGGCTAGAGCCCGGAGACGACGTGATCGTAGGAGTCCGCTTAGGCGTACCTGCGGCCGGGCTGCGGGCAGCAGGCGACTTCGGTGGAGGTGTTGACTTGACTGGGGAGCGAGGACTAGCTGTCGCTGAGATCATGCCGCGATTCGCACGCGGCGTGGTCCTGGAAGCTGACGTCGGCTGAGCACCAGAGGAAGCTCGTGCAGGAGTACCTTGAGACGCAACGGCTTCGGCTCGCTTTTCGAGCATATCCGACTTTGCGAAAGGGTTTGCCTCCCCAGGACTAGGGAGAGGGGCTTTCGCCATTGGAATGCGTCGCGTTCTAGTCTTAGAAGATGCAGCAGCAACCTGTTGGCGGCGAGAGGATCCATCAGCTGCATTTAAAGATCGGATCACTTGATGTGCTCTGTTCTTACCTCTGCTTGCTTCTCCGCATGGATCTGCTGGAGCGCAAAAATCTCCATCTGCTCGCGCTTGATCGCCTCCTCGATGTCGGCTGCGCGCTGGAGCTCTTGCTCATGGGGATCCGTTGCTGCACGTGCAAGAGGCTAGGCACCAACGAGAGAAAGGAAGCAACATCAGTATCAATGGCAACCCGCATACCCGGCGACGAATTCTGCCCACCTTCTTGAGCGCTTCCTCGTGTTCGATCATCGTCTCGAGCAGGCCATTGAACTGGTGTTGCAACGCTTCAACATGCTCGGTTGCCCTCGGAAGTGAACTATGAACAGAAACACTCAGTACCTCTTTCCTCAGGCTCATCAGCCGGACGGTACTCACTAGATGCTGAGCAGTTTGAGCGCGGCCCTCAAACACCTATCAGGATCCTCTGCCGCGGCAGTCCCCCTGCGTTCCTTGAGAGGACTCGCCTTCTCAAACATATTAGCCCTTTGCGGTCCACCCCTCTTTGTAGCGGTCCATTTCTCTTCTGCTCCAAGAACCGATCCAGCCCCGCCCGAAGCGCCAAAGGCAGTCCCCGCGTGATCTTCGTCGATCAAATCGCCGTCGAGCGCGTCATAGCGAGACTCGAGCGTAGGGCGGAACAGGGCTAATTCGTACGGCTCGGCATCGCGAATCATGTAAGCTTCGAACTGTTTTTCGGTGGCTAGGATCGCGCGGGGCATGGCTTGGTCACGACGAAACGAGAGCGCGTCGATCAAGGCGCTGCTGAGCGCGATCGAGTTGAGTGACTCGGCTAGGTACGTCGACATGGTCGGTGGTCGTGGTCGACGTTAGTCCTCGTGCGGTCGGAATAATCGTGCGCTTGAATCTTGTGGGCCGAGCGTTAAGCGTGGTCTCGAGGCAATGCGCAGTGACAACACGCGAGCGTAGATCCAGCAGCGCGACGCGTATCGACGCGACTGGCTGCCCCAAGGGTCCCTGCAGCCTGCCAGGGGGGTCCTAGCGCAAATAAAGCCGCTCGGCCTCTCCGGGGATGGGGGTCCCATCCCCGGCCGCCCGCTCACTGAACGACGCAAACGACTTTCTGATGCAGGCACTACCGCAGAATGCCCGGTCCTGATCGTGATTGCCTAACCTATGTGTCTGCGTACACCTTGCCCACTAAATTCCCCAAAAAACACCCCCTGAACTAAAATTTGGCCAAAATCCGATGTTCCCGAGCGAAACGAGCTGATGATCGATATGAAAATATAAGCGCAGATCAGTTGCCATTCCTTGGAACACGATCAGGAACCGACTCACCATACAGTAGAAGGATCGAACCGAACATCATCGTTCCTCCACCGAAGTAAGCAACAGGCTGTAAGATGCAGGTGGGCCAGAGCACCTTGAAGTCAGCGAGTCCGTGTATATTTCCCACAGTATTCTAGGCGTACGCACCTTGTAGTCCCCTCCAGCAGCCGTCAACACTAACCCTCCAATAGGTCCACCTCCGAGTTGACCAGGGGCATTCACGAGAATCATGAACCCCACGATCGTCGAGAGACCTTCCATTCCGAAGAGCTGTGCCGCGGCCATCGGCAGCAGACTGACGAACCACGCTCCTGTGAAGCCGTACAGCGCGCTGAACGCTATGATGGCGTCGAATGACGTGGCGCGGGGCCAGAAGAGAACTTGGAGCAGGCCCTGGAAAGGGTGAACTCGTAAAGTTAGATCCAAGACTGTCTTGATGGTGGGTCTGTCGTGCGTCTCCGCTTACTCCGAAGAACCAGGATGCAAAGAGCATGTTGACCGGTCCCGCGCGATCGGCAACCAGGCCTGCGCAGATTCGACCGATCCCGCTAGCGGCGTTGGCCACGATCAACGGAGCGGCTGGCTTGAGACCTGTACCTAAATTTGGCACGACCTTGACCGTGTATGTTACCAAGAATGCGTAAGGGACGAGGTAGCCGAAGACTGAGGGGTAGGTTGGTTAGTTGCTTCATGCTTTGGTGCCTGAGCAGGAATATGAAATGGTCAAGGCTCACTTCCAACAAAAACACAGGCAATGAAACTGTAGAACGTCCCGTGTCTCCAAACTCCTTTCGGTAACCAGCTGTAAGAGAGAGAGCGTAAAGGGTCAGTCAGGACTCTCGGGAAGACCAAGCTCAGATTTGACGGGAACCGACTTTTTGGCCACTCGAGGCTGTCCGGGCAGACGAGGCGGTTTCCGTGTTCGAAGCAAAGTAAAAGCCGAGGCTGTGGTGAACGCATTGATACCAGCGTAGACGAAAAGCATTTTCTTGAAGCCCTGAGGATGGGAAGGAGGCGCACATTCCCACCAATTTTAACTCAGCCTGGTCAGCGAGGAAATCCCGCGCAGGCTCTTTGAACATGAGGAGAGTTCAAACTCACTAATTTCGGTAGCAAACTTCGCATGATCAAGGACGCCATCGCACCACCGAGTCCGGTTCCGCTGACGGCAATGCCACTAGCAAAACCCCTTCGCTTTAAGAACCACTGCGACGGCAACGCGCAGACGAGTGGGAAGGTGCAGCCAACCGATATTCCAACACCCACCCCGAGGAAGAGGAACAGCAGCGGCAATCGATCGACCGAAAGCGCGGATGCGACGAGCGTGATGATGTAGAGGATCGAGCCGATCGCGATGATTGGTCGATAGCCAAACTTGTCGCCCAGGCGGCCGGAAATGAAAGCAAAAGCTGCAACGTTGTCGAAAGAGCAGGGGTCAGAATCAAGGCACATGTGGCCCGTCTGAAGAGCGTGGGTGACTAACCGTTCATTCTAAAGACAAATAAATTGGATGTGTCCGTGTTGCATCAGCTATCACGTCCGCCATAATTCTGCCGGCCATTCCCGAGGCACTCACAAGAAAGCGGCGACTCCCATCACTCCATTCAGCGTGGCCAGAGACAGGTTGGGGTAGTGGTTTCGAGACAGATCTTCGACCAACACTCCCCAGGTCATGCCGAACGCGAGGTGCGAGCTCGCAAACACCCAACACCCCTGTCGTCGTCGTCAGTCGGGGTCAGGAGTAGGCCAGACCGTCAGCGACCGGTCTAACTGATGATCGATGATCACGCGTCGGCGGGGCAATGACAGCGCGAGCCCGACCACGAGTGATTAATTGCCCGGACGAGTGGACTCACGAAGACGACCGACCAAGCTCGCAAACCTCCATCAGGGTAGGTCCATTCGACCACTTGCGGTTCTTCGTCCCTCGATACGGCCTTTTCGCAGTCGTCGAGCGATTCGCAAGGGCCCACCTTGATGCCGTGATCGGTATCGCCCGGCGCGGCGGCGGCCTCGGACTTGGCTCGAGCCTCGCGACTTGGCCGCTGACGCTGCTGGCGATGGCGCCTCAGCGGCTTGGACAGCTGTGCCAACATCCCTTCGGTCGGTGGTATTTCTAGCGATCGTACGGGCTCCAGTGAGCTGAATTCGGGCCCATTGCCGTGGTCTGTGCTTTCTCCGTCTCGCACCAGTTTGTCGGCGACAGGCCGGTCTCCGGCCACGGTGGTCGATTCGGACGCGTGCGAGTCGGAGAAAGTGGTCGAGGTCGACGATGTAGATCCGGCCGACGACGAAGGCGAAGGGCCGGTGGCCGGTGTACAAGTGCACGACACCATCCTGGTTCTTTAAGTTGTTAGCCGAAAGGCGGGTTCGAAGGTCGTTTCGCACGATGGGTGCCAGACGCCAACGCATTAACGGAACGCGGCGCAAAATGGGGGGTGGGGGGTGGGGGCGTGGCGCTGAGCCGAGTTACCGGCCCTTTTTTCGGCATGCACTTGACGCACTCGGCACGATCCCGGCACAGCCGGCACAGCCGGCACCAAGCGCGGCCGGCTGAGCAATCACGATCGCTCACAAATCACTGCCAAGGGCCGCTTGCAATTTCCATGCATCACCAGATTCACCACTTCACAAGACCCTTTTCAAGATCATGGTGGGGTTTTACGGTAGGTAAATGTTTAAAGCACTCTGTTCTACGGAAGTCTGCTCATCGAATCGGCAAGTTGCCGCAGGCTCGTAGGCCGGAGCTCACAGTGAGGTCAATGCGGAATCAGTTTCGGGTGCATCGTGCTTTTCTCACTCTCACGCGGTCGACACTTGTTCAGGGGACCGCTAACGGCAACGGGCCGTCGATCACGTGACATGGACTTGCGCCGGTGACCGCGATCGACGCTGAGAAGGGTCTGCATTGGGATTAGCTGGAATATAGTTATCACTATATGCCATCGACAGCATGAAATACCATAACTCAATACCATTGAAAGTAGGCAAAGCGGTTATTAGGTCTTTGAATGTGAGATATGGGCTATGTAGCTCGTAGCCCCTGAGCCAGCCGCCGTCTTAGCCCGGCGCGCGCGTGGTACTCGGCTCGTCGCCGATCAATTCCATCGCCACTGCATCTGATCCTCGGGATACTGAATAGGGAAGCAAGGAGCAAACGAATGATGTTGCATCTGCATTTGACATCCTTCTCATTCCTCCCGCCGCCACGTTTCGACTTTCTTCAGCGAGCAGTTCTGACTGGCATCGACTGAGACACTAACTTAACTTTCGGCGTTAGTTCCCGACCGACGGATCTTGATGCGCTCCAACGCCCCCATTATTTGCTCGCTAGCTCACAGATAGAACTAGGTGAATGTGTTCTAGCTACTCGGACGCTACTTTTAGGGCTGTGCTGTAACGCATCCCCTTACACGCAGGGGAAAGCGCTCTCGGGCCTCATCTAGTAAAACCTGCGGGCGACTCGGAGTCAACAGCAGGTTGATCTCCCGGTTTAGCCGAGCTCAGGCTCTTGGGCGAGGTATATATAACGAACTTCTTCTTGTTCCTCTGCTCATCATTCCTCCCTCAATCCCATCCTGAGCAGTATCTTGCCCGCTCCACACTTTTCAAGATGCTTTCGACCTTTCTCGTGCTTGGCCTTGCGCTCGCTGCTACGACGACCGCCGTCACCTTCGCCGCCGACTCTGGCTTCAAGGAGAGGCACTCCCCCGACCAATACTCTTCCGGTGCCACTCCACCTGTCTATTTCACGTGAATATCACCCGGGTCATCTCCACATTACTGCGGAATTACGTCTGAAAATCCCTCTGATATATCGTTTGCTATCATCCATAACAGTCAGGAACCTGCCGGAGGCCGCAGGAGAGACGATACACAATGTAGAGACGCCAGCAAGCCGAAAAAGGGGCAGCCGGAGGGCCAAATGCAGGTGGATGTTGCCTGCATGTGAGCTCTTTCGAGACTGCCCGTGCACGGTGTTACGATAGGGTACCTGACGAATTGTGTTCGACGACTGCAGCTGCTGCGAGAAGGACTGTAACAATGTACACCCCCAGGCCCAGGACCCAAAGCAAGTATATGGTAGTTATTCCTGTAACCTCGCGGTCTGTCGGACGGTTGTCCCCATAGCGGCTCTCATTTGCCCTTTGGCTGCCGTGCCACCCAATCGAGCCTGACGTTGTCTTGTGGTCTCTGCTCGCATACTCTGCAGCGATGTCGCTTTTAGGAACTGTTTCCAAAAGGAGTGCGCGCCCGGCCGCTGCTACCGCCTCAACCCGTGGCCACCGCAATAAACACCTCGCCCCACCGAATCCCTTTCGGTGCGCCCAATTGGTTGGCAAACGGAGGGGCGAACTTACAGGGATTGGAAGAGGGAAGGGCGGTAGGATGGAGGCATCGAGAGTCGGAATTAGGGCTCAGAAGGAGACGTAGGAACCAATCCTGCCGATCAGCCACCTCTCGCAAGTACTTGGATGATGGCAAGAAAAGAGCAGATCATCACCGGTCATTGCACTCCATGATTACAACAATGTCACAAGACGAGAGAAAGAGAATATTAAGGAACGGAAAAAGAAGGAAGACATCTAGGCAATCGCCATTGTACAAAACACCTTAGGAAAACTTCACCAGAATGGGCCTGTGGGAGGATGCGAGAATAATCAACATCCATGCCCGCCACTAAGAACGGTTCTTTCTGGGTCTGTCACTCACACCATCCAATGAAGCATTGCGAGAGGTTCTCGAGGCTGGTCGCTTGAGCAATCAGCTTGTCGACCTGGTCGTTGACGCTGAGTACGACCGTGGCCTTGAAGTCTCGTCCTCCGAGAATCATTGGCGTGGGTTGCTCTGCGCGTCAGGTCTCCGGTCACTATGCACGGGTATCTTGGGCTTCACTCACCCGTCAGCTTCTGCTGCACACGTTCGACGACTTGCACGGCGCGGGTGTTGATCTGGTCGACCGCATCCTCTGCAAGAAGCACGTCACACCACGTTGGTATTCTTCATCAGCCCTACGCCAATCTCCTACTTCGATCATCGAGACCGGATTGGAACTCACCATCATAGATATTGGTCTCATCACCCCTAGGACGGCGCGCCCCTCCAACGCCCCCATTGTCCGCCGCGGCTTTGCCCTCGATCTGTCGCCCACCTTGCACGAGCCTCCAATTGATGAGAGGGTCATGGACAAACGCCTCGAGTACGGCGATGATGGATTCCTTGTTCTCGCGTAGGACGCGCATCGTGTGTTGGCACGTGATTTTGAACGTGCCTTCAATGCCCGAGACCTGGTGAAAAGAAGGACCGGGTTAATAAGAGCGTCCCCGAAAGAGGGTGTCTGGACAAAGCCTCGTCGAAGGACTCACCTCCATCGCCGACATGAGCATCCTCGTCAATCGGAACGGCACCTTCTCAGGATGTTTTTCCCTCTGCATCGCGACCTCGAAGCAATCACCGAAATCGACATGCACGATCCTCCCACTGACACGATCCATCAACAAATTCGAAGGGTGACGATCGCCCAATCCAAGAATATGGCCGACCATGGACATGACCGCCAGCGTGCGGCAGTAGTTGCTGCGACGATCGAGCCATGCTTCAGAGTTGCGCGACTTGAGCCACATGACGCGGTAAAAGTCTTGGCCCGTCGTGTTGTCGAGCGAGTACTCGAACACCTCGAGCTTTTGCATCAGACACAAGTGGTCGAAATCGGGTGCCATTTGGAGGATCAGACGATGTTCGATGTTGAGGAGGATCTTGTGACTGTCACGGTAGTTCTTGATGAGCACATGCAGCGTATCGGTGCTGTTGACCCAGCCGAGTAGGCCCGAGTTGGGCGAGAGCGGGATGACGGGGTATTTGACGATCGTGAGGTGTCTTTTGAACGTCTCTGAATCCTTCTGCAACAGCGTATTGACAAGACCAAAGAGCTGCATGACACGCTCGTCCTGACGAAGATCTTCGTGGCCCTTGAGCAAGAAGTTGTAGTCTACGCCATCGCTGCCGACGATGCGCAGCTTGCGCGGCCTCTGCTTCGAGGTGAAGACTTCCGACGTTGGTCCGAAGCTGGCGATACGGACAATTTTCTTGCCCGTTTGATACGTACCTGCGAGAGACGATTGTGCACTCAGAGTCAGCTCCGAAAGCGACGCATCCCTTTTGCAGAGTGCACAACAACTCACCCGGGATTGCCAAATCCAAGTTCTTGACCGCCAACAACTTGGGCGAGACGTACTGCAACTCGAGCAGCGTCAATGTCGGCAAATTCTTGTTGATCTTCCTAAAGACCTGGTAGTACAGATCCCAAGCATGGTTGAGGTCTTGGATCTCGCCGAATTGTCGATAGCGATTGCACGCCTCGCGAGCGTCGGCGAGGTCGCGCCCAAACGTCTGGGCGAACGCAATCTCGCGCAAGGTTTCGGGACCGCGTTCGAGCATGTCGTGCAAAGGGGCCAAAGTGGCGAACATGGCGTCGATGTTGTGATCACCGTAGAAGAGACGAGAAGCTTCCTCGAGTCCTTCGTGCCATAATTCGTTCCAGAGGATCGCGACGCGGATCAACTCCTGACTGACAAGCAAAGCCTGAGCGACGAGGGCTTCGCTATGTACCTTCATCTTGTCAATGATCGCGACGGCGGCGGAGCGACGAGGTGCGCTAGGATACTTGGATGCGACCGTGAGTGGGTAGACGAGCGCCTGGGGATGCTGCTTCCCGACATCGGTGAGGACCGAATCGATGAGACTGCGCACGTTGGCACTCGGCGCGTGAATGCGAGCGATAAGTTGAGGGATGACATCGAGCCACGTATCGACGCTGACAGTCTTCATCCCCTTCATGATCGCCTCGTAGACCTTCTCGTCCCCACCGTACTTGAACCAAAGTGTCAACAACCTCAGAGTATCCTGCAACGAATTGCCTGGCGAAAGTGCGATCGAATGGAAGAACGCTTCGACGGCCGGCACGAGATGATCGATGAAAACCTGAGGTGCCATCTGGTCCTGCTCGTTGAGTGACTTGGCGTAATGAGAAACGACCTCGGAGTTGGCCAAGGCCCAAGCGTGCCATGCCTTGTACCACGTCGGATCGAGCTTGGTCGCAAGGAGGTACGACTGCAAAATGTCGGTGATGGCGTCCGAGCCCCAATTGTCTTGCATTGCGCTCTGCCACTCCCCGAGCTTGTAGTACAGCCGCGCCAGCAGTCGCACGTCCTTGGAGACGTTTCCGCTCGATGACCCGCTCCCCGGCAAGAGCACGTTGGAGGTCAATCCCACCTCGTTCGATCGTTGCGAAGTGAACGTCCGCAAGAATCCAAGCGTCTCCTCCCTCGCTCCAGTCGCCCACATGTACTTGAGATGCGCATAGATGATCTCCGGCGGCCCCGTCATTCCGGTCGCGCCTCCAGGTCCAATATCATCCGGCATGAGCGAATTGAGCGTCTTGTCCGCCAAGCCAAGTCGTCCGGACTTGCGACACAAGTTCGCAAACTTGACCCACATCTCGATGTTCTCGTGCGGCGAAACAACAAGCGCCCGAACCTTGAGGATCCGTTGCCACACATCGACATCGCGCTTGCAGCCTAAAAGTCGCTTCATCCAAGTACGTTGGATTAAATTCCGTCGCTCAAGGTTCCCACTCGCCGTCGCCTCCTTGTACGAGATGATCTCCTCCAACTCGGACAACATCTGAATCCTCACGACCGCGTCATACGCTCGGTTGTAACTCTCCCCTACGAGCGTCGTCAATTCTGTATCGAGCAGATCGCGCGCCTTGTTGATGTGCGATTGCGCCTTGTTGAACTGACCGCGATGGATCGATAGGATGGAGCGGAACCATGCCCTGTCGGCCGAATCATGCTTGAGCACACCGATGAAAGTGTCCATTGATTCCCATTGCGCCAAACCCCATGACGCTGCGGCGGCCATGGGTGCAATCTTGCGCTTCATGTCGTGGCTCGCTCGCGCCCAGTTCTCTTGCGCGAGGTGGGCCAGCGACTCCCATTCGCCCAGCGCGTGAAGGCATCGCATCCTTCCGAGGGTGACATCGAACGAATCGGGTTGTTCTTGAGCCTTGCGCTGCAGAGCCGCAAGTGCATCCTCCCATCGTTCGAGTTCGATGTACCACTCCTCCTTGAGGACGAGTCCATGTCGCTGATGCGCATGCACGAGGATCCCAACGGAGACATCAGGTTGTTGCAACGAGTTGTTGATCCTGATCAACTCCTCGATCGTATGCAACGAAGGATCGGACAAAACTTCCAGCTCCTTGTAATGCAACGCCTTGGCGTACGCTCGGCATTTGAGCGCGTATTGCCCCAAGGTCGAGATCGGGATGGGCAGGACCTTGTCGTCATGTTCCATGAACTCGGCGAGGTTGAGCAATTGCTGCGTGATCTCCGGAGGGAGCGTCGGCGAACTGAACGCGTTCTGAATCGCTCGTACGAGGTCTTCTTGATAGTTGTCATACAACTCGCCCCAGACCGAGACGAAACCAGCATTGAAGAGATCTCTCGCAAGGGGATGGTACACCTCCGCCAAATTCGCACACGCTCGCAACGACAACGAAGGGGACGATTTGAGCATCTGGACCGAGATACGCTTGATCCATTCGCGCCAATCATCGGCCTTGGGTCGGTCGACGATCTCCCACGCCGATTTGAGGTGTACCTGATTGACGGGGAGCTTGCTCATTCCCGCGTCGGCGGCGACGATCGCCTCTGTGTTGGGCATGATGATGGGATCACCGAAGGTCAGATCCTGAGGCAGAGGCTCTTCCGCTAGCAATTTGTCGACCAAGGTCTGATAGGGAGGGTACGAGATGCGTTGTCGCACGAGAATCTATGGATTGCCAATAAAAGATCAGACTCGGCCCGCATCTGTTGCCTCGACCGTTCCGGTCGACCCACCTTGTGAATCATCGGCACAAACAAAACAAAATCCGGCCCCATCTGCAACAACAACGAGCACATCGCGTCCATAGCCGGGACCCTCAACTCGAGCGGCGAAGCAGGGTTCGCCAACACCCTCGCCAAAGGATGGATGATCCTCGAAGCGTGATCGGCGAAATTGATCTTGCGACATAGTTGCGACATGGTTTGCATCGCGTGCCTTCGTAGAACGGCGGGGACGTCGGGTCTTTCAAAGGTCGATACGATCGCGGGGATGATGAGGTGGAGGTATTCTTCCAGGCTCGTACCAAAGACGGCGAAGGCGTGTAGGACCTTGATCAATGAACTCTGTCGACGCAATTCGATGAAATCATGATCGAACGCCTTGAGCATCAACGGCAACAGGTTCGGCAAGTAGGCCTTGAACTCGGCGTCAAGGGCCAAAGCGATCGATTGGATGACGTCGATGATGATGACTTGCAATCCAGGGTTCGTCGTCGAGTTCCAAAACTCGCGTACGATCGCTAAGATGGGTGCGAGGTGGTTGCGCACGTGTTGCTTGACCATTTGGATCAACTGCGACAAGTTCTGGAAGTAGAATTCTTGCAACCCGACGGGGCAAGTCCTCATGACGTTGAGATAAACGGGCAAGACTTGAGGCAAAAAGGTGACGACCTTGAGTCGAAGCGAACGGAAGATGTAAATGATAGCATCGACGATGGCGGTATGATGATCACTGAGCGAAGGGTCGGAAAAGACGCCGAGCAGGGCATTGAAAGCGACGGTCGGGTAGTACTCTTCATGCGAAGGACCGATGTTGCTCGGGTGGGTCGGATCGGTAGGGTTGAACGATTCGACGTACGCGTCGTTCGAGATACCCTCCACGACCGAATGGCGATACGGATCGAGCGCACCCAAGGCTCCCATAACGCGAATGACTTCACGCCGTGTATGAGGCGCCGGTTCGGTCTTGAGTAAGCTGATCAAGATGCCCAACAACGACGGGTGTTGAAGGTACGGGTCGATGACGTACCCCGCGTACGAAGCGAGTTGACCTAGTGTGCGCAGCGCCGCATCCCTCTTTTGCGTCGAGGCTTGATCGTGCAACGTGTCCAAGATGAGGGACATCAAGTCGTCCAAGGAAGGCAATACGTCCTCCCCACCCACTTTGGTCAACTCGCCCAAAGTCGTGACGATGCTTGCCGCGACCGAAGGTGAAGCATCCCTCGACTTGGGCAAGAGCACATTGAGCATGGGCGTGACATAAGGCTTCGTCAATCGCTGCGAAGCGCCCACGAGTAAACCCAACAAGGTCGATGCTTCTTCCTTGTTCCGACTCGCAGTCGAATACTCCAATTCAGTCAGAAGCTGAATTAACGTCTTGCGCAACGAGGGCATGACGTGCGCAGGGTTCAGCGTCGCCAACCGACCAATGATTCGAATCGCACTTTCGCGAATCGCGTATACCTCGTCGTTCAAAGCGATGAACAAGGACCGTACGCAATCAGCCTGCGCCAGATGTCGATCAAAGTTAGGGTCCAAATGCGAGATCGTCGCTTGTCGAATCGAAGGGTCCGGATCGGCGATCGCCAACGTGAGCAACTTCTCCAGGACCTCGTTCATGAGTTTGATCGCATGATTGCTCGCTTGCGTGACGATGGGGTCGTTCGATAGGACTTGGCAACACGATAGGGCCGCAGCTCGTCGAATATCGGGGTTGTCGTCCTCTACGTAGTGGATGACGTGGTCGCGGACGAATTCGCCCAGACTCTGCTCGACGACCGGCTCCGGCATCATCCCCGGCGTCAGATGCTTCGGAGGTTGGAACACCCCCTTGAAGTTGAAGGTCCCCAAGACTTCGAGCGCAAGCATGATGCGTTCAGGGGACTGGTTCTCGGGATGATGGTGATGCGCGTGCCCGTTGACGCCATTGACCGTCAAATCAGGATGCTTCGAACCCTTGTGAGGTGCCCCGGCCTGTACAAAGGGCTCGTCCGCGAGCGTCATCGAGATGAGGTTGAGGATCCTTTCCTGAATATCCGGCAAAAGCGGTGGAATGTCCCGTCCGAGTTGCTGCAACGCCGTATGCAACGCCGGTGAAAGCCCATAAGCGAACATGAGGTCAAGCAACTCGTGCATATGTTTGGTCAACGCCGGTCCAACGGATTGCGCGAGCATGCCGATGCATTGGAAGATCGAGTTCTCGAGACCGGCCGGTTGATTCTTGCGACCACGGGACAAGAGACCGTCCTTGATCGAGTTGAGGATCGGGTCGAGGTAAGGCGTCATCATCGATTTGACTTGGAGAGCCACGCGTCCGATCGCTTGGAAAGCTGTGTGAATGCCGCAAATGAAGGAGGGTGTTCGGTCAGTGTCCAGTACATCCCGCAACTTCAAAGTGCACTCACCGGTCGCTCGATCCCCTCTATCCTTCTTCAACTGATCCAACAAGAACGCCATCGTCCGACTGAGATAATGCGCCGCAAACTCATTCGCATTGTACGAAGCGATGGTTGGGATGAGTTCGATAACGGCCCTTCGAACAAGGGGGTCGCGATGATCCTTGTAGAACAAGATCTGGTCGCACACTTCGCCGTATCGGTCGGCCATGAACTGTGGAGCGACCCCAACCAGAGATCAACTCTCTGGAGAACTTTGTACGCTGCTGAGTCGAGACCCACCAATTTGCCCTCGAGGAACAATTCCTTGTACCCGAGCAAGGACCCATGGATCGTTTCGGGGTAACCGGTCTTGAACCCGATCTGCGCCTGCCCAAAGACCATGTTGTACGCATCGACCCGCAACTGCCCGTCCCGCTGGGTTGCAATGAGTAGACAGCCCGCCAATGCATCGGCAGCGGCTTCTCGGATTGCGACCTGCGGAATGGAGTCTGGGCGTCAGTGCGGGTCCTTGAAGCAGATATCGATGGAGAGGTTGCGAAAGCGTACCTTGGGATCCCACATGGCCGTCCACAAGTTGTCCAACAACTCGGTCAGATGTTCATAGATCAAGCCCGGTGCTTGTCTGGTCAATTCCCTCAGGATGAGCACGGCCGCGTATCGTCGATTCTCGATTCGGTCGCCTGCGTTCGAGGGACCGGTCAGCAGTTGAACGGCAGTGGAGCACAAGGGAGATAAAGCTCACCCTGCAACCATTCGATACAGCTCTTGACCTGCGTATCGACGTGCCCACTCATGAGAATCCCACCCTGCGCGGCCAGCCGAGCTGTGAAGCCACCAAAGTCGATCAGAATCGACCGGTCGCTCGGTTCAGATTATGGGACACGCACCGAAGACTTTGGCAGCATTGGTCATGACCAACGAGTCGGAGCAAGGGAAGGCGCGTTGCACGGAAGCGGCCAAGCGAATGGCCCTCGACATGTCGTTGCCCAACACATCGACGATTTTGTCTGTGAGTTGGGTCAGGGCGGAGCAAGTGGGGAGGAGCGGGGAGGGCGGTGAGCTCAAGTGTGAGGGACCGGAAGACGAGTGAGGAAGGGACGAACCTATTGCTGTAACGCCTGCCAGTTTATCCTGCAGATCGGACGAGTTGACGAGCGCAAAGCATCGTGCATGGATCTCGGAATAGGTCTTGTTGAACGCTTCAGCCGAGAGCGATCGCGAGCTGGCGAGGATCTGCAGTGATCACCGTTCAAGGTGTCAGTTGCGGGTAGGTGGCGAGTAGACAGCACCTGCAAGATTACGAACATAGTTGTACAGTTCCTGCGCAGCCTTGAAGCGGATCTCATCATGCCTGCAGGGCCGAGGGATGACGGCGGGTGTGGGCTTCAGCTCCGAGTTCCAACACGGCTCTCTTCCGAATATGCGCTGCGACTGCAGGCCATACTCACTTGCTCCTGAGATCGCCTAGTATCGCATCCAAGGGTCTTTCGGCCTTGCTCGCTTTGGCAGCGACGAGCAAGGAGGAGCTCATCCAGATCTCGACGGGCGGCAGGGGCGAAGGGGAGGAGCGAGGGAAAGAGTGTGTCACTCGGTCCCTCGGGGGCTTGTTCTACGCCAGTCTAATGCCACACTCAGTGGCGAAGGGGACTGGCGGAGTGCGTGTGCCGGGTGCCGAGTGCCGAGTGCCGGGGTCGAGCGTGGCGCTTGCGTGTGAGCTTGCGTGTGAGCTTGCGTGTGAGCTTGCGTGTGAGCTTGCGTGGGGGTTGGAGACTGAAAGTGATCGACAGCGCAGGACAGCGCGCGCGAGGAGTCACACCAGTCACGCCTCAGCTCCTCTTCGCAGGTCTCTCTGAGCTCCTCTTTCTTTCTGTCGATTCACTCAAAGAGTCGATACGCTGAGCTCTCCTTCCCCTCCCCTGTTCCCTCCCATGCCGTCCCTTCCACCCCCTCCTCGACCCCCTCCTCCCACCGCCACCACCACCACCACCACCACCACCACCACCACCACCACCTCCTCCTCCTCCTCTCCCAATCCCCTAACCTACCACATCACCCATTCCTCCCAACCCCATTCCCCGACCTCCAATTCCGCCCTCTACACCTCCATATCCACGCAATTCTCCACCCGATCGCAAACCTTCCTCAAAGCGCCCTCTATGGAGGTGCTCAACTTGATCGCCGATTGGGCATCTGCCTCTGAACCGATCGGGCCGGACGAACTGAGGAAGAACTTACCGGTCTTTGATGCGGGAACGTGGAGGGATTTGTGGGAGGAGAGACAATTGGAGGACAAGTGTGCTTGGGTGGCGTGTACGAACAGACCGGCGCAGGGGTATAAACCGTCCCTTGGGGAGGTGGACCAAGATTCGTACCGTAGTGGGCCGAAGTTCAAACTCCGGTCTTCGGGAATATTCGCTCGATCAAAACCTTTGACCAACGAACAGAACGAATTGAACAGGTTTTGTGGGACGCCCTGTTGGAGGCGGAGCGAGTGGGTCATGAAAAGGTGTCTAGGCAAGGATACGGACGATATCATCTTTCTGGACGAGGAGAGCGCGTTGACAGATCAGGTACAGCTCAACCCCGTTCGGAACGAAGAACAACTAGTGGAACCTACGTCCAGCGTTCAACAGATTGACTTCCACATTATCGAAAAAGAGATCCCGTCTACGCAAGAGATCATCGCTCCTCGACCAGGTCAAGAGATCGATTTTGAACGACCGCTACAATCGGACCTCCCCAAACCTACAAGACCTACAAAATGTTCCCTCGCTCCCCTCCCTTCCGATCTCTCCCCCGTAATACCCACCGCAAGACCCGTACTTCCCACCACCCACCCCACGACCCGTCCTTTCGTTCCGCCCCCACCCCCTCTCCCCACCTCGGGTCGTTTCGAACATCTCCCCACCCCTCTCACCTTCCTCTCCGATCCTATCATGGTCGACCAAGAAGGACAAGAGATTGAGTGGGCCGGTGTGGACGAGGAAGGGGAGGATGAGGTGATCAAAGGCTGGATGGAGGATGCTTTAAGGATTCGGAGGGAGATGAGCCAGAGGGATGGGTGCAGTTCCTAGTGCGCGCCAAGTGTATAGAGCCTTGTTGTAATCAATCACTTTCGTGTTTTAGAATGCGCTTCTTTGGAAAAGGGAGAACATTGCATTCTGCTTCAACCCTTTTTCGAAAACGAGCTCAACGAACCCCGCCGTCGGACCGAACACGTAATTCTACAAATAAATCCACCCCTCCCGGAACTTCATGGACTTGCCCTCATCCTCGCTCATGCATGCCACGCCTTCTTGACCAACTCCGTCAAGCCTACAAAGAAACAAAAACCAAAAAAACCACTTGAGTCGCTGACCTCCAACATAAAAACAAAAGCCGCGAAACGAAAGCCGCGGCCTCCTCACTCCGAACTGACCAATATCATTCGTGTTGAACTGGTAGACCCCGACCAAGACACCGCCGGTTGCGATTCGGACGAGCCATTTCGAGATTGTGCCGATCACGGGGAACTTGTTGGGGTGGACGTAGTCGATCAGGACTTGGTCCAAGCCCTATAAGAGCGCCAAGGTGGGGTGAGGAACGAGTTCCCGGGCGGGCGGCGGCAAGCGCTGATCAGTCCCGCCCTTTCGAATCGAACCTCTTCTCCGACATACCATGTGTGAATGAGCCACGATAGCCACGGCCAAGACCCCATCCAAGATAGGATGGACCGACGTAACGGCCGTCGCTCCGACGAGAGGGACGAGAGCACCGGAGAGGAGACGCTCGAAGGTCCAGTGGTAGGAACCGTGGGCTTTGTTGGGGGCTGGGAACGGGGTCGGGTCGTTGACGGTCCCTTCGATGTCTGTGCACGGTGGGGAGAGGGAGCTTAGTGCTGCCGGTGGGGGAGGCGGGGGAGAGGGGTGCAGAGGAGGACGCGGTGGCACGCGAGGGAGCGGAGGGCTTACAAGCTGCGGAGGGGACAGAACGATGAGGAGGTTAGCTATGGTCGACTCCGAATGCTTAGCGATGCAGTCACTCACGCTTCACGGCCGCCAAACCAGGTCGAGCTGCAGGGCAAACAACCGATGGGCGTAAGTGGGCGTACCGCGGCGAGAACCGAGGCGGTCAGCGATCGGGCCAACTCGCTTCCCGACTGGAGAGACTCGTCCACGCGCACGACGACTTACTGGTCGAGAACGCTCGGGCCGAGCTCAGGACGCCACTTCGGAGAGCAGAGTGTCGCAGCAGTTGGAAGGACATGGTTGTGGACGGGCTGGGAGGTGGAGGCGGATCGGGTGGTGAGAGGTCGACACGGCGGCTGCGCGGCGGCTGCGCGGCGGCTTCAACAGAAAGCGGATCCGCCCGAGAGAATGGGACCAAATCGGCAGGCCAGCCAATCGCAGCGTGTTCAAAGCTTCGGCTTGTCATATCATTCTGTCAGACTGTCGGTGTCAGGGCAAGTGCACGATGTAGCTAGAGGTGATTCAAGGGCTTGGACCCATTGAACTTCGTTCGAAATTATCTTTTGCACCAAGTTGACCTCAAGATTCGACCCTTTTTCTCATGTACGAACTAGCCATCCAGGACCATTTCCAGTCGCCGCGGTCCGATCTCATTCGAGGTCCGTGCGCACCTTCGGAGCCAAGATATGTGATTCGGGAGATTGTGAGTTCTACAGAGGACAGCATCGCCGAGATCACACCCTGGAGAGCCACTAACATCGTTCGCACTTGAAGCGGACGAAGGCACTGAAAAGTTCAGGCGCTCACCGTGTCTGGCCGGCATATTTGACGGGAACTTGAGCTGTCAGACACGATCACAGGCAAAGCTGCCGTCTCTACCCTCGGCAGAGGCTCCGTTGATCTCGGCCAGGTTCGTCGGAAGCGAACAGTCTGGGCATCACAATCGGAACCTGATAAGCAGGACGAGCTCCTATTGTTCAGCTAGAGTTTATAAGGAGACTCACTCAGCCCGGAACCTTGAACCCTACCTGAAACAAGTCGGATATTGTCCGTCTTATCCGAGCCGCGCGCGGACGGCTTCTCGCGTGGGAAGGCAAGTGCCTCCGTACCCACTGAGGTAGATCGCGCTTTCCTTGCCCCCCCCCCCCCACCCCCCTCACACTTGCACCCCGTCTTCTCCAAGAGGGTGCCCTTGCCCCTTCACTTCAAGCGATGGTCTCCCCTCGAGCACGATCAAGACCCTTGCTGATCGACCCCTCTGCCTTGTCACCGATCGAATACGAGGCTTACTCGATCTTGGTCAATCATGAACATCACCGACCTGGACGACTCGAGGAGCCAGAGCAGCAAGGCGCAGAGCAGATATCACGATTTGGCACCAGTACAACGCCTTCGGGGGTTTGGCAAGTCCTCAAGAGATGGATCAAAGTCGATGTTGATCCAAAGGTTGAGAAACAGGTGCGTACACGCTGTGTGAGATGGGCGGGGTCTATGTGGATTGAGGCAGTGCCGCGACGGACTCGAGCTTCGGTCTCGAGCACACCGAACTCGGGCTGTCGGAGGGCGTGTTATGCAACTTGGGTTGATGGGTGGGAGCTCGCGAGGTGCGGACAAGATCAAAGATCATTTGATGGGCATCACTCGATTTGGTCGGACGAGACCATCTCCAACAAGCTCTTTCCGTGGCCGAGCCCACCAGCGACTGTCGTGCTGATGTCGTCCTGCTCCCTCCCCTCCCGCGGAATATCTTTCCCACTCGGCTTCAATGCAGATCCTCTCCTTCTATCGCGAACCATCAGCAACTCAGACCGACTCGTCAGATGGGGAGGGCGCCCCTCTTCACCTCATGCTTGGCATGCTCCGATTATGGTCCCACTCGTCGACGAACCGGGTCCTCACGCGTGATCTAGCCTTCATCCAGAACGATGAGCCCGCGCAATTGTTTGTGCCTGCTCCTTCTACCAAAATCTCCTCAGTCGAGCAAAATTCCTCTTCGAGTCCGACCTCACCTCCCATTGCGACGGCTTCGTCGAATCCCTTCCGCATCACCCCTGTGGCCAGCCCCTCCCCGCCCCCACATCCGGCTGCCGCCGCCAAGACCGTGGAGCAAGATATCACTACGCCTAGCCTTGTGCCCGTCCCCGTCGGAAGTGCTAGTCGTGGCCCACCACCTTCCTTGCCTGCCAAGAGGATCGTCAGCGAATCCGGAGTAGCTTCTGCCAAGAGGGAAACGAACCCCTTCCGATCATCGGCATCGCCTTCAACTTCGACCACCGTAACTCCAAGAGCTGTGCCGAACCAACCCAAAGATGCAGCGACCTCTTCAACAATCCCATTTCCACCCTCACTACCGCCGAGAAGACCTGCTGTTGTTTCTCCAATCGAACCACCCCCTCGTCGAGTCTCACTCAAAAAGACCGCCGATTCACCGTCCAAACCCCGAGTCTCATCTTTGTCCATGACCCACCGACCGGGAGGAGCTGCCCCCAATCCTCCTCCAACACATCGCGCCACTTCTTCCACCCCGACTATGTCGTCCAGAACGCCCCACATCTCAACGAGCGGCTACAACCCTTTATCAGATACCTCGAGCCCAGTCGAACCTCTCATCAAAACCCGCAACTCATCCTCCTCGTCCAAATTGACCGGCTCGACGCACATCGGTCTCGAGAGCTCAGTCCGACTTCTTCCGACGACCGACGAAAGTCCTCATCGACTGACAACACGTATGGCCCGTTCCAATTCGGCCATCTCGAATGCCTCGTCGACGACGTCGAACCCGGATGTTGTAGGGACGTATGACGGTCGAATCGTTTATGAACGACCTTTTCCGAGAAAGGTCTCGTCCCCAAAGACAGCTTATTCCACTTCGCGTGGGATGGGAATCACTTCGAAGGATCTGGCGGTCGAAGGCATGGAGCTTGAAGCCAGCAGTAGCGATGATGTCGACGACGAAGACGAACTAGATCGAGCCACGGTCCTTACGGATCCATTACCTACTCGATCGAGGTTCGAAAGTTTCTCAAAAGGGGAGACGATCCGACCTGATCAACTCCGTAATCAAGCACCTCTTCAACCCCCTCCAAGACGAGTCATCACTGCACCTAGTAGCTTCCCATTCTTTAACCTCGACGACAAAGACGATGATCAAGATATTCCTTCAGGATGGGGCGCATCAGCATCCACCCTTGCTCGATCAGCGACCCATTCAGGGGCATCTACTTCTCGACGTAGATCGGACCTTCCCAAAGGAGTGGTGAGGCCGATTCCTCAGAGAGCCAATTCGTTGTCGGTCGGTGTGCAAAGGAGGAAAGGATTGGGCGGGAATGAGGCGCCTGGTTCGTGGACACAGGCTGCGAGAGAAGGGGAGGAGTGGATGAATAGGGCTAAAGAGGGGATTGTGAGGAGGACGTCGAGGGGGATCGATTTGATCATTACGACGACGGGGTCATCGAAGAGGGAGAGAGGGGAACCGTTGGTCGGAGCTGGCACTGATGATGATGAGGAGGAGGAAGGGGTGTTCAGGGACCAGCCTGAGATAGGGAGGGTCGTGGCCTCCGAAGGGGAGGAGGATAGCGATGACGATGATGGAGGCAGAGTCGAACCTGAGCCTCCTGAGAGGGTCAAGAGAAAAACGGCGGAAGAGGTGAGGAGAGAAGTTGAGAGGGAGGTCAAGAAGAGTCAGGAAATACTTGGGGCGGAGTGGGAGTAGATTAGAGGCGCAGCGCAGGGATCTTACTTTTCACGTGCATGTACTGCTCGTCGGAGTTTTAGGGCATTAGCTCAGTGCAATACTCAAAAAGAATGCTACAGTTTTTTTTTCTTGCATGCAAGTCCTCTAGCTCGGTATGATCACGATCGGGATTATTGCTCTGCACCAGTCTACGCGCTTCGAACGCCGGCGGCTCGAATCGGGACTTAAAGTCGCAGCGCTGTGAGTCCAAATAGCGCATTGCACCGAGCTGTTGTAGCACAATAAGCCGATGTGGGCATTTCCACATTATTAGCGGAAAGAATCTCGAAACATGATGGTTCTATCGGTGCATAATTTACATCTCACTGTACGAAGATACCCCGACCCCTTCAGTCCGTGGGCCAAGATTGCGCAGCCTGGGCTCCACCACACGCTCAGGCCATCCGAATGGAACACTAGTTCTCTTCGTCCTTCTGTCCCTTCGGAGGTTTTTTTTTTTTTTTTTTTTTACTGTTACTTTTTCGTCCTGCACGATCACGAGGGCGTGTACGTGGCCGAGGTCAAGGAATGTTGGGCCCGGTCGGTTCCCAGCCTTGACCGCGATCGTAAGGTTAGTGCGTCACCTAAACTTCGCAGCGACCGGCTTTTCATCCCTCATTATGGTGTCGACGTCGAACGAGTCGGCCGACTTGTGCGAGGTCACGGTCTGCACGAGCACGCTCGGGTCGTCCTCTGCCGGCTGCGCCCTCCGCGCCCCTCCTCGCGGACAAGCTTCTCGACTGCACGCTGCGCTGTCTGTCGTGTAGAAACGACATAATTAGGACCGGGCCCCGAATCCGCTGGCGACTGCGAATTTGTATGCCTCACCTTCTCCGGACCCATCAGACTAGACGGCGTCGGTGTGGGGTAGAGAAGATATTGGAAGTCTTGCCGTTTGCAGGGCATCGGGCTCTTCGCCAGGAGTTGAGAAGCGCGATCGATGGTGGCTTGCGAGCTGGCGACGACGATGGGTAGATGATGTTTCAGAGCTCCGAGCTTGTGCCCATTCTTTCAATATCACGTAGGTCACTTCGATGGCACGTGGAAGAAGATGGCGTGGATCCTCATCGTTCGGTGGGAGTTGCCGGTGAAGCAGAAGAGAGGAGGTGGGAAAGGCCAGACCGTCGAGTTTGGGGTGCGACGACCGGAGAGCCTCTTGCCATGGAGCCAAGGGAGTCGATGAGGTGGCGAACGGCGAGGCGGACGGGCCGCCTGTAAAGGCTTGTATGGCATGAGTGACGCAGTGACACTCGTCACTCCTTCGAAGGCGACATTGTTCGCACTGGAACGTTCGATAGCGGAAATGTTCATAGACGGCTCACGATCGACCTCGATGCTTCGGAGCTGGAAGCCGTGGGGTCCGCGGACGGGGCATGGGTTGCTCGACTCTGAACTCGAAGGAACCCTCGAAGGGCTACTGTCGAGCGGCCAAGGATGCGCTCACTCAAGCCAAGACGGATGCGAGGAAGGAGTATCTTCTTCAGGCGAGTTCTTGAGTAGAAGCTTCTTGAAACAATGTTAATAATACCCAGCACTTGCTACCACACAGTCGAAGAAGATCAGCGATCACATTGCCATTACCGCAATCCGATCTATCTATAATGGCCAGACATGTCAACAACTCGCAATTTTCCGACGAGCACATGGTGTACCTGTGTCTGGGAGTGAGTGCTAGACTTACCAGTTTCTGCCGTGTGCCAAGCTGATATCCTGAACACCTTGATCTGGCGGTGCGCTCCGTGAGCGTGGGACTTCCCATTCCGCTTCAAGGAAAGTTAGGACGCTCTTCCCTGTTCCGATTGAGAATAGCTCGTTGAGAAAGGACACGCCACAGGCATCGGTTCACAGGCGTCAGAATCGACTACGAATCATAGCATGCAATGTCACAGACAAGGAGAGGTCCGGTCGGCTCGACCCCGTACTAGAACCTACTGGAACGTCTCTCTCCCCATCGAGCGTCTCGCTGCGAGCCGTCGTATCCCCTCCTGTATCGCGTCCATCGCCTGCGATCGCTCATCGGACGTATACAGCGAGGTTACCTTTACTGGACAGAGCCGCGTCACCAAGTCCAACGACTCGCCTAGCTCGGGATCTTCACGGCGAAGCATGTTGATCAAACGCTCCCTGTACTGCGGCTTCACGTCGTTGCCGCCGCCCTCGCCCCAGAGACTCGCCCGACGGTCTATCAGTTGCGCCTCCCGATCTTCAGCATAACGAGGACGCGCACCAGGGCGGGCAGCGGGACATCGAAAGAAGTAGTCCCAGGCAGGGTCCTCTGGCTTGATGCGATAGACCAGGGCATGGAACAGGCAATATACAGCCGATTCGAACGCGTGGGCTAGCCTGTACTCAGGTGCGCGATTATTGAAATCCAATCCAACCACGTTGCAAAGAAGCGCCTGTCGAGGAGCGCTTTCCACCGTCACCCGGAGGCGGCCTTCCTCTCGCGCTGCGATGGCGAACGAGACTCCGGGATCGGCCGCGATACCGCCATCCCAATCAATGAGTACAAGGTGGCCTTCAAAGTGAAGGATGTTGCCGAGCGAAAGATCGCGGTGGTGAAAGCCGAGATCGTGAAGCGTGGCCAGCACCGTCAGGAGTTGATCGAAGACTCGGAAAATCTGAGTCAGAGGCAATTGCTGTTGGCCAAGATGACGCCGAAAGAGCGGCTGTGGCAGTGGTGAGGGGTTGCGCAGGACAAGGAGTTCAAGTGTGCGTCGTATTGGGGTATGCGGGGAGCGCGAGGTATCGTCACGTCTCCTCTTTTTCGCTGCGGGCATTGGTGCTGCTGACGACTGGTCTTCATCGTTTACCGGCAAGCCCGAGTCAAGGGCGAGCGACGCCGAAGTTTCGAGCGTAGCCAGATGGTCAAACACGGCCGGCGGTAGAGCACCCTTGTCGCACGCGGCGTTGATCTTGCGAAGCACGTTTGACTCGACGCGTACAAAGTCCGGACCAACGAGCTGCATTTTCAGGACGAAGGAGGGCGACAAAGTCGAGACCTCCGGAGCGGTGGCGGTGGCGCTCAGGCTCGGGCGCGTCAGTTGAAACACCGTCGTGCAACGTCCGGAGAGATGGTGCCCGCCATCCCCCTTCGCACAGGACAAAAGCTCGATCGGCTCCTTGTCCTCAAACTTGACTGTGCGCCCGACTGACGACCCAAAGACCGACGTGAGTAACGACGCGGGTGCGATCCCGCTCGTGGAGTGGCACGTGTAGTCGAAAAAGGGACAAAACCCGGCCGAGTAGACATCCAGGTCGAGCAGGATCGAGAGCACCGCCGCTAACTCGCCAAAGCCTTGACCCCAGCAGTCCGAGATGGTCGCGACTCGACACATCTCTTGGTCCAGTACGACCAGATATGCCTTCCTGTCGCTGACGGCCAGGCCAGGGGCGAAAAGTCGTGTCGGTTGCGAGAGCACATGCTCGGTGAGATCGAGTACTACCCTGACCAGCTCGGGCGCGGGTGCTCCAGGACCATCGCCGGGGAACGGAGAGCGAGGTCGGGCACCGAACGCGCACGGTACCAGCACGCGGTTCCACAAGAGTGTTTTCGAGCTCGATTTGACTTTGCAGCATGCCAAAAAAGGCGTCCACTCCGTTGGTTCCTTGTCCAACCCTGGGCTAGAGTCGAAACATCGCTTGATAGTGTCGTGAATGTAAAGCCGTGCCGGTCGCTCGGCAACTGCGACGGCGAGTTTGAATTGTTTCCCGTGTGTGGGATCGGTCTGAGCCTGCCGCAGACGAATGCCAGTTCGGTCAGATAGATGGGCTTGGTGTCGGCTTAGACCTCCAAGCACCCAGGCTCACGGAGCGATGCCGATCAGCGTCTCGGTCTTCCTAACTTACAAGTCGTGCTACCCCCTGCATCCAGGCCAACTGGCTGGTCGACGGTTCAATCCGCGGGTTCTGACTGCCGTCGTGGGCTTCCTGAAAGCGTTTGCGGAGCTCGGCTTGGATGTCTTGAGCCTGGCCTGACTGAACCTGTCCGCCTGACTGGCGAGCACGTTGTGAGATCTCGTCGAACGCCGGATGGTCGATTCCAAACACCTGCTCAACCAATTCCGGCATCGAGCGCAACCAAAGGCGGGGCACGATGTCGCCTTTGAGCAGAGCGTATTCCTCCATGTCGTCGGTCGCGTCCTCGAGAGCTGCGACCACTGGGTCCAGGTCGGACATTGTGGGAGTACTTGAACGCGATGATGATGATGACGATGACGACCACGACGATGATTGGGACGGCGACGGTCTCTGATAGCGGCCATGTCAAGAGCAGTCGATGAGATCACGGATGCACAGGTCAGCGCCCGAAGCTGAGCCTCATGCCCTGAGTCACCTCGTCATTTGCACTGATTTCTGGTCACTTGCCGTGATATCATCTTCAAGCGCAAGGACAGGCGGATCGACACTTGTTGCCGCACACTCAGCACAACCGTCTGCGCTCGTCCTCGCCTCGCGCGTTCGCTTGGGGGTACTACGCTGGCTCGGACGCTCTGAATTGGAGCTTGGAGTGACTGGGCAGAGTCGTGGACTGGAGGTCATAGTGTTGACGTGAGCTGTGAACGAGTCCGGTGGGGGTGGTCAACACCGCCGGGCGATTGTGATGCAGGTAAGGAGCGTGTCGGGCCTACACTCGGCACTGGTAGGCACAGGAGTGGCACAGGTAGGCACTGGAGGGCACTGGCAGGCAGCAGAGCTAGCAGAGGGAGGCGGAGGGCAGCAGCTGGCAGCAGCTGGCAGCAGCAGGCTATCGGCCAGCAGGAGCCAGCAGGAGTCCAGCAGGCCACCCTAGGCAGCCCCTGGCAGCCCTAGGCCACTTCACTCCGTGCTCCCCTTCTTCTCCCTCCTTCCCCTGCCTCCGCCTCTCGATCTCTCTCGATCGCCGCCGATCACTACGCAGTCGCACGCCAAAGAAAGCCGAGCAGCTAAGCTTTCTTCCACTCCGACCAGCCCTCAACTCGGCACACTCGTATACACAGCCCGGTCAAGAACATGGCGGTCGGGTGTACGTACTCGTCACTGCGCAAGGCCGAGTTCGAATACGCCGCGACGACCGAGGAGGAGCTGTCCGTGCAGGAGGATCAGTTGGTTTGGGTTGTCGAGGACGATGATCCCGAGTGAGTTTGATGTGCGCCTTGTTCTGCTGGGATGGGAGGTGCTCCCCGGGCGTGCGCGGCGTGATCGGTCACGGTCACTCTGTCGGACCCGATCGGGGCGGCGGGGCGGCTATGCCAAGCTAGTGCTGTGAAGAGACTGACCAACTGACCAACTGACCGAATCATCCGACTTCGTATGTTCCTCCTTTCCGCAGATGGCACAAAGTCAAGATCAAGTCGTCCGACTCGACCGCGGCCCCACACATCGGACTCGTACCCGCCTCGTACCTCACCTCAGCCCCCGTACTCCGCGTCGTTCGAGCCATGTACGACTATTCCCCTGCATTGAACGAGGAAGGCCTCGCCGATAACGATGAGGAATTGGCCATCACGGAGGGGGAGGAACTGAGCCTGGTCGAGGAGGAGGAGGATTGGTGTCTTGTGCTTCGGGAGGACGGTCAAGGCGCCGGCTTCGTGCCGACGAGTTATATCGAGGTGAGAAGCACTTTGGTCAGATGCGGATCCAAGGTTCCAAGTCATTTATCTCGCTATGGTGTGTGCGCTTCTCTCAGGACGCCGACGCGGTGCATCATCCAGCCGAACCCGTCGATCAGCCTGCCGACGTGGAGGAGGAGGAGGAGGAGGAGGAGGAGGAGGAGGAAGAGGTGAGGTGAAAAAGAGTACCGCGTTTGTCGACACATCCTGGAACTGACACTCGGTACAATGCGTCCAGGCGCCTCTCCCTGTTGCCGCACCTGTTCCGGCCGCTTCGACGTATACGAGCACACTGCCTCCGCCCCCTCAACGGAACGTCTCGACCGTCAGCCCCACGAGCGTCAAGACCTGGGCCGTCACAGTTCGTCGCCAGCCTCGAAACAGCTAACCGCATGTGGCATTCCCAGCTAAGACACCTTTCTTGAATCTAAATAGGAGGTCGACAAAAAGAAGAAGAAGAAAAAGGGCACACTCGGTGTTGGCAACGGCGCCCTCTTCTTCGCCAGCGAGAGTGACAAGGTGGGGCTCAACCCGGCGGAATCTGTCCGAACCCTTCTTGATCGAATGCTGACCGATCCTTGCGTTTGGGCACACAGACCCCCGTTCAACAATACCCCTTGTCGTCACTCGAACACATCACGACCGAAAAGTTCAAGCACCTCCACCTCTCGTTCCCCTCGGCGCCCGAACCGCTCCATTTCGTCATCGGTTCCAAGGACGTTTTCGAGGAGATCGTCGACAAGATCGAAGCAGATCGTGCCACTTCCGGTTCTTCGGCTGCAAAGGCGGCCTCCCCAGCAGTTCCTGCGGCGCCTCGACCGCCTCCCCTTGCTGCCGCTGCCGCTCCCACCGCTCTTCCACCACCCGTCGCTACTTCAGGCTACATGCCTCCGCCTCCGCCCATCCGTAGTGCCTCCTCGAGCAACATCGTCCCTTCCGCCCCCAGTACTCCCGCTCGTAACGGAGGATCGTCAACCCCCGTCGGAAGCGAAGCCAACGCGGTCGCTCTGTACGACTTTGAACCCCAAGGTGATGACGAAATCGCCATCGTTGAAGGGGAACGCGTGATCCTCATCGACGACGGCTCGACTTCGGACGATCCCGATTGGGCCAAGATTCGTAAAGTGGGTAGCAACGTCGAAGGTGTCGTACCGGCGAGTTATATTGAATTGGATCCTGGAGCTTCCGCGGTCGGGTCCACGCCGGCCAAAAGAACGATCCCTGCTCCTCCTCCAGCTCCCGTCCCTGCCCCTGCCGCTGCTACTTCACGTGCTTCTCGAAGTCGTCCATCAGCTTATGACGAAGAGGAAGAAGATCGAAGAGAGGAAGAAGAACGTGCTGCCGCAGCGATCATTTCGAACCAACTCATAGATGAGAAGCGTGCTCAACTGGCTCGGGACCGAGAGGCGAAAGCTGAACGCGCGTCCAAGAGGGAAGCGGAGAAGGATCGTCAACGCCTCGCGAGGATGGAGTCCCAACCTAGGGCTGCACCGATCCCTGTACCTACGACCAAGTCGGGTTTGACTCAATTGGGAAGCGATGATGATGCTGAGCCGTCGAAAAAGTCGAGGTCGTCGAGAGGGGAGAATGGGGGCAGGTCGTCGAAGGATAAGGCGGTGAGGAAACCTGATGCGTCTAAAATTCGGACGTGGAAGGATCGTACGGGACAATTCAAGGTCGAGGCGGAGTTCATCGGGCTCAAGGATAACAAGATCCGTTTGCACAAACTTAATGGGGTCATTATTGAGGTACCTCTAGAGAAGATGTCGGGGGAGGACACGACCTGGCTCAAGAAGAAGATGGGTGGTGGGGACGATGAGAGAAGAGACCGATCGTCGAGAGAGGCGTCGTCGAGTCGACAGTCGGGGTCCAAGTCGACGTCGTCAGGCCAGCCCAAGAAGCAGAACACAACAGATTGGTTCGAGTTCTTCCTCAATGCCGGGTGCGACGTCGATGCGTGTCAGCGATACGCTCGTAATGCCGACAACGAGGGGATTGAGGATTCGCTCATTCCTGATCTCGAGGAGTCAAATCTTCGTAGTCTCGGGCTCAAGGAAGGCGACATCATTCGCGTGCGTCGGTATATCAAGGAGAAATACGCAGGACCGCCACCCCCGACCAAATCCGACCGCGAGGAACAGATCGCTGCGGATGCAAGGATGGCCCTCGCACTACAAAACGGACGCCCCACGCCCCCTGCTCCGGGCTTATTCTCCGGTCCGGATGGCAAGTTACGAAGAGGGAGGAGGAACACGGCCAACAACCGAACGGCAGCGGGAGCGGTGGACCCCACTGCTCTTGTTGCTGCTGGGTCCGAGATCGCCAAGACGCGTGGCTCGACGCCAGTCACATCGCCTATCTCGGCGCAGTCGACGGGAGCGGCGTCCCTCGATCCTACGAAGAGGTCCAGCTCAACTCAGCCTCAGGTTGGTGGCTTTGACGACGATGCGTGGGAAGTCAAGCCTTCGCCTTCGTCGCCCGCTCCTCCTGCGCCCGCTCCTGTGGCTGCTCCGGCACCTCCTCCTGCTCCCGCTGCCCCTGCCCCTGTACCAGCTCCAGCCCCTGCCGCATCATCGCCTGTTGCTGAGACACCCCCGGTCCAGGCTCCCGCAAGGACTGGCTCAGCTGCCGGTCTGACGTACAACGATGGTTTGCTGGCGCAGCTCGGCATCGGCAACAACGTACCACGCCCTTCTTCGACTCCCACGGCCAACACACCGCAAATGAACGCCCTCTCCGTCCCCGCCTTTAACCCCAACGCTCCACGAGGTCCCATCACGCCTATCGCTGCAAACCAAGGTCTGCTCGCCCCTCTCGTCCCAACCCGAACGGGTTTCCCTACGCCGTTGATGCCCATGGCAACAGGGTTCAATCCGATGCAACCCCAATTCACGGGCATCCCCAGCCCAGTGATGGTCATGAGTCAACCGACCGGATTCGTAGGGATGAGTGCCCCTTCGCCTTTGGGTATGCAACCTACAGGGATGAACTTTCCCGCTCAACCTCAACCGAGTGGGTTCATGCAACCTCAACCGACGACGGGATTCATGCAAGCACAGCCGACGGGGTACATCCAACCCCAGCCTACTGGGTTCATCGTACCCCAACCGACGGGTTACAACCCTCAAGCTTCAGTTTTTGGTCAGCAACCACAACCACAATTCCAACAACATCAACCTCAACAACCCGCACAACAACCCATCCAATTCAACCCCATGCCACCCAACTCGAACAACTCCCAAACCGCAACCAAAACCGCTCAATTCGAACCAACCAACATCTTCGCCTCCATGAAAGACGGCACTTTCGCCTCCGGTTCTACCCAACTCGGTCCTCAACAGGCAAATAAATACGATTCGTTGAGACCCCAACCCACTGGGTTTAACGGAGGTCCGATCCAGGCTCAGCCGACGGGCTTTGGGGCCATGCAGCCGCAGATGACGGGGTATAATCCCATGTTCAATGGGCAACAACGGCCGGGTGGGTATGGGGGTTATCGATGATCGAGGGATAACTAGGACGCGACGTTCTTGTGTGTTTGTGTTTTCTTTGTGACGTACGTTTAGGTATTGGAGGCACGAGAAGAGAGAGGGAGAGCAGCGGATGGGTTCGGGTCAGTATGGAATTGCAATACATTGCTCACCATAGTCTTTTAATCACAACGGCGTATACCGTCGGGAGAGTTATTGATGTACATGAGTGCGAATCAAGATTGAGCCATCGAGCTCACTTGCGCAACAAAGTCACAATTCGTTCACTGCTTTCATTACATCTGCTATGAGTAGTCCTCCAATACTCCAACTACTTCGAGATTACTCTATGAAGCGATACCCCCATACCTAAGAAACTTCTAGACTACCTCAAACTCACTGCAACACCTCATCCTCCTCGACCTCTTGAGCCTCCCCAACAGCGAAGAGATCGTCCATCAAAGCGGGTGGCGAGCCTTCCTCTTCGTCCTCGACGATAGTTTGAACGGCTGTGAATACCCCACCTGAACGTGTTCGGTCCCGACCTTGTTTCTTCGATTTGGAAGGGGATCCTTTGCTGGGTCGGGGTTGCATCGCATTGTCCTGTCATACGAGATCAAGGATTTTCGTCAATTATCGAGCCTCCCGGCGTTCCCCCCTGAGGGCAGTGAACCACTCACCGATCGATCCAACAACTCCTCCATCTGCTCATCACTCAAGACTTTCCCCAATTTATCAAATTCAATCGTCTCCCCTTTGGTCGAAGCCAACCGTTCGGCCAAATCATGCATGATCGTTGCTTGACTAGGCGCCTTGGTACTCGAATCGGCCAAACCCGCAGCTTTATGCGTGCGTTTGCCCTTGTTTGTCGTTTTGAGTAAGACGTCATCGACGACAACATCGGCGTCCATGGAGCCTCGGAAAGTTCCTTCGCCTAGAACGACTTTTTCGAGCTTGCGTTTGCGGGTCGCTCGCTCGATGATGAGGGAGTCGATGGAGGCGTCCGTTTCGAGACGGAAGACGAGGACGGGCTTGGTTTGTCCGATGCGGTGAGCTCGGTCCATCGCTTGTAGATCACTAGGATGACAGGATGAAGAGGTGGTCAGACATCTTTCGTGGAACATGAACAGTTCCTCTAGCGGACTAACTTTTGTGGGTTCCAATCCGAATCGAACAAGATGACGGTATCGGCCCCAGTTAGGGTGATCCCCACACCTCCCGCACGAGTCGAAAGCAAAAAGAGTTTGCAAGCTACGAATTCATTCTTGCGGCTCAGCGCCCCGAGCAGGCCCAGAACTGGGAAACGAGAGAGAACTCACAATCCTCCGAGGTATCGGTATTGAAATCATCCATCTGTTCCTGCTCAGGCTTGTTCGCTCCATCGAGTCGATAGTATCCCCAGTCCTTGCTATCAAAGTAATCTGCCAACAGATCCAACATGGTCGTGAACTGCGAAAATATAAGGACCTTGTGTTGCTTCGTGAACAATTCAGGCAAGATGCGATCCAGCATTTGCAGCTTGCCCGAAGCCGAGACCAGCTCCTTGTAAAAGTCCTCGTTCGCATCCGGTTGTCCAATGAGGTAAGGGTGACAAGCGATCTGACGCAAGGACATGATGACAGAAGCAAGTTTCTTGTTGTTGATCGCGCTCGTCGCTTGCTTGTTCTTGCTTTGGATCAACGCGTCCTCGTCGTCGCTCGCGGTCGTCAGGTCCACTTCATCAGCCATGGCCTTGTCGTACCATTCGTTGAAGTCTTCTTCCTCGTAGTTCTTGCGCGTCTTTTGTCGCTTTCGTGCACTACCCGAGACGTCTTCCTCAATTTCGATCTTTTTCTTCTTCTCGACCGTCTTCTCCTTGATGAGCAAAGCTCGCAAGTCCTTGCTGTTCGAATGCAAGCGGTTCGAAGTTCACGGGTCAGTCTTCTTTTCACCCAGTATCCTAGCCCCTCCTGTAAACTCACGTTCGTGCCGCCTCGTACAGCTCATGCTGCCTAGGTGTCATGGGGCACTTGAGCACATATCTGCGAGGCTATGGAATAAGTGAACGAAATTCGGAGAATATGAAGCCCCTCGCTCCGAACCGCCACTCACTCCTTCTTGAGCGGCAAATGTCGTTCCACGTCCTTCTTGATCCTCCTCAACATGAACGGTTTTAAGATCAAATGCAACTTGGCGACCAAGACCTGAATTTGATCCTGCTTGGACAGAGCATGCCCATCCTCGCCCGTCAAGCCTTCAAAGTTGAACTGCGCCTCCCACGCTTCGACGTCGTTGAAGATCTCGGGCAAGATGAAGGACAACAGCGCGAACAGCTCCTGCAAGTCGTTCTGCAGTGGTGTTCCGGTGAGCAATAGTCGGAACTCGGATTGGAAGCCAACAAGGCGTTGGTAAGTCTTGGTCGTCGAATTTTTGATGCGCTGCGCTTCGTCAATGACGAGCACGTCGTAGTGCAGTTTGGAAAGTTCGTTCGCATCTCGTCGTGCGTGGTCGACTGTGGTTGCGATGTACACACATAAATCAGCACACAACGGCGCAAGACCAAACCGATTGTACATGCACGCACACGTCGTCAGGATGACGGGAGTCTCCTCGGGCTTGAGTTTGCGCCGAGGTGAGATTCCGAGCGCGTCCTTGCGGATCGCCTCGCGGACATGTTTGTCACCATCGTAGACGACAATAGGCAGGTGAGGGGCAAATCTATCATACACACGCAAGATGAGCTCAATGGAAGTTGATCGGACCCACGCATGCCGGAAACTCACCTCCGGCACTCGTTGGCCCATGCGCGCAAGACGGCTTTGGGTGCTACGACCATATGGAAATTGAACGTCTCGGAAGGGTCCTGTTGTATCGATTCGAGCTTGATCGCCCGAACGAAGGACAGGAACGCGATCGTCTGCAACGTCTTGCCCGTGCCCTGTGCAGCTCGCGAAGAAGAATCAGACCACATTTCTTTGCTGAGCACTCCAGAGATCCTCCGACAAAACGAACCATCTCATCCGCCAACAAAGCCCCCTTGATGCCCATCCACCTCGCCGCGAGCCATCGTACGCCCAAGGACTGATAATCCTTCAACACGCCGCCGGTGATGGCCTTGGGTTGATCGAGTTGGGCCAAACCGGCGGCTTTGGCGAGCTTGCGCCGTTGCTTAACGCTCGTCGCCGGCACGCCGTTGTGGGCCCTTTCTTCGATCGTCTCGTCGAAAAAGTTGGGTCGGGTTTCAAAGTCTTTGAACTGATGGAGGTGATCGTTCAGGCAGCCGTTCGCGAAAGTGAGATTGGAATAAGGTTCCAGAGGAGACGTCAGTCAATCGTCGGTGGTGAGATCAGATTTGAAGCCGGTCGTCACCGCCAGCGCCGTCGGCCGTCGCGATCGGCGCGGCCCGACACTCACGTTCGACGATACGGACTCGACATACTGTTCGGTCTTTTCAATCAGTTGGGCCAAATGCTTCTTGACCGCTTCGGTCTGCAACAAGGCGCTCTTGTCCTGTGTGAAGCCGACGACAGCAATCAGCGCCGTGTGACCCGCTTTTGACGTCGCGTATGAATGGGACCCAAAAGTGACTGACGCCCAAGATGTTGCGAGACTTTGAGCCGCCGCCGCCTCGTTCAGGCTGTTGGTACGGCATGTAAGGAGCATCATCATCCGCGCGCGCGGGGATCAGCTCGTTCGACACTTCGTCGTCGTCATCGCTGTCGTTGTCGAGCTCCACCGGCTTGGGGGCTTTGTCCTGAGCAGGGGGCGGCGAAACCGAGCTCGGCCGGGTCGACGAAGGCGAGGTCGACATCTCGAGAACCGATCGACGGCGTGAAGCTCGTTGGGTAGCCGTGCTGGGCGTCGAGGAACGACTTGAGGCCGTTGTAGAGGAGGATGGGGAACCGATCGACGGTGTCTTGCGTTTAGTGACGACCATCTCACTCTGGGACTTTGGCGAGGAGGTTGGGACCGGAGCGAGCTGGGGATGTGACGAAGCGTGAGAGCGAGACGTGGGCCAGCCCGCGCCCAGAAAGCGGAGCGAGGCTCCGGAGCAAGCGGAGCACTTTGCGATCGACGACAACCACGCCCGACGCGCCGGACGCGTACGAGCCCCGAGCAACGCGTCGAGGCGCGTCCAACATTAATAGGCCGAGGCAACGTTGTGGGCCGGTCTTGCTCCGCGGGCAGTTCGCCAGTGAACTGACTCCTTTCGCTCACATCACATCTTGAAGGCCCTACTCGGCAAGGCCCCGAAAAATGGTGCAGCAATCGACTCGTGATGTCATCTACCTGTGAGTCCCATGCAGTGCTCTGCACGTTTGCCAGTCTACTAGTACTCAGCTCCGGACGGATGTCCCCTTCCCCATGCTAAACATGACCTCGTCCCCGCCGACCACCACCACCACGCTGGATTCTCGTTGGACAGCATCTTCCTTGTCATCCATCTCCCAGCGACCTTACTTGTCGGTATGTCAAAGTCTATCACATCCTCTTCTCAGCCCAAAAAGCGACGAACCTCCCACTCCACCAGATTCTCAAGCGCTCTTCTTCGCCCACCACATCAGTCCTCCAAGTCTACGAGTGATCTGTAAGCTCTACAAAAGACCACCTCAACACTCTCTACCCGACCGTCCTAACCACTCCCTCCTCTTTCCCCCACTCACGACTTTCACAGTCAACTTCGCCTCCAAAGATGACTATCTGTTACAAAACGCGTCCAACCCCATATTCAGTTGGTTCCAATCCTTCATCATACTCGAGATCATATTCCAAGTCCCTGTGTTCGTGTTAGGAATTCGAGGGTTGTTGAGGAAGAGTAAGTCCCATCGCCGTTTTTTGCCTCGCACCGGTGAATTCAACCCCTTTACTTGCTCTTCCTTACCTGTCGTAGACACAACCGCCATCCACCCCCTCCTAGCGATCTACGGTGCCTCCTCCTCCACCACCACCTGGGCCTGTCTAGCGACCGTCCTTAACGATCCCCACCTACCCACCCTCAACCAACGGCTGACCTTGTTCTTCACTTATCTTCCGTTCTTGTTGGTGCCACTTGCGATGACGGTCGATTATACGGTTAGGTTGACGAGGGTTTGTAGGGAAGTTGATCGGGGGGCGTTGGTGAGGCAGGGAAGGAAGAAGGAATAAGTCTGGTCGGGGGAGGAAGATTTCTTGGAGGGTCTATCAATTGCAAGCAAGTGAACAAGCGGACAAATGATGTATGCATTTCGACAGAGAGGGACGGAACCTTGCTGGCGAAGAGATGGGGCGAATGGATAAGCAACTTCAAATATCAAGAAGTGGGAACCCGTTCAAGTAACGGGAGGATGATGAAACTCAAAATAACTGGGGCATAGAACGGAATACATGATTTCAGCACCACCTCAACCCCGAAGCGGCGTGTTTCTCGCCAAGACCTTCAATGGCGACCCGTCCGCCACCACATCCACGCCCCTGGCTCCGTGGCAGGTGGCTCACAGGTCGTCGAACAGCAACCTCGATGGTCTGGTCCTTGCCACCTCGTCCATCGAACTGCACTGGAAGTTGGCGCCCAAAGATGGCGACGCGCACCGACTCCTCCCAAGAGCCATTGAAGTCACCGACGTCCTGTTGAAACACGAGCACAAGCTCGGACGGATCATGCATCATCTTCCTCTCCTCATGGCGAGACCACAAGCGACGACTGACACCGCCAGGCAAGACCGAATACCTGCTACCTCGCAAACGACAAGATCTGCTTTACGTACTCTACCCTCGATACTTCGTACGCGACCTTCAACACCTCGAGACAGACCCCCTCAGTCGCCGGCGGATCCGGGGCGTGGCCCTTCACCTTCTCCGGGCGCGTGAAGTGAGACGGCTTCGGCGTCGGGTAGAGCGTGTAAAGAAAATCTTGTCGCTTGCGAGGTAGCGGGTCTGTGGTCAGAATCTGCCTGGCGGGGTCGATCGTCGCTTGCGAGCCTGCGACGACGATAGGAAGAAGATGCATCCGAGCAGGTGCCTGTGTTTCAACAGGACGTCCGCGACTTCAAGGGCTCTTGCATAGGAGTCGGTGCGCGTCACCAACATTGGGGGCCAGCCGCCAGTGCAGTTCGGACGAGGTGGGAAGAACTCGACCATCGAGGTTGCTGTTCGACGACCGGAGAGCCACCTACCTTGGAGCCAGGGGCGTGGACGTGGTGGCGGACAGGTCGCTAGTGAAGGCCTTGACTTGAGGGCGTACCAGACGGCCGTCACGCCTGCGAAGGGCGCGTTGTTGGCACTCACTGGGGCGTCCGATGTTGGTGATGTCCATTAGGGGCGACTACGCCGGTACCGCCGCAGACAGAGTAATGTGGACTTGTTGGAAAGGGTCCAGCCTGCACCGATAATTTGAAGTGGGAAGAGGAATTCGTCCGCATTCAGCGATCGATGCGATGTGGCAAGCTCGTGCCGGCGTCATGATCGCGCCGGCGTTATACCACACTGACCAGCCCGATGATCGTGCCGAGACACGCCGACATCCACATTGGCCCTATTCGGCCATGAATCCGGTTCTCGCTGCCTCATTCCGTTCGGTTGGTCCTTGTAGCCATCCCTCCCATCAATCGCCTGCTCGACTCGGGTGCACGTTTCTTTGTAAAATCGAGGGGCAGAGCTCCGCAGCTCCTATGTGTGATGTAGTCCACCCAAACCTTTACCTCGACCATGAGAATGTAGCCGGTCCACTCCATACCGTGCATTATCTTGTTCTCTCGTGTCTTCATGTTCGAACTGTTGTCATGGTGTGGTACTCCGGATCGTGCCCAACAACGGCAAACGTCATGGGTAGCAGTCGAGGTGGGGACTCGGGAGGATGATGATGTCGTGGCTGCCAGCTGCGGCTCGGAAGAGCTCACGTCGGCCCAGCGCGTCGACTCGCTCGGTGTCTTGACTTCTTCGTGGGTGGTTCGGTGAATGTCATCCATTCGGATGGGTGGGAGGGGTTGTAAATGTATGAACCAGATGAAAAGCGTAAGTGATGCCAATCTCCGATCCTTGGCAGTCGGTAATTGGATCATGAGTGCTGAGGAGAAGCATCGAACGTGCACGGCACCAGGACGCGGTTCCACAAGAGCGGTTTCGAGCTCGTTTCGACTTTGCAGCATGTCAAGAAAGGCGTCCACTCCTTCGCTTCCTTGACCGACTCTTGCCTAGAGTCGAATGGCCGCTTGATAATGTCGTTGAGATAAAGCCGAGCCGGTCGCTCGGCAGTTGCAACGGCGAGTTTCGATCTACGAACTGATCACACATCTGATAATCTTCAAGATATTGACTGCGCTTTCGACGATTCGAGCGACGGTAGCGCCTTATAAACTGGCCCACGGGCTCGGTCGTTGCTCAGCGCTGCAGCCTTCGTCAACGGTGCTGGATCATACGTGCAGGTCGACGAGGGTTTGTAAGAAGGTTGATGAGGGGAGGTTGGTGAGGCAGGAGAGGAAGGAAGAGTAAGAGACTGTCCGAAAGAGAGATTTTCATCGGGTTCCATCAACTGCTAGCAAGTTAACAGGCCGAGCAAGCTGTTTTTCATTCAAGAGAGAGGGACGCAACAGATTCTCCTGCTACTACGGCGAGAGAGAACGACTGAATGATGATGCAAAAAGAGGCAAAACGACGAGGGGAAGGCAACGAGAGCTAGGGGGTGGAGGCACACTAGCATCGAGAGCAGAGCGGGAATGAGAAGGGGCAAAAAGTAGGGGGGCTCGACATGCTAGTGAAAGAAAGGGAGAGGAAACAAAAAATGGAGAAATGCAAGTATGCTCTGCAATGAGGTGAAAAAAAAAATGAAAAATGAAAAAATGAAACAAGGATGGTCCTCCATTTCTACTCCTTCCTCTTTTGACGTGTCTCTTTCATCTCAGCGCTCAAAGCTTGATCGGATCGGCCCAAATCCACCGCTGCTCATCGTAACCCCTCAACGTATCCTCCAACAAGACCTTGCACCTCTTCGCGACATAAACGGTGCGATCCGTCGTTTGTTGACGCAATTGCGCAATCTTGTCTTCCTCCAAAGGTCGTTCAACGAGTTCGGCAAGGGATTCGACGGCTTGTTCGAGATCACTGTATATGCAGAAGACAAGGTGTCTAGTAAGTACGTATTCGTTGGCCCAATCTAGCCTCAGATTCGGCGCTCACTTTTGGTTATCCTCAAACATCTGCGTCTGGTTGTTTTTCGCGAGGTAGAAAGTCATCGCATACGTCCACTTGAGGATCGTCCTTGCCCTTGTCAATTCCTGCACGGCCTTGGCAAGGAACTGGACCTCGATCCATGACAAGGTTGAATGCTCTTGCATCTCATCCATCTTCTTCTCCGTCCGGAGGGCCAACTCTTTCTCGAGCTTGATCGATTGCTCGTGGTTCGCATAGCGGTTGTAGTACTGCAGGGCCCAATTCAAACCTCAATTCGAAGCTCTTCCAACAGAAAAGAACGATGCCAAAGAGAACGTACATGGAGGTATCGCTTCAGACTTGCCCTCGACTTGCTCTGCACATCCTCGATCCCCTTCTCACCCTTCTCCTCGAACCGTGCGCAATTGTACCAAGCCGTGCCATGATCGGACCACGGGCCCATGCACACCCAACAAAACTCCCACTGACACCTCTTGCACGTCATATGATTGCACCCTCCGTTCTTCTCGATCGTCGAATTGCACTTTGTGCATTCCTTGGTGTTGGCTTGGATCCAATTGCTTGTTTCGGAATCGTCGGCGCATTTCTTGAGCCAGCGCTTGACGATCGGGCAAACACAGGGGCGATGATCGGCTTCGCCGCAGCCGAAGCAGGACATGTGCGAGCACGCGCACTCGACGGTCGGGATCACGCAGTTGAGTTGTCGCGGCGTGACGTTGCATTCGATCGCGTAGTCGCAGTTGGGCGCGGGGCACCATCGCAGCTGGTTGTTGTCGTCGACGTAGGTGCGGTTCAACAAGGAGCGGTAGCGCGCCAACGTATCGTCGTCGGCAAGGAGTTCAACGGTCCGTTCGTCAACGATGACGTTGCAGTCATTGCCCATGCACTGTATCCGTCGACTCTCGCCTTCGTCGTTGATCTTGGCCATGACGTAGGTAAAGTAGCACGCCTTGCAAACTGAGCAGACGGCAGCGCTGGAATGGTCAGTCTCTCGGCATAATGACCTATCAACGCACCAGCAGCTCACATCGATGATCGCAACTCAGCGCGAGAGTCTCCTGGTTCGAGTCATCGTAGCAAATGCTGCATTCAAAACCTCGCACGCGCTTGAGGCGAGGCTGAGAACCGCTTTCCTGAATGCCGGCTTTGGCCAAGGTCCCTTCCGAGTCTTCCATGTAGGCCTGTGCGCGAGCGTGCATGCCGAACAGGTTAGTACTTGCAGCGACAGCAAGTTTTTGAGATGGCACGCACCTCGAGCAGCTTCTCCTTCTTCCAGGCAAAGTAGCGCAACAGAACGGCGGCTCCCTCGGGCTAAAGTGGCAAGAGGACGAGGCGCGAAAAGTCAGTTCGGCACAATCATAGGCAGAACGAGGAAGCGGTCATTGTTGAGGACAGGAAGAAGCGATTCCAAGGAACAAGCGATGAACTCGTCGTACACAGCTTGTCCCTTGGCTTGGTTCGCGCTATGACATCCAGATTCCCCGCCCGATGTCAACGAGACGGAACTGACCTTGAGCTTGAGCATATCCGCAACGTAATCGACGGCCCTGCTCTGTTCATCCTTGAGTTCCTGCGAACTAAGGACCCTGAACTCGACCTCCCCGACGCGACGAAAGGAAGAAATGTTGGACGCGCGAGCCTTGCCTTTGCCTTTGGGGTCGAGCGAGCCTCGTCGATCGGTCGAGCAGGTCGAGGACGGATCGCCGAGTGGGGAGAAGCCCGAGTCCGAGATGAACCCTTCGGACAGTTCGGAATCGTCGTCGTAGCCTGTGGGATTGGGCCACAGTGTCAGCATGGGTGTGTGCACGGGTGCTTTCGGCGGTGCTACGTGGGCAGTGGCTTGGGTGGCCGAGCCAGGTGTCTCTGGTTGAGGCGATGTCGAGGCGCGTCATCATCATGTGGGCGTGGGCCGGCGGAGGCGCGCACGACACACAGCGACCGACACGGCCCAGAGCGGCAGGAAGCGAGGCGGCGCCGGCGGCCAGGGGAAGGGGAACGAGCGAGAGCACGAGAACAGGGCAAAGATCCATCCCATGTGCAGCTACAGTACCACCAACTGACCTTGCTCCATGTCCTCATCAAAGTCATCGGCCGCATCCGAGTAGTCATCGGACAACTCGCTCATCGAGGCTTCTTCGTCCGACATGATGAGACGTCGATGGGGAAGAGAGGTGTGGGTCGGTCGAGGTAACGCTGAGCTAATCGGTGGGGCGTCTCGATCGCGTCGTGGTGTCGGCGATGGGGTGTAACTTGGAGGATGAACTGCGATTTGCTGATCTAGCACTGATACGAATCGAAAGCACCTGAACTCCAACGACACGGGCGATAGGGTATGGAGAGAGAGGGGAGAGAACAGCAAACAGCCGGCGAACACGGGACCACGGGTCTCGTCGAGATGGGGGTGGTGGTCAAGAGTCAGAGCGAGGCCAAGCCCGGATTCGTCCATAGACCCGGGTCGAGCAGCCCTGAGCAGCCCGAGCGCTCTCACTGATCACGCTTTGCGCTCAAGTCACATCTTGTCATCAAGAGCATCGAGGCGAGCCTTTCCTTCGCAATCTGGCATCTCTGTCGTGTGGCCTATCTGTTCTCGCCGCCGAAGTTCTACGGGACAAGGCCGGCGTCCGTGTCTCGGCCTTAGCGTTTAGGAAAAAGATGAACGAGGAAACCTTGACGACCCCTGACTCTAGTGCGCTTGCCCTAGCAGCAGGAAAAGTAACCAAGCCAGGCCTCTCGAACTCATTGATGTGATTATACAATTTCGAAGACATAAAGAATACGCTTCGACTGTAGATGAAGGCTCGGGTCACAGCAAACCCGCTATCATTGTTTTCGGTCCCGATCCTCTTGACACGCTGCTTCTTCCCAAACATCGACCCACTACAGCCCCCTACCGCGACCACGGCCACGGCCACGACCACGACCACCTCGCAGCACTTCCTTGACGCGTCCTCGACCAGCTCCGGAGCCACCCTGAAAACCGAAAAGCGAGCCCAAGTCAGCAAATCGAAGTTGAACGCAGACTCTCGCTTCCAACGCTGAAAGCACGTACATCCTTTCGCTTCTTTGGTTTCGGTGCGTCGTCAATCAAGAGCGTGTCCAACGGTAACGAGTCGGGGAGGATGAAGTAGCGCACGTTGTTGCCTCGGATCGCTAACGAGTCGAGCGATTGGGGTTCCTGGTTGCGCACGGTCATCTTGACCGCCTTCAAGTGCGTGTTCATCGAGAGGTCGACACCTGCGAAAAGGATGCAGAGTTGATTAAGTACGAGGTTGCGGATGTTGCATGGTGTCCTCGCTGGCTGCATGGCCAAACGCACCGGTGATGGTGCCGTTGACGACTGTGCCGTTCTTGAGCTCGATCGTCACCGTCTCATTGTTGAGCTTCATCTGATCGAGTTTCAGATTGAATCACGTTAGCACACATGCCCTCCAGCTGCCTGCTCTGGTGCAGTTAGATGGCGAAGTGGGTGCGACCCGAATGGGCACCGAGCGATGGAAGTTGTCGGATCCATGTAGGAGATGGTGACAGTACTTGAGCTTACAAGGAATCTGTGAATAGATGCGAAATATGTCAGTCAGGTTCGATCTGCATGGGGTTTACGCCGTGTCTGTGGTTTGAGCGAGCGGAGGTGGTTGTGAATCGCCTTGGGGGAGTCGCGGTCGACTGCAGGTCGAGGTCACAAGCAGATGATCCGGTACACGACCTGGTACGGGAAAGCATGCTCAAACCGAGGTAGTCGTGACATGTCTCATACAATCGTGCCTCCGTGTCCAGTCTATCACGGTATACGAGTCGGTGTCGATCGAGGTGTCACACGAGCGCAACTTGCGCGTCCATCGCTTCGACGGAGACAAAGTCCAAGTGGTTAATCCCGAGAGCTTACCTGACCAACTTCATGGTGAAGGATGTGCGGGCGGGTGAATGACGCGGATGGGTGTGAAGAGTCGAACGAGCGCGAAGTGTACCGGGCCCAGCTTTGGCCCAGCGCACGGGCTAGCACGGGCTGCAGCGGACAGCCCAGCAGCTGCTGGCAGCGGACAGCCCAGCAGCTGCTGGCAGCGGACGGCTCAAGCAGGCGCGCGTCTGGCAGCGTCCTCAGCTGCAGCGCTGCGTCAGTGCAGAGTCGGCCAGTCTGGCGCAGTCTGGCGCAGTCTGGCGCTGTCAGTGCGCGTGGGTGGCCGCGGCTGGCAGCTGCTCGCTCCTCTTTGGATTGTGGCCGACCACCTACCGTCCCGAGACCCGAGCCTCAGACCACCTTTGGGGGTATAGACACCTCTCCACCAGGGGACCGAGTGTGATATTTGCCCATAGCTCACCCTCGGCTCACTCTGCACTCGACTCTTTCCTCGGGCCCACCAGCTGATTCGTTGATCCGATCCCGGTCCTGCCTTCTCCCTACGCGACCGTAGACGGAGGGCCAGGCCAGCCAACGACAATGGACAAGACGAGCCCCAGTCCCACGCCCACGGCGACCACTTTCGCACCTCGATCACCTCAATGCCCCTTGATCGAACTCGATGAATCCGGTGTGGCCGACTTGTTCGCCTCGCTTGGGTTTCCGTTCTATCAGGAGCAGCTCAATCGTCAGTTCACCACGCGCTGCCTATTCAGGAGACACCCGGACAGGAGGCCAGGGCGGGGTGGTCACAGGCACACCAGAGCCACGTAAAGCACGCTCCACGACGTGATCCTGACCGAGTGATTTGCTCCCACAGAGCATGCCATCACGGGCGAGATTCTTGTACACCTCGACCACGAGGCGCTCAAGGACGTCGGCATCCATTCGGTCGGACAACGGTTGGCGATCCTCAGGAGCGTCTATACCCTCAAGGTGCAGCAAAACATCCCCATCGAAGCGGGGCATTATGTTCCTCCTTGTGCGTTTTGAAGGTTCTTTGAATCGGTACCACTCCACTTCGTGTGCTGACGTGACCATGCATTTCGAACTCGAATTCGGCCTCACCCCACCCCCACCCAACCTCGGTTCGCCGTTCCTCTCCCCGTCTCTTGATTTGCCCCAGCCGAGGACATGGAATCGGCAATGATGGATGGTCAGCTTGGTGTAGCAGCCTCGACGCAACAGGTCGTCGATCTACTCGGCGAAAGAGGTACGTGGGGAGCCCCTCATTCGCTTCCGTTTGGCCACCAACCCTGATCTCGGACTGGCTCGTCACGGGTCGTATCAGATCAACGAATTCGGAACCTCGAGATGGAAGTGCAACGGTTGTACGACACGCTACAGACAATACGGGATGATACGCTATTGCGGTCGTCCACCAAGGTACGGTGCTGAATACAGCCCGCAGATGATGATTCAAGGACTAACACACTTTGACCTCGCATTGCTCTCGTTGCAGGCTCCTCGACCGACCGTACGGTCCCCGACATCAGGCCTATTCCCTCACCCACTCTCGAACCAGTCGACCTTGTCCAGGGCAAATTCGACCTCGGTACGCCCATCGACGACGGCCGGAGTGCTCTCTCACAGCGCCTTGCCCGACTCTCCTCGCTCGCCCATGGACTCGCCTCGTCTCCTCGTCTCGGACGGGTCCCTGTACCCTTCCGGCGCCTCAAGTGTAGGCGATCTTTCACCTCAACGCCACCTCTCGCCCCACGAGTATCAATCCGTCTCGCTTCCCGCTACGGCCGTGACCCCGACAACTTCCTCCACTCACGTCACGAACGACCACCACGGCGGCCCCGGTGATTCGCATCCCTTCAATCACCACTTGAACTCGTCGACCAACTCAAACTATTCTCATCCTCAAGATCTGAGTTCATCGACGACCTCCTCTTTGGCCGTCCCGAGCCGTCAAGCCAGCGATCGTGATCGTGACCGTGACCGTGACCGTACCGGCTGGGATCGCTCGGCCGACTCGAGCAGCAAACCCGTCTCCTCTCCTTCGGCGATGACTACCACTAGTGTTGCAAGCGGTACTGCGTCCTCGTCGGCTGATAACCCTTATCGAAGCTTCCGAGTCACGCTGGAGGACCCTTGTTACAAGGTCTTGCCCGCTGCGTTGAAAAAGTACAAGATCAACGACGACTGGAAACAATACGCGCTGTTCATTTGTTACGGCAATACAGGTGAGTGGTCTCGATGCTTATGTATCAGACGCGGTCTTTGCTCACTTTGATTCCATTTACGATGTGCCCCACCGAAAGAGCGATGTTTGGCCTACGATGAGAAACCCTTGATCCTTTTCCAGAAACTCAAAGAGTCGAACAACAACCCCGTCTTCATGCTCCGCCACATCAAGGACATCAAATCCCCTATCGCGTTCGCTACAGCCAAGCACGCCGCCAAAAAAGAGAAACGCGCTCCCGGGATCGGAAACGGCGTTGATAAAGTCCCGACGATGAATCGGGATGGTGTGAGTGCGCGACCGACAAGGTTGCATCATCCGCCTGTGTTGTTGCCTGTCGGGAAGGAGGCGGGCAAGCAGGGTTTGGGCGGGGAGGATGATATGAAACCGCCCGTTTCGCCGAGAGAGGTACCCGGGTATTGTATTGCTATCTACCCTTATCTGGCCGAACGAAAGTGAGTTGTTGTGGCGGTATGTTGTTTGACGGGTTCGAGGCTGACCTTTCTACACGTCCTCTTTTCACCAGGGACGAATTTGATGTTTCGGTCGGCGACAGTGAGTCATTGGCCCCGGACCCGCGTGATTCGTGACGAGTCTGAACTGACCTGAACTCGTATTCCTGTCTCACAGCCTTCATCATTATCTCCAAAACCAAAGGATGGTGGGTCGTATACCGGGATCTCGGCCCCTCGACCTCATCACTCGACTCCCCCGTCCCCCGCAAATCCGCATGGGTACCCGCCGGTTGTCTCCTCGAAACGACCGTCCCTCCCTTATCCCTCGCCGATCCATCGATCCTTGCCTCCTCGGCTTCCTCCCTCCCTAGTACAGCCGCGAACGTCCCTATCGAACCTCAATACGTCGTCTCCGTTTCGACGCCGAATATTGCTTTGACGGATTTTGCGAAGACGAGGAGTGATGAGTTGGATATCAAGAAGGGGCAACAGTTGAGGATTTTGAAGAGGTATAATCACTGTCAGTTTGATAAACAGTTGAATGACTTTGGGAGGGTGTTGAAGTGTGAGCTTACTTCTTCGGACTTATCTTCCTGACAGGGTCGTATGCGATTCGAGAGGATGGACATCGTGGATGGGTGAGTCTGAACTAAAGTACATGCCGTATAGAGCGTTTCCAGGACAAGAGCTGACGGCTTACGTCCGTGTAACACTTGTCCTGCCATTCAATTTGATACGCGAAGATTCCGAGCTGGTGAGGGGTTTCTCCTACTGCTTAGAGCGCGCGAGGTAAAGTCATGCTGACCATGCTAATCACTACTTCGATCATATTCCAGGTTCTGTGGCCGCATCCCCCGAACAGGAGAAGGGACCCCCACAACACCAACCACAGCCGAAGGACTCAAGTCCTCTACCGGCGCCTCGTCAGCCAATCTATCCCATTCGACGGGCTCAACCTCCAACCCCTCAACTACAACCTCGACGTCAAATGGACTACCCAAATTAGGCTCTACTCTCCCACCCATCAAGACGGGTGGCGGGTTGATGGATAATGTGCCTTTGCTTGGTGGGAGAACGGAGAGGAGTGAAGAGGTTTGAGTGTGGCGTGGTAATCTGTGGAGTTCGCGGATGATCCACGCGGGGCGTGATTGTTTCTTGCGCCTTCTATTTTGGTGTAGGCTTCTTTCATGATTGTAAATCCTCGATTACGATAGATGGGTGCTAGGGCTCGGGGGCGTTGTGCGCCCACCTCGCTGCGTGTTTGAGGTCGTTGCGAGCTTCGGAGGGAAAAAAAAGATCGGCGCGCGTCCGAGAACCTTGTTTGATGGAGGTGTTTTGTGTGCAATATTTTAAGAAGATGTAACTTTGGCCGCGATAAGAATGAGCTGTTCACCATAGCCAACATGACGTGGCCAGCATGACGTGATATCTACCTAGCATGTCAAAAAATGACTTTGGAATCTATCTACCTACATCTACATCTACATAAAATAATGCACGACTTAAATAAGGTTCTCAGCCCCGCGCGCGTGCGCCGATCTTTCCACCCCCCCCACGTTCCGGGAGGTGCGGGCGGAGCTCGCAACGACCTTCATTGACACAGGGAGGTGGGCGCGGAGCGCCCCCCGAGCCCTAGTGTCCTATATAATAAGCACGGGCGAGCGCCTGGTCCAGCAGTATGAGTTGGGGTGACGAAACTCGGCAGCCACTGGTCCCCCTCACAGCGATGAGCCCGCGCCAAAATCGGTCGAAATCGCCGAGAGCCGGCCCGAATGGACATCGGGTCGACGGGTGACTCAACGTCCGAAGAAAACGAACGTGCGAACTCCTTAACTTTCGTGGTGGATATCTAACCTGTCTTGTAAAATCGCTGAAGAAGACCCCTACTCGCACCCGGCTCTTCATGCCATCGAAAGTGGTACCAAGACCACTACTTCAAAAGATGTCCAAGTCGGACGGAGTAGAGAGTGAGACGCGTAAAACCCGTTGTCTCGGGGGCCGACAACCCGGGAGGAGCCACGAAACGACGCCTAGGCCCTCGGTTTCTGCGATCTTGCTCAACTGGTCCCCAAACTCGCCAGACGCCACACGCTCGAATTCCTTGAATATTAAGATTTTGCCCCAAGGTTCGTTGACGTTAACGCAGATGCAACAAGAGAAAAGGCCGACATGCAAATACGGCAGTTCATCGCTGGGTGCAGTTTCGTCGGTCACGACTTTGGGTTGGAAAGAGGGTCCTTTCCAGAGCGTTTGTAAATTTCTGAGTTTCACATTAACTGCTGCTGAACACCTCTTCTGAATGTCAAGCTTTACAAATGTTGGTCTTTGGGAGTCCTGTAGTAGTGACTTTAAGCTCGCTAGACGCCGTTTCGGGCAATCCACTGACTTTCGCACACAGGCAGGACCCGGCCGACGGCCGACGCTCGCGTGCGCTTCTGCTTGCTGCCGGCCGCCCTCACGCGACGCGATCAACACGGCTGATCGAGAAGGCAGAGGGCGGACTTTTGGACGAGAGAGCTCCCGTTGTCACTACCTCCGACGGTTTATTTCTCCAACCTCTCGTGGGCAATCTGATCCTCGGCCACGTTGATCGACCTATCAGCTGCAGCTGCCCGCCGGGAAAAGGATCATCAACTCTGTCCTGACGTCGACTCGAATCCCGCTTCCGTCGCGGTCGATCGAGTGATCTGCGCTTGGCGTGCCTTGGTCGTCCCTTTGACGAAACTCGCCGCCGCCGCCGCCGCCGCCGCTCGTGAGCCCACGTAGGGAGATACAACGCATCGGTGGAGAACGATTCGTCTACGAATTCAGGTCGTCTCAGCCTGTACTCTACGGGGTCCAGGGCACAGATGCCGTTTCAACTGTCGACGTCCAGGCCGGGTAAGAGCGAGTACCCGTTGCCTCCCCCCGCAGTCGCCTTCCAACTGCCTTCGGCCAAGGATGGGCTCAAGGTCAGATGGAGCAAGGTCAGTCGAGCAAGAGCCCAGGCAGAGCCCGCGAGCGACGACGAAAGCGCCTTTGCCTTGGTGGGGTGTAGCGCATAGATTGCATCACTGACGCTTGCACAACTCTGTACTCGGTCGCATCAGATCAAGAGAAGGATTGGGAATGGCTCCGCTCCAGGTACGTCGAGGACTCGTGTCGGATTCGGTCTGGGGGATGAACGTCCGTAGCCCGCGACCCTGGGTGCGACGGTAACGCTGCAAGCTATATTCGGCACGAAGAGATTTTTATCATCTTTGGACGAGGGGCCCAGCTTGACCCTTTTCTTGGCCCGAGATTGACGCGATTTGAACGTGTTGCAAAACTTTGCAGGTGATTCACTAGGAGATCCGACGACCGAAGGAACATCGGACAACGGCAGCTCGTACCGTGAAGGGGGGCTTTCGAGGAGACGGCAGCGAAGAGGCAGCGTCGACGACGACAAGGACGTGGAGGACCAGGGGGTGGATGTCGTCGTTGTCGAAGCACAGGGTGCACCCGAGGATTGGCGACGGGCCGTACCGAGAAGCTCGGGAGGTCAAGGCCCACCCGCGTCGGGAACCAGTCCGGGAGGAACTCATCTCAAGGGTAACGCAACGGCGATGCAGAGTGAGGGCAGCTCGATGCACCATCTGACAACGAACGAGAATATGGGCATCTCTGCGGCCGTGTGGAGCTTCTTACGATGGCGCGTATGGGGCATGATATGGTGCGTTCAACACCGGCGAGGCGAACGAGAGACTTTTTTCTGAGCTACCCTGGACTTACCATTGTTCTTGCGTGGTCTTGCTGCAGTCACTTCTTCTTCCCCGCTTACGTTGACGCCAAGGTCGAAGACGGCTTTCAGAAGGAGCAATGGTGGAGCGCAAAATCTGTGAGCTGACTGCAAGGCTTGTGCCAAGGCTCTCTGACCTCGGTGCTCACTGTGTGCGCTTTGCTGGCACAGGTCCATATCTTCGGTTCTTGCTTCCTCGTGTTCAGTTGGGTACTTGCAACCGCGATCCTCCAGAGGCCATGGTCACTGTGGAACAAGATTTCGTTCTACGGAATACACCCACTGTTCACAATCTCGCTCGTCCCCATGGCTGCACTGGATGTCCCGCGCAGGCGACCATGGCTTTGGCAAGCAGTGGCGTTCTGCGCGCTTTGGATTTATGCGACCAATAATGTCATTGACATGTACACTTGCGGGTAGGCCTTTGACGATTACCTAGCCCAATGCCTCTGATCAGTAGGGCCTGATGCCATACGCTTGATTTTTCTGCGTATAAAGGTTTTACACCACTCGTGCAAGATGCGGCAAGAAGGACTTTTTGGGCACGATGTACTATCCCAGTTGTCAGATTGTCATCGGCCTCTTCGCGCTCGGCCAGAAACGACTATACGCCTTGATCGGCGGCCTCTCGTGGGTCGTGGTCGTTGGCGCAACACTGCTTCCGCATCGCGTCACCTTCATCCGAAACGTCGTCAACCTCTTGCTCTTCCAGGGCTTCGTCCTATACCTGCACTATATGCGCGAGCTCTCCGACCGACGAATGTATACGCTTCGAGCGGAGCTCAAGATCCAGTATCAAGGCAAAGCACGGGCGCAGCAGAATGAGCGCAAACAGATGGACGCACGTCGCAGGTTCAGCTCGTGAGTATATGCACGATTTGGTGGGCGCAGCACGCAAGGCGGTCCCTAACCAAATTGCTCCTGCCCTTTTCGGACAGGTACATCTTCCACGAGGTTCGCGTGCCGCTTAACACAGCTAGTCTCGTCGTACAGCAGTGGAAAGCACTTGGCCTCATCGACCCCAATTCGGAGGCCGCGGTCGAATTCCAGGCCCTCGACTCGTCGCTGACGGCCATGAGCCAAGTTTTGAACGACACGCTCGACTTCACGCGCATGGAAAGGGGTGGTTTCACCTCGGTCTCGCGGCCATTCAGTCTCCACGATGTGATGAACTCGATCTTTGGGCCGTTGAAGCTGGATGCGCATGCTCGGGGGCTTGCCTTCGAGACCGCTTTGGACCTGCGCATCGACGATGTCGCAAAGCGGGCCATGTATCCGGATGGTGCGAATGTGGAACCGATCGCCGAAGGTGACGGTTGGATGATGGGTGACGAGATGAGGGTGAGTATCCGACAAGTTCATGCCTCAGGTAGCCGAATCCTGATCCCATCTCTTGTCCCTTGGAGCAGCTGCGACAAGTGGTCAACAATTTGGCTTCAAACGCTTGCAAGTTCACGCCGGCCGGAGGTACGATCACAATCGTCACTCGCCTCGTCTTTCCCGACCCAGAATGTGGCTCGCCCGACTGGCGCAAACACAGTACCAGCACGGACACGACGGCGGTCGATGGCGATGAATGCAAAGCCGCAATCTTGTCTTCAAACCGGCTTGAACAGCACAACGTCGCGACTTCGCCCTCGGATCCACCACAGAAGAGGGTACTCGTGGCTAGGATAGAGGTTCGAGACACTGGAGTGGGGATCAAAACGCGGGCCATGACGGGCGATCGTAGTCTCTTTTCGGCGTTCGTGCAGACCGAGATTGGGAGGCAGCAGGCGGGCAAGGGTACCGGGTAAGCACACGCGTATCGCGCTTCGTGGAGTGGGGAATATGACCGACCAATTTTTGCCTTCGTTGCACGCCCCGCAGATTGGGTCTGAGTCTCGTGCGCCAAATCGTGATGCTCAGTGGCGGTCGACTTGGAGTTAAGAGCAAAGTCGGCGAAGGTTCGACGTTCTGGGTCGAGATGCCGTTTGGTGTTGGACCGCAAACCCGCGAGGTCGACGACGGGTTCCACATGTTCGGGACGCACCTCGAGAAGTCATCGTCATCGCCGTCACCTCCGTCCAACTCAGTTCATTCGTCCGACCTTCGCTTCACGTCATCGCTAGCTTACCGACCGGGTGAACCTGGACTTGGATCGATTGGCGAGAAGGACGGGATCGAGATGAAGCAGACGAGCTACACGTTCTCGCCTCCGAGTTCGATGACGCAGCCCAAGACCTTCATCCCCCTCGGCCGAGACAGCGCAGAAAACACTCCCCCAGCGACACCGCTGCCGCCCTCGGCTGGTCAACTCGACAACTCTCAGTCCCTGTCTATCTCGACGAGCTTTGCTCGAGAAAAATCGGCTTCCATCTCATCGGCTCTTACCCCCGCGGATGGCGGGCTTCACCGACCTGCGGGACCGAGCCACCTGCTCTCTTCGGCTTCGGCACCGGCAACGATTTTCTCGAGCGGACCGTCAACACCGACCGTGTATGCGTCGACAAGTATGAACTCCAGTACAGTGACGCGCACAGTCTCGCCCGTCGCGACCCCAAGTGGTACCGTGATGGTTGGGACCGTGCCCTCGGCTGCTGCGCGCAGATCGGCCGCACTCGAGTTCGCAGATGGCGCACTGCGTGTGCTCGTCGTCGATGACGACACGCTCACGCGCAAGTTGATGAGCCGCATGCTCGAACGTCTTGGTTGCCTCGTCAGCACGGCGGAGAATGGAGCCGTTGCGCTCGACATGCTGCTGGGTCCGGAGCATAGGTCGACGACCGAATCAGGAACGATCGGCTCCTCTTTCTCGATGAAAAATTTATCCTCGATGCCTGCTACGCCGACCGACGTCAACGCGCCTGTCTTCTCTATGCCGTCGCCTTTTGATATCACATTCCTCGACAATCAGGTGAGTTGTTAATCTGTGTGAAGGATTTCATTCTGCTCCTGTGTTGACAGTTTCTCTCGAACACCTATCAGATGCCCGTTACTTCGGGACTTCAAGTCGTCCGAAAAATGCGATTACTGGGTCGTACGGATCTCATTGTCGGCGTCACCGCTAACGCACTACGCACCGACCAGGAAGAATACCTCGAACAAGGGGCTTCGTTCGTCCTGACCAAGCCAGTACTCGAAGCGGATCTGAGAAGGTTCTTGATGCTCGCCGATCGAAGACGAGCCGAAGCCAAGGACTCGGTCGCACGACTGCAACGCCAATCGACGTCCGAATCTCGACCCAAGCCTCCCCTTCGCTGAAGACTGTCTCGACCTGTTCCTTCTGAAACTGGTCGGGCACCTCCCTTGCCCACGTTTCTTCCATTCCATTGATTCCTCGACTTGTTCTTTCGCTTCGTCGGTAGTCGCATCTGCGCATTTGACTATCTCCTTCTTCATAGCATATCCACAACCTTGTGTCTTTCTTGACTGTTGATCTGTACCGTGTTCTGTCCTTCTTTGTGTGTAGGAAATAGGGGGTTCATCAGTAGCGGGGTCGATTCTGGCTGCACCTTGGCAATGTCTACTTCATCATCATATCGCTCATCCAAGAAGGACATGTGAGTGGGCCAGTGTTCCACTGCCTACCAGGTGCTCCAAGATGTATCTCGACGTCAGGAGAGAGTTCGCCGATCGCGATGTCTGACCCTGTCCCACCCTGTCTGACCGAGCGGCTTACTGCGGCTTAGCACGTTTCACGTGGTCCCCACCCAACGCGGGTCGGCGTCCGCCTGTATCTCATCATCTCACGGCGCTCTCAAACATGACGCCTCGTATCATTTGCAAGGCCGGACCTTCGGTACATGATCTCAAGCCCGTGGCTGTGAGTGATCTGGTCTCTCACATCTCACGATCTTGATCTCGTGGGCTGTCCTCCCTTGAGTCGGCGCGTGAAGCGAGGTATGACGTAATTGCTCTGACCCCGAACTCGATCGGTCGATCGGTCGGACGAGTTTGGGCACTGGAAGGATGAGAAAGACCTCGAACCCGCGTCCATCCCGACTGAGCTAACTGTTTCTCTTACAGGTCAACGGAGCACCCATCGAAATCAAAGCAGCAGGTTTCGAAGGCAGAATCTCGGTCCGCCTGAACAACTTCCATGGCACAGCTCCGGGAGGAGGGGAGGCGCCTTCCAAGCCGAAGACCGAATACACCACACCGACGGATACGATGAGCATCAGCTTTTGTGGTCGCTTCAATGAGGAGAGCCTGAATGCGGATGATGTACTTTGGGGGAACCAGGTCAGTATGTATGGCGCCGATCATGACTTTGCCCAGCGAGTGACTGATCCGATCGGATGCTATCATCGGCGCCTGTCGAACAGTGGGAGCAGCCGATCCGAGACTATCTACCTTATGGAACAGCCGCTGCACTCAAGATCGCCCCTCTCATCGATCCTGCGTTGACGCACGACATCTACGCCGATCGACCATGGGCCTTCGTGAGTCGAGATTGGCGAGAGAGTTCTAGTCAGGACTTGGGCTGACGTGGTCCCTGGTCATCTCGGGCTCTTCTTGCGCAAACAGTCCCCGCTCCTAGCCACGATGCAACACATCCAAGCTGAAGAGACCGATCCCTCTGCCTCGATTCCCGACTACACTCCAGGGCCAGTGAACGAAGACATCTCGATCCTTTTCGAGAACGAAGCCGACGCGACGAAACTTCACGGCAAGCCCGATCAACGTCGCAAGTGGATGGCCAACGCCGAGCACCGCAAGCTCGTCAAGCTCAACAAGAAGCATGTCCTGACGTGCGATTTCAGTAACGGATTCATTGACTGTAAGCGCAAAGCCACACAGATCATAAAGTTTGAGCTCAGCTCATCGATACGATGTGTTGGGAACTGTAGTTGCGAACCTCGCGCTCAAGCTCCCGGGAGGGCTCAAGTTCTCGCTCGAGAAGTACTGGGACGGGCAACCCGTCACCTTCGTGTGCCGCAAGCGCGAGTCGATCGACCATGTCTACTTCGTTATCACGTTCGAGCTCGAAGGAGACAAGCGAGCACAGCCTAATCATGCAGAGGTCGAGAAGAAGGAAGACCCTACATCCGATGAAGTGGTCGAGGCCGTCGATGAGTTGGGTGTCGATTGATAATAATAGAGTGTATGCTATAGATGGATGAGGCAGCGTGTTGACAATTTCAAAATCACCCATGTGTACAATTTTTACCGCTCTAATACTTCATGTTGCCCCCTTTTGAAACCCCCTTTGATGCCCGTGCACCACTCCCGTCGCTCGCAAAATGAAACACCGCCTCCCGGCAGTCTTGCCCCCCAGAAAAAAAACCCTTGATATCGACCCGGCCTGCCTCCAATTTGTCCCCTTTAAACCTCTGAACGCATCCCCAACCCCACCATTGAAACTATACATCATCATCATCACAACATCGGTCATCTTTCACCCTCAACCCCAAATGCTCTGACCAAACTTGGGTCTCCTCTGCCCCTCCTCCCCCGAGCTCGCCCTCCTCCCCGCCGCTTCCATCCCTCCACTTGCACCTCCACCAAATCCATCCCCTTCGAACCTCCTCCTAATATCGAACGCTTCCTGTCCTCTTTGATTACCTTGACTCACACCAGGGACGAACGACTTCCTCCTTAATGCATTGGAAGGGTGTAACAAAGCGGCCATGTCGGCATGTTCTGTCGTCGTTGCGAGAGGTGGACTGGGTGGTGAAGGCCCTGAGGCCCATCCGTCCGGTTGAGGAGGGGGTGAGCTCCGATTTGCGGCGTTTGACAATCGAAGAGCGGCCAGGGACGCGTCTAGAGAAGAGGTGGCCGACGTCGCGGCATCCGACGAGGGCGTTGGCTCATCGGCGATGGCCAATTTCGAAGCAAAGTAACTCTGCTCTGTTCCGGCCACGGTCCCCGACGCTATTTGACCATTTGCAGGAGGCGTCTTGTTCGAATCTTCGGGCGCCTCATTCGAAGTCGCTTCTGGTGTTTTGGCATCGTTCGAGATCGTTGAACCGATGGGGTATTCGAAGCTAGACGGGTCGGTGTTGTGGTTGACGGGAGGGAGCATGGGGTTGTCGTTGTGATTAACGGGTGCACCTGGTGCGGCGTTGATCCCATAGGTCGGGAAGAAGGGTGAACCCATTTGAGGCGAAAACGGTCCAACCCCGGGCGAGAAGAAGGAGGCTGGGTGCAAAGGCGGGGTTTGAGGGAAAGCGCCGAAGGTGAACGCCGGCATCGAAGGGGTCATAGGAGGTAGACGACCGACCATGGGCGAATACGGTGTGCCGGGTGAAAGTGGCCCACCTGCGGGACCGAAGGGATACGAAGGTGGCGGCATGGTGATGCGTTCCGGTCGAGGGACTGGGGCTCGACCTCCGGCGCCCACACCACTAACGACGTCCGTGTTGATCTCTAACCCACCACCACCCTGTCTCCCTTCACGCCGCTCTTGTTCGGATGTCGAAGAGACGGACGAGTTGACCGAGGCTGCCAAAGGGTGCAGGGATGTCTCGGCACCTTCGAGTTCCGCTCTGTGGGCCTCGCGTACCTCCTCACTCAGCTCGTGTAGCGCCAGAGGTTGTCGATCCTGCAATGTGACCGAGACCATCTCGCGCGTAGGTTGTTGCTGGTATGGATGTGGGTGCTGCGGGTGACCTCGCGACTGGTCCATAGGGCCACCGAACTGCGCGGGCGGGCCCGGTTGGGGTGCCCATCCAACCGGAGGCGGTCCGTACATCGACGGCGGACCCCCAGGACCACCCGGACCTCCGGGACCGCCTGGGCCGACGTACTTATCAAAGTGAACTTTGAGCGTCCGACCGTTGAACTCGTAGCCGTTGAACATCTGCACCGCCCTCTCCGCATCGGCCGCATTCGCAAACACGACCGAACCGAACCCCCTACTCCGTCCATCGGGCCCTTGAGCGATGTCGGCGCGCGAGATCGATCCTCCTGCGCCTCGCATCAGATCCTTCAAGTCTTGCCATTGAACATTGAACGGCAAATTTCCGATGAACAATTGTCGACCGTTAAAGGGTGACGGCCCAGGTGGTCGTTGACCCTGTGACCGTTCAAGAAGACTTTCAGCGCGTCAGTGCAGCTCACGTGCACACGCCGACGAATGCTGTCCTTTCTGCTCACATATGGTGGTGGCATATGACCTGCCACGGGCATCATCATCATCATCATTGAAGGCATTGGCGGCGGAGGTGGGGCGTGTTGCCCGTTGTAGGGTACCGGTCCTTTGAACTGCTGATTGGGCCGATCCCGACCGTTCGCCGATCCATTCGGATGCCCGCCCCGACCCTGCCCACTGTCATTGCGACCACTGATGTCCGGCCGCACATCGCTCCAGTCCAAGCGGCCGTTCGCGGCTCCTGGGATTGCAGTCGTGGAGGGCCGAGGCGTTCGGGCGCCTCCTCTCAGTTCGGGTGATGAGCCGATCACTTCCACGCTCGAAGGAGCGGTGGTGGTGGACGTAACACTCGAGGGTGCTGGCGATCCGATCGATGAGCTGGAACCAGCGTTCGATGCATTCGACGGTGGGTGGCCGCTTTGGGGTGGTGCGTTAGGGTACGAGTTGTAGGGCATCATGATGGGTGGGGGAGGTGGGGCACCGTACGGCATCGGCGCACCGGCGTACGGCCACCCGTAGCCCCCCATTTGCGCCGCAGCCTGCTGCTGCTGTTGCTGCACCATCTGGTAATGCGAAGCTTGTTGTTGCAAGGCGTTCTGTCGGTTCGCTTCGGCGAGGGCGATTTCGCCTCGAGGATCGACGGTGTCGACTCGCACGTCGAGCACCCGGGTCTGCCAGGTGTAGCCGTGGTAGACCTCGATCGCCTTGAGGGCATCCTCGTTCCGGGCAAAGAGTACTACACCGAACCCTCTACTTCGTCTGTGGGGTGAGATGAGTATGACTCATCAATCGAAGGAAGCGGCTCTTGTAAGGAGTGCGAGGAGAGGACCTACCCATCCGTCGGGGACAAGGCAACGTCGGCCCTCAAGACGGTTCCGACCTTGCGACACAAGTCCTTGAGATCCTGCCACCTGACCTTGAAGGGCAAGTTGGAGACAAAGAGCTGGGTCCTGGTGTCGTTGCTGGACTGAGGTACGGGTGGGCCTCGCGACGAGTGCTGGGCGTTTGGCAAGCCGGGACGAGCGCCGTGGTGGTCGGTCGGCCAATGCTGCGGGTGTTGATGCGGGTATGGCTGCGGGTGTGATGGAAGATGAATGGGTCCTTTGTTGTTCACAGACGACTCGTGGTGTGGTGCAAGTGCATGGCCGCTGTGGTCGGTCTGCGCAGACGGCGGGGACGAGGACATGATGTCGGCACTCGGGCTGACCCCGGTCGTGCTCGAGCTCGTCACCGCCGGGCCAACAGCAGCAGGATTCGCTGTGGTAGCCGAGGGTGAAGCTTGAGGTTGTGGCGACGGGGTCGAGTACAATTCGACCCGCTGCACGTGGGTTGAACCCGACGTCCCAGATCGAGTCAGCTACGGTGGGGGGCAAGCGCGAGGTCAACAGGCGGGGTCGCACGGCGTCGCGCTCGGCGAACGACGACGGCAACCGAAGTGCAACCGACGGCCGCGACTTCCACCTCACACTGGTTACTCACAGCGTGATCAAGCCGATCCGGCACCATGACGGTCTGGTGAACTCCACCGAGTCTGCGTTGACAGTCGAGACGCGCACGGGACAGCCTGGACGTAGCACGGAGCAAACCCACGGGGCCAAGCGCGTGGCAAGTCCAGGCTTGCACCTCGCGTGTTCTGCACCCGTCAGCACCAGTCAGCACCCTTCACGACGAATAAAAGTACATCATCGAAAAATAAAACTCCACAACTTGGGATTAACGATATGACTTGTGTGTTTCGATCGTTTCAGCCCCTGTCAATATTCGGCTTCCGAGTCTGAGCTCGGACCCACGGACGGACTTGGCCGAAATTGATCCGGCACGTTTGACCCGAATGTGTTCTCTTGCCAGGTCACCATGCAGGGCCGGTGAAAAAAATTCAGTTGGATGAGAATCGTACGTTTGCATATAAAATCCGTGTATCGAGCGCTTCAACTCGAATGTGTGACGTATCTCGATCGATCTCCATTTGCTTCCGTCCCAGACCGGCGTCCGGAGAAAGTTCTTTGGACTGTTGCACCGCCACCTCGCACACGCGCTCGCGCAGTCGAAGGCTGTGATCTGGCTGGATCACGCTTCGTCGCTCTTGGATCTCCTTCCTCCCGCATCCTCCAGCGACCACGACCACGAAAAGGCAGCAATCATGGTCAGTACCCACCTCGAAACTTTGCTCCATCCTTTTGCACCTCCTTCGCTCCAGGAAACGAACTGCCGAGCAACGACTCGCTGCAAGAGCGTGGGCTCCACATCCGAACAAAGCCGGGCGAGCTGACCTGTAACCTGTCGAGCACTCGCACCACAGGGGCTCGCATCAGCACTCGTCATGGGCGTGGTCGCGAACCAGCTCAAGCCGATGCTGCAACAACAACTTTCGGGAGGCAGCAAGCCCAGCCAGAATCAGCAGTACCAGCAGCAGCAGCAGCAGCAGCAGCACCACCAGCAGCAGCAGCAGCAGCAGCAGCAGCAGCAGCAGCAGTACCAACAGCCGCCTCAACAGCAGGGGCAGCAGCAATACTACGGAGCTGCCGCAGCGGGCGCAGGAGCCGCGTATGGAGCTCAACAAGCCTACCAATCACAGCAGCAGTACCAATCACAATACGGGCCTCCCCAGAGTGGGTCCTCTCCGTCTGAGCGTGGCGCCCATTTCGGGCTGCGGACTGACGCAAGCTTGTCATACCGGATAGACGCATACAACGACCAGTACCCGTCGCAATATGGTAATACCGGGCCTCTAAATGGTATGTGATATATGTTCGTTAGCGCCCGTCTTCCTCTGGATCCTACTAGTTTCGGGCACTGAAGAACAGGGTTTTACCTCGCCCTCTTTCACTCAGTCATGCCCGAAAATCACGGCGGATACCACCCCAACTACGTCCATCAACAATCACCTCCCCCACCACAGTACAGTGCGCCACCCCAACAGCAATACGGCGGTCAGCAGTACGGCGTCATGCCTTTTCCCGGTGCCGGCGGAGGCATACCCATGCCTGGAGGATCGATGCCGATGCCGGGACAAGGAGGACAGATGCCCATGCCAGGACAAGGGAATGGAGGATACCCGGATGGCTCGAGAGGGGATCATCGTAAGCGGCCTGAGGCTCACTAGCGACAATTCTTCGGGACCGCAGCTCACCGCTCCGATCTCCCGTGAGCAGATTACGGAACCTTCGCAGCGGGTGCCCTTGGCGTCGCTGCCCTCGGAGCGGGCGCATACGCGTATCAGCATCATCAACATTCGCAGCAGGCTGGGGGACCCATCGATTACAACAGGGTGCTCCAAGTTCTTCAGCGTGGCGTCCAGGACCAAGTACGTGCTACCTGAACGTCAAGCAAGGAGCCGTTACTTATTTCATTCCTGTACCTCTCCCGTCCGCAGAACCTGTACGCTTTCTACCCTCAAGGCTCCCTCGAGCCTCTGGCCCAACGTATCGTCCAATCAAATGCTTTACCTCAAATCGCTTCGGCGTGGAACGTCGCTCCCGAAACCGTGATCCAATTAGCCCGTCTCGCCTTGTTCGACATCGTGCTCTACGTTGACGACTCGGGGTCGATGAGATTCGAAGAAAATGGCGAGCGTATCACCGACTTGCAGCTGATCGTTAAGCGAGTGACTTCAGCAGCATCTTTGCTGGATACGGATGGGTTGCAGGTATGTTTGCGACTTTGCCTCCGAGTTTCGACTCTGCGTGAGCTGACCCCTGTTAATCTTTCCGTTTGCTCAGATCCGCTTTATGCACTCACAAGGACAACAAATCAATTCGGAGCAAGCCGCCGTCGACCTCATGAGTCGCACCAAATTCAACGGCAACACCCCCCTCGGAATCGAACTACAACGCCAAATCCTCGGACCGCTCGTGGTCGAACCGGCCCGACGAGGCACATTACGCAAACCCGTCCTCGTCGTCATCCTGACCGATGGCGAACCCAGCGAACCAAGGGATACCCTTGTCCGAGTGCTCAAAAGCACCGACTCTGATCTTCGTCAAACAAGGTATTCGTCCGATGCGGTGTCGTACCAACTTGCGCAGATTGGGAATGATGAGAAGGCTTATCGGTTCTTGAATGAGGTCGATCAAGGGGAGGTGGGCAAGTTGATAGACGTGACGAGCAATTATGAACGCGAGTCGGAGAACTGCAGAAGTGCCAATCCGCCGTGAGTCGTGCACCTTCGAACCATCAGTCGCGCACATCACTGAAAAGGGCTGCGGGTTCACAGATACACTTTGACCCCTGATGGATGGTGTTTGAAGCTGCTTCTAGGAGGCATCGATTCGACCTTTGACGCTCGAGATGAAGGCAGGAAGAGTGGATGGTAGTTTATGAAGCGGATACGGTACTCTCTCGGATTTTGGGAGTGTTGTCAATACCTCATGGTTCTTACCTGTGACAATGCTGTGACACCCGAGATGGTGCGCGAGAGAGTAAGTGGGCACGGAAGGGTCGCGAAGTTCATTACAGATGAATACACTATGTTGTTCTACTTCTAGTTCTTACTATGATCTACAGTACTATGCTCTACAGAAGACGTATGAGACTTCGCCTCCTCCTCCCCACCTTTCTCCAAATCCACTCCCCCCCGCTTCGCTCTCTTCTTTCTCTTCCTCTCCTGAAGCATCTGCGTCCCCCGTTCCTTCAACGCCTCCTCATCCTTCCTCACCAAATTCAACCTCTCCATGAAAATCATCGTAATCACGAAATTGAACGCTTGTAAACTCGCGAACACGATGAAGACGACGCGAAAACCTTTGACGTAAGCGGCGATGATCTCGACCTTCTGTTGCGCCGGGAGAGCGAATAAGGTTTGCCCGTCGACGGTCGTGGCTTGCCATATTTCGGTAGGAGAGTCAATAATTTTTCCCACTAAATTTCCTTCAAACCCTTCGGGTAGTAAGGTGTGTTTGAGGGTATTGTTGATGATCGTCGAGGCGATCGCGAGCGAAAGAGTACCTCCGAAAGCACGAAGGAAATTCCTCGTCGAGGTCGCAACTGACATATCGGCTCTTTGTACAGCAGCTTGAACGGCTACGAGGGACGACTGTAGTGTTTGACCTTGACCGAATCCGGTGATGATCAAGAACCCGACCAGCTTGGCCGTCGAGGAAGATTCGTTTAGAGTCGAGAGAAGCCCGAGGCCAATGGACCAAATCGCATACCCGCAAACGATGAAAATTTTGTATTCCCCTGTACGAGCGATGCCTTGGCCTGTGCAGAAGACCATGAGGGTTACCATCATCAAGAGCGGGATGAAGAGGACTCCGGAACGGATCGGGGATACACCTCGGACAATTTGTAGGAATTGAGGCTGGACATGTGAGGGAATCAGTACGCGCGGATGCCACGATAAAACTGAGGACGCAAGACGTACAACGTAGAAGACTTGGGCCATGAGAGTGCCTCCGGAGATGGTGGTACTCGCGAAGACTGCGCAGGGAGGTTACGTTCGACACGCGTCAGCCGCTTATCAACCCAGCCTGGCACGGATGAAGCGGAATGGGGGGGAACTCACCTGAGGCGGCTGTCCGGATCTTGAAGATGTACATCGGGATCACAGGAATTTTGGGGACCTTCCACTCGTACAGCATGAAGACGACGAAGCAGACGAACCCGCCGATAAGACATCCAAGTACCCTGGGTGAATTCCATGAAAAAGTCACACCACCCCTAACATTCGATAAGAACCCCTACGCGTCAGTCCGGCTGCTGTAACCTAGCACCGTGGAATGATTGAGACGCACCAATTCAAAGGCAGGAGTATGAGTGTGCAAGCACCAATCGTCAAAAGCGATCCGACATAGTCGATCTGTGCCAGCTTGGTTCGCATACTGCCCTTGACGGCTTTCAGCGGCAGAAAAATTTGAACGATTACGATGCCAACTGACGAGATATGCCGAAGGTCAGTATACGAGCCCTCCTAGGAAATTTGTAAGTAAGTCTCGCGGCAGCACACTGACTCGGCGCAATGATGACCGTCAACCAGAAGATCCATCGCCAGGACAGTTTTTGCGCAAACACTCCGCCGATGATTGGTCCAGCACAATTGGCGAGGATGATGGTCATCTCGGTGATACCTTGGTATTTGCCTCGGTCCTTGAGCGAAACGATGTCCGAAACGATGATGAAGACGAGTGTGATGAGTCCTCCCCCACCCACTCCGGCGAGCGCACGGAAGAAGATCAATTGCTTCATTGTTTGTGCGACACCGCACGCGACCGAGCCGATCGTGAAGACGAGGATGCAGCCTTGCAGCGTGAGTTTGCGACCAAAAATGTCGCTGAAGCGACCCAAGATCGGTTGGAACGCCGTCGTAGTCAGCAAGTACGCGCTTGCTACCCAGGAGCTGCTACGACCGGCGCCAAAATGAGCCGAGATGGTCGGTAACGCGGATGAGAGCATCGATTGGTCGAGGAACGAGAGCAGCACGGCCAGCTGCATTGCTGCGAAGACCTGTTGAAAATATTATCGGTGGGATCAGTTTCCGCTGCCATGGGATGTCAAAGGTTGATCCGCGTATGGACTCACTATGAGGATTTGTCTAAAAATGGAAGCAAACGCGTGAGGGGAGGTATCGGCGTCAGCAAGATCAAGTCCCACTAAACTATGAAGTTGTGGACTCACCTGACTGGGAGATAGTTGGTTTGGTCCTGGAGGTTATTGCTATGCCGTGCCGGCAGCTTCTCGGCGTCGCCCGAAATCTCGGCCGCCGACTCCTGTTGCGACTGGCCGGCGTTCGGCGCTGCGGACGCGACGATGTCTTGTTCGTGGACGGTCACGTCGTCCGGACCATCAATCGAATGTTCGGGTGCGTGTTGGTAGCCAGCTCTGTCAGTATCGACTCGTGCGGAAGGTGATGTTGAACTCTGCCGCGGCGACGATGATTGAGCCGCGGCGTCCGCCGTCAGGCCGTCGGAGATAAGTGTCGGCTGCATGCTCTTGGTTGTGAAGGGATCTCAAGGCCTTCAAAGTGGTTCAAGGTCGATCCATAGAGGAGAAGGATGGAAGAGAAGGTCACGTCACTCCTGGATTTGTACCTTGTCGATGATCGATGATTCGTATAATAAGAGAGCCCCCGCAAGAGCGCGGCAACGCCTGCACGGCGGCGACGGCTTGTTCGGCCCGCAAAGTACGCTAGTGACCGAGCGGGGGCGACGGCGGACTCGCAATTTCAGCGGCGGACTTGGGGGTCTCGGCTCCGGATTCTCGTGGGGGAAGAGCGCTCGCAAGCCGCGCCCGTATGAGAGGTAGAAGCAACGCACAGACCTGCTCAAGCAGTGGTAAGTCTCTGATCGACGGACCAAGGGAGACCAGACCAAGAAGTTGCTTTACACACCTATTCAACAACTACAGGTAAGCTATCACGACTAGTAGTATTGGAGTTGGTAGTGATGTGTAGTACTCACCTGCTCAAGCAGTGGTAAGTCTCTGATCGACGGACCAAGGGAGACCAGACCAAGAAGTTGCTTGAGCAGGAGAGAGAGAGTCGCGCGGGGCCAGCTAGCTGAGAGCAAGTGCGCGAGTCTGGCCAGAATGCGGAAGATAGACGGCAAAGCCGGGTCAAGAAGGAGAATAAGGGAAGAGACACAGGGGCCATGATGCTAGAAGGAAATAAGAGAGAATTAAAGTACTTTGAGAATCTCACAGCCCCCCGACTTCGAGCATCAGGGAGGACAGATGCCAAGGCGGCCGCGGTGACGCGCAAAGAGGTCGCGGGCTAGAGCCTTGGTGAAGATGTCGGCGGTCATGTCGGCCGTGTTGATGTACTGGACCGCGATATCACCAAGGGCGACCATGTCGCGGACAAAGTGCTCACGAAGTCGGATGTGGCGGGTGCGGGCGTGGAAAACCGGATTCTTAGTGAGGGCGTTGGCGCCTTGATTGTCGCCAAGTACTAGAGTCGGAGCAGAAGAGGGGAGACCCAGCTCACCAAACAGTTGACGCAGGAAAATGGCTTCCTTGCCGGCATGCGAGAGAGCCAGGTATTCGGCGTCGCAAGTGGAGTCTGCCACGCGAGACTGGAGGCGCGAGGACCACGAGATGGCGCCACCGGCATAGAGGAACGCGTAGCCCATGGTCGACTTGGAGGAGAGCACACAGGCACCCCAGTTGCAATCAGAGTAGCCAATCACGGGAGCAGGGTCGCCGCGGGAATAGCGCAGGCCGTGCGAGAGCGTTCCAGCGAGGTAACGGAAAGCGTGCTTGACAGCACCCCAGGCAGCTTCGGATGGAGACTGGGAGAATCGAGCCAAGTAACCGACAGCATAGGCCAGATCGGGGCGAGTGCCAATGGATGCGTACATGAGCGAGCCAATGGCCTGAAGATAGCGGGTGCGGTCCGCAAACGGGGCAGGGTTGATCTCAATCTCAAGGTGGAGGTCGGATCTCATCGGGGTGGCAACCGGGTGGGCGTTCGACATGCCAAAACGAGCGAGGATGTCCTTGAGGTACTGCTCCTGGCTTAGCGTGATCGAGCCGTCGGAGGAACGCCGGATCTGGATGCCAAGGACGTATTCCGCTTCACCAAGGCGCTTGACACCGTAACATCGTTCAAGACCCTGGAGGGTACGCTCAATTTCGGGTAGGGAGGGGCCAATCATGAGGAGGTCGTCGACGTAAAGCGCGATGTAGTGGTGCACGTCCCCAACGGTTTTGATGTAGACGCAATGGTCGGACTCAGTGGCGACGTAACCCAACCCAAGGAGGGTAGAGTCAATTTCGTCGTTCCAGATGCGACCAGCCTGGCGTAAGCCGTAGAGGGAACGGTGCAATTGGAGAACTTTACCGGGCAGGGCAATGCCCTCGGGGACACGCATGTACAAAGGCTTGTCGAGCTTTCCATGAAGGTACGCTTTGTCGATGTCGGCCTGGTGAACGTGATAGCCTCGGGCAGCAGACAGGGCCAGCAGAGCACGGATCGAAGTGAACTTGGCAACGGGCGCAAAAGTCTCGTCGAAATCGATACCAGATCGCTGGGAATCGCCGCGGGCGACAAGGCGGCCTTTGTAAGACTTGATCTTCCCGAACTGGTCGCGTTTGGTGCGAAAGACGAAGCGAGAGCCAATGATTTTGGCGTCGTCGGGGACAAGTGATTGGTCGATGGGCGTGAAAGCGGAGAAATCGCGAGAGAGTGAGTCAAATTCATCACGAGCCGCAAGACGCCACTCGTCCGCCTGGGGCGAGGCCATGGCAGCACGCCAGTGGGGAGGGTCGCGCGCAGGCGCAACGAGCTCCGCGGGGTCGACGGAAGAAGTATCGAGGAGGGCGGCAGCAGTGTCCGCAAGGTAGCACACAGGCGCAGGCGAGTGAAGGGCGTCATCGACATCATCAGAGAACTCCGGGGCAAGGCACAGGGCGGAGAAATCGTAGGAGCTGGGCCGGAGTCGAGGAGAGGGACAAGGCGTAGAAAGTGCCGAGTCGGGGCTGCCCTGGTCAGGGGCGCTGCCTTGGTCAGAGGCGAAGGGTGCGGGCAATTCCTGGTCAGGGACATTACGAGCAAGGGCCGGCGAGCCTTGGTCAGAGGCATCAGGCGCGGGGGTAAGCTGCTCAGCGCGAGGCGCGGGGGAGCGGGGGGGGACAGCGAGCAGTGGCTGGGGGAGGTCAGCCTGGTCAGGGCGTAACGCAACAACATCCGGGAGAGGATTGGCCGGAGAGAACGAGGCGGGAATTTGTGTCGAGGCGGGGAACTCGGAATCATGGAAAAGGACGTTCCGGCTGAGGAGCACCTTGCGAGTCGCCGGATTGAACAGGCGGTAAGCCTTTGAATGGTCGTCGAGGCCAACGAAGATGAGAGGCATGGCCTTAGGGTCGAGAGCAGAGCGGGACGCCGAAGGAAGGCAATGCCAGGCACGGCAGCCAAAGGTGCGAAGAGAGGAAACATCCGGTGCGTAACCATACCAACGAGCGTCCGGGATTTCGCCACTGACGCCGGCATGGGGTGTCATGTTCTTGCATCGGACAAAGTACATGGCCGCTTCACCCCAGAGTCGCGAGTCGACACCGGCCGAGTAGGCAAGGGCAAGGATGCCCTCCTTGATGGTGCGGTTGGGGCGCTCAACCCGTCCGTTTTGCTGTGGCGTGTAGGGTATCGTGAGTTCTCGACGAATGCCCTTGCTGCAGCAGAAATCGACGAAACTGCGCAGCGTGAATTCGCCGCCGTTGTCGGAGCGAATGGTCTTGACGCTGTCGCCGGTCGCTCGCTCAACCTCAAGAATCCAATCGCGAAGGCGCGGGAAGGTGTCGCTCTTGCGGGCAAGGAGGATGCACCAGTGCTTTCGGGTGTGGTCGTCGACGATCACAAGCATGTAGCGATGACCACCGAAGCTAACGTGTGGCATTTGGGCAAGGTCGACATGGATCAGGCCGAGGCGCTGCGAGGCAATCGACTTGGAGCGAGCGAATGGGAGGGCATGCGCTTTGGAAGCGAGACATGCATTGCAATTGAAGGTTCTACACTCCTCGTCCGAGTAATCCCACGCCACACCGGTAACCATCCCTTTCTGAACGATTCTCTTGAGAAGGAGGACAGGGAGGTGCGCGAGGCGGTTGTGGAGGGTAAGCAAGGACACCTGGGAGGGCGAAGCAAGCAGAGCGTGGGGCTTACAAGGTGCAGCGGCGAGGTCCAGAGTGTACAGGTCGTTTGCGATGGCCCGAGCGGTGGCGACAGCGGTGCCGGCGGCGTTGCGGATGGTGGCGACGTTGGAGCCGGACGAGACCGTGAAGCCGAGGCGGTCGAGGCGTCGAACGGACAACAAGTTGCAAGGCAACGAGGGCACATGAAGAACGTCAGCGACGGCGACGCGACCGGAGGTCGTGTTGAGCTCCACGGAGCCGGAACCGGTGGAGGGCAGGGAGCCCGCAACACCAGCAACGTGCGGTCCCTTGACGGGCTGCAGGTGCGTAAATAGACGAACGTCGTTGGCCATGTGCCGATTGGCGCCGGAGTCCAGGAGCCAGGCCCCCTTGTCGAACGGGGAGGAGGCGGAGAGGAAGCAGGCGGCGTAGGTCGCGGGCGAGAGGTGCTCGTCGGCGACAGCCGGCGTGGCAGCGGGAGAGGCAGCGGGCTGCGAAGACTTGCGTTCGCCGGCGGGCTTGTTGCCGTTCTCGGTGGCAGGACGCGCGCGGAAGGAGGCTGCCCAAGCGGTGTCGGGACAGTCCCTGAGCCAATGCATCTTGCGACACTTTGGGTTGGGGCACGGGGAGCGAGGAGCGAGGAGCGCGGGCGTCGCGAGCGGACGATCGAGCAAGCGCCGCGGTGGGAGCGTCGACTGGACGAGCGCGAATGTCGCGTAGGAGGCGATCGAAAATCACCGAGACAGACGGCAGGGTCGTCGAATCACCTTGGTCGTTGACAAAGGTCGAGCGCCACGACTCGAGGGACGGCGGCAGTCGGGAGAGGAGGTGCGAGGCGACCAGAGAGTCGACAGTGACCTTCGACGAGGTGAGCAGACGAAGCTGGTTCTCGAAACTGTCACGGAACTGTAGGAACGAGTCCGTGGTGGCGGGGAGCTCCTCGGTGCTGAAGAGCGTGACGACGGCCGGAAGCAGGTCAACAGCCGAGGTGGCGCCATACCGAGAACGGAGAGCCTGCCAGATCTTCGGCGCGCCGTCGCTGTCGTCGAGGAAGGTCGACAAGCCGGGGAGGACCAAGCGAGGGTCGACAGACGAGCAGAGCGAGGAAAGGGCGTAGTGATCCCATAACGGAACGAGCGAGGGGGGCCACGAAGCGCATGGCTCACCGCTCTCCAGGTACCGGAGGACACCGGCCTGCAAACGCGAGCGGACGACGAGGAGCCAATCCTGGTAGCCCGCCGAGTCGCGGAGGAGTTCCGTCGCGGCAAACGAGGCCGGCTGCTGCGGTGGACGAGCGACGATAGGGGCGATGGCGGCCTCAAGGGCGGCGTCGGGCTTGGAAATAGCGCCGGGCGCGGACTTGGAAGGCATAGCGGGGGCGGCGCAAGCGTGCGAAGTTCGAGAAAGAAAAACGAAACGGACGCGAAAGCGACCGTGCTGGTAGATTGTTTGGGCTTATAACCTATGAGAGGTAGAAGCAACGCACAGACCTGCTCAAGCAGTGGTAAGTCTCTGATCGACGGACCAAGGGAGACCAGACCAAGAAGTTGCTTTACACACCTGCTCAAGCAGTGGTAAGTCTCTGATCGACGGACCAAGGGAGACCAGACCAAGAAGTTGCTTGAGCAGGAGAGAGAGAGTCGCGCGGGGCCAGCTAGCTGAGAGCAAGTGCGCGAGTCTGGCCAGAATGCGGAAGATAGACGGCAAAGCCGGGTCAAGAAGGAGAATAAGGGAAGAGACACAGGGGCCATGATGCTAGAAGGAAATAAGAGAGAATTAAAGTACTTTGAGAATCTCACAGCCCGCAATGCTTGCTTGACGCCGAAAATTGTGCAATTGCGCGGCAACGAGGTTCTTCTCTCCCAGGTGTACCTAAAGTGCCTTTCCCCGCTCAAACCTCTCGTTGTTAAACTCACCCCGGTTCCAGCTCTCCTGAAGTTTCGCGACGAAACGGCAGCGAGGGTGTAAGGGTGTTGCCCTACAGAAGGTCGCGAGGGTTCGTAGATCGACTTCGATGGAGTAATAGGCGAGATAGGGATACTTGTTAAACGTCGTGACTGGTTTTCAGCTAGATGTTAACTACCCAAGAGAGAGAGCGAGAGAAAGAGAGAGATGGGGAAGGGCGTCTTTTTTTTTTGTATCAAGCCTGATTAGATTTCACATATTCGGTTATCTACGCAAAATCAATGTTTCTTGAAAAGGGGGGTTGGACTTATGTAAAGTTATAGCCACTAGATCCATGCAGCCCCCACACTCCTGAAACCACCAAAAGTGTGATTCCAATCATGTGAGCACCAACCACCCTTCCTATTCCACGGTGTTAAAGAATAGGCACAATCGAGAAAGAGAGAGAGGAGAGGGGAGGAAAATCAGGAGAGAAAACTCAGAAACTCCGTACTCATGAAAACGTCAAGTCACATCATCTGGTCCAGAAGCTCGCCGTCTGGCAGACGTCGAAGTCGGAATTTGAGATGCGAGCGGACTTCGCGAGTAAGAAAGTACGGGGTCGGTAGGGGAATTTGATCCTTGTGCTGATGCCATCGAGCAAGGTAGAGCTTGTTGAAAGCAATCGCAAGAACGACCCGAACGACGATGTAGGTCCGAGAGTCACGACTTTCGCCACGCACCCGAGGAAGGCCAAGCATGATCTGAGGAGAGTCGACTTCGCCAGGTTGGAAGTCACCTGCCTGGCCAAGCGCAACCCTCAGCAGCTGCAAGGTCAGGCGCCAGAACTCACGTGAATGGTCACATTCAAAGTAGAAGTGCATGAAGGTGTCTCGTTGGCCGCACTGTGGACACCCATCAGATGCAGCGTGACCATGGTGATGTTGCAGAACGCATGTCGGCGTCGCCCCGAAGATCAGTTTCCAGTGAACGTCCTTTTCGACCGCTGTTGCCCATTGACTGTTGAGCCAGATCCAGAATTGTTGCTTCTGTGACTTTGTGAGATCTGTTGGCCACTTGAGTCGTGAGCCGTCGTCCAGCGAGGGCCTTTGGTCAATCGTTCGTGAGCGGTCACGCACTTCTTGGCGCGTGAGATGGTTCGCGTCGTTGTTCCGTTGTTCGGCAACGTTTTGCTGTCGGTCAAGACATCTGTCGAGTTAGCCATACTCGCTTCGGCGCCTCGCTGATCCTTATCACTCGAACGGACCAGCATTTCGATAAGTTCTTCTTCCGTGCGGACATTCCTTTGGGCCAGGAAGGTCCTCAGGGGAGTTCGGTTTCCCCGCTTGTGCGTGTGCCAGACGATCTCCGCCGTCGAACGAACGAGCTCATGCGACTCGAAGTCGAGGGGCAAGACCTCAAGCAACGTTACTTCGAAAATGAGCAACGTCAGCGCGGTTACGACCCGCTTGGATCCCTTGGGGTCTATCGGGCAAAGTACTACAGGGACGAATGACAAGATCAAGAAGCCCAGACAGGACTTCGGAGGGGAGGGTGTAAGGCCGCCCCCCTTGAGACCAAGCCTTCGACCCCGTAGCCGACGTCAAGACTGACACCGGCGCACGGACCCTCGGCCTCCCTCAATAGGGACGCCCTTCCCCATCTCTCTCTTTCTCTCGCTCTCTCTCTTGGGTAGTTAACATCTAGCTGAAAACCAGTCACGACGTTTAACAAGTATCCCTATCTCGCCTATTACTCCATCGAAGTCGATCTACGAACCCTCGCGACCTTCTGTAGGGCAACACCCTTACAGAGGGGGCTAGAATCAAAGTGGCAGTGTCCAAGAGGTGTCTTGTTTCACAGATTGAACTACGTAAGAGAAAAGGAGAAACAGGCAGACTTCGAGAACTTCGATAAAGAAATGTGCCGCGAGGCGAGACGTGTAGGGACAGGTATGATGAAGGCTACAGGTGTCGAACGAGCTAGCGGGCTTGCAACAGTGTTGACGGATCAGGCAAGGGACGAGAAGTTGCCGTTGTGGATCCAAGAGTTAAACATGGCAAGGGACTCGACAGGGTGGTCGTAAGGAACCTGTAGGCAAATCGGCGAGGCAGGTTGTTAGATCCTGAGCAGGGCATCATCCGGGAAACTCGTGCGGCCCAGACGGCGGCGAAAAGAATAACTCACAAAGTGACCCGAAGCGTCCACGATCGCAAACGCGAGGTTACCGTACTGTCGGAACTCGCCAGCTTGCTTCGCGCCAGCTTCCTTGGCCTCCTGCGAGGCGTACCACGGAGCAAGCTCCTCGGCGTTGAAGCCCTCCTTGCCCTCCCACTCGAGAGCCTCGGTCCACCACTTGTTGCCCGTCCAGTTGGTGCTGCGGGCAAATAGAGACATGATCAGGACATGCGAGACGAGATGGCGAGCAACATGCAGTAATGTTGACTTATCAAATCCAGTCGCGCTTGCCGGCGTAGATAAGGGTTCTGACGCCATTCTCAACCATGTGGGTGACGTGGGGGTAAGTCGCCTTCGATCTGTAAGAACGAAAGAGCAAACGCTCAGTTCGGCATGCTGGTGATATCCCGGCATGATTCGATGCATCATCAGCTCACTGGTCACCAGTCGTGGAGAATCGGAAGCCAACGGGGTCCGAGCAGCCGATAAACTTCTTGACGCCGCCCGACACCTCTTTGTCGACGCCGAGCTGGTGACGGATGTCGGCACTACAAGTCGAGAAGACACACTCGTGAGTAAGATAATACCCATTTGGCCACAAGCTTGATCATAGACCTACCGGTTGAGCCACTTGGCAACGTCGGGCTCCTCGGCGTAGCCTCCGAACTTCTCCATGTCGTAGGGATTGCGACCGGTCTCGTAATACCTAGTAGTCGGCGACGACGGTTCAGCAAAAGGGCAGATTATCTACTGCAAGACGACTAACCTCTCGGTTTGAGTCGCCTCGCAGTACTGGTTCGCACTGAGGCAAACAGCGGCGTCGGTAGGCTAAACCAAGGATGGGCAAAGCTTTCGTATCAGCGTGAGCACCGTCCTGGCGCATGTCGTCTCCACTCACGTCATCGTAGCACTTCTGGATGAGCGCTTGGCAACGGGGGAGAGCGGCGGCCATCGACGCGCAGTCCTTGGCATCGACGTAAGGGCCGTAGCCGGTCGAGTTCGTGCAGCCGGTTGGGAAGTAGGCGCCGTACTGCATTTTGGGGTTGGTGCTGCAGGAAGGTGATAAAGTTCCGAGGTCAACCGACAGCAACCAAGCGTCATGGAACAAGGAGTGACTCACAAGCCATTGCCGATAAGAACACCTTGCAGGTTGATCTTGGGCTTGCCATTAAGCTCGTTCTTGAGGTTCTGCGTCACGATGTAGTCGGCGAAAACGGGGATGTAACGACCGGCGTAGGACTCGCCGGCGATGAAGAAAGGTCGACCACCGAACTTGTCGGCATAGTTCTCGAAAAAAATGGTCAAGAACGCAAACACCTGTTGCCGAAAAATCACGTTTATTTTCGTATTCAGGAGATGTTAGGGTCTCGCTCGGAAGATGATCAAGATCAAATCGAGGCAAACTCACGTCCTCGGCAGCAGCCTCGGTCGTCCAGGTGCCCTTATCGCCCTTCTCAGCGTAAGAGTATCCAACACCAACGGGCTGGTCGAGGAAGATGAGCGAAGCGTTGTTGTTCCATGACCAGGGGTTGCGGGCGGGCACGTGTTCGGGGGCGCGAATTCCGCACGGACCGAGTTCCATCAGCAGACCAGTGAAGGACGAGCAGCCGGGTCCGCCGTTGAGCCACATGATGACCGGGTCGTTCTTGGGGTCATTGCGAGAGTCGAACTGCCAGAAGTAGAAATGACGGCCGCTGGCGGTATCGAGGTAGCCGCTCTTTTGCTCGACATCGCTGAGAGTAGGTTCGGAGAAGGTCGGCCGCGGGCGGAGGTCAGCGAAACAAGCTCTGTAGCGCCGTCTCGGTCCTCGACGACACCACACTCACGGATCACACAGTCCTTTGGGAGTGCGAGCTCGGATTCGGTGCTCGGGGTGGTCGGCCGAGTAGAGGACCTCGAAGTCGTATTGAGGGTTTTCGGGCGTGGTCAAGAACGCCGAGGCGACGGGGCTGCGAAGGGGTGGTGGATAACATATCTCAGCAGGCGAGACCTTTTGGGCCGAAAATGACACCTTTCGAACGATTGAGACTGACGCAGGGGTCGTGAAGGGGAGCTGGTTTGCAGGAAGCGCTGCAACGATGGGCAAGAGTGCCGCCAAGGCGCTGAGGACGAGCACTGTGCAGTGGGCGGAGCACCAAAGACGACCACACGGTCAGTTTGGTCAGGTGGCTTAGATCACGAAACGTAGTTGAACTCACTTTTAAAAGGTGTGATGCCGGACAGACGGATTGGAACGAAGAAGAGCGACCGGAGAAGTGCGAAATTGCTCGACTTCGCAAACGATTCTCGCTGGCCCAGGCTGGCCCCGGCAGACCCCGGCAGGCCCCGGCAGGCCCCGGCATCCCGTCGGCCCGACGGATCTCGCAAAGTCGGCCCTTAGTGAGCGGCCGAGTTTTTTTATAATAGTGCGTGCGACTCTGGTCCGTGGACCCAACATGAACATCAACTATTGCAGCATTGATGTATTTTCAAACTTTCTGATATCACTCGCCTTTGTTTGTGCCAGCCGTAGGATCAGTGTAAAGATCTTGTCCCCCACGTGAAATAGGCGTTGGGATATCGGTTCGGCTGCCGCCCGGTTGCCACTGCGGAGAGTGCATAGATCCAGCCATGCCAGCTGAGCTTGGTGCTCGATGCGACAAATCCCACGTAATCGGATCTGCGGTGATGTAACGAGAGTAGGTGATTGTCGAAGAAATAGGTTGATGCCTCTGCGGCAGACTCCCTGAAAGAACCTTCTCAGCAGCACACCAGAAGAACATTCGAGGCAAACCTTCTCTCTCAATCAAGCCAAGCTTGCGCCGCGCCTCGGACGATTGAATTCGAGCCGAGTTGAATGATCTCGCGGATTGGGAAGCGCTTCGCCGGCCGTCAATCTCACGACATCGCTCCCACCACTTGCAAGTCGCTGACACGCACAGGTACTACCTCTCTGGTACCCGTACTTACTGCTCTTGAGCTCGCACCAGCCATTGAGTAGCTCGTTTCGTTTAGTGCCGCGGAGGACCGAAGCGACGAGGACTGCGAGCTATTCGTCCGGGACTCGACCTCTTTCGTGGCATCGCAGCTCAAGGGCCGCTTCAAGTCGCTCGGCTGCTAGCACGCTACAGCGACGGTATTAGCAGCATTCTGATCTCCTATAAACTAGACCTCAAAAACCTCATGCCTCCTTACACGGCGACTCGAGCCTAGGCCCCTCCTCACCATCGCTTCCCCCCCACACGACCCCGGCGTGAGGAGGCGACACTCCACCACAACTTTGCTCTTGGCTCGGGGTTGTGGGCCACAGTTCACCATTCTCTGTCAGGATGGCACAAGTTCCTCCGCCATCTTATTTGACCTACATCCCGCCGGCTGCACCTTTGCCTTCTTGGCTGAAGTATACCTCCTCGCCCATCGCAACATCGACGCTGTATTACACGGTCGAAACTCTGCTGGACGGAACGCCGACGGTGCGATCGGGCGCGGTCGTCGTGACAAAGTATTTGACTCAAATCATTCAACTTCCATTAACTGTGGATGTACCTTATAAAGTCGCGGCTCCCTACACGAATGCCGGAGGAACGGGTCCTACGGTGGTCAGCATCCTTGGTGCGACGGGGTCAGGGGCCACTTTTATTCTCGCCGCCTCGATGGTCAGCGCGACTACGCCGACTGCTGCGCCCTTCCCCACACCAGCAGCTGCGCCCCAGGGTAAGTTTCACATGAGCGCGTTTTCTTTCCGAAATTTTCAAAGCCGCTGACTCATCTGCTTTGCACGTGAGCAGAACCCGCGACCACGGCACAGCCCGTTTCCGCGCCCACCGGGGATGCGACCCCTTCCGCGTCTAGCTTCAACAACGTGTCCGTGTCCGTCTCTAGTGCCACTGACGGGGCAGCCATCGATCCTTCTTCGGCCAGCAATACTTTACCGGCTCCTCCGACTTCAACTATTCCAGAGGTGGATTCTGCAGCGTTTCCAGCCACTGCGGCGCAGTCGGCTACTCCAAATTCCGATTCTGCTTCATCTCCAGCCACTCCGCAGCCAGGTAGGTTCACATCTCGAAGAAACATGCGAGGTTCTGGGTACTAACATTGCTTGCTGTTGAATTCACGCATCAGCCGCAAGTCCATCCGATGGGCCTGTGATACCGTATCCGAGCACACCCTCTCCAAGCACACCCTCTCCAAGCGCACCCTCTCCGAGCACCACTTCCACCGGAAATACTCCTCCTGTCGCTATGCTCACCTATATGACGGATTCCGAGGGCGTTGCCATGCTCACATTCGTCACTGACGGCACTTCGAACGGCCTCTTGACCATGTTGAGCTCGACTTCGACAACGCCAGGAATCACCATCACTGGACCTGCAACTGCCGTACCTCGTTCCTTGTCGAGTCAACTCAACGGCGGCGAGATCGCTGGCATTGTGATCGGGTGCCTCATCTGCGCCTTCCTCGTCTTCGTCATCTTCGTGTTGTGCTTCATTCGTCGACGCAGAGCAAAACGATCGAGGCAACAGGCACTTGGGACCCATAACTGGGAATTTGCGCATTCGAGACGGGTGCCCTCGGAAATCTCGCCCGTGCTTTCGAGTCGTCAAAACAGCGCCGCGACCACTGGTGAGAGTGGATCTCGGTCCGAACGATTTTTGGGGATCCTCGGGATTAGGAGGGGAAGCAGTCGTAGTCAAGAAGGCACGGCTCCCTACGCAGGCGATGGCAATGAGAGCTTTGGTGGCGGAAGGAGTAGTGGGCCCTCTTCGATCGGCTCGAGGGATGGAGTGGGGCCGATGATGCGTGAAGTGACGATGGGTGGACCAGCGCCGATGACACCGCGCCGAGGCGAAAGGGGGATGCTTCTCGGCGCCTTCCACGAGCACCTCGACTCGTCAAGCAACGAGTATGAACCCGAGTCCCGCGACCAATTCGGCACCGAGCCGGATGGTTATGAAGAGTATTCGCAACGAGGTTTCGGTTCCCACCACCAGCGCAGCGCGTCGGACGCTTTAGTCGCCACGTCAATGTTGAAAGGGCTCGAACACGATTGGCAACCCAACTCGCCGATGACACCCCTGCTGATGCGCAACAGCGATCCCAACTCGTCCAGGTTGGCTACGCCGCCGCGGGATCTCGACAGCCGAGCTCGAAAACCTCCCAAGCGTCGACCCGTGTCGGAGATGGGGTGGTTGAGCGGTCGAGGTAGTATCGATCCCTCGACTGCAAGCTCTCGAGAAAGCACCGTGCCCACATTTGGGAGCCGAAACTCGGGAGGAGGCAGCAGTGGGAGAGCCAAGAGAGGATCAAAAGGGTTGGATGTACCCTTGAGTCGTTCGGCATCGGTGGGCAACATCTCGAGGGAAGTCCAAAGTCGAGGAGTGAGCCTTGACCATAGCCCAAATCTGAACGAGCTCTTTTATACCAGTGAGTCTGTCTTGAGAGGAACTGACGTCTTCGCCTAACCTGCCGCTGATCTGCAGCTCGATGTTCCAGCCCCGAGATGGACAGGAGGTCTTTCGCACACGGTGATGGGAGCCCCTCCGCGTCGCATGGTCATTGACGACAACGATCGCAACTCACCCTACCGTTCGCCCTACCGGGATATTCCCTACATCATCCCATCAGAAGATGCGCGACATCCGTCGATGACAACGCCGGCAACTTCGGGTACAGGCGCCGGATCCGCTCTCCTCGACCGCATCGCTGCAGGGTGGGGTTCGACTCTGAGCGGCCTAGGTCTGGCGCCTGCTCCGGCAATTTCAGCTCGACAAAGAGAACGATCTCGGACTTCCAGCGCCGGGGATCATAGCCTAATGGATACTTTCGCCTCGCACGGGATGATGAGCCCGAGTGCTTCGGCGCCATTGATACTCGATCATCAGTCCTCGCCTTCGCGCTCACTGCGGAGAGGTCTTCGTGGCCCACGGGAGCCTTCTAACAGGAGCACGATACAGGGTCGAAGGTCGCTGACCTTCGGGGAGCCCATCCAAGTTCCCCCGGTCTCGATGGTGGGGTCAATTTCCGACTTCAGCCATACGACAGAAAACGCGTCGGCTCGCCCCGACTCGGAAAGCGAGAATGGCATCTTTGCGGACGCGGTTGAGTCAGGAGAGTATGTGGGCGACGATGGCGACGAATACGATTGCAGCAATCACCGGCAATCAATGGGAGGCAGCAGTATTTACGGCGGGTTGAGATCGGGGACCCCCCATGACGCAGACGCCGAGGATGATTTCGCTCCTCGACCCTACCGAGCTTGGCAGTTGAGCTCGGCTCCGAGATCATGGAGCACTACGATGCCCGACATACGAGATTTCATATCCGTAACTTCGGAGAGTCTTAATGCACGAGGAGTGTGAGTTCATGTCCGCACCCTCATCGAAGCAGGCGGAAGCTAGGCTAAACCCCCCTCACTTGGTGCCCTCTCCTTGCAGCAGCGCAACCGATAATACCTCGCAAAAATGGCAAGATACGGACCCGAAATCCGCTTCCGAATTTGGCCTGAAACTCTATCCAAACATGAGTCGTGGTGCAGAGTATGACCCGTTCATCGCACATGGCCACCGAGACTCAACCTCGACCTCGCGGAGTCTGGGACCAGGGCGTAGCCCATCGATCAATTCCGGCCAAGGCAGCTCACCTGCCACGCTGTATCCCGGGTCATCACCTCAGACGGGACAGACACGGTTCCCGGGAGGTGATGAGCTAAACAGAAGGAATACGCTCGGCCGAGGGGATGAGCTTGGGAGGCTAATGATCGGCAAGGCGCTGTGAAAACTCGGCTTTCAAGGGGCAGTATGAGGGGGGAGATGGGTTACCTAGATTTGTTGGGATGGAGAAAGGCTTTGACACCCCTATATTTTGTTTATTCTTATTGGCGTTGCTCCGTGCAATACAATGTACCATGCCGCGGATGTTGCCACAATGACGCGGTGCAGCCTCCTCTCCGATCGGGCGTGTCGCTCTTCGATCTCGATAGAGCTCACAGTCCAACCTAAGTAGTCCAACTTGCCCGTGCCAGGCGCTGCCAGGCCCGATTGCTCCGAGGTAGCCGGGCGAGCCGGTTGGCTGGTTGCCGTCATTCCATCCCAGCGGTCCAACTGCGAGTCATCTGTTCTCAGCAAGCACCCAGGCATCATCAGTGAGTTTTGAAGTCAACGACTTGATACACCCCATCATGGAGTAGCTACCTTTCGCGACACCTCTCACAGCGCATCCGCCGTCGACGTTGGCTTCCAACTTGAAGCTCGCTTAGGTCCAGCTCACTCATTATGCATTATTAGCTGCCCTAACCCGTACCCTCCCGTACCTCGCCAGACCGCGCCCTATTATACCGCGCCCGCGCTTGCGCCTATCTCGTTCGACGTCAAGCACCGTCAGCATGTCGTCTTCTGCACAATCGCGTCTCTCGCAAGTGTCTTCCCAAATGAGTTCAACTCAAGATGGTCAGTCGGTTCGATCCGGCCAGGATCTCGCTTGAGCATCTTCTGCTGCAGCCATCCCTGCCCTGCAGTCGTGTCTCCCATCTGACGCAGCCCCGCTTCCCCTCCCTCATGCGCCCTCACGACCCACCACCACGCGCTGCCCGGCTCCGGCGCGACCGCTCGACCGCTCGACCGCTCGAATGACCCGACCCGACTCGCCCCTTCATTGTATTCCTGGCGTGCCAATTCGCAGTATTTGCCGAGACACCGCTCACACCCCCGGATGCGATCTTCGCGTTAACGGCCAACTACAAGGCCGACTCGTTCGCGCAAAAGGTCAACCTCGGTATCGGCGCTTACAGGACAAACGAGGGCAAGCCTTACGTGCTCCCCGTCGTCCGCAAGGTAAGCCATCGGGACTGCATCGCTTCGGTGGGGGGAAGTTGCAAGCCATTCGACTGGAGGCATACCGCACGATGAGTAGTACAGCGTTGCATTGGACTTGATCGACTTGGGCTGCGCCATCCCGGACCCCAGCCCCCGGTCCCCACGTTCGATCGCTCGGCAAAGCTCGGCATCTTCTTCATCGCACTGTGTCGACTCCGGGCGGGCCTTCTAATTGTCGATGATGTCTAGAATACAAGCTAGACCGATCGTCGACCGGACGGCTTCGTCCGCAGGGCGCGACGCGAGAGGGCCGCAGATCGATGAGATTGCCCCCCACCTCAACCGACTTGACTCGATTCAGGCCGGGGCCGCTCGATACAAGGTTCGTTTCCATCCCTCGCGCCCTCTTGACTGACGCAGTTACGTCATCTCTGCTTCCATCGTCACAGGCCAAGTTGGAGATCGCGCAAGATGAAACACTCGACCACGAATACCTCCCCATCGCCGGCCTGCCGACCTTCACTCAAGAGACGAGCAAGCTCATCTTTGGCGCCGACAGTGCCGCTCTCAAGGAAGGCCAAGTGTCTACGTAGGTGCCTTACCACGCGCTCGAAAGTGAGGAAGTGCTCCGATTCTGACGCTTTACATCGTCTGTGATGCGACCTCACAGTATCCAGACCATCTCCGGCACCGGCGCGAACCATACTGGGGCGGCATTCCTCGAGCGATTCTACGGGCCGTGGAAGGGCAAGTTGCAGAAGGAGAAGGTCGTCTACGTGTCCAATCCTACCTGGGGTGAGTCGAGGTGTGATTACGGGATGCTATCGGCGACCCAAACCTGACCAGACCCTGGTCCATCCCCACAGCCAACCACAAGTCGATCCTAACGAACGTCGGGTGCACGGCCGTCGACTACCCTTACTACGACCCCCAAACGATCGGTCTCGCTTTTGAAAAGTTCACCGCTTTCTTGAACGAGGCACCACCTCAGTCGGTCTTCCTCTTGCACGCGTGCGCCCACAACCCGACCGGTGTCGACCCGACTCGTGACCAGTGGAAGCATATCGCCGACATTTTCCAGGCCAAGGGACACTATGCCTTCTTCGATTGTGCCTACCAGGTAGATTGACTATACCCTCGCCGGCGGAAGATGTGGGGGTGCTCAAGACGATCTGGCACTGACGAATAGTCGAATTCGCTCTCTCACTCGCACAGGGCTTTGCCTCGGGCGACCTCGACAACGACGCCTGGGCCGTGCGCTACTTCGTTTCGCGGAATATTCCCCTGCTCGTTTGCCAGTCGTACGCCAAGAATGCGGGTCTCTACGGCGAGCGTATCGGTGCGCTCAACATCGTGGCTGCGCACAAGGGCGACGTCGAAGGTGGTTCGGACCGAATCGAGTCGCAGCTGTTGCTGCTGCAGCGATCCGAGATCTCGAACCCTCCGACGTACGGTGCACGCATCGTGGCTCTGATCCTTAGCAAACCCGAGCTGTTCGAGGAGTGGAAGCGGGACATCAGGGGCATGGCTGAACGAATCATCGAGATGCGTCAGCAGTTGTACAATCTGCTTGTGGAGAAGTACAAGACCCCAGCTCCCGGACCGAACGGCTGGAAGCACATCACGTCGCAGATCGGCATGTTCTCTTTCACCGGATTGAATCGTAAGTCGCAGTCTATGCTCGAAGTTTGGCTCGATTCAACACCCTGCTGACCCCCCTCCTCCCGCTGGGTTTTCGCTCAGCCGCTCAATGCAAGGCGCTCTTGGAGAAGGGTCACATCTACCTCACCGCGAACGGTCGCATCAGTATGGCCGGGCTGAACGCCAACAACGTCGATTACTTTGCTCAGTGCGTCGACAAGGCCGTCCGAGGTACTCTTTAAGCCCGGGAGGTGATAGTTCAGCGTAGATTTTTAGCTCGCGCCGCCGCGTCCCCCCTTTCTTGCAATTTGTTCTGGCTCGTCGGAGCTCTCTGTGGAACGAATGTGGATGAGTATCTGCTGCGTCCGCCGCAAAACCGGCGAGAAAAGATACCGATTCGGGGCCAGTTTTGCAGTTTGGCCCCTATCGCCTCAAAGCAGATCCCCATCCTTTAGGATGTGTCTCCTCGGCCAATAGGACTGACCACTGCAGTGGATCAGAAATGGAATTTGACTGCCTGTGCGGGGAATGAGCGACCTATCTGATGTAGCACACGAGAACCAATCCGAGCCAAGCTCTCGCTCTTGTTCGCGACCTCATCGTAGTCAGCCTACCAATTCAACTTTTTCCTCCCTGCACTGCCCAATTTTTCAACTTGTAGGAGGAAGAGATTGCGCCGGTGGCATTTTCTGACGAAGCATACTGCTTCCTAAGCCCGCATTCGAGCTGAGGGACGGTGACGTCCCTTCGATCGAACAAATCGACTGTTCAAGTTTTGCCGGGGCCTTGTCCGTCAAACCGTGGTCGTACTCGGAGGGAAGAAGTTGCCCCACTGCAGCCCGTACCGGATCCTCTGTTCGAGCGAATCGTCCAGCAGCTCCAGGGCGGTGCCTCTAGTCTAAACTGGGAACTAGACTCCAACACCTCGTGCCCGGGCTGGTGGAGTAGTCATCTAGCCTGTAGGGCCCGGGGTCGTGAGTCACCGCGCGTATGCCCGAACGGACATTTTTTGGCAGTAAGTTCGAGCCTGGATGCTGAAAGGTGTGTAGCGAACATCTACAGGTCAGGCTGATTTCTTTGTTAGGCGCGGTCATACTGATCTGGATTACCCTACAGGGCCTAAGCAGAGGGAGAGGCTTGCGTGATGACGAAGGCAAGGAAAGTTGGAAGTCCCTTTAGCCATGCGTCTGTGTGGGGGGGCTTGGGGGGGCGACTCTGGGAGAGGATTACTTGAGCTTATTCGCCCCCCATTGTCGATCGCCTTCGACTGCTTTGGATTGCTCGACACGCCGAGGATTCATCGCCGCGAGGGAGGTCGCTACTCCGCTCTAGCTCAAAACGAACACAAGGGCACCGTCACCTTCCCGATGACTCCCCTGCCATCACGCTGGGTATGGCTCTTGCTCGCAAGTGCGAGTGCTCCCGTGGCGGTCCATTCGCTGTCGTCGCATTCGCCGCGAGACCTCTACTCGCACCCACAGTTCAAAGTGGTCGTCAGCGAACAAGTCGCGTTGAACGATACAATACCCAACCTACTCTCCCAAGCCAAGGCCGTATCGGTGAGTGTGACGTTCGAAAGCGCGCTCGTCACCATGTCGTGGCCGAATCGACGGACCAAGTGGGGGGGACGGGGCGGCCGGGGGGACGGGACGGTCGAGCGCTGGTGTGCGTGCCTCGAATGACGTGTCCTGACTCCTGACCCCACCTCCGTTGAGCTGACCAGGGCGATGTCGCGAATGTTCACGTCCTCCGAACGGGCTCGGGACAAGCCTTCCTCTGCACTGTCCCTTCCGTGAGCGAAGATGAGGTCGAACACTCGGTCAAGGAATCGACCAAGGATGCCGTCGCTCGGCAGGAGGAACGCGAGCGGGGTTTGGAGAATGGGCTGGCGTTGTTGGAGCCGTTGAGGACGCAGTGCTTGTATTCAAAGAAGAACTGGTTCAGTGAGTGCGGTTGATCTTTCCGTGGTCGGTCTAGATAAGCTGACACATCGACGATCGTCCCGAACTTTCCCCCACACCGTTCGACTCCACCGTTCCCATCCGCTTCAGCCTACAGCTTTTGGTGAGCGTCTACACCCTGGGATATCACGAATGTGCAATTTACTAAGACGATGTTCTCCTCTTCTCAGCTACGGCAAGCACATCCGGCAATTCCACGAACTCCGAGTCGCCGGCTCGGTCGAGCCCGTCGAAGACGTCAACAACTGGTCCTACACACTCGGACGATACCCCGCACCCCAACCCGCGATCGAAAAGGTCTCACCACCTCGACATGTTGGCGGAGGTACGGGGAACCACAACGGTCGAGCCCATCCGGCGACTTGGGCACCGGGTACGATCTCTTCGGTCTCGACGAGGGCGCCGGGGACGTTGGGCGGAGGACCGGAGATGGGCTTGGGCGACGATGAAGGGGGGTTGTACCTCACTCAAATTTGGGATGATGGCACGATTTGCGACAAGACGGGATTACCGAGGGAGGTCGAAGTGCAGGTGGGCTTTTTCTTTACTTCCGCGGGTTCAGGAGCGGGAGAAAAAGGCTTTGCTCGATCTGACTCGAAACGTTCCTCACCAACAGTTTCATTGCAACACGCAAACGATTGATCGCATCGCACTCATCCGAGAAACGGCCAGTAAGTGCTTCCCACCTCCTCTGGAACGAAATTTACCAATATTCGTTATCTGACGCTTCCCTTCCTCCACAACACCCTTAGTCTGCCGCTACGTCATGATCATCCACACCCCACGGCTCTGCAGCGAGCCCGTCTTCCTCGAACGACAAAGAACGTCTTTCTCATCGGAAAGGGGTCCTTCGGCGATCGAATGTCGAGCCGTCGTTCGTCATTTGAGAGAAAGCGTCGATGCGCCCAAAGTGCCGACCGGACCGCCGATCGTTCGAGACGATCAGGAGGAGGTGTTGGCGGGCCATCGACTACCCAAGAACACGTACCCTACCGTACCTGCGACGGTACCACAACCTCGAAAACAACAAAATCAAGCACCACCTCAACGAATCGCACCAGAGGAGATCGTGAACGACCTCGATGCTCCGAAGGACACGACGGGAGGGGAGGAATGGGGGCAAAGTATCGACGTCGAATTGGTGTACGACCCGATAACGGGTGAAGTACTCGAAGCTGCCATCGTAGCTCCCGCTGAAGGTGAAGTCGGTTCGATAAGCCCCCCGCCCCATAGTACTGCAGACGATGCTCAGCTGAATGTCGTGGGTCAAGAAGCGACATCCTTGGAGGAGATGAAGGAACAGTTGTTGGCTCAACTTGATGCGAAAGCAGGGGAGACGAAGGAAGAGGAAGTGGATGATCATAAGTTGGGTCGGGTGGAGAATATGCAAGAGTTGGCCAAGGCTTTGAATGCGCTTCTCTTACCTGGGGATGGGGCGGGCGGGGAGGGGCCAGGACCTGTTGTTGCTGCTGGTGCTGCTGGGGATGGAGGCGGAGGTGTAGGACAAGGAGGGGCAGGAGCAGGAGCAGGAGCAGGAGGGAGGATCATCAAACCCTTCGTTATACCCGTCGATGCACCGGGCGGTCTAGCAGGCGCCGTCAAAGCCGCCTTGGAACAGATCACAGCACAACCCGGAGCAGGAGTGGGAGGTGTAGGGGGGAGAGAGGGTCCCCCTGCTGGACCTATTGGGTACGATGGGGATGAGGATGTTGGGAAGAAGGGGTTGGAGGAGGTCAAGGTCTCGAAGGAGTATGAGAGGCTGACGGAGGCTTTTGGGAGGAAGTGGGAGGACGCCGAAGGGGAAGATGGAGAGGAGGAAGGGCAAGAGAGGAGGAGGGATGAGCTTTGAGAGGCCTTCGGCTCGGATAGAAGCCTTCTTTCACTTTTCGCTCGTAGGATCCGCATCTTCTTCGTGCTCGTTGCTGCAAATATCACATTCTTTCACACATTGGGTGGTTTGGGTAGTCAGGGTACAAAACAGAGAGAAGAGGTGGGCGTCCGTTATGGAGATACAAAGAAAAGAAAAGAATATGCATTCTATAAACCACTCCACTTATGCCTCGCCGTTCAACCCCTTCCTCGCCAATGTCCCCGGGATATCCGGTAACCCATTCAATTGTCCCTGCACCACAATGGTTGGTTTGCCACTCCTCTTCCGATCCCCCACGATCGAACTCTTTTTGGGCCTCAAAACCCTCCCTGCAACTCTATAGATATCGTCCAAGCTGACTTGATCGATCAAGGCGACCATTTCCTGCATAGGCGTTTTCCTCCCGTGAACTTGAACTTGTCGTCCCAAATCCTCGACTTGAACCATCCGAGATTCCAGCGCCATCATCAACGAACTCTTCAACTGATTCCTGGCCCTTTGAACGTCGCCATGATCGATCCCTCCCCTCGTCGGTCGAGTGATGGCGTCGAGTTCGTTGGCCAAGACCCAAGGAGCCGAAGCGATCCAGGTAGGGTTCACGGCGATACTTAGCCCGAAGAGACCCGAATCGAGGTAACAATGATGGAAGGCGGCGCAGAAATCGACGGCGTAGTGTTGGTTCAGAACCGAGGTGTACAAGCGGGAATACATCCCCTTGCCTGGACCACCGGCGGAGAAAGAACCTCCTCCTCCGAGAAGGACTTGGAGGGTCGCGAGGGCGTAAATGTCCGGGTCGTGGATGGATAGACCTTCGTAGGCGACGTAGATATGAGTGAATTCGAGATCGGGGTTGTCGAGGTAGAGCTCACCACCTGTGTATTTCGCGGGGGCGGTGGAGAGGTAATCGAAGCCCGTGGGGTCAAGGGGGGAGGGTGAAGCGGAGGAAGAAGCTTGGGATGCCGAGGATGTGGCGGAGGTGGAGAGGTGGCGGAAGAGCGAGGACGAGGCTGTTGATGTCGAGGTGGGGGTGGAGGTGGATGCAGCACTCGGGACGAAAGGGAGGCTAGAGGAAGTGGTAGGTGTGATCGTCGAGCCTACCCCTACACTCTTTTCGAGATGACCAAAATACTTGTCGGCCAACTCGAGCATGCGATCATGTTCGACCCCTGCTGCGGCGAGGACCATCCGTTCGGGTTTGTACCACATTTTGAGGAAATCCTTGAGCGTGCTCGTGTCCATGGTTCTGAGTCGGTCTTCGGGGCACAGGAGAGGGTTGCCGAGGGTGTTGTGCTGGTAAGCGACTTTGTGCAATACTTCGGGGAGAATCATCTCGGGTTTGGTCTTGATCTCGCCAATCTCCCACAGTGCCGCATCGCGCTGTTGATCGAGTTCATCCGGCGTGATCAAAGGGTTCAGCACGGTATCCGAGAGGAGGGATACGACCGAATCGAGGGAATGGGTATATGTTGTGGCTTGGTACATGATCGTTTCCCTCGACGACGAGGACAGAAATTGCCCGCCTAGTTGTTCGATCTCTTTGGCCATTTGTTCGTAGGTGCGGTTCGAGGTGCTCTACAGAAGGATAGAAGAACGTGGGGGTCAGTCGGGACTTGCTATTGAGATACCGTTTCAAGATCGCGTGTACCTTGAAGCCTAATCGATCGACCATGTGACCGCTGCCTCGGGTCAGGTCACTCTCGTATCGACTGCCGGCATCGACGTAGATGCCCGCAGCAACAAAGTGGCCCGGTGCCGGGTCGGTCGCTACTCTGACTCCATTCGGAAGGGTGGTGACCTCCAACGGCAAGGGATCGGCCGAAGTGGGAGTCGAGAGGCGGGGCGAGGTCGTCGCGAGTGATCGTCGGGGTGGATGACGAAGCGGTGAGGAAGGGAGCAGCGTGCGCCGTGTTGCGGTGCAGAGGGGGAGACAGCGTGGCGATCGTAGTAGGAGGGATCTTGTGGTGGTGGATATGGTCATGTCGAGGTAGGCGCGATCGGGGCGTTCGGGGCGTTCGACGCCGTACGCTGGGGTGAGTGGTGAAAGGGAACGAACACAACGTCGACGCCGGGTTGACTCGCTGTGCCGGCTTCGCGCTCGCTCGTTCGCAAAAGCGGTCCGAGCTCAAGTTCACGCTCCAGCAGTGCTCCAGCACGCCAGGACCCCCGAAAGCTAAGCTCAACCCCCTCCCAGAGGGAGGGGATTTGATGAGCTTACCCGAAAGCCCAGCCAGAGGCGGCCCGCAAATTTGGACATTCTGGGGACCGGAAAATCCGCTAGGCAGCCCACAAAGTTGGACATTTTTGGCTCAAAAATGGGTCGAGGCTCACCTCATTTTTGGACATTTTCCTCCCTCCGGTCGAACTTTGAAGCGCAGACCAGGGTAGCGGGAGGCTGGAGGCGCAGCGCATAGCCGGCCCAGCGGCGCGCTGTTTGCGTTTGGAGCGCGTTAGTGTCTGCATTTGCTGTAAGGTATGCGCCTCTGATGTGCATAAAATACAATCTGTCGTTCTTGACCGCTAGGCTAAAAGCAAGTTGTAACTAGAACTCGATAGTTCTAGCTACTCAGAGGCTACTTATGGGGCTGTTCCTATGAGGCATTCCCTTACATTTGCGATCGTTTATCGTTTTCTGATCGTCTCTCGCTCGGAACGGCGACTTGTCGAGCTACGTCTCCTCTTCTTCCTTTCGATCTGGAGGCTCTCTCGCCGATAAATATCTTTCTTTTCCTAGTCGGTCGATAGATTCACAGGGTTCGCCGGCGCCGATTCTCGTCGAATTCTTTGGAACCGATCACCGAAATGGCACTCGAAGAGCTACGGGCGTCAATTCAGGAGTCCAAGGCTCGCCTTGTCTCTGTAAATCACCCAAGTGGGCTTTGGTGGGCATGATTGATTCTGATTCAGGGTCAATGAGTCCTACACTACTGGCCTAGCCAGTGTGCTCAACTGCATCTCCTCCGACTTTTCCAGAGATTTCTAGGTGTTAGGATATAGCGCCCGGCTGTGAAACTTATTTTGTCGTGCATTGTTCTAGGTACATGTAGATTATAGTGTCATTTAAATCCATCAAATGACAAATGAATAAACAAAGATGAGATCCTATTCGAGTCCATTTCATTTCGAAAAAGGCTCGTTCGCGGTCACGGTGCTTGGTGCGCGCGCGCGGCGGGAATGCAGTCTGCGCGTAGCGCAGAAAAAATTCTGAGCATTGTAAAGCTTGTAGAGTAGTTTTGAGAAATTATTCAACACTAGGCGGCCCTCATATTCGGATATTTTCAGTCAGAATCCGGGAAAAAAATTGAACATTTTGCCTCGAAAAAGGCCGTTTTTAGAGGGCCGCCTGTGGCTCACCTCGGGCAGACATAAAAAGTACGCCTCAACAGGCGCGCGCGCAGCGCCCTCCCACGCGCCTTCCAAGCCACAAGCCCGGCGGGTTGCAACCTTGCTACCCCAGGTAGCAGATTAGGCCCAGGTCAGGTATGCCCTCCTCGATGTCGAGTTGCCGAGACGTTCACTCCCACTACAACTCCATCGAAGACCTGGGAACAAAGGCGCAGTCAGCGAACAATAGCGTATTCGAATTTTTGGAGATTTTTCGAGAGTTATTGTTGTCCTCTGCAAGCTGAACAGGCGCTCTACCTCGAACACGTGATTCGGCACGGGTCGCGCGGAACAATTGGGGCCGGGATGGCCGGGACGTCGCGTCACGACTCCGGAGACGCTGGAGATGGCGGCGACGCGTCGCGCTCGCGCATACCGCCCATTCTTCTGCTTTGCCCAATCGCCCCCTACTACGTATACGAAGTAACGAACTATACAATGAGCATCCGTCTTGCGACAGTCTGAAACGAACGCCCACTTCGAAACACCAGATTAGTCATACTTCTGCTGCTCCTATCATGACGAGTCAATCCAATCAACTTAACCACCTCCCGAATCGCAGGCGCTCCGGCAACGAACAGCAGTATGTTTGCCGCCGATCGACACGGGTGCTCTGACTGGACTACTGGCTCACGATCACATCTGACACATAGGTTCATATGCTGCCTCTGGGTACGAGTCATGCACCTCGCCTTGGACTCCCTACCAGTCCGCATATAACAACTATTCGGGTCCGTGGGTGGCCGTCGTGTCGATCACGTACAGTATCGGTCTGTTCTGACGTTACACCGTCGTGCACCCGATCCAGCGTCCACTTCCGCTGGCGTAACGGCCATCTCGAATCCTGCGTCGTACAACTATCAATCTTCTCCGGGATCTGCTTCGTCCAACCAACCAGTTTACCGTCCCACGTTCCCATCCTGGACGCATCGATGGCCCGTATCTAGCTCCGCCAGCAAGCAACAATCTCGCAAACATGGTCGAACAAGGAGGGAACAATCCTGACGGCACGGGTATTGTCTTTGACGCGGCAGGTTTGCCAAATACTGCACCTTCCGCTCGCGATCGCCAAAAGTCGCGGGCCGCACAAGTTTCCCAAGACGAGGAGGGAGGCCGCGCATCAGGAGGGAGGGGTGTATCAGCGAATACCTGCGCACAGCTTGGAACGCACCCGTGGCTGACAAGAACGTTGAGACCAAATTCCAATGGTACAGCATCATCCTCAAAGAACTGTTCCGTGAGTACAAGATGTGCAGCCTGCCTACTCTTCCATACACGGTGACTATCTTTGACCCGGCTCGCTGTCTTCAGAGTCCGCGCTGCGCCGACGCTCCGTGCTGGACGGCGAGAAGATCCAATCGCCCAAGTTCGTCTATGACGTAAAGGCCCTCAGGGACAACGCCAGAATCATTGTTCAGCGCGGCGCGCTCCTTCGCAAAGTGGATTTCCGAAGCCCGAGTGGCAAGCTTAAGTTGTTGGGACCAGACCTGGATCGGATCATCCCATTGCTGCGTGCAGGCGAGCTGAGCTTCAGGCTGGAGGAAGAGGTAATCGGGTCAAGTGCAGAACAGAAAATGGCCGACGGCGATGAAGGCGGCGACAGCGATGCTGACCGGCGGACTCGGAACACGAGTGAGGTGACGATGGCCGAGCTCTCAGCGCCAGCCAGACTCGTCGACGCGCATGCGGTGCGGAGATCTTGGCTGTTGAAGGGCCAACATTCGTTGGACAACACAGGCCACCACAATATTTATTTCAAAGTTTTGCTTCATATGCATCCGGCTCTTGGTGACTAAAGGCGGAGAGGGTGATTGTTCGTTGCCCTTCGTGCCTAATCTTCCCCTGGGCCGCTCGAGATCGACCTCTCCTTGTTGACGTGGGATGTGCCAGTGACGTAATCCTGCTCACAAACATTATTACTCTTGTTCTGGGTTGTTTTCGAAGTATTATGTAGAGTTGAATTGCCTAGTGAGAATGGAGTGCTCCCTGACCCGTGGTCCAGACGGAGCGTCTGCTTTCCGGAAGTGACTCTTTGAGCAAAGAATGAATGAACAGAATTCGCAACGCGCTTCCACTAATTGCAGTGTATGTTAGCATCTTTTTATGATCTATTAGCACTAAAGTGAACGGGCAAGGGTTACATCTGGCCGGGCTCGGTCTTCGCCAAAGTGCCAATCAGAGCTGCTGGGCCACGGTGACGACCCCCGGCTGGCTGACTTCAAGCGGCGCGCGCTCCCAGAAGAATGCGAACTGATCTGAGCCCCTGAACGCGCAAGCGGAGCGGAACACGTAGGTAATCAGTCGTAAGTAGCGAAGTAGCGACAAAGTACGTGCTTGATGAGAGGTGGGTCGAACTCGATCATAGGTTCGGTGAAAACATGGAAGGCTTAGGCTTGTAACAGGCTCTTGGAGCGAAACCCTCACTTGACTCCGAGACATGATCGATGGCCGCTCATACCTACCTTTTACTTGATAAACATTCCCTCTCATCAATGAGGTAAGCCGCTAATCCTCAGGCCACATGGTGAGTGCTCAAAGCAGAGAGAATTCTTGCATTCGCCGCACTAAAATGAATTGTCAGCACTTCTGCCCCCGTCAAGCATAGACTAGACTTGATCTTGAGATCTTGACACCAAGCTTTTCTTATAACAGGCGCAAGGCTCAGTAGCAGGGATCGGGATCGGTCCAAAGGGTCTTTGGCCGCGCCATGGCAGGAAGTCGAATCCTTCGAGCGGGAATCCTCAGAGAGAGAGAGCCGCCGAGCCATCTTGTTCGGAAGAAGGGCTTGCAGCACGCACATGCCAACTTTGCTATTCAACCCTGTCCGAGGGTGGGAGATACATTCTCTATACTGCCCAAACCCACTCACCCATTTTCACGTGGTTGACATTCTAGGTACTGGTAAGGGAAACCGCCGAGCCATCTTGTTCGGAAGAAGGGCTTGCACGCACATGCCAACTTTGCTATTTAACCCTGTTCGAGGGTAGGAGATACATTCTCTATGTTGACCAAACCCACTCACCCATTTTCATGTGGTAGACATTCTAGGTACTCGAGCATTTGCATGCGCTTTAACTGAAACGTCACCCGGCAAGTCACCCGGCAGTAGTAAGGCAGGCGCAGCCCAGAGATTAGGTCTGACAATATTTCTCTCTGAGACGGTGATATTACTCTCACCCACCGCAATTGAGACGACTTTAGTTTTCAAAGACCATGTCCATTGTTCCAACATTAACTTGCTCCACCAATTCAATCTAAATCAGAAGCTGGTCTAAACGCCCGAGAAGTATTCGTCTTCCTGACCAGCAAAGTCATCGCCGTAGCTTTCATCCGAAGAGCTGCCCATCTCACCGTCCTGCTCGAGGAGTTATGCGGAGAAAGGCCCCACCTCCTTTGCGAGTTGAGCCTCGTCGCTCATATCCATCTGCGCCTGAATGCCCCGCACTTGCTGAACGTCACGGGCCAGCGATGGAGGCCGCGCCGAGTCGTCGAGCCAGATGTCTCCATAGGACCGCGTGTTCCCGATCGATTATGTGCAGGTAGCTGGTGATGTTTCGCCTTCTTGACACTTCTTCCCGTCGCGTTCAATCGTTGATGTAAACCACGAAATTCTGACAGTGCAGGAGGCATGGGCTCGGAATCGCCCTCTGACTGCCCGCGAGTGTCGAGCCAAACATCGAAGAAATGGTCGTTCTGGGACCAAGAACATTCGCGCAACTGAAGAAGCTCCATCCGGCGATCCAGTAAAATGAGCGCGCGGTCTCGGATCTCTTCAACATCTTCAGTGCCGAATATGGACTTGGCATCAGCTGGGTCGATCGATTCAGAAAGGGTATCTGTTGGGATGGTTTGAAAGATGTCAGGGCGACATAAGAGGTGATATGGAGCACGCTGTATCGAAAACTTACCCGACACTTTAGTCCAAAGTGTTTGGCAACTAGTGATACGAGTCTTTTCATCTTCGATCCAAGCCAAAGCTTGCCGCACCTCGGCGCCGATCCGCGCTTCCTCCTCACCGACTCGAGCCTTGGCGCGCACAGCTGCTACTCCTCGGAATGAGCGACCGTAGCCCGCTCCACAATCGCTCACAGCCCTCTCCATCAGTCAACCCGAAGTTCGGAATGAGGCGGGGGTTGAACTCGACTTGGCAGGACCAGATATGGGCGTATGCATGGAAGACGCTCGTGGCGAACTCCAGTCGCTTGAAAAGCTTTGGCAGGAGCTGCCTCGGGTGACAAATGATAGGAAAGTAGGCGCATTTGGTCTGTGCCAACGAGACTGAGGAGGAAGGGACGCGTCGTGATCGAAGCATACCTTTTCAATGTGGTGCTTGAAGTTACAAGCAATGTCGTATAAGACTCCAATCTTGGCGTTTTCAGGAAGGCGCTCTGAGATGCACTTGAGAATGGCAAGCGCATAGTATAATCTGAGCGGTCGGAGGGGAATATGCGCATTAGTACTGGGAGAGGAAAGCGGAAGCGACTACGTCCCAACCAGACAGCTCTGCGCTCACTTTTCACCAGACCTCTCAAGATTGACCATTTTCAGGTTTACATCATGACGGCATACGCAGGCAACGAGTCCAGTGTCGACTACTCGTGACGAGGTTGAGCCAGCTCCGTCGTCGGCAGCCTTCCACGACTCTGTGCACGCCTACGAGGGTTGGGTGGGTGTAGAGGTAAGCGATCCCATTAAGGCAAATGCAAAGAGCGGCATTACTCACCTTTTTGGTCGGCCGCACCGAAGCTTCAACCTCGGCCTTCATCGCCTGAACCTCTTCCTCACCCAAGAAAATGTCCGGAACGATCTGGTCGTGCTTCGAAGTTTTGTCACGCGTTTGCCGAAAGTTGCCGTCGTATGCAAGCACGCAATCCAATGGGACGTCGTGACAAGGTTGATTAAGTCACGTTGGCCCGAAGCACGCGGGACCCTTGTTGGAACGAATCGACGGTGCCTACGAGAAGGTCCCCGCTGTCCTGCTCGCATGTTTCGAGAGCGCGGTACTCGTCGATCGCGTTGCTTCCGAAGGTCTTTGTCCTGCATGCGCGGAAGGCAGGCTTTAAGCATCTGCCCCTGAAACGATGGCGGCGTCCAAACTGACCCAAGGATGTCCTGTATAGTGACCCCGAACCCACCCACAACGGGAGTAATACTCTTTGAGGCCGTCCGCATAGCCGGTGAGAGCGCGGGGGGTGACCCTCCAGCTCGCGTGGGTCTGCTCGACCAGTCGAAATGAGAAGGCGGTCATCGGCATTGAAGCGGTCGAAGAGATGAACCCTAGTTGGGCCAAGCGTTCGACGTCCAAGTTAGCACACCGCGACTCGGAGGCACAGAGGGTGAACTGCAGATTGTAGACCAACGGTTTGGACTTGTATCTTCTCTTCGGCGGCATGGCGACGCCAACTCAAGTGCATGAGCAAGAGGACGAACGCGAGCCATGGGGCCTGTACGGTCAATGGCGACGCTACAATGAGCTGTAGCGGAAGCAACGAGGTGAGGCGGCAAGTCAAGTGGAAGGTCCCTCGCGCGTGGCCAGCTGCAGCCAACGCGTGTGCTCGGACCCTTCGATCTCGGGACCGAAATCCCGGCGCGCGACCGCTTCGGACACGTGACATTGACGACATCCGAAAGATGCGAGAAAAAGATGAAGGAAGGAATGCATCTACTACGCATCTAGCAGCTGTGAGTGTTGTGTGTACACAGAATCGACTCGAAGCAGGGAGTTGGGCGCAACCTGGGCCTAATCTGCTACCTGGGGTAGCAAATTTGCAACCCGCCGGGATTGTGGCTTGGAAGGCGCGTGGGAGGGCGCTGCGCGCGCGCCTGTTGAGGCGTACTTTTTATGTCTGCCCGAGGTGCTGTGGCTGGGCTTTCGGGGGTCCTAGCACGCCCTAGCACGGCCTTAGCAAACGATGACCGCGCGCAAGGTGTCTGTCTCTCCTTCTCTTTCTTTCTGGCCTGCAGCTCCTGCAGCACCTCACCCAACAGCAAGCAACGAAGCATGTCCCTCCTCATCCGACGAGCGGTCACAACCACTCTCCCTTCGTGCACCTGCTCCACGACCATCCTCGCGCGGCGCACGACCTGGCTCTCCTCCGCATTGCACACCTCTTCCTCTTCCTCTTCGACCGCCTCCAGTTCCACCTCCACCTCTGCGAATCCCTCGCCCTCCTCTACATCACCACCCCCACCACCCTCGCGCTATGCGCTGCCCAAAGGCCTGGTGCTGAACGGGTTGGTGACCCAAGCCGGCGTCGCGGCCCAAACGACGACCGTCACCGTCGAGCGTCAGCAGACCCATCACAAGACATTGAAGGTGAGCGAGAAAAAGAAGACTACCTATGGTAGCATCACACCCTGACCTGACGTTCCCTCCTTCCCTCCTTCCCTCCCGAACAGGCTTTCAAAACGCACAAGAAATATCTCATTCACGACCCTTTATCGCAATGCGTCATCGGTGATCGAGTCGAAATAAGGAATTGTAAACCCGTTTCGAAACGCAAGAGGTTCGAATTGATCAAGGTACTCAAGGCGTCGAGGCAGAGGGAGTCCGCTGCTGGGGTCATCGCCCAGCAAGAGAGGGAAGAGGGCTTGTAGGATACGATACGAGCCAGCCGTGTTGGTCTTGCAGAGCGTTGTCAGCGAGGAGGTAATCAGACACGCGAGGGGGGAGTAGGCTACTTATTTGATGCTGAACTACAAGAGAGACTACGAGGGGGAATACCACCCCAACAGCGAACGGAATCCACTCATACATCGTCGGCCATGATACTGCAGTAAGGGTCAGCTCAGCTAGCGATCTGATCGGTCAAACGAGAGCGTCGACGAACCTCATAAACTCGGCCTCGTTGATCATGCCGTCCTGATCCAAGTCGAATTCGTCAATCATGGCTCTTCTGCTCCAGCCACGGGGAAGAGTCAGCTCTGGTGCGCTCTCGCAGGATGTGAGGTCGGTGAGCCTACAATTCTTCGTCTCCGAGTTGTTCGCCGAGATCATTGGCGACCTTGCGCAAGTTGTCCAACGAGATCTTGCCGGTCCCCTCCTCGTCAAAGAGTCGAAAGGCGCGTTTCAATTCGAGCATCGGATCCCTTCGTTGAATCATGCCTTCGACTGTCGGTTTCCCCGTCGCCCACGCACGATCAGTTTTCGGGCCGACTCCTCCTCCCACCCATGGGCGCCTGCGTGCTCGGCGATGAAACTAACCAATACTCGTAAACCTCTCGTAACCGATCCTCATCTCCCCAACATTGACCCCGACCCCACCGGCCACGTTCGCATGGTTGACCCCATTCGCCTCCTTCAACAACCTCACCACTTCGGCCTTTTTCAAATCGAACCCCAACGCGCGCAGACATACTTTGAACTCGTGGTAATCCAATTGTTGATCCCGATCGTGGTCGAACAATTCGAACGCTTCGCGGATTTCGGACAGTTGGTCCGAGGAGAGGCGGAACGGGGTCGAGGTGGAGGTGGAGGCGACCGAGTGCTTTTGTCGGCTTAGGAGGGGGGACGCATTGGCGTTCGAGGAAGAGGCGATCGGTCGTGAGTGCGCTTTCGAGGACGAGGACGGGAACGACATCATTGCCGGCTTGGGAGGAGGGAGGAGGGAGGAGGGAGGAGGGAGGAGGGAGGAGGGACGGGGAAAGGGGGAAGGCGCAGGAGCGTAGACGATGGTTGCCGGCGTTCGGACGCGCTTTCCGTGCGGTGCGGCTCGAGGCGCGTAGAGGCGCGTCCAAGCTCGGTTTATGACGCGTCGGTCGGCACGCGTAGTCCCGGCCGTGGTCGGTTCTCTTCCAGCCTTCCCCTCGTTCCACCTTCCCCTCTCCAATCTCGGTCCGGCACCGAAAAATGAACTCGTCACGCTATGCCGACGACGATGATGACGAACGAGCCGAACGGTATGGCGGGGAAGAACTGCACAGCGAGGCGGGTAGTCGGACCGATCGGGGTAGTCGAGCCGGCCACGAGCGCGAAGGGGACCAGCCGGACGATGATGAGGACGATGAAGCCGGTTTCGATCCGGGACTGTCCGCTAGATCAAGGTCAGTGACTCGTGCGTGTGATCGGTGTCGGAGAACGAGTGAAGCTGATCTTTGGATACGGCCGATATGATCCTCAGGAAATACCTCGCGTTGAAACCGCCGATCGCCTCGCTGTGTACGGCCTTGGGTGGTGTCGAGGAGTTCAAGGATGACGATGGCGAGATCTTTTCGGCTTATTCTTTGGGTGATCAAGTCGTCGGTACGTTGTCACCCCAACTCTGCGGGATTAAACCGCGGTACGAGTCAGCGTGGCTCGACGCGTTTCGAAAGGAAAGCCCCTCACTTTGTCACCCCATTCCGAAAGAGCTGATCGTCCTCGAAACACCTTGTCGGCGCGCGTACAGGCTGCTTGAAAGATTTGAAACGATTCTGGCGGATGGACGAAAAGGACGACGATCGAACGGTCGCGAGGATCTTTTACGACGTCGGATTGCTCAAGAACGATTTGGTCCCCATCCTACTCGCGACCTTGGAGTCGGGCGCCAAAGGGGAACGAATAGGTTTGGCTTGTAGTATGTTGCAACTTGTCCCGCCGGATTCGGGTGGATCATGAGGCTTACCGAACGTTCTTCTTTCACTGCAGTCGAGTTGATCGGAGCCATGACCTGGCCGATCGACGTCGTTGCCGAATTACAAGAGGCGAAAACTCACGACGAGCTCAAAAAGTCGCAGGACTATACCTCCTTGATCGACGCGCAGTTGACGTATAAATCCATCATTCTGAGAAATGATGTGCTCAGGGTCATGCTCCGACTCATGACACCTAGTTTGTCAAAAACCCATCGGTGAGTGAGCGGAACAAGTTTTCTCCTGAACTTTAACGAGGCCAAACTCATTGGCGTCTTCGCCCCCTACAGCAACCGTACTGCCAAAGACGAGAGCGTCATCTCCCTCATCCTCTACACCTTCCGCAACCTCGTCGCAATGGTCGACCGTCCACCACGCTCTGAATCGTCCGAAGCGATCGAACGAGCCCAACTGCAATCCTCCCTCATCGTTCAAATGTACGAAGAAGGCATCTTCGATCTCTTGGTCGCGATCGCGCATAGTTCGACCTCGTCGGAATACGCGCCTTGGAATATGGTCGTGTTGGATATTCTGCATTTGGCGTTTAGGTGTGCGAGACCTAATGAGTTGATGATTGCTTCAGATAAGGTGAGTTCATGGAGGTGAGCTGAAAACGAAGAGGGATTTTGATAACTAACAGATGCTGCTCGTAGATCACGGAGAATCGCTTGAAGGATCTGTTGGACTTTGAAGGCAGGGAGAAGAAAGCCGCGGCGAGGTTGGGCAACACGAGGCATTCGAGATTCGGTACTACCGTCGCGCTCAAATCGGCAAGTTCTCGCCAAAGGGTTAGGGGGCATATCGAGTGGACGCTGACGAATGCTTGGTTCGGTTTTCAAAATACAGGACGGGCATCAGTACATCATGCACAAGCAGTCGTCGTTGTCGAGGGGTGCTGAACAAACGTTGGATCAAATCAAGAAGAGCAAAGCGAAAAAATACCGAGCTGATGTGGGTTAGAGCGCAACACAACACTCGGGTTTCCCGTTCGCGGACTCTGACTAGTCGAGCCTATGTCATAGGACGATCTTGCCCCTCCATCAAGTCTCCAACCCCCAGCCATCAAAGTCCTCCGACGCGTCGCCCTCGCCTTCATCGATTCAGCATTCAACCCCTTCTTTTCCTCCGTGCTCAAAGACATCCGCATGGAACGCATGAAGGTCAAAGAATCCGATACCATCCGATTCCTCTTCTTATCCCGCTTCTTCCTCGAATTCTTCCTCCTCGTGCACGCCGACGAACAAGCTCGTGGGATCGATCCGAGTAGTGAAGAAGGGCATGATTTCGGTTTGATTGCTGAGATGACGGAGACGCAGAGTATCGCATTCGTAACCCAGAGGATGAAGGTCGCTTTGGAGGAGAAACCACCGCTTTGGATGGATTTACATGCGGGAATTGAATGTTTTACCCAAATAGTTCGTCAGGATTGAAAGCGGATGTCAGGGGGTTACCATATGTTATTCTGGTTCTCGTAGCTGACTCTTTGCGACACTTGACCTCGTACAGCTCCTCGTAATTGAAGCTCTAGCCGCCTCCGGTATCCCAGACCACATCGACGTCGCCGAAATCCTGCAAAACAAAATCTACTACGAGGCCGAAACGCTCGACATGGTCGTTACCGTCGTGACGAAATACAACACGCAATCGCACAAATATTTGGATTCGGTCATCAATTTGGCGTATGTGTTGTTGAGGATGTTGGAGAGGTATGCCAAGAGTAAGGCGTATATGTATGTGAGGAAGAAGAAGGCGAGACAGAGTCGGAGGAAGAAAGGTACGTTCAGGCAGGTGGTTTCGGGTGAGGACGAATGCTCATTGTTGGGGTTCTGAGAGCGCACAGGCAAGAAGAAGGATGGGGATGATGAAGAGGATGAGTTCGGCCTCGGTGGGAACGAGGAAGAGGACGAGGTCGATCGGTCGGTCGTCTCGTTTAGCGAACACGCATTTGAATTTGCAAAGTTCGAGGAGGCAAGAACACCCAATCCGCGGATCCGATCCCCAAGACCATTTTGCTGATTAGAGATGTCTCGGGCTTCTCCTTTAGAAATTCGCCGATGAGGGTGTTCTCCAAACGTGCATGACCTACCTCGAGTCATACAAATTCTTCAAGACACCTGAACAACTCAAACGGATCGTCAGTTTGATGCACCGTCAAGCGGTCAAGAGTAAATCCGAGGGATTGTTCTACAAAGTCAGTCTCATGCTTGTCTAGACCTGTGCTCGTGAAACCGGAGGACACTGACACTTTCGTTTTACAACTCAAAGCCATCAGTGTTGGATCTCTTCAAGCGGATCTTGGACGATGAACATGTTCGAATTGCAAGGGATCAAGCGACGACCGATCTCAAGAAACTGATCGAGTTCATCCTGAAGAAGTTCTTCAAGGCCGTCAAGGAGAAGCCAATGTTACTACTTGAGGTCAGTGACGGCATGAGGGAGCACGGGAAGGGAAGGTGGGCTGATGTTAGTAGGGTTATGTTTGCAGTGCTTCTTCCCCAAGACGAGGTCGCAGTTGCACAAGATGAGGATGGGCGAGGTCGATCCATATGCTTCTTCGGACGATGAGGCCGGACCGGGCTGCAGGGTTCGTTCTCCATCCTTGAGCACGTCGACACCAAACACATACTGACCCTCTTTGATCTTCAATCACCAGATCAAGATCCCAAGCGAAGTCGAAGTCACGCCCGGTTTCAGTCTGACCCAACAAATCGGCATCGCCGTCGCATGCCTCGTCGACGCCGGCGATCTCCCCCTCGTCGAATTCGTGCTCTCCCAACTCGCCCTCGCTTCAGCCGCACGAACAGAAATCGTCCTCACCACCGACGGGGCATCAGCTGCTCTTCTCGATGTCGAACTTGCCGCTGAAGGTGGTGAAAAGGAACCTGATTCGGACGAAGCGATCCGACGCAAAGCCGCGATGTTGAAAGGTCCTTCCCAAGTCGCGATGGACAAATTCATGCCTCATCAATTGGTTTTCGAGGAAGGGACGAGGCAGAAGGAGGAGGTGACGGGCAATGCGACTTTGAGGTTGCTGATGGGGTTGTTGAATTGGGAGAGTAGGGAGAGTGAGTACTCTCCACGATCGGAAGAGTTGTATCGGTGTTTGAGTTGCTGATTCTTCAGTGATTTTTTCCGCACAGACGACGATTCGACCGAATTGATTTGGAGCATTCCATCGTCCCTCATACCAGCAACACTAGACGGTGACGTCCAAACGATCGAAAACTTCCTCCTCGATCCCGTCGATCCACACGGCAAGACCGCAGCCGATTACCTGCGCAAGAAACGCAAGCCCGCCAAACGTCGTACACGTCGAGAAGATACGCCTGAATATGATGAGGAGGGCAACTTGATTGAGGTGGTGAAGAAGATTACGAAGAGGGTCAAGAAGGGGAGGGAGGATATGGTCGCTTATAAGAGTGCGCAGTTTATTGAGGACTCGGACGATGATGAGCTCGAGGACCAGAGGTTCTTTGCTAGGGAGGCTGCGGTGAGTTTGATTCATCTCTTGGCAGACGGAGGTACGTTGAGTGGGATGCTGATCTTCAGCTTTGATTGGTTTCAGTTACGAGCCAAATTGGCAGCAGGGGAGATCGAATCGGCCTCCACAACAGGTGGGACCAAAGCCAAAGCCAAGACCGTCCCGAAGAAGCTCCAAAAGGACAAGAGCGAACGTGTTAGTCGTCGACCGAAGAAGAACAAGGAGTTTGCGCCGATTCGAGAAGTGGACGTTTCGGACGAATCGGATTTGGATGAGGAAAGGTTGGAGGTTTTAAGGAGGGAGGCGAGGAAGGAGAAGGGCAAGACGCGGTCTTCTTCGTCTTCTTCGTCATCGTCTTCAGAGCAGGAGGATGCTGATGATGAGGATGTTAGGATGAATGATGTTGGGACGGCGTCTTCGGGAACGGGGACGTATGTGACGGGGAAAGCAAGGTCCACGTCCGCTTCTTCTGTCGGTCCTTTACCGAAGAACGGGGATCACCTTTCGTCGGAGAAGAGGGAGATGAGCGATAGCGAAGACGAAGGGGAAGTTGCGAATGCGAAGGCGGCCGGTGCGGCGGTCAAGAGGCGGAAGGTGGTTATTGATTCGGATGAGGACGATGAATGAGGACGATGAGGGTTAGGGGCCCGCTCAAGATGTATTTAATGTGTCACATTGCGACTTGACTTCTTTCTGCGGATATGCTACTTGTACTCACAAGATGTTGACAACCACTCGAGAGCCCCTTTCTTGTGCCGTTAGAACATGGTTGCTTCGACGATCAGTCGCGGCCTCCTAAAGGTTGAGGTACTGGTGACAAGATTCGAGTTATCTGTCCAACGGAAAACCCATTCTTTCGGTGCAAAGACGATGCAAGGATCGCCAACATACGGAGAAGGAAAACCTATTTGCAAGATATGCTGATCGACCGCCGGTGACCATTGTCTCACCGCTTTCGAAACATGGAATCATGAGAGTTACAGAGCGATGCTAATCCCGGCTAGACCTCCAGGGATCGTCCTACTTGAGAGCACCCTATCATGGAGCCACGAGTGCCTGACGTCCGTGGCACCGGACGATTGACGGGTCGATGATCTTCTTGCTGCTTTCCTAACGTTCGACCGTCACCGCGTTACCGCCATGGGCTCGGCACGCTGGCGGGATCGGGATTAAAGGGCAGACCTTCGGAACTTCGTGCGATTCACCGCTCTTTGCACACGAGATTGCGGGCTAAGGAGCTGGATGAAGGTAATGTTGCAGAAGCAAAAAATGAAGTCTTATTGACGTAGGCAGATGAAAAACAACATACTCGCTGATCGAGTGTGCCGAAGCCCGAGGTTTGCGCAGAGGTAAAGAAGACTCGAGAGGTTGCAGGTACTGGTGGTGGCATGCTGGGCCTTGCTGGGCCGCCGGTTGTTTTGTGCACGCGTAATGCCGATCATCGCGACGGGGTTTGCTTTTCACCTTTCGCAATCGTGGAATTTGTGAATAAGAAGTTTCGCGCGCACCCGCTCCTTTCGCGTGCGCAGGTCAGCAGAGGTCTGCAGAGGTCAGCGCAGGCCGTCCTAGACCGTCCTAGGCCGTCGGCGCCGCCCGTCGTCTGTGCCCGTAGCCCGTTCCTAACCCTCTCCTCTCCCGGTCATAAACACCAGATCGACGCCGTTGCCCCCTCGGAACTTGGCTCGGTCCCTTGCTCCGTCTCCACTGCGACCTCGTTCCAGCCATCACGACCCTTCGATCCGACTGGATCGAGCTCTGTTACGACTGCGACGACGCCCCGAGCGCTCTTTCGCCTCTGGTGTGACCAAACGCTAGGAATTGGTTCAGTTGGGCTCCGAAGCACACAAGAGTGTTGTCGCACCCCGCCGGCGCGCCAGCAAACGCTCGCCCCCGTACAGCTGGGTCCGCCGTCGCCATCGATCCCCTATTACCATTCGTCTGTCAGTTCGAAGAGCATTGACGACAGGGTCTGACCCAACACGCCCGAGACGATGGACGACTTTGGACGACCGGCTCGATCGGCCCCCCCGTCGGCGCTGGGCGTCGGTGCGAGGCCACAGCGAGCGCAGGCACTGCCGCCGTCCATCAATCGACAATCGTCAAGCGGCACCGATCTGTCCGCCCCCTCCTATTACGCCCAGGACCCTCAGCCGTCTCGACCGCCGTTGATGACCAACCCTTACGCGAACGGGTCCGATCTGTCGGTGCCCGCCGTCGCGGGTGCTTCGTCATCGAGGGTGCAGTTCTCCGTGCTTGATGCATCTCGCGCGAACCTGCTCGGCTCCGGCGGCGGAGGCGGAGGCGCGACGGGTGAACCGCCGTCCGGGGGTGCCTCGTCGTCGCAGAACCCCCACCACCTTAGCAGCAACGACACCTCGGCCACAGCAACGGGATTGAGTGCTGCAGGGAACGGATTCCGAAGGAAAAAGTCGCTCGTGCGACCCGATCGAGAGCGCGTTGACGAGTCGCATCGACTTTACAACTACCGCCAGCACGCCGCAGTGATGGAGCTCGAGGGCCGAGGCGTCGCCGCAGTGTCTCGGACGGGCCACACCGCGACCGCTGGCTTGTCCCATGTCGACCCCTCCATCGTGGCAGGGAACTCGACGGCGAGCCCCGGATCAGGTACTGGCCTGCGTCGAGGCAAGAGCGTGCTCGGCCGCGAGGAAGGCATGGCGACCGAAACCGGGCTGAGCATGTTCAAGCGAGGCACGACGCTGCGCCGCCCCAACAACCTTCAATCGGGTGCATCGAACCAGGCCGTGAAGGCCGGAGGGTCATACGAGAAGAGTCGCATGTCCAAGATGCAGAAACAGCCTCTTGGCCCGTGGATGGTCTTCTGCAAAGTCGTCACCATTCTTGTCCCGTCCGCCGTGCTCAAATGTTTTGGTAAGTTCCGCTCTCCGCTCTCCGCGCTGCGCTGCTTGCGGTCTGCGCTCGCTGCTGCGATAGTCGATGATGTCAGCCACTAACGCGCGAACTCTGGGTTTTATGTACAGGTCTGCGTTCCAAAGATCGTCGTGATGCGTGGCGGGAGAAGATCGGCATGCTCTGCATCATCGCGACTTGCATGGCTGCGGTCGGTTTTTTGACATTCGGCTTCACCAGCTCCGTGTGTGGCACGCCGCCGTTGCGCTACCGCCACAACACGATCCAAGGAGGCTCGATGATCTTTCATGGTTACGATTATGACCTCAATAACTTCACCCACGTCGAAGCGTACGGGATCGGCGCCGGCACGAACCCGCTTTACTCATCCTTTGGCGCCGGTGGGATGGACGGCTCGTTTCTCTTCCAGAAGGTCAACGAAAAGTGCCTCGACATCATTACCCCAACCGCGGGCACCGGGATCCCGACCTCCGGCAACAAGCTTGGCTGGTACTTCCCCTGTAACATCTACAACCAATACGGCACGAGCACGCGCAACTTGACGGGCTACTCCGAAGGACGACTGTGCCACACGCAAGCCGACGCTCGCACCGCCTTCAGCAAGCTCAAGTCGCAGGGACAGGTCTATTTCGAATGGAGTGACCTCAAAAACGCATCGAGGAATCTGGGTGTCTACGATGGGTAAGGTCACAACCCTGCGTGTGCGTGTGCCTTGCCGTCTGAACGCTCGGGGCTGACTCGCAGTTGTATTTGATACTTCACACAGAGCTGTTCTCGACTTCTCGTTGCTAACTTGGCTCGACAAAACGCAAGTCACGTTCCCTCCTATCTTTGATGCGCTCATGGTCCCGAACTCGACCTTCACCGCGACCGACATCACGGCGCACATGGTCTCAACGAAGCAGCGACGCGTCGCCGAATGCCTCGTCGACACGATCCGCGTCGGTTTCGTCGACTCGAACTCGATCGGCTGTGTCGCGTCCGACGTCGTGCTCTACGTCTCATTGGTTGTAATCATCGGCGTCGTGGTGATCCGTTTCGCGATGGCCGTCATCTTTGGCTGGTTTTTGTCGTGGAAGATTGGTCGTTTCCCTCAGGAGACCTACGAGCAACGACGGGCACGTGCAAGTGAGATTGAGAACTGGACCCAGGACATCTATCGCCCGGCCCCGGCGCGCTTCCGTCCCAACGTCAAGCTGCAACGCAAGTCGATGCTGCCGAACAAGAGTCGATTCTCTCGCGGTGATTTGCTCAAGGCACATGCCGCCGGCTCAGGAGTCACGTCACCGCGTGCGGAGAACAAGTACGGCGAGTACCGCAAGTCGGTGGCGCCCAGTCTCAGCAGCAAGAACTTCCTCGGCGGCGCGATGCGCAACTCCCCACCTGGTTCGCCAGGTGGGCTTGCGTCGCCCAGCTCGGCTTCCTTCCCCCCCTCGGTCTTCAACTACGACATGATGTCTCGCTCCCCCACCGGCGACTCCCTCAGGAACGGTACCGGCTGCCCCTTCCCTCTCGGTGACGTCGTTGCGCAACCCCCGGCGGACTACCAGCCGTTCAACTACCCCCTCGTGCATTCCATCTTGCTCGTCACGGCCTACTCCGAGTCCATTGAGGGCTTGCGTACTACCCTCGACTCGCTTTCGACGACCGATTACCCCAACTCGCACAAGGTCATCCTCGTCATCGCCGACGGCATGGTTAAGGGATCGGGTAATCGTCTCACGACGCCAGAGATCGTGCTCGGCATGATGAAGGAGCTCGTTGTGCCGGTCGAAGAGGTCGAGCCGCAATCGTACGTCGCCATCGCCGATGGGCACAAGGCGCATAACCAGGCCAAGATATTCGCCGGTTTCTACGACTATGACAATAACACCGTCGAAATGAGCAAACAACAGCGCGTGCCGATCGTGCTCGTCGCCAAGATCGGCAACCCGTCCGAGGTCAACGATCCCAAACCGGGCAACCGAGGCAAGCGTGACTCGCAAGTCATGCTGATGGGCTTCCTGCAAAAGGTCATGTTTGATGAGCGCATGACGACATTTGAGTACGAGTTCTTCAACTCGCTGTGGCGATGCACCGGCATCTCGCCGGACCGATACGAGGTCGTGCTCATGGTCGATGCCGACACCAAGATTTTCCCCGATTCAGTCTCGCGCATGATCTCGTGCATGGTCCACGACCCGGAAATTATGGGATTGTGCGGTGAGACCAAGATTGCGAACAAGAGCGAGACGTGGGTGACGATGATCCAAGGTGAGCATGGTCAAACTGGTGTTTGCTCTGGATGAGTGCTGACGCGAAGTTGATCTCGCAGTGTTCGAATACTACGTGTCGCATCACTTGACGAAGGCGTTCGAATCTATGTTTGGTGGTGTGACCTGCTTGCCCGGTTGCTTCTCGATGTACCGCATCAAGGCGCCAAAGGGAGCCGACGGATACTGGGTGCCCGTGCTCGCGAATCCCGACATCGTCATGCACTACTCGGAGAACGTCGTCGATACGCTGCACAAGAAGAACCTGCTGCTCCTCGGAGAAGATCGATACTTGACGACGTTGATGCTGTCGACCTTCCCGCGCCGCAAAATGATGTTCTGCCCCCAGGCCGTGTGCAAGACCGTGGTCCCTGACACGTTTCGAGTCCTTCTGTCGCAACGTCGTCGTTGGATCAACTCGACCATACACAACTTGTTCGAGCTATTCAAGGTCCCCGATCTTTGCGGTGTATTTTGCTTCTCGATGCGCTTCGTCATCTTCATGGAGTTGGCTGGTACCTTGGTCTTGCCTGCTGCCATTGCCTTCACCACGTGAGTTTATGACGCGCTGCGCAATATACTGTATTATGCTGGGACTGATCGAACTTGTTGTCCGTCCTACAGATATCTTATTGTCATCGCCATCATCCCCGGCACGACCAAACCTGTCCTTTCTCTCATCCTGCTGGCCATCATTCTCGGTATCCCGGCAATTCTCATCGTCGTAACGTCGCGCAAGGTCGAGTATCTCGGCTGGATGATGATCTATCTCCTATCGCTGCCGATCTGGAACTTTGTCCTCCCTGTCTACGCCTTCTTGCACATGGACGACTTCTCGTGGGGTCAGACTCGCAAGGTCGCGGGTGACGATGGACGTTCGCACTCCGACAAGGACGGCACGTTTGACAGCAGCAATATCGTCATGAAGCGATGGGCCGACTTTGAACGCGATCGTCGCTACCGAGCCGGAACGCTCTCGCGCGACTCGGCCTACGACGTTCTGAACGCGCACATCCGTCACGGCTCCCCACACCGCTCGACGAGCTACCGTCACTCGATCGTCTCAACCGATACGTACAACTCTCTGCCAGCCAGCGCTTCGTTGAGCACCGTTCCCCGCTACCCTACTCAGCTCGAGCTCCCTGCGCCGTTGGCACAACAAGCGGCTAGTGCGCACTCTTCGACGACCTCGTTCCACCATGGGCACGCGCACGAGTACCCTCGCTTCGCCGAGGGCTATGATAGTGACGAGTTGGAAAGGGAGGCCATCCTCAGCGAGCAACAGAGATCTTCTCCGGCTCTCGACTCGACGGCGAGTTTCCCAGCTGAGGTCGGGAGAGGCTCGACACCCTCCGACGAGTCGCAAGGTCGGTCCGGTCGTTCGAGCATCATCCCTTCGGCGTCCAACGCTACCGACACGTCGAGACCTGCGCGCCAGCCAAGCAAGCCACGCGGCGTCAGCCTCGTAGATGCGGGACCTGTTCCGGGCTCGGAAGGCGTGAGGGTCGTCCAACGTACGCGTAGACCATCGCAGCAAGGTCACACATCGTCGCATCAGCGATCAAGGCCGTCCCAAGGCGGACAGGACGCCGTCTTCTCTCCAACCTCAGGGGGCGGCTCCCTCCCGCCTGGCGCTGCACCTCCGCAACTTTGAGGCGCTCGATACAACCCTTACAACTGTATTATCACGACGACGCTACGCCCCATGTCCTCATCCCAACCTATACCGAAAGACACTCTACTTCCGCTGATCCCGATTGTGTCCAAGATGGCATCTGTGTTTGTTCTTATGTCTCCCAAGTTCATTTAGCTTCTTTGTCTCCCTGATCGCCGAGGGTTATGAGTATATTATCATATTGCCCCACCTGTCTTTTTGTTTGTCTAACCTCAGATCATATCAGAATGATTAACTCCCAGCCCGGCAGCGACCGGGATGCGGGACGGACACTTCTTTGCTTCTTCCCCGTGTTTGCCTTCGGTCCTTTGTGATGATCTTCTTGCACATATCTGCACATCATAATAGAAATGGTTGTTATTTGTCATGACATGCTTTCTCGGATAGCCCGTCTTCGGCGCGAGCGAGTGCGATTTGCTCTCGATATATTGACGCCAATCTGTTGCAAGGCTGTGCGCCACCTATATCGTGGTACCTTACCCACAATGTTGCGAGCTACCTATTTGAACTGCCGGCTCACCTACTGCCTGCCTAAATGAGTTGCATAGGTATGTATGAAATGAGTTTAACGGATCTCGCGAGTGATGAAAGGTTCTCACGTGGATGGCACACCGGCAGTTGCAGTCATCATTCCCAATTTAGCTGTTGAGTCTCCAGCCTGGACTCGGGGGCCGGCAGGATCGGCAGGACTCGGGGGCTCGGGATAGGCATGCGCGCGCGACGCGGGTACCAAGATACTGGCAGCTTTCACGGTGACCGGCGTGATGAACAGAACGCGTCAGCATGCCTACTCGTGTTCTTGACCTACCTACCCATGACAAAATGCTGATTGCTGTTTGACGTTCATCCTCTCCGGATCATCAACGCGCTTCGTCTCTCGATTCCTCGCCTTCGTCCCCTCCTTCAAATTTTCCACCATCTCGAGCTTCCCATCGGCTCCAAAACACCGCTCAACGTCGATTTCTGGTCGGGCCCCTTTCCATCCTCCTCTCCGGGGCAGAATGCTGTTCGCTCGCTGCGGTGTCATCGTCGCCGCTGTGCTTGTTTTTCACTCCAGTTATTCAACTGCTACTCGCAGTATGAAGAAAGTGGTCCCCCAAGCCAGGATGCGCAATCCTTGCAAGGGACATGAGGTTCTCATCGGTGAGTTATGTTCCTCCTCCTCGGCCTTCCTAATCTCCGCTCGCTAACCCGTCTCGGCACGCTCCACAGAAGCCATCCATCGTTTACTTTACGGCCTAATTTCACTCCCGCCTCACCATCGCCTCTCACCGAGGCCAGCGTAAAGTTTTCTGCGGCACTGTGTAATGATGGACGAATCTGATCTGTATCGCAGATGATGCCTGCGCGTCCTGCGCCTCGCTCTTCAAGAACGCCAGGGCCTGCACTCGCTATGCCCTATTGAGGTGCTCTTACGGTGCCGTCAACGACCTCCAGGAGTAAGTGGGCAATGCATGGGTTGTGGCGCACCTGGGGTCCAGTAGAAAACGGAACCTATCCCTGCGCCCCTATTTACTCACTGTGGATCGCGTCGGCATTCAGGTGCGCGTCCGTTGACTGCACCGACAATTTTCGATCCTACCCCAGTAGGGACGGTGAGTAATTCTCTCGGTGATCCTTCAGACTGCCCGAGTTCGTCCTTGTCCACCGCACAGTGAGCTGATGAAATGTTTCGCTCTGCAACGGATCAGTCCATTGTTCAATTTGTCAAGCACCTTCGAGAGTACTACCGAGGAACCCGCCTTTACTCCACCGCGGAGTATTATGGGCTCCTGATCACGTATCCCATTCGTTACGGCTTTGTAGAGTTGCGCTCCGTTTTTTTCCTTATTCTATTTTATTTGGTAGATTTCAGTAACAGTATAATTATATTAATACCTAGAAACCTTCGGAAAAGTCGGAGGGAATGGTTTTTACGCACTGGCAGAAGGCAGTAGTGTACGACTCATTTATCTCCCCCTCCCCCCTGTTGAATTTCATTCTACTACAAGCGTTCGAACACTTCAACATTGGGCCGCCGTTGTCAGGTCCGCCCATTTTCGCCTCGGCGCCTTCGCCTTCGCAGCCAAGCCGCCGCCCTTCGCCGCGCGCCTCCGCCTTCGCAGCCGAGCCTCCTCCCTCTGCCTCGCGCCGGCCTGCTCAACTCACGCCCGCGCGCCGCCGCCTCCACGCCGGGACTCTGGCCGTCTGCCCTCCAGTCTTGCTGAGCCAATGCCTCCACTTAGTCACCAGCAGCTTGCCGCCGCCGTCCTCATGTTCCATCGGCCATCAAGAGTATCGCCCATGCATGACGCCCGCCGTTCGCAACCTGAGTCTCGTCGCTATGGACTCCCTCGCTCACCAACACTCGACATCGTAGATAGGTTTCCCCTCGTGGCCGTTGTCCAACACGACCCCTCTCAGCACCCGAATGACCCACTTGGAGTTTGCCCTTGACGCTTAGCAGCGCGTCCGCCCGATTTGCAGTAGATCCTTTGCGCGCCCGATTGCTAGAACCTTGTCAGACTCGTGCTCCTTGTGCTTCCCTTCCTCTTCTCTACCGCTTTCCGACATTAGCCAGACTGCTAATCTTCGGTAGAGAACAGATCGTCCAGCCGCACCGCCGTCTCGTCAGACCGCGTCTGTGCCGCCTTGCGACTTCTCCCAATCGGACCGTCCGTCGCAACCGTAGCCACGTCGACGCGCCCAACAGTAGCCCCAGCGGTCGCTACACCCAGTTCCGAAAAGTTCCACGACCTACATTCTATACCCCCTCCCCCCTGGTGTCCAGGTATTACAAACACGGACGTAAAAAGGGATTAAGAGTGCGCAGTGACAAAAGACAAATTGGCGCCACTGACGTACCATGCTGGGAGTGAGATAGCACGGACATCTTGGGAGGCTGGAGGGCAAGCCCAAGAACTGCACACCCAGGCAACGAAAGATAAGATTTGATTGGATGTTGTTCGTTGAACAACTATCAGTAATCAAAACTGATAAGAACAGATACTACACTTGATCTAAGCCAAAAGGCCAGAAAAGGTACCTAGAGCTGGGAGCGCGCGTGCCCCAATGACCCGGGCTGGGCAGACCATTGGCGGACTTGTGGTGGAAAAACCAGGGTGCATCAGGGGAGATCAGGGGAGCACCTCAAATTCACGAATTTATAGGGCACGACCGCAGACTGACGCAGTTCCTATGGTCATATCTATAGCCATTGTAGTATGTGGCTGAAATATTTTGAGTTTCTACAACGAGTGATTGTTTCCTCGCAACGCCAGCCGGTAGCTCGGCACTTGTCTGGTGCCACCGGGGCGGCTCACTCAAAGTGAATTAAAGACAAATTCCTAGAACATTCACCCGGCGCGTCCTACGCGCGTCTCTCACAGTGCTCTAGTCTCGCCGATCTCCAAATCTCAGCACCAGGGTTTGGGGCGCACAATACCCATACGTCCCGGTGTCATCAGAAAATTTCGCCTCGGCGCCTCCACGGTTGCCCGTCCAGCATGGCTCCTGAACAGATTGGCGAGCCGGAGGGATGACAACGCTTGACGAGGCGAACCCCCAGTGCGCTGAACTGAAAGACGATAAATACTGGACTTATATTACGACGTGGTTTCAGAGTTAAGGAAATTTGCCCACTTCTGGCATCGGTGTCCTAATCTGCTGCTTTGGACAGGCGGCGTATCATTTCTGTCCCCCGGGCCGGCGTTCGAACTTAGTTTAAGGTGGGTACTGATCGGTCACCCATGATAGCAGGCACTGTGCTCACTAGTACATACTCATATTTAGTGTTCCAAAATGCTAATTTCAACTCGACTTAGCATCTTCGGAAAGATCGCGCACGACCTCAGCTCATCCATCACTCCGGACTACTAGCCCGAGGTCGACGACGGTGTCTCCAGGGTTCTGGGAAGCGAAAGGTCAGCTCGATGGGGCATCTTTCTGGGCCAAATACACTTAAGTTATGAAAGGAGGTGATCCAAAGAAGGGTAGAGGCTTTTTGATCCGTTTCACCTTTTCCCTGAGATGGTTGCGTATTGACGGAAAAGTCAAGTCGAGGTACTTAAATCGATGCTGGGTGCGAACTTCGTCTGTTGGTCCTTCTGCGTAGGTAATTGTCAAGCATGAAACAATGTCTGTACAGATGCTTTTTACTGAGCTAAATATTTCGATAAACTCGACAGGTTTACTACACTGCGTGCAAGACGCGTGGCCCGGCCGTCTAGGCAACTTTGGCTAGTGCTGCAGCGGAACCATCAATTCGAGTATCACCGATGACAACAGTGAGGTGTAGTGAGCGAGATAGCGCACGCGATTCCGAGAAGGGATTCCGAAGACCCTTCATGGTATCATTGCGTCACTAAGCATTTATCCGTTCATTGTGACGGGCCATCCAGCACCTCGCTTCCGGCTCAAGTTAAAGACCTGGGGCCAGCTCACTGCAGTGAGCCCAGGCGCCGCAGGGAAAAAGACTAATCAGCGGATCTTCGCCTATGAACAGAGCCAGCCATATCTACAACGCGACCGAATACACCCTGCGGCCTTCCCCCACTCGTGCCCTCGGGGCAACATGGTGCTCGAAGAACTGCTCAAGCTCCCTCGCTGCTCTCTAAATTGATAGAACGCAGAATGAGATGAATGCTAACGACGATGCGTAGAGTAATTCACAATACATGTAATGCAACTAAGAAATAGGGTACTAAGAGATGAAATCAGAGAGAGTCTACATCGTCATCGATGGGAACGCCCGAGGCGGCTAATCGTTTCCATTTCGCATCCTTGCGTGTCGAGAGGGTGATTTCGCTGCTGCGCAAATTCCACACGCCTTTTGGTACAACGTTCGAGATCTGGTTGCGATTGTGATGGGCCCGATCATTCATAAGCCATGTACTCGATACGCAGTATATGTCGTGACTCACCATATATCGTTTTCCCTCCCGCAAGAAGTCATCGCCAAGGTGGTCGCAGTCCCACACCGTGAGTTGTGCAGTGCGCTGCGATTTCGTCTCGTCCGTGACAAGAGCATCCCGAATGCGAATGACGCGGAAGCTTCGAACGTTTCGTGGAGCACGTTGCATCTGCTGAGAGGTCGAACGGAAGTATCGGCCCAAGGACAGGTCATCGTACAGGCCTAGATATACTCACCGATTCGTCCACGTCATAGCCGCGAGACCGTCTTTCCTTGGCTATTTCAGCCCGCTCCGCCAACTTGTCCAAACACGAGGTAACGTGTTGAGACGATAAACGACGAACAATGTTGGCCCGTTGAATACGGGACGCTGCCTCTTTAAGCCGATCCAAGACCTCGTCCGGATCGTGATCATCTGGAAAGCCAAGCCGTCCGTCAGTCTTCGAACTATTCTCTTTGGGCAGAATGGAACGCACCTGACGAAGACCGAGCCGTCTCCGGACCATTGTTGCTTGTCTCAGCCGCTTCACGGAGCATGTCCGTCAACTCATCCCACAACGCCATCGCCTTGGCGGCCTTGTCACCTCCGTTCCGAGCTTTAGCGCTTCCATTCTGTTCGAAAGGAACCGCTTGGCATAAGTCTCAGATGACAAGAGATCTGGTTTGGTGCGAAACTCACCAGCCATTCCTCTTGTCGCCGTCGTTCTTCCGCCTCATTCCATGGCTCACCCCCTGATCCTTTTCCCGCGTCGATGTATCCACGAGGGAAGACTCGTTCGACGATGACGTCGAGAAGGGGCACGACGCCTCCTGCGGAACTAAGCGATCGGAGTGTGGCCGTAAAGGCATGGCCGGTGAAGCCCAGCCGGGCGTCCCATCGTGCGAGAGAGGTAGAGTTGCCGGTGATGGCGAGCGAGGTGGTATACAAAGCTTCTAGTACGTCGATTCCCTCGGAAGAATTTTCAAGCTAATTGAGTAAATAACGTGAGACCCCGAGTCAGTCTGAGTGGGAAAGATTTCGCTCAAAATGACGAGGTTTTTCTATCGATCGACTCACCCTGGCACCTGAAACAGCAATCTTGCTTCCAACTTTGACTTTCTCCCTCTCGACTGCGCTCTTCAGCGTCGCGTCAACATTGGCTCGTATCCGATACCAGCCGTCCGTCAACTCGAGTCCAGCAACATCCATGCGGCCAGTATGACTCTCTTCCACCTCGTCGCCGAAAGAGTTCGGATCCCCATAACGTATCTTGGACACGCACAGCACCATCGGCAACGAGCTGCTCGAGTCCCGCTCCTGTATGCGCTTGATGCAGGACCGTTGGGCTTGATTTATCTCGCGTTCATAGCGATACTTCAACTGGCGGATTGCAGCTTGGAAAGACCACCACTCGGCCTGCTTGTACATCGTCGGCTCGACACGAACGTACGAGGCGAGTTTCCAGACGACGAGCGACCAATGGTTGGCGACCCAGGGCAAAGTGGCGTAATCGCAACCGGCGAAAAAAAGCGACTGCAGGGCTTGCGCAGCACCGAGTCCGCCTGGGAACGCATACTTTTCAGCGCGCATGTGGTCCATTTGGATGATATCCAGAGGTCTGTGGGTGGTCCGAGCCGGGTCAGAACTGGCTCACTTAAGCTCTTGTTGCCGCTTTGGACAAGACTCACATATCAAGGGCGCGAAGAGTTGCTTCATCAACCGTTCCAGGGTACAGACCAAACTCCCGCAGACTTTGTCTTGGTTCCTTGGGTGCGCTGAAATCAAAGACGCTCATGGTATTGCGCCGCCGTACCACCTCGGTCGCTGCCGACTGAATGTTATTGATCTTGGGTGTAGCCCTCGCGACGTTGGACCCCTGAGCTTTTGCCGGTGTCCGGTCAACTCGAGCGATACCGGCAGGCGTGAGGCCCTCGGGACGCTTGCCATTTTTGAACGGCGTCGTAAACTTGGGGACGGGCGACCTCTTCACCCCAACTCGCGCGCGAGGAGTCATACCGAGGTTTAATCGACGCATCGCTGGTGCAGTCTTGACACCGGCTGGGGTAGATATCACGGCCGTGGGACCACCTAGGAACGGTGGTCGAAAGGCGGAGGATGGACGCATGGAAGTCCGGATGGGCTGTGGTGTGGCGACTTGCGCAGTCGATACCGGCGAAGGCACCTTTGGAGACGGAGAGACGGTCGGCAACTCGACCTCGGCCGTTGCGATACTCGATGATGGTAATACTGCCCTAGCGGGAGCGAAGCCATTTTCAATAGAAAGTAATGGAGATCGACGGCCAACCTTGGTCGGTGTATCCACCTTGTGATTCGGGTTCGGTGAAGTTATGCCGCGGGAAGACGGGCGTGCTCGGGGCGGAGAGAATTCCATCATCGCGCGAGATACCTGAAGAGCGTCTTCTGAAGGGGCTGGGAGGGGTCGACCATTCGCTCTTGAGAACAAGGCGAGTGGTGCGGCCGACCGTGATCCGGAACCGAAGACATCGCTCGAAGGGGCCATCGATGCGGTGTGTGGCGTCAGGGGAAGAGACGACGGCGGTAGGTTTGGCGCTTGTGACGTCGGGGCGATCAGCGGCCGAGCAAACTGTGGGGTAGAAACTGGCACCTTGCTTGCCATCTCGCGTGGGCGATCCGTGCCTTGTGTTCGGCCGCCGGGTCTGTTGAGCATGGGTGGGACGAACGCTGGAAGCTCGCGAGTGGCAATGACTGGTCGTTGCGTTGTCGGCTGTTCGCCGCCTTGATCGTCCTCGTCGTCGGCATCGAGCAACGCCTTGATTCTGTCGAGCTCGGCCTTTGAGATCTCTTTCGGCATAGCTTTACTGCGGAATACGAATGTGCCTACCGAAAAGTCTTGGGCCTGAGAGTTGGCGAATTGGAAGCCTAGTGGGACGTGGCCGAATCCGAATTGGCGCAATTGCTCCTCCGTGTTCTCTTCCTCGAGATAGGGTTCGTCGTCGTCCACGTCTTGCGCTCGACCTTTATCCTTCCCCACCGTGATCGGCTTTGTTGTCGGTTGAAAGAGACCGAGTTCCCCATCTAGGTCGTCCAGTCTCGCGGTGTCCCACATGTCGTCGCCCTCGTAATCTTCCATCTCGTCATCCACGGCCTCGGCGATTGCGCTTGCTTCCACTTCTGCTTCAGCTTCCACATCCACTCCTACAGGCTCTGCTTCTTCTGCATAATCATTTCCAACACAGTTTTCGCCGTCGTCCTCTGCGCAGTCCGGCTCCATCACAAAGACGCCCGAATCATCGGCGCTGGTCTCGTCGGTAGCTGGATCACAGCCTGATACGAGATCTGCCATGGCCGGTGAAGATGGCACAGCCTGAGAAGACGGTGTCCAATCATCGAGGTCCTGCGATCCGAGTTCTTGTTGTAGCTGTCGGACCTCTTGCGATGCCCCATAGGAAGTCAACACCATTGACGAGGGTTCGTTGATCCACGACGACACAGCTTCGACGACGCGGTCTTGAAGCATCAGAGCGGCACCATTCGCGGGCATGTATTGTTGTTGAAGGTATGCATCGTCCGTACGAGGTGGAATTGTCGTCACAGCGGTGTCGATGGTCGCAATCGGTGGCGCGTGCGGAGTGATTGACATTGCTTCGTCGCGTCGACACGCGGAGACTTGTTGAGCGTCGTTGTCACGTGCTTGGTCAGGGGGAGGTGTGGCATCCCGAGCTAATTGGAGCGAAGGCACAGAGGACTCCGACTCTGTCGACATCCGAGGTCGCTTCGAGGCTCGTAGATCCGTGTCGTGCTCGTGCTCGGTCGCACCAGCACCAACCTTATTCGGGGACGGCGATCGAGGCGAGCGCAGCGCGGTGGGCGACAGTGCGACGGTCTCGTCATCGCCATCGCCATCGTCGGCGTCGGCGTCTTCCTGCGACGAAGGAAGCGGTGAGAGCGGTGACGACTCGCGACAGAGCCAGTCCACGTCTTCCCGATTCATCAAGAGGTGGGACTGTGAGAAGACACGGTGATGGTGGCGAGTACGACCGGGGTGAAGGCTCGAGAGGAGCGCGAGCTGCGCCAGAAGACCAAACAGTTCCGCGCGTGTCTGCCGCGCCAGTAGTGCCGCGCCTTGCCGCGCGATCAAATGCGATCCGTTCGCTTCCGTTCGCCGAATTGACATCTCAGCAGATCTCAGCCAACCGGCGCGCCAGAGCGAGCTCGCCGCTGCCTTTGGCTCTCCTCTTCACACCCCACTCCGCCGTCGTCTCGATTCGTCTTCCGGGACAAATCCAACTTGCCCAGCGTGAATACCCTCAACTTTCTCCTCGGGCGTTCCCCAACGCCAAACAATTCGTCCGAGCCCACATCCTCCGCCGACTCCAGCAAAGCCAGTGCAGCAACTCCCGGCGACTCGTGTGTGAATCCGGCAGCCTCAGCGGCGACTGGCGACGTCACCGCCCCACCTAACTCGGGCACGCCGTCCTCCGTCCTCAAGCTGTCGTTCAACCGATCCTCGTCCGGCAAGGGAGGAGGAGGTGGTGGTGGTAGTGGGGCAGGATGGAATCCCCAACGGGCCAAGATCCAACTCAAGTTGGCCATCCAACGATTGCGCCTCATGGCCGGCAGGAAGACCCAACTCGCCAAGACCACTCGCAGAGAGGTCAGTACCGCTCCCTAACCCAACGATCGCCGTCACAGCTACGTGTTTCTATACTAATCCCACAACACATTGCACCAAGATCGCATCCCTGCTCGAGAAGGGCAAGATCGAGTCCGCCGGCATCAAGGTGGGGCCTCAAAGCTCCGCCTCGTCCCAGGCACGCTGACTGACTCCACGACACTGAACCTTGCAGGTCGAAGGCGTGATGGGCGATGACTTGACAATCGAACTACTCGAGATGCTCGAGCTTTACTGCGAGCTGCTATTGGCCCGCTTTGGCCTGTTGGAACAAGTCAAGTCCGTCGTTACTTGCTAGGTTATCCCGCAGCTAGGACGGTTCTCACCGGAAACAATCTTGTTTGTAATACACAGGGAAATTGATCCTGGAGTGTCCGAAGCTGTGATCGGCATTATCCACGCCGCGCCAAGGTCAGTTCGAGCATTTGTGGGGCCCGAACGTTCCCTTCCCCAGCTCAGCCTCGAGTCCCCTCTGTCCATGTCCACAGAACCGAGCTCAAAGAATTGCATGTATTGCGAGACATGCTTATGGCCAAGGGAGGTAGAGATTTTGCGATTGCCTGTATGGACAACACTGACAACTGTGTCCCCGAACGGGTCAGTGCGGAACATAGCCCCGACGCGACCTCGAGCCTCACTGACCGTCGGCATCCGTGCAGATCACGTCCAAACTCATTGTTGCGACTCCACCTCCGGAGCTTGTTGATCTTTATCTCTACGAAATTGCCAAAGCTGTGAGTTGGGCCTTGAGTAAACGATTTACCCACCTGAGACTAAGGTGGACAGGCTGTTTTGTCTAGTACTGCATCGATTGGCGCCCACAAGGTTTCCCCGACCCCAACCAACCTGTTGAAGCCGCTACACCTGCCGTGAGTATAGAACAATGTTTGAATCACGAACACCCACTGACTGGCCTATCCCGAATGAGCTCGAGCAGAATGCTCCCGTGCCGACCGCGCCTGCAATCCCTTCCACGCCGACGAAAGCGCCCTTGTCCCTTCCACCCTTCGACAACGCCGCTGGATTTCCTCAAACCCCTCCCGTCGACCCCTCAGCAGCCAAAGATACCGTCATTGTACGCACCAGCTTGCCATCACCCGGGATCGTACCCCCTGCTGCACCGCGAATCGGAGCACCTGCTTTGAGGGCGACCCCTGCTGCACCGAAGAATACCGAGGAGGATGCGTTCGAGGTTTTGACGAAGAGATTCGCAGAGCTGAAGAAGAGATGAAATGATCGAATGGTTATTCGTCTCTGGTTCTGTTTTGGTGTGCTTGCCGTGATATGTAATTCTCCCAGCGCTATCTCGAGTTCCTCTGGCGTGCACGTTAGCTTTTCTTTCAAGGGACAATATTTGCAAGGACGGATTGTCATCAGCGAGGATGAGCTCCGAAAAAATGTATGCACTATATGGCATGCTGTAATTCTCTCACAGCAGTATACTGTAGACAGCATCTATCCTGACCTCGGGCTTTTGGTTGAGCTTTCGCCGATTCGTTCCTGGGCAAGCGGTCCGTGCGCGTCCGATCGGTCAATTTGGACTTCGCACGGGTTTGCTGGCGGCTTGGTCGCACCAGTCGCAGCTGGTCGACTCCATCCCGCATCAATTCGAACCCGTCCAACATGTCGTCCTCAACAGCGATGGACGTATCAGAGCTCTTGGAAGCTACTTCCTCCAAGCAGTAGGTCCCTGAGCGATGTCAGATCCTACGGCCCAGGTTCTGTAGCTGACGGTGCGACTGAATGCTCACCGTCGCTTCTCGCAGACTGCCGATCCAGGTCCCCAAGGAGATCCCCGTCGAGATCGACCTCGGACTCATGGCCATCCTGGACCCCAACCCCATCGAGGACGAAGTATACAAGTAGGTCAAGCTCCGTCCCACCCTTTCCGTACCCAGCCCTTCCCCCGAGCGACGTTCCCGACTCGCTTTCACAACCCGAAGCTGAACTGACCACCGCTCTCTACACCTCCCAGGATGGATCGTGAACAGACGCTCCTTTCGCACGCGAGGGACGGCATTCAATTGCTCGTGAACGGGATTTGGAACCAACCGACGCGATTGGTCGATGATGGAGTCGTGGCCGACTTACCTCCGATTTCGACTGAACTTCCTCGTGAGAAGCCTGTCAGTTTTAACACCTTCCTATTTATCGCTTGCCCAGTTGAGCACGATCACTGATCATTCATTGCTCAACACAGTTGCCCAAAGCCAAAGCCATGACGAAATGGCAAGCGTTCGCAACGGCCAAAGGAATTGCCCCCAAGCCCAAGAAGGATCGGATGGTCTTTGACGAGGAGAAGCAGGACTGGGTCCCGAGGTGGGGTTACAAGGGCAAGAACAAGGAGTCGGAGGATCAGTGGATCACCGAAGTGCCTGATTATGCCGGTAAGTCTCGTTTTAATTTGGTTTGGTGATTGTACTCGTAGCGGGTAGCTAACGAATCTTCTCCCTCTCGCTCGACCTCGACCTCGACCTCATCAGACAACTCCTTCGACCCCGTCGCCAACTCGAAACAAGAACGCACCGCCCGCAAAGCTAAGAACGAGACGCAACGTCTCAAGAACATGCAACGCGCCGCCGCGAACGCCGCGACCCAAGTCGCGACGAACCAAGCCAATGCGAGCGAGCGCGAGAAGCGCAAGGTGCAACTCGAACGAGAACTCAAGATCACCAAGAAGGCGACCGCGAGTATGGGCAAATTCGATGCTCAACTCAAAGGGGAGAATGCGGAGAAGAACGTCAAGCGAAAGGTATGTCTGGCATCGAATTGCTGATCCGCTTAGCTGAAACCTGATCAAATTATCATGGATCCCTCCTCCTGAAGTTCGACCCTAACGAAGTCGACGCCAAAGCCGAACGCAACAAGGCCATGTCGATCCTCACCAAGATCGGAGCCACGCCTTCGAACAAGCGTACCAAGGTTTCGGACGATGCCCCGACGGCGGGCAAGGACGTTTCGGCGGGTTCGATGATCAACGAGCGCAAGGCGATCAAGCAGTTGACGGGTGGTCAAGGGGCGCTGTCCATGGGACAGAGGGGAGGACGAGGTGGGAAGGGCGGTGGAAGGGGTGGAGGCAGGGGTGGTCGAGGGCGAAAGTGAGGCTAGACTGTGGGTTGGTGATGGGCGCGGTATTGGCGGTCGCTCGTCGTGGTTTGAGGGGCTTTCCTTTGTATTGGCAACACTGTACTCGTAATCTCCTATACCGCGATAGTGAAGGCGTCGGAAGTGTTTCAATCTGATGTACAACAGGCGAGAGGAATGCAGCTACATGGCTCTTGTGGCGAAACTTGAACCACGTAAATTCGCCATGCTACGGGGGTCGATACGCTCCGTTATTCAATCGATCGGGATGCCTTGCTTCTTCAGGTTTGTTCGTGCCTCGTCAATATCCTGTACCCGAGGGTGTAAATTATGTCAGTAAAGCATTCTCTGTGACCCTCAGCAAGTCTCCATCCTCGGCATGGCAGGGACTGACCCTCATCAACTCCTTCTGCGCCTCGTTGCACTCCCCGAACGTCATGATACCCCATCCGAGCTCGAAAAGGCAATAGCTTCCGATCGCGACAAGGATGTTGAACGGGAGCTGCGAATGTAACAACGACGTTTTTATCAGCGACCGGGGACGCCGAAGTGTGAGCACAGAGCTCTCGTCAACCTTCGGACGCGTGGGAACGCTACGGGGTGACCTGGCCATCGCTTTTCACATTGCAATACTTACAACAGGAATAATCTCGTCCTGGATCTTGGGTGTGACAAAGCTCGGCAGAGGTACGAGGCGCAGATACAAGATCGCGTAGACCATTACGAGCGTCGAGAGGCTGTTGATCAGTTGGGATTGCCGTGTCATGCTTCGAAGGTCTGGGATCGAGGATCACAATTTTGAGAGTTCGGGTGCTTGGCGTTTCACGTTGCTTTGTACACTGAAGAGCGGTTGTATCCAAAGGATGTAAGAGCGATTTGTGGCGAGAGGTGACGGAGCTCGGCCAGACTCGGCTTGCCGGGCACTACTTCGGTCGCCTTCCGAGTCAGTCCGAGTCAGTCCGAGTCTGGAAAGTTACGGCGGAGGCTTGGGGTAATCTCGAAATTAGAATGTATTCGCTCTTGTCTAGTTGTTTCTCTAGAAAAAGTACATCGCAGTTGCTTTCGGCCTTCGAGACGTGATGCTGGCCCCCACAGCAAGTCTGTTCTTTTGAAAAAGCCTCGAATTGCAGATGAGTTCCTGACAGGTACAATTCCAACTCATATCTAGGCGACTAGACTAGTTACTCAGACAGGTAGGTACAATCTCGTCTTTGCAGTGGCAGTGTGCAGGCATCTTGAATTTCCTCCGGCCGCCACAATCATCGTCGACCACCGAGTTGAGCTGCCGCGGCCTGGGCCCTCTATCGTATGGCAATAGAAGGAGTCGTTCGGAATGCATCAGCATCAAGTGTCTCAAAGCCCGAACAGATAATTCTGCTAGCTCCAAGGATCGTCAACTAGGACGTCACCTTCAAGCCAAAACTCACAATCTGCATGATGGTGTTGCGGTTCTCGGCCGGCAGCATGTCGATCTGTTCTTGTGTCATCGCCATCACTTGTTGGATCAGCTGCGTCGTCCGGAAGTGCAAGAAAAAATCAGTAGAACATCATAAGCCAGAGCCTGAGCATTTGCATCTTGAGCTCACAGCGGCCTGTTGAGGATCGATTCTTGGCGCCGCCGCTGGCGCAGCTGGTGGCGCTTGTTGAGGAGCTCCGTACGAGTAGGGCGCCGAACCATACCCTGCTTGTGCTGCTTTGGGAGGTGGTTGGGAGTAGCCGTTGTCGCCATAGGGTGGGTTTGCGGGTGCGCCATAGCCGGATGGAAGTGGGGTGGCACCGCCGTAACCGGATTGAGGTGGTGCACCGTAGCCAGCGGCTTGCGGAGGTCCACCATATGGTGTCGGGGCGGGGGCGGGGGCGGCCTGAGGTAGCATTTTCTGTAGGTACGTCAAAATACAAAGGCCTTTGTAAGAACGGTGTCGCCGGTCGCAGCTTGTGATCTGAAGTATACCTACGTTGAGAACGGCCGGATCGACTAGGTTCATGAGAAGCATTCCTTGGAACAGGGCGTAGGAAAGTTGGGGGTTTGTTGTCAAGAGAGTGCGTGCTTCGTAGGGTGACGCAGTGACCATCGCCTGTGATCCAATGAACAAGGGCAAGCGTGGTGGGTTCTTCAGCATTCGAGAGATCCCCAAAAGTGAGGGCGCGAAGCTGCGAGGCCAGGACTGACCTTCATCTGACTCATTATGTCGAGTAGTTGGCCCGGCGGCATTGTGCCGAGAGTGTTTGTGATGTTGTCAGATGCTGTTTGACCAGGTGCAAGTGGTACACCGGTAGGGAGCGGTCTCGGAGCTTGGTCGTATGCAGGGGTCGGTGCGGGCCCCCCGTACGACGGCGCTCCGGGCGGTCCACCGTGTGCACCACCGCCACCGCCAGCTGCCGATCCATACCGAGGTGGACCAGCTCCAGGACCTCGTTTGGATGGTGGTGCGTCCTCTGTATCGGCGAAGTCGAGGCGCAGACCACGGCCACCGACCTCGACCCCTTGAAGGTTGCGCAACGCCGAAGCCGCCGTCTCCGGGTCCTTGTACTCGCAGAATCCGAAACCTTTCGGTTTACCGGAGTCACGATCGAATACAAGACTGTGAAGGAAGATGGGGGTTGGATGAGCTTCAGTGCGAGTCGCAAGACACAGGTGATCTGCGAAGTCGAGGACGAACCGGAACGACACGACTGGTCCAACAGAGCTGAAGGTCTGCAGACGGTAGTCAAAGAGAACAGATATGAGCGCCAGTACTCTCTACGTTTGACACGTGAAATCCGCTTACCTCGATGAGCTGCTCCTCGGTGTAGTCGAACGGCAAGTTGCCGACTGAGCACGGCACACCCGGTGGTCCCAACGTCAGCGTCATCTTTCCAATGCCACAGAGATGGGCTGAACGTACCAAACACGACACTCGATCGTTGTTGTGGTTGGCCATAGCTATTTGCTGGAGGACCCCCATACCGTGACATGATTGCGAATTGCTTGGACGATAATTGATGGCGGTGGAATGGAGAGCGCGAGTTGGGCACGCGCTTGCGACGGAGTCGGGGCGATTTGGGAGCTCGGACCAGGCGCTCGGATGTGAGGGTGGGGCTTGAGTTTGAGCTTCCAAACTTGCGTCGGTTGATGCCAATATTCATCACAGTATACCCAGGGCAAAAGTAAGAGCATCTGTTTTGACGACTGTTTGCTTTTGCCTGCCTGCCTAGGTATGTTGTGCATGATAGCTCGCTGATCGGCTGGGCGACAGGGTTCCCCATTAGATAAGATAATCTCGCAGATATTAGATATCTATCTAAAAAAATTGGGCTCTGGCCCTTATCTATCTATCTCCCATCTTAGTCAGATATCTTAGATAGATGCCTAGATATCTAATAGATATCTAATCAAAGCGTCGGCGCAGCGAGCTTGCCAGCGATCATTTGCGGAGGCACCTCTCAGCTGAGAGTAATTTTGCGCTTCTTTGTCCGTGGCGAATTCCGTACACACAAGGTCCTCCTCAGTAGTGGGGAGCTCATGATCCATCTTGCTTCAGCACAGACTCAGATTAATTATAGTCGTTTGGCGAGGTGTGAGAGTGCAAGTGAGCGAAGAAAGAAGAGAGAACGGCGCCGGGGTACATTGCGAAGTTCACAAAATGTCGCAATTGCACCTCCTTTCTTTGTGTGATTTGTGTGATTAGTAGTTGATAAGCACCTTCTGGCAGCAAAAACGTCTGAAAGCCTCAGCTCCCAAATTGGCCCGTCGGCAAGCCGTGCCGCCTCACCCGCGGTCAGCGCTTGGGCCAAACCATGCGGCACAAACATGGGGATTGAGCCGAATACGATTTGAAATTCGATGTCCTCGCTAAGGAGCAAGAACCTCCTTAGTGGAAACTACAACTTCCAGCGCAACAGGAGTCTGTATCAGACACAAAAAAAGTTAAGATATCCTAAAGATATCTAAGGAAACCCCCGGGGCCTTATCTATCTATCTAAGATATTCGGCCCCTAGATAAGATGTCATCTATATCTTAGCGAGATATGCTAAGATAGATATCTGGACATCTAATGGGGAACCCTGCTGGGCGAGCCTGAAAGACCTCCAACTCCGAGATGGCTTCGGAGCCGGCATGGCAGGTGTTCCAGTTATGCACACAGGATCGAAGGACCATGAGAAACCTACATCAACATTTTCGATATTTCTCTTCCCCAGCTACCGTGGGAGACTGGGTTTCACTCAGCTACCTAGGTACATGATGCCATGGCCATTGCTCGGAGGACTCCTGGTGGCTTGCTTCGCTGCCCGGGCGCCCGACGTCGGGCCAAGAGCCGACTCGCAGGAGCAGAAACCTAGTCGAACTTCAAGCTTCAAGTCCGCCAACTCGCAAATGGGCCCGACGTCGGTACCTACGGAAAGAGGCTCGTACATGATCACAGTACTGTTATTGACTTTACAGCTATCGACAGTGTTCTGGATTGTGCGATGGGGGATGTCGAGGAGCTAGTAGTAGGACTCGACTGTTTTAAGTCACGTGCCATCTTGCGGCCCACCAACCTGCAATCTCGTCGTCCCGACGATGATGCTGAGCTCGAGCTCGGAGCCGTGGTGCCGGCACTGCCGGGTCCCACTCCCCTGTGTGTCCGGGTCAGAAGACCGTACTGTAAGGTATAGACTGAGTGTCATGGAAGACCATGGCCACCGAGACATCCACGTGTATCTGTGCCACGGTGTAGCAACAGCCATGCTTAGCGAGGAACATTCCTCATTTGGGACACGATCGTCCGTCCAACTTAGTCAAAGGGTGTAACGGCCATCGCCCCCGCACAGCGACGCGTGCCTGCAGCTCTGCTCGATCTCGACTTGAATCCTCGATTCTTTACCGAACAGTGGTGGTGCGAGCCAAGGATGCATTGGGCAAGTCTTGAAGTATTTTTCACGACATTGACACAGGATCGCCGGTAGCTTCTGCTTACCTACCTAGTAGTGGGTTTGCCGTATCGGCTAGGGAAGGCGCAGCACCGTTAGTCTTTTGAAGTCTGCAGCTTACGTCTATAGCCGGCGGGAAGAAATTATGTGATGCCTGCAATATACAGACCCAGCTTCTTCGTAGCTATTCCTTTAAAACATTTTGATCAAAGGCTTTCATAATGATACACAAGGAGCAACTCCAGCACGTGCGAACACCAGGTTGCTTTGAAGTCGAATCTGCTAGCTGATCCGCTCCTCAGGCTGATGAATTGCGCAATTTTGCAACAGGGGTCGGAGTCGACGTGTCGGCCATGTTTGGTGCTGGATGAGAGTGCAACCTATGTCATTTATACATTTTTGAAGCTTGCTATCCTGTTGTATTGCCAACACCCGCCCCCACCCGTGCTTGCCAATTAATGACTGTAGTCGCGACCGTAATCCTAGGGTTTTTTGCACGCGCGCCTGCCGCGCCTGACCGGCCTGACCGATCCGGCTTCAGTGCCTGCGCGAAAGCTTGTGTGGCCGCAGAGGTTGAAGGAAGAGTCTACTTCTCGCTGGCTCGCCGCTCTTGCAATCATCGCGGCTTCTTGACTGACATTGGGCGATCCTTGCCCCGTTCGGCAGGTACGCAGTGCCAGGCGCTGTAACTGATGCCACGTCCCACGAAGCACGATGCACTCCAAGACCCCGCTCCCAGTAGGCGTAGAAAGATATTCCGGGGAGCCAGGATGATATCGAAACCACATCAGGGGTAAACACGCTCACTGCAAGCGCTGCATCTCGATGAAGTAAAGGCCAGCCGGGTAGAGGGGCTTTATGCCTTTGAGCCTTTGACCGAGCCCGTAATGATGCGAATTTGGGGGATGGGTGATCGACCGGCGAAAAGCCTATTGAGGCGATTGAGGCAAGGCCTTTTTCACGGGGTCACGACTCACGAGTGGCTTCCAACGACTTCTTTACACGGCGCTGGCAACCGGGAGGCACACGGCGCTTTGAAAGTGCTTTGAAGGCCCCGAGCGCGGTCACATTCGCGGAGTCCGTGCGGGCTGCCTTCGGCCTTCCACAGCTGTTTGGCTTTTGAGCTCTGCCCAACATACAGCAACCATCTACTCTGGTCGATTCTCTTCCGATAAATTGCCTCAAGTGACCCTACCCAAGATTCTACGCGCTACTCACATCGAAAGCGACGCATCGACTCGTCTAAAGCTCCTCGGTCGAACCCATCAACGACTTCCGTCGAACCCGGTTCGCCCTCGCCATGCCGCCTTCCTCGAAGCAGCGGCCTTTCGCGACGACCGCCGCCGACTCGACGCAGCTCTCCGCTTCCAGCGGTGCCGGCCGTTCACCTTCCGAGTCGACGGATCTCAACAACTATGGCAATAATATGTACTTGAACCCTGAAGCCGGCTTCGACGACGATCACCGAACGGGCACTGGCCCAGCTGGCGACGCCGTCATTGCGCCGGCCGGTCTCGTTCAACCGATCGGGTCAAACCAGCCGTCGATGATCCTGTTCGACCCTAGGGCATCTCCTCTCTCGGATGACGATGATTCGGATGGTGAAGGATCGAATCCCAGGCCAAAGAAGCGCAAGAGTCAAGGCAACCTTCGCTCAACGGCATCGATGCAGAGTCTCAAGTCCGCGGCGGGCGATGACCAGGACAAGTCACGGCGCAAGATTCAGATCGAATACATCGAGGAGAAGAGCAAGCGGCACATCACTTTTTCGAAGCGGAAAGCCGGTATCATGAAAAAGGTTAGTTGCTACACTCCAGTGTCGTTGATGCAAGCATTGCATAGACCGCCGGACGATTGCACAGTCTTAGCTCCGATCATAAAGTTCAGTGACTGACCCCACTCACCCGCCCGCCCAATCTTCACGCGCGCCTGCACCCGCGCCCGCGCCCACGCCCACGCCCACGGTGCCTGCCTACCGCTCAACCTCGGCCTCACCCGTCGCACGGACCATCGGTTCAAACTTGCTTTCGATCATCACTAGGCATACGAACTCTCGACTCTTACCGGGACTCAAGTCTTGTTGCTTGTGGTATCCGAGTCAGGCTGGGTCTATACATTCACCACCGACAAGTTCAAGCCGCTGGTCAAGGAGGATGAGAATGGCCAGCTATCGCAGGGGCAAAAGTTGATCGCCGCATGCTTAGTCAGTCGCTCGGGATAGGGGAGGGCACGAAGACTCACCCACTAATGCAGAATTTGTTCTTTCTTCCCCCTTCCACTATCTCGTCACAGGAGGCCAAAGACTCGGGATCACCTCCGCTCCCCTCGCACCCGAGCTATCAACCGACATCTAGTGGCAACTTTGAGGCCAACTCGGCCACCCACGGCGGTCAGATCGCACTCAAGGCCAACCCGAGAATCAGCAGTCAGAGTCGACCCATTGTCTCGAACCGCCGCGTGTCGTCAAAGGGACGAAACCATATCCCGACAGCGATCCGGATCGGCCACGATCCGAATGTGCCTCCTGTGCCGCACCTCCCGACGCCGATGACGAGCGGTGGGAATGGCGGAAGCTACATGGACCAACCTTTGACCTCGCCGATATCCCCTCACGGTCCTAGAGCACTCAGCCATCCTCCACCTAGTCCGGCCGGCAGGGGCATGCATCACATGCAGCAGCAGCAGGCCCAGGCGATGCTCGGTGCGGGCCATCGACCGAGCCAGAGCGACTACGCCGACATGTTCCAACGCGCCGAGGGTATGCACATGGGTGCATCGTCATACGATCCATATGGCTCTGTGAGTATATGCGCTACCGACGGTCGATTAGTATCCAGATGGTGAACTGACTTGGAGACATCCTTCTACCTCGCCCTTGTACAGTCAAACCCCAACATGCCCTTGAGCATGGGCTACGGAGGCCACCCGGGAGCTCACCCGATGTCCGATTCTGCGTACGAGCTATACGGCGGCCACTACACTCACCAACCCGAGACGTACCAACAATCAGGTACACTCCAACGACCAGGCAGCTTCCAAACCCGCAGCCACAGTGTCAGCTCCGCGAGCGGTCAGTCGAACGGTTATCTCGCCAATGATTTCGCGAATCGGGATTCGCGCGCTCGGATGGAACAGCTGTTCGGGATGGTAGGGACACCTTGAGCGGATTGTCGAGCGTTGTTGTCGAGTCGTAGTGGGGCCTTTTAGAGTTTCGTTGACCGTGGGGAGAGAGTATCCTCCGCTTGCCGTCCAAGATCGCTGGGACGAAGATCTTGCCCCTGCTAGGCCTGCAGAGACACCATATACATAGGACACTCTTTAAGTCCCGTCTTTTCTTCCCTCTTCATTTTCTTTCTCCGTCCCCTATTGTGTGTGTATTCAACTTCTCATGCGCCGCGGCCTGTTTATACCTATAGCGCGCGCAGTCATCTGGTTCATTCTCTTCTTTCTCTCTTGCCACACATATCCTTGTCGTTCGGAGCAATTGTGTCCACACCCTATTGTAATAACATCATCAAGACCTATTATCACCACCATACGCTGTCGCCTATCCATGATTATAAGTCTCTCTTCAAGCCCCCTTCCCATCGATCCACCTCTCGTGCAGCCCCACCAGTCTCGCGATGATGTCCTCCTCTATCTCCCTAACCGCTTCCCCTTCCCCCAAAGCGGTCGGTGATTCTATCCTTAGCCAGTCTTCTTCACCAGAAGGATGCACGAATATGACCTCGTGCTTGCGGTTGGTGAGCGTGTTGCCGATGACCAATTGGTGGCCGTAGCGCTCGAGCGCGGCTCGAGCTTTTGGAATCAGGATAGCGGGATCGGTTTCGAGCTGGACGAAAGGTTATGAAGGGTTGGAGTGGTTTAGATGGTGTTTCGCTATGCTGTCAGGTTGGAATGATCGTCCCCGAGGATCTACTCACCTTGAAGGAAACAATAAACCCGTCGTTAGACCATTCGTCGACCATTGCTTTGAGCACTTTTGGAACTTGATCCATTTCGATGACGAGCGAGCCTTTGCCCGACTGGATTTTATGTGTGCTCTGCGTGTGAATGCGTAGGAGAAGCCCCCCCGGTGAGCCAATGCTGATTCCATATTCAACGGGTTCACTTTGCCCCACTGACCATTCGCTGAGACGGGATGAAGAAATCCGACACGGCTGCTGCCAAGTAGTACATGCCTCTCCTGCCCAGCGCCTGCCCTTGCGAATCCTTGGCGGTTCCCATGACGCGACTGACGCCTCTTAGGTACCACAGATACTCGTCAATGGTCGTATACGGTATCGAGTAGAGGATCTGCATCTTTTGTACGAGCTTGTACGACCTCAGCAGGGAGAGCATCGGTTCCAAGTGCGGTGGCGGGATCTGGATCTGCGGTGACCCGTCCGACGTCACGGGTGACTTGGGCAGAGTTCTATAGTCGGATCCATCCAATGCAGAAGGTCGTCGGGACAGCGGCGCCGAGACGGTCCCGACGGCCGGAACGGGAGGGAACAAGAAGCCGTCGTTGTCGTCCTTGCTGGGAACTCGGAACGCGCGCTCGTGGTCGTTGACGATCGTCAACAGATCGAGGAAGGGGTTGGTCGAATGCGAGTAGTGGCGAGAGAAAGGTTGAAGCGAGTGTTGTCGGTGCAAGAAGATGACGGCATAGTCTCCCGTGCGGAGGAAATGCTCGGCCGAAGCTGAGCCCCGAGTGCCGGCGGAAAAATTGTCGAGAAAGCGGACACTGTACGACCGAGGAGAGTGAACGCGGGTCAGATCTGCTGGAAATTTGAAACGTTTATATGCATGCTCTGGGATGACTGACACGTTGTGTTCAAGAGGGACCGTAGTGCCTCCGCTCTGAATGTCCAGAGAGTCAAGTTCAGCCAAACGAGCGATCGAGCCGCGAGGGCTTGCCAAGTATTAATTCATCGGGGTCAAGTACGGTGTTTTAGGTTTCAGAATGAAGGTATGACTCACGGTGACGAGTACGACCCTCCGTCCAGCCGAAGCATTGCGCTCAACAAAGGCCTGGACGGCGTTAAGGTGCTCCTGCAGCCTCACGGGTGGTGGTTGCTCGGCAAAGAACTGCTCAGCCGAGAATTGGGGTCGGTCTGCGGATGCCATAGTACGAAGATGCGTCGATGTAGCGGTGATCGGAGATTCAAACGTCGTGTGGTACGTGGGGAGAGATGGGAGCGAGGTGGAGAGCGAGTGAGACCCGCCTGCGATGCAGCGTGGGATGGAGTAGATCCTCTCGACAACGAGAAACAGCCGTGCTTCGAGGATCACTTAGTCGGTGCGACGAATATACAGGCACAAGGCCGGAAAAACGAGGAAGTAAGGCGCGGAGTGGACTCAGTGGAGCGTTGGGAGAAAAGGAGCGAATGTGGGGGCCCCCCGCCGAATCCGTGTCGCGGTCGGCCGTCTTGCGCAGTCTTACGCCGTTCTGCTCCTTGCTCTGCTGCCGGTGGATTGACGTGATTCGCAGACTCCTGGCGTAAAATCACACCTGGGGGTAGCTCACGAGTGGTGGTACGGGGTGCACTGGAGTGCAAAGTGCCGCAACCAGCCCGATCGTCGTCGCTCGCCCACCATGACGTCGATCGTACACTCTTCCGTTCGGCCGATCCGTCGCCTGTCGCACCTGCTCCTCGCTGGCCACAATCCGCTCTCCCCACCTCTGGCCTACTCTCAACGCTCTCAACAGTCACCTTCAAACCCCTCGCTGTCGGCCGTCCCCTTGTCGTCGTGGCTCGGCTCGATCGGCAGAGCTCAAGACGTCGCAGGCGGCTACCACCTCACGTCCATCTCGGCAGGCCAAGGCCACACTTTTCTCAGCTATGAGAACTCTGCGGGCGTAGGGAGGGTCTTTGCTGTTGGGAGGAACGAAGCCGGTCAACTGGGGCTTGATTTCGCCAGCCAGGAGGAGACGAGGGGCCTAGTCGAAGGTTTCCAAGGCGATCGCATACTGTCGACCAAGGCCGCTTGCCAGAGTGGTTATATCGTATTGGAACAGCAGGGTCCGTTAGCGAAAAACTACAATCATATTCAAGCTTGCTCAACCGCTGATGCGGATTCTGCTCACCGGCTCGATGATGGGCTCGGCTCCTACCTTTTCCGCTCTCGGTGCTCAGACGAGACGGCGCTCTACGTCTGCGGTAATCTATCGAGAGGTCGACTGGCACAACCCAACTTCTATTCACCACCTCCCCTTGAGGAGCATGAGGAACCGGCAATGTCACTCTTGTCAAAAGCGACCCAGGTGACGCTCCCGCCAAAAGTAGGCCGAATCCGCCAGATCGAAACAGGTTTCGAGCATATTCAGATTCTGTCAGGTAAATCATGATGTGGGATCGCCCTTACTGATACCCAGTTTACTCACTGATGAACCTCATAATCTCACAGAGAACGGGGCTCTCTATGGTTCCGGCTGCAACACAGATGGGCAACTCGGTCTCGGGGAAGCTTGCCTTGTCGACATCTATCAGCTCACACCCATGCCGATACCAGACGAAGTTTTGGCACAAGGCGGCATCGCAACAATACGAGCCGGAGCGGATACATCTGCCTTGATCACGAAGGAAGGAAGACTGTGGACATGGGGCAATTCGGTGCGTATTTGCTCTAACGCGCTCAAACGAGCTCGAGACGCTGAGCGAATAATTTGCTCATCCACCCGCAGGAATATGCCCAGGGCCTGCAGGGGATCAAGATCGATCAGATACATACGCCAAAACCGATAGATGATTTCTTCCTCACTCCATCGCGAAGGATCGTCGACTATCAATGTGGAGGATCGTTCGCCATTGTTCTAGACGGTGAGTCTTGGAGCTTCAGCTAACAGGGCCTGCGATGTGATGAAATATTTGTGCCGTGGCCATCGGACGAGTCTGGTCCGAAATTCTTAGGAAGAGGCGGACGGAGACTCGAAGGCAGGACAACGCCGGTTTTTGCTAAACACAGACGTGGGGACTCACTCGTCGCTTGCGTCGAGGCGAGCCCCTTGCGTAATTCATTCTGATCGCGATTCTGGATCCATGTTCGATGCACTCACTTCCCAACCGAGCAACTGACTTTACCATCCAATCTGTGGATGGGTAGATCGAGGCTCGGTCTACTCTGCGGGATATGGCGCTCTTGGTCTTGGATCTTCAACCCTCGAGTCGACGACGGTACAGCGCATCGACGCACTAGAAGGGTGTGGGATCACGCGGATCCGGGCTGGGTGGGGTTGGGCTACTGCTATACGAGGTTCGTCACCCCGACTGGCCCGATATCTCACATAGCTTGACTGACATGCGGCCCACCTCTTGCGACAGACGCGCCCGAGGGGAATTCGGCTTTGTACACCTGGGGCGTCAATAACTCGCACGGACGACTGGGAGTTGGGATGGTCGGATCTGCTCCACGGACTCGAGATAAACCAACTGTACCTTCACGGATCTACGAACCGACCGAAGTGGACTTGCCCTTGCGAGAGCTTGGATTGGACCGAGACGGCGTCGAGTGGGGAATCGATCAGGTCGAATGCGGTTCGGATGCACTTTGGGTGTCGCTAGGGGAGAGCTATACAGACTAGATTAAAGTATACAATAATGACCTGTCGTACCATATCCACTCGTACCGATCGGGTCGGTCATCACGAACACTCTTGACTGAGAAGACTCGTGGACGAGAGACAGCGATCTAAACCTTTGGCAAACGGTGTGGTTGGGACAGCGGTGGGCGGGGCGGGCGGGGGATTATTGAGCCGCCGGACTATTTGGCCAGGTTCGCAACTTGATGCAAGCGACAACCACGAGGGATTCTTGCGTTGAGTATCGATGTATCTTGCCTCATAGCCACTAGCGGGGCTTTGCTTCGGACTCGCGGAACTGCCGCTGGGCAGAGTATGTGTCCTTTTGTGGGGCAGGCAGCTTCAAGACTCGATTTCCGTGATCGCACTGCTGTGATGAAGCGGCAGTGTGGGGATGGTTGAGCTATCGAGACGATACAGACCCGTTCGGCCCGATGTGTGCCGAGATAAAGCGAACGCTAGAGCGCCTACCGGCTTCCCATGAATTTGTTAAACGACGTGGTGGCTACAAGGGGATGCCTAACAGCCCTATAAGTAGCCTCTGAGTAGCTAGAATTATCGAGTTCTAGTTGAGACTGACTTTTAGTCAAGCGGGGTCAAGAACGACAAATTACAGAGGCGCATACCTTACACTTATCGATAGCCGTGGCCGGCGTTGTTCTTCGTTCGCCGCCGCGCTGTCGATCTGTCAGGTCATTAATCCAGCGTGTCTCACCAGAAGAGCCGATTTACCGACCGATCGCAGAGTTTTGAGCGTACAGACGAAGCCGTCTCAATGTTTACCGGTACGGGCGATCTCTCCCCCTCGATTTCACGTTTTCGGCCGGTGGTCGCAAGCCTGGTGACGACCGGCGGCTCAGCGGCGACCACAGCGGCTCAGCGGCGGCGGTGCTTTCGGCATTTCGGGGCCTGAACATCAGTTTGTCTTGGAAAAGGAGACCCCTCGCTCTCGGGTAGGTAGTGCTATCCGTGTGCCAGCTTTTGTGGCGGACCGCCTCCGCCAGCCTGGCATCATGTTAGGTAGTTGTGCATTACGAAGAAGCGGCTTTGTTGTGAACGATCGATGGACAAGCCCTTCGGACTGGTCTTGCGAGGCCCGGCTAAGAACGAGTCCACTGTGGCCCGAGAACCCCTCAGCCGCCTACGCAGTCGAGCCGGGAGTACATCAGCCAGACTCAGGGTACACTGAAACGGACCCCAGGTGATACATCCTTGTCACAGATAGCGTAGCTAAGTGTTAAGTTCCCTTAGTCTGTGCGACACTTTTGCGTGTGACTTGGAGGGGATCGACGGGAGATGGTGTCACTTAAGCCGCGTCGGGTCACTTAGGAGGCGTACGCCCGGGAAAAGGAGAGGGAAGGGCGATCGTGGGCCGTGCCCGACATCTACGATTACGCGAAGCGAGTGGCGTGATGACGGCTAAGTGAGCCGAAGGTGGAGCGACTCTTGTAACCGCGTGCGTCTGCAAGACAAGATGGCCTCTCCTAAGTACACTAGCTCAATGATCGGCGGGCAATCACTTGCGAGCGCACGCCCTCCAGCGCACGCCCTCCAGCGCACGCGTCGGGGGCGGGCCGGATATACGAATCGCTCGGGGCATCAGTTCGTGCGAGACGTGACCACGCTCTTGCGCTCTTTGCTTTTCCTTGTTCACTCTCCTGCCAGCTTTCGCGAGCCCCCTAGCCAGCTCCCTGACGCCTGACGCCCACTCCTCCTGTTCCACACTCGATACGCCCCTCCGCCGTTCCCCCCTTTGCCACCACATCGTGTTAATCCCGTCCTCTCCTGACCGGCCGAGCTCCGCCGTCAATACGCTTGATTAGCGCCCCCGAACTCGGAATTGTCCCAGAATTGTCCCCCCTGTGCTTCGACTTTGGACTTCGCGCAGCCTCATTCCGCCCTGCCCGCGCATCCCACGCTCGCTCCGGCCTCGATTTATTCGCCTTGTGCGACAAGTTCAAGTTGCACCACACTTTGGGACCAGAAAAGGTGAGTTATGCGGCTGCTGGTCGTTCGGGATGAATTGATCGACAACCCCCGATCGCGTGCCCGCTCGTCGACGACGTTCTTGCCCGTACGACCGGTGGCAGCCTTGCGTTTAGCGCGGGTGCTGATCTCCACAGCCGGCGGCGCGCACGGTTGCATCGCGCTGGCAGCGTTGGCCAGGACGACCCTAGATACATAACCGAAGTTGTGACGGCCTTGATACATTTTGTTGAATTTGGCGATCCGTGACTTGGAGCTTTGGACCGGCTTGCCCGTCCTTGAGCGATCAGCGCTGGTTCGCCGGCTAGAAATGAGCGCTGCCCGTTCCCGTCGGCGCGCACGGTCGGCGAGTAGTTGTTGCCCGTCGACCGTGGCCAGCGACGTAGGGCCCAGCCCAAGCCATCAACCTTCTTTTCACTGGAAAGTCATTTGCGGTACGAATTTTGCTGACTGACTACCAACCCATCCCAGCTCCTTTGCCCACCCACACCACATCGATCCCTGAGTCTCGAGCGGCACCGCCCTATCCGCCTCGCCTCCGTTATCCACATTGATGTCAATCGTCTCACCCCCGGTCAACGCCACTGTCGCGTTCTCGCCGCCGAACTCTTGTGGCGATCTTCAAGACGATCGGAGCGCACAGACCGCGCCTGCCTCGATAGAACTCGTCCCCCACAACCAGCACCTCAAGGAGTACACCTTCCCTTCCCCCAGTGGCGGTCCCCAGGCGAACCGGTCCGAAGCCGATCTCGAACAGGACCAGTTGCGATCGCCTACACCCGAACCCCTTCAGAGCCCCCACCGTCATCCTTCTCCTTCTTCAACCGCGATGGGCGGAGCAGTGCTGTCCTCTGAGCACGTTGCCGCTGTTTCCGACAAGGAAAAATTCGCAGAGAGTGATCTGCCTCGCTTTCCTCAGTACGATCTCACGTCGGAGCACCCCTCCTCGCGCGATCTCCCCGATGGACTGCAGCAGCCCCGCTCGATGAGCTTCTCGGGACTGACCCCGATACTCAGTCACTCACCTTCCCTGCGCCAGCAGGAGGTCCCGACCCCCGAGCAACAACGAGGGCTCCCTCCGTTGCCTCCTCTGTGCGAGACAAGGCCTAGCAGTCGGCACGAATACTCCGCTCGAGACCAGCACAGTGGCCGCGACCAGGGCGATCATCGCTCTTCTACCGTGGGACGCTCGTACCCTATTCTTGGTTCTAACGACTACGCTATTCCGGAGCCCCATCCATACACCCCTCGGCAATACAATCTCGAAGGTGGCACGAGCGGAAACCACCTTCGCAACTTGCTGCTGCACAACCACTCGCAGTCCATACCCCATCCCCAGCAGCCAGCTCAAGTGGTGTACGGCAGTTCGATCACCCACGAGTCTTACACGATCCCATCTATGCCCCACCCCGCCCAACAGCACCCCATGGGCATGTACCCTGGCCAGCAGCATCAGTATCAGCATGGGAACGGTTCCGGATCGAGCTCGGCCGGTCAGTCGCCGCCCCCACGCATGGACCGCTCCCCCGACATTCGTCCCATGATTCTACCCCGACTGCCACCCCCGGGAGCTCAAACTAACTCTCAAGGTTTTTATCTTCCCGCGGTCCCGATGCTCGCAGGCATGTCTCCCCGCACCCCGACCGCCCACGTGGCTTTAGGGGCTCACCACGCCATGGAGAACGAGGCTCCTTTTTACCCCTCCGGGTACCCGCAGCGCCAGCACTCCGCCGAGGGGTCCGCAGATGGTCTCGATCCGTCCACGATGCAGTACGGAGGACATCCCTATTTCCAGCAACACCCTCCGCCCGCTTACCACGACCATAGCAGTGATCAACATCGACCTGGCTTCTCCGGTCCTATGTACTACTCGGACAACGCGCAACACGTGCACCACCAGCAACACCCGAGCCAACAACACCCGCAACACCACCAACAACACGAGTTACGCTACCTCGGGCCGAGAGAGGATCTGGACCACGGTCGCGATGACGGGCAAACCGACCACCAGGATCAGGGGCAACAGTCCTCGGGCGGGCGGAGCTCACGGCGTCCCGCACGCCGAACGATGGTACGGCGCGCAGCGGCCGTCCGGCAAAGCAGCAACGTGTACCACCCTACCCCGCGCTCAATGCTCGCCCCGAACGCTCCCTCTCTACCGTGGTCAGGTATCCCGGGTGTAGCAGCATCCGCTCCGCCAGGAAAATTGGCCGGCATCCCGACCGATGACGAGTTTATGCAGCTGCCGACCAAACGCTCGAGGGGTCGCCGGCCGCCGTCGTCGCCCGAGCTCCTTTTCCCGAGCAACCCCAACATCGATCCGAACGAAGCGTTAATTGCTTACTCGGGCGTTACCAAGACTGGCAAGCCGCGCAAGATTTTCTTGTGCAAGGTTCCTGACTGCAACAAAATTTTCAAGCGAAGCGAGCATCTAAAGCGGCACGTACGCTCGATCCACACCGAGATCAAACGTGAGCGGTCTCACTTATTCCTTCAAAAGCTCATTCGTTCCAGCTAGCTGATGCTTTGCCCATTGCTTCCATCCATCGCAGCATTCCAATGCCAGTGGCCGGGCTGTGCAAAGCTTTTCTCGCGCCACGACAATCTCAATCAGCATCTCAGGGTCCATCGAGCACCGGGACAAAGCGATGCATCCTTCTCGATCCAGCTCGAACATTTTTTTGGTAACCGCGAGGGGCAACAGGACCCGCACCAATCGACGTCGCGCGGGGTTGCCAGCACGAGCGCCGGCGCGGGCGCTGGCGCGGGCTCAGGTTCGGGCTCGGGTTCGGGCGCGGGCACGGCTGCGCTCAACCTCCCGCCCTTGCAAGGCAGTTCTCCTACTCTGCGACATCATCATCACCAGCAACAGCAGATACAACAATCAGACAACCGACAGGTCGAATACGATCACGGACGTCATCACTCCGGGGACGAATACGACCTCGACGAAAATGGAGCCCCTATTCCTCGCGGAGCTCGTGAAAGCACGGCTGGTTCGGTCGAGACCGAAGGGTCTCTGTACGCGCCGAGTCGCTAAGAAGGGAACATCTCCTCGGCGCCCATTTAACAATAAAGAACCACAAATTCTGCAAGTACAATCTTGCCCATCCCATGCTACCACCCATCACTGCCTCTCGTCATCGACCTATGCATGGCAGGCTTACCCGCCTGTTCAATCGTGTTTTCCGGATTTCCTCTCTTCCCTTGACCTTTCGTGTACCCCTGCTTTTTTCTGTGCACCTTTTTTTGGATCCTGGGCTTCTGGGTTTCTCCATATCGGAATGGGTTTTCAACGCAGCGTCGCAATTCTTCATGTTTCTTTTGTCTTTCTTTCTTTACGGTATCGTTTTTGGATAAATTGTAGTATAGCACGCCCAGACGCTGCTGCAATCTGTGTTTGTGCAAGGTTCGAAACGCAAACGGAACAATTGTCGTCGTAATCCGTGAACTGCTCTCTCTCTCTCTCTCTTTCTGTGTTGAAAAATTGACATTCTTCTGCGAGGTGAATGCGAGCTTTCTATATTTCGTCACATACACACAATCGACAACGCTACAATCGCCAAACCAGTCATCAATCTACGACGCAGCTCCCCTCCTTCATCCGGTCCCTCTCATCGCCGCCCCACTAAGGTTCAACGTCAACGCCGCCTTTCTCCCCTTCTTCTTGCCCCCGAAACTCTGCTTCGGCATCGCCCTTCCATCCTTAACCCCTGCCCCATCACCAGCATTCGATCCACTCGCGCTTCCCCCACCTCGATTTGCTCCCCCTCTTGAATTTAGCGAAGAGAATGAGTTGGAGGAAGCGTCATGTAATCGATCTTCGAAATCGTGCCACCGTTCATCGAATTCAGCATCGTCCCATTCGTCGAGGTCATGGCCCTGCGAAGGTCGGCTAGCGGAAGGTCTGGAAGAAGAATGGAGAGCCGAAGCGAAGGATCGAGGAGCTGCGAGGGATTGGGTGTTCGCTGCAGTGGAAGGAGCTTGGTTCCCCCAATTTGATATAGGAGCGGGCCTGGTGGGAGAAACGGAGGAAGGGAAACCATGCGCATCACCCCACGAGCTACCGGGATTGGATCCCGACGAAGGAGGAGGGAACGCCGTCGTCGACGCCATCATCTGCTGCGTCGAAGCCGTCTTCATGGGAACATTGCTCCAACTGTTGTATCCCGTTCCCACCGATCCATAAGTCGCCATGTAGACGGGACGAGCCTCGACCTCTTTTTGCTCCGAATTGAGCTTGGCCTTATCCTCCCTCCTCGCTTTATCCCTCCTCTTCGTCCTGCGTTGCTTCAAAGCGTGCGAGTAAGGTTGCAAACTCGATCCCGGAACGACGGACGTCAAATCCGCCTCGATAAAGACGACATCGCATGAGGCCGGTAGATGCGCAAGCCAGCGACATCTCCGTCGTAGATCGTCGTTCATGGAACCCTCGTCCGCGCCTTCGACTTTGACGGAGATGACGTCGGGCATGCCTTGGTAAGTCCCGAAATGAGATTTGAGGATCTTGATGTCGAGTGGATGGAGATAGATGTTCTGGCCCGAAGCGGCCTGATAGAAATAATAGGTTGGATCGGCGTCGAGCGCAGGGGCAGGATTTACGTTCTTGCGCTGCGGTCGAGCTCGAGCTCCAGGACCGCCAGGTTGGAAGACCGGTGCATCACCCGAGAGTATACGTCCACCATTCAACGATCGAATCCCGAGGAGTTCGCTAGGAGCGTCTTCGACTTCGCTCGAACTCGTCTCGGAAAAGAGAGGTAAAGGAGGCCCCAACGGCAATTCGCCCGGCCGATCCCTGATCTCCTGAATCTCCTTGAGCGCCTTTTTCCGCGCCGTCATGACGCTCGTCGTTTTGAGAGCCCCGACTTTTTGGAGTTGTTCGGAAACTTTGACCATCGCCGCTCGAACGAAGACGATACCCAACTCTTCATCAGTGCCACCCTGTCTTCCACACCGTCGTAGGATGGAGACTTCCTGCTCGAGGTCGCGCATATTCTGGTCCAACTCCTCCTTGAGGTACTCGGGTGAGCCCAGCATAAATTTGGCGAAAGAAAATGCATCGGGGGAAAAGTTCCATGGCGCCCGGAGAGGCGGAACTGCTTCGGACGGCCAGGTGTCGGAGCGAGGGAGTGCGAGCGTCGAGATTTGGGGTCGACGGATGAGTCGCATCTTGAGTGGCTCGCCTCCAGATGATACTCCAAGGCTTTCGGAAGTCGTGTTCCGCGAATGGTCGTGCAGCAGAGAGTGGGATAGGTCTTCGATCGAAAGAGCTGCCAGGTCCGCGGTTGGCGACGAGTCGTACTGAGCTGAGGTGACGGCATCATGCCACTTTACGACTTTGAGGTCTTTAGCATACACCGAGCTGAGAAGGAGAAGAAAAAAGCAGGCCAAAAGTCAGCAAATTATGCCGCCCGTGGTCTCGAGGGGCTCGATAGGCAGGCGAGTGGGGTCGATGCGGGAGAGGGGACCCAATTATCGAGAGAAGGAAAGGTTCGCGACTCAACTCCCAACAGACGGGACACTTGCGCCATTTCTGGCCATCCGCGAGCGCCAGATAGTGCAGGATACACGGGAAGCAAAATACATGTCCTGTGATGAATTCGGGAATGAGCCGATCAGCCTCGTGCGGGTGGGGAAACGACAGATGAGTCAATCGCAAAACTGACCGCATTTGGTCTGTTAGAGCGAAAGATGGAAGCAATTCAAAACGTCAGTCAAATGAGACCAGGTCGACTTGCCCACTCTGTTCCAGCTCACCATCCTGGGGGCAGTAGGTTCAGACAAGCAGATGGGACAGGTTGGAGCCGAGCCAGGATGCTGGTCGAGCACGGTCGCGGTCGACGACAGCACGGTCGACAACGCGCTCGATGCAGTGGGGAGGATGACCTGCAGGATATCGGCCCAATCCAACCGGACATCGTGATCGGCCAAGTTGGCGGTGTAGTCTGCCACAAGGTCGGGAAGTCAGTTGGAGCATTAAGATTCGCTACTCTACGCCCCCCTCCCCGGGTCACGACGCCGAACCGGAACTGACCTTTTTCGGGCTTGACGACGAAGCGGAAGGTGTGGATGTAGCGAGCGCGATCGAACGAGCTATTATAAGCTGGGTTGCGCTTGTTGGATCGTCGAGGTGCGGAGGCCAGAGGGGGTGTACTCCGTGGCGGTAACGTGAAGCCGAGCAACTGTAGCTCATCGCGTAATCGTCTCCACCGGTCAGCGCCACACGGACGAGCGCTCCGTCAGCTCGTGCAGACGAGGCACAACGCTGAAAAAGGTGCGGTGAGGAGGAGACTGACATGGTTCACATCCTGCACTTGTCGACCCTTGCGACGCGCGGTGCCGTTCTGCTGCGACGATGGCAGGCCGGTTGCGGTGCTACCCGAGGCGATCGATGACGAGGTCGACTTTGAATCGACGACCGCCGACGACGTGCCCATCGACAATGCCAGCTGCGATGGCGTACGACCACCCTGCACGGGATCCATCCGTTTCCTTTCGACGGCGAGTAAAGCGTTGTAGTTGGATCGAGAGCACGGAGCTGGGCAAGTCCCTCTCCGACTTGAAAAAGCAGAGACAGAGAGGGACACGAGCTCGCCGCCCGCCGATCGTTCCGTAACTTACGAACTTCCGTAGAGTGAGGTCGAGCGGCCCTGCGCGACCGGAGTAGCCGCCGTGGCAGTCCAGAGTCGCTGACTCGCTTTAGGGACTGTACAATCACAACTTGGGTGGGCTCAACGGAAATGTGATACAACGAAACCAACTCGAAGAACACTCTTTCCTTTATTGCTCATGCGCTCCTATCTACACCGCACACGATACAGGGGTGGCACTGCGAGAATTCCGAGCACTCGAGCGGGGCACGTCCCTTCACTTCCACAAGGACCAAAGCTCGCAAGGCTCTGACATAGATCTCGATTACAACACAGCTCGGTACCCCATCCATCACATCTCGGCCGAGCTTGACGTCCACGTCCTATCTTGCCACGATTTTGATTGCCGGCCGGTGATTCGTCTTGCCGACCGATTCGAACGTGCCGTCACGTGACCCCTCACTCTTTCTTCGCGAACCCCCGAATGACCGTCATCGCATCGCCCCTCCTGCCCCACTGCACGAACACATGATCATGATAGAACCCCGACATGACGTTCGCACTGATGCCCTCTATCCCCAACGCAGTAGCAATAGCAGCGATGAATCCAACCGCTTCGAGGGAGGAATGGATCTGAAGCGTGATCTTGGCCCATTCTCCCGCCCATTTGACGTCTGTTAAGGCGGGAGCCGTCATGGCGATCTCGAGTGGGAGGATGAGCGTGCGTCCTTCGCGTTCGTTAAAGGAACCGATACACCCTGGTGGGATGGGAGAGTCGAGGGGGATGGTGCAGAAGGTGTAGATCACATCGTCGAGCAAGGGCTCGATGCCGCTTAGTAGCTGTTGGAGGTCTGTTTCGCCCGGCATCATGAGCTAGCGTGCGCGTTGGTTCAAGAGCGATCAAGCTGTCTAGCGAGTCTATAATTCGATTCGAAGCCGACTGCCCGAAATTCCGAATGGCCTCGAAACTGGGCCCAAGGAAACAATTACTTCCAACACACTGAAGAAAAGAAAGAAACTATTGCCCTGGAACCAATCCATCCCGAGGAATTTGTTTTACATTCGTGCGTCACGGAAGCGGGCCTCTTCCGCCTCTTTCGCCGCTTTCGCCAATCTTCCTCAAGCTTCGTCAAAGCGTCAAAAATCATATGACGGCCGTCTCCCCAAAAATTATATCGAGCCTATGCACCTAAATATCCACAGGCTTCGATGTTCGGCAGTGCGGCCTACGAGTTTTTCAACGGACATCGCATCGATCACAGCGATCGTGAACTGCGCAACGTCCTGTTATGTGAGGATGGGTCCTTACTTTTGATCGATTGAAGCGTCTCCAGATTGAAGATTGGTTCGAAGTGAACACTGGCTTGAGAAAGATTTCTACATATCGTTATACTACCTCCGGTAGTGATGGATTGTACAACGCGTCCCGCTCCATTCCACTCTTTCCACCTTAGATCCTCTGCCTCAACCTCATCGCCTTTCCGACCTGCTTGCCCACCTCGACCTGGAACCTCCTCCTATGCCTCTCACTATCCAACCTAACCCTCTTATCGCTCGGCCCTTCGAACCTCTCCTGCCTCCTGAGTTCCTTCCTCACGTTGTTCTGATTCAAGATCCGATTCAGTGCGCGATACGCTCGGGCGACATCCCGTTTCCTTACGGGGATCGAACGGGCGGTCGTAGTGGTGACGGGGAGGGTGTACCCAATGGGATTGGTCGAGGCCCAAATCTCTTCGGGTGATTGTTGGGGTTCGGGTTGGAGTGTTCGTGGGATCGGGGTAGATCTCATCGCTCGGCTCCAATCGTAGAGGTCGCTCGCGGGTGCTCGGTTACGAGAGGAGGAAGGCGCTCGGGTCGAAGGGAAGGAAGGGCCGCGCAGGTTCGGGTTGGCGGACTTGCCTGGGGTGGGATGGGATTTGAGGCGTTGGGTGGCTTGGTTGAGCACTTGGGATTGGTAAGATGCACCGTGAGAGCCGGACTTGGCCTCAGAAGCGGGTGGTGCGGCTGCTCCGGTCGTCGTCGACGGTTCTGACGGGGAGGTCGATCGCACGGAGGCGGAAGAAGTAAAGGCTCGGGTTGCGACGACGATGGGAGTGGAGGATCGTGGTCGGAGCAAGGCACCGAATGCTGTTCGTAGGGAAGCCATGGTGAGGTGGCTTTGGCTCTTGGGTTGTCGTCGACGGGAGAAAATGGGATCCGCAACGACGCGACGATGGCTGTGGGGCGTGAATGAACCAAGATCAGCAGCCGGCTCAATGTGCGAGCTCGGCAACGGAACACACTCACACCCTTGACGGCTGAGAGATGGGACGACACGGGATGCACGAGGACGGGAGCACAAAGTCAAGCGGTCCCGCGCTGCGACGGCTTGCGACGGTCAGCTTGGGCAGGCTAGGTCTGGCTAGGTCCTGGCAGGTCCTGGCAGGTCCTGGCAGGCTTGGGCAGGCTTGGGCTCGCTCTGGGCTCGCTATGGCTCGCTCAGCTTCTGCTCGCTCCTAGTCGCTCCTTCTCGCTCGGTCGATCGGGCCGCTCTCAGGCTCTCAAACTCCACTCGCGACCACTCACTCCACTCACTTGTCAGCGACTTCACCTCCCCCTTCCCCCCTCCCCCCCCCCGCAATCCACCATGGACGAATCCCTAAACAAAGTAAGCCCCAACTCACCCTACTCACCCAACCCGTATCCCCAAAGGCACTCACTCACCCCTCCCCTCCCATCCCACCAGGCGCTGTTCCAACTCCAATCGCAATACCAAGAAGTGTCGCGTCAGATCCAAATCGTGCGAGCCCAAGCCCAAGCGAGGGAGAGGGATCGCAAGATGACGACCCTGACCTTGAGGGAGATTGAAGCCTTGCCTAGGGATCCGCCCGTGACGTGTTATAGGGGGGTAGGGAGGATGTGAGTCATCTCTGGGGAATAGTGAGGCCCCACTTTGGGGTCCGGTCGATCTGACGAGGCTTCTGAATGATCCCATTACCGCTACTTCGAATAGGTTCGTACATGAATCAAGGAACAACATCGAAAACACGCTCAAGGGGAAAGCCAAAGAGGTCGACGACGAACTCAACGTGCTCGAGAAGAAGCACAAGGTCCGTTCATCAACTCGACCCATTCGAGCAATCTCGTCCACTGAAATCCTCTCAAGCGACTCGCACACAGTACCTCGAATCCGAAATGAACACCTCACAATCGTCAGTACAATCGCATCCCCAATACCACTCGCGAGGTAACCACCCGCTGACCTCGATAGTTTGCTCCCTCGTCCTCAGATCCCTCCGAGATCTCCTCCAAGAAGTTCAACGCCAACAACAATCATAAACGCTCTCAGAACCCCAACTAGACTCTATCATATTTGGTTCTATCCCGCAAGCATCACTCGCATACCCCTTGTCATGTAATTTTAAAACCATCAAACGGCTGTTGGGCATCACGCTCACTTTTGGAATCTTGGCACAAGTGCACAAGAGGAGAAGCTACAACTACATGCGATAGAATAGGGTCTCTCTACCTAGGACTGATATGTCTCCTAGTACTCAAGGTCTAGAAAAGATAAATCCAATCCAGGTATCAAATCCCATCTAGGAAATCTAATCAAAGAGTCCTCTACTTCTTCCGCTTCACCGTCTCCCTCGCGATCCTCTCCAACTCGTCCCTTGCCGCACTTTCAGGTAAACCTTTCAACGCATCAATCGCGACTTGACTATGTCGTTGCGCCAGTTCGAACGTCCGCTCCGCACCGGAGGAACGGGAGATCATATTGATGGCCTGGTGGGCAAACCCAATGACAAAGAGGGTGTAAGCATCGCACCGAAAACCCCTCCCAAGAACCGCCTCCCCTACGTACCCGCTCCACATCATCCCTCTCGGAAAATTTACGTTCAATCATCAAGCCCAACTCTGGGAACTCCTCCCATGCATAAAGAGCTGGAGCGGTCGCCAAACCCAACTTCAAATCGGCCCCTCCCCCCGGTTTGCCCAATTCAGCAGCGGAGGAGGTGAAGTCCAACATGTCGTCCGTTAGCTGTGCGTGAATAGGGTAGTAGGTCGAGGACCAATTAATCCTCAAAAGTGCCGCGTAAAAACCTTTCGTACGTACCTGAAAAGCGATCCCTAGATTCCTGCCATAGATATACGCAATGTCCTTGATCCTTTCCCCCGGTGCCCAACCCTGACCAACTCCACACCCCGCCAATACCGTCGTCGCCCTGGTCGATTTCGCAATCAAACTGGCCGTTTTGAGGTACGTCTTTTTCATATAATGTTCGAAAATTTCGGGCGTGAGTTTGTTGGGTGTTGGTGTGGAGGGGAATAGGGACGTCGAGGATTTGGTGACGTGAAGGGGTACGTTGCCTTTCATTTGCATCACTTCACCTTCGACCAAGTTGGCCAAAACGGAAGCGACCAATTCGACGACTTCGTTCGAGCCCAAACGTGAAAGTGCCAACGATGCTCGAGCGAGGAGAAAGTCCCCCGCGAGCACGGACAATTTGTTGCCAAAGAGCGAAGGCGCAGATGGGGCTCCTCGACGCGTCGTGGCTAGGTCGATGACGTCGTCGTGTAAGAGGGAAGCGACGTGGATCATTTCGGTGATTTCGGCCAATCTCCGTTGAGAGGGAAGAAGCAACAAACTCGATCCACCATTCGGCGGATCCAATCCGGCCGAAGTCCTCGTCGTCGATTTGCCCAAAGCTTCCCCTCCTTTGAAAGCGGCGAGGGGATCGGAAAAGAAGGATTTGGCGGCTTGTAACAAGTCGGGGTTATCGTCATTGAGCACGTCGCGTCGTTCCAAAGCATCATCGATGTTCTTCTCCTCGCGTAACCAGGCCTGTTCCCTCCGTCCTTTCCATCCGGGAGCCAGACCGTTCGTCGCCTGACTCATCAATAAGACAACCATCGGTCGAACGTGTTTGCCCTCGGCTTGAAAATAATATTTCGCGATCGTGTCGAGCGAAGGATGGCCTGATCCGAGGAGGGATTGCACGTTGGAGCGTAAAGCGCCGAGTTCCCGCGAGAGCAACGTCAACGGATCGGCGATCGGGTTCGAAGCGAGGATCGACGCCGACGCCGACTTGGACGACTTGGATGAGCTGAAGGGGAGTTGGGGTAACCATGCTAAATGACTCGAACTGGTCGATAATGTCCTTCGGGGTGATCGACAGGGGAGCAACAGGTGCGGAGCTTCCGAACGGGAGCCAGAGGCGGAGGCACCGATTGCGAAGTCGATCCTATTCCGGGAACCGATCACACCGAAGGGAAGGAGGACATTACTTTGAGCATGTCTCGATCGGGTCGAGGTCCGTATTGTCGACGCTCCACCTCGAACCAGAGGCGTTGGATATCGCGCCGCCATGATGCCGTCGATCGAGGCAGAACGGACGATGGCCAACCCTCTCTCGAGTTTCGAGTCGCCACGCCTCGAGCGGATCTTAGCCACTGCCAAGTGACGGGGTGCGCCGCCGGACGAATTGGCACTCTATTTTAAAGACCAATGAATATATGCACGACTTATATGACAGATACAAATTGCACAAGCTACAACATCGAACCTCCGATCCTGCTTACTGCTCCGGCGCACTCATCGTAATATCGACGCACTGCATCGATCCCGGAAAACTCGGCAGATTGAGTCCCCTCTCCTTCACCATCGCACTGTGGGCGACACCAAAAATCGGGAAAGCCCATTCAACTCCATGTTGTTAGCAGATGCATCATGTCTTGGGCACTCACAAGGGGACGAAGCGGCCTCCTAGCCAGTGCGTGCGACCTTCCTCGGCGTACTCTTTCACACCGAGCTTGGGTGCCGTCAGCGAGATCAACGCGTCTGTTGGGGGTCCGAGAGGACAGACGAGGGAGGGTTCAGAGAGATGGAACAACAAGAAATGATTTCATTACGCCTACCTGCTGTAAAGCCTTCACCGTCGACATTGCCCTTCTCGACGTCCCATCCACTCGGAATGTCGACACTGAGGATCGGTCGATCGGTCGCCTTGAACGCCTTGAGCACAAAGTCGAAAGGCGCACGAGGTGGGCCATGGAACGAGAAACCAAAGACACAGTCGACCACGACGTCGGCTTGAGTCAGAGCGCGCTTGAAGGCGTTGGCTTGAGCATCAGGGGCCATGGGGAAAGACGAGCTCGCGAGGGGCGCGGGTGCAATCAAGGGCAACTCGAGGTTCTCGCATTGCTTCTTGAGACGCTGCAAGATCAAATCTTGGGAGCACGTGAGCTGCTTGTACTTAGCTACTCACTTCGGTAGCACTCGGCAAAACCCACCTTGAAAATTTGGCCCTTGCTCTCCTAGTTTTCACGTATCAAGAGTAGCTGACAAATTAGGCTTATTCTCGTAACAGTGACAGCAGATGAGCTACTTGGGCTAACCTTGGGGTAGAAGATGCTGGCAGCGTATCCGAATTGAGCTGCGCGTCCAAGGTCCAAGAGAAGGTACGACGACCCAGCTCAGTCAAAACTCGGAGCCGATCTCGCAGCGCAGCTTTGACGCGATGACTGACTGAGATGCCTGGCGGCGACAAGACCATCACCACCTTGGTTTCCAGGTCCACAGCAGAGGAGAACGCGCTCATTGGTACGCTTTTGCTTGATGCCGTTCGCATCTAGGGGGAGGGGAGGTCCGAGCGGGTACAGTTCGCTGACGCATTGGGCTATCGACAAGCCAGCGAGTTCCATCAGCTGAGAAATGATAGGGTGGAGAAATCAGTTGGGCGACTTGACTACAAGGAGCTACAAGACGCACCTGATCGAGTGAGAATGCGCCATGGGGTCCCATCAACTCGGCGTCGATCTGCTTTGCCTCGTCCGCGGTGATGTACCTGGCCGCGTGACCCGGACGTGCGACCGTTCGGGGTGCTGTACTGGTCGACGGTGACGGCAACTCGTCGTAGCGAGCATCGTATGCGGGTGATGGTGATGGTTCGGTAGTTCGACTGCCAAAGATGGAGGAGAACATGGTCGTACGGTGCTGCGACAGCGAGTATCGAAGCGGTTGCTGCTGAGACGGTTGCTGCTGAGACGGTTGCTGCGAACGACGCGATGCGGGCTTCCTGAGCCTGCTGAGGCTGCAGGTGGGGGTGCGCCGAGTCCGAGTCGACGGAGCGGGAGTGGCGCCGCAAATGGGGTGTGTACAAGTGTTGCTGCGACCCGGGCAGTGAGGAGGAGCAGGTCGTCAGAGACTTTTGGTTTGAACGAGCTCGGTGCCGTAGGGCAGGTGAGTAGGATCCAGACGAGCGCGGTTGACCCGTCATTCATCGTCAATGGAATGTCGCGGAACACTCGCCCGCTCTCGCCCGTGGCCCGTGGCCCGTGCCTACTTTGTGGGACTGCGCCGATTGGCTGGGCTGAAACGCCCCCCCGCCCCCCCCCCCCCGGCAGCCCCGGGCGGGCAGGGCTGGGCTGACCGCTGACCGCTGTAGGGGACGCGCCGCTCGCTCACTCGTCTCCCTCCTCCCCGCTGCTCCCCTACCCTGCACGTATCTCGAGATCGTTGCGATACCATCGTTTGCGCAAGATGAGGTTCATCACCACCTGGCTTGTACTCGCCACCTCGGCCTCTTCGGTCTTGGCTTCTGGACCCGTCACTTTTGAGGTCAGTCACCTCCTTCAGCGCGCCGCCTACATCTGACGTGTCCAAAACTGACAACGTGGCCTGCCACATCCCTCTCGACCTTGTCTCGACCTCGCCCGGTGGTCTATCGCATCGCGCAATACTCGACCCACCTTTTTGTCTCCCACTCGTGCCAACACCTCGCTACAGCCCTCGATGATCCGTGGCCACTTTGTAGAACAGTTCACCTCGAGCTGGACCCAGCGATGGAGCCCCTCAAAGGCGACCAAGCAGAACACGGACAAGGAGGCCGAGGTCTTTTCCTACATCGGTGAATGGAAGGTCGAGGCACCGACCGTCTACCCCGGTATCTCGGGCGACGAAGGGCTCGTCATGAAGTCCAAGGCGGTCAGTCCTTTTTCTCCCTTTCTTTTGAGCTGACGGGACGGGAGATCCACGTCCGTCGTCACCTCCATCCCCCGTACGCGCCTCTTCCCCCCCAAGGCACTGACCTCCTTTCACCCGCGCATCCGAGACCCGCAGGCCCACCACGGTATCTCGGCCCTTTTTGACAAGCCGCTCGACCCCAAGGGTAAAACGCTTGTTGTACAGTACGAGGTCAAGCTCCAGAACGGGCTCGACTGCGGTGGCGCCTACCTCAAACTGCTCAGTGATTCCGCCCAGGTCCGTAGTGAAACGATCTCCTACGCACTCTCACCCGTGCTTACCTCGAGCTCTGATTTTGTCTCGCAGGGCATCCAAGCCGAGGAATTCTCTGACGCAACACCTTGTGAGTTTCTGGTCTCGAACTCTGGCACCTCTTGAGCACACGTCACTAACCTCACTCTTAACCCAGACACGATCATGTTCGGCCCTGACAAGTGCGGTTCGACCTCCAAAGTGCACTTTATCTTCCGACACAAGAACCCCGTCACGGGCGAGATCGAAGAGAAGCACCTCACCGCACCTCCTACGCCTATCATCTCCAGGACTACGAATCTGTACACGCTCATCGTCCGACCGGACCAATCGGTAGAGATCAAGATCAACGGCGAGTCGTCCAAGAACGCGACCCTTCTTGATGACTTCTCCCCCTCGGTGAACCAACCCAAGGAGATTGACGACGAGTCCGATGTCAAGCCCGAGGACTGGGTTGACTCGCCCAAGATCTCGGACCCATCTGCGACCAAGCCCGACGACTGGGATGAAGACGCCCCCGAGACGATCGAGGACGCCGATGCGACCAAGCCCGATGATTGGTACGAGGACGAGGCAGCTCAGATCCCTGACCCCGATGCCGAGCAACCCGAGGAATGGAGCACCGAGGACGATGGTGACTGGAACGCCCCGATGATCCCCAACCCCAAGTGCGACACCGCGAGTGGCTGTGGACCCTGGAAGCGACCGATGATCGCGAACCCCGTCTACAAGGGCAAGTGGTTCGCCCCCCTCATCGACAACCCGCTCTACAAAGGGCCTTGGTCCCCTCGCAAGATCGCCAACCCCGCTTACTTTGAGGACAAGACCCCCTCCGACTTCACCCCCATGTCTGGTATCGGCTTCGAGTTGTGGACCATGACCGACGACATCCTTTTCGACAACATCTACATTGGTGATTCTGAGGCTCTCGCCGAACAATTCGCCGCCGAGACGTTCAAAATCAAGGTCCCCATCGAGACTGCGGCTGAGGAGACTGAGACGCCCAAGGAGGACAAGGAGGAAGTCGACCCTTTGACCGGTGAACGCTTCGTCCGCCCCATCCTGAGCAAGGACCCAATCGGCTTCGGTAAATTCCACTTGCAACGCTTCATGGACAAGGCCGTCGAGGACCCCGTCGGAGCATTCAAGACGATGCCTTTGGTCGGCGCCAGCATCGCCGCAGCTTTCGCTGGTCTCGTGGGTTTCTTGACCGTCGTCTTCGCTTCGATTTTGCCCTCTTCTTCGACCGTTCAAGAGACCAAGAAGGCCGTCAAGAGCAAGGCCGAGGACCTCAAGAAGAAGACTGACGCTGTTACGGAGGACGTCAAGGAGAAAGTTGATGAGGCGGCGCAGGTCATCGAGGACAAGAAGGACGAGGCCAAGGAAGGCGTACGAACGCGAGCAAGGAAGAGCGCCGCTGCTGAGGACAAGTAGATCGTTCGTCAATCGTCTGCCTCCGAAGCTTGGCTGACGCAAAAAGAGAATGAGCGAATTACAGCCCAAAACTATCGAAAGTGGGGCGGTTGACTCGATGGTTTCCTCTCCCTCCCCGTTGTTGCTTCGCTTCCCTTCTTCCATTTTCACTACACGTGTCTCAATCTCTTTGCAACTCCCTCCACTAGGTGCCTTCCTCTCTTCATCGAGACGCTCGTATTCTTAGAATTAGTCACTCCCTTGCTCCACCCTCTTCCTCCTTCCTCTTGACTCTGGTATTGGAATTCTAAGCATTACACAAAAAGTTCACCAGGGCGTCTCCGAGACGTAATATGACGAGCTGAAGATATTTTGACCATGTATTGCATGGAGTTTCAACTAGGTACCACTTATTCCATAGTCTGAATAGCGAGATGAAACGATGGTCTTTTCTGCTTTTGCTGCAAGAGTTTGACGCCGAGGACTCAAGCGCGCGCGACCTCTACCCTCCTTGCAGTAAGCCGTGCCCCGCACGCCTGCCCCTCTTGCAATAAGCCGTGCCCCGCACGCCTGCCCTTCCTGCAGTAAGCCGCGCCCCGCACGCCTGCCTCGAGCCTTGGTCTGTAAGCCGCACTTGCGCAAGAGTTTACCAAGCCCGCTCCTGCCGCACCTTTCAGTTCCCACTGCTTGCCGTTGCCGTACCAGTATCGCTGTGTACCTCTGCCACCTCCTGCCAAGGACCCCCCCAGCGATACCGTACAGCTTCCGCCTTCCAGTCTTCTGCCTTACCAGTTGACGACGAACAGCTGCCACTGTGTACGCCTCTCTTTTTTTTTCAACACTCCTTGTTGGATGGTTGACTGACGCTCCATACTTTGTATGCAGCCGTCCGCCTGCACCTGCCAGTGTTGCGCCTCTTTCGTGTTCGACTGCGTCTCGCTCAAAGAGCCGAGGTACATCACCCACCTTCAGGCTCTACCTTAGGGTACTCCTGCTTTCGACTGTCCTTGTTGGACACGTTGACTGACTTGGCTACCTTGCTACACAGACCCACCCTCGACGTGCCAGCGTCTGAGGTCTGTTTCCTTTGCTGTCTTCTTGTCTCCAAGCGACACGCTTTACAAGCATAGGTATGCCATAGTCCTCAGAGTCTTTGCAGTATTCCGAGTACTAATAGAATCGCGCTTTACAAGCATAGTCGTTCTATCTTCGTCTCCTCCCACCCACCCTACAAAATAAATAAATACAAAAACAGCCTTGTGTTCTTTCCTTTACTTTCTTATCTATGGTCTCTCGTGGGTAGATTTTCAACCCATCCCGTTTGTTGCTATTTCGGTTCGCATTGCGCTCTTACGATGGAGTCGATAGAGAAAAGTGAGAGAGGCGCGGGAGCGCGCGAGTCGGGCGAGGTTCTAGCAAGGGAGCGCACAGTGGTTCTAAGGCAAACTGGGCGGGCACGTTGCGAAGCTTCAAGGACCAGACTCCAAACGAGCCATCAGGGCTCTGAGAGGTGTCGTGTTGGACGACAGACACGAGGGGAAACTTATCTACCATAGTCGAGTGTTGGTGAGCGGGGCGGTCCGGAGCGACAAGATCCAGGTTGCGAACGACGGGCGTCATGGATGGGCGATGCTCTGATGGCCGAGAAAACATGAGGACGTTGATGGCAAGCTGACGGTAGCTGAGCGGAGGCAACGCTTCAGCAAGACAGGAGAAGTAGATCGACTAAGTCCCGGCGTGGGAGGCGGCGGCACCCTACGGGAAATCCACGCAACCGCAGTTGACCGCGGTTGGACGATGGCGCCGAAGTTAACCGCAGTTCAACCGCGGTGCCCGCGGTTGCGCGGATTACCAACTGCGGTTGCAACTGCACGAGGTCGCCAACTTGGGAATGGTCCATTACGCCCTGCAATTCTCAGTTGGCTCATAGACTAAGCGAGAACAGCCTGACTTTGAGACCTTATCTAGTGCAGCAAACAACTCAGTCTCGAGTGATGCTCTAATTACATACATGTGTAACGTCTCCAGATTCGAAGATGTGGTGGTCTTGGAATTGGACAAGGTTTCTAAAGGATTGAAGCTAATGAGCAATTGGAAAAACCGGGCCCCTGTATCTTCAACCGGACGACCGAATGGAGAGCGCTCTGCCTCGTGTCAGTGCCAGGCGTCGACTCGGCGCAGAGGGGTCGCAGTTGAATGTGGAAACACAGATATCGCATATGTGTCGGGAGCTGTTACAGCTGGCCCTGCGCCTTGCAAGCTCGGCCGCGGTGGGAGGCGACCGCATCGTATTCGGGATGATGGACACGAGTTGGCGGAGACGCTCGACGCCGATCAGGCTGAGGGTGCGAGGACCATCCACATCGAATCTCTCGTACAACCGCCGGATGTCCATGGCAACTGGGAAGACATCGACCAACGAAAGCAATCGCTTCTCCTTCAGCGTCGTTATACCTAGCTCAACAAAACACACAACTTCGCCGGCGCGCTGTGAATTGTCGGCCTCCATTGATATCTGTGGATCCCAGATTGGCTGTCAAGAATCTCTCGGCTGACATCAGATGCGACGAGTTGTTTTGGTGGTACTCACTCGCACGAATCTAGCCGTCTTGCAGTTGACGGTGCCTTGCGTATTCGGCATCTCGTTACCAGATCCGAGCAACGTGATTGCCGATGCACCTGCACCCTCAAGGCGCCGCCATCCTTCGTCGAGCGAGCTGCCAAAGTCCATCGCATAGATGGTTCTTGGTGTAGTCGTTTGCATTCGACCCCAGAGAGTTATCGACGCGACACTGCCTCCGTGGAAGACTGCGACCTCTTCGGTCAAGTCGACGAAATTTTGCGAAGGGCGTTGCGCCGTTTTCTTGAGCGTGTGCAGCTTGTAGGCCGGCAGCTGGGCATGCAAGGCATGATCCCTCGGCAAAGTGTCCCGGAGATCGTCCATTGTAGGTATATCGTACTTGAGTCGGAGGATCATCATCATGTTCCGCATCTCCGCCGATTCATGCCAGACTCGACGGGTTTTGACTTGCTTCTCATCCCCCCTTTGATGTAACCCATCATCGTCTCCGTTCCGCAAGCCGAGTACTCGCGAGGCGGCCCCATTCTTTTCATAACATCGGGAACGTGCATAAGATCGTGGCGGGGGAACAGATGAAGGAACTCGGGATCTCGATCATAGAGAAGCTTCTTGCGCAGTAGCAGCGTCTGTTCGATGAGAACATAGAGGTAGGTGTACGTGAGGGGAACCTCGCCCTTTTCATCGAGCTCGTACAGGCGAAGTTTTTCGAGCCGGTCCACGTCCGGTAGGCGATCGAAAAAGTCAACGGAGTCATCGCTGAAGACATCGGTCTTCATCGCCGCAAACATTCGGATGGTGAGCGCCGTCAGTCGCTCGAACTCGGGTTCCTTGAATTGCTGGTACGAAAGCGGTCCCAGGTCACGCAAGATGAACAGTTCCCGTTCGATTGATTTTGATTTTTTCCTTTTCTCGGCTAAGGGCCTGACAATCACACCCTCCACTCTCGCAAGGTACGGCCGAGACAACAGCTGCGCACGAGTCATGCGAGCGATCGCGTCGGAGGTCAACGTCATGGAGTGCCTGCGTGCTTTCGAGTCCAAGTCGCCGACGAGGATATTGATGAAAGTGCTTCCACTGTTGATACCAATCAGATGCATATAATCCAATGGTAGGAACGTGGAGTAAGCATCCTTGAACAGGTCAAGCGCCTCGATCGGAGCTTCGCCTGAGATCCCCGTGCGACGCCGCAGCGATTCGAGCTTGGTTGGGTGTCGTTTCATTGCTTCACCCACCCGACAGTAGTGCTTGTAGTTGCGCTCATTATCCAGTCGAACGTCCCGTCCACCAGGGGTTTGGAATGTCGTGGCGGTGTCGACAAGCCCAGCCCACTCGGGATGGTCGAGCACCGATACGATCACTCCCTCGTCGTTTTCGAACGCTTCGCATGAGGAACACAGAACGGCAGATAGCCTTTGGTGTTTCCAGGTGCGTGATGAGGTATGCTGATGATCGAGCAGATCAAGCACGAAACGAGGCCTCTTGCTCCCACGAGGTTTTCAAGGCCTGCTTGCTCCAGCGTGTCGGCTATGCAAGCCACAATCCTGTCTCTGCAAAGCACGTGCCTGTCCCGAGCGACTGAAAAGTATGTACGCTCCCCTTCGAAGATGTAGAGCTGTTGACAGAGTGTTTCGAGGAATGACTTTTCGTCTTTGGGTTTTTGAGGGCCGTTCACGGAGATGACAGTGCGATGATAGCTTCCAACGAAGTTCGGGGGGCAAGGTCATGGGTATCACCCCAGAGATGTGGGTGTTGACCTTGCGATTGGCGTTGGAGTGCGCGAGCACTTCGGTTCCGTCGGAGAATGTTGCAAGAGGGATGTCATCCGGCTTGAGATCGCCGTTTGCGTAAAGCCTTCGTGCGTGTAAGCCGTCGACCCATCGCTTCACGACCGGGTAAGAGCCCGAGTCACTGCCTGACGCCTTGTACAAGTCGACGACCTCGTCGCTCGGCTTGGCATTGGCGAGGGTAGGGCCGATTACTGGGTGTGCACGAAGCGCGTTAACAAAAGGGGCGGGGTCATGAAAGCGCTGCGTTGACCGCTCAATTTTCTCGCCATTCTTGCCCAGCGTGAAACGTTTCTCGCGGCACCCGCGCGTCGGACACTCCTCAAGATCTTGGAGTCGTTTGGCGCCAAGGACAGGCAACTTTTGGGGCACTTGCCGATCTCCAAAGTTCTGAAGCCGGTGAGATGTCGTATCGCTCGGACCATTTTGTACTCGGACATGTTGCTGAGGTCAGCGTTGTGGAAGGTGTAGGTGCGCAGTGAAGTTAGCCTGTCCAAGCGTCCCTCAAAAGCGATCCCCGGCGGCCAGTCCGGTCAAACATTACAGTAAGTAACTTGTTGCCGGGATCACATTGGAACCTCAAGATAACTAACCGTACATCGAGCCTGTACTCGATCTAACCATGCAAGAGCTTCCCGCTTGGACTTCGCGTGAAATTGAAGGGCATTGCGGCCTCCTTGGACGGGCCCCTCAAATGCTCACGGCGAAGAATCGCAAGGCGGCGGCGAAAGGACTATTTCCCGTCAGTCACCCCTATTCCGCTGTTACACAGCTTTATCTCTTGCGAATCAGGAAACTAACCAGCATGCTTGGGGTCAATCGGTCCTTGCGTAGGAGCTGGCGGCTCAAATCGATGGGCACTCTCAACTCCAGCATTCGGAGATTGGCGGATGGGAACTTGGGCGCGCTCGGACCTCTTTGAACTTGGACTTAGAATACCCGAGCTGCGACTAGCGCAGCTCTCTCTCTCTCTTTCCTTAACGTTCCCAATCTTTTTCTATTCGGCATCTTTGTTTGCTCACTGCGCTGCTCCTCATAGGTTAGTGCAATACATCATGAAAGTTCCCAATCCTATTACTCGGCATCTTCGTTTGCTCACTGTGCTGCTCCTCATACGTCCAACCTGCTTGCAAAAGTCAGGCAAACTAACCAGATTTTTGCCGATTAGATTTCCAATTTCCAATCGACTTTCACTGCTTGAAGCGCGCACGAAGCGCGCGCCGCCTCTCTCCCTCCTGCTCCACGCATGCCAACATCATGGTCGCCCCCGACTCAACTGAAGCGCCCTTGGCATCGCCAACTTGCAGCATTCGACTCACCGACTTGATCGGCACCAAGTCAGTGACTGAGTTTAGATGACTTACAATCTCGATGCTACCCGGTCACTCAACATGGCCCGTGCTTTTGGTGTCACGTGTCCGACCCGGCCCGAGTTTTGCAGCCTCAGCATTAACGCGCTCGAGCATGGCGACGAGGTCCTTTGTCTGTCCGGGCTTGAACCACACCGTCGAAGCGTAGTCGAGTCGAGGATGGACACATGCGATCACAGCTTGACGAATGTACCGAGCGTTGATACCCCTCCTTGATCCTGACAGGGCTCGCAGGGCATTGAGCGCCGCGCTGCCGCGCTCGGCAGAGCCGGAGACGTGCGCGTGGAATCGAAGCTTGTCGTCAAGTCGCACACCGAGGAGTGTTGCCGTCTCGGACCGCGGGATCGTCGTGTCAAGGAGCCGAATGGGTGGAAGCAGGGCATTCCCCATTCGCTGTGTGAGTTCGAGCACGTGCGACTTGTTTGGATCCATCTGCGCCGAGTGCGAAGCTGACCACGCCTCGACCTTGCGCATTGCCTCATTCGCGGCCTCGGCTACCTCGTCCTTCGTCTTCCCCCACACCAAAATTGCGACGTCATCAATCCAGCCAATTGACATCGACTGATTCGAGCGGAGAGACGTCAACAACCCGGCGTTGTAGAAGAGGAATAGAATGGGGGAAAGGGGTGAGCCTTGAGGGAGTCCGCACCCGTCTGCCGAAAATGACTCTGACCGGATGTTGCCCAACAGGATTTGTACGGAGCGATTGTCCATGAACGATGACACAAAGGCGATGATCGGAGCGGGTACGTGATGATCGCGGAGGTTCTGGATCAGTCGGTCGGCTTTGACTGATGGGAATGCGCTCTTGACGTCGAGCAGCACCGCGGCAGCGGTCAGCTTCTCCCGCCACCGGAGCTTGATCGAATCAACGAACAGAGTCAGTGCATCCTCACACGACCTTCCGGATCGGCCACCGAAGTGCTCTTGCGGAAGGGGATGGTAGCGCTCGGAGATCCAGGCTAACCGGCGTGCGACAACTTTTTCCAACCCTATTCCGAGGCAGCTTAGCAACGCAATGGGCCGATACGCGTTAGGTTGTCTGTACGACGGCTTGTGGGGCTTTCGGAGAACCATGGTGAGTGATTCCTTCCATGCCTTGGGATGATAGCCGAGCGCTAAGCACCGTTGGTACAGATTGACGACTCGGTCACCGACGAGCGGCCACAGAGCCACCACGAGCGAATACGGAATGCTGTCAACGCCAACCGATTGTGAGTTTTTGGGGTCGGTGAAGACGGCCAGGACTTCGGCGTGGCTGATGCGCTCTTCCCATGCGTGTGCAGCCGCTGGGTCCGGCTCGAGCTCGGCGTGGGGCGTCGGTTCTTGCTGTGATCGCTGCGATGATGGCGTGGACAAGGAGGGGCGCGCGCTCGGCGCTGACACCGGGTCCGCCTTTTGGCTCGGTGGTAAGGGGTTGTAGAGCTTGGGCGGTGGGGCCACCTTCGCAATACGAACAACCTTTGACACACCATCCTTCTCCTGTTGACCTGAGAGCTTGCCGTGCCTTGAGAGTTGGCTCGTTCGTGCTGCCGCCGCTCGCGCCTCGGGACTTGGGCTCGAAAATGGCGCCGCCTGTGAGAATGTCGCGCGCGCCGAGCTGGGCTTCGCCTCTCTGTCTCCTTCCGCCTCGTCGTCACCGTCTCGACTCTCGTCCGCGCTACCGCTGCGCCCATCCTCGCTCATGCTCTCGGGCATCTCCTCGGTTTCATCCTCCATCTCCGACGACGAAGTTGTAGCGTCATCGTGATCGCTGTAACTGACGCTATGATCGGGCCGATCATCCGGCACGTGGAACGTCGCACCGGCAACGGACCGCTGCGGGGCGGCCGGAGCGTGATGGCGTGATCCAGGACAGGCCCTCGTCCTGGGCGCACTTGGTGTTTTGGGTTGTAATCGAGGGTACCACAGATCGCGCAAGAGGATCACCTTTTCGTTGTGAGTCTTGGCAACCGTGTTATCTCCTCGGTCGAGGTCGGGGACAAGGGCTGGTCCGTGGCCTCCTTTTGCTGCCTGGAGTTCCTTGAAGACGTCGTTGGCGGTCATCTTTTCCCGCCTGACGTCCCAGTACATTCGCTCGGCTAGGCGGCGGGTTGCTTTGGCTTTGTTCGTGGCGACACGGGCTGCCACCTTGTCGGCTTCGGTCGCACCTGCGCGGTTCAGCCGATTTCGGGCCTTGCGCGCTGCGCTGGTGGATTCGGTGCAGGCGGGCGTCCACCAGGGCTTGATGAACGCCTTGTTCGGGATGCCTCCGCGGGTGCGGGGGACTGAGGCGTCACGAACGCAGATGAGGTCCTGCTGCAACGACAGCACTTCCTCTTCGATTTCTCGGGTGGTTTGGAGCGGGGGGAGCGGGGCTCGGTCGAGAATCTGGTTGGCGTAGGTTTCGAGGGCGGCATCGATGTCGATGAAGTCCCACTTGAACCTGGGGGGTGTTGGGGGTGGGGGGGGGGGAGTACTCAGATCGAGCTCGACGTGGAGGGGGGAGTACTCAGATCGAGCTCGACGTGGAGGGGGGAGTGGTCTGATCCGCAATCGAGCTCTTCGTCGGCGATTCGGCACGTTGCGAGACGGGCGGTGGCTGGGTCGGCCAGCGCCAGGTCATACGTCCTCTCCGTGATCGCGTTCGGGTTGTTTGTTTGGGTTCGTCTCCAGGTTATTGTGCCCGGCTCCAGAAGAAGCTCGAGCCCTGCTAACGATAGAATGTCGTGTGTTGCTGCAGATGCGACACTCGGGGTTTGGAGGAAGTTGGGGGCCCACCAGGGGTGTTGCGCGTTCCAGTCTCCGCCCACAACGACTCGATGGGGTACGTCGAGCAGTTTGGGCAAATGGGTGAGTGCAGCTCGGTCTTCGACGCGATCTTCCGGGGCGGAATAGATGTTGACAAATCGAAATGTTTCTCCGGCCAGGGTGACGTCGATGGTGACGACATCGGGATGGCAAAACTCGTCGCCGGACTGCCGAGGAGTACGAGTGGCGCTGCCGCCGAAGTCGAGACGAATCTTCGGCCAACTCACCTCAGGCTAGCCCACCGATCGCACAACGCGGCAACACGGCTGCTCTCAGCCCCCCAAGAGCACCCGCTGCGGCAAAGATTCCTGGAGGCAGCAGCTCTGACGTTCCCCAGACGTCCGAACTGCGCCACCCACGTCACCCCCCTCGACCAGCTTGCCCATGCGTTCCCAGACCTCCGGAACGACGACGGACACCTGGTGGTTTGCGAGACGATTCAGATGGTTGACCCATCCCCCCCTTGGGACGAGTTCGAGCCACCCGAGACATCCATCGCGAAATCGAAAGACGACGCGGCCGAACAGCACGACCAGCTTATCGCTTCGCTGGAGCCCGAGGATGTTGTCACCTACAGTGATGGATCGATGATGGAAGGTAGAACAGGGTCAGCAGCAGTTCTTCGGATCACTTGGCCCGCTGACAATTCGATCGTCCACATCTCCAAAGCACGCGCGCTCGGCACCCAGCAGACGGTCTACAGTGCGGAGCTCGACGGCATTGCCCTCGCCATGAGGATGCTCCTGCAAGCCCCTCCCGCAACCCAACACCGTAGGATGGTCATCTGTGTCGACAACCAGGCGGCCGTCCGAGTCGCGACGTCCACCCGACCAGGCCCCGGGCAGGAGCAACGCATCGAACTCCGCCGTCTGTACTTGGAACTCAAAAAGAAACTCGCACTCACATCAATCGAGCTCCAGTGGGTCCCGGGTCATGTCGAGATCGACGGCAACGAGCTCGCAGACGAGGCGGCCAAAGAAGCGACCAAAGCGGCTGAGGACGACTCGATAAGGAAAGACCTGGAGATCGAGCGACCAGACGCGATTCCAGCTTCGAGGACAGCACTGAGGCAACGGTTCAAGACGTTTGTCAGTCAGGTGTGGGCGACGGAGTGGAAGAACGCCAAGACGGGCGCGCAGCTTCGCAAGCTCGACAACTCACCACCTGGGCCGTCCCACTTCAAACTCTACCACGGGCTTCCACGGCGAGCTGCGACCCTTCTCGCACAACTCCGAACGCGGAGATCACCGTTGGCACACGATCTGTTCCGTCGTCGACTCCATCCAACCGGGCTGTGTGCGTGCGGCGCGGCGGAGACTTTGGAGCACGTCGTTCTATCGTGCGAACAATACCAGGATCAGCGTCGCGTTCTTCGCAGGGAGATGAAGAAGGAGGACTTACCTCCAGACGACATTCGACTCTATGTTTCGAACGTGACGGCATCGCGACTCCTGACTGGATTTCTCGCCTCGACCGGAGTGTGCCCGGGGTACGAGGTTCTGCTGAGCAGGGGTACCACCCCCAACTCAGCGACGAAGGGTCAAGGAGCCGCACAATGCACCCAAGACCGCCTGGTGACCGAGATGCTGACAGACACCGAAGTCACCGTACGACGGCCTCGAGCTCCAACGGCGACCGGGCGGCAAGACCGGACGCGTGTGGACACACGTGTGGATAGAGAGGACTCGAATTGCGAGTCATACCGGACTTCAGGAAGGTTTTGAAGTCTTGGTACGTTGCGAAGGGGATCCGAGCGGAGCGGTTTGCGCTGGACCGAGGCAGAGGCTGTGTGGGCCGGGCGCGAGGGTAGTGGCGGCGTAGGCCGAGGCGCGGGAGCAGTTGAAGTGATGGGAGCGGAGGAAAGCCACGGGCGCTGGGCCGGACGGGACTTCAAGCATTTAAACCTCGAACTCGCAGATCGGCAGGTCAGTTAACCCAGCCAAATGAGCTCCCCCGCGCGGGCGAGTTAAGGCAGCTTTTCTGTTTTTTGGCCCGGTTGGGGGTTGGTACAGGTTGGGTGCACCAATGCCCTCCCCACCCCGTCCCACCCCGGCTCAGTGCACCCCAAATGGTCATAAGTAATAAAGGGCTACTAGTTCGTGTAAGACTCACCATCATCACGAATAACACTTTCCGAAGACTTGTAAGTTCGAATTATGTCATAAATGTCATACAGCTTGTCGTACTCAGTCCATTCAATTCGTGTAGTTCCATATACCATCAACTGATATGTGTACGACAGATTCTGTGTAGACCTTTTCGTCCTGTTTTCTTGTATTTGTTAGTTTGGATACGACCGAGGGAGTACACACCGTGTCTATGATTGGGCCCGAGGGAGGGATCGGTCCTGGTCCCTGGAATCCTGGATCGGTCCTCGAGCAGACAAACGCTTATTCTGAACGGTGTGCACTGTGTATAGAAAATGGATATCTAGTGAAGCCCCTTCGGACGGACGACTTGGATCCAGCGGCAATCAGTCCTGCATCAATTCCCAGAGAGTAATTGAACAGGCAAAATTGAGGCGGGGCTGTGCCTGGCTGTGCGGCCGCACGCGGAGCTCAGATTGGCGAGCGCTCTGCGTGAACACGTTGACCTATGCACACTCACGTCAACGCGACAACGCGCACCCTTGACCCACGCCACGCCCCGCATCTCAATACGTTGAAACCTCCCTGCGCCTGTTGAACGAACATCGATGCTATTGCCGAATGGAGGTATGTGGACGCGTTTCCCCGCCTCACATCCCCCTTCATGGGCCTAATTGTGTTGCTCCACCATGACGCGACCGTCAGACATACGCGTGGGCTCTAGGGAAGGTTCTCCAGCAGAGTCCATTTCCTTTGGCGCTCATCCGAGTGAGTGCTCTTGTCTGGTGTGCCAACTAAGATCCCTTGTAGCAGGGCTGAGAGCAGAGTGCCGGTCATCGACCTCATCCTTCTATCTACTCAATCCTGCCGGACAGCTGAAGAATTCTCTGTTCTCTCACACCTCTTGCAGGTCGGAGGGACGATCAAAGCGGTCGAGCATCCTCACAAGCCAGCACAACTCTGGATGAACCGTCTCCACGCCCGACTCGGAAGAGAAAGCGGCGGATGCCCGTGCCCCAAACCCCTTCGTCCGACTCCGACTCTGACGAGCCCAATTGGGGCGATTCCAGTCACTCCTCGGCTGACGACAGCGACAGTTACAGTGAGAGTGAGAGCGAGTTTGAAGATGTCGCGATCGACCATCGAAGAGCTATCAGGCTCTGGACGGCCATACATGGCTCGCATCGGAACGCGACCGGTCGTATGAGTCAAATAAAGTGGACCTCGCTGAAGCACTGGGCCGCTCGAAGATATTACTCGGAGCTCAAGATGGCCGCGAAACTCGGCATATCCCATGCAAGGCTCGTTCAGGCCGTCAAAAAGTTCAACAGCCTCGCTTCGAAGGGCAATGTGTGGTCTAGATTTCTCTCGGACCCTGTAGTCAAGGTTTTACACCAGCGAGCAAGCAAGGGTGAGTCGGTCCTCCGGGCGCTTCCGGTCATGCCCACTCCACTCTCCTACGCTCTCGCTTATGCTTACCGCTGCGTCCGCAATATCTGTTCTTACATACCCTGGGTGTGTCAAACGTGTTCAGAATCGGATCATTCGAAATCGCAATCCATCACCAAACTTGCCGCTCAACTCTGGAACTTCCTGAGAGACCAGGGGGACCTCGGATCTGCCCAACTTGGCGAGGACGATGAAGAGCTTGTTCGCGCGGCTTTTGCAGCGGCAGAGGCAGGAAATAATACGACTTTCACTTCGATAGTACCACCCACCATCATCACACGGTCGCCATCCGACATTCCTTCCCCAACTCGGATGGAGCAATGCAAAAAGTACATTGCAGAATTGCGAGACCTGGCGCAACGCATGTCCAAGCTGTACGGAGTGGAAACCCTGGCCTTCATTGTCCCTCGTTATCAAGACGACGTATCGCCAGCGACGAAGGCAACCGTGCATTCGATAGGTGGGCTCAGATTTGCAGCTCACTGCAACGACTTCAAGGATCCATCCGGCAATTCCTTGTTGTCTAATTTTGCTTCCAAGATGAGCTGGGATGAGACACTCAAGGCCAATGAAGCGACAGATCTGAAAGAGGGTGAGCTTTTCATCGCAGATTATGCGCGCATGAGACCACGTTACCGTTACCAATTATGTGACATATGTTTTCGTCTCATCTATCAGCAAACACTCGCTCGATGGACAGTGCTACTCGCGGCGTTCTTGGCAAATGGCACGGCATTCTGTTCCGCGCCCAACTCAGTAAGTAGTCTGCATCTGATCGGGCTCGACTCCGTGCTAATCATTTCCGCCTTTACAGACTCTGCTCTCGAGACTATACATCGCCGTTCCGACACGGGATCATCGACAGGCGATTTCACACCTCAGAAGAAGATGATATGGTCTACCCAGGGCTTGAAGGCACTGGGTGTCAAATTGCGGATCAAGCCCGGAACGAAGAGTAGATACGAAATGGCTCTGCATCATAGTGCAGAGACATCGCCCAAGCAAACTGTTGCTCAGCTCAAGGCTATCATTGACGACCTCCGTCACGGCCACCTCGCTATCGTACCCTCGGTGGACCCGAACGACAATACGGAGGCAGAGGCAAGCGACGATGACTCGAATGGCGGAGAAGGACCCCTGAGCCCAAGATTTGGTGGAGCCGGGGACGAAGGCGGAGAGGTACGCGGCGGAGAAGAAGATAGAGAAAGAAATACCGAGGGGGTGGCGGAGGAGACCGGAGGATGAATGAAGCAAAACATCGTCGATGGATTGAGACTGTTCTTATGTCTTTCTTTGGGCATATTATGCTCTGAGTCGGTCTGCAAGATGACCGATATTTGTTATGTCTCTGTGGTTTGTGGCGCATCTTTCAGTGTAGATCCTTCAGTTTAGTTTCAGATGATTGTCATACACACATACAGCGTCTCAGCTGCCATCTTGATTGTGGCAATTAATCTTAACAGGATTGTAAATTAACATGATCAAAATGCTCATTCTGTCAGGCTCTGCCAAGATCACTGGGCATACTCGACCCCCCCACGGCCCCCCGGGACTGTTTCTTACGTCACGGCCCGGGGGCCCCTGTGTGCTCCGGGCGCCGGAATCTGACCAAGTCAGCGGCCGGCATCCCGTTCATCTACGGGCCCCCTTCCAGAGATTAGGCTGGAGTCTTCCTTCGCAACCAATGGTCCCGCACCTTTGTCCTACAAGGACTCGGGGCGCACCGCATGGGCCGCAGCACAACGGTGTGGCGCTCGCATCCAGGTAAGGCGACATCTCTGCGCATCTATTTACCCTTGGGTCAACGAAATTAGAATGGCTCTCGGGCCGACGCATCTCCTCTTTCTTCTTCTTCTTCTTCTGAACTTGTGATATACAACCAAATGGCCATACACCTTTTCCAACTTCGACCTCATCGCCGTTTCTTGCGCCTCCCGTTTCAAACACACTTGGGATCCAATCCCTCCTAATCATTCCTCATATCCATGCTTCGTCCGAAGGCGCCGTACTATTGACCGTGTCTCGTTGCATAAGTCTGTTTGACCTTTTGGCCTACCATTGTCTTGTTCCCTTAGATACAATCTGACTTCACCTTCTGGTCGGACCGGTTGCCACTGCATAACTCTCAACTGCCTGCGCGCCGCAAAACCGGACGGTGGATAACTGTGAGGTCATTCGTTGGGACTGCAATACAGGGGTCAGACGACAGCTCGACCTCTCCTTTCATGTCCCATCCTGAATTCACCCATCGTCGCAACTATAAGACCCAACTGAAGACCAAGAAGACGACCGTCACAGTGATGACAAGACGGTATCTCCCGTGGAAAAGAACTTTGAAAACACCCTCCCGGTATGGGTACTTTCAGTCTGACTCCAACACGACGTGTTGTCCACCTTGAGTTTGAACCCTGATTGGTGTCACAAAAGACTATATGACCTGCCATCACCGAAAACCACGGCGGGGCAGTCGGTCGGTCGATATTAGAAGGAAGCCCAGGCCACAACAGCGTGCAGAACTCTCAAGCCGCCTAATGCGATGAGAAAACGTAGAGCAACGACAGAGCAAGGGGTGTATAAAGGTGAATCTGACTCACTCGTGGCTTCATTCAGTCATATACAGCGCATTACTTTGGGCATGGGTGACTATAACTTGCTGCAGTTCGACTGTTGAAACGCAAGCGCTGTGACGACGTACTTCGCATCGAGATTACAGTGAGCGTGTGAACTGCGCAGGAAGGAATTGCGACAAAGCAGTGCGCTGGCTCTTAGCAACTTAGCAAGGAGTTCATTAACGTGCCACCAATGTACAATTCATTATATCATACAGAAAAAGACTGTTAGGGGTGATCAACTTCTGTATCTTGCGTCTGAAAAGTCATCAACCAAGTTCCGAGGCAAATACTCAATGGACCTGGTCGAGTGTGAGGCTCGGAGTGGCCGTGACAACACTACAGAAGACCTTTGTACGACGTTGGAACTGTGAGCCGGATCCGGACTTCGTTCAAGACTACATCAAAATGTAGTCAGCAGTGTTGGAATATGATACGTACTTTTGCAATCCCTGCTGACTGTTCGGGAAGTGTCACCCAAGGCACGACACGGACTACGCATGTGACTGACTGGCAGGGAGAGCGGTAAGTTCTACCTGTAGGAGATCTCAGCCCAGTCAGCACAGCAAAGATGCAATGGACGCTTGTGTTCACTCCCTCAGCGTAGCGCGCTCTTCCTCTAAACCTTACCGGTCGTGTTGGCCTTCCGGTTGCCAGCTTTACTCGAGCGACATTAAACTTTTCAAGCGAGCCACCGCAAGATCGAGTGATTTAGCGATGCCGGGTCTTGGATGTCTGATCGCTCTTGTTGTACTTCCTAGCAAAGCGTCGTATAACGTGTAGAACTACTAGCAAAATGAACACATCATTGATCTCTTTACTATTGCAAGTAGCAACTGGGCAAAAGACTGCAACTATATATGATCAATATCAAATTCCCCAAAAACATCGCCATCGTCTTCATCAAAGTTCTCGTTGATCTCGTCACTGAAGGCGCCGTAATCGGTAGTGTCAACGGAATGATGACTCAGATCATCGCTCGAATGATCACTGATGTCAAGAAGGGCGTCATGATCCGTGGTGATGTCGTCCGACTCTCCGACCATCCCATCAATGATGCAGTCTGGCCATGTGTGATCCGGCAAGCCACCCGCTGTGGTTCGTTGAAAAACCTCAACGTCGTCGGTGCACCACATTCGGAGCTCGACCCACTCCTCCGTTTGCGGTTCGCCGCTTTGCCGGGTGCATTCCCACAGGTGATCTAGGCCGCCTTTCGAGAACCATCGTCGCGCAATAGTTCTAAGACGCTCTTCTTCTCGCTCGAGCAGCATCATCGCAGAGTCATCCTGCTCATCTAGTTGTAGTAATTGCTGGCAAACTTGCTGAAACCTCTTGCGACGGCTTATCAGCCACCGTCCAATGCGACGTACTTCCCATCCAAGTCGCTTGATTTCTTGCTGGCATCTTGCGCAAGACAATACTGCTGGAATGCCGACACGAACATCATCATCGTAGGCCCACGGCTCAGTGGGATGACTATATAATCCGTTGTTCCAGAGCGGCGTCAAGATGTCGAGTTTGAGCAGTTCGTTGAGATCCTCTGGGGCTGATGGCGGTACCCTTCGGGTTCTCAAGATCGAATGGGAATTCTGAGAATTGGCGAGGATGGCAGCATACTTTTTCACCTCGTCGTTATACATCGCCACTGCCTTCATGAGCCTTGGACGCAAAGAATTAAGATTCTTGACCAAGAGACCAGCCGCTTTCGTACCTATGAGCAGGCATTGCTACACATCAGCGTTCCTTCTGCCGGCGCAGAAGACTCGTACCATGAATTTCCTACCGAGGGCTTTACCGCCTAGGCGTGGGAGCCGCAGCCTCTCAGCTCCCTGTCGATATTGTACGACCAAGTCCCACAGTGAGCGAGATGCGACCATCAATGTGCAGGCAAATTCATAGTCTGTGCCAATCAAAGGTGTTGACATATTTAAGCGAGGACAAAGGGGATCACACCGGAGGGTCAGAATGCAAGAAGGGAGTGACGTACCAGGGTCCAGGACACTGATGTTCATTTCCGATGTGCGTAAGGAGTTTAGTCGACTGTTCTATAAGCTTGTTCGTATTTATGGTGTTCACGCAGGCTAGTTCTTCTCTGTAGCAATCGAAAAAGGAATACCGAAGTTAGGTCACCGGTTCGTGTCTCACTCCCAAACGACGACGATAGCTCAGACCCACCGGCATGCTGCAATATCTCTGTTAACCAGCTCAAGCTTGAACATGACGTTGCGCATCTCGGCTACCTCTTTGCGCTGTTCTTTCAGAGGGATCTGCTTGGACGCTGCACGTTGCGCGTGCCATTGTTCAAGGAGGGTAGCGACCGTCCATTCGGAGCGATTAACGACCTCAGTAATGACTCTGTCGGCTTCGGCCTTGAGCTTGATTGCATTTTTGAGTCGAGAATTAAGTTTGGTCACTGGGCATGATCGATACGCCAAATATCAGCGACATGGTAAGGTAGTGCATGAAAGACTGGAAGCTTAGGCGAACCAAGATCGGCCAGATGCTGCTTGTTATAAGCAGACGCTCGACGATTGATGTTCTCCAGCCGATGGGAGGCACTCGATGATCGATTCATGGGTATCATGCCTCGAAGCTGCGACCACAAGCGCTCAGTTCCCTCGCCATCAGTCAAACCAAAATTGGGTAGAAAGCGCGGATCAAAGTCAACCTGGCAGGACCACTTGTGCGCATAGGCATGCATCGACGAGAGAGCAAATTCTAGACGCGGTAAGTGGTCTGCCAGAAGATTGCGCTGCGACACTGGGGAGAGATGAGCTGCTCAGCTACGGACTAAGCCAATGCTCAGGCTGAGTGTCACGAACAAACTCACTCGGCATAAGTGCGACGATAAGTTGCAGGCGATATCATACGCGACTCCGACGCGACTTCGATCCTGACTCGAACTTTGGTGGGAGTCCGATCCCGAGCTGGATCCGACGTTTGTAGCGTCACTGGTACGCGCAGGCCCCATAGTATAATCCGTTTCTCCGACCTCAACTTCTTCGAGAATCCATTTCAACAGCGACACCGGATATACTAACCTGCGGTAGACCAAACTAGCTTATTAGTGTCCTTGCCTGGAGTCACAGATGGCCAGTCCACACATACTTTTCACCTGATTGATGAAGGTTGCAAAGTCGCAGGCAATGATCATGACGGTACACTGCAGCAACGAGGCCTGTGTCGGCCACTACATTTGACGAAGCGGAGGTCACACCACCATCTGCGGCCTTCCAGTTGGCTGTGCATTCATCCTGTATAGGAGAATAGCTCGTTTAGCAATCACAGACAGTCGGGTCAACTCATTATTGGGTTCGGGAGACCCGACACCAGCAGCACCAAGGTACCTTCTCGCCCGCTTCAGTCGATCCATCGATCAAAGCTTGCTCGTTTCGAATCTTGTCTGGTGGCAGGAATAACGCTGGACGTGACTTGAGAGGATCAGCATTTGCCCGCGCGAATCATCGATGCTGAAAATTGCCGTCGACAGCAATGATGACATCGAGGTCATTCTCGCTCTTGCCGGCTTCATTGATCCGAGGCCCAAAACATGCCGGACAAACGTCGGCCAGACGCTCGCGCGGGGAGAGGCCGAGAATTTCGGCGGTCAAAGTTGCCTGCAGCTGTTGCATAAATCAATATTCATCCATTGCGGCTTGAAGATGCTGACGCACGGTTGGACCCTGGGAAGCTTCCAATATATTCTGTAAGAAACAATGAATGTTTCCGGCCTGTCCCTGTCCAGAGCCCACCTTGTTAAAAGGATCCTCCGAGGATAATTCAGAGGACCAAAAGAGAATGAGCGCTTCGGACATGCCATAGATACCAAAAGGATCTACCCCCCAGTAGGTGTCGAGATATTCGATCGTGCGAAAGGTGAATGCGGTGATGCCTTCTCTTTTTCGGTTTGAAGATGACGATGTCGGGAGAAAACCGTGAGCTGCCAGGGTTTGGATCTCGGAATAGCATGGGCAGTATCATAGTTCTCGCATGCCTGCTCATGGTTGGGGGATATCAAATCAGTCCAAGACGATAGCATAGGGGTGGTTGACAAAAGATGTGCAACAGAAGCACCTACCTGCAAAGAACAGGTCGACAACCCGGACCTTTCTGGTGACTCGGCGTTCATGACATGCGTCGCACCACTCCTCGTCGTCCGGGGAAGGGACAAACCCGCTCTGTCGAAGCACTTCTTTGGCCTTTTTCTTCATCAATAGGTACACCTGGAAAAGTTCAGGTCGTTTTGACACCCTAGTCTTAGCTTCGGCCCTCGCAGTCCGGCAACGATTGCGCTGCTTCTTGGCGTTCCTCTCGATCCGCGATCGCTTAAGTGAAGAGGGCGCTTGGTCTTGAGAAGCACCGTCTGGGTGGAATGGCGAATGCTCCGGTCCAGATGAGTATCCACCACCGAAATCGCGACCGAAGTCGTAGTCGGGCTCAAAGCCGGGCGCGCTGTTAGGCTCGAAGTTGTGCTCGAAACCGCCGGTCTCGGTGTCTAGAGGCCACGCCGTTGCACCATCGGCAATGTCAGTCCAAGGCTCGGACAATGATTTGTGGAGGCCGGCAATGGATTTCTTCGAATGCTCCTTCTCCTTCCGACGACACGTTGACCTCTGGACCGATGGTGATGGGGGAGGGCTCGGCTGCCGTTTCGGACGCCTCTTCGTTGGAGAGCGGAAAATACCGAAATTGAAGCCGAACATCTTGTCGAACAGCTCGCTATCGGGGGACAACAATGGCTCCCTTTTCCGTACTCGCTTGGTCCATAATCTCCTCCTCTTCTTCTTCTTCGTCTTCGCCTCCTCCTCCGTTCCCACCGACGTCGTGGCCCCATTCTCGATCGTGTCCTTGTTGCTGCAGGTCACCTTCTTCCTCCTCCTCCTCACGGTCGTGCTCTTCTTGCGCTTGGTCTTGTCAGTGCGTTTTGATGCTGAGCTAGGTTGTAGAGGTGGTGGTGTGTGTGGTAAGATGTCCATGCTTGAAGCGATGGGTGCAAGCTTGCAAGGCCTTGGGTGGAGGGAAGTGGGGGGAACTCGTGGTGCTGAGGCAGATGGACCATTAGCGGGGATAAGTAGCAAGTGCCCGAATTAGTGACCAGTTTTGCCTCCGGGGGCTGGGGGTTGGCAGGGGAATGGTGCACCTACCCTGTACCAACGTTGTCCTGGGCTAAATCTCGAAAAAGCTCCCTAAACTCGCCGCGCGCGGGGTAGTATATTTGTTAGGCTTATTTTTGTTGAATTCCATACACTCTTGCTTAGGTTGATCTCCAGCCCGCGCCCAGCCTAGCCAGCCGCGCGCCGCTCGGACCCCTTTTGGAATTAGAGATATTTCGCGCACTTGCACCGCGAGCCTCTTTAGTCTTCCCCCTAACACTCCAATATACTTCCTACAACTCGTACTGTGTCTCGTGTACTTACTGGTTGCCGATCCAGTCCCCTCTCGAGACACCCAATTTAACAATTTTGACCCGCATAGGTGCAAACTCGCGCGCGCGCCGCTTGGACCTCTCGGCTCTCGACTCGGCAACTTTGGCCAACCTCGGCGTTCTCAGGGTGTGCCGGGGTTTTTCACCCAACCAAATTTTTCTGGGATATCAAACTCAACATAAACATTTCCAACAACACTACAAACTCCCAATTTTGGTACTTCTTGAACACTCCCTCTCTATCTGGTTCAGAATTTTCTGAGGACTACATGTGCTATAGCGCGACAAGGTCTTGAAATGATGATTTCTCTCTCTCTCTCTCTCTCTCGCTCGATAGTACGTCGCACCGATCATGCTGACGCAGATCCCACTGATCAGCAGCTTGTTCCACCGACTCTGTGATGCTCCCCAGGTTAACTCGCCATCTGGTATCCTTAGTTCGTGTACTAACCACAATAAGAGACTGACGAGCGTGTAATCCAACCGTCAGTTAATTGCAACGAAAGTGGCTGTGAAGCTAAACATGCGTACCTGACGAGTGTGTAATCCAACCGTGGAGAGAAGACAACGGTTGGTGCGCATCGCCAGGCTTCACTAAACAGATTACCAAAGAACGCGTGGTTCCTAACCCTCATTCCCAACACACCAACTCGCCCCTTCACGCGATGAATCGATAAGCCCCATCGCGTGTACAAACTGATAGTGCTTCTGAGTCCCGAGCCCTTTGGTGAGGACGTCCGCAGCCATGGTGCCCGTGGGCACCCAGACCATCTCGATTGTGCCCTCCGCAATGTGATCTCGGATGAAGTGGAAATGGATCCCGATGTGTTTGGTGCGAGCATGGAAAGCCGGGTGCTTGGCCAGAGTGATAGCCAATTGATTGTCACCCCTCAGACGAGTCGGCGATGTCTGCTCAAAACCAAGATCGGCCAGCAGCCGACGCAACCAGATCCCCTCACGAGCAGCGTACGACATGGCCACATATTCGGCCTCGGTGCTCGACAGAGTGACAAGAGTCTGACATTTGGCGATCCAGGAGATTGCCCCGCCAGCGCAAGTGAAGACGTAACCCGAGACGCTGCGGCGGGTCACAGGGTCGGCACCATGGTCCGCGTCGACAAAACCCTCCAAAATGGCTGACATCGGCTGATGGGTTTTCTGGTATTGAATGCCAAAGTTACGAGTGCCGACGAGGTACCGGAGAATGTGCTTGAGCGCCTCCCAATGTTCCGCCTTGAAGTTGTTACAGAAACGAGCAGCCTTGGACACGGCGAAAGCGATGTCGGGCCGAGTAGTGCCGGACAGATACAGAAGCTTGCCGACAATGGCATGGTACGGTATGGAAGCGGGGTCGAAATCAGAGTTCACACGGTTCCTCAGCGTCGACGGTGCCGCAAGCGGGGTGGGGTGCGGGGAGGCGTTGGCCATGTTGTATTCCTCGAGAATCACATCCACAAAATGAGATTGAGTAACGATGGCCGCACCCGTTTTGCCCTCACGGATTATACTCTGACCCAGGAAGAAAGACACCTCGTCCGTGCTGCGAGCCTCAAAACGCGCCTTGAGCTGAGTGAGAACGCCATCGAGGTCGCCGTCACCCGTGAGCTGTCAGGATCACAGCCTGCACTGCCATCAATACTCGAAGGAAGTCTCCCAAGTTTGCGGCCGGAGTCGACATCAGCTACCGGTTTGTTCGTTGCAAGCATTGTCGGCGCGATGGCGTAGTCGTGAGGGCGCGCGGGCGCGCACTCAGTGGTCGAGGGTTTGATCCGCCCGGAGCGCGATTTGCCTTTTGGTTTCTTTTCCTTTTTGTTATCCGAGGCCCGGCTTCGGGGTTTTTACCGGTGCCTTGCAGGCAATCCTTTTTACCCCTGAAGTGACCTCGTGGTGTAGTTATTTGACTCAGTCTTTCCTTCGCTCGGAGCACTTCCCTCCCTTTGCTTTTGCCACCCTTCCCCCAGAGCTTGGTCCACTCATTATCATGACTCGTACCCTCCCTCTTTTTACCCATTTCGCTGGCAATTAAGTCCGTTACACTTGATTTGCTGCGAGCCTTCCGACCGGATCTCCTCGGTCGCTCTCGGTCGACTGCCGCCGCCCAGCCGACTCGACCTTCCCATCGGCCTGGTGTCAGGATGACAGCGTGTACTCGAAGGAAGCCCCCCAAGGCTATGTGCGGGTAGAGTTGACTTGACCAGAGGCTTGCCTCGTTTCACAGCATCGTCGGTGCGATGGCGTAGTCGTGAGGCGCGCGGGCGCGCACTCGGTGGTCGCGGGTTCGAGGCGCCCAGACCGCAGTCTTCTTTCGGTTTGTTTTATCTTTTTGTTAACCGAGGCGCGGCTTCAGGGTTTTTACCGGTGCTCCCGCGAGCAATCCTTTTTACCCCTGAGGCGACCTCTTGGAGTGGTTGATTTGGCTAAGTCCCCTCTGGGCCTGGCACAGTCCCTTCCCTTTAGTTTTACCACCTTTCCCCGGGAGCTTGGTCCGCTCTTCTCTTTTGTTGCCCCTCCTCTTCTTGTCGATCGTTTGGGAATTAAGTCCGTTACACTTGATTTCCTGCGAGCCTTTCGACCGACTCCCCTCCTCGGTTGCTCCCTTGTCGACTGCCGCCGCAACAGCCGACACTTCCAGAAATCCCCCCCCCGTACCAACGCGTGTAGACGACGTCATCCCCTCCGACGTCGCTTGTCAGCATCCGTGAAGAGGTACATCTTGTGCTCGCCCGAGGTAACCTTGGCGCCATCGATCGGTCGTAGGATGGCGGGCACAAGGGACTTGACGGTATCGAAAGCCTGCTGTTCTCGCTCGTTCCAACGCCATGACGTCGCTTGCGCCATTAACGCGGTGATCGGCTCCAAAATCTTTGAGAGGTGCGGTAGGTGATCTCGCATCCAGTTGACGGTGCCGAGGAAGCGCTGGACATCGGTCTTGTTGCAAGGGATCGGCCACTGACGGATACGCACCCACTTGGCGGGGTCGACTTCGATGCCGACGTCGGAAATGATGGTGCCCAAGGAGTCCAACGACTTTGAGAACCACTCGGACTTCTTGGATCCTAAGTAGAACCGGTAATGTCTCAATGTCATCAGCAGGATCTTGATGTGTCTCAAGTGCGCACGACGGGTATCGGAATGGACGTGGACATCGTCGAAAAAGATCTTGGCGAACGGGAGACACGGCTGGAACATCGCCGAGGTCAAGAGGTTGAGGGTATTGGGCGCATTGGTGTCACCAAACTGCATGACCCGCGACGTGTACGTGCCCGTCACCGTTGCGAAGCCGGTGCGATCGACGTGCTCCGGTATGACCCGAACCTGCTCAAATGCCGCGGCCACGTCGAATTTAGAGCGATAACGCGATCGAGCCACCTCGTATCGAACATTGGTCATGTCCGGGATGGGAGAAAAACGCTTGACGGTGTTGTTGTTGCGCGCGCGGAGGTCGATCACGAAACGAGCCGTCTGGGAGTTCTTCTTCGGAATGGCAAAGACCGGAGCCGCAGAATCGATCGGACCCGAAACCCAGAATCGACCACGAGTGTACTTAGCTGAGTGTTCCGCCCACTGGCTCCGATATTTGTCGGCAAGGGGGTATACCCGGGGTTTGACCTTTTCGGTGGGATCGATCAACGGGATCTCGTGGTTGACTGGCCGGTACGGTGGGAGTTGGTCCATCGGTAGCGAATCTACGAACACATCAGAAAATTTCTCGAGTAAGGCAGCCAATCGTGTTCGTGCTTCGGACTCAGAGAAATCGTCGAGCGCCGGATCGTCGACGACATCGAGCAGCGGGTTGTGTGGCTCGAGGCCGATGATCTCGTCGTCGGGAAGCAACCCAGGGTGATTGCAGCCAATGGCAGAACCGGATAAGATAGGTGCTACGGTGACGGCTCGGTCCCATTCGTGCGTATCCTGGGCGACGGGTTGCGAAGGGCCGGTGCGCGCGACGGTGAAGACGCCCCAACCAACGAGCATGCCTGTGTCCTTAAGAAATGGCAGCCCCAAGATGGCATCGTACGCCATTACACGGCAAACGAAGAATGGTCGCAAACCGAGATCTAGGGCGCCAGACGAAAAAGGAGCGGTGGCGAACACAGCACATCGGTCGGACTTATCCTGGGTGCCGAGGCGCAAGTGCAATGGTGCAGTCAAACGGGCCGTTGCGAAGCTCGGGTCGACTCGCACCACCTCCTGATCCACCAAGTCGACCTCTGATCCAGAGTCGATCAAACATCGCAAAACCCTTCCAGAAGGTAGCGTCCAAGCGATGACGTTGCGGGCGCGTACAATGGCGGGCTCGACAGGTCGGTCGGGTTCGTCGATGTCGATCAGGGGCGCAGCGGACGCCAAGAGAGACACACCCGACGGCACAAGAATCTGGAAAGAGCTCACCGAAGCAGTCCTTTCCGCCTTGCGAGACGACACCACTTCCGGCCCCGGATAATGACACAAGCGCGACGCGGCATCAGCGTAGTACAAGACATCTTCCACCGCGTCACTCGCGATGTCAGCCAGGCTATCGTCGAGACGATGTTGATCTGCATCATTTGCCGGCACGGTTGGATGCGAACTACTTGATGAGGTCTGAACTTCAAAAGAAGAAGAGGCAACGTCTTTCACTCGGCCAACAAGGTCTGCAGGAGGGCAAGAGTGGTGCGTCACTAAGGCGGATGCGGAACTCGACGGTCGAGTCAAATCAGTCTCGAGGGGAAGGGGGAATCGCACCTGGGGGTCCTCAACGTCACCTGAGGCCGACGACCATTCGTCCTCGTCCATGTCGGCGAAGGCAATTGCTGATATTTGGACGGTCGAGGGGGATTGTCGCTCCGCTGTACAATGCTGTGAGAAATGGCCACCTTGACCGCAATTAAAACACGCCATGCTGGCGGGTACCCCACCCGATGCTGGCGAAAACCACGTGTTCCGATCCTTCCACAGGTGGGCCTGTTGCCATTTACCGGCGCGGTTCATCCATCGAGCTCGACGGATCTGGGTACGTGCGTCGTCGTTTGGCGTGGATGGGGCGGTGCGTGGCATTTTCGCAATTGCTCCATAAGTCGCAGTACGAATCGGCGGGGTCGAAACTGATGTCGTGCCGGTGTCGTCGGCGATGGCGGCCCAGTCGGTAACCTCCTCGAGGGACGGGACAGTTCGTCCGAACCTCCCTATAGTCACGAGTGAGTTATCCCGATATTCCCGCAGCATACCAGCCCGCACTTCCCGCTTAGCCACATCACTCAACGATTGATAAAAGGTTGTGGCGAGTTGAAGGGGCGAGAGGCTGAAGCTGGGGTCGTTGTGCATAAACGCTCGGTAGCGGGCACGCCATTCGCCCACATGGTCGTAGTGTCAGGAGCACAGCCTGCACTGCCATCAATACTCGAAGGAAGTCTCCCAAGTTTGCGGCCGGAGTCGACATCAGCTACCGGTTTGTTCGTTGCAAGCATTGTCGGCGCGATGGTGTAGTCGTGAGGGCGCGCGGGCGCGCACTCAGTGGTCGAGGGTTCGATCCGCCCGGAGCGTGATCTGCCTTTTGGTTTCTTTTCCTTTTTGTTATCCGAGGCCCGGCTTCGGGGTTTTTACCGGTGCCTTGCAGGCAATCCTTTTTACCCCTGAAGCGACCTCGTGGTGTAGTTATTTGATTCAGTCTTTCCTTCGCTGGGAGCACTTCCCTCCCTTTGCTTTTGCCACCCTTCCCCTAGAGCTTGGTCCACTCATTATCATGACTCGTACCCTCCCTCTTTTTACCCATTTCGCTGGCAATTAAGTCCGTTACACTTGATTTGCTGCGAAGCCTTCCGACCGAATCCACTCCTCGGTTGCTCTCGGTCGACTGCCGCCGCCCAGCCGACTCGACCTTCCCATCGGCCTGGTCAGCTATTTCTTGGATCGTTTGCCCTTCCTCTTTTGTCCGACCTCGTTGGCCACCATAGTCCGGTACACTGGACTTGCTGCGAGCCTTGCAGCCGCGTATCCTCCGCGGTTGCCTCTCGGTCGACTTCCGCCGCCCAGCCGACTCGACCTTCCCACCGGCCTGGTCAGCTATTTCTTGGATCGTTTGCCCTCCCTCTTCTGTCCGACCTCGTTGGCTACCATAGTTCGGTACACTGGACTTGCTGCGAGCCTTGCAGCCGCGTATCCTCCGCGGTTGCCTCTCGGTCGACTGCCGCCGCCTCGGTCGACACCCCTTTCGCTCCTTCGCGCTTTCGCGCGCTCTCTCGCTCTCTCCCTCGTCTCTCGCGTGTAGTCATCGTCATCCCCTCCGACGTTGCCTGTCACGAACGAACGCGGGCACGAGACGGTTGACGGAAAGGGTAGGAAGGATCAACGTGTTCGTCGTCGGACTCTGTGGAGGAAGTCGGGAAGGACAGCGACGCGTTCGTTGGTGATGAATTCGGCAACGGAGAGGAGGCTGAAGACTCAGGCTCAGAGAATGGGGGTGAATGCTCGTCCAGGACGGTGGACGAAGCGGTTGTAGAGGTGCGGATCGTTGTCGGTAATGCCGAACTTGAAAAAAGTGACAAGCGACGTCGGAGGGGATGACGTCGTCTACACGCGTTGGTACGGGGGGGGATTTCTGGAAGTGTCGGCTGTTGCGGCGGCAGTCGACAAGGGAGCAACCGAGGAGGGGAGTCGGTCGAAAGGCTCGCAGGAAATCAAGTGTAACGGACTTAATTCCCAAACGATCGACAAGAAGAGGAGGGGCAACAAAAGAGAAGAGCGGACCAAGCTCCCGGGGAAAGGTGGTAAAACTAAAGGGAAGGGACTGTGCCAGGCCCAGAGGGGACTTAGCCAAATCAACCACTCCAAGAGGTCGCCTCAGGGGTAAAAAGGATTGCTCGCGGGAGCACCGGTAAAAACCCTGAAGCCGCGCCTCGGTTAACAAAAAGATAAAACAAACCGAAAGAAGACTGCGGTCTGGGCGCCTCGAACCCGCGACCACCGAGTGCGCGCCCGCGCGCCTCACGACTACGCCATCGCACCGACGATGCTGTGAACCGAGGCAAGCCTCTGGTCAAGTCAACTCTACCCGCACATAGTCTTGGGGGGCTTCCTTCGAGTACACGCTGTCATCCTGACAGATGCCAGTCGGGTTGGCATTGGCGCTTGTTTGGCGTCCGGGCCCAACCGTTCGCAGGCCGTTCCAACGCGATTCTTTTCCGCTAAGTTCAACGGTGCTCAGCTCAACTATCATGTCACTGATAAAGAGTTCTTGGCTGTCGTCTCGGCGTGTCGGGCGTTCGAGCAGCACTTGATCGGTTACCCCTTCGTCATCGTCACCGACCATCAGGCCCTTCGCACGATAAAAACCCAAAAACTGCGCCAAACGCCTCGGCACATCCGCATGTGTCTCGAACTCAGCCGTTTCGACTTCGAATTTGAATTCATTGCTGGCAAGAACAACACCCTGGCCGATTCGTTGTCGCGTCTGTGGGAGGTCAAGGAGGGATCGCACGAGGATCAGGTCAAGGAGAATGAGTTGGAGGACATGTTCTTTGATGGAGAACGCCACGAATTCACTACACCCGGTGAGAGCCTCCCTGAGGAACATCCTTGCACTTCACCATCTCCCGATCGGTTGCCTCCTGTTGATTTTGCCCTCGGGCCCCAACACGACGATTGCGAGGCAGGCTCTCCCGGATACTACGCGCTCAAGGAGGAATCGCAAGACGAGGACGTGAATGGACAGGAATTAGGGAATTTGTTCTTGAAGGAAGAATGCCACGAGTTCATTACGCCCGGTGAGAGCCTCCTCGAGGAACGTCCTTACACCTCACCTTCGCACGATCGGTTGCCCCCTGTTGATTGCGCCTTCGGGCCCTGGGGTCACGGTTACGACGCAGGCTCTCCCGGTTCCCCTCATCTGGCCGAGAACATTATGGACGCCGTCGATTGGTCTATCGGCCGCCTCTCTCCTCCCATCGCTGTCAATCGAGTTCACGCTATTGCTACGGCCCCTGCCAACGACCCGCCCATTCCGGTCGATGCCGACGCCGACGAACTCGATTTGTTGGGAGTTGCCACCGATGACGTCAACGACACCCCTGTAGTCCATCGGCCGCCTGATCCACTGCCCCAACCCTTCCTCGACACCGTCATCCGAGCATACGCCAACGATTCGCAAGCCCAGGTCATCATTACCGACCCGCTATCATGGCCTATGTTTTGGGTGACCGAGGAAGGGAGGATTTTGCGTGTACATCCAGATGAGTCTATTTCCTTGTTTGTACCTCGTGGTCTCGCTACCGGCGTCGTCAACTCCGACAAGGTCCCATCGCTGCGCGAGCTCGTGCTTTCGGAGATTCATCGAAGTGTCGGGCATGCAGGACATCGCATCACCTTGGCCGCCATCCGTCCTTTGTACTGGTGGTCGTCCATGTCTGCCGATTGTGCCGAGTTCTGCCGTTCATGTGAAGATTGTGCCCGAGGCAAAGCGTCCACTCAAGTCCCTTATGGCCGACTGCATCCGATGCCGATCCCTTCTGGCCCATGGGAACAAGTGGCCATCGACTTCATGACGGGACTGCCTCCGGTCGAGTTCGAAGGGATGATGGTCGCTCAAATCATGGTGGTCACTGACACTTGGGGCAAGATGGTCCACCTGATTCCCCTCCCAGCCGACGCCGACTCCGAGCTCGTTGCCGACAGGTACTACGCCACCATCTTTCGACTGCATGGGACGCCTTCCGCCATCGTTTCCGATCGCGATCCCAAGTTCACCTCGCAGTTTTGGCGAGCATTGCAGGCGAAGGTCGGCACCGTCTTGCGGATGTCAACAGCGGCGCACCCAGAGACCGACGGATCGAGTGAGAACCGAATCAAGATGGTCACCCAAACCCTGCGCATCATGGTGTCGTCAAACCACGAGGCTTGGGCATCTCGTCTTGTTGAAGCTGAGTTCGCTCTTAACTCTTCTGTTGCTGTGTCCACGTCGCTGTCGGCTTTTGAGGCAACCTACGGCTACCTTCCTCGATGCTGGCCCTCGGATTCCTGGTCTGTCTCGGACGTCCCTCGTGCGGAAGCGTTTGCTCGGATCCGACAATTACGGAACCTCGACGTGACGGATGCGATCATTGGAGCACGCCTCAACCAGTCCCATCAGGCCAACAAGCATCGACGCCCAGACGACCCCGCCTTTCGGACCGGCAGTTACGTCTATCTTTCGACAAAGAACCTGGCAGTTCCTGACGGCATGAAGTCGAAGTTGTTGCCGCGCTACATCGGCCCCTTCCGTATCCGAGCGGCCATCCCTGCGACGTCCAGCTACGACCTCGAGCTCCCTCCAGCGATGTCGCGAGTGCACAATCGTTTCCATGCTCGACTGCTTCGGCCTTGCGTTGAGAATGATGCTGAAAGGTTTCCTGGGCGTGACCCCGCAGTTCTTTTTGTCGAAGACGTAGCCGACGCGGCCGACAATTCTGCGATTCCGGAACGGATTGTTCGCGATCGGCGGAACGCTCGGGGCGCTCGTTCGTTCTTGGTTCGATGGGTAGGCCGTAACAACACCGACGATACTTGGATGTCAGAGCAGTCCATTCGCCTTGACCATCCGTCCGTCCTCGACGCCTACCTCGCGCGCCTCGATCGCTCGAACCGCCGCCTTGCCGCACGGTAGACTTCCTTCTGGGGGGGACAGTGTCAGGATGACAGCGTGTACTCGAAGGAAGCCCCCCAAGGCTATGTGCGGGTAGAGTTGACTTGACCAGAGGCTTGCCTCGTTTCACAGCATCGTCGGTGCGATGGCGTAGTCGTGAGGCGCGCAGGCGCGCACTCGGTGGTCGCGGGTTCGAGGCGCCCAGACCGCAGTCTTCTTTCGGTTTGTTTTATCTTTTGTTAGCCGAGGCGCGGCTTCAGGGTTTTTACCGGTGCTCCCGCGAGCAATCCTTTTTACCCCTGAGGCGACCTCTTGGAGTGGTTGATTTGGCTAAGTCCCCTCTGGGCCTGGCACAGTCCCTTCCCTTTAGTTTTACCACCTTTCCCCGGGAGCTTGGTCCGCTCTTCTCTTTTGTTGCCCCTCCTCTTCTTGTCGATCGTTTGGGAATTAAGTCCGTTATACTTGATTTCCTGCGAGCCTTTCGACCGACTCCCCTCCTCGGTTGCTCCCTTGTCGACTGCCGCCGCAACAGCCGACACTTCCAGAAATCCCCCCCCCCCCCCCCCCCCCCCCGTACCAACGCGTGTAGACGACGTCATCCCCTCCGACGTCGCTTGTCACTTTTTTCAAGTTCGGCATTACCGACAACGATCCGCACCTCTACAACCGCTTCGTCCACCGTCCTGGACGAGCATTCACCCCCACTCTCTGAGCCTGAGTCTTCAGCCTCCTCTCCGTTGCCGAATTCATCACCAACGAACGCGTCGCTGTCCTTCCCGACTTCCTCCACAGAGTCCGACGACGAACACGTTGATCCTTCCTACCCTTTCCGTCAACCGTCTCGTGCCCGCGTTCGTTCGCCCCGCAATCGCCGACGTTTGAGTCACGAGATTGCCATGGCCGACGAGCGCGACGTGTACCGCGCCGCCGCCGATGATCGAGACGCTCCTCTCCGCGACGAAGACCCCGGCCGCGCGAAACCGCCCAAGTCCCCGCCGCCCCAACCCTACCACACCGCCACCGCTCTATCGTCCCTCGAAAGCCGCCTCGAGGAATCCGAAGCCCGTCGTATCGACTCCGAGGAACGTGTTCAGCAATTGGAGAAGTTGGTGGAGGGTTTATTGAAAAGCTCACCTGAACCAGCTGCGGCGCGGGCCGGAGTCTCTGAACCAGCTGTGGCGCGGGCTGGGGAGTTTACGTTTACGCTGGTGAGATCGGTCCCCTTGGACGTTCCCCCACACACCATTCTGGAACGTTCAGGCAATACCGCTGACCCCCTTGTTCGTTCCCCTGGGGGGGAATCTCACAGCGCACGAAGGGACGGCCCTTCCTCGGCAGTAATCAGCTCTCGTTGGAGAGGGACGTTACCTGATCAGGAAGGGCTATGGACAGGGGATAACCCGGATCGGTTGGTCACTTTCACTACATTTGGGAAGTCGTACTTGTCTCTACTTTGCGACATTTCCACCAGCGACCGCGTCATCCAGCTTGTGGCGACCTTGTTCGTTCGTTCCACTTCTCCCAAGCGCCGTCAGTCTCCGCACGACTGGGCCGTTGATACTATGACGGACGCGCTCCGGGACGAACGACCTCACTGCTGGACGACACTGATGACAGAAGTTGGACGTCGTTGGCCGGATCCTGGCTTTGCCGACCGAGTGTCCCACGACTTCTACGGGTGCCGACAGTCTTCGTCTCGAGCCTACGACCATGTGGGCGAATGGCGTGCCCGCTACCGAGTGTTTATGCACAACGACCCCAGCTTCAGCCTCTCGCCCCTTCAACTCGCCACAACCTTTTATCAATCGTTGAGTGATGTGGCTAAGCGGGAAGTGCGGGCTGGTATGCTGCGGGAATATCGGGATAACTCACTCGTGACTATAGGGAGGTTCGGACGAACTGTGAAGAGTCCACTCTCAGCTCGACAGGGGCGCCTCGGTCGTTGCGCGCACTTGCTAGCCTGCCCCCGGCGGTGGGGACTTAGACGCGCGCGACTGCCTCAGCGCGCCAGCGCCGGCGGATTCATGCGCGTGCCCGCTAGCCCGCCCCCTTGCGGTGGGGACTTAGGCGCGCCGGCGATTTCACCCGCGGCTGACTTAGGGATGTACATTGTCACGCGCCTGGGCCTATCCCAGCGTGGCTCCCCCCTTTCTGTTTCTTAGCTTCCTTCTCATCACTTCTGTTCGACTCTCAACTTCTCCTGACAGTAGTGGTGATCGTCTCATAGTCCCCACCGCAAGGGGGCGGGCTAGCAAGTGCGCGCAACGACCGAGGCGCCCCTGTCGAGCTGAGAGTGGACTCTTCACACCCCCCCCCACGCGAATGCGAGGCAGACCCAAGCCGCGGGTGTCGAGTGCGAAGGCCGAGGGTGTAGCAGTGCGTTGAGAAGACCTTTGGGCCGAGAGCCTTGGTGAAGATGTCGGCCACCATGTCGCTGGTACCCACATGCGAGAGAGAGATGTCGCCCCGATTCACCATGTCCCGAACGAAGTGCTCGCGCAAGCGTATGTGCCGAGTGCCAGAGACGCGGACAGGATCGTGAGCAACTGCAGCAGCGGCTTCGTTGTCAGTAAAGATGTGAGCCGGTGCAACAGGTTGTACATGGAGCTCTTCGAGCAGCTGACTGAGGTAAATCCCTTCCTTGCCAGCATGCGAGAGGGCGAGGTATTCAGCGTCGGTGGTCGAATCGGCAACTCGAGACTGGCGTTTGGACGACCAGGACACGGCCGAGCCAGCGATGTAGAAGACGTAGCCCATGGTGGACACCGATGTGTCGATGCAGGCCCCCCAGTTCGCGTCGGAGTAGCCTACCACACCCGTGATGCGAGCCTGGCCGCGAGCATACACGAGTTCGTTGCGATACGTGGCCCGGAGATAGCGTAGGATGTGCTTGACCGCGATCCAATGACGACGACCGGGGTTGTTGGCGAAGCGGGCCAGGTAGGACACGGCGAAGGCGATGTCAGGGCGGGTACCGAGCGAAATGTAGAGGAGCGAGCCGATAGCCTGCAGATACCATGACCTGATCCGTTCGGTGCCTTGACCCTGGATAGCAGTGAGCGAAAGGCCGGGAGTCATCAGAACTGTAGTGCCGCGAGTCGTGGTGTCGAAGTGGAACCGAGCGAGCACGTCCATGATGTACCGTTCCTGGGATAGGGCGATAGAGCCGTCGTCGAACCGCCTGATCTGGATGCCGAGGATATACTCGGCCGGGCCGAGGTGCTTGACTCCGTAGCGTTGTTCCAGGCCTGATGTCAGGAGCACAGCCTGCACTGCCATCAATACTCGAAGGAAGTCTCCCAAGTTTGCGGCCGGAGTCGAGATCAGCTACCGGTTTGTTCGTTGCAAGCATTGTCGGCGCGATGGTGTAGTCGTGAGGGCGCGCGGGCGCGCACTCAGTGGTCGAGGGTTCGATCCGCCCGGAGCGTGATCTGCCTTTTGGTTTCTTTTCCTTTTTGTTATCCGAGGCCCGGCTTCGGGGTTTTTACCGGTGCCTTGCAGGCAATCCTTTTTACCCCTGAAGCGACCTCGTGGTGTAGTTATTTGATTCAGTCTTTCCTTCGCTGGGAGCACTTCCCTCCCTTTGCTTTTGCCACCCTTCCCCTAGAGCTTGGTCCACTCATTATCATGACTCGTACCCTCCCTCTTTTTACCCATTTCGCTGGCAATTAAGTCCGTTACACTTGATTTGCTGCGAAGCCTTCCGACCGAATCCACTCCTCGGTTGCTCTCGGTCGACTGCCGCCGCCCAGCCGACTCGACCTTCCCATCGGCCTGGTCAGCTATTTCTTGGATCGTTTGCCCTTCCTCTTTTGTCCGACCTCGTTGGCCACCATAGTCCGGTACACTGGACTTGCTGCGAGCCTTGCAGCCGCGTATCCTCCGCGGTTGCCTCTCGGTCGACTTCCGCCGCCCAGCCGACTCGACCTTCCCACCGGCCTGGTCAGCTATTTCTTGGATCGTTTGCCCTCCCTCTTCTGTCCGACCTCGTTGGCTACCATAGTTCGGTACACTGGACTTGCTGCGAGCCTTGCAGCCGCGTATCCTCCGCGGTTGCCTCTCGGTCGACTGCCGCCGCCTCGGTCGACACCCCTTTCGCTCCTTCGCGCTTTCGCGCGCTCTCTCGCTCTCTCCCTCGTCTCTCGCGTGTAGTCATCGTCATCCCCTCCGACGTTGCCTGTCAGAGAAGACCGGTGGCGAGACATCCGACATGGTGTTGCGAGTCGACGGTCGAGTCAGCGGTGTCGGGCTTTTTGCCGTCCTCGAGCGCCTTCTTGCAGTCGAGAGACCAGTGATCCTTCTTCTTGCAGGAGCGACAGGGTCCTGGCGGCGGGTGTTGCGCCCTCGTAGGGCACTCCGCGACTCGGTGCGAAGGGCTGCGACAGGCGAGACACTTGGGACGAGTAGAACGTGACGACGACGAGGCAAGAAGGGCCGATTGAGTGCTGGGAATGTTCGTTGACCGAAGTTGGACTCGCATACGGTCGGCAAGCGAATCAATGTCGGGGAGAGTTCGTTGCGTGTGCTGTTCATCGGTGAACGACACCTTGAAGCTCTCGAGGGACGGGTGGGCGATTGCAAGGAGGAGTGTGGCGAGAACATCATTGATAGTTGTGAAGAGTCCACTCTCAGCTCGACAGGGGCGCCTCGGTCGTTGCGCGCGCCTGCTAGCCTGGCCCCTGTGGTGGGGACTTAGGCGCGCGCGAGTGCCTCAGCGCGCCGGCGCCGGCGGTTTTCGGGCGCGCGCCGCTAGCCCGCCCTTGCAGTGGGGACTTAGCCGCGCGCGACTGCCTCAGCGCTCCAGCGATTTCGCCCGCGCCTGGGCATATCCCAGCGCGGGCCACCTTTCCATTTCTTAGCTTCCTTCTCATCACTTCTGTTCGACTCTCGACTTCTCCTGACAGTAGTGGTGATCATCTCATAGGTTATAAGCCCATCGAGCTACCGCTGGCATGGACACGTCGTCAACCCTCGCGACGAGCGCCACCCCGACAATTCCCGCCGAACAGCTTGCCGCACTTACATCGCTGCTGTCGGGACTCACCGCTGCCGCTTCCGGCACTACCGCACCCGCCACGACATCCGGCTCCAATCGCAATGCCTTCCCGAAGCATGCGCGGTTGGACGGGCCGAAGACGTTCGCGAACTGGACACGCCAGCTTCGCCTGTGCCTAGCGGACGACATCCGCTCCTACGTCCTCGACGGAATCACCCCCGACGATTGGACGCCTTCGCAACGCTCCGCCCGCGACGTCGTGGCACGCGAGATCCTTGCAAACTCAATCGACTCGGCCGAAGTCTCGGCAGTCCTCGACAAGATCCCTACGGCCGACCTCACAGCGCCCAAGATTTACTCGACGCTGAAATCGCGATACGCCCCTGATGACGCCACTCGCACGCTCGAGCTCTTCTCGCGACTCTGGGGCTTCCGACCCATGCCCGGAACGGTTGGCGAATTTGACAGTTGGATCATGGACTTCAAGTCGGTCGCGCAAGAGATCATCGATACGAAAACGACGATCAACGACGTCCTTGCCACACTCCTCCTCGCGATCGCCCACCCGTCACTCGAGAGCTTCAAGGCAACGTTCACCGACGAACAACGCACGCAACGAACTCTCCCTGACATCGATTCAGTGGCCGACCGTATGCGAGTTCAACTCCGGTCAACGAACCTCTCCAACGATCAATCGGCCCTCCTTGCCTCGTCGTCGCCACGTTCTACCCGTACCAAGTGCCTCGCCTGTCGCAGCCCTTCTCACCGCGTCGCACAATGCCCTACAAGGGCCCAGCATCCACCGCCAGGCCCGTGTCGCTCCTGCAAGAAGAAGGACCACTGGTCTTTCGACTGCAAAAAGGCTCTTGAGGACGGGAAAACGCCCGACACCTCTGATGCGCAACACCATGTCGGATGTCTCGCCACCGGTCTTCTCGCACATCGTCGTCAGCTTCGCAACAACTCCTTCGTCGTCGACTCGGGTGCCACTTCGCACATGGTCTCGGACAAGTCGCTGTTCACGGCCTATCGCCACATCGCTCCTACGAAGATTGGTGGTATTGCAGGGGGCATCAACGCCGTCGGAACGGGAAACATCGCCTTTGTTGCCGCCTCCGGTCACCCGATCACGCTTACCGGCGTGCTGCACACCCCGGGCCTGTCTGTCAACCTCCTCTCGGTCTCTCGACTTTGCGACACCGACGATGTCCGTGTCGCCTTCACGAAGCACGGCATCCATATCGACAAGAACGGCAATGCTATCGCTGAAGGCGCAAGACTCGAGGAAGGGCTCTACTTGCTGGACGCTGATCATTCCAAATGTCAGCATCTCGCTCTCCTCTCTCGCTCACAGTCTTCCGTGCCCCTGCTGACCCTTCACCGCTGCCTCGGCCATCTCGCACCGTCGTCCATACAGAAGATGGTTGCCGCTGGTTTGCTGGAAGGTCTCGGGGCCGGATATAGTGACGAAGAGGTAGAGAAGTTTGTCTGCAATGCTTGCCTCAGTGCAAAGGGCCATCGTCTTCCTTTTCCCGATTCGGACTCGCACTCCTCAGAGAGACTCGGCCTCGTACACAGCGATGTGCTTTCCTTTCCCGAGTCGTCCTTGACTGGCAAGCGTTACCTGGTCACGTTTCTTGACGACTTCTCGCGCAAACTGTGGGCATACGCGATCGGACACAAAAGCGAAGTCTTTGGCGTGTTCAAGACATGGCTTGCCGAGGTCGAACTCGAGACGGATGCAAAACTGAAGGTCCTCCGAACCGACAATGGTGGCGAATACTGTTCGAGAGCGTTCACGGAATTCTGTAAGGCACGCGGCACACGTCGACAATACTCTATCCCTCGAACGCCTCAACAGAACGGTCGTGCCGAACGAGTCAATCGTTCTATCGTCGAAGGTGTCCTTGCCCTCCTTGCAGACGCCCACTTACCCAAATCATTCTGGGAGGAGGCAGCAGCTTATTTCGTCTACTGCAAGAACCTGTGCGAACACTCGGCCCTGGACAAGGCAACACCGAACTTCGCCTGGCAGGGCGACCGCACCAACGCCTCGGCGCTTCACCCGTTCGGCTGCACGGCTTGGCTCACAGTCGCGCCTGAACTTCGCTCGAAACTCGACCCGAAAGCGGTTCGCGTTCTCTTCACCGGCTATGACCTGGCTTCTAAAGCCTTCCGTTTCTACGACACGACGACCAAGAAGATCAGTTTGGGCAGAAATGCCAGGTTCCTCGACAACGAATTTCCCGGGTTACGTAGCGACTCCACCGAGCAAGACGCCGACACGCACTTCGCCAGCGCTTGCCCGACCACCGAATCCCAAGCCGTTGTCAAGACATGGACCCCACTAGTAAGGTCGGCGCACATGGACGTCTCATCCTCTCTTGATGACTCTGCCATGAGCGCCGTTGACGTGGCCCCAGGGTACACTGGCGGAACCTTACTTAATTCCACAGATGCCGAATCGTCCTCGTCACCGTCTCCTGAGCCGTCCTCGTCACCGTCGCCCGCAACTCCCTTGTCACCGTCGCCTGCGCTGTCACCGTCGTTGGCTGCGTCATCGTCACCCTCGGCCTTACCGACCGACTCTGACTACTCCGCCGACCCTCTGGACCTCATCGGCTCACAGACCCCGACTCGCCTCGGCCCACCGGACGTGCACCGCCCAGACTTCAGCACGTACCGTGAGCCCGCATCGGCTGAGGAGTCGCCCGACGAACTCGACATCATTGGGCGCCACTCGCGCGATGAATCGCCGGACGAAATCGATTTCCTCACCCAACACCACCGCGCCTTCATCGCCACCGACGACGACAACTCTGACACAGAAGCCATTCAACCAGTCAAGTCCATCACCAGCGACCCACAGACATGGCGCGAGGCAATGTCGAGTGACAAGCGCGAAGTGTGGGCCAAGGCCGCTACCGACGAGTTCAATTCCATGCGCGACGACTTCAAGGTCTTCACCATCGAGGACCGATCCACGGTACCAGCGGGTGCGACCATCGTCACATCCAAGTTCGTCTGGAAAACGAAACGGAATGCACTCGGCGAAGTCACCGGCCACAAGGCACGGCTCGTGGCGCAGGGAAATCGGCAACGCGACGGCATCGACTTCAACGAAACCTTCGCACCAGTCGCACGCTTCTCCTCGATACGCTCACTCCTCGCGCTGGCGGCCGCCAACGGCTTGCACGTGCACCAGGCGGACATCGACAAAGCCTATCTGCATGGCGACCTTGACCATGACATCTGGATGACGACACCGCGCGGCTTCGACCTTCCCACCGACAAGGTGCTTCGTCTGCGACGCTCCATCTACGGACTCAAACAGGCTGGCCGAATCTGGAATCGACACATCGACGCATCGCTTCGAGATCTCGGCTATACGGCGACGGGCACCGACCACTGCGTGTACTCTCGGATCGACGATCGGCGACGCCCACACTACATCGCGCTGTACGTCGACGACCTCCTGATGATCAGCCCCGACTTGGCCGAAATTGAACGTGTCATCTCGGGCCTCGAACAACGCTACGGCGTCAAGCGCCTCGGCCCGGCAGAGTACATCCTCGGCATCCAGATCAGGCGACTCGAAGACGGTTCTATTGCCCTGTCCCAGGAACGGTACATCATGGACGTGCTTGCTCGGTTCCACTTCGACACCACGACTCGCGGCACTACAGTCCCGATGACCCCCGGCCTTTCGCTCACCGCCATCCCGGGTCAAGGCACCGAACGGATCAGGTCATGGTATCTGCAGGCTATCGGCTCGCTCCTCTACATTTCGCTCGGCACCCGCCCCGACATCGCCTTCGCCGTGTCCTACCTGGCCCGCTTCGCCAACAACCCTGGACGTCGTCACTGGATCGCGGTCAAGCACATCCTCCGCTATCTCCGGGCCACATATCGCGACGAACTGGTTTATGCTTGCGGCGAGACACGCATCACGGGCGTGGTTGGCTACTCCGACGCGAACTGGGGGGCCTGCGTCGATACGTCGGTGTCCACTATGGGCTACGTCTTCTACATTGCCGGATCCGCCGTGTCTTGGTCGTCCAAGCGTCAATCTCGAGTTGCCGATTCTACCACCGACGCTGAATACCTCGCCCTCTCGCATGCTGGCAAGGAAGGGATCTACCTCAGTCAGCTGCTCGAGGAGCTCCATGTCCAACCTGTTGCACCGGCTCACATTTTTACTGACAATGAAGCCGCTGCCGCAGTTGCCCACGACCCTGTCCGCGTCTCCGGCACTCGACACATACGCTTGCGCGAGCACTTTGTTCGGGACATGGTGAATCGGGGCGATATCTCACTCTCGCATGTGGGAACCAGCAACATGGTGGCCGACATCTTCACAAAGGCTCTTGGCCCAAAGATTTTCTCGACACACTGCTACGCACTAGGCCTTCGCACTCGACACCCACGGCTTGGATCTGCCTCGCATTCGCGTGGGGGGGGGTGTGAAGAGTCCACTCTCAGCTCGACAGGGGCGCCTCGGTCGTTGCGCGCGCCTGCTAGCCTGGCCCCTGTGGTGGGGACTTAGGCGCGCGCGAGTGCCTCAGCGCGCCGGCGCCGGCGGTTTTCGGGCGCGCGCCGCTAGCCCGCCCTTGCAGTGGGGACTTAGCCGCGCGCGACTGCCTCAGCGCTCCAGCGATTTCGCCCGCGCCTGGGCATATCCCAGCGCGGGCCACCTTTCCATTTCTTAGCTTCCTTCTCATCACTTCTGTTCGACTCTCGACTTCTCCTGACAGTAGTGGTGATCATCTCATAGGTACGCTGAAATAGATCACTTCTGTTCGACTCTCGACTTCTCCTGACAGTAGTGGTGATCATCTCATAGCAAAAGCAAAAGGAGGGAAGTGCTCCGAGCGAAGGAAAGACTGAATCAAATAACTACACCACGAGGTCGCTTCAGGGGTAAAAAGGATTGCCTGCAAGGCACCGGTAAAAACCCCGAAGCCGGGCCTCGGATAACAAAAAGGAAAAGAAACCAAAAGGCAGATCACGCTCCGGGCGGATCGAACCCTCGACCACTGAGTGCGCGCCCGCGCGCCCTCACGACTACACCATCGCGCCGACAATGCTTGCAACGAACAAACCGGTAGCTGATGTCGACTCCGGCCGCAAACTTGGGAGACTTCCTTCGAGTATTGATGGCAGTGCAGGCTGTGCTCCTGACAGGTTCGCTCCGCGCGCCTAAGTCCTGAGCCGAGCGGAGAGTGGATTCCTCACACCCCCCCCCACGCGAACGCGAGGTAGACTTGAGCCGTGGATGTCGCGTCCGGAGGCCTAGAGCATAGCAATGTGTACCAAAAATCTTGGGGCCTAGCGCTTTGGTGAATACGTCCGCAACCATGTCTGCTGTGCCAACGTGTGAGAGAGAGATATCACCTCGATTGACCATGTCACGGACAAAATGCTCGCGGAGGCGAATGTGCCGGGTGCCGGAGGTGCGAACGGGGTCGTGAGCGACGGCGGCCGCGGCCTCGTTGTCGGTGAAGATGTGAGCTGCAGCGATTGGGCAAACGTGGAGCTCGGAGAGGAGTTGGTTAAGGTAGATCGCTTCCTTACCCGCGTGCGACAAGGCCAGGTACTCGGCATCAGTGGTGGAATCCGCTACCCGAGTCTGACGCTTCGACGACCAAGAGACAGCGGCGCCTGCCAAGTAAAATACATAGCCCATCGTTGAAATGGATGTGTCGACGCAGGCGCCCCAGTTCGCATCAGAATAACCAACCACACCCGTGACTTTTGCTGGGCCGCGGGCATAGAGAAGCTCATCGCGGTACGTGGCGCGAAGGTAGCGAAGGACGTGTTTGACGGCAATCCAATGGCGGCGGCCGGGGTTGTTGGCGAACCGGGACAGGTACGAGACGGCGAAGGCAATGTCGGGTCGAGTGCCAAGGGAGATGTAGAGGAGGGAGCCGATGGCCTGTAGGTACCACGAACGAATGCGCTCCGTTCCCTGACCCGGAATTGCCGTGAGCGAGAGGCCGGGCGTCATCGGCACCGTAGTGCCGCGTGTCGTGGTGTCGAAGTGGAAACGGGCCAGCACGTCCATGATGTAGCGCTCCTGGGATAGAGCAATGGAACCGTCGTCCAGGCGGCGTATTTGGATTCCGAGGATGTACTCCGCGGGGCCGAGTCGTTTGACGCCGTACCGCTGTTCAAGGCCGGAGATGACACGTTCGATCTCGTCGAGGGCTGGACTGACAATGAGGAGGTCGTCGACATACAAGGCGATATAGTGAGGCCGCTGCTGATCGTCAATGCGAGAGTAAATGCAGTGATCAGTGCCTGTTGCCTTGTACCCCAGATTCCTGAGTGATGTGTCAATGTGACGATTCCAGATGCGACCGGCCTGCTTGAGACCGTAGATTGAGCGTCGCAGCCGGAGAACCTTATCGCTCGGGAAGTCGAAACCGCGTGGTGTCGTCATCCAGATATCATGATCGAGCTCGCCGTGGAGGTAAGCCTTGTCGATGTCGGCCTGATGAACGTGGTAGCCATTGGCAGCGGCAAGAGCCAGGAGGCAGCGAATGGAGGAGAAACGGGCGACGGGTGCGAAGGTTTCTGAGAAGTCGATGCCGTCGCGCTGTCGGTTACCCTGCGCTACAAGACGTGCCTTCCGCCCCGTGACTTCACCGCTTGCGTTGCGCTTGGTCTTCCAGACGAATTTGGAGGTGACGATGGTGGCGCCCGGCGGTACAGATGAGCGAGGCTCGATGGTGAACACCTTGAAGTCGTCGCGCATGGCGGTGAACTCGGCGGCGGCGGCCTCAGCCCAGATGTTGTGCTCGTCGCTGGACATTGCTTCGCGCCAGGTCTGGGGGTCGCTAGTGATCGATTTGACGGGCTCGATGGCGTCGAGGGTGGGGTCGTCGTCGTCTGTGGCGATGAAGGCGCGGTGGTGTTGGGTGAGGAAATCGATTTCATCCGGCGATTCATCGCGCGAGTGACGCCCAATGATGTCGAGTTCGTCGGGCGACTCCTCAGCCGATGCGGGCTCACGGTACGTGCTGAAGTCTGGGCGGTGCACGTCCGGTGGGCCAAGGCGAGTCGGGGTCTGTGAGCCGATGAGGTCCAGAGGGTCGGCGGAGTAGTCAGAGTCGGTCGGTGAGACCGAGGGTGACGATGACGCTGCCAACGACGGTGACAGCGCAGGCGACGGTGACAAAGGGTTTGTGGGCGACGGTGACGAGGACGGCTCAGGAGACGGTGACGAGGACGATTCGGTATCTGTGGAATTAAGTAAGGTTCCGCCAGTGTACCCTGGGGCCACGTCAACGGCGCTCATGGCAGAATCATCAAGGGAGGATGAGACGTCCATGTGCGCCGACCTTACTAGTGGGGTCCTCGTCTTGACGGCAGGGGCGGGCGTGTCGGCGGGAACGACGAACTGACGGTCGGTGTCGTCTGCATCGACGGGCGTGGTGACTGGCAGGCCGGGGAAGTCGTCGTCGAGGAAGGTGGCATTGCGACCAAGTACAATCTTGTTGATGGAATGGTCAAAGAAACGGAAAGCTTTGGAGGCGAGGTCGTAACCTGTGAAGATCACGCGCGCGGCCTTGGGGTCGAGCTTGCTGCGAAGGTCCGGGGCGACCGTGAGCCAGGCTGTGCAGCCGAACGGGTGGAGGGCGGTGGCGGTGGTGCGTTGGCCGTTCCAAACGGATTCTGGAGTCTGTTTGGCCAAAGCTGAGTGTGAGCACCTGTTTTTGCAATAAACGAAATACGCAGCCGCTTCATCCCAAAAGGTGGCCGGCAGACGGGCGTCCGCAAGGAGAGCGAGGACGCCCTCGACGATGGAGAGGTTGACACGTTCGGCGCGACCGTTTTGTTGAGGCGTGTAAGGGATAGAGTATTGACGACGAATGCCCTTGGATTTGCAGAACTCCGTGAATGCGTTTGATCGGTACTCCCCGCCATTGTCGGTTCGAAGGATCCTCAACCGCGCGTTCGTCTCTAACTCCACTTCGGCGAGCCAAGTCTGGAAGGTCGGGAAAACATCGCTTTTGTGATCGATCGCATATGCCCAGAGTTTGCGAGAGTGGTCGTCTAGAAACGTGACAAGGTAGCGCTTCCCGGTCAAGGACGGAGTGGGGAACGACAGGACGTCGCTGTGCACGAGGCCAAGTCTCTCGGCGGAATGCGACTCAGAGTCGGGAAAGGGAAGGCGGTGACCTTTGGAACCAAGGCAAGCATTGCAAACAAACTCCTCTACGTCTTTGTCACTGTACCCGGCCCCAAACCCGTCCAGCAAACCTGCAGCAATCATCTTCTGTATAGAGGATGGGGCAAGATGGCCGAGGCAGCGGTGTAGGGTAAGCAGGGGCACGGGAGACTCAGAGCGTGAGAGGAAGGCAAGATGCTGACACTTGGTGTGATCCGCGTCCAAAAGGTAAAGACCGTCGTTGACCCTGGTACCGTGAGCAATGGCCCGGCCGTCCTTGGCGATGTCGATGCCGTCGCTGGTGAAGGCGAGACGAACGCGGTCGGTGTCGCAGAGGCGAGAGACAGAGAGGAGGTTGACGTGTAGGCCAGGCGTGTGAAGAACACCACGGAGCGTGATCGGGTGTCCAGTCTTGGCGACGAATGCCACGTCCCCCATGCCGATAGCCGTGATGCCGCCCGCGATGCCGCCGATCTTGGTGTGTGCCGTCTGACGATAAGTCGTGAATAGAGATCGGTCGGCGACCATGTGTGTCGTGGCACCCGAATCGACTACAAAGGCGTCAGTTGGGAGTTGGCGACGAGCGAAGAGGCAGGAGGCGAAATAGCCGACGTTCGGTTGCGAGGCCGCGGAGGAAGACGTGTCGTCCTGGGTGTCGTCGCTGCTACGTGCCTGTTCACCCCGGTTCTTGCAGTCGAGTGCCCAGTGACCTTTCTTGTGGCATCGGCGGCAGGGGCCGGTGGGCGGGTGCTTCGCACGTGAAGTGCAGTCGCGCAGGCGGTGACCGGGAGCGCGGCAGGCGGGGCAGGGGGAGCTGGTGGCAAGCATGGCCGAATGCGAGGTCGAGAGTCCTGCCGAACGAAGCTGGATGCGAATGCGGTCCGTAAGCGTCGTGAGTTCGGGAAGGTCGCGTCGGTTTCGCTGCTCGTCCGTGAACGTGAGTCGGAAGCTGTCGAGGCAAGACGGGACCATGGCGAGCACGTGGGTGGCGAGCACGTCGTTGAGCGATGTTTTGGCGTCGCGTATTTCCTGAGCAATCGACATGTACTCGCGTAGCCAAGTGTCGTAGGCCTCGACGGAGGCAGGCATCTTCCTGAAGTCCCAAAGGCGAGCGAACAACTCGAGAGTGCGTGTAGCGTCGTCCGGTGCAAAACGAGCCTTGAGAGCGGCAAAGATGCGCGGTGCCGACAGGTCGTCGCTGGGGATGGCGTCGAGGGTGGCCGATACGTCGGCGGAGTCGATAGAGCCAACGATGATTTCCCGGGCGGCGTCGTCACGTGCGGCAAGCTGGTCGGCGGTCCAGGTCGGGGGAACGACACCGTCGAGAACGTAACCACGAACCTGGTTCGGGAGTGCAAGACGGAGTTGACGCAACCAGTTGGTGAACGACTTGGGGCCGTCCAGACGAGCGTGCTTGGGAAACACGACCTTGGATGCGGTGGCGGCGTTCCCCGGCACGACGGTGACGGCCGGGGGTGCGGCGGCTGCGGCGGCGGCGGGTTGCGAGGCCTGCAGAGCGGCAAGCTGGGCCTGTAGAGTGGCGATTTGTTCGCCGATCGAAGATTCAGGGGAGCTGGGATCCCTGGGGGCCAAAGGCGAGGCGGGAGAGCTGTCCATGATGTGATGGTGCGATGGACGTGTGCGGCTCGAGTGGCTGGGCTCGAGCGAAAAAGCCTCAAGCGGCGGGGCTGGTAGCTCGTGGGCTTATAACCTATTCGATCAACTCTACTACGTCAGCGATGTAGTTATAGCCAAGAGTGATGAATGCATTTCAACATACCTATTCGATCAACTCTACTACGTCAGCGATGTAGTTATAGCCAAGAGTGATGAATAGGAAGCTAACAATAAGAGACCCGCGCGCCCCAAGTCCACAGCCAGCGAGCCTGGGGCTGAGCCAATGGCCCAGGCTCGCTCCGCACGCCTAAGTCCCAGGCTCGCTTCGCGCGCCTAAGTCCTGGGCCGGGGCGCCCGGCTCACTCCGCGCGCCTAAGTCCGCGCCCGGTTCGCTCCGCGCGCCTAAGTCCTGAGCCGAGCAGAGAGTGGATTCCTCACACTATGGCCGACTGCATCCGATGCCGATCCCTTCTGGTCCTTGGGAACAAGTGGCCATCGACTTCATGACAGGACTGCCTCCGGTCGAGCTCGAAGGGATGATGGTTGCTCAAATCATGGTGGTCACTGACACTTGGGGCAAGATGGTCCACCTGATTCCCCTCCCAGCCGATGCCGACTCGGAGCTCGTTGCCGAGAAGTACTACGCCACCGTCTTCCGACTGCATGGGATGCCTTCCGCCATCGTTTCCGACCGTGATCCCAAGTTCACCTCGCAGTTTTGGCGGGCATTGCAGGCAAAGATTGGCACCGTCTTGCGAATGTCAACCGCGGCACACCCGGAGACGGACGGATCGAGCGAGAATCGGATCAAGATGGTCACCCAAACCCTGCGGATCATGGTCTCGTCAAACCACGAGGCTTGGGCATCTCGTCTTGTTGAAGCTGAGTTCGCTCTTAACTCTTCTGTTGCTGTGTCCACGTCGCTGTCGGCTTTTGAGGCAACCTACGGCTACCTTCCTCGATGCTGGCCCTCGGATTCCTGGTCTGTCTCGGACGTCCCTCGTGCGGAAGCGTTTGCTCGGATCCGACAATTACGGAACCTCGACGTGACGGATGCGATCATTGGAGCACGCCTCAACCAGTCCCATCAGGCCAACAAGCATCGACACCCAGACGACCCCGCCTTTCAGACCGGCAGTTACGTCTATCTTTCGACAAAGAACCTGGCAGTTCCTGACGGCATGAAGTCGAAGTTGTTGCCGCGCTACATCGGCCCCTTCCGTATCCGAGCGGCCATCCCTGCGACGTCCAGCTACGACCTCGAGCTCCCTCCAGCGATGTCGCGAGTGCACAATCGTTTCCATGCTCGACTGCTTCGGCCTTGCGTTGAGAATGATGCTGAAAGGTTTCCTGGGCGTGACCCCGCAGTTCTTTTTGTCGAAGACGTAGCCGACGCGGCCAACAATTCTGCGATTCCGGAACGGATTGTTCGCGATCGGCGGAACGCTCGGGGCGCTCGTTCGTTCTTGGTTCGATGGGTAGGCCGTAACGACACCGACGATACTTGGATGTCAGAGCAGTCCATTCGCCTTGACCATCCGTCCGTCCTCGACGCCTACCTCGCGCGCCTCGATCGCTCGAACCGCCGCCTCGCCGCACGGTATGTCAGGAGCACAGCCTGCACTGCCATCAATACTCGAAGGAAGTCTCCCAAGTTTGCGGCCGGAGTCGACATCAGCTACCGGTTTGTTCGTTGCAAGCATTGTCGGCGCGATGGTGTAGTCGTGAGGGCGCGCGGGCGCGCACTCAGTGGTCGAGGGTTCGATCCGCCCGGAGCGTGATCTGCCTTTTGGTTTCTTTTCCTTTTTGTTATCCGAGGCCCGGCTTCGGGGTTTTTACCGGTGCCTTGCAGGCAATCCTTTTTACCCCTGAAGCGACCTCGTGGTGTAGTTATTTGATTCAGTCTTTCCTTCGCTCGGAGCACTTCCCTCCTTTTGCTTTTGCCACCCTTCCCCTAGAGCTTGGTCCACTCATTATCATGACTCGTACCCTCCCTCTTTTTACCCATTTCGCTGGCAATTAAGTCCGTTACACTTGATTTGCTGCGAAGCCTTCCGACCGAATCCACTCCTCGGTTGCTCTCGGTCGACTGCCGCCGCCCAGCCGACTCGACCTTCCCATCGGCCTGGTCAGCTATTTCTTGGATCGTTTGCCCTTCCTCTTTTGTCCGACCTCGTTGGCCACCATAGTCCGGTACACTGGACTTGCTGCGAGCCTTGCAGCCGCGTATCCTCCGCGGTTGCCTCTCGGTCGACTTCCGCCGCCCAGCCGACTCGACCTTCCCATCGGCCTGGTCAGCTATTTCTTGGATCGTTTGCCCTTCCTCTTTTGTCCGACCTCGTTGGCCACCATAGTCCGGTACACTGGACTTGCTGCGAGCCTTGCAGCCGCGTATCCTCCGCGGTTGCCTCTCGGTCGACTGCCGCCGCCTCGGTCGACACCCCCTTCGCTCCTTCGCGCTTTCGCGCGCTCTCTCGCTCTCTCCCTCGTCTCTCGCGTGTAGTCATCGTCATCCCCTCCGACGTTGCCTGTCACGGTAGACTTCCTTCTGGGGGGACAGTGTCAGGATGACAGCGTGTACTCGAAGGAAGCCCCCCAAGGCTATGTGCGGGTAGAGTTGACTTGACCAGAGGCTTGCCTCGGTTCACAGCATCGTCGGTGCGATGGCGTAGTCGTGAGGCGCGCGGACGCGCACTCGGTGGTTGCGGGTTCGAGGCGCCCAGACCGCAGTCTTCTTTCGGTTTGTTTTATCTTTTGTTAGCCGAGGCGCGGCTTCAGGGTTTTTACCGGTGCTCCCGCGAGCAATCCTTTTTACCCCTGAGGCGACCTCTTGGAGTGGTTGATTTGGCTAAGTCCCATCTGGGCCTGGCACAGTCCCTTCCCTTTAGTTTTACCACCTTTCCCTGGGAGCTTGGTCCGCTCTTCTCTTTTGTTGCCCCTCCTCTTCTTGTCGATCGTTTGGGAATTAAGTCCGTTATACTTGATTTCCTGCGAGCCTTTCGACCGACTCCCCTCCTCGGTTGCTCCCTTGTCGACTGCCGCCGCAACAGCCGACACTTCCTGAAATCCCCCCCCCCGTACCAACACGTGTAGACGACGTCATCCCCTCCGACGTCGCTTGCCACAGCTGGACTTCGGGATCGTCCTCGTCAAAGTCCTCGATCGAGACGGAGGCGTGCGCGGCGAACTCCAAGTCGTGAGCCACGCGGGCGAAACCCAGGTAGTCAGGGGGGCGACGAGCACGAGTGGAACTGACAGGCAACGTCGGAGGGGATGACGATGCCCACACGTGAGAGACGAGGGAGAGAGCGAGAGAGCGCGCGAAAGCGCAAAGGAGCGAAAGGGGTGTCGACCGAGAGGCAACCGCGGAGGATACACGGCTGCAAGGCTCGCAGCAAGTCCAGTGTACTGGACTATGGTGGCCAACGAGGTCGGACAGAAGAGGGAGGGCAAACGATCCAAGAAATAGCTGACCAGGCCGATGGGAAGGTCGAGTCGGCTGGGCGGCGGCAGTCGACCGAGAGCGACCGAGGAGTGGATTCGGTCGGAAGGCTTCACAGCAAATCAAGTGTAACGGACTTAATTGCCAGCGAAATGGGTAAAAAGAGGGAGGGTACGAGTCATGATAATGAGTGGACCAAGCTCTGGGGGAAGGGTGGCAAAAGCAAAGGGAGGGAAGTTGACAAGCGACGTCGGAGGGGATGACGTCGTCTACACGCGTTGGTACGGGGGGGGGGGGATTTCTGGAAGTGTCGGCTGTTGCGGCGGCAGTCGACAAGGGAGCAACCGAGGAGGGGAGTCGGTCGAAAGGCTCGCAGGAAATCAAGTATAACGGACTTAATTCCCAAACGATCGACAAGAAGAGGAGGGGCAACAAAAGAGAAGAGCGGACCAAGCTCCCAGGGAAAAGGTGGTAAAACTAAAGGGAAGGGACATCAGATTCGATGAGAACGTCTTCCCCGCTCGAGATGCCCCGACTGGCCAACCGAAGCCTCGCGCGACGTCCACTGCTGGCGACTGGACCTTCGTTGACGCTGCACATGGCTCCCGCACTGTCCCACGTCTGTCACTCCCGCCCGTCGTGCACGAAAACCGATTTGCCGCACTTGAGACCGACGCGAGCGACGACGCAACAATCGAAATGTCCGATGATGGTTTTGATACCCCGTCCGACATGTCCATGGCTCAGTTCTCGCTGTCACCTCCTGCGTCAGACGTGACCGATGACTCGGCCGACCCCATCGACTTCCTGTCATGCCCGTCTCGCGCCGCTGCCTTTGCCGCCACCACTGCAGATTCACCGGTCGTCGAACTCGAAGGGCCAACCGAGGACCCCCAATGTCAGGCAAACAGCGATACACTGACAGCAACACTCGAAGGAAGTCCCTGAGGTAATGTGCAGGTAGAGTTGAGGTCACCAAATGCTTCCCTCCATTCAAGCATTGTGGGCGTGATGGCGTAGTCGTTCGGCGCGCGGGCGCGCACTTAATGGTCGCGGGTTCAAGGCGCGCAGAGCGCAATCTTCTCTCGGTTTTTGTTCTTTTTGTTAGCTGAGGCGCGGCCTCAGGGTTTTTACCGGTGCTCCCGCGAGCAATCCTTTTTCCCCCTGAGGCGACCTCTTGGAGTAGCTGAATTGGCTAAGTCCCCTCTGCGCCTGAGTGCCTCCCTTTTGTTTTTAGCACCTTCCCACTCAGCCTGGTCCGCTACATCTCCCAAGATCCCTTCACCTTCATCCTTCGTTTTGGATCTCGTTGGCAATAAAGTCCGATATACTTGACTTGCTGCGAGCCTCACAACCGCGTCCCCTCCTCGGTTGTCCCTCGGTCGCCTGCCCCCGCCCAGTCGACCTTCCTTCGGCCTGATCCCCTCCTCCGCGTGTAGTCAACGTCTTCTGAAGAGGACGTTGCCTGCCACTTTTTTCAAGTCCGGCACCGCCAACCTTCGATCTCGCTTGCCCTTGCTCTATCCTGCATCCTGGACGAGCAATCGTCCACTACCCCTGAGTCGTCAGCTTCCTCCCCGTTGCCGAACTCATCCCCCGCTGACGCGTCGTGGTCATTCGCCACCTCATTCACTGAGTCCGACAACGAACGCGTCATCCCTTCGTACCCCTTCTTCCATCCTTCTCGAGCTCGCATCCGTTCTCCCCACAACCGCCAACCGCTACGCCGCGAACTCGCCATGGCCGAACCCACCGACACGTCGCGAGACACCACCGCCCCCGTCCGCGAAGACCCCTCGCGCGCGAATCCGCCTAAGTCCCCGCCGACGCATTCGCCGCACCCGCTCCAGGCCGCCGCCGTCATCACGTCCCTTGAATCCCGCCTCGCAGAATCGGAAGCCCTGCGCCGCGACTCGGAGACACGCATCCGCAAATTGGAGCAGATGGTGGAACGATTGATGAGAGAATCCACCGCACCTGCTGGGGCGCAGGTCGGGGAGGCTCTGCCGGTGAGACCGGTCCCCCTGGACGTCCCCCCGCACACATTTTTGGGACGCCCGGGAGCTGCCGCTGACCCCCTTGCTCGTACCCCTGGGGGGGAATCTCACAGCGGAATTAGGGACGGCCCTTCCTCGGCGGTGATTAGCTCTCGTTGGAGAGGGACATTGCCGGACCGGGAAGGGTTATGGACCGGAGATCATCCGGAAAGGTTGGTGATTTTCACTGCGTTTGGGGAGTCGTATCTTTCTCTCTTGTGCGACATCTCCACCTCCGACCTTTTCGACACGAGCCGAGTGATCCAGCTTGTGGCGACGCTATTTTTTCGTACGACAACCCGACAGCGCCGCCAATCCCCGCTCGATTGGGCCGTCGAGGCGATGAGGGACGCGCTTGGAGAAGGGCACCCTCATTGTTGGACGTCGCTCATGAAGGCAGTGGGACGTCGTTGGCCCGACCCCGGGTTCGCCGATAGAGTGGCTCAAGACTTCCACGGATGTCGCCAGTCGTCGTCTCGGGCTTACGACCATGTCGGGGAGTGGCGGGCGCGGTACCGTGCCTTCGTGCACGACAACGATAGTTTCACCCTGTCGCCGCTTCAGCTCGCCACGACCTTCTACCAATCGCTCAGTGACTCCTCCAAGCGGGAAGTGCGGGCGGGAATGTTACGTGAATACCACGACAACTCGCTGGTGACAATTGGGCGATTCGGACTGAAGGTCCCGTCCATCGACGAGATTACCGAGTGGGCCGCTATCGCCGACGACATTTCTCCTCCGCCTTCGGTTCCGACCCCACCAAGCCGCACCGCGACCTATGGCGCGATCGTCAAAGCTCCCCGAGTGAGCCCACCTGCGACCAACACGCCCACCGTCGACGAGAGGTTCCCGATCCGACGAGCTCGATGGGTCGACCGCGCTACTAAGTGGCAGCAATCGCACTTGTGGAAGGACCGCTCCACCTGGTTTTCCCCGGCGCCCAGCGGGGTACCCACCAGCATGGCTTGCTTCAACTGCGGACGAGGCGGTCATTTCTCGCAGCACTGCACCGCGGAGCGTCAATCCCCGGTCGCCGTCCAACTCTCAGCGGTCGCTGTGGCCGACTTGGATGTCGAAGATTGGTCCTCGGTCGCAGGTGGTGACGAGGATCCCGAGGTGAGAGTCCCCATTTCACTCGAGCGTGTTCAGACTCGACCTTTGAGTTCCGTTTCCGCTTCAATGACGCGCCCTTCTTGCCCTCCCGCAGACCCCGTTGGCCGAATGAAAGAAGGGGCTTCTTCTTCAGTCGACGTCGAAGTCTCATCAAGTAATCCGCAGCCAACCGCGCCGGCAAGTGATGCAGATCTACGTCGTCTTGCCGATGACTCGACCGACTCTGCGTTTGACGCGGTGGAAGACGTCCCCTCTTATGCTGATGCCGCGTCGCGAATGCGGCGATACTGGGGGCCGGAGGTGGTGTCGTCGCGCAAAGCGGAGAGGACTGCATCGGTGAGCTCTGTTCGTGTACCGGTGCCGTTGGGGGTTTCTCTCTTGGAGTCCGACACGCCCCTGATCGACGTCGACGACTTCGCCCGACCCGCCGAGCCCGCGATTGTGCGCGCCCGCAATATTATTGCGTGGACGTTGCCGTCTGGGCGAACGCTGCGTTGCCTCGTCGACTCTGGTTCGGAAGTGGACTTGGTGGATCAGGATGTCGTGCGAACAGACCCGAGTTTCACGACGTCCCGCCTTACCGCGCCGCTGCACTTGCGCCTCGGCACTCGCGACAAATCTGACCGCTGCGCCGTGTTTGCCAACGCCCTCTTCACGTCCGGTTCCCTCGACCTCGGCTTGCGGGCGTTTTTCATTTGCCGTGTGACGGCATATGATGCTATCCTGGGTTTGCCGTTTCTGAAGGACACCGGCATGCTGGTAGGCTGGGGCGTCTTCACCGTCGCACGGCCGTGTTGAACTTCGCTCCATCTCACTTCTAGGACAATATGCGCTCACTGAAGTAGAGGTGCCTCGCCTTTTGGTGCAGTGGTATATTGTTCCTTCATAGGTTATGAGCCCAGAGCAACCAGCAGGTCATGAGTTCAATCCCCCCTGGGGTCAGGCAATTTTGCGCGCATACACTCAGCGTCCCGGCCCCCGCACTTGCCCAGCGGCGTGCCAAGCACCCTGGCGCATCGACAGTGCTCACAGTGCCCAAGCTGCACTTGCCCAAGCGACCTGATCAACATGCCCAGTTGCCTCACAGCCGCACCCACTGCCACAAGCTCTTCAGCTTCGCGCACAGGGGGGTGTTGAACTTCGCTCCATCTCACTTCTAGGACAATATGCGCTCACTGAAGTAGAGGTGCCTCGCCTTTTGGTGCAGTGGTATATTGTTCCTTCATAGGCCGGGCCCTTCGCAGCCGGTCGCCAAGGGCACTCACGAGTGGGATCGCGCAGTCACGGTGGCGCCCATCTGCTCCGGCTCTGCCATTGGCTACGATCACCCAGGGTTGCTTCCTGACGACGAGATCATTGGCCTCGAGCCGCACAACCCTCTACTGGATGTCGTCGACGACCCGGCGCTCGAGGATTTGTCTGAGTCCGAAGCACGAACACGATTGGCTGCCTTACTCGAGAAATACTCTGATGTGTTCGTAGATTCGCTCCCAATGGACCGACTCCCGCCTTATCGACCCGTCAATCACGAAATCCCTTTGATCGACCCCAACGAGAAGGTCAAGCCGAGGGTCTATCCCCTTGCCGACAAATATCGTAGCCAGTGGGCGGAGCATTCAGCTAAGTACACTCGCGGTCGCTTCTGGGTTTCTGGTCCGATCGACTCTGCGGCTCCGGTCTTCGCCATTCCGAAAAAGAACTCCCAGACCGCTCGCTTTGTGATCGACCTCCGCGCTCGCAACAGCAACACCGCCAAGCGTTTTTCACCTATCCCCGACATGACCAGTGTTCGCTACGAAGTGGCACGTTCGCGCTACCGGTCCAAATTCGACGTGGCCGCAGCGTTTGAGCAGGTGCGGGTCATACCCGAGCACGTCGATCGCACCGGCTTCGCCACGGTCACGGGCACGTACACGTCGCGGGTGATGCAGTTTGGGGACACCAATGCGCCCAACACCCTGAACTTGTTGACATCGGCGATGTTTCAGCCGTGCCTCTCGTTTGCCAAGATCTTTTTCGACGATGTTCACGTCCATTCCGATACTCGTCGCGCGCACTTAAGACACATCGAGATTTTGCTGATGACACTGCGACATTATCGGTTCTACTTAGGATCCAACAAATCCGAGTGGTTCTCAAAGTCGTTAGATTCCTTGGGCGCGATCATCTCCGACGACGGCATCGAGGTCGACCCGGCCAAGTGGGAGCGTATCCGACAGTGGCCGACTCCACACAACAAGACCGACGTTCAGCGTTTCCTCGGCACCGTGAATTGGATGCGAGATCACCTGCCCCACCTCTCGATCACCTTGGAGCCCATCACCGCATTATTAGCGCAATCGACGTCGTGGCGTTGGAACGAGCGCGAGCAGCAGGCCTTCGACACCGTCAAGTCCCTCGTGCCAGCAACACTGCGACCGATCGACGGCGCTAAGGTCACCTCCGGCGAGCACAAAATCTACTTGTTCACCGATGCCAGTCGTGTTGGCATTGGCGCTTGCCTGGCCTCGGGCCCCACTCGTTCGCAGGCCATTCCTACGCGATTCTTCTCCGCTAAGTTCAATGGCGCTCAGCTCAATTATCACGTCACTGATAAGGAGTTCTTAGCCGTCGTTTCGGCGTGTCGGGCGTTCGAGCAGCACTTGATCGGTTACCCCTTCGTCATCGTCACCGACCACCAAGCCCTTCGCACGATTAAAACGCAGAAGTTACGCCAAACACCCCGGCACATCCGCATGTGTCTCGAACTCAGCCGTTTCGACTTCGAATTCGAATTCATTGCGGGCAAGAACAACTCCCTTGCCGATTCGTTGTCACGCTTGTGGGAAGTCAAGGAGGGATCGCCCGAGGATCAGGTCAAGGAGAATGAGTTGGAGGATATGTTCTTTGATGGAGAACGCCACGGATTCACTACACACGGTGAGAGCCTCCCTGAGGAACGTCCTTACACCTCACCATCTCCCGATCGGTTGCCTCCTGTTGATTTTGCCTTCGGGCCCCAACGCGACGATTGCGAGGCAGGCTCTCCCGGATACTACGCGCTCAAGGACGAATCGCAAGACGAGGACGTGAATGGACGGGATTTAGGGAATTTGTTCTTGAAGGAAGAATGCCACGAGTTCACTACACCTGGTGAGAGCCTCCCTGAGGAACGTCCTTACACCTCACCTTCGCACGATCGGTTGCCCCCTGTTGATTGTGCCTTCGGGCCCTGGGATCACGGCTACGACGCAGGCTCTCCCGGTTCCCATCGTCTGGCCGAGAACATTATGGACGCCGTCGACTCTTCTACCGGTCCCCTTTCTCCTCCCATCGCCGTCAATCGAGTTCATGCTATCGCCGCGGCCCCCGCCAACGACGCGCCCATTCCAGTCGATGCCGATGCCGATGAACTCGACTTACTGGGAGCCGCCGCCGATGAGGTCAACGACGCCCCTGTAGTCCATCGACCGCCCGACCCGCTGCCGCAACCTTTCCTCGACGCCGTCATCCGAGCCTACGCCCACGATTCGCAAGCCCAAGTCATTGTTGACGACCCGCTGTCATGGCCGATGTTTCGGGTGACCGAGGAAGGGAGGATCTTGCGTGTACATCCAGATGAGTCTCTTTCCCTGTTTGTGCCTCGCGGTCTCGCTACCGGCGTTGTCGACTCCGACAAGCTCCCATCGCTGCGCGAGCTCGTGCTTTCGGAGATCCATCGGAGCGTCGGGCACGCGGGACATCGCATCACCTTGGCCGCCATACGTCCTTTGTATTGGTGGTCGTCCATGTCTGCCGATTGCGCCAAGTTCTGCCATTCATGCGAAGATTGTGCCCGAGGCAAAGCGTCCACTCAAGTCCCTTATGGCCGACTGCATCCGATGCCGATCCCTTCTGGCCCATGGGAACAAGTGGCCATCGACTTCATGACGGGACTGCCTCCGGTCGAGTTCGAAGGGATGATGGTCGCTCAAATCATGGTGGTCACTGACACTTGGGGCAAGATGGTCCACCTGATTCCCCTCCCAGCCGACGCCGACTCCGAGCTCGTTGCCGACAGGTACTACGCCACCATCTTTCGACTGCATGGGACGCCTTCCGCCATCGTTTCCGATCGCGATCCCAAGTTCACCTCGCAGTTTTGGCGAGCATTGCAGGCGAAGGTCGGCACCGTCTTGCGGATGTCAACAGCGGCGCACCCAGAGACCGACGGATCGAGTGAGAACCGAATCAAGATGGTCACCCAAACCCTGCGCATCATGGTGTCGTCAAACCACGAGGCTTGGGCATCTCGTCTTGTTGAAGCTGAGTTCGCTCTTAACTCTTCCGTTGCTGTTTCCACGTCTCTGTCGGCTTTCGAGGCGACTTACGGTTACCTTCCTCGACGCTGGCCCACCGATTCCTGGTCTGTCTCGGACGTCCCGCGTGCGGAAGCGTTTGCCCGAATCCGACAGTTACGGAATCTCGACGTCACGGATGCGATCATTGGTGCACGCCTCGATCAGACTCACCAGGCCAACAAGCATCGACGCCCGGATGATCCCGCCTTTCGGACCGGCAGTTATGTCTATCTTTCGACCAAGAACCTGGCAGTTCCTGAAGGGATGAAGTCGAAGTTGTTGCCGCGCTACATTGGTCCTTTCCGTATCCGAGCGGCCATTCCAGCGACGTCCAGTTACGACCTCGAGCTTGTTGAACTTCGCTCCATCTCACTTCTAGGACAATATGCGCTCACTGAAGTAGAGGTGCCTCGCCTTTTGGTGCAGTGGTATATTGTTCTTTCATAGGTTATGAGCCCAGAGCAACCAGCAGGTCATGAGTTCAATCCCCCCTGGGGTCAGGCAATTTTGCGCGCATACACTCAGCGTCCCGGCCCCCGCACTTGCCCAGCGGCGTGCCAAGCACCCTGGCGCATCGACAGTGCTCACAGTGCCCAAGCTGCACTTGCCCAAGCGACCTGATCAACATGCCCAGTTGCCTCACAGCCGCACCCACTGCCACAAGCTCTTCAGCTTCGCGCACAGGGGGGTGTTGAACTTCGCTCCATCTCACTTCTAGGACAATATGCGCTCACTGAAGTAGAGGTGCCTCGCCTTTTGGTGCAGTGGTATATTGTTCCTTCATAGAGCTTCCCCCAGCAATGTCGCGAGTGCACAGTCGCTTCCATGCTCGACTGCTTCGCCCCTATGTTGAGAACGATGCTGAGAGGTTCCCTGGGCGTGACCCCGCAGTTCTTTTTGTTGAAGATGTAGCCGACGCGGCCGACAACTCCGCCATTCCGGAACGGATTGTTCGCGATCGTCGGAACGCTCGGGGCAATCGTTCGTTCTTGGTTCGATGGATTGGCCGTAAGGACATCGATGACACTTGGATGTCAGAGCAGTCCCTCCGCTTCGACCATCCATCCCTACTCGACGCCTACCTGGCACAACTCGATCGCTCAAATCGCCGCCTGTCCTCCCGGTAGACTTCCTTCTGGGGGGGACAATGTCAGGCAAACAGCGATACACTGACAGCAACACTCGAAGGAAGTCCCTGAGGTAATGTGCAGGTAGAGTTGAGGTCACCAAATGCTTCCCTCCATTCAAGCATTGTGGGCGTGATGGCGTAGTCGTTCGGCGCGCGGGCGCGCACTTAATGGTCGCGGGTTCAAGGCGCGCAGAGCGCAATCTTCTCTCGGTTTTTGTTCTTTTTGTTAGCTGAGGCGCGGCCTCAGGGTTTTTACCGGTGCTCCCGCGAGCAATCCTTTTTCCCCCTGAGGCGACCTCTTGGAGTAGCTGAATTGGCTAAGTCCCCTCTGCGCCTGAGTGCCTCCCTTTTGTTTTTAGCACCTTCCCACTCAGCCTGGTCCGCTACATCTCCCAAGATCCCTTCACCTTCATCCTTCGTTTTGGATCTCGTTGGCAATAAAGTCCGATATACTTGACTTGCTGCGAGCCTCACAACCGCGTCCCCTCCTCGGTTGTCCCTCGGTCGCCTGCCCCCGCCCAGTCGACCTTCCTTCGGCCTGATCCCCTCCTCCGCGTGTAGTCAACGTCTTCTGAAGAGGACGTTGCCTGCCACCCAGAATTGGTCGCAGGCGGTCAAGTCAGGTAAAGAGGAGATCTGGCGGCAAGCAGCAGCCGGCGAGTTTCACTCCCTTGCCACCGAGTACAAATGCTTCACCCCTGTTGACTCCTCCTCACTGCCCCCTGGCGCCAAAGTCCTCGGATCCAGGTTCATCTTCCGCACCAAACGCGACCAACTTGGCAAGATCACTTCGCACAAGGGCCGGCTCGTTGCACAGGGATTCTCCCAGCACCCAGGTATCGATTACGACGAGACTTTTGCCCCTGTTGCCAAGTTCACCTCCATCCGAGCTCTCATCGCCCTGGCCGCCGCCAAGAAACTCCACGTCCATCAGGCCGACGTTTATGAGACGATCACCACTACTGTCAGGAGAGGTTGAGAGTCAAACAGAAGTGATGAGAAGGAAGCTAAGAGACAGAAAGGGGGGCCACGCTGGGATAGGCCCAGGCGCGTGACAATGTACATCCCTAAGTCACCCGCGGGTGAAATTGCCGGCGCGCCTAAGTCCCCACCGCCGGGGGGCGGGCTAGCAAGTGCGCGCAACGACCGAGGCGCCCCTGTCGAGCTGAGAGTGGACTCTTCACAACGTTGACAAGGCGTACCTCCACGGCGAGCTGAAGGAAGACCTCTACATGCGCGTCCCACAAGGTGTTGACATGCCCGGTAAAGTCCTCAAGCTCCATCGATCAATCTACGGCCTCAAGCAGGCCGGCCGAGTCTGGAACGAGCACATTGACTTGACGCTGAAAAGCCTCCACTACCGCGCCACAGCCAAGGACCACTGCGTGTACGTACGACGCGACGGCGACCACTACCACTACATCGCCCTCTACGTCGACGAATTGCTGATGGTCAGCCCCTCGGAGGACGAGATTGAGCGCATCCTCAACGGCCTGGAGCAAAAATACGGCATCAAGCGACTTGGCCCAGCCCAGTACATCTTGGGGATCCAGATCAAGCGACAGGCCGACAAGTCCATCATCCTGTCGCAAGAGGCGTACATCACGAGCATCCTCCGCAGATTTGGCATGTCAGACAGCAGCCCCGCCTCCACGCCCATGGCCCCGAACCGACAGCTCGAACATTCGCTCGCGGAAACATCCAAAACTGCTAGGACACGCTACATGCAGGCTATTGGATGCCTCCTGTACGCCGCCACCGGTACTCGCCCGGACATTTCCTACGCTGTCGGATACCTCGCACGCTTCTCTGCCAGTCCCACACCCGAACACTGGACGGCCATCAAGACCGTATTTCGGTACTTACGTGGAACCGCACGTCTAGGCCTGCACTACAGCTCTGAACAAGGCAAGTTCTCAGGCTTCACCGGTTACTCTGATGCAGACTGGGGAACCTGCACCACATCGTCACGGTCGACCATGGGGTACAGCTTCCACCTGGCCGGATCTGTCATCTCTTGGTCCTCCAAAGTGCAAAACCGTGTGGCCGACTCCACCACAGACGCCGAGTACCTCGCCCTCTCACACGCCTCCAAGGAAGCTGGTCACCTCCAAGAACTGCTTATGGAACTGGGCATCGACACACGAGCTCCCGTCCAGCTGTACGGCGACAACCAAGGTGCTATTGCTCTCGCCAAGAACCCCACCCTTCACCACCGGTCCCATCACATTCGCATTCGTGAGCACTTTGTACGCGACCAGGTCAGGCTGGGCACCATCCAAGTCGACTATGTGGACACGAAAACCATGGTCGCCGACATCTTCACCAAGGCACTTGGACCCTTGGTGTTCAAGGTACATCGTGACAACCTGGGTCTTCGAGGCTAAGTAAGCTTCGAGCGCGGGGGGGTGTTGAATTCCATACACTCTTGCTTAGGTCGATCTCCAGCCCGCGCCCAGCCTAGCCAGCCGCGCGCCGCTCGGACCCCTTTTGGACTTGGAGATATTTCGCGCACTCGCACCGCGAGCCTCTTTAGTCTTCCCCCTAACGCTCCAAACTACTTCCTAACACTCGTACTGTGTCTCGTGTACTCACTGGTTACCGATCCAGTCCCCTCTCGAGACACACGACTTAACAGTTGTCGCGTCTGTGGGAGGTCAAGGAGGGATCGCACGAGGATCAGGTCAAGGAGAATGAGTTGGAGGACATGTTCTTTGATGGAGAACGCCACGAATTCACTACACCCGGTGAGAGCCTCCCTGAGGAACATCCTTGCACTTCACCATCTCCCGATCGGTTGCCTCCTGTTGATTTTGCCCTCGGGCCCCAACACGACGATTGCGAGGCAGGCTCTCCCGGATACTACGCGCTCAAGGAGGAATCGCAAGACGAGGACGTGAATGGACAGGAATTAGGGAATTTGTTCTTGAAGGAAGAATGCCACGAGTTCATTACGCCCGGTGAGAGCCTCCTCGAGGAATGTCCTTACACCTCACCTTCGCACGATCGGTTGCCCCCTGTTGATTGCGCCTTCGGGCCCTGGGGTCACGGTTACGACACAGGCTCTCCCGGTTCCCCTCATCTGGCCGAGAACATTATGGACGCCGTCGATTCGTCTATCGGCCGCCTCTCTCCTCCCATCGCTGTCAATCGAGTTCACGCTATCGCTGCGGCCCCCGCCAACGACCCGCCCATTCCGGTCGATGCCGACGCCGACGAACTCGATTTGTTGGGAGTTGCCACCGATGACGTCAACGACACCCCTGTAGTCCATCGGCCGCCTGATCCACTGCCCCAACCCTTCCTCGACACCGTCATCCGAGCATACGCCAACGATTCGCAAGCCCAGGTCATCATTACCGACCCGCTATCATGGCCTATGTTTCGGGTGACCGAGGAAGGGAGGATTTTGCGTGTACATCCAGATGAGTCTATTTCCTTGTTTGTGCCTCGTGGTCTCGCTACCGGCGTCGTCAACTCCGACAAGGTCCCATCGCTGCGCGAGCTCGTGCTTTCGGAGATTCATCGGAGTGTCGGGCATGCAGGACATCGCATCACCTTGGCCGCCATCCGTCCTTTGTACTGGTGGTCGTCCATGTCTGCCGATTGCGCCGAGTTCTGCCGTTCATGTGAAGACTGTACCCGAGGCAAGGCGTCCACTCAAGTCCCCTATGGCCGACTGCATCCGATGCCGATCCCTTCTGGTCCTTGGGAACAAGTGGCCATCGACTTCATGACAGGACTGCCTCCGGTCGAGCTCGAAGGGATGATGGTTGCTCAAATAATGGTGGTCACTGACACTTGGGGCAAGATGATCCACCTGATTCCCCTCCCAGCCGATGCCGACTCGGAGCTCGTTGCCGAGAAGTACTACGCCACCGTCTTCCGACTGCATGGGATGCCTTCCGCCATCGTTTCCGACCGTGATCCCAAGTTCACCTCGCAGTTTTGGCGGGCATTGCAGGCAAAGATTGGCACCGTCTTGCGAATGTCAACCGCGGCACACCCGGAGACGGACGGATCGAGCGAGAATCGGATCAAGATGGTCACCCAAACCCTGCGGATCATGGTCTCGTCAAACCACGAGGCTTGGGCATCTCGTCTTGTTGAAGCTGAGTTCGCTCTTAACTCTTCTGTTGCTGTGTCCACGTCGCTGTCGGCTTTTGAGGCAACCTACGGCTACCTTCCTCGACGCTGGCCCTCGGATTCCTGGTCTGTCTCGGACGTCCCTTGTGCGGAAGTGTTTGCTCGGATCCGACAATTACGGAACCTCGACGTGACGGATGCGATCATTGGAGCACGCCTCAACCAGTCTCATCAGGCCAACAAGCATCGACGCCCAGACGACCCCGCCTTTCGGACCGGCAGTTACGTCTATCTTTCGACAAAGAACCTGGCAGTTCCTGACGGCATGAAGTCGAAGTTGTTGCCGCGCTACATCGGCCCCTTCCGTATCCGAGCGGCCATCCCTGCGACGTCCAGCTACGACCTCGAGCTCCCTCCAGCGATGTCGCGAGTGCACAATCGTTTCCATGCTCGACTGCTTCGGCCTTGCATTGAGAATGATGCTGAAAGGTTTCCTGGGCGTGACCCCGCAGTTCTTTTTGTCGAAGACGTAGCCGACGCGGCCGACAATTCTGCGATTCCGGAACGGATTGTAGTGTCGTGTACTCGGCGTCCTTGATCGTGTCGCATCCGAGCGCGTCGCAGAGCACACCCCTTGCCGCGGTCCAGACGTTCCGCGAGTCGACACAGCCGAAGAAGTAGTGATCGGTGTCGTCCACCGGCGCTTCGCACACGAGGCACGCGGGAGAAGTGTCATGCTTTTGCTCGTGCTGGAGCTTGCGCGTCGGGGTGAAGCGGAGGATCAGCTTGAACCAAACTTCCCTCTCCCTCGCCGTCAGTGCCTTCGAGTTGACTGCCTTCCAGAAGCTCCTGAGGTCGTCCGGCTGCGGTGGTCCCTTGAGCCCGAGCATGTTGGTAAATGCCTTCGCGTTCAGGACCCGGCGGATGCGACGGACTGTGTAGGGGCGAGCCATGTTCAGCAGCGTATACTGGCTCGCCTGTTGTGGAAGCACCGGGTCCGGAAGGCGCTGCTCCATTGCGAAGCGGGCCACGGGCTTGGGGATGATCGCCTCGAGCGGTGCGCTGGTGCCGATCCGGGGAGGCACTGTCAGGAGCACAGCCTGCACTGCCATCAATACTCGAAGGAAGTCTCCCAAGTTTGCGGCCGGAGTCGACATCAGCTACCGGTTTGTTCGTTGCAAGCATTGTCGGCGCGATGGTGTAGTCGTGAGGGCGCGCGGGCGCGCACTCAGTGGTCGAGGGTTCGATCCGCCCGGAGCGTGATCTGCCTTTTGGTTTCTTTTCCTTTTTGTTATCCGAGGCCCGGCTTCGGGGTTTTTACCGGTGCCTTGCAGGCAATCCTTTTTACCCCTGAAGCGACCTCGTGGTGTAGTTATTTGATTCAGTCTTTCCTTCGCTCGGAGCACTTCCCTCCTTTTGCTTTTGCCACCCTTCCCCTAGAGCTTGGTCCACTCATTATCATGACTCGTACCCTCCCTCTTTTTACCCATTTCGCTGGCAATTAAGTCCGTTACACTTGATTTGCTGCGAAGCCTTCCGACCGAATCCACTCCTCGGTTGCTCTCGGTCGACTGCCGCCGCCCAGCCGACTCGACCTTCCCATCGGCCTGGTCAGCTATTTCTTGGATCGTTTGCCCTTCCTCTTTTGTCCGACCTCGTTGGCCACCATAGTCCGGTACACTGGACTTGCTGCGAGCCTTGCAGCCGCGTATCCTCCGCGGTTGCCTCTCGGTCGACTTCCGCCGCCCAGCCGACTCGACCTTCCCACCGGCCTGGTCAGCTATTTCTTGGATCGTTTGCCCTCCCTCTTCTGTCCGACCTCGTTGGCTACCATAGTTCGGTACACTGGACTTGCTGCGAGCCTTGCAGCCGCGTATCCTCCGCGGTTGCCTCTCGGTCGACTGCCGCCGCCTCGGTCGACACCCCCTTCGCTCCTTCGCGCTTTCGCGCGCTCTCTCGCTCTCTCCCTCGTCTCTCGCGTGTAGTCATCGTCATCCCCTCCGACGTTGCCTGTCAGGCACGTTGAGTCGTCCCGCCGCCACCGCCGCCGCCAAGGGGGTGTTCTTGTGTCGATCGACAGTGAACCGGTACCAGGCCGCGATTGCCAGTCGCTGCGGGAGCCCACGTCAATTGTACTCGCTGTTGTCGCCGAGCACATCCGCCGGCGGCGTCCAGAGGTGAAACCCCCCACCCGCATACAACTCGCGCCGATAGAGATCCGCCACCTTCGGGTAGCCCTGGAGATGAAGGTAGTCAGGTACATGAACCGGGTCGATGGTCTGTCTCCCTCTGATGGGGGTGTGGAGGCTGCCGAGCAGGGTGGGCAGCGCGAGCAGGTTTGCGGTGGTCAAGGCTGTCAGGAGCACAGCCTGCACTGCCATCAATACTCGAAGGAAGTCTCCCAAGTTTGCGGCCGGAGTCGACATCAGCTACCGGTTTGTTCGTTGCAAGCATTGTCGGCGCGATGGTGTAGTCGTGAGGGCGCGCGGGCGCGCACTCAGTGGTCGAGGGTTCGATCCGCCCGGAGCGTGATCTGCCTTTTGGTTTCTTTTCCTTTTTGTTATCCGAGGCCCGGCTTCGGGGTTTTTACCGGTGCCTTGCAGGCAATCCTTTTTACCCCTGAAGCGACCTCGTGGTGTAGTTATTTGATTCAGTCTTTCCTTCGCTGGGAGCACTTCCCTCCCTTTGCTTTTGCCACCCTTCCCCTAGAGCTTGGTCCACTCATTATCATGACTCGTACCCTCCCTCTTTTTACCCATTTCGCTGGCAATTAAGTCCGTTACACTTGATTTGCTGCGAAGCCTTCCGACCGAATCCACTCCTCGGTTGCTCTCGGTCGACTGCCGCCGCCCAGCCGACTCGACCTTCCCATCGGCCTGGTCAGCTATTTCTTGGATCGTTTGCCCTTCCTCTTTTGTCCGACCTCGTTGGCCACCATAGTCCGGTACACTGGACTTGCTGCGAGCCTTGCAGCCGCGTATCCTCCGCGGTTGCCTCTCGGTCGACTTCCGCCGCCCAGCCGACTCGACCTTCCCACCGGCCTGGTCAGCTATTTCTTGGATCGTTTGCCCTCCCTCTTCTGTCCGACCTCGTTGGCTACCATAGTTCGGTACACTGGACTTGCTGCGAGCCTTGCAGCCGCGTATCCTCCGCGGTTGCCTCTCGGTCGACTGCCGCCGCCTCGGTCGACACCCCTTTCGCTCCTTCGCGCTTTCGCGCGCTCTCTCGCTCTCTCCCTCGTCTCTCGCGTGTAGTCATCGTCATCCCCTCCGACGTTGCCTGTCACTTTTTTCAAGTTCGGCATTGCTAGCGACAGTCCCAGCTTCTCTCACCGCTCAGTCCCACACCCTGGACGAGCATTCCCGCCCTCCCGCCCTTCGTCTTCGCGTCGTCCGCCTCCTCTCCGTTCGGCCTCTCGAGTTCGGCCTCTTTGACGACCGCGTGGTTCCTCCCCCCCACCCCCCCACACCTCCCCCACCCCCCACCCCCCCACCTCTTCTTACCGTCTCGTGACCGCCCTCGTTCGCCCTGGAATCGCTGTTGACTGTGAGTTGAGTGATCGCCATGGCCGCCGAGTGTGACACGTCGCGCGCCGCTGCCGCAGCCAGCGCGCCGCGCCTCTTCGCAACCGCGACCCCGGCCGCGCGAACCCGCCCAAGTCCGCCTGCCACCACACTCGTTTCGCACCGCCGCCGCCTTATTGCATGGTCGCCTCGTGCCCGCCTCGTTCGTCCTGGAATCATCGACTGTCGTGTTGAGCGATCGCCATGGCCACCGAGCGCGACACGTCCTGCGCCGCTGCCGAAGACGGCCCGCCGTCCCCTTCCGCCAATCCGACCCCGGCCGAGCACGGCCAACTCCGACCGACCCGGCCGCGCGAAACCGCCTAAGTCCGCCCGCCGCCCAACTCATTCCGCACCGTCACCGCCTCGCCGCACGGTAGACTTCCTTCTGGGGGGGATAGTGTCAGGAGCACAGCCTGCACTGCCATCAATACTCGAAGGAAGTCTCCCAAGTTTGCGGCCGGAGTCGACATCAGCTACCGGTTTGTTCGTTGCAAGCATTGTCGGCGCGATGGTGTAGTCGTGAGGGCGCGCGGGCGCGCACTCAGTGGTCGAGGGTTCGATCCGCCCGGAGCGTGATCTGCCTTTTGGTTTCTTTTCCTTTTTGTTATCCGAGGCCCGGCTTCGGGGTTTTTACCGGTGCCTTGCAGGCAATCCTTTTTACCCCTGAAGCGACCTCGTGGTGTAGTTATTTGATTCAGTCTTTCCTTCGCTGGGAGCACTTCCCTCCCTTTGCTTTTGCCACCCTTCCCCTAGAGCTTGGTCCACTCATTATCATGACTCGTACCCTCCCTCTTTTTACCCATTTCGCTGGCAATTAAGTCCGTTACACTTGATTTGCTGCGAAGCCTTCCGACCGAATCCACTCCTCGGTTGCTCTCGGTCGACTGCCGCCGCCCAGCCGACTCGACCTTCCCATCGGCCTGGTCAGCTATTTCTTGGATCGTTTGCCCTTCCTCTTTTGTCCGACCTCGTTGGCCACCATAGTCCGGTACACTGGACTTGCTGCGAGCCTTGCAGCCGCGTATCCTCCGCGGTTGCCTCTCGGTCGACTTCCGCCGCCCAGCCGACTCGACCTTCCCACCGGCCTGGTCAGCTATTTCTTGGATCGTTTGCCCTCCCTCTTCTGTCCGACCTCGTTGGCTACCATAGTTCGGTACACTGGACTTGCTGCGAGCCTTGCAGCCGCGTATCCTCCGCGGTTGCCTCTCGGTCGACTGCCGCCGCCTCGGTCGACACCCCTTTCGCTCCTTCGCGCTTTCGCGCGCTCTCTCGCTCTCTCCCTCGTCTCTCGCGTGTAGTCATCGTCATCCCCTCCGACGTTGCCTGTCATGCCGTGAGCGAGAGGCCGGGCGTCATCGGCACCGTAGTGCCGCGTGTCGTGGTGTCGAAGTGGAAACGGGCCAGCACGTCCATGATGTAGCGCTCCTGGGATAGAGCAATGGAACCGTCGTCCAGGCGGCGTATTTGGATTCCGAGGATGTACTCCGCGGGGCCGAGTCGTTTGACGCCGTACCGCTGTTCAAGGCCGGAGATGACACGTTCGATCTCGTCGAGGGCTGGACTGACAATGAGGAGGTCGTCGACATACAAGGCGATATAGTGAGGCCGCTGCTGATCGTCAATGCAAGAGTAAATGCAGTGATCAGTGCCTGTTGCCTTGTACCCCAGATTCCTGAGTGATGTGTCAATGTGACGATTCCAGATGCGACCGGCCTGCTTGAGACCGTAGATTGAGCGTCGCAGCCGGAGAACCTTATCGCTCGGGAAGTCGAAACCGCGTGGTGTCGTCATCCAGATATCATGATCGAGCTCGCCGTGGAGGTAAGCCTTGTCGATGTCGGCCTGATGAACGTGGTAGCCATTGGCAGCGGCAAGAGCCAGGAGGCAGCGAATGGAGGAGAAACGGGCGACGGGTGCGAAGGTTTCTGAGAAGTCGATGCCGTCGCGCTGTCGGTTACCCTGCGCTACAAGACGTGCCTTCCGCCCCGTGACTTCACCGCTTGCGTTGCGCTTGGTCTTCCAGACGAATTTGGAGGTGACGATGGTGGCGCCCGGCGGTACAGATGAGCGAGGCTCGATGGTGAACACCTTGAAGTCGTCGCGCATGGCGGTGAACTCGGCGGCGGCGGCCTCAGCCCAGATGTTGTGCTCGTCGCTGGACATTGCTTCGCGCCAGGTCTGGGGGTCGCTAGTGATCGATTTGACGGGCTCGATGGCGTCGAGGGTGGGGTCGTCGTCGTCTGTGGCGATGAAGGCGCGGTGGTGTTGGGTGAGGAAATCGATTTCATCCGGCGATTCATCGCGCGAGTGACGCCCAATGATGTCGAGTTCGTCGGGCGACTCCTCAGCCGATGCGGGCTCACGGTACGTGCTGAAGTCTGGGCGGTGCACGTCCGGTGGGCCAAGGCGAGTCGGGGTCTGTGAGCCGATGAGGTCCAGAGGGTCGGCGGAGTAGTCAGAGTCGGTCGGTGAGACCGAGGGTGACGATGACGCTGCCAACGACGGTGACAGCGCAGGCGACGGTGACAAAGGGTTTGTGGGCGACGGTGACGAGGACGGCTCAGGAGACGGTGACGAGGACGATTCGGTATCTGTGGAATTAAGTAAGGTTCCGCCAGTGTACCCTGGGGCCACGTCAACGGCGCTCATGGCAGAATCATCAAGGGAGGATGAGACGTCCATGTGCGCCGACCTTACTAGTGGGGTCCTCGTCTTGACGGCAGGGGCGGGCGTGTCGGCGGGAACGACGAACTGACGGTCGGTGTCGTCTGCATCGACGGGCGTGGTGACTGGCAGGCCGGGGAAGTCGTCGTCGAGGAAGGTGGCATTGCGACCAAGTACAATCTTGTTGATGGAATGGTCAAAGAAACGGAAAGCTTTGGAGGCGAGGTCGTAACCTGTGAAGATCACGCGCGCGGCCTTGGGGTCGAGCTTGCTGCGAAGGTCCGGGGCGACCGTGAGCCAGGCTGTGCAGCCGAACGGGTGGAGGGCGGTGGCGGTGGTGCGTTGGCCGTTCCAAACGGATTCTGGAGTCTGTTTGGCCAAAGCTGAGTGTGAGCACCTGTTTTTGCAATAAACGAAATACGCAGCCGCTTCATCCCAAAAGGTGGCCGGCAGACGGGCGTCCGCAAGGAGAGCGAGGACGCCCTCGACGATGGAGAGGTTGACACGTTCGGCGCGACCGTTTTGTTGAGGCGTGTAAGGGATAGAGTATTGACGACGAATGCCCTTGGATTTGCAGAACTCCGTGAATGCGTTTGATCGGTACTCCCCGCCATTGTCGGTTCGAAGGATCCTCAACCGCGCGTTCGTCTCTAACTCCACTTCGGCGAGCCAAGTCTGGAAGGTCGGGAAAACATCGCTTTTGTGATCGATCGCATATGCCCAGAGTTTGCGAGAGTGGTCGTCTAGAAACGTGACAAGGTAGCGCTTCCCGGTCAAGGACGGAGTGGGGAACGACAGGACGTCGCTGTGCACGAGGCCAAGTCTCTCGGCGGAATGCGACTCAGAGTCGGGAAAGGGAAGGCGGTGACCTTTGGAACCAAGGCAAGCATTGCAAACAAACTCCTCTACGTCTTTGTCACTGTACCCGGCCCCAAACCCGTCCAGCAAACCTGCAGCAATCATCTTCTGTATAGAGGATGGGGCAAGATGGCCGAGGCAGCGGTGTAGGGTAAGCAGGGGCACGGGAGACTCAGAGCGTGAGAGGAAGGCAAGATGCTGGCACTTGGTGTGATCCGCGTCCAAAAGGTAAAGACCGTCGTTGACCCTGGTACCGTGAGCAATGGCCCGGCCGTCCTTGGCGATGTCGATGCCGTCGCTGGTGAAGGCGAGACGAACGCGGTCGGTGTCGCAGAGGCGAGAGACAGAGAGGAGGTTGACGTGTAGGCCAGGCGTGTGAAGAACACCACGGAGCGTGATCGTGTTGAACTTCGCTCCATCTCACTTCTAGGACAATATGCGCTCACTGAAGTAGAGGTGCCTCGCCTTTTGGTGCAGTGGTATATTGTTCCTTCATAGGTTATGAGCCCAGAGCAACCAGCAGGTCATGAGTTCAATCCCCCCTGGGGTCAGGCAATTTTGCGCGCATACACTCAGCGTCCCGGCCCCCGCACTTGCCCAGCAGCGTGCCAAGCACCCTGGCGCATCGACAGTGCTCACAGTGCCCAAGCTGCACTTGCCCAAGCGACCTGATCAACATGCCCAGTTGCCTCACAGCCGCACCCACTGCCACAAGCTCTTCAGCTTCGCGCACAGGGGGGTGTTGAACTTCGCTCCATCTCACTTCTAGGACAATATGCGCTCACTGAAGTAGAGGTGCCTCGCCTTTTGGTGCAGTGGTATATTGTTCCTTCATAGATCGGGTGTCCAGTCTTGGCGACGAATGCCACGTCCCCCATGCCGATAGCCGTGATGCCGCCCGCGATGCCGCCGATCTTGGTGTGTGCCGTCTGACGATAAGTCGTGAATAGAGATCGGTCGGCGACCATGTGTGTCGTGGCACCCGAATCGACTACAAAGGCGTCAGTTGGGAGTTGGCGACGAGCGAAGAGGCAGGAGGCGAAATAGCCGACGTTCGGTTGCGAGGCCGCGGAGGAAGACGTGTCGTCCTGGGTGTCGTCGCTGCTACGTGCCTGTTCACCCCGGTTCTTGCAGTCGAGTGCCCAGTGACCTTTCTTGTGGCATCGGCGGCAGGGGCCGGTGGGCGGGTGCTTCGCACGTGAAGTGCAGTCGCGCAGGCGGTGACCGGGAGCGCGGCAGGCGGGGCAGGGGGAGCTGGTGGCAAGCATGGCCGAATGCGAGGTCGAGAGTCCTGCCGAACGAAGCTGGATGCGAATGCGGTCCGTAAGCGTCGTGAGTTCGGGAAGGTCGCGTCGGTTTCGCTGCTCGTCCGTGAACGTGAGTCGGAAGCTGTCGAGGCAAGACGGGACCATGGCGAGCACGTGGGTGGCGAGCACGTCGTTGAGCGATGTTTTGGCGTCGCGTATTTCCTGAGCAATCGACATGTACTCGCGTAGCCAAGTGTCGTAGGCCTCGACGGAGGCAGGCATCTTCCTGAAGTCCCAAAGGCGAGCGAACAACTCGAGAGTGCGTGTAGCGTCGTCCGGTGCAAAACGAGCCTTGAGAGCGGCAAAGATGCGCGGTGCCGACAGGTCGTCGCTGGGGATGGCGTCGAGGGTGGCCGATACGTCGGCGGAGTCGATAGAGCCAACGATGATTTCCCGGGCGGCGTCGTCACGTGCGGCAAGCTGGTCGGCGGTCCAGGTCGGGGGAACGACACCGTCGAGAACGTAACCACGAACCTGGTTCGGGAGTGCAAGACGGAGTTGACGCAACCAGTTGGTGAACGACTTGGGGCCGTCCAGACGAGCGTGCTTGGGAAACACGACCTTGGATGCGGTGGCGGCGTTCCCCGGCACGACGGTGACGGCCGGGGGTGCGGCGGCTGCGGCGGCGGCGGGTTGCGAGGCCTGCAGAGCGGCAAGCTGGGCCTGTAGAGTGGCGATTTGTTCGCCGATCGAAGATTCAGGGGAGCTGGGATCCCTGGGGGCCAAAGGCGAGGCGGGAGAGCTGTCCATGATGTGATGGTGCGATGGACGTGTGCGGCTCGAGTGGCTGGGCTCGAGCGAAAAAGCCTCAAACGGCGGGGCTGGTAGCTCGTGGGCTTATAACCTATTCGATCAACTCTACTACGTCAGCGATGTAGTTATAGCCAAGAGTGATGAATAGGAAGCTAACAATAAGAGACCCGCGCACCCCAAGTCCACAGCCAGCGAGCCTGGGGCTGAGCCAATGGCCCAGGCTCGCTCCGCGCGCCTAAGTCCCAGGCTCGCTTCGCGCGCCTAAGTCCTGGGCCGGGGCGCCCGGCTCACTCCGCGCGCCTAAGTCCGCGCCCGGTTCGCTCCGCGCGCCTAAGTCCTGAGCCGAGCGGAGAGTGGATTCCTCACATGGACCTCATCGGCTCACAGACCCCGACTCGCCTTGGCCCACCGGACGTGCACCGCCCAGACTTCAGCACGTACCGTGAGCCCGCATCGGCTGAGGAGTCGCCCGACGAACTCGACATCATTGGGCGTCACTCGCGCGATGAATCGCCGGATGAAATCGATTTCCTCACCCAACACCACCGCGCCTTCATCGCCACAGACGACGACGACCCCACCCTCGACGCCATCGAGCCCGTCAAATCGATCACTAGCGACCCCCAGACCTGGCGCGAAGCAATGTCCAGCGACGAGCACAACATCTGGGCTGAGGCCGCCGCCGCCGAGTTCACCGCCATGCGCGACGACTTCAAGGTGTTCACCATCGAGCCTCGCTCATCTGTACCGCCGGGCGCCACCATCGTCACCTCCAAATTCGTCTGGAAGACCAAGCGCAACGCAAGCGGTGAAGTCACGGGGCGGAAGGTACGTCTTGTAGCGCAGGGTAACCGACAGCGCGACGGCATCGACTTCTCAGAAACCTTCGCACCCGTCGCCCGTTTCTCCTCCATTCGCTGCCTCCTGGCTCTTGCCGCTGCCAATGGCTACCACGTTCATCAGGCCGACATCGACAAGGCTTACCTCCACGGCGAGCTCGATCATGATATCTGGATGACGACACCACGCGGTTTCGACTTCCCGAGCGATAAGGTTCTCCGGCTGCGACGCTCAATCTACGGTCTCAAGCAGGCCGGTCGCATCTGGAATCGTCACATTGACACATCACTCAGGAATCTGGGGTACAAGGCAACAGGCACTGATCACTGCATTTACTCTTGCATTGACGATCAGCAGCGGCCTCACTATATTGCCTTGTATGTCGACGACCTCCTCATTGTCAGTCCAGCCCTCGACGAGATCGAACGTGTCATCTCCGGCCTTGAACAGCGGTACGGCGTCAAACGACTCGGCCCCGCGGAGTACATCCTCGGAATCCAAATACGCCGCCTGGACGACGGTTCCATTGCTCTATCCCAGGAGCGCTACATCATGGACGTGCTGGCCCGTTTCCACTTCGACACCACGACACGCGGCACTACGGTGCCGATGACGCCCGGCCTCTCGCTCACGGCAATTCCGGGTCAGGGAACGGAGCGCATTCGTTCGTGGTACCTACAGGCCATCGGCTCCCTCCTCTACATCTCCCTTGGCACTCGACCCGACATTGCCTTCGCCGTCTCGTACCTGTCCCGGTTCGCCAACAACCCCGGCCGCCGCCATTGGATTGCCGTCAAACACGTCCTTCGCTACCTTCGCGCCACGTACCGCGATGAGCTTCTCTATGCCCGCGGCCCAGCAAAAGTCACGGGTGTGGTTGGTTATTCTGATGCGAACTGGGGCGCCTGCGTCGACACATCCATTTCAACGATGGGCTACGTATTTTACTTGGCAGGCGCCGCTGTCTCTTGGTCGTCGAAGCGTCAGACTCGGGTAGCGGATTCCACCACTGATGCCGAGTACCTGGCCTTGTCGCACGCGGGTAAGGAAGCGATCTACCTTAACCAACTCCTCTCCGAGCTCCACGTTTGCCCAATCGCTGCAGCTCACATCTTCACCGACAACGAGGCCGCGGCCGCCGTCGCTCACGACCCCGTTCGCACCTCCGGCACCCGGCACATTCTGTGAAGAGTCCACTCTCAGCTCGACAGGGGCGCCTCGGTCGTTGCGCGCACTTGCTAGCCCGCCCCCGGCGGTGGGGACTTAGACGCGCGCGACTGCCTCAGCGCGCCAGCGCCGGCGGATTCATGCGCGCGCCCGCTAGCCCGCCCCCTTGCGGTGGGGACTTAGGCGCGCCGGCGATTTCACCCGCGGCTGACTTAGGGATGTACATTGTCACGCGCCTGGGACTATCCCAGCGTGGCCCCCCCCTTTCTGTTTCTTAGCTTCCTTCTCATCACTTCTGTTCGACTCTCAACCTCTCCTGACAGTAGTGGTGAACGTCTCATAGGTACGCTGAAATAGATCACTTCTGTTCGACTCTCAACCTCTCCTGACAGTAGTGGTGAACGTCTCATAGGTTATAAGCCCACGAGCCACCAGCTGGCATGACCACGACACCACCCCTCGCGACGGGTGCCAACCCTCCGATTCCCGCCGAACAGCTCGCCGCACTTACATCGCTGCTGTCGGGTCTCACCGCTGCCGCTTCCGGCACTGCCACACCCGCCACGACGTCCGGCACCACTCGCACTGCCTTTCCAAAGCACGCACGCTTGGATGGTGCGAAGACCTTCGCGAACTGGACACGCCAACTTCGCCTGTGCCTAGCGGACGACATCCGCTCGTACGTCCTCGACGGTATCGCACCCGACGACTGGACACCTTCGCAACGCTCCGCTCGCGACGCCGTCGCTCGTGAGGTCCTTGCGAATTCGATTGACTCGGCCGAAGTCTCGGCAGTCCTCGACAAAATCCCTACCGCCGACCTGACAGCGCCGACAATCTACTCGACGCTGAAATCGCGGTACGCCCCTGACGACGCCACCCGCACGCTCGAGCTCTTCTCACGACTCTGGGGTTTCCGTCCCATGCCCGGCACGGTTGCCGAATTCGACGGGTGGATCATGGACTTCAAAGCCGTTGCGCAAGAGATCATCGACACAAAGACAACTATCAATGATGTTCTCGCCACACTCCTCCTTGCAATCGCCCACCCGTCCCTCGAGAGCTTCAAGGCGTCGTTCACCGATGAACAGCGCACGCAACGAACTCTCCCCGACATTGATTCGCTTGCCGACCGTATGCGAGTCCAACTTCGGTCAACGAACATCCCCAGCACTCAATCGGCCCTTCTTGCCTCGTCGTCGTCACGTTCTACTCGTCTCAAGTGTCTCGCCTGTCGCAGCCCTTCGCACCGAGTCGCGGAGTGCCCTACGAGGGCGCAACACCCGCCGCCAGGACCCTGTCGCTCCTGCAAGAAGAAGGATCACTGGTCTCTCGACTGCAAGAAGGCGCTCGAGGACGGCAAAAAGCCCGACACCGCTGACTCGACCGTCGACTCGCAACACCATGTCGGATGTCTCGCCACCGGTCTTCTCGCTCGTCGTCGCCAGCTTCGCAACCACTCTTTTGTCGTCGACTCGGGCGCCACTTCGCACATGGTCTCGGACAAGTCGCTGTTCACGACCTATCGCCATATCGCTCCTACGAAGATTGGTGGTATTGCAGGGGGCATCAACGCCATCGGAACGGGAAACATCGCCTTCATTGCCGCCTCGGGTCATCCGATCACGCTTACCGGCGTGCTGCACACTCCGGGCCTGTTTGTCAATCTTCTCTCGGTCTCTCGACTTTGCGACACCGACGATGTCCGTGTCGCCTTCACAAAACACGGCATCCACATTGACAAGGACGGCAACGACATCGCTGAAGGCGCACGACTCGACGAAGGGCTCTACTTGCTGGACGCTGATCATTCCAAATGTCAGCACCTTGCTCTCCTTTCTCGCTCACAGTCGTCCGTGCCCCTGCTGACTCTCCATCGCTGCCTCGGCCATCTCGCACCGTCCTCCATACAGAAGATGGTTGCCGCTGGTTTGCTGGAGGGTCTCAGGGCCGGATATAGTGACGAAGAGGTAGAGAAGTTTGTCTGCAATGCTTGCCTCAGCGCAAAGGGCCATCGTCTTCCCTTTCCCGATTCGGATTCGCACTCCTCAGAGAGACTCGGCCTTGTACACAGCGATGTGCTTTCCTTCCCCGAGCGGTCCTTGACTGGCAAACGTTACCTGGTCACATTCCTTGACGATTACTCGCGCAAACTCTGGGCCTACGCAATCGGACACAAAAGCGAAGTCTTCGGCATATTCAAAACTTGGCTAGCCGAGGTTGAACTCGAGACGGGTGCGACGCTGAAGGTCCTCCGAACCGACAACGGTGGCGAATACTGTTCGAGAGCGTTCACAGAGTTCTGCAAGACACGAGGCACCCGTCGACAATACTCTATCCCACGCACGCCTCAACAGAACGGTCGTGCAGAGCGGGTCAATCGTTCCATTGTCGAAGGCGTCCTTGCCCTCCTTGTCGACGCCCACCTACCCAAGACATTCTGGGAGGAGGCTGCAGCTTATTTCGTTTACTGCAAGAACCTGTGTCAACACGCGGCCCTGGACAAGGCAACACCAAACTCCGTCTGGCAGGGTGACCACACCACTGCCTCGGCGCTTCACCCGTTCGGCTGTACAGCTTGGCTTACGGTCGCGCCCGAACTTCGCTCCAAACTCGACCCGAAGGCGGTTCGCGTTTTTTTCACCGGCTACGACCTGGCTTCAAAAGCCTTTCGCTTCTACGACACTACAACACAGAAGATTATACTTGGCAGAAATGCCACGTTCCTCGACACTGAATTCCCCGGATTACATGGCGACCCCACTGAGCAAGACGGCGACACGCACTTCGCCAGCGCTCCCACCACCGAATCTCAAACCGTTGTCAAGACATGGACCCCACTAGTAAGGTCGGCGCACATGGACGTCTCATCCCCCCTTGATGATTCTGCCATGAGCGCCGTTGACGTGGCCCCAGGGTACACTGGCGGAACCTTACTTAACTTCACAGATGCCGAATCGTCCTCGTCACCGTCGCCTGCGTCGCCCTCATCACCGTCGTCTGCGCCATCGCCTGCACTTTCACCATCGTCGGCTGCGTCATCGTCACCCTCGGCCTTACCGACCGACTCTGAAGACTCCGCCGATCCCCTCGACCTCCTCGGCTCACAGCCCCAGGTTCGCCTCGATCTACAGGACGTGCACCACCCAGACTTCAGCACGTACCGCGAGCCCGCATCGGCTGAGGAGTCGCCCGACGAACTCGACCTCATTGGGCGCCACTCTCGCGACGAATCTCCGGACGAAATCGATTTCCTCACCCGACACCACCGCGCCTTCATCGCCATCGACGACGACACCTCTGACACAGAGGCAATTCAGCCAGTCAAGTCCATCACGAGCGACCCACAGACCTGGCGCGAGGCGATGTCTAGCGACAAGCGTGAAGTATGGGCCAAAGCCGCCACCGACGAGTTCACCTCCATGCGCGACGACTTCAAGGTCTTCACCATCGAGGACCGAGCCACGGTGCCCGCGGGTGCGACTATCGTTACATCCAAGTTCGTCTGGAAAACGAAACGGAACGCACTCGGCGAAGTCACTGGACACAAGGCAAGGCTGGTCGCGCAAGGCAATCGGCAACGCGACGGCATCGACTTCAACGAAACGTTCGCACCGGTCGCACGCTTCTCCTCGATACGCTCACTCCTCGCGCTGGCGGCCGCCAACGGCTTGCACGTGCACCAGGCGGACATCGACAAAGCATATCTGCATGGCGACCTTGACCACGACATCTGGATGACGGCACCGCGCGGCTTCGACCTTCCCAGCGACAAGGTGCTTCGCCTGCGACGCTCCATCTACGGGCTCAAACAGGCTGGCCGAATCTGGAATCGACACATCGACGCTTCGCTTCGGGCCCTCGGTTACACGGCGACGGGCACCGACCACTGCGTATACTCTTGGCTCGATGATCGTCAATGTCCACACTACATCGCACTGTACGTCGACGACCTCCTGATGATCAGCCCGGAACTGGCCGAAATCGAACGTGTCATCTCAGGCCTGGACCAACGCTACGGAGTCAAGCGCCTCGGCCCGGCCGAGTATATCCTCGGCATCCAGATCAGGCGGTTCGACGACGGCTCTATCGCCCTATCCCAGGAACGGTACATCATGGACGTGCTCGCTCGGTTCCACTTCGACACCACGACTCGCGGCACTACAGTTCCGATGACTCCCGGCCTTTCGCTCACTGCTATCCCGGGTCAAGGCACCGAACGGATCAGGTCATGGTATCTGCAGGCTATCGGCTCGCTCCTCTACATTTCGCTCGGTACCCGCCCTGACATCGCCTTCGCCGTGTCCTACCTGGCCCGCTTCGCCAACAACCCCGGTCGTCGTCATTGGATTGCGGTCAAGCACATCCTACGCTATCTCCGGGCCACGTATCGCAACGAACTCGTGTATGCTCGCGGCCAGGCTCGCATCACGGGTGTGGTAGGCTACTCCGACGCGAACTGGGGGGCCTGCATCGACACATCGGTGTCCACCATGGGCTACGTCTTCTACATCGCTGGCTCGGCCGTGTCCTGGTCGTCCAAACGCCAGTCTCGAGTTGCCGATTCGACCACCGACGCTGAATACCTCGCCCTCTCGCATGCTGGCAAGGAAGGGATTTACCTCAGTCAGCTGCTCGAAGAGCTCCATGTACAACCTGTTGCACCGGCTCACATCTTTACTGACAACGAAGCCGCTGCTGCAGTTGCTCACGATCCTGTCCGCGTCTCTGGCACTCGGCACATACGCTTGCGTGAGCACTTCGTTCGGGACATGGTGAATCGGGGCGACATCTCTCTCTCGCATGTGGGTACCAGCGACATGGTGGCCGACATCTTCACCAAGGCTCTCGGCCCAAAGGTCTTCTCAACGCACTGCTACGCCCTCGGCCTTCGCACTCGACACCCGCGGCTTGGGTCTGCCTCGCATTCGCGTGGGGGGGGGTGTGAAGAGTCCACTCTCAGCTCGACAGGGGCGCCTCGGTCGTTGCGCGCACTTGCTAGCCCGCCCCCGGCGGTGGGGACTTAGACGCGCGCGACTGCCTCAGCGCGCCAGCGCCGGCGGATTCATGCGCGCGCCCGCTAGCCCGCCCCCTTGCGGTGGGGACTTAGGCGCGCCGGCGATTTCACCCGCGGCTGACTTAGGGATGTACATTGTCACGCGCCTGGGACTATCCCAGCGTGGCCCCCCCCTTTCTGTTTCTTAGCTTCCTTCTCATCACTTCTGTTCGACTCTCAACCTCTCCTGACAGTAGTGGTGAACGTCTCATAGGTACGCTGAAATAGATCACTTCTGTTCGACTCTCAACCTCTCCTGACAGTAGTGGTGAACGTCTCATACATTCGCCTCCGCGAGCATTTTGTCCGTGACATGGTCAATCGAGGTGATATCTCTCTCTCACACGTTGGCACAGCAGACATGGTTGCGGACGTATTCACCAAAGCGCTAGGCCCCAAGATTTTTGGTACACATTGCTATGCTCTAGGCCTCCGGACGCGACATCCACGGCTCAAGTCTACCTCGCGTTCGCGTGGGGGGGGGTGTGAGGAATCCACTCTCCGCTCGGCTCAGGACTTAGGCGCGCGGAGCGAACCGGGCGCGGACTTAGGCGCGCGGAGTGAGCCGGGCGCCCCGGCCCAGGACTTAGGCGCGCGAAGCGAGCCTGGGACTTAGGCGCGCGGAGCGAGCCTGGGCCATTGGCTCAGCCCCAGGCTCGCTGGCTGTGGACTTGGGGCGCGCGGGTCTCTTATTGTTAGCTTCCTATTCATCACTCTTGGCTATAACTACATCGCTGACGTAGTAGAGTTGATCGAATAGGTATGTTGAAATGCATTCATCACTCTTGGCTATAACTACATCGCTGACGTAGTAGAGTTGATCGAATAGTGACGACGTCCAGGGTTGTTGGCGAAGCGGGCCAGGTAGGACACGGCGAAGGCGATGTCGGGGCGGGTGCCGAGCGAAATGTAGAGGAGCGAGCCGATAGCCTGCAGATACCATGACCTGATCCGTTCGGTGCCTTGACCCGGGATGGCGGTGAGCGAAAGGCCGGGGGTCATCGGGACTGTAGTGCCGCGAGTCGTGGTGTCGAAGTGGAACCGAGCAAGCACGTCCATGATGTACCGTTCCTGGGACAGGGCAATAGAACCGTCTTCGAGTCGCCTGATCTGGATGCCGAGGATGTACTCTGCCGGGCCGAGGCGCTTGACGCCGTAGCGTTGTTCGAGGCCCGAGATGACACGTTCAATTTCGGCCAAGTCGGGGCTGATCATCAGGAGGTCGTCGACGTACAGCGCGATGTAGTGTGGGCGTCGCCGATCGTCGATCCGAGAGTACACGCAGTGGTCGGTGCCCGTCGCCGTATAGCCGAGATCTCGAAGCGATGCGTCGATGTGTCGATTCCAGATTCGGCCAGCCTGTTTGAGTCCGTAGATGGAGCGTCGCAGACGAAGCACCTTGTCGGTGGGAAGGTCGAAGCCGCGCGGTGTCGTCATCCAGATGTCATGGTCAAGGTCGCCATGCAGATAGGCTTTGTCGATGTCCGCCTGGTGCACGTGCAAGCCGTTGGCGGCCGCCAGCGCGAGGAGTGAGCGTATCGAGGAGAAGCGTGCGACTGGTGCGAAGGTTTCGTTGAAGTCGATGCCGTCGCGTTGCCGATTTCCCTGCGCCACGAGCCGTGCCTTGTGGCCGGTGACTTCGCCGAGTGCATTCCGTTTCGTTTTCCAGACGAACTTGGATGTGACGATGGTCGCACCCGCTGGTACCGTGGATCGGTCCTCGATGGTGAAGACCTTGAAGTCGTCGCGCATGGAATTGAACTCGTCGGTAGCGGCCTTGGCCCACACTTCGCGCTTGTCACTCGACATTGCCTCGCGCCATGTCTGTGGGTCGCTGGTGATGGACTTGACTGGTTGAATGGCTTCTGTGTCAGAGTTGTCGTCGTCGGTGGCGATGAAGGCGCGGTGGTGTTGGGTGAGGAAATCGATTTCGTCCGGCGATTCATCGCGCGAGTGGCGCCCAATGATGTCGAGTTCGTCGGGCGACTCCTCAGCCGATGCGGGCTCACGGTACGTGCTGAAGTCTGGGCGGTGCACGTCCGGTGGGCCGAGGCGAGTCGGGGTCTGTGAGCCGATGAGGTCCAGAGGGTCGGCGGAGTAGTCAGAGTCGGTCGGTAAGGCCGAGGGTGACGATGACGCAGCCAACGACGGTGACAGCGCAGGCGACGGTGACAAGGGAGTTGCGGGCGACGGTGACGAGGACGGCTCAGGAGACGGTGACGAGGACGATTCGGCATCTGTGGAATTAAGTAAGGTTCCGCCAGTGTACCCTGGGGCCACGTCAACGGCGCTCATGGCAGAGTCATCAAGAGAGGATGAGACGTCCATGTGCGCCGACCTTACTAGTGGGGTCCATGTCTTGACAACGGCTTGGGATTCGGTGGTCGGGCAAGCGCTGGCGAAGTGCGTGTCGGCGTCTTGCTCGGTGGAGTCGCTACGTAACCCGGGAAATTCGTTGTCGAGGAACCTGGCATTTCTGCCCAAACTGATCTTCTTGGTCGTCGTGTCGTAGAAACGGAAGGCTTTAGAAGCCAGGTCATAGCCGGTGAAGAGAACGCGAACCGCTTTCGGGTCGAGTTTCGAGCGAAGTTCAGGCGCGACTGTGAGCCAAGCCGTGCAGCCGAACGGGTGAAGCGCCGAGGCGTTGGTGCGGTCGCCCTGCCAGGCGAAGTTCGGTGTTGCCTTGTCCAGGGCCGAGTGTTCGCACAGGTTCTTGCAGTAGACGAAATAAGCTGCTGCCTCCTCCCAGAATGATTTGGGTAAGTGGGCGTCTGCAAGGAGGGCAAGGACACCTTCGACGATAGAACGATTGACTCGTTCGGCACGACCGTTCTGTTGAGGCGTTCGAGGGATAGAGTATTGTCGACGTGTGCCGCGTGCCTTACAGAATTCCGTGAACGCTCTCGAACAGTATTCGCCACCATTGTCGGTTCGGAGGACCTTCAGTTTTGCATCCGTCTCGAGTTCGACCTCGGCAAGCCATGTCTTGAACACGCCAAAGACTTCGCTTTTGTGTCCGATCGCGTATGCCCACAGTTTGCGCGAGAAGTCGTCAAGAAACGTGACCAGGTAACGCTTGCCAGTCAAGGACGACTCGGGAAAGGAAAGCACATCGCTGTGTACGAGGCCGAGTCTCTCTGAGGAGTGCGAGTCCGAATCGGCAAAAGGAAGACGATGGCCCTTTGCACTGAGGCAAGCATTGCAGACAAACTTCTCTACCTCTTCGTCACTATATCCGGCCCCGAGACCTTCCAGCAAACCAGCGGCAACCATCTTCTGTATGGACGACGGTGCGAGATGGCCGAGGCAGCGGTGAAGGGTCAGCAGGGGCACGGAAGACTGTGAGCGAGAGAGGAGAGCGAGATGCTGACATTTGGAATGATCAGCGTCCAGCAAGTAGAGCCCTTCCTCGAGTCTTGCGCCTTCAGCGATAGCATTGCCGTTCTTGTCGATATGGATGCCGTGCTTCGTGAAGGCGACACGGACATCGTCGGTGTCGCAAAGTCGAGAGACCGAGAGGAGGTTGACAGACAGGCCCGGGGTGTGCAGCACGCCGGTAAGCGTGATCGGGTGACCGGAGGCGGCAACAAAGGCGATGTTTCCCGTTCCGACGGCGTTGATGCCCCCTGCAATACCACCAATCTTCGTAGGAGCGATGTGGCGATAGGCCGTGAACAGCGACTTGTCCGAGACCATGTGCGAAGTATGAGACGTTCACCACTACTGTCAGGAGAGGTTGAGAGTCGAACAGAAGTGATCTATTTCAGCGTACCTATGAGACGTTCACCACTACTGTCAGGAGAGGTTGAGAGTCGAACAGAAGTGATGAGAAGGAAGCTAAGAAACAGAAAGGGGGGGGCCACGCTGGGATAGTCCCAGGCGCGTGACAATGTACATCCCTAAGTCAGCCGCGGGTGAAATCGCCGGCGCGCCTAAGTCCCCACCGCAAGGGGGCGGGCTAGCGGGCGCGCGCATGAATCCGCCGGCGCTGGCGCGCTGAGGCAGTCGCGCGCGTCTAAGTCCCCACCGCCGGGGGCGGGCTAGCTGTTGAACTTTGCTCCATCTCACTTCTAGGACAATATGCGCTCACTGAAGTAGAGGTGCCTCGCCTTTTGGTGCAGTGGTATATTGTTCCTTCATAGGTTATGAGCCCAGAGCAACCAGCAGGTCATGAGTTCAATCCCCCCTGGGGTCAGGCAATTTTGCGCGCATACACTCAGCGTCCCGGCCCCCGCACTTGCCCAGCGGCGTGCCAAGCACCCTGGCGCATCGACAGTGCTCACAGTGCCCAAGCTGCACTTGCCCAAGCGACCTGATCAACATGCCCAGTTGCCTCACAGCCGCACCCACTGCCACAAGCTCTTCAGCTTCGCGCACAGGGGGGTGTTGAACTTTGCTCCATCTCACTTCTAGGACAATATGCGCTCACTGAAGTAGAGGTGCCTCGCCTTTTGGTGCAGTGGTATATTGTTCCTTCATACTAGCAAGTGCGCGCAACGACCGAGGCGCCCCTGTCGAGCTGAGAGTGGACTCTTCACACCCCCCCCCACGCGAATGCGAGGCAGACCCAAGCCGCGGGTGTCGAGTGCGAAGGCCGAGGGCGTAGCAGTGCGTTGAGAAGACCTTTGGGCCGAGAGCCTTGGTGAAGATGTCGGCCACCATGTCGCTGGTACCCACATGCGAGAGAGAGATGTCGCCCCGATTCACCATGTCCCGAACGAAGTGCTCACGCAAGCGTATGTGCCGAGTGCCAGAGACGCGGACAGGATCGTGAGCAACTGCAGCAGCGGCTTCGTTGTCAGTAAAGATGTGAGCCGGTGCAACAGGTTGTACATGGAGCTCTTCGAGCAGCTGACTGAGGTAAATCCCTTCCTTGCCAGCATGCGAGAGGGCGAGGTATTCAGCGTCGGTGGTCGAATCGGCAACTCGAGACTGGCGTTTGGACGACCAGGACACGGCCGAGCCAGCGATGTAGAAGACGTAGCCCATGGTGGACACCGATGTGTCGATGCAGGCCCCCCAGTTCGCGTCGGAGTAGCCTACCACACCCGTGATGCGAGCCTGGCCGCGAGCATACACGAGTTCGTTGCGATACGTGGCCCGGAGATAGCGTAGGATGTGCTTGACCGCAATCCAATGACGACGACCGGGGTTGTTGGCGAAGCGGGCCAGGTAGGACACGGCGAAGGCGATGTCAGGGCGGGTACCGAGCGAAATGTAGAGGAGCGAGCCGATAGCCTGCAGATACCATGACCTGATCCGTTCGGTGCCTTGACCCGGGATAGCAGTGAGCGAAAGGCCGGGAGTCATCGGAACTGTAGTGCCGCGAGTCGTGGTGTCGAAGTGGAACCGAGCGAGCACGTCCATGATGTACCGTTCCTGGGATAGGGCGATAGAGCCGTCGTCGAACCGCCTGATCTGGATGCCGAGGATATACTCGGCCGGGCCGAGGCGCTTGACTCCGTAGCGTTGGTCCAGGCCTGAGATGACACGTTCGATTTCGGCCAGTTCCGGGCTGATCATCAGGAGGTCGTCGACGTACAGTGCGATGTAGTGTGGACATTGACGATCATCGAGCCAAGAGTATACGCAGTGGTCGGTGCCCGTCGCCGTGTAACCGAGGGCCCGAAGCGAAGCGTCGATGTGTCGATTCCAGATTCGGCCAGCCTGTTTGAGCCCGTAGATGGAGCGTCGCAGGCGAAGCACCTTGTCGCTGGGAAGGTCGAAGCCGCGCGGTGCCGTCATCCAGATGTCGTGGTCAAGGTCGCCATGCAGATATGCTTTGTCGATGTCCGCCTGGTGCACGTGCAAGCCGTTGGCGGCCGCCAGCGCGAGGAGTGAGCGTATCGAGGAGAAGCGTGCGACCGGTGCGAACGTTTCGTTGAAGTCGATGCCGTCGCGTTGCCGATTGCCTTGCGCGACCAGCCTTGCCTTGTGTCCAGTGACTTCGCCGAGTGCGTTCCGTTTCGTTTTCCAGACGAACTTGGATGTAACGATAGTCGCACCCGCGGGCACCGTGGCTCGGTCCTCGATGGTGAAGACCTTGAAGTCGTCGCGCATGGAGGTGAACTCGTCGGTGGCGGCTTTGGCCCATACTTCACGCTTGTCGCTAGACATCGCCTCGCGCCAGGTCTGTGGGTCGCTCGTGATGGACTTGACTGGCTGAATTGCCTCTGTGTCAGAGGTGTCGTCGTCGATGGCGATGAAGGCGCGGTGGTGTCGGGTGAGGAAATCGATTTCGTCCGGAGATTCGTCGCGAGAGTGGCGCCCAATGAGGTCGAGTTCGTCGGGCGACTCCTCAGCCGATGCGGGCTCGCGGTACGTGCTGAAGTCTGGGTGGTGCACGTCCTGTAGATCGAGGCGAACCTGGGGCTGTGAGCCGAGGAGGTCGAGGGGATCGGCGGAGTCTTCAGAGTCGGTCGGTAAGGCCGAGGGTGACGATGACGCAGCCGACGATGGTGAAAGTGCAGGCGATGGCGCAGACGACGGTGATGAGGGCGACGCAGGCGACGGTGACGAGGACGATTCGGCATCTGTGAAGTTAAGTAAGGTTCCGCCAGTGTACCCTGGGGCCACGTCAACGGCGCTCATGGCAGAATCATCAAGGGGGGATGAGACGTCCATGTGCGCCGACCTTACTAGTGGGGTCCATGTCTTGACAACGGTTTGAGATTCGGTGGTGGGAGCGCTGGCGAAGTGCGTGTCGCCGTCTTGCTCAGTGGGGTCGCCATGTAATCCGGGGAATTCAGTGTCGAGGAACGTGGCATTTCTGCCAAGTATAATCTTCTGTGTTGTAGTGTCGTAGAAGCGAAAGGCTTTTGAAGCCAGGTCGTAGCCGGTGAAAAAAACGCGAACCGCCTTCGGGTCGAGTTTGGAGCGAAGTTCGGGCGCGACCGTAAGCCAAGCTGTACAGCCGAACGGGTGAAGCGCCGAGGCAGTGGTGTGGTCACCCTGCCAGACGGAGTTTGGTGTTGCCTTGTCCAGGGCCGCGTGTTGACACAGGTTCTTGCAGTAAACGAAATAAGCTGCAGCCTCCTCCCAGAATGTCTTGGGTAGGTGGGCGTCGACAAGGAGGGCAAGGACGCCTTCGACAATGGAACGATTGACCCGCTCTGCACGACCGTTCTGTTGAGGCGTGCGTGGGATAGAGTATTGTCGACGGGTGCCTCGTGTCTTGCAGAACTCTGTGAACGCTCTCGAACAGTATTCGCCACCGTTGTCGGTTCGGAGGACCTTCAGCGTCGCACCCGTCTCGAGTTCAACCTCGGCTAGCCAAGTTTTGAATATGCCGAAGACTTCGCTTTTGTGTCCGATTGCGTAGGCCCAGAGTTTGCGCGAGTAATCGTCAAGGAATGTGACCAGGTAACGTTTGCCAGTCAAGGACCGCTCGGGGAAGGAAAGCACATCGCTGTGTACAAGGCCGAGTCTCTCTGAGGAGTGCGAATCCGAATCGGGAAAGGGAAGACGATGGCCCTTTGCGCTGAGGCAAGCATTGCAGACAAACTTCTCTACCTCTTCGTCACTATATCCGGCCCTGAGACCCTCCAGCAAACCAGCGGCAACCATCTTCTGTATGGAGGACGGTGCGAGATGGCCGAGGCAGCGATGGAGAGTCAGCAGGGGCACGGACGACTGTGAGCGAGAAAGGAGAGCAAGGTGCTGACATTTGGAATGATCAGCGTCCAGCAAGTAGAGCCCTTCGTCGAGTCGTGCGCCTTCAGCGATGTCGTTGCCGTCCTTGTCAATGTGGATGCCGTGTTTTGTGAAGGCGACACGGACATCGTCGGTGTCGCAAAGTCGAGAGACCGAGAGAAGATTGACAAACAGGCCCGGAGTGTGCAGCACGCCGGTAAGCGTGATCGGATGACCCGAGGCGGCAATGAAGGCGATGTTTCCCGTTCCGATGGCGTTGATGCCCCCTGCAATACCACCAATCTTCGTAGGAGCGATATGGCGATAGGTCGTGAACAGCGACTTGTCCGAGACCATGTGCGAAGTGGCGCCCGAGTCGACGACAAAAGAGTGGTTGCGAAGCTGGCGACGACGAGCGAGAAGACCGGTGGCGAGACATCCGACATGGTGTTGCGAGTCGACGGTCGAGTCAGCGGTGTCGGGCTTTTTGCCGTCCTCGAGCGCCTTCTTGCAGTCGAGAGACCAGTGATCCTTCTTCTTGCAGGAGCGACAGGGTCCTGGCGGCGGGTGTTGCGCCCTCGTAGGGCACTCCGCGACTCGGTGCGAAGGGCTGCGACAGGCGAGACACTTGAGACGAGTAGAACGTGACGACGACGAGGCAAGAAGGGCCGATTGAGTGCTGGGGATGTTCGTTGACCGAAGTTGGACTCGCATACGGTCGGCAAGCGAATCAATGTCGGGGAGAGTTCGTTGCGTGCGCTGTTCATCGGTGAACGACGCCTTGAAGCTCTCGAGGGACGGGTGGGCGATTGCAAGGAGGAGTGTGGCGAGAACATCATTGATAGTTGTCTTTGTGTCGATGATCTCTTGCGCAACGGCTTTGAAGTCCATGATCCACCCGTCGAATTCGGCAACCGTGCCGGGCATGGGACGGAAACCCCAGAGTCGTGAGAAGAGCTCGAGCGTGCGGGTGGCGTCGTCAGGGGCGTACCGCGATTTCAGCGTCGAGTAGATTGTCGGCGCTGTCAGGTCGGCGGTAGGGATTTTGTCGAGGACTGCCGAGACTTCGGCCGAGTCAATCGAATTCGCAAGGACCTCACGAGCGACGGCGTCGCGAGCGGAGCGTTGCGAAGGTGTCCAGTCGTCGGGTGCGATACCGTCGAGGACGTACGAGCGGATGTCGTCCGCTAGGCACAGGCGAAGTTGGCGTGTCCAGTTCGCGAAGGTCTTCGCACCATCCAAGCGTGCGTGCTTTGGAAAGGCAGTGCGAGTGGTGCCGGACGTCGTGGCGGGTGTGGCAGTGCCGGAAGCGGCAGCGGTGAGACCCGACAGCAGCGATGTAAGTGCGGCGAGCTGTTCGGCGGGAATCGGAGGGTTGGCACCCGTCGCGAGGGGTGGTGTCGTGGTCATGCCAGCTGGTGGCTCGTGGGCTTATAACCTATGAGACGTTCACCACTACTGTCAGGAGAGGTTGAGAGTCGAACAGAAGTGATCTATTTCAGCGTACCTATGAGACGTTCACCACTACTGTCAGGAGAGGTTGAGAGTCGAACAGAAGTGATGAGAAGGAAGCTAAGAAACAGAAAGGGGGGGGGCCACGCTGGGATAGTCCCAGGCGCGTGACAATGTATGAAGGAACAATATACCACTGCACCAAAAGGCGAGGCACCTCTACTTCAGTGAGCGCATATTGTCCTAGAAGTGAGATGGAGCGAAGTTCAACACCCCCCTGTGCGCGAAGCTGAAGAGCTTGTGGCAGTGGGTGCGGCTTGTGAGGCAACTGGGCATGTTGATCAGGTCGCTTGGGCAAGTGCAGCTTGGGCACTGTGAGCACTGTCGATGCGCCAGGGTGCTTGGCACGCCGCTGGGCAAGTGCGGGGGCCGGGACGCTGAGTGTATGCGCGCAAAATTGCCTGACCCCAGGGGGGATTGAACTCATGACCTGCTGGTTGCTCTGGGCTCATAACCTATGAAGGAACAATATACCACTGCACCAAAAGGCGAGGCACCTCTACTTCAGTGAGCGCATATTGTCCTAGAAGTGAGATGGAGCGAAGTTCAACACAATGTACATCCCTAAGTCAGCCGCGGGTGAAATCGCCGGCGCGCCTAAGTCCCCACCGCAAGGGGGCGGGCTAGCGGGCGCGCGCATGAATCCGCCGGCGCTGGCGCGCTGAGGCAGTCGCGCGCGTCTAAGTCCCCACCGCCGGGGGCGGGCTAGCAAGTGCGCGCAACGACCGAGGCGCCCCTGTCGAGCTGAGAGTGGACTCTTCACACGAAGTGGCACCCGAGTCGACGACGAAGGAGTTGTTGCGAAGCTGACGACGATGTGCGAGAAGACCGGTGGCGAGACATCCGACATGGTGTTGCGCATCAGAGGTGTCGGGCGTTTTCCCGTCCTCAAGAGCCTTTTTGCAGTCGAAAGACCAGTGGTCCTTCTTCTTGCAGGAGCGACACGGGCCTGGCGGTGGATGCTGGGCCCTTGTAGGGCATTGTGCGACGCGGTGAGAAGGGCTGCGACAGGCGAGGCACTTGGTACGGGTAGAACGTGGCGACGACGAGGCAAGGAGGGCCGATTGATCGTTGGAGAGGTTCGTTGACCGGAGTTGAACTCGCATACGGTCGGCCACTGAATCGATGTCAGGGAGAGTTCGTTGCGTGCGTTGTTCGTCGGTGAACGTTGCCTTGAAGCTCTCGAGTGACGGGTGGGCGATCGCGAGGAGGAGTGTGGCAAGGACGTCGTTGATCGTCGTTTTCGTATCGATGATCTCTTGCGCGACCGACTTGAAGTCCATGATCCAACTGTCAAATTCGCCAACCGTTCCGGGCATGGGTCGGAAGCCCCAGAGTCGCGAGAAGAGCTCGAGCGTGCGAGTGGCGTCATCAGGGGCGTATCGCGATTTCAGCGTCGAGTAAATCTTGGGCGCTGTGAGGTCGGCCGTAGGGATCTTGTCGAGGACTGCCGAGACTTCGGCCGAGTCGATTGAGTTTGCAAGGATCTCGCGTGCCACGACGTCGCGGGCGGAGCGTTGCGAAGGCGTCCAATCGTCGGGGGTGATTCCGTCGAGGACGTAGGAGCGGATGTCGTCCGCTAGGCACAGGCGAAGCTGGCGTGTCCAGTTCGCGAACGTCTTCGGCCCGTCCAACCGCGCATGCTTCGGGAAGGCATTGCGATTGGAGCCGGATGTCGTGGCGGGTGCGGTAGTGCCGGAAGCGGCAGCGGTGAGTCCCGACAGCAGCGATGTAAGTGCGGCAAGCTGTTCGGCGGGAATTGTCGGGGTGGCGCTCGTCGCGAGGGTTGACGACGTGTCCATGCCAGCGGTAGCTCGATGGGCTTATAACCTATGAGATGATCACCACTACTGTCAGGAGAAGTCGAGAGTCGAACAGAAGTGATGAGAAGGAAGCTAAGAAATGGAAAGGTGGCCCGCGCTGGGATATGCCCAGGCGCGGGCGAAATCGCTGGAGCGCTGAGGCAGTCGCGCGCGGCTAAGTCCCCACTGCAAGGGCGGGCTAGCGGCGCGCGCCCGAAAACCGCCGGCGCCGGCGCGCTGAGGCACTCGCGCGCGCCTAAGTCCCCACCACAGGGGCCAGGCTAGCAGGCGCGCGCAACGACCGAGGCGCCCCTGTCGAGCTGAGAGTGGACTCTTCACAAGCAATGGCCCGGCCGTCCTTGGCGATGTCGATGCCGTCGCTGGTGAAGGCGAGACGAACGCGGTCGGTGTCGCAGAGGCGAGAGACAGAGAGGAGGTTGACGTGTAGGCCAGGCGTGTGAAGAACACCACGGAGCGTGATCGGGTGTCCAGTCTTGGCGACGAATGCCACGTCCCCCATGCCGATAGCCGTGATGCCGCCCGCGATGCCGCCGATCTTGGTGTGTGCCGTCTGACGATAAGTCGTGAATAGAGATCGGTCGGCGACCATGTGTGTCGTGGCACCCGAATCGACTACAAAGGCGTCAGTTGGGAGTTGGCGACGAGCGAAGAGGCAGGAGGCGAAATAGCCGACGTTCGGTTGCGAGGCCGCGGAGGAAGACGTGTCGTCCTGGGTGTCGTCGCTGCTACGTGCCTGTTCACCCCGGTTCTTGCAGTCGAGTGCCCAGTGACCTTTCTTGTGGCATCGGCGGCAGGGGCCGGTGGGCGGGTGCTTCGCACGTGAAGTGCAGTCGCGCAGGCGGTGACCGGGAGCGCGGCAGGCGGGGCAGGGGGAGCTGGTGGCAAGCATGGCCGAATGCGAGGTCGAGAGTCCTGCCGAACGAAGCTGGATGCGAATGCGGTCCGTAAGCGTCGTGAGTTCGGGAAGGTCGCGTCGGTTTCGCTGCTCGTCCGTGAACGTGAGTCGGAAGCTGTCGAGGCAAGACGGGACCATGGCGAGCACGTGGGTGGCGAGCACGTCGTTGAGCGATGTTTTGGCGTCGCGTATTTCCTGAGCAATCGACATGTACTCGCGTAGCCAAGTGTCGTAGGCCTCGACGGAGGCAGGCATCTTCCTGAAGTCCCAAAGGCGAGCGAACAACTCGAGAGTGCGTGTAGCGTCGTCCGGTGCAAAACGAGCCTTGAGAGCGGCAAAGATGCGCGGTGCCGACAGGTCGTCGCTGGGGATGGCGTCGAGGGTGGCCGATACGTCGGCGGAGTCGATAGAGCCAACGATGATTTCCCGGGCGGCGTCGTCACGTGCGGCAAGCTGGTCGGCGGTCCAGGTCGGGGGAACGACACCGTCGAGAACGTAACCACGAACCTGGTTCGGGAGTGCAAGACGGAGTTGACGCAACCAGTTGGTGAACGACTTGGGGCCGTCCAGACGAGCGTGCTTGGGAAACACGACCTTGGATGCGGTGGCGGCGTTCCCCGGCACGACGGTGACGGCCGGGGGTGCGGCGGCTGCGGCGGCGGCGGGTTGCGAGGCCTGCAGAGCGGCAAGCTGGGCCTGTAGAGTGGCGATTTGTTCGCCGATCGAAGATTCAGGGGAGCTGGGATCCCTGGGGCCAAAGGCGAGGCGGGAGAGCTGTCCATGATGTGATGGTGCGATGGACGTGTGCGGCTCGAGTGGCTGGGCTCGAGCGAAAAAGCCTCAAGCGGCGGGGCTGGTAGCTCGTGGGCTTATAACCTATTCGATCAACTCTACTACGTCAGTGATGTAGTTATAGCCAAGAGTGATGAATGCATTTCAACATACCTATTCGATCAACTCTACTACGTCAGCGATGTAGTTATAGCCAAGAGTGATGAATAGGAAGCTAACAATAAGAGACCCGCGCGCCCCAAGTCCACAGCCAGCGAGCCTGGGGCTGAGCCAATGGCCCAGGCTCGCTTCGCGCGCCTAAGTCCTGGGCCGGGGCGCCCGGCTCACTCCGCGCGCCTAAGTCCGCGCCCGGTTCGCTCCGCGCGCCTAAGTCCTGAGCCGAGCGGAGAGTGGATTCCTCACAGATCGCGCTCCGGGCGGATCAAACCCTCGACCACTGAGTGGGCGCCCGCGCGCCCTCACGACTACGCCATCGCGCCGACAATGCTTGCAACGAACAAACCGGTAGCTGATGTCGACTCCGGCCGCAAACTTGGGAGACTCTACTTCACTTCACTTCACTTCACTTCACAATCGCCCTACTGCAGCCTTCGATACTCGAGTTAACAAGTGATACACCGACAAGATGTCTACCGGAGACCCTGGGTCCCCACTGCCGGCACCGCCACCACCGGTATCCGCCACCAGCGTCCAGCCCCCCCGCGACCGGATCCCGATAAGCTCGAAGAAGACGCAAGTCACGGGCCCCGCCACCGCCGCACCCAACTATGCTGCCGCTGCGAGTCAGATGGCGACTCAAACACCTGAACAACAGAAACAACAACAACAGCGTGCCAAGGCTCTGGGCAGCCTCCTACAAGCCATGGGTGCTGTACCCGGAAACCGCATGGATCGCTGGGTCCAGGCCATCTACTTTGCCGAACTCTACCCCGTCGCCACCGCCACATCGCTGAAATTTTCGGCCTTGAACGCGAACCGGTCCGTCGAGAACATCTTCGATTACACCCTTGAAGTGACTCTGTCTCACCAGAGCGCCTCGCGAGCGACTCATGCCGACAAGATCGATCTCGTGGCCTGCGTCACGAGGCTGCTATCGCCCATCTCTCCTATCTGCTTTGAGCCTGGAGTTCCTCTGCCGGACCATCTTGCGGCTTATCAACCACAGATCTTAGGCGTACAACATTCATCAATCCTGCGTAATGGGGCGGCTCACCATCGCGTTACGGTTGGGTTCGTCACCGGCGAGGCACGTGACGCGGCGCTCACGACGCCCCCCGCTCTCACTTGGCGATCGGCGAAGGCCCGCTTCGCGAAGTCTCACAGGTTCCACCATAACATGGTCGAGCTTCGAATCAACGTCGGTGTTCAAGGAGTGCCCTCCATGGATGCCATCATCAAATTGTTCCAATCACTTGTGCAAGACCTGTCAGGCAAGGGACATTCATGCCAACTTGTGCAGGTTCTGCGCGTTATCAGCGTGGACAACGCCTCGGCCTTCGCCCACGTTGCCGGAGACTACTCGGCTTTCCTACACTTCGATGACGACTCCCTATTCCAACGCCCCAACACGACCTTGAAGGAGATTCTACCTTCGAGGATCGACCTTCCCACTCGAGGCATCCCGGTTACCGCCCTTCGCCATGACTATGAGAAGGAGGCGGCTTGCGGTAGGTGCCACTTTGTGGGTCACGTGGGAACCTGCGGACTGGATCAGGAGAGGAAGCGGAAGGAGGCTCACAACGGCATCATCAACAGCAACAAAAACACCATCACCCACAACACCAACATCGCGGAGGCCGAGGCCCCCATTCCTGTGCTGGTTGTTAACAGGATCGCATCACAGAATCACTTCGCCGGGCTCGAGGTCGAGGAGGGACAGGAGGAAGAGGTAACTGGCCAGGGCGAACAGGACCGGAGGAATCGGGGGAGGAAGACGCTGGTGATAAGGCGGATGACGAGGACTCGGAGGACTCGGAGATGGAATCGGAGGCGGCCGCGAAAACGGAGGTCATCAAAATTGAAAGCGAGGACGAGTCGGTCTTGGAGGACTGCAGCGGATCCGATGGAGAGGTGATTGATGAGAATGAGGTGATGGCGGATGAAAGAGGTGAACGGAAGGAGAGGTGGCTACGGAGATGGAGGAAGAGGAGGTGGCGACGGAGGTGGGCGATGTGGACGAAGCGAGGGATCGACGAAAGCGGAGAATGCGGAAGCGACGGACTTAGGGGAAACGAACAGGCTGGACAATGACGACGACAGCGACGCCACAGCAACCGCCGCCACCGCTTCCGCGAATCGACGCCGCATGAACCAACCCCACCTCTGTCACCCGAAACTCTCGCCAAGTCGCTACGCGAGGGGGAGGAGTGGGACAGGATCAGAGCTAACTGGGTTGAGCAGGCACGACTTGAGCGGGACCAAAGCATCGAGAGGAGGCTCAACGCTGAAACCCCTCTGGTGCGTCACAACTTTGCCACGTGGGACGAGGACGGTGAGATACGCTCCATCAACATCAGGGGGACCGCTGTGAAGTTCAAGAAGCAGGTGATGAAGAGTCGCAGACTGCGGCGGACCTCAGTGACCCAAGTGACGAACCGACCGACGCCAAGCGAGTCATCATCAAAGGGAAGAGCCGCGTCGTGGTGAAGGATGGAATAGAGGGGCGGAGGGTGACGAGGTCGATGTCGGCGGCAGCGGCGATGCAGGTCGAGGTGACGAAGGTGGACAGAGGGAAAGGAAGAGGGGTAGCTGAGGAAAAACGATGGTCCGACCACGAGCCCGAGGACGATGTCCTGCCCGCCCTTCCCCTCTTTGAGGACGTCACCACCGCCAAGAGCGCCTCGACCTCGACTACCCATTAATGATCAAGCACACCATCATCACCTGGAACGTAAGAAGGGGCATGGGGTCCCGGAAAAACGACGTAATATCTACACCTACCTTTCCACATTCAAAGCTTCCGCGATTCTCTTACAAGAGCATTTCATCAGACCACAATTCTGGCAGCTCATCAAGGACGAGTACGAGGGCAAGCTCTTCATCAACCAGCATCTGCCGCTCACCCTGACCCGGCCCTACGCGGAGGCCGCGGCGAGCTTTCCTCACCCCACTGCGGCGACCTCGACCTTGGCTCGCTTCGTCTTCGCTCGGGCGCTCACTCAGTGCTCGCAAAAATCGAAATTCGAAAGAAATCAATAACCTCTACGCGCCCGTTGACCCAAAACAACGAGCAAAATTCTTCGACAAACTGATCCTCCACAAAACACAGAAATCCCACCTCCGACTCCTTGGCGGCGATCTCAACGACTGCCCGCGCCCAGAAGTCGATCGGCGGAACCAAAGTCGGCGCGGCCACACTGGCCGATTCTGATGGCAAGCTCGACTCGGCCTACACGACTGCATCCGCTACAAGCACCCCATCACCCCATCTTTCACTCGACCTAATCCCAATCGCAAGCGACCAACTCCTTCTCCCGGCTTGACTACTTTCTCCTACAAAGAGCTCACCAAAAAAGCTCGGACCAGGCCTCGACGATCTACGACTATCCCAAGGATCTTTCCGATCACCGACCGTCTTGATCGTACTGGCTCTCTCAGACGATCTTGATGCGGCTCTCCACAGCTCAGCCTACCTACCACATCCAACCAACTACATCGAATCAATACCACAACCTTCAAGACGGTGGAATTTCAGCGGATGATGGAAGGATGGTTGGAAGGGGCAAGCGGGGAGGATCCGGTGCGAGAGCTTGAGGAGGTTCTGGAGGCGTGCAGGGACAGGGGTGGGGAGATGGCGAGGAGGCTGCATCGGGAGCGGACGGAACGGATGGAGTATTTGGTGGGGAGGTGCAGGATCTGGAGGTGTTACCGGTATGGGGGAGGCGGAAAACGGCAGAATGGACAAGGACGTCCGAGGAACTCAAGCGGGCGGTCAAGGAGCGCGCGCGCCTACTCCGGATCCGAGCCCACGTCCCCGAGATCGCTTCCGAGGAACGACTGTCGCCGGCCGGTCCACGCCAAGCTCGCGGCGCGGAACTCGGACTCCAAGATCACAGCACTGCGCTTGGGCAACGGAGAGCTAACGCATGACATTGATGTCGCTCTTGACCACACGCAGGCGCATTTCCAGCGCCTCTACCACATCGAGCCTCGTGATCCGGAACGCGTCGACCGACTTCGGGACGAACTCCTCGTGCCGATCAGGGCGGCACGGACTTGCGACGACCCGCGCTCAGATCCGCTCTTTCTGCGCCGACTCTCGGAAGCGCAGATTGATCTCCTCCAGCAACCCATCACCGAGGACGAGGTCGTGGCCGCGATCGGGACGACGCACCCGGGTGATCGCCGGGCCCGTCGGGCGTGCCTTACGAACTCTATCAGACCGCACCGGAGGCGTGGTCCAAGGTGCTGACCAAGGCCTACAACGCCGATGATCGAGCGCGGTTCACTCTCTCCCAAGCAGGGCCAGGGACTTGTGCGCCTCATCTTCAAGCGCCACAAGAAGAATGCCGATCGCGCCGAACTCTCGTCGTATCGCCCCATCACCCTGCGCGAGTGCGATTACAAGATTTTTACCAAGGTCTACGTCGCCCGATTGAACCAAATTCTGCCCGATCTCCTCCCGCCGCAGCAGCACGGCTTCGTCAAGGACCGCCGATCGGCCGACGCTGCACTACACCTTCGTCTCCTGATCAAGGAACTTGGCGCGCGCAGGACCGAGTTCCCCGCGGCCGCGCTCTTGTCTCTTGACCAATCATCCGCCTACGACCTCGTCGAGCATGACTGGATCTTTGCCATTTTCGACGCTCTGGGCGTTCCTTACCACCTTTCTTCGCGTGCTGAGGATGCTCTACTCGGGTGACTCGACCTCGGCGCGCTACATCATCAATGGGTTCCTGACGGCGCCGGTGCGACTGACGTGTGGGCTCGGCCAAGGGGACCCGGCGTCATCGTCGGTCTGGGACATCGTGTTTCAGCCGTTCCTGGATGCTCTACACCGTCGAAACATCGCGCTGAATCTCTCCATACCTGCACTTCATCCGTACCCACAGAGCCGCGCCATTACATCACTTGCATTTGCCGATGACGTTGTCGTCGCCGTCGCGGGCTTGGAGTCACTCAACTTGCTCGATGACCTGGCGCTCGACTGGAGGCATGCAACGAATGGCCGGCTCAACACGGACAAGACGGTCGTCCTACCGATTGGACGTCGCTGGGACCCTGGGGAACGGCCAATCGTCGTCAAGGCCGCAGGCGAGTCGCTCGAGTGGATCGTGTTGAACTTCGCTCCATCTCACTTCTAGGACAATATGCGCTCACTGAAGGAGAGGTGCCTCGCCTTTTGGTGCAGTGGTATATTGTTCCTTCATAGGTTATAAGCCCACGAGCCACCAGCTGGCATGACCACGACACCACCCCTCGCGACGGGTGCCAACCCTCCGATTCCCGCCGAACAGCTCGCCGCACTTACATCGCTGCTGTCGGGTCTCACCGCTGCCGCTTCCGGCACTGCCACACCCGCCACGACGTCCGGCACCACTCGCACTGCCTTTCCAAAGCACGCACGCTTGGATGGTGCGAAGACCTTCGCGAACTGGACACGCCAACTTCGCCTGTGCCTAGCGGACGACATCCGCTCGTACGTCCTCGACGGTATCGCACCCGACGACTGGACACCTTCGCAACGCTCCGCTCGCGACGCCGTCGCTCGTGAGGTCCTTGCGAATTCGATTGACTCGGCCGAAGTCTCGGCAGTCCTCGACAAAATCCCTACCGCCGACCTGACAGCGCCGACAATCTACTCGACGCTGAAATCGCGGTACGCCCCTGACGACGCCACCCGCACGCTCGAGCTCTTCTCACGACTCTGGGTTTCCGTCCCATGCCCGGCACGGTTGCCGAATTCGACGGGTGGATCATGGACTTCAAAGCCGTTGCGCAAGAGATCATCGACACAAGACAACTATCAATGATGTTCTCGCCACACTCCTCCTTGCAATCGCCCACCCGTCCCTCGAGAGCTTCAAGGCGTCGTTCACCGATGAACAGCGCACGCAACGAACTCTCCCCGACATTGATTCGCTTGCCGACCGTATGCGAGTCCAACTTCGGTCAACGAACATCCCCAGCACTCAATCGGCCCTTCTTGCCTCGTCGTCGTCACGTTCTACTCGTCTCAAGTGTCTCGCCTGTCGCAGCCCTTCGCACCGAGTCGCGGAGTGCCCTACGAGGGCGCAACACCCGCCGCCAGGACCCTGTCGCTCCTGCAAGAAGAAGGATCACTGGTCTCTCGACTGCAAGAAGGCGCTCGAGGACGGCAAAAAGCCCGACACCGCTGACTCGACCGTCGACTCGCAACACCATGTCGGATGTCTCGCCACCGGTCTTCTCGCTCGTCGTCGCCAGCTTCGCAACCACTCTTTTGTCGTCGACTCGGGCGCCACTTCGCACATGGTCTCGGACAAGTCGCTGTTCACGACCTATCGCCATATCGCTCCTACGAAGATTGGTGGTATTGCAGGGGGCATCAACGCCATCGGAACGGGAAACATCGCCTTCATTGCCGCCTCGGGTCATCCGATCACGCTTACCGGCGTGCTGCACACTCCGGGCCTGTTTGTCAATCTTCTCTCGGTCTCTCGACTTTGCGACACCGACGATGTCCGTGTCGCCTTCACAAAACACGGCATCCACATTGACAAGGACGGCAACGACATCGCTGAAGGCGCACGACTCGACGAAGGGCTCTACTTGCTGGACGCTGATCATTCCAAATGTCAGCACCTTGCTCTCCTTTCTCGCTCACAGTCGTCCGTGCCCCTGCTGACTCTCCATCGCTGCCTCGGCCATCTCGCACCGTCCTCCATACAGAAGATGGTTGCCGCTGGTTTGCTGGAGGGTCTCAGGGCCGGATATAGTGACGAAGAGGTAGAGAAGTTTGTCTGCAATGCTTGCCTCAGCGCAAAGGGCCATCGTCTTCCCTTTCCCGATTCGGATTCGCACTCCTCAGAGAGACTCGGCCTTGTACACAGCGATGTGCTTTCCTTCCCCGAGCGGTCCTTGACTGGCAAACGTTACCTGGTCACATTCCTTGACGATTACTCGCGCAAACTCTGGGCCTACGCAATCGGACACAAAAGCGAAGTCTTCGGCATATTCAAAACTTGGCTAGCCGAGGTTGAACTCGAGACGGGTGCGACGCTGAAGGTCCTCCGAACCGACAACGGTGGCGAATACTGTTCGAGAGCGTTCACAGAGTTCTGCAAGACACGAGGCACCCGTCGACAATACTCTATCCCACGCACGCCTCAACAGAACGGTCGTGCAGAGCGGGTCAATCGTTCCATTGTCGAAGGCGTCCTTGCCCTCCTTGTCGACGCCCACCTACCCAAGACATTCTGGGAGGAGGCTGCAGCTTATTTCGTTTACTGCAAGAACCTGTGTCAACACGCGGCCCTGGACAAGGCAACACCAAACTCCGTCTGGCAGGGTGACCACACCACTGCCTCGGCGCTTCACCCGTTCGGCTGTACAGCTTGGCTTACGGTCGCGCCCGAACTTCGCTCCAAACTCGACCCGAAGGCGGTTCGACGACGGCTCTATCGCCCTATCCCAGGAACGGTACATCATGGACGTGCTCGCTCGGTTCCACTTCGACACCACGACTCGCGGCACTACAGTTCCGATGACTCCCGGCCTTTCGCTCACTGCTATCCCGGGTCAAGGCACCGAACGGATCAGGTCATGGTATCTGCAGGCTATCGGCTCGCTCCTCTACATTTCGCTCGGTACCCGCCCTGACATCGCCTTCGCCGTGTCCTACCTGGCCCGCTTCGCCAACAACCCCGGTCGTCGTCATTGGATTGCGGTCAAGCACATCCTACGCTATCTCCGGGCCACGTATCGCAACGAACTCGTGTATGCTCGCGGCCAGGCTCGCATCACGGGTGTGGTAGGCTACTCCGACGCGAACTGGGGGGCCTGCATCGACACATCGGTGTCCACCATGGGCTACGTCTTCTACATCGCTGGCTCGGCCGTGTCCTGGTCGTCCAAACGCCAGTCTCGAGTTGCCGATTCGACCACCGACGCTGAATACCTCGCCCTCTCGCATGCTGGCAAGGAAGGGATTTACCTCAGTCAGCTGCTCGAAGAGCTCCATGTACAACCTGTTGCACCGGCTCACATCTTTACTGACAACGAAGCCGCTGCTGCAGTTGCTCACGATCCTGTCCGCGTCTCTGGCACTCGGCACATACGCTTGCGTGAGCACTTCGTTCGGGACATGGTGAATCGGGGCGACATCTCTCTCTCGCATGTGGGTACCAGCGACATGGTGGCCGACATCTTCACCAAGGCTCTCGGCCCAAAGGTCTTCTCAACGCACTGCTACGCCCTCGGCCTTCGCACTCGACACCCGCGGCTTGGGTCTGCCTCGCATTCGCGTGGGGGGGGTGTGAAGAGTCCACTCTCAGCTCGACAGGGGCGCCTCGGTCGTTGCGCGCACTTGCTAGCCCGCCCCGGCGGTGGGGACTTAGACGCGCGCGACTGCCTCAGCGCGCCAGCGCCGGCGGATTCATGCGCGCGCCCGCTAGCCCGCCCCCTTGCGGTGGGGACTTAGGCGCGCCGGCGATTTCACCCGCGGCTGACTTAGGGATGTACATTGTCACGCGCCTGGGACTATCCCAGCGTGGCCCCCCCTTTCTGTTTCTTAGCTTCCTTCTCATCACTTCTGTTCGACTCTCAACCTCTCCTGACAGTAGTGGTGAACGTCTCATAGGTACGCTGAAATAGATCACTTCTGTTCGACTCTCAACCTCTCCTGACAGTAGTGGTGAACGTCTCATAGGTTATGAGCCCAGAGCAACCAGCAGGTCATGAGTTCAATCCCCCCTGGGGTCAGGCAATTTTGCGCGCATACACTCAGCGTCCCGGCCCCCGCACTTGCCCAGCGGCGTGCCAAGCACCCTGGCGCATCGACAGTGCTCACAGTGCCCAAGCTGCACTTGCCCAAGCGACCTGATCAACATGCCCAGTTGCCTCACAGCCGCACCCACTGCCACAAGCTCTTCAGCTTCGCGCACAGGGGGGTGTTGAACTTCGCTCCATCTCACTTCTAGGACAATATGCGCTCACTGAAGGAGAGGTGCCTCGCCTTTTGGTGCAGTGGTATATTGTTCCTTCATAGGTTATGAGCCCAGAGCAACCAGCAGGTCATGAGTTCAATCCCCCCTGGGGTCAGGCAATTTTGCGCGCATACACTCAGCGTCCCGGCCCCGCACTTGCCCAGCGGCGTGCCAAGCACCCTGGCGCATCGACAGTGCTCACAGTGCCCAAGCTGCACTTGCCCAAGCGACCTGATCAACATGCCCAGTTGCCTCACAGCCGCACCCACTGCCACAAGCTCTTCAGCTTCGCGCACAGGGGGGTGTTGAACTTCGCTCCATCTCACTTCTAGGACAATATGCGCTCACTGAAGGAGAGGTGCCTCGCCTTTTGGTGCAGTGGTATATTGTTCCTTCATAGATCGGCCTCCCCTTCGACCCCAGCGGCGACACCGAACTCGCCTACGCGAATCTCATCGAACGGCTCGAGGCGACGCTGGAAGCGGTTCAGCATCGCTGGCTCACGCACCACACCCGTGCCTTTTACGTCAATCGGTACACCATTCCCAAGATCCTGCATTTCCTTGCAGCCGACATCCCGCCGCCCGAAGTCGTCAAGAAGCTCGATGACATGCTCGTCGATTTCGTCCGTGGGGGCAAGGGCAGGACCAGCTACGGCAGAGACATTGTGTTCACCGCCAAGAACAAGGGGGGACTCGGGGTGATAAGGATGCGGGACATTGTGGACGCGGTTGCGGCACGGCTCTGGGACGTTCTTCTCGGCGGTTCCGGCGCGATTTGGCAAGGACTTGCGCGCGCAGCACTCCAGCGAGCTCAGCCCGACCTCGACCTGGCCACCGATCTCTGGCCACATCCATCCACTCCCATCCCCAACGACCTTCATCCCCGATGGCACGCCGCACTGGGCGTTCCAAAACTTCACGACGTGCAGGTCAACCCGAGGGCCTTGACCACCGCGAACCTGCTCGCGCTGCCCACCCTGCTCGGCAGCCTCCACACCCCCATCAGAGGGAGACAGACCATCGACGCGGTTCATGTACCTGACTACCTTCGTCTCCAGGGCTACCCGAAGGTGGCGGATCTCTATCGGCGCGAGTTGTATGCGGGTGGGGGGTTTCACCTCTGGACGCCGCCGGCGGATGTGCTCGGCGACAACAGCGAGTACGATCGACGCGGGCTCCCGCAGCGACTGGCAATCGCGGCCTGGTACCGGTTCACTGTCGATCGACACAAGAACACCCCCTTGGCGGCGGCGGTGGCGGCGGGACGACTCAACGTGCCTCCCCGGATCGGCACCAGCGCACCACTCGAGGCGATCATCCCCAAGCCCGTGGCCCGCTTCGCAATGGAGCAGCGCCTTCCGGACCCGGTGCTTCCACAACAGGCGAGCCAGTATACGCTGCTGAACATGGCTCGCCCCTACACAGTCCGTCGCATCCGCCGGGTCCTGAACGCGAAGGCATTTACCAACATGCTCGGGCTCAAGGGACCACCGCAGCCGGACGACCTCAGGAGCTTCTGGAAGGCAGTCAACTCGAAGGCACTGACAGCGAGGGAGAGGGAAGTTTGGTTCAAGCTGATCCTCCGCTTCACCCCGACGCGCAAGCTCCAGCACGAGCAAAAGCATGTCACTTCTCCCGCGTGCCTCGTGTGCGAAGCGCCGGTGGACGACACCGATCACTACTTCTTCGGCTGCGTCGACTCGCGGAACGTCTGGACCGCGGCAAGGGGCGTGCTCTGCGACGCGCTCGGATGCGACACGATCGAGGACGCCGAGTACACGACACTACAATGACTCTTTGGCCTCCCCAAGCTCAAGGCCAAGCTCAGCGAACAGGAAGGCGCAGGCAGGACGATCGAGATCTTCACGGGGATGGTCTTGGAGATGATCAGCAGTGGGAGATGGAGGATGCAGAAGCACGGGACGAGGATGGAAAGCCTGGAGCGGAGGAGGGTGGTACTGGAGGAGAGGATGAAGTTGAGGGCGGGGGGAGCAAGGGGCGGGCGAGGGCAGTAGAGGCTGGGTTCGATTTCCCCCCACCCCATCCCACACTCACACACCCCACATCACACATCCTCTTACAAAAACTGTATACTAAATATATTTTCTTCATCTTTCTTTCTTTTATTACAGGTCTGCCTCCGTTGCTCATGGACCGGCTCGCGATTTGGGATTGACTCGACGGTGGCTCGCGCTCTTTGGCTTCGGGGTTCTGAGTCAAGGGAGGGATCAGCAGACACAGGCAGAAAGTCGGCTTTGAGGGGCCAGGGACTGCTAAGGTGGAGGTTTTGAGGGGCCTCCACCGCGTCTTGTTGTGACCGAGCATAGACTTGGGGACTTCGCGGGTCAGGGTAGCTGCGCAGTCGCTCTCCTGTCTTTGTCTCGACCGAGTTGGGAAGTGGGTGCGGGGTGGGCCTCTTGTCGTTAGTACGCCAGTTCTTTTTCATTTTCTCTCTTTCTCTTCTCTCTCTCATTCGTCTCCTGGGGGGGAGCAACCGCTTGGCTGGGGCACTTGAATCCGAAGTATCGGATTGGTGGACTTGGCCCGTTTCTCGCATCTTGCGGGCGGTTTGTGTTATCATCGTCGACTTCCATCTAGTTTTTCCGTAGGCCAATCAGGGGGAACAGGAATTGGGGGCAATATGATGAACGGTTTCTACAAAAAAAAAAAAACACACACACACACACACACACACACGCACGCACACAAGTGAGTTTCTGTGGTGTAGAGTGAGTAGTTGACCTCCAAGCCCGTTAAGCTTTACAGGTCAACACAAACACGCGATGCCGGATCCGCCCGGCGCCGATGCGCCCCCGCCCGAGGACCTATTGGGTGGTAATGGCGCGAGTGATTCATCACTCAACACGCAAACGCGTGAAGCGGTCACTGGAGGAACCGCGAATCCTCCAGCTTGGTCGCCCGAGGCAACTCAGGTCCGGTTGGACCATGAGAAGCTGATGAAGAAGACCTTCCAAGTGCTCGGGATTGTTCCCTCCAGCAAGTCGACCCGCCGACTGATGGTCCTGATGCACGACGCCTCGACCCCGCCTTCGCAGGCGCCAGCGCTCGCACGAGCCGCCCAAAGAGCGGTGCGAAACGACGCAGCCCCGGCCTCCAATGTGATTCGAGTCATTATGGATGGTCCTGGATCACCCAGAGGTCCTGTACAGACCGCGCTGCGCAAGCACTTTGGATTGGCCGAGACGCCGTTCATGTTTGCGCGGCCCGAGGGCGTCGTGCTTGACCCCGAGGTCGAGAAGCTTTTCTCGAAATGCGTGAAGCTGAACCCGATTGTGACGAAAGCCACGAAGAGGTTCCCGATCGCTCGTCACATGTACGAGCTTGTATTCGAATCCGAGCAAGCTTGTCTTGAAGCCGCTTCAGCGGGCCCATTCCCCTACCACGGCAAGGAGATGGTTACCGAGCTCCCCAGCGCCTCTCCCCTTAACCACGTCGTGCAGGTGCGATTCACCTTGCCCTCCTCCTCCAGCGCGATCCCCGCTTCCGTGCTCCGAAAATCTCTCGATGATGCTATCACCCTTTCGTTCGGCCGCGCAGGTCGCACGCAAGGTTATACCCTGATGCAATTACAGCGGGGCCTCGCGGTCGATCCGAATGGCGATCCGATGGCCATGACCGAAGACGGGTTCCACTGCGCGTACCTTCGCTTACATGCTGATCTTTTCCAAGGCTCCATCGAGACGCAGAAGGCTGCGCTCAACGCCGCTTTGCCACAAGAGATCGAGATCCTGGGCGCCAAGTACGGCTTGCGACACGAATTCGAGACGCACTACTGCGCGGTGTGCGATCGCGCCGGACACCAGTGGGGCGCTTGCAGGAAGCCGGTTTCGACTCCGGCCACCGCCGCCCCTGTTCCGGGGGCCTCGACCTCGACTTCGACTTCGACCACCGGCTTCCGAGTTGCTGGAAAGAATGGGAAGCACGGTGGGCCTGCCGCATTGAACTCTCGTGTCTCTGGCGCGAACATGATCCAGCTGGGACCTCGTGCTAACCCCGCAGGTGCAGTAACCACCAACAAGGACGACGCGAACGACGGCGACGACGAGTCGGTCGTTTCGACCGAACCGGAGGGCGGTGACACTGGGGAAGAGACGTCGACGCGTGCGATCCTGGGCTCAACAAAGGAGACGCAGACGACGACGGCGGCGCCCGTTTCGACCCCGACCTCTCCTTCGCCTCTGTCCGGTGGCACGTCGGGATCATCGGCAACCTCGACAACCTCGATAGCCTCGACGAGTCCTCGACGCCTTCGTTCGAGCTCGGCACCCGGCAACCGACGTGTCACCCGGGCGGGATCCGCCATGATCCTCGGTGCATCAGGGGGTGATGGCTCAGGGGGCAACAGTTCAGGGGGTCACAGGTCCGAGGTGACCGAATTCGAGGGGGGCGGCGCTGAACTGATTTAATCATGATTGAGTCACTCACCGTGTTGACGTTCAACGTCTGATCGATGAAGAACGCAGTCAACCAAGTCAAAATCATCCGTTATCTCAAAACCCTTCGGCCGGCCCCTGCGGCCATCCTCCTGCAAGAGCACCACCTCAGCTACAACGCGTCGCGCGAAGGCTTCGAGAGTGCTTGGCCGGGGGCTTGTATTCGTTTCACTCCTCATGTCCTTACCCTCATACCCGATGGCTCACCTTTGGCGGGCCATCTCCTTTCCTCTACCCCGGTCGTCTTTGCAGGAGCTCCTCGTTTCGACGGTCGGATTCTGCGCTCGGTGTTTCGTCTTGAGGAGCTCGATGTCGAGATCATCAACATGTACGCGCCGGTGCAGGAGGACGATCGTCGCGACTTTTTCGGGCTTCTGCACTTCAACGCCCCGAGACCCAAGATTCTTCGGATCTTGGCCGGCGATCTCAACGATTGTCCGGATGTATTGGTCGACCGAGTGTCCATCACCGATCGCGCTTGGACTCCTGTATCGCACTGGCAGACCTTGCTGTCAAAGATCGCGTTCAAGGCACTCGACACGGTCCGACATGTCCATCCTTGCACCCCTGCATTCACTCGTCCTCACTACCGTGGTAGAGGGGAAGAGCGAAAGATTTGCTCGTGGTCGCGGATCGACTATATTCTTGTCCAATGCAGTTGGGCGAACCGGTTGTTGAGCGCTTCTACGCTCTTCGATGCGCCCTGTTCGGACCACAGACCTGTAGTTGCGACTTTCGCTTTGCCTACATCGAACGCTGATGCCGAACCCCCCCTTTCTCTTCCCTCCACGAGCGATTTCATTTCGAGGCTCAACCCAATGGTCTTTAACGATCAAGACTTTGTCGCATCGATTCCCGGGGTCGTCGACGAGGTCTATCGAAGGCTCGAGGGGACCGCTCCGCTCGGCGACATCTATGACGCCGCTCTGCGGGCGGTTGCAGTCGCTGGTGTTGAACTTCGCTCCATCTCACTTCTAGGACAATATGCGCTCACTGAAGTAGAGGTGCCTCGCCTTTTGGTGCAGTGGTATATTGTTCCTTCATAGCTGGCCATGCACGATACCGCTCGACTCGTGCCGACATGCGCCGACTGCGGGCCGAGAGCCAATCCGTCATGGAGGCTTTGGAGGCACGCGGTGAGCACATGAATGAGGCCGAGCGCGATGCGTATGCTCATGCCAAGTCGCGGTTGGACCAGTTGGCGGTAAAGGAGGCTCAGTGGCTGCGCATTCGTGCGCATGTGCCGTCAGTCGACTCGAGGGAAGGTCAATCGGCAAGCATTCGCACGCGCCTCAACCGCCGGAGTCGCCAGACGAGCATCGTCTCACTGGAGGATGTGGATGGCACCGAGACCGTTGACATGCAGGAGGCGCTGGGTATTGCTTCACGGCACGCGCAGTCGCTCTTCACGCCGGACCCAGCTCGTGGCGACCCGACGAACGCACGCCGGTCCCTGCTCGACCCTATTCGCGCAGCGAAATGCTACGATGACGACCGCTCGGACCCTACGTTCGGTCGTCGGCTGCCTCGTCAAGCGAGAGTGGCGCTTGACGAGCCCTTCACCCTCCTCGAGGTTGAAGCGGCGTTGAAGAAGACGGATTCGGGGCGATCACCGGGGCCCTCGGGCATTCCGTACGAGCTCTTCAAGGCGCTGCCAACCTACTTTGCTCCCAAGCTGTTGGACTTGTTCAACTCGATTTGGGAGGGCGGCAAAATGACGGCGTCCTTGGCAGAGGGGCTGGTGCGGCTCTTGCCCAAGAATAAACCGGGGGCCAATCTGAAATCACTGGGGGCATACCGACCGATCACATTGCGCGAGACGACCTACAAGGTCCTCAGCAAGGTCTTGGTGGCGCGACTCAATGGGGTGCTCGGCGAGCTTTTGCCGCCGGCGCAACACGGTTTCATGCCATCAAGACGTTCAGCGGACGCGGGAAGTCATCTCACTCTCCTTCTCGAAAAACTCAAGTCGCTAGGCACTGATGTTTTCCCCGAGGGCGCCCTCTTGTCTTTGGATCAGCAGAGCGCGTACGATCGGGTCGATCACGCCTGGATCTTCGAGGTCTTTGAGGCCTTTGGGTTCGGTGAGCGTTTCATCTCGCTGCTGCGCGCTCTCTACGATCCCGAGACTCTGGGGGTGCGCTACCTTGTCAATGGGTTCCCCACGGACTTGGTGCGGTTGCTGTGTGGTCTCGGTCAGGGGGATCCCCTCTCGTGCCCGGTTTGGAACATCACGTACCAGCCCTTCCTCGACGCCCTCGTTCGGCGCGGGATCGCGCTCGACCTGCAGAAGGTGTGGCCAGGGGGGCCGCGTGCGCAGCTTACGCATCTGGCGTTTGCCGACGATGCTGTGGTGGTGGTGGAGTCACCGGCGGCATTGTCGAAGCTGCAAACGCTGTCGCAGACGTGGTACGAGGCTACCAACGGGAAGACCAACACGGACAAGACGCTGGTGCTACCACTCGGACCGAACTGGCTTCGGGACGAGACTGCGCAGGCGCTGCCAACGGTGCAGGAGGGGGAGAGCTTCAAGTGGTGCGGCTATGCCTTCTTTCGCCACGGTGACTCGAAACTGTTTTGGACCCATGTTCTTGACAGGATCAAGGCCAAGGCCCGCGCCGCTCGAGACCGGACACTTTCGCCGAGTGGGAAGGTTTTCTATGCCAACGCTCACATCATCTCGACGGTCCTCCACGTGCTGTCCTTCGACATACCGCCTCAATGGTTCATTAAGGCGGCGGAGACGGCACTTACGGACTTTGTCTGGGGAGGAGCAGGGCGAAATACCGTCGCTCGCGATTTCGTGTTCCAGGCTCGGGAGGACGGTGGCTTGGGTTTGATTTCGATTGGCGACATCGTTCATTCGGTGGCGCTTCGATTTTGGGATGCTGTGGCGGGCTCGGACGAGGCGATCTGGGCACCCCTAGCTCGCGAGAGCTGGAGGTCCCTCGTCGCTGCGACCCGCAATTTCAGTCCGTGGGGGTTCTTCAGCAGCACGGCTCGGGTCGAGAAGCTGTATCGCGACTCGACGCGCTGGGGGGCAGTCGTTGCAGCGGCCAGGGTCACAGTTCCAACCATCAAGTCCGAACTCCTTACGCTTCCCGAATTGCTCTCGCTTCCGCCTCGCCTCCCTTCACTCTATGCTGAAGGTGCCCAGCACGCATATGACGATGCGGACGCGGTGGCAAAGTTTGCGCAGATCGCGGACCTGTACTGGAGGGACGAAGGGAAGGGATGGGCTCTGGTTGGTCATCGACGCGGGTTCTGGCAGCACTCTAAGGAACCCGCCCTACAGCACGAGCACGTGTGGTCGCGCGTGGGTCAGTTGCTCAAGGCGAAAGCGTTGCTGCCCAAGACCGCGTTGCGACCTGCTCGGATACCTCTCAAGGAGGCTCCCCGTCCTCGGTGCTTCAACTTCTTTGGGCTCTCCCGACCTTTTACGATTCGCAAGCTTCGTCGGCTTGTGAACAAGGTGCGGTTCCCAGGGAGGGAGGACCGTGTCAAGCGTTTCCCTGATGGGACTTCTCAGAGCGATAGGAAGCGCTTCTGGAGATGGCTTCATGACCGGTTCGCGTCTGCTGTCGAGCAGGACACCCACTGGTGGCTCATGTACGACGTGACGCCGACGCGCAAGAGGCAGCATACTCAGGGTCATGCCTCTTCGCCGACGTGTCTGTTCTGTGGCAACGATGCAGCGGTCATCGAGACGGTGTCCCACTACTTTTTCGAGTGCGCGTACTCGACCAGCTTCTGGGGTGGGGTGCTACGCATTCTGCTTGACAAGCTCGGCATCGAGGATACCGACGTCGATCCGTCGACGTTCACTCCGGAGCAGCTGACTATGGGGCTCCCCCTTTTGCGGGGTCGTGGGAGAACGACCTCGAAATGGATGTGGGTTCGGCTGGCCTGCGCGATCGGTTTCCAGCGGCTGCACCTGCTCCGCTGGCGCGTTCATCAGCGGTTCGAGCTGGACAACGTCGTGGCCTCTCCCTCGCTTCCCAGTGCGCTCAGAGCGTTCGAGCGAGATTTTCTCTCTCGAGCGGGCTTTGTGCCTGGGGCTCGAGATTGGGAGGTGTGATGACCGAGTTAAGTCCTTCCTTCCCATTTTCCTCCCCTGCTCTCTCTCCCCTCCTTTCCTCCCTTCCTTTTCGGAGGTCGACTTTTCTTTCAGAAGCTGACTGTCTTGAAACTTGTTGCGCAGTGGAAGGCTGCGCACCTCTCCCTCTCTCTACTTTGTGCAGTAGCGGTTTTCGTTCTTGGATGGATCGGCAAGCCGGTCGATCGTCGTTGCGTTGGAGGCTTTGTGAAGTTCTCCCCTCTCTTTCCCCTTTCTCCCTTCCCTTCCTCTTCTCGTTCCTGTTGCTCGGTTGTTGACTACGCTTCAGCCACTTCTCCTTTTATTCCTAAGCCGTGTGTTGGATTCCGTCGAATACATCGTTCGTTGGCGTTGGTCAAGATCTACGGCATGGATCGGGAAGAAAGGTCGCTCGTTTTTTTGGTCAATATCCTCGCGTCAAGGCGAGGCTTGTTTCGTTGTATTGGATCGTTTTCGCTCGGCCCCGACGGCTCAACAGCCAGCACTCGAGACTCAGCCAAGGGAGGACATCAGGCGCTGTCGGGGTGACGAGTAGCTGGGGCTTGGCTGCGGCCTGTCAGTCCCTGGGGACCTCTAGCTCTGGCTTCGACCCCCTCCCTTGGCCCCTCGGGTGTGTTCCCCTCCTCCTCCCCTCCTCTCTGTCTTAGTATTCCTGGTTCTCCGTGTTTCCAGTCGTGAATTTTTGTATATTCTCCCCTTTTCTTTCTCTAGGCGCTCTTGCCTGGTTTTCGAGTATCTTCGCTCCCGCTCTTGGGACGTGAAGCGGCAGCAGTACTCACCGCCCGTTGGAGTCCGCGTTAGGTGCTCGGCGGGTTTTGATCTGCGCAGCGCTCTTTGCGCGCAGGGGTTTGACTTTCACCCAATTGCTTGCCGTCGTTGCTTTATAACCTCTTTTAGCTCTTTTTCTAGCGGTCCCAGCCAACCCGAAGGATTGCAATTTATGAGCCCCAGTAAAATAAAAAAAAAATCCTTTGTGGGCGCGCGGGCGCGCACTCGGTGGTCGCGGGTTCGAGGTGCCCAGACCGCAGTCTTCTTTCGGTTTGTTTGATCTTTTTGTTAGCCGAGGCGCGGCTTCAGGGTTTTTACCGGTGCTCCCGTGAGCAATCCTTTTTACCCCTGAGGCGACCTCTTGGAGTGGTTGATTTGCTAAGTCCCCTCTGGGCCTGGCACAGTCCCTTCCCTTTAGTTTTACCACCTTTCCCCGGGAGCTTGGTCCGCTCTTCTCTTTTGTTGCCCCTCCTCTTCTTGTCAATCGTTTGGGAATTAAGTCCGTTACACTTGATTTCCTGCGAGCCTTTCGACCGACTCCCCTCCTCGGTTGCTCCCTTGTCGACTGCCGCCGCAACAGCCGACACTTCCTGAAATCCCCCCCACCGTACCAACGCGTGTAGACGACGTCATCCCCTCCGACGTCGCTTGCCAGGGGGTAGAGTGAGCGTACCGCTGTTCCCCACGGGATTGGCTCCAGACTGGGGATGGGAGCATGCGAGGTAGTGGTCGCGGGTTGGAACGGTCCCGAGTGGATGGCATACTGATGAGCCCCGACGAGCATGCCCGAGTCGGCCAGGAAGGGCAAGCCCAAGATGGTGTCGTACCCGGACACCATGCCAACAAAGAAGGGGCGTAATCCGAGGTCCAGGGCACCCGATGCAAAGGGTGCTGTGGCGAACAGCGATAGTCGATCGGTGGCGTCTCCAGTTCCCAAGCGCAAATGTAGGGGAGCCATCAAACTCGAGAGCACGAAGGAGGACTCAGCTTTAACAATGCGACTGTCGATGACGTCGATCTCGGCTCCTGAATCCAACAGGCATCGCAAGGTACGACCACTTGGCGTCGTCCACAGAAGAACGTTCTTGACTCGCAGGATACGTGGTTCAGCGTTGCCTGTGGCAGAAGGAGGTTCATCAGCTAGCTTCTGTTCTTCCAGCAGGGAGATTGCGCCGACATCGACAAAGTGTTCGAGTTCCTTATCCGAAGGGATGCCGACAGTGGACGCCAACAGGGCCCGAGGGCCACCGAAGGAGGTGGGAGGAGGGCCGGCATCAGAGGCAACGAAGGACGATCGTCGTCGATGCGAACGTTCGATGCGTGCCCCACGCCCCGTGGCCTTAGCCGTGCGAGGTGTTCGAACCACGGGAGCATCGCGAGTCTCATCACGCGCCTGTTGATCGAGGGGCGAGGACAGGCACTCGATCAAAAGAGCTCGGAACGAACTCACTAAATCTCCGCGTGAGCCTTCCAAAGTCCCGAGATGCGACGAAGCAACGAGAGGACGTACAGGTTGATCATCCGACTCGAGCTTGACGACCTCGTCGGCTTCATGACCGCTCGGACCAATGTCGAAGTACTGTGCGATGGATGCTACGACGACCTGGTTCGGTGAGACTCGAGTGTTTTTGCAGTCATCAGCAAAATGACCCCCCAGACCACAATTGTAGCACCGCAGAGTGGCGGGACAGGTTCGCTTGGCCGACGAGATCCGGACCCATTCGCTTCGCTGGTGCGCCGGATGGTCGCCTTGCCACTCGATGGCTCGGGCGACCCAACGCTCGCGCTGTCGCGTGTGCTGATCGGCGTTCTCGGTGCGGGGAGGTGACCGAGCGGCGCGCACGGCTGCGAGGTGCGAGGGCGATGTCGGAGGCGAGGACGGTTCCGGGTCGTGCGCAATAGCGCGGACGGATGCGAGCGGCGAGAGACGGACTTCGGCTGACGCCCAACGGCTGACGCCCAACGGCTGACGCCCAACGGCTGAGCTCCTCCAGCGTCGGATGCAGACCTGCGGAAAAGACGCCAGAGGTGTGGAAGAACGGGTCGCGGTGACCGATCTGGGTGTGGCAGAGTTGCTGCGCAGCAGGGTTCAGTGCACGTAAGAACCGAGCGGCTTGGTCCCGTTCCGTCATGATGTTTGCGCCATCATCTTCATACTCCAACACCTTGGCCTCGAACAGGGAAAGGAACTCCATCGCGTGCCGGATTCCTTGCCGAAGAGCCGTGAGCTCCGCATCGACGCGCGCTGCGAATCCCGGATCGGGCCAACGATGTCTGGCCAATCGAAACAGGTCGTTTAGCGTCAGGACTCGAGCGGCGTTGATGGCCCTTCTGAACTGGGCATCGGCCCAATCAGCAGCACTCGTCTCTTGCCCCTTCCCCGGTTCGGTGGAGAAAACACTTAGGACGAGGAGGTGCACGTCGGGTGCGGCGGAGGCGAGATCGTCGTTGGCCCCAAATTTCCCCACCCCAAGGATCCACGCCCGTGCTTGTCGGATGAACGCGTTAAGCCTCGTGATGCTATGGTCCCCCTTCCATGGATTGGCGAATCGAGGAGGGCGGTAGCTTGGGGCCAACACGGCGGTGGGATGAAGGGGTGTCCGGGGTGAACCTTCGACGGCGGGATCGTTGCTGCGCGGGTGAGCCGAGGACGAGGACGAGGGCGGCACAGGTGACGCTGGGAGCGGCGAGTGCCTGTGCGACTCTTGCAACCAGAGTTCATGGGCCAGTTGGCGGTTCAGCTCGCGTGCCTGGGCCTGCAACATCTCCAACCAACTCATGGAACGAGGGGGAGGCGGCGACAAAGATACTCCCCGGGCGGGCTCTCGACGACCAGTCGGACGAGCGATACCCTCCGACGTGAGGTGAGGCGGTTCGTCGCGAAGCGGCTGCTCGTATTCTTGCAGCACGGTCCCATCGGCAGCGCGCGGTAGATCGGTGGGAGGCGGCGGAGGAGTCGGATCTGTAGGATAGGAGATGAGGGGATGGAACCGAATCGAGGGAACAGGAAGTAGAGGGATTGAGTAACAGACTCAACTGCTCGGACCCGGCAGGAGAGGAGAGAGGGGGACTGGTACTCAGCGTGGCGAGTAGAGAGGGGAGACTTCAGCAATGGGAGCGCAATACTACTCGACTGTTAAAAAAGTGAAAGGGCACTACCTCAACGAAGTAGGGAACCCTCACGATTCTTCTACGAGAGCGTCAACGATCGAAACCGAACGAAGAGGAAGGCGAAGGGGGGGAATCGGCCACGATGTTGAGTGACGCAAAGGCGGCGGCCCGAGCGGCGGCGGGACGAGGAATCGGGGGAGGGCGAGCAGCCGTGAACGACCCAGGGGCTCACGACGGCGAGGCAACAGTGACTCGAGGATAGAATTGCGGAAGGATAGAGGGAGGAGAGTCGGCGGTGATGCCCAGGAAACGGATTCAAGGAAGGGTGAAGCCAGAAGCCAAGCCCCAATCTACACAAGAGGGGGAGTTTCACCACTTGGGAAAAAGGTGGTTCACGGAAGTGAACACCGGAAAAGAAACCCCGCTAACTCAACACCCGCCCAAGCCGTGGTGAGCGCGAGCGCCTAAGTCCCAGCCGAGGGAAGCGCGCGCGCGCGCAGCGCCTAAGTCCCAAGCCGAGGGAAGCGCGCGCGCCCGGGTGCGCCGAGGTAGCGGCGCCCCTGTCGAGCTGAAGGCGGAGTCGTCACATACACGGAAAGGTCAATTCGGAAGGAAAAAGGGAAGACGAGCAAACGGATGGTGGAGTCAGCGTCGAACACAAACAAGGCTGAAACTAAGCGAGGCGCATGGAAAGGATATGAAGGATGGTAGATACAGCTCACCTGGGTATTGGATCGCCCAAATCCTTACACCAGTGTCGACAATTGGTTCGCAATGAGGGATGCCACACCTATGAGTTGACCTTATGACCGGAGCTCGATGGTCTTGCCAAAGTGGGTGTAAACGCGCTCGCGTCGCAGCTGCATGACCGAGATCAGGTTGGCCGGAAGGTCGGGGACGTATTAGACGTTGCAGAGCTTGATCGTTTGTTGTTTCGACGTTAGTATCGTGATCGAGCCGGTGCCTTGTGCCATGAGTGACCCGCCAGCGCCATCAACGGCGACGTGTGACCGTGTGTGCCAGGCGTCGAAGAGAGACGCGTCCTTGACCATGTAGTGGGTGTAAGGATCGGACGCCTCCGACTGCTGACACGAGCAACTGCTGACGCGCTGCTTTGGTTTCGAACGATGCTCTTCTTCCAGGGGTTCAACACCTCTCACATTTCGTTTGGATCGGCACTGTCGTGTATCAAGTCCGTGCCTTGGGTTTGGGATTCACTGGGATCAGAGACTGGCAGAGGAGAGGTGGTTGGTCGGAGGAATTGGTCACTGAGTGGAGTTTATTGAGCTTTGGCCCCTTGCTTAGTGTGACTAGCTCCCTCGAGTGCGCTTGCCTCTCTGGGAGGTATCATCATCATCATCATCATCATTCAGCCTCGTCTAGCTTTTGCTATCTCGTCCATCGACCCCAGCTTCATTGCTCTTCTCTTGATTGCAAGGTAGTCCTGATACAGCGTATACCTTTGGGTCTTCGTTGGGAGCAGCGCCTCGTGCTTTCACCTCGCGTTTGAGTCACGTATTCGACTCCGCATCTTCACCTCGTATTGAGCTCTCGTGTGCTCTCCTGGGTGTCGTCTCTCGGTCATCGACTCGCTTTACGGCTCAAGTCGATCATCCTCCCTGCTTGCTGTCGAGTCTTCCCAGCCAGCTCTACGCTGCGTCGTTGCTTTTCGACACGTCGTGCCGACTCCTTTCGGCCCGTTTCACCCCGTGCAGGTTGCCCTGCCTCGATCTCGACTGCGACGCTCGACCTCGAGTAACACTGAACATCCAATTTGACCGGGGTCAAGCTGATGATACCTTGGCCCGTGGTGAGGCGGAGGTTTTCTTGATGCAACTGGAGGTAAGTTGAGTCGATCGGTCTCGACGTGGGAGTATCCGTCATCACGAACGCCAGGAAGGCACGTTGGGTGCAATGCGGGATTGAGAAGTACTCGTCGCGTTTGTGCAAGTAGTACGCAAAGAATTGTGAACGCGAGACTCGCCACTTCGACCCCCTTTATTTGAGCTTCGTCCTAGGTGTTAAAACGTTACATGTCAGTCTGTGCGTGCGCCTTAACAAAATGGAACATCCGAGAAAGAGCCGAAGGCGCTTACGTTCACCATCACCATTCTCTTCGTCCCCTTCCTCCTCGTCTTCATCCTCTTCGTCGGCGAAGGGTGACCCAGCTTGGTTGGAACTGCAAAGAGGAATGTTGGGGAGGCAGTCATCTTCTCCTGCAGGGAATAGGAGTGGGGAACGGAGAGGCATCGCAGACGGATGGAGCGAGCTAACAACTTGGTACTTGGGCCGACCGTCGGGACATTGATCACCGTGCGCCTGAAGATTAAGGTCTTGCGGTCCACGACCTCACATGTTGGTGTCGAAATCGCAGATATGCATCGCCATTTCCGTGCTCCACGTAGGAAGGTTGTGGGTGCGTCGGTCCCGGCCAGGTGTTAGACAGAGGCGGCCGTACCCCAACCTGCGCGGGCTTTGGCCGATGCGAACTCCCTCACAAAGCGATGTCCGGTGCCCAACATGGAGTCGAGCTTGGTCAGAGTAGATCTTTGTATGCGACTGTCTGCGCCGTCGGGTCCAAATTGAGTGTCGGTGGCCTCGGCTGGGCAGATGAGCCATGTTTTGGCAAAGGTTGGGCCCTGATTGACGGCAGGAATTAGGGCGCCGAGAGTGCCCGAGTCGATGGTAAAGGCGACAAAATACCCAAAACATGCGGGGTCCTTGAGTGCCTGGTCGAGTCTGGTCAAAGTGGGCAGCGAGCGAAGTGAACGACAGCGCGTTGTTGTACGACCGGGCATTCTCGCGGAACGCCGGAATGCCTTAGCTTCTGTGTAGGTGTGTCGCACAGTTCAGCATGTTGGTCTACTACAGACGAATGTCGTTGGACGGAGGGACTGACCGCTATCCGAGCCTTCAAGTAGCTGTTGAAAGTCGGGATTAGGCCGGAGAGAGGGAGGTAGCTGCACCTTGCCCTGCGAGCAGCACGTGCTGAAGTGTCCGGTCGACTTTGTCCTTTCGCACTCCCAGTGTCGAGCCTTGCAGTGGGTACACACGGTCATCTGGGGCCGAGGTAGTCGCGGATGGGAACGTGGGGCTTGAGTGGTTTGAGCGCGATTCAAGGCCTGTGCACTTGCTCTGCGCGGGAAGAGGTGGTGGTGGGGCGAGCTCCGCAGTAGCTCAGCGTCGGTTCGGCCATCGGGCCATCGCGCTGATCACGCTGTCCGTTCTACAAAGCTGTACGGCGTACGCTTATACGGGTCGCAATACCAAGATCGGTTGAATTGTTGTTATTATGCGCGGGAAGCTGATCTTGTTGATCGGAGCGGGACGAAGAGGAGAGTCGAGCAGCGGGCCCAGCAGCGGGCCCTCGAGCAAGCTCGAGCAGGCCCGCTATCGTACGTATCGTACGGCGCTACCCTCGCGCCAAAGACTCGGCGCGGTTGTCACGAAAATTCGATGAAAGTGGGAGGAAAAAGGCGAAGATTAGAGAGAGTAGCGCGGGAGTATTCACAACGCCTGGAACCTCATGTTGTTGTTGAGCCCCTAAAACCGGTGTCGGAATGCAGAAAACACGTCACGTGATCGACGGGCATCGCGCAGCGTAGCCGCGCCCGCGTCCGCGCGTCAACGACAGCAAGACCACGCCTGACCTCTGTAGAAGAAGTGTCATGCAAACCCACGCGCTTGCTATACATTAAATCCTACACAAACAGCTCAATAGTTCCCCACCATGTCAAAATTCGACAAAAATCGTAGTCGGGCTGTAGGTCGACTTTTATGGTCCAGAAAATGCAGAAAGGGTCGTACATGACTTCTGGTCGAGACGCCGATACCACAGGCAGGTGCGGCAGACTCAATAGTGTACAAGTACATTCATCACTTGCGGCCTTCCGGGCCGCAACACAGACAAAAACTGCGATTTTAGGTACATGGTCGCGGATCGACACTTTTTTTTTACTAGACTAGATAGACTAGACTAGGTGCGGCGGCGCGCTCCGCGCGCCACCTCACACCGTAACCGTTGACCCGCTGAAATGTGATGTACTTTGCTGCAACAGCTGCGGTACTGTTCAGTGACGGTCCAAGTCCGGAGAGGACCGCGAGACGACGATCAAATGTAAAGAGCCTTCATTTCAGGACGTTTCTGACACCGTCCACATAGTTGCTCGGCACAACGCGACATACAACTGGCCGTGAGAAAAGACGGGCGTCTCCAGACACACTCCTACCTGCGCAAGTGCCAACTGCTCTTGCAACTTGCTGAACGTCATAGCCATTGCCAGCCGAATCGGAAACGGCGGCGTCACCCGGCAGCAGGTCGGGGCACCATGTCGTTGATCTGTGCGAATTTTTGGGCGCCAGAATTGCTCGATCTCGGAAGTATTCGACTTTTTCGCCTATCGACGTATTGCCTTTGCCCGTTCCGTTTCGGTCATGCGGTCTGCAGCGGCCAGAAAACGCATGTCTGCGCTCGCACCGTGGGCTGTTGTTAGTATAGGGTCTAAAAGTCAGGCAAGGACTACTACTTACAGAGAGATCCCCCCAGAAGTCGCCATTCATGATGCAAGCGTCGACGATTTGTGCAGGCGATGACGTGGAATAACGGGAAGGCATCGCTTCGGAACCCCTGTGATGTTACAGTCCAATCAATCAGTTAGTCACACCGCCCTGCGCTTTGCTTTTGAAAGATTGGCACACACCTGCCAACACGACGGTCACTCCATGATCAACGGATACTACCAAGTCGAGACCGATCGACTCAACTACATCCGGTGGCATCAATAGACCCTGCGCTTCATCACGGCACAAGGCATCAACAGCTTGACCCTGGACCAAATTGCATGTTCGATGATTTTGGGCTCGACATTCAAGAATAGACCGCGCGACATCACGCCGCGATACCAGGATGCGATGGCGTGCGTTCTCGAACATGGAAAGGCTCCGCTGTTCATCACGGTGACGTGCGACCCCAAATGGCCGGAAATCAAGGCTACACTGGGGCCGAACGACAAGACCTGCAACTGTCTGTATCTCATTGCACAAGTGTTTGAAGCCAAGTCCGGCAACAAGCAACGGGCAGGCTGTTTCGACAATGAATGGAGGATGAATGGCGAATTGCTTCATTGCTGTTGTTCGTATTATTTTTCTTGACCTCTGCTGAAATCATAGACTGTTCGATTCTCCTGCTATTTGAACTTCTTCCTTCCGATAATTAACGGGTTCTCACTGGTAAGACATAACGCCAACACCACAAAACATTTAGTTTTTATACTTTCTCACTTTCCTTTTATCGGAAAGAGCGCTTCTTGCGGCTATCCTAGCATTCTTTGGGTGTGGATAAATTGCTGTAAACAATGAAAAACATGGGACATTTAATAAAATTTATTATGCAATCTCCACAATCACCTCGAAGTTTCGGAGTCATTAGAAAACGTGGCTAGGCACTGCCACTACTCCCTGGCAAAGCTAGATTGACTTTCCCCAGAATTTGTAGTGCCAAATGGTGTTCCTCCTTGTCCACTAAGGGAACAGTGGTGATCCAAAAGAGCAAACCATTGCGTCTGACAAGTTCCCGGGCAACTTTTGGTATCTTGGCTCCAGACAAGAAGAACTGCAGATGCGTCAGATGTGCCAAGTCAGTCATCTTCCCCCCGATCTCCTCGCAGAAACCTCTAGCAAACAGCCTACCTGAAGGATGCGCAGTCTGAGGAAAGAATCATGTTGAGCTGATTCAAACAGACTGACAAGGAGCTCAAAGCTCTGGCGTCGGCGCAGAATCCTCCAGTCCTTTTGTCATGGGAAAAGACAGATCAGCAAAGATCATAGCATAAATGAATTTGTGCAGCTTGATCAGACCAAGACTCGCCTGTGTCCGCATAAGCCCGTGACCTAGAAAAAGGACCAGCCATCTGCGTTCTTCCTCGGGCAGTGTACTTGACGAGTAGAGTGTAGCATAAAACATTGGTACATCGTGTTGGTCGACTTGAGAGCGCTGCAAGAGGAATTGCATAAAAGCCGGATAAAGAGTTGAAGCCGGTGTGCCTAGGGCAAGGATACAACAGCACAAGAAGAGAGAGATGACAGCTGGGACGGGTTCGCCGTTGACTCGGTAGATGCACTGGCGCGACATGTGCAACACCAGGGCAAGCTCATCCCTTTCTGGAAATTCGGAAGCCCGCGACTTGCTCAGTGCAGCTTGAAGCGTAGACAAAGCGAGTTGACGCATATTCGGTGAAGGAGATGCAAGCGCAGCAATTGGAATACCAAGCGCTCCAGATTTGAGTAGGTTTGTCCAATCTGCGGCCTTGAGTTCATCTTCCGCAATTGTGTGGGAGACAAAAGGCAGTAGAAAGCCTGGGTCGTACGCGGGAAAATTCACCACCCCGCTGGTATGTGGAAGAGCTGAACCGCATGCTTGTAGCCAGGCGTTGCGCATCAGGCGTGGGTCAAGATGGTGCAGGCTTGCGCAGCGATTCTTGTCCAACATTCGATTGCCAGTGTCTGGCGACCACCTTTTTGATGCTGCATTGATTGATCCTGCGTGTTCCAACTCGAGTCGCTGGAAGATCTCAAGAATGACCACGTCTTGGGCCGATGTGGTCGCCCCATAGATTGGTATGAGTCGGTCAACAAGTCGGCAAGATGCGGCGGCAGTCCATGAGGCGCGGGCAAGCGCGGCAATGAGCCGAATACTCGACTCGCTTGCACGGTGTTGTGATTGCGATCGGAAAGCAGGAGTTGCCAAAAGTGCATTCAGATGGCGAGCAACATCCTGATCCTGCAAAAAGAGATACTCCCAACGATGTCAATGTCCAAAATGGCAAATGAGCCTGGATGGTCACTGCTTGCCTACCTTCCAGTCACTCAAGCTGCAAAGCATTGCTGCAAGCACGCTGTAGTCGCTCTGATCCTGTCTACGGTGGATGATTGCCGTGAGGAGCGGATCGAAGAGATGTTGCTTGCAGACAATAGTACGATGCAACTTGAGCGTCCGCACTGTGCCCCAACACGCATGATCAGCACAGTACCTGCAGACCTTTTCTTCATGGGCACTCACCCAATTCGCTGACCAAATCACAGATGTGACCCTCGTCTTCTTTGTGCTCCATGGTGTACCGAATGATCCCCTCGAATGAATTGTTGACCCAATCACCAAGCACTGATTGCGCTGCTGGCATGTGATGTGCAAGTTGCGAAAGGAATCGAACTGGACGATGACTGAAAACTTGGTCTGTAGATTGTGGTAGAGCACCTTCCACTATCAAGACCACCGATTGGGCCAGGTCGGAATTTTGTATTGCGTATGTCCCCACCAAGAACGCAGCCTCATCTATTGTTGTCGGGGTTGAGTTGTTGGCGGCGACCAGGTGCTTCGTCCATTCGACAATGAGCTTGCGCAAGGCGTCGGCCACATCTGGCCCTTTGACGGGCGTGCGGACCATGGAGCTCAGGGGAGCAGCATACGCTAGGTCGAGGCGTTTCTGCGTAGCAACGAAGGATTCGAAGAGCGCTCGCGCTGGTTCGGAGCGAGAGACCAATTGCACCAGGACGACCATGAACGAGCGATTTGTGGCCACTGTGGCCAGCAGGTATCCTGTCCAGTCGACCGCATGACAATCGAGTAATGACTTGATCTGGGAAGCTTTGTTGCGGTCACTGGAGGACAAGAAGCCGGCACCGTGAAGCAAGACGGCTTCGCATCCTTTGACAGCATGGGAGAGCTGTGCCAACGAGCACAATGTTGCGAAATGTTGCACCCACAATTCGTTCACAACGGCCACTGAAGGTACGGAACTACATTGAAGCAAAGCAGCGTCCAATGTTGCACGCGTCCAATGATCCATCGACAGCGTATCGTTGACTACATGACGTAGCAGTGACGCGGTCAAGCGGAGCAGGGATGATTGACCAAAGAACGGCATCAATGGGCCACTTGTGAGTAACAACTTTTGTGGAGATAAAGTCTCTTGTGCATCAGCAAGGGTTCTCTCACAATACAAAGTCCGGGGCAGTTGCACATACTCACCCCGGGAGATAATTTCGCTTCATCATTGCCGATGATGAGCTGGCAATATGGCATTGCGGCGCGCCGACCATTGAGATTGTTCGGAGAGAAAAGCACACGGACAAGATGAAGCATCGCTGAGGGAGGGGGCCGACCCTGTCATCAGCTCTCAACGGCATGAGCAAGGGTAGTCTCTACAGCGGACTCACCCGAGAGCTGTTCGGGCTCTTCGCTGCTTGCAAGGGCTTTGGGGATAATATCGCTGCCAGAGACTAAAGTCTGGATACGATTTCGTTGAACAGGACTTGGGCAATCTTCGTAAAGCGAAATGACCATCCAAGCGAACACGCCGTTCCCGGAGCCGGCAATTCGCAGCAAAAGCACTCGGACTGCAGCTAACCAGGCTCGGGCACCGCGCACTTGTGCCAAGGTGAACTTCAGAGTAGCTGCGTCCCGAACAAGAGGTGGAGAGAGGTGGAGCATAAGAAGTGAAGTAGGTATGTACCACGTAGCCCTGTGAATACGAGTGAAGTGTCAGGAAAGCTTGCCTTGCATTGGAGGAAGCAAGGTCGAGATGCGGACAGACCTCTGTAGTGCTGGATGATACACGTCAAAAGTGAGCGGCGGTAGCGATGTGGCATCAAAGCGCGAGTCATGTGCAAGCGATTCGTCAATGCAAGTGGTCCTCGTTCTGACAACCTTGCCTTGAATCACCAGGAGGCACTCTTCTAAGACCCGCAGCGTTGTCTCCGCTACCAGTTCCACTTCCACAAGCGACGCAGTGAAACCGCCGACAACCTGCTTCAGCACGGGCAACGAGTCGATTGATCCAAGCTTGCTGAAGAAGAAGAAGCGCACAAGTCGCAGTGTAGACTCCGCGGGTGATCGTGCAGAGTACTCGAGCTCTCGACGGAGATTGCCTTGGACAACTCGCAGCAGAGGAGACGCCGCCGCTCGCAGCTCAGGTACAGTGCTCGCAGCAGAAGACCATGCCAATGCCTTTTGGACGCAGTCCTCGAAGAAGGCAAGAGCCGCGTCGGTACCGGCTCGTGGGCTGTCGCGAGTAATCCACATCACGGCCTCGAGCCAATCACTGGCTTCGTCCAAGTTGTCGCCAAAGAGCAAGGGTGTCCTCAAAACTCGGGTGAGGATCATCAAGAGCAACACGCGATTCCCTTCGGACACAGTCGTCCGCAACCGCTGCAGAAGCGGCGACAAGACTGTCTTGAGAACCTCTGTGGGGCGGACCCAAACCACAGCTGTGGTGTGAAGACTCGCAACACGCAGTGCGTATCCGGATGTGACGGTTTCAATGCCGGGTGAACCCGAGGTGGACCAAGGTCGGTGGAGCAGCTTTCCGAAGTCGTAGCGCAGGGCTGTAATAAGTCGAGGGGTAACACGATGGTACATCCAAAGCAGGCGCAACGCGATGTGAATGCGCAAGTGCCTTTGCTGGTTCAGAACGACCTGCGCGATCGTGTCCACATGATCATTCTCGACCGTTGTCTCGACGGCTGCTCCCGATCCCGATTGGAGTTTCATTTTCTTCCGCGAGGTCGACGTTGCCGGGGCGGGCGCGGAAGGCGTGGATGGTACGGCGCTGAGCGCCATGATGATCTGGGGGTCCGGCACGATCGCTTGGAGACGAAGCCGGACGGTTCTGGCCAGCGAAACCCATTTGCCTACCGTCTCTGTCTCTTCACACTGCCGCGCAATTTCAGCCAGACGAATGAGCACACGAGTCGCTTTTTGGAGCATGGCAAGTAGTAATGTCGCGCTCAGATACGCCACCATCGGGTCATTTTGCTGCATCGCCTTCGTGAACCAGAGCCGGTTGAGCGCACTCGGGCAGACGGAGTCAACCAGAGCGGAATTTATCGGCAATGTCGACTCGGCGGACAGTTCTTGAGGAAGGGGCAAAGATGTGATCTGCGTCGCCCAGGTGATGGCGGATATCCACCGCGAAGACAGGCGAGGATCGAACGAGGCCGGAAACTTCGCCCAATACGACACGACCAGATTTGGCGCCCGTTGCAACACGCGGAGGGCAAGGTCGCGCTGTCTCGCATCCTCCGTCACTTTCAGAGCAATGAGTAGCGTCCCGAGAGTTCTCTGCGCTCCCGCAGATCGCGCAGGCGCTTCGTCGATCTGGTCTCCGAGCCATCCGACAACGGCCGACAGGAATGCGTGCACCGTGCGTCCGAGCCTAGGGACGCCTGATGTCGGAGAACCGTTGTGGGACTCTATCCATTCGTCGTTTCGCTCGACGGTGTCATACAATTTGACAATCTGAAATTCGATGGGTTCACGCGATGCCGTCAGCCAACTCGGAACAGCGAACTTGAAGATGGGATCGGAGCACATAACTAACCTCTTTCAGGTTGGCTTCGTCCAGAAGGGCACGTCGAATCCCAAGGCCCACCGATCGGGCGACAATGACATCACGGTAGAACGCGACAAGGACGTGATGTACGACGGGAGGTGGATCGTCCGAAAGACCCTTGATCATGCCCGAAAGCAATCCTCGAGTCTCCAACACCTGGCATTTAAGGCGAGCATCATTCATCGATAAGAACGAAAGAACTAGCATAACGAGAAGAGTGCGAATGTCGGGACGGCGCAAAGGATCGCGAGTATTGTCCTGCAAACGAGTCTTGAACAACCGAGACGTGGTCTTGCTTGCCCAAGGCAGAGCGTCGAAAGCCCTGCGCGCAAAGCGGCCCGAGCCAAACGCGACCACGACATTGAGGAGCTTGAGTGCAGCCACCGTGGTATCGTTCCTGCCCGGATTCAAAGCTCGTTGGAGGTGTGTTGAATATTGCGCAAGTAATATTCGCACGAACTCGGGCTCGCCGCGCTGCGCATTCTGGGAGGCCAAGCGGACGAGTGATCCGAGGCAGTTCAGGACAGCGCTGGTGAGCGAAGAGTTGTTTGTCTTTTGGGGCAAAGATGAATCGTTATTGTGAAAGGGAGAGACAGGTGAGAGACAGTCCAATCAGCGCTGCGACGCCGACACTGACGGGGCCCAGAAGGAGCAGTTTCTCCCCACAACTCCCGCCGGCTTGCAAACGCAGACTCACCCGGTGAGCTAGATCCCAGGACATGAAAATGGGATCTATCGTTGGGTACTTGTTCATGAAGTCGTGCAGCGGGTGCTGTCCCAGCGCGGGAGGCGCTTCGGCGGTGACAAGCGCATGCGCGCTTTGCTGGATCGACGCCAGAGCTGCGAGAGCAAGTCCAAACTGTCAGTTCACAGACCGAACTGAACCAAACCGGATGTACACCCTGCTCGTAGCTGATCCAACCGAGCTGAATCGGCATCCTATCGTAGAGAAAATACGGACCACTAATGAGCGACGGGGCATCCTTGGTTGCAAGCGCTCGAGTTATGTCGTCGCTGGTTGCGAAGGCAGTCGTCAACGTTGACGTCGACTCGATCAGACGTAGGCGAGCCATTAGATGAGCCGCAGCGTGACGCGGTCGTATGTGCAGCAACGCTCGCTGGGAGTGGATGACTCAAACAGGCCTTTTTTGGTCGTCTCGAGTCTCCTCAACACCAACTGTGGCGTGGTGGACACGAGCGGACTTGAAGCGCGGGAGAGCGCAGTCCAGCGTCGGGCAGGCAGAGACAGGCACAGTCTGGCCCAATATCGGGGAGTGGCAGGACCCGGGAAAGCTGGGCCCGTACCCATGTCGGGGGGTGGGAAAGCTCAGCCGAAGGTGCGTCTCGAAAAACCCCGTTTTTAGGCCGATTTGTACACCAATATCCCTATCCAAGGGGTGTATGTATTCCGGTGTAAGACCAATTCATTTACTTATGTTGAAAAAGTTACTCTACCGTCAAAAATTACGTCATGTAGCATATTAAAAGGCATGAATGGGCCCGAAGGGTACAAATCTCCGAGAGCTCTGGTGGGCCTGGGTGGGCCTGGGTGGGCATAACAAGGCGTAACGAGGCGTATCGTTGCCATACATAGCCCTACGTTGCGGTACGTTAGAACTTTTAGGACCCATGAAAGCCTGGCCTGAGGCGCGTAGGTAAAATCCGGCAAAATCCCCGATTTTGGACCTCATTTGTTCACCATTTTAATAAAAAATCGCCCAACAAAGTCCCCAAAATGTCCAGTCCATCTACGCGCATCCAAAAATAGCTCTAGAAATGCTTCAAATGCTCCAAGCCATCTTCAAAAATCGCGAAAACGCCGTCCGGACATTTTTCGCCCGGACCGAATCGGAGGAGCCCGCGCGCGCGTCAGCCGTTTCGGTTCTGCTTCGCCGAGGGCTCCTCACCTGCACTCAAGGATCCGCATTAGATCAGATCACCGTGAGATCAGATCTGATCTGATCTGGATTTTTCTCATTCTGCCTTGATTGATCTGATCTTGATCTGATCTGAGCAGATCAATTTGATCTGAGACATGAAATTGCCTAATTTGGCAAATAAAGACTTCTTCATGTCTACATGTTGAAATCCTCATCTTCTTCTCCACAACCTCATCCTCATCCTCATCCTCATCATCCTCCAAAGTGATCACCTTGCTAAGCCGCCGTTTTTTGGAGGAGCTCGGAGCTCCCCGCAGAGTCTATGACTGGATTGGGTCGCATGATCCCTATGAGACAGTGTTTGCAATGAGTCAGCACCTGACACTGCAACGAAGGCCCATCACTGATCAGAGGAGGACCACACCCTGTAGTATTTCTGTGGCGCGGGGCCGACACCCAATGCGGCGGCGATGCCAGATGGCAGATAGCGCGCTCCTTTCTCTCTCATGCAGTGATCAGGTGCGCCGCAGTTGGCATTTCAAATCACATTGGCACCATCTATAGGTACCGCCTACTTTTTGTTTTTTTTTCTCGAGGCTTGATTGATCTGAACTTGATCTGACCCCCGTCAGATCAGATCTGATCTGATCTGAAACTGTTTAGATCAGATCTAATGCGGACCCTTGCCTGCACTTGCTGCCTGCCTTTTTGACTAGATTTGACGTGGCCTTGATATACATGTAACATACTACGAGAGGTAAGATCGATTGCAGTCACTCTGGGAAGCAGTAAGCTAGCTACCGTGAGATCTGCGAACCCCGACTCGGAGGATCATTGAGGGGCTAGTAATTGCTCCTCAACGAGCAGTGAAGGCATCACCTCCAGAGCTCTAACGATGAGACGTTGATCTTCGATGTCGACACGCAGATAACTTCACCAACTCTTGGAAGCAAGCCGTGCCGAGAATGTAGGATATTATTGGCGATGATGGCACAGACGACGTCGACGCGACGCGGCGGGGAAGGCAAGAATGAGAATGAGAATGAGAATTTTGCGCGCACTCAAATGCTTCGTTCAACCAGCCAAGAGGTTATAAGTGCACAAAATACATCAATTAGAGTCGATGTTGTGAATTTGGTACAGCCCAGAATGTTTCACACGCGCTCCCGCACATTCTTGAGGGTCGGCAAACTTTGGCCTTCCAAGCCGAACGTGGTCGAAATGGGTCCCGATTTGTCCATTGACACCTACCGTAGTGACCTAAGGACCCCACCTACACCGGCGCACCCTGATTTGTCCACCCCTGACTACGCGCCTTCGCGATTTTGGCCCATCTGAGATCTGAGGCCCAAAATTTGTCCAGTCGGGCGCAACGCGCCTCAGGCCGGGCTTTCGGGGGTCCAGTACGTTGCCTCCCGACGCTCTGGACAGCTCTCGGCTGCCTCTCCGAGTCATTGCCTTATCCCTGAAGCTCTCTAGAGCTGAAGGTTTGTTCAAGGAAAATTGGGGGGCGCGAGCTGGCGAAATTGACGAGATTCTCAACATTAGTAATTCTCGTTGGCGGGGGGGCGGCTTGGGGGGCGGCGCCGCGAGTTTGGGAAATTGACGACGGTCTCAACGCCGGGGGGCGGCTTGGGGGGCAGCGCCGCGACTTTGGGAAATTGACGACGATCGCAACATTACTAATTCTCGTTGGCGGGGGGCGGCTCCCGCACAGGCCCGCGCGCAAGGCCAGCAGCCGGCAGCCAGCCGGCACAAGCCGGCACAGACCTGCACAGACCGGCGCGGAACGGCGGCGAATGGCACGGAGTGCAAAGTCCTGTAGGCGTGCGCGTCGGCCCTCGTCTGATAGCTCTGTCCGAACATCAACATATCAGTAGCTCATGGTACAGCCCTCCTCCACCGTGGAGTAGTTCATCAGTCACGAACGGTGCTCAGTCGGTCCGACACACCCACCAGTCATTGGTATCAAGTGGCATTTGTGTCCACCCACCCTGCGGCGATGTCGATCTCTCCCAGTTCACGTGTCATAGTCGACATTAGACAGCATCTCGGAGCTTGGCTTGACAACAGGCAGTCGCTCGTGCCAACATGGTGAACGAGTACAGTACGCTTATTATGGACCGAACAGAGTTGGCGCCTTACAGTCGCTTGACGACGATCGAGTGATCAGGTGCTCGTTGCGACAGCTTGTCTTGTCCAACGTCGAACTTCGTTTGGACCAACTGCAGATTCTTTGTCAGACTCACAACTTGCAAGGCTACTCTCTTCGGCGATCAAGGGCTAGAGAACTGTTTTTGCGCATTCTATTGTCTTCATGCACTGAGAGTTGTCGAGCATGTGAGAATGGCTACATCTTCAAGCGAAACACAGCCAATGACATTCTGGTCCCCAGACGGCATTGCGTACCCCGCCACACGGTCTACCGGCACAGAACATTGGAGTCGTGTCAAGCAGAACTGAGCAAGGAGATTTGTGAACGAGGGGAAAGGTCATTGACAGAGAATGCGACTCAGAACAGACGACGAGCGGCGACCAACAATGACAGCCGCGCTGACGACGACACACGGCTTCGCCGAACCCCTCAAGCTTCGCAGGCTGAGCGGTCCTCGCTCTATACTCCTGCGTCCGCCCGGCTCCAAGCTGAGATCCGTGCCAAATAGAAGCAGTCCTTCAGAGATGCCAATTTTCGAGTTTTCTGCTGCTTGGTTTGCTCTGAGAGGGTCTTCGGGCACGAGGCACAGTGGGTCGCGGAGAGCGTTCTCAAGTGCAGAGATCGCGGCATCCTGGAAGTGCTCGCAGATGTTCATTTGCGCTCTGACTTGCGGCCTACAACGTATGATTTCGAGGAATGGCGTGCTGCAATCATTGATCCGCGTGGTCTACATCGGCGGAACGACCTAGAGGGCCAGTCCATCTACTTCGCCACGGACGACTCAGTCCTCCGTCCATTGTTCGCTTTGCCCCGGCTGTTATCAAAGTCTCTTTACCTGTAAAGCTGCGCCGACTAAGCCCGCTTGTTCATTGAGTAATCGTCTTTACCGGGCCCGATAGGAGAGAGGTAGCGACGCCGAGAAGTCAGGACCACTGTTCGAGAATCAGTCCGCGAGCGGCAGAGAGGCCGCCGACGACGAACAAGATCGTCGTGATCGAAGAGACAGGAGCAAACGTCTTGTGGTAGTCGATCCCCAGTCGTGGAGCAAAGCTTTGGACGACTAGACGAGCCTTGTATCTGATGATGTTTATTGAAGGTGTTAGTAGACCTTGCACTGATATCAGGGGCCGGATAGCTTAGAGGTCAAAGCTTTTCCGATTAATGGAAGCGACCCAGGTTTGACTCCTGGTCCAGCCGTTTCTTCTTCTTTTGTTGATCATTTTCGGAATCATTGTTGATTCCAACAATGTTGCCTTCGGCGTCTTCCTACCAAGTAAACACTCAACGATAGCCCAGTGCACGAGCCCCAGTGGGTAGCCTCGAAAGCTTGAAAAGCTTGTGCAAGCCCATGGAGTTGGGTTCCTTGACGGACGCAACGTACCACGACTCGGCCTCGGGCGAAGCCATCGCATCCTTGAAGGTCTTGGAAAGCGGTGGGTGACGAGTGGAAAACGACGCGATGAGCTCTGGTTCGCGACGAACGATCTTGCGCGTGGACACAATACTGAGGGCGGCGACGCGACGCTGAGCACGCGTGCGAACCGGTAGAATGTTGCCCTCGTCAATGTTCTCGAGCAGACCGGGATTGCGACCGACACGATAATGCCGATACTCGTGACCATTGTCAGGAGGTAGAGGTGGAGCACGCTCCGCAGGGTGGTCATCTTCGTAACTGTCGATAGCCTCAACAGCCTCCTCGCGTCGATGATCGATAGGCTGCTCTTCGTCTTTAACCCCTTCGGCAAACGGGCCGACAGCTGGTAAAGGAATAGGAGCAACCTCGCCATCGTCCGCACGTTGAAGACGAGGAAGTGGAGGCAGCGCTGGCGATACAGCCACACCAGGCTCGGGAATGAGAGCAGGCCGTCATGCCCGACCCGCCTCAGGGATGGGAGCAGGCCATAAAGCTTGATTCTGCTCCCAGCCAGGAAAACGCAGTTGAGATACTAGCTCGTACTTCTGTAGAGGTTCGACTTCGTACATGCGGGGCTCGTCAGCCGAAGATGAGTCCGCCTCACGCGCAGGCGACGGCGTCAATGACTTCGGAGCAGAGGCCGCCGACAAGGATCGTGAAGTCTTTTCGGGACGCGCGGCTGTTTCTTGAACGAAATGTGGATTTGACATTAGAGTCTCTAGCCTTGTCTTGTTGTGGTTATTCGCTTTCGGCTAAGTAGGAGGTACTGCTAGAGGTTCACACCCGAGTGCCTGGCCCACCTCGCGGTCGGCTGCCCATTTGCCCGGCGTCTCTGGTCTGCTCTGTCCCCGAACCCCCACCCAGTCTTTGTGGACTTTGTATGTCCGGCCGTGTCTCGCTCGGAACGTCGCCTTGTCGAACTACGAATCCTCTTCTTTCACTCGATCTGGAAGCTCTGTCGCCGTCGCCGATTCTCGTCGGATCTTTTGGAACCGATCACCGAAACGGACTTCGAGGGGCTTCGAGCCTCTATTCAGGAGTCCAAGGGTCGCCTAGTGTCTCTGTAAGCCACCAAAGGGGGTTTTAGTGGGTATGGTTGATCCTGGTTCAGGGTCAATGAGTCCTACACTACTGGCTTCTGCCAGTGTGCGTAACAGCATTCCCTCCGACTTTTCCGAAGATTTCTAGGTATTATTATAATTATTATGCTGTTAATGAAGTCTATCAAATAAAAAAGGGACTGGTCACCGCCCCGCGGTGCGTTAATTATAACGTGCTTATTATAACACGCGCGAGAGCCCCCGGCCCCGGTCACCTTCACGCCCACTGCTACACTCGGACCGCCAAGAACCACTCTTCTCACTCCAGTCACCGTGGCTTCGACCGAGCAGTCCAGCTGCCAGAAGTGGCTGGCAGACCTTTCGAAACTGCGCCATGAAGCTCGACGGTTTTTCGGGGACGTGTGTTGGGCCGCGCACGGTCCAACCCGGCCGGGCCGCTCCCGTCCCGATGAAGTACTCGTCTACGCTCACAAGGCGATCGTCTACAGTCGCTCATCAGGTCAGTTTCTCGAATGTGTATGGTCACCGGGCCTCCCTTTCCCCCCCTGCGAACCTGCCGTGTCTCCGGCAGCTTGCAGTCGACGCTGGAGGACCAGGAGGTCACGTGGGGCCGGAGTGATCAGCGCGCACGCACAGCTGAAGGTTCGAATCGTAGGTCTGATCGAAGAAGAGGTACTCCACTATTCCTTAGGGTCGTTCCAAGAACGCTTTATCCAGTGCTCGCCTGCACTACATCGCTCCGACTCGGTCGCTTCGTCCTTCAACACTGGTACCAGCGCCCGCGACGATGCACGGGACGCCCATTTCCTGCGATCCACGTCGTCCGCTAGTCTTGAATCGATGGTAACGGCCACAACATCTTCGGCGACGTTGATAGCCGAATCGAGTGGCCATGTTGTGCGCCTGATGCTTGCCGACACCGATCCAGCTCTCTTTGAAGCGTGGCTCGACGTGTTGTACCTCGGCACGCAGGGCACCGAAGGCGTGCATGTTTTGTTCGAGGGCTTTCACGAATCGATTCGAGAGGACTCCGTCCCGGGCCTGACCGGCATCGCGAAGCTTCGTGAGGATCTCCTGTATTGTTGGCGGAGCAAGCTTTACGCGGATGTAACAATCGTCCTCGATGACGGCGGAGACGCGGCATCGTCTTTCGCTTCCCATCGTGCTATCTTGGCGGCTCGCGTGCCCTATTTCGCGTGCATCCTCCTCGGCGAATTCAGAGATGCTCGGACCTGTATCCTCACCCTCCCTTCGCCTCTCTTCTCGTCTGCTTCCTTTACGTTCATCCTTGGCTACGTCTATAGCGGCACACTCCACTTCTCCTCACGCAAATTTGATCTCGCAACGGCTCTCGAAATCTGGCGCGGCGCCGCCTTCCTTGGGCTGGACAATCTGCAAGAGCAAGTCGAGGTTTCTATCGAGTCTATGATCACACCGAATCGTGCTGCAAGAATCTATCGATTTGCATTGGCGCCTGACGTGCAATCTGCACGGCTGGCACGTGGCGCTCTCATGGTCATCACAGGTCACTTTGGACAAGTCTGGGACAGCGCCTACATCGGTACGCTTGACCACTCTTCCCAAAAAGCCCTCTTCGATCAAGTGTGTTCTGGAGTAAGCGCAGAAACGTCGACATCTGTTGTCAAGCAAGCGCTGCAACTTCGGAAACGCATCGAGACCAATCGCCATGCCTGGGTCCATCACATTCGCGCAATGTTGGATGCCGTCGAAGAACACCTTGCCGAGGTCCTCAGTCGAGACCTGGCCGCTGTAGTTACTTCGGAGTCGTTTGTGGATCTGATCGACGGCGTGGGTTTCAGTGCCGATGCTCTGGAACATTTGCTAGAACTCGTCGTTCGAGGCCTTGCGGAATCCAGGGCTTGTGCCACATATCAAGCACTGGTCGGCTCGGTTCTACTCAGAGAGGAGGGGATCTTGATCGATGCCAAGGTATTGGTGGAGGACGCCCGGAACGGGATCGCAAAATACATCAAGACCCGCTGGATGTCGATTCGGGATACCGGCGAATTCACCAGGCTGCAAGCATGGTGCCTTAAAGAACTTGCTGATCGTGAGTGTGAATTCAGCGCTTGACATCCTCACAGTGTAGCCAGCCTGGCGCTCATCTTCCGCTTCTCTTTATTCCCCCAACAGATATCTCCGTAGCTGAGGCTGAGCTGCTATATCAACCCACGGCTTCGAAGCGGCCACCGATCCGCACTTCCGTCATAACGCCCACAATAGCAAGACCTCCATCGAAACTAGTACTCAACAAAAATGCGCAGTGGCAGCTGGCAAGTGGCGAAAATCAGCTTAGAGCATTGGACTCAGGAAGCGTACGGTCTCCCGACTTGGCTGCACACATCGGACCCCCGATCGTAGACGTACCCGGCCGCACCACCCACATTGACCCACCTGGGAGTGCCGCTAGAGGCGATGAACGTCCCTCTGATCGCACGTCCGCTGCGCGCCACGCCAGGTCTCTAGGGTCGGCGTCCTCATCTTCTCGCATCGTAAGGTCGGCTTCTGCATCCAATACAGCCCATCATCGAGTACCTGCTGGACGACGAGGACCAACGGGCAGCACCTCCACTGAAATCGCGCCAGGAACAGCAGGAACTTGTGTCTCAACGAGTTTCGATGGTGCGACTACAGTGCGTGCCGGACGCCGCGAGGCAGGCGTCTCACCCACGCTTGCCTCTGAAGTGTCGACCGCTTCAAAAACTCGTTCGAGGACTGGCTCTGTGGACTCTAGGGCCAGCCCAACCTCTTCAGGCCGCATCCATCGTCCATCGAAGAACCCTCCCGCGATTCAGGGGTTGAGTGCACCCTCGACAAATATTCCGCTTCGATGTGAACCGGTCGGAGGCCCGGCAACCTCACGTGAAACTTCCGACTCAACGTCAACTTCAAAGCCGCCGACCGGGATCTCGCCACTATATCCACCGAAACTGGCGAGGCGTACAACTTCCGCCGTCTCGTTGACGGCCGTGCGGGCACCGTCGAGCCGGCCCAACGTACTGAACTCGAAGAAGAGCTCACCAGACAGCGAGGCTCGCCTACATTTGTCAAAATCAACGCCCCAGCCTAGTGCCAACTTAAATGTTCAGGATCGGATCACCAATGAAGACAGTCTCGCTATTTGTGCGAGCAGGGATGCTAGGACGAAGCTGCCCTTTCAGCGCCATCAAAATCCTCGGGGCACAACCCTGCTGGCTGGCATCCCGTGCATCGCAACGATTAACAAAAGTGACGTGCGGCGGATACAGATTAAGGCTGTCGTTCGATATATAGGCCCGGTAGAATGGGCTACCCCCGACACTCATTGGGTCGGTGTCGAGGTTGCCGAGGGAGACATACCAGCGGAGGTGGAGGCGAATGATGAGTGGAACGATGGCTCTCGTGACGGTTTTCGTTATTTCGATCTGCGTCGATACGCTGAGCCCACGGCTCGACGCGACGCCGAGATAGGCGAGCAAGCGGAATATCAACTTGCATCTGCCACGCGCGAGGCCCCAACTCGAAGCAGGCCGCGTAGCAGTCTGGGTGTCAACGCTCGGGGCGAGAGTATGGAGGTGAGCCGGGGGTTGTTTGTTCGGCCTTCCTCAATTGTATATGTGCTGTGAGGAGCGACAAAGCGCCGTATTCTGCGAACGCAAACCGACCAAGGCCCATCTGACCCTTACAAGCTTGAATCTGTAATTTGCTGCATTGCATTTCGTTATACATCGTCACACGCCTTTAGGGGCTTCCGTCGAGCTTCCAATACGCCTTTGAGCTCACCGATAAGCCTGATCTCGGACGATATTGGTGACTTGAGCAGGTCAGAGACACGCTGATCACGCTTCGCACGAATTCTTTCCTCTCGCGCCCTCGTGCTGCGAAGAGGCATTGGCGACGCTGGTACGTTGGCCTCAAATATTTGCTCTACTTCCCGGTCAGCTGCATCGACAGCGTGCGAGGGACTGGTCTCGAATAGCTCGGATCCTTCCCCGAGTTCGACAAACGACGATGAGGCTGAAAGCACTGCCGCATGCACCTCGGCGCTGACGTCTTCTGCCACAGCCGCTGGCAAGTTCGCTCGAGCACAGAGCGCCGTGAGAGGTGGTCTGCCGACTTTCGCATCCGGTTCGATTCGGCGCAAAATGAGTCTCGACTCGTCGTAATTCCGCCGCAGCATATCCAGGGTTTGTCGCACCGAGTCGTGACGAGTAAACAGCGCGGCTGGCGATGATATAGACTCCTCATTAAGTCGCTTTCGAGCCTCATCCACGGTTGCAGCCATCTGGACTTCCATGCCTCGTAGCAATTCGCATAGAGCAGCGTGGCATCCCTCGAGATCAGTAAGCGAGACGGCCGCGGGCGATTGAGGCGGCGGAGGGGCGAAATTGTGACCGTTCCAGGGTGGCAGCAAGTCAGCGTTCGCACTACTTGCAGAAAGCATGCGTCTCTTGTCCACGATCTGCAAACCTTCCAGCTGATCCAGCTTCCGCCGGACCGTCATTGCCATACTGCCGACATGCGAGGCCAGACGGTTCAGTCGAGTGGAAGGGAGACCTATGATGGCAGTGAGGTTTAGAAGCCACAATCGCCGGGCACCATGGACACTCTCGAAAGCGGATTGCAATTTGTCAGGCACAGTCTCCTCCGAGTTCGTTTCGTAACCATCGACTGAGGTGTTGTCGAATGGCAAGGGTATCGTACCGGACAGGCCCGACGTCGGAACAGTGTATTCCAGAGACCACGATAAGGGCCGACGGCGAGGTGAGAGCGATCTTCTGCCTCCGATCTTCACCGCTTCAGGCGACTCGCCTCGACCGGCTGTGCCAATTCCGAAGACGCCTTCAGCTCCGACAGAAGGTCGGGCTCGATGCTTTCCCGCACCGCCTCCGGCACCTCTGGCAATACTGTTTGCGCGGTGGATGCCACCGAAAACGCCGTCTCGAAGGTTAGGTTCCGCGGCCGTTTTTGAGCCGCCTGTGGCATCAGAGATGACGACTGCTCCGAGGGCACAGAAGAGCGGATCCCAAGAAGCGCTTCGATATTCGTGGGCCATCTCTTGCATCAACATCAGCATTCTTGAATGCATCGAGGCGAGGCCGCTAGGCTGTGCGAGCCAAGGATGAAGGGGGTTGAGCACTCTCATCCTCTTCGTCGAGGGAGGCGAGCTTGAAGCCAGCCACCAGTGGTTATCAGGACATACCTGGGGCGTCACTGAAACGACGAGAGATGCGTCTAGTGGTGGCGACTGCAATGTTCGGTTCGAGGAAACGGGCGAAGATGGGCTAAGCCTGCAGCGGGACAGAGGTGACGACCAGGTTAGGGATGCCCATGAAAGGAGAAGATTCTCTTATTGAGACTTCTGTAACGAGTCTTGGTGGCTCACCGCTGGCTACCGGGTGAAAAAGGTTTTGCTGATCGTAGAGATCGGAGAACTTGAGCAGTATGCCGGTCGAACTCTTGTGACGCCGCAATGAGACGGTCAAACAACCTCGTCATGTCGACCATGGTGTAAGCTGTCTCGACCGAAGTTTGCGCTGGTAAGTCGCGAAAAGCCGAGACGGGCAACGCAAGCAGGGGCATGCTCGAAAGGATTATCCGTACTGTGAAATCCAACCGCTGCCACAAACGTCTGACAGCGTCCTCGATGCCCAAGGTCCTTGGCGACTCGCCGATTTGCCAATGCACGGTGGCCGCCCGGGCTGAGCACTCGGTCACCGACAATATTTGGTGCGAGGGCGAGGGATAAGAGTTCAAAGCATCCTCCAGCCTAGGTGTAAGCAGCGAAGAGGTCGAAAGGGCAAATTTGATGCACTCGTCGCCATTATCTTGCCTCGAGCGGGATCTGCGTGGGGTTGATGGCGATCCCCTTGACTTCAGCAGGTCCGGCGGGCTGTCGACATCGGCGTGGTTGAGTGCACAGATATCGAACACATTGGGCTCTCCGATGGCCAGTGCAGGTAAGCTCTCAATTCGCGTGTGCTCATCGATTCCGGCTTCTGTACCAAATAAGAGACAGGCCAAAGTCAGCAGCGGCTGCCGGGTAAGATTCAATGGGCCGGTGAGATCGGCGATCGACGTCGATCGAGGAGTCGAGGGCTGAGTATGACGTGAAGAACGAACCCTCGAGGTACCGTGCGAAAGGCGAATCGACGTAGGCAACGGGCTCCATCGACTGACGGATCTTGCCAGCTCCTTGACGTGTGAAGCGCTCTTCGCATCGTAGGAGCAAGAAGAGCGGCACCGAGATTCCGCGCTTGGTTGAAGGATATCGTTAGGGTGTTTACGTCACGCGAGTTTACTCGAGCTCACGTGATTTGCCTAGGACCCGGGAAAGCTCAGCCCAAAGTGCGTCTCGGAGATTTGTACTTTTCGCGCCCATTTATGCCTTGTGATATGCTACTGGAGCAGGAGGTTCTGACGGCACTGCACATGATTCTCAACGGAAGGGAGGAGATGAGATGAGATGAGATTGAAGGCAAGAGAAGGTCATTGAAGTCTAAGCTACGAAGACTAGAATGGGTTTCACAACGGGAGCGCCGCGGGCGCGCCGCACGGCGGAGGCGCTCTGGGCTTCCTGACCCACTACTTGACGTAATTTTTGATGGTAGAGTAACTTTTTCATCACAAACCGATAATTTGGTTTTACACCGGAATACATACACCCCTTGGAGAGGGATATTCGGTATACAAATCGGCCTAAAAACGGGGCTTTCGAGGCGCACCTTCGGCTGAGCTTTCCCGGTCCTTGTTTACGGCTCCACTTGGCGCGGATGGGCCCATTTCGCCTCGGCACGTACCACCCTTTCCTCCACGTAAAACGACAGCCCAACAGAGCCTTGTGCTGCCTCAGTTTGTTACCGTAACCCCACGGCCTCCCCTGACCCGCTTCTGATCCGGACTGGTGGTAGACCGGATGCCACCGTGAGTTCAACCCGATCCACTGCACTGATGTCGACGTTGCCTTCGTTTGTCTGTGTGCTTACTTCGAACTTAATGGCACGTGTCAACCAACCACAGTCACTACTCGAACACCAAGACTGATGGGCTGGTGTTCTCGGGCATAGATGGCGTGGGCTATCGGGTTCGTACTCGTTCATGCGATAAACGGTCGTCACGTCGCGACGCGGGAATGGCTAACTGACATTACCATTGGCTGGCGGATAGGACTTCACCGTGAGCTCGACAAGTCGATTCAAGTCTCGCTCCCGGTTGGATGCCATCGCTTTCGATCAGCTGGCAGATCGACAGTTCGAGACCGTACTTTTCTGTGTTCCGTCGCTTTCTTCCGTCTGTGTGGAGGTGGTCGCTCGCAATTGGTTGAGACCGGGTATCTTCGATCATCTAGATGGCAACTTCCATCGGGACCGTGCTTCCGAAATCCTCCAGGCGATCGCGTCACAATCCGAAACCGGCCTGCTCCCATTCAATGTTTTCGTCGACTTTGCGACGGTCTTGTCAACCGATATGCCCCAGCGCCGCCGCACTTACCGTGGTCTGTGCCGAAGCGATCACCTCGAAATACGCCAGGTTAGCGACGCGAACGAGCGATCTCAAGTTGTATGGCAGACGGAGTGGACCCAAGATGAACAACAACGAGCGATAACAGGGCAGATCGCGGCACCCTGCTTCTTTCTCGCCGTCCTTGACTTAGGGGGAACCGCGTTCTCGGACCAGGACATCATCGCTCTCAAAGACCCCCTCGCCAACTTTCTCGCCGTACTCAAGCTTCGATCAACTCGGGTCACCGACGACGGCTTGGCGTGGATCGCCCGCGCCTTTGAGCACGATAAACGCTCATATCGACACATGCAGGTTTTGAGCTTGGCTTCTCTGAAGAGAGTGACCAACTCCGGAGTACAGCATCTCGCGGCGTTGCCACTGCGGATGCTTGACGTGCGAGGGACGAGTTGTACTTCCCAAGTGCGCTCCCTTCTCAACGCCACTGTTTCATCTCTGCCTCAAGGGACTGATGAGCCAAGACCTGGTTGGAGATGTGCAATCGCAAAACGCGTTGCTCTCGAAATGCAGGGACTTTCAAGTTCGCTCGAGCTCGAGCTCTTCAGCAGCATCAACTACTCGCCAGCGCGTATATTGGCATACCTGCAGCAATTGGGGGAGATTCGAGTCGGCGACACCCGACAGGTCCGTCGCCTGCGCAAATCGATAGTGGTGCACATTGATGCAATCCCAAGACTCCGGGATGCACAGATGCACAACGAGCACGCGGCGCCGCCCCAAATCTGCATCCGAGAAGACGTCGACATGGTCAAGGAAGCTCGGTACGCGAGCTTCTCTCCCGTGTACGGCAAGGTCACTTCCACATCCGGCGTTTCCACGGAGGCATTGTTGTCCTCTGCCAACTCCGAGCCTGAGGCGCGATACGCGGCGTTCAAGGTCCGCGACGATGCCATCTTAGGCCATGGTGCCACTTTGTTGTCTGCGAAGGGTAGCGCGCAGCTACCCAGCAAGACCGAAATCGACCCCCTGTCAGATTCCGAAGACGAAGCGGATCGCATTGCGGCGTGGGACCTACGTGAAAGCGAGCGACGGCCAGCAACAGCGCGCGAACAAGCGACTAGGCATCCGTTCTACCACCAACCAGGGGCACAAGAGCGTCGGTCTTGCCTCATGCGAACAATAGCGGTACCGCCTCGATCAGATTTGATGCTGCTGCGACAGCTTCCTGTGATGACACCTTTGGCAAGCCAGGTGCCACTCCCCACCTCCTCCTGGCCCTCTGGTCCGGCCGGCGACAGGGATGCAACGGTTGATGAGGGTGACCTCATCCGCCCAAGGAAACGACTCCGGAAGGATAGGTGTCAAGATGTGATGCTTCCCTGTTTCTCACTCTCCACGGGGACTTCACGGCCTTGGATGATCAATGACGAACCCATCAAGGGATTTTCGGCTGGATCGACTCGCACCAAAAGCTCGCGCAGTGAAATGGCGTTGGCTAGTAGCGTCAAAGCCAGACCCTTTGAAACCCCTGGTCTAGCGCTTTTGCACCGAAACCCTTTTGCCAAACGTCCCCCTAATATAGTGGATCGGGCCGACAAAGAGGCGCCATTCGAATTGGCACCCAACAAGCCCGCGAAACTTCCGAGGTTTTGACGTTTGCGCAGTCCAACATCATGTATCTACAAAATGCCTCAAAGTTGTCCAGTGTTGTAATCACCCACTAGTTTTCGCCCCCTTCAGGAATTATCCGGGATGTACGAGGAACAGAATCCGAGCACTCACAGGTTGAAGTCTAATGTGTTGCATCCCAAAGAGTCAAAGATCTTTACTCACTGGTGACTCCTGGTGTTGTGCGGGCGGACTTGGGCCTGTGAACTCGGGTGGTGCGGTGCCCGCGCTGTCTTTAGAGGCTGACTCGAGACCGCCATTGAGTCGCTGGATAAAATGATTTTGGCCCGACCGTATTGAAAGTTGGGGTGAGCGTATATAGGTTCGCGCGCCGGCCAGCGCCTGCCAGCGCGAGCCAGCACACGGATCACTTGTCGCCCTCCTACTGCAAGCACCTCGGTGAGTTTGATCTTCTGGCCAGTATACGCCCATACACTTCGTAATACGGCTTAGCAGCTGTGACTACCTCCAGCAATCCCCAGTGGGGCGCAGTGCGCGTTTGATTGCACCAATTCGACCCGCATTTGCTTTTTTCCTCGTTCGCACCACGAGCCGACAGAACTGACCCACTTCTTTGTGCTTCTCGCTCTTCACCGGTTCCACAGCAACGTCTTTAAATTCTTTGCGCCTCTGGACAGAGCCCAAGGGTAGACTTGCACCACCACCACCACCACCACCACCACCCATCCACCCATCTCGCAGCACCCACATCCTTTAAACATGGGACGCTCCAAGGACGAGAAGTTGGCCTACTTCGCTAAGCTCAAAGACTTGATCGAGACCTATCGTAAGTCCAGTGGGATACTTGAGAAGCACGTTTCTTGCCTTCCCAGCGGGGTAGCGCTTCAGCGAGCCATGCGGCTCTGGTCTTTGCGTCCTGGGTACCCGTCCCGCCCCGCTGTTGCGATGCTCGCGCCTGGACCGCGCATGGCAGAGCTCTGATTTGCCTGCCGGCCGTTCGGCCGTCAGCTAGCCAGGTGCTTACCTGCTGACCTTTGACTGACCTCGCCCCCTCTCCCCTTTCTCATCCGTCACAGCCTCGATCTTCATTGTCAACGTCGACAATGTTGGCTCTAACCAGATGCATCAAATTCGTCAAGCCCTTCGTGGCAAGGGTACGATCCTCATGGGAAAGAACACGATGGTTCGCCGCGCGATCCGCCTCATCCTGGCCGAGAACCCTTCGCTCGAGAAGTTCTTGCCCCACGTTAAGGGCAACGTTGGCTTCGTCTTCACTTCTTCGGATTTGAAGGAGATCCGCGAAGTTATCCTCGCCAACAAGGTCGCCGCGCCCGCCAAGGCCGGTGCCTACGCGCCTAATGACGTCTGGGTCCCCGCCGGTAACACGGGCATGGAACCCGGCAAGACCTCATTCTTCCAGGCGCTCAACATCCCGACCAAGATTGCCCGCGGTACGATCGAAATCGTCTCCGACATTCACTTGGTCCAGGCCGATTCGCGCGTCGGATCGTCTGAGGCGACGCTCCTGAACATGCTCAACATCTCGCCGTTCACCTACGGCATGAAGATCATCTACATTTTCGACAAAGGACAGTTGTTCGCGCCTTCGGTCCTCGATGTCGAAGAGTCGACCCTCATCGACCAATTCATGTCGGGTGTTAAGACGGTTGCCGCGATCTCGCTCGCGCTCAACTACCCGACTATTGCTTCGGTAACGCACTCGCTCGTCAACTCGTACAAGAACTTGCTCGCCATTGCTCTTGCCACCGATGTCACTTTCGAAGGTGCCGAAAAGGTCAAGGAGTACCTGGCCAACCCCGAGGCCTTCGCTGCCGCCGCTCCTGCTGCGACAGAGTCCGCTGCTGCCCCCGCCAAGGCCGAGGAGAAGGAACCTGAGAAGGAAGAGGAGTCCGATGACGACATGGGCTTCGGTCTTTTCGATTGAGGATTGCAAAATCCAGCTCCCATTTGTTAGCCGATTAGGTTATCTTTGTTTGCAACCTGCGTAGCGTGTGGAAGCCGTGTGCGTATCTGTTTAGCAATCTTGAGAGTTTGACCTCGGTCTCAAGAAGAAGCGAATGGATCGTTTCCATCCTGTGTGAAAGGAGTGTCTGAGAGGCCGAAATCTTATATCTGGCCCGAAAGTTCCATCTGTCTTGTTGAAATTGGTTTGTACACTGCTGGCGCGCTGCTGCAGCCCGGCATGGTATGCCGGTGGCATGGATTGGGGCATCTCGGGCACCCGACTTCCTGATTGGTGCAGTCGAACAGGGAGCTGAAAGCAGCCTAATTTAGAGCGCTTGAGCACGCGCTCCGAGAAGTCCTTGCAAACAAATTTGTGACTCTACAACTGTTTCTGTGTGTTAGGTCCGAGCCTAGATGGTCAAATCTAAAGAAGGTGACACGTACCTAGGTGTCGAAGTTCTTCATAAAGCGGTAAAGCGGCCTACTCCCACCTGCTTGCCATAATAGTGCGGAATCTGCAGTGAATTAGACCTAGGTATCGACTTAGTTATTTAGATGTCCGGAGAAGCGAACATAGTCGCCGTGGATCGCATCATCGATCGATCAATGCTGCCCTGTTTCCGACGTTTTGTTGAAACCAATGGGAAGGGAATCTTGAATTTTGACGGTCAAGAGGAGTCTTGACGCCTTGCGGCCTTGGACCATGACTGGTCCATGAGAGACTTTTGATGGAGGGGTTTTGTGGTGCAATCTTTTGAGCTGACGTAACCTTTAACGTGCCATCTGTTTTTTTTTCGTCCGCAGTTACCCTTTTGTCATAGACTAGTTGACGGCCCCACGGGCCGGCGCACGGTTGGCCACCGAGTAACCTCCCGCGGCCGAACGAGACAGAACGGGTTTGTGTCTCTCGGGGGCTCATGCGCTCATGCTCAAAGGCCTCCCAGGGCCTCCCTTCCATGAATTCGCCCCCTCCCCATGCCGCCCCCCCCCCCCCTCTCTACTCCACCCTCGTCGACCAGTTGCGGCTCGTTCTAGGATCGCTACACCGACTCGAAAGACTTTGCCGAGCCATTCTGCCATCCCGAGGTGCGTTTGATGCCACTGCCTGCTCTCTACACCTAATCGTGTGTCGAGTGTGGAAACGACCCCGTGACAATATTCTGGTGGCGGTCGCTGCTCGACGACGCTCCCTGATCGCCGGCGTTGACGGTCCGGCCCGGCTTGCTAGACGTCAAGCCCGAACTGACACCCGATAGCTTCTGTATTCACAGGCTTTTCAGCATTGCCCTGGTATTGGCCCGCAGGCTTACTGTTGTTTTGTCTGCGTGAACGAGTCGACTGGTGTAAGGAGCTCCTTCCCGGCTCGCGATTGGGTGCTCGGCACCGCCTTTCCACCCGGCTTCCCCGTCGCGCCATGACTCCAACATCAGCATCACCTCCGAGCAAGCGACAGCGCCGACTGATGTCCGTCACGGTCAAGTCTTGGAGCCTCATTTCTTCGGCGGAATCAATCGCCCTTGTCTCTCGAGACCATTGCTCCAGCGCCCGGGCTGTGGATGCTGCCGCGCTGTCGCTGCAGGCCTCCTCTGGGCGGCAAGGCACCACCGACCAACACCCGACACGCCCTAAGAGGACGGCAACGCACGCGCACGCGAAAAAGCTTTGTTCGCCGCATTGGGGCATCTGGATTCTGGCAGGATGCTTGATAAACTGCCGTGCGGTTGTCGCGTCCTCTTCATCATCGCCGCCCGAGGCTCAAGTGAATCGCTCGAACTTCAAGAGACGAATTCGGTGCACTGATGAAGCATGTGGACAAACGGGATACACAGCTCTCCAGAGGCCAACACTTGCTTCGAGGTCATTTTCAGTTGCCGTTTCCACCGACTGGCAAGTTCTCTTGCGTCGGTCCAGGGGTCTAGCGAGGTTGAAGAAGCGGCAAAACCTGGCCATCTCTACTCCATCAACGTCTTCAAGCAGCGCGTCAGCCACTTCAACACCAAAACAAATAACGATACCCGACGGATGGAAATCGATACCCAGAGAAACGAACTACTATGCTGTGCCGGTCATTGTAGCCATTTCGGTCCTGGTCGCAATCCTGGTAATCGCGACCGTGGTAGGCTCCGCGATTTGGCGACGCAAGAAGCACAGGAGGAAACGCAAGCATCCCGGGGAGCTTGAGAAAGGACGCGTAGGAAAACTCATGGAGCAGGTTGGCCTTGGCTCCCTTGCGTCGCGGCGGACGCGGGGCGGGAGAAATAAGCAGGGAGGCACCAGTGTCAAATCCCCACGCAAGCGTCTATCTGTCGCGGCCGTCGCAGGCGAGTCTACCTCATTCCAGGACACTGCACACCCTAACGGTTCGGGACCTACGCGATCCATCAGTGACGGCGGAAGTGGAGACGGAAACTTTCATCGTGTGGGTCCGTCAGGTCGACCAGTCGGCGGTTATCGTAACTCGACCGCATCCACGATTGCCCGAATACGTCGTCGTCGTGAGCAGCGTGCCGCCAGAGCCGCTGCCGATGACGATCGCAGTGACGCGGACGAGGACGAGGACGATGAAAACCGGGCACTCACAGGCTCACATTCGAGCCGCAATACTCCTGAGAACACCCTCACCGCTCGATTCGCAGCTCGCCTTCTCTCGGCAGTCAGCCAACCCCCCTCGCCGTCACCTGGGCCATCAACCATATTTCGAGAGCTCGACCGTGCACCCTCAGCTTCGACCACGCAGTCCGTGGAAGACCTCAGTCGCGTGTCCTCCAGAGCCAGCACTCACAGCCGCAGCGTCTTTGACCGGGGAGAAAGTGGGCTTCGCGAGTCCTCTACTCCGGCCGCATTATATGGACCCAACCCAATCCGACCCAATCGCGTGCAAGCATCGCCGGACACGTCGAATACGGCTACGTTCGGCGCTTCACCAGCGACTGCAGGTCTAGCATTGCCGATTCCCGGACCACCCGCATATCGACCGGCTTCGACAACGATTGCCATGACGACCAGATTTTCGCCGTCCCGTGCATTTAGCTCACGACCTGCCGTTGAAGATCATGATCCTGCGGACACGTGGCATTGGCCGAACGAGAAAGGACTGTCCTCGGCGTCAGTGGCAACGCCATTCTCTTCCGGCGCTTCATCATCGACAAGGGCCCCGCAGGAGTGTCTTGGTATCGGTCGCAGCCACCCTGCGACACAGCACGACTCGTCGATTTTTACGGCTCACCTTGCCACCGATGACAAGGCAATCTTGGCTCGTCTTCGTGAACAGGTGGTTAACGACGACGCAAGCGAAGGACCGCAAGCTACCTCTTCAAGAACCCATCCCTTGGCTTCAGCTACAGCTCCGGTGTTGCCCGAAGATGATGGCCAAGACGTGTGGCTTGGATTCGCGTCGGAATCTGATCCTCCTGTTCCCGCGCCTTCCGCACCTCTTGCGGCCTTGCTACCCGCACCCTCGCAGCCGGTTGCGACTACCTTCGACTATTCGGCACCCCAGTCTAAGCCACGCAGGCCAAGAGTTGCATCTGTCGACGAGTATGAGCAAGCCGAGATGGGTTACCTTCCCGTCTACGAACGGAGGCGCAATGCCGAAGCGAATCATGCACATATTATGGCCCGGGCGACTGCTCCCATTTCAGTATCTGATGGTCCCAAAGAAAGTGCGAACGGGGCCATTTCAGCACCTGGTGGTCCTGAAGAAGGTGCGAACGGCGCCGAGCCTCGGGTACCAGGGTTGACACGGCTAGAGCACTGTGAGGTTTGATATCTGAACCTGTAGAGCGGTTGTTCGCTCGTCTAGGCGTTCTTTGCAATTTCCATTCGATCAATTCATTTTTGCTGCAAGCAGTCGTTGCGAGCAGCCGGAGCAAGCAGAAGTTGCCCTGGGGATCCTGCTCACTCTGATGCTTTTCAAAAGCTCACGCTTCTCGCTTTCTGGCACCCTTAGGGTTGGGAAAAGGGCTTCGAAGGCCCGAGGTCGGATCGCCGAGCTTGTGACGACTTAGAGCGTCTGCTCAGCTTCTCGAACCTACGTGTATTGTCATTTAGGCTTCCCACTCCTCGGCAGCCTCGAAAAATTCCGCGGCAATTCGAGCCTGCGCCTGCGGTCCCGTTTCCTTCTCCCCGTCTTCGATCGCCCTTACGACGAAGAAGTGATGCCCCATCAAGTCCTGGGCTTCGAAATTCTTTCCACCTCGACCGAATACCTTGGCGCCGGCCTCGCGAGCAATGACGGTCCCGGCACACACGTCCCAGGACCAGCAGCCTATCTCCCAGTACAGGTCGACCTGACCAGAAGCGACGTAAGCGTAGTTCAAGGCTGCTGAGCCGATAGATCTCAGAGAATGGGCCATTACTCCACCCTGTACAGACGAGGGGTCGCCTGCGAGTCGCGAAAAGGTCGAGGCTTTGTGGGAGATGATGTCGGCGGAGCGGTCAGAACCCCATTCTACGGCGATAAGTGCATCGGAAAGGGACGCCAAGGGTGGTGGCTTAGGGTGTGAAAGGGGTAGCCGAATTCTCTGATTCAAGAAAGCCCCCTGGCCCTTGATGGCCGAGTAGAGCTGATAGTGATCGAAAACGCACGCCGCGAGTGTCGTAGAATGTATCGCACCGAGTCAGTAAAAGCAAGCAAGATCGGAGAAGGGGCTGTTGAAGGGAAGTGTTGCGCAGTACGGACAACGTACCTTGTTCAGGAAAGGATTGAAAATGACGCCAATCACGGGCACGGCTTTGTGTGTGAATCCAATGGATACGCACACGTGATCAAAGCCGTGGATGAAATTGGTGGTGCCGTCTGGCGCCAAAGAGGACGGTCCGGGCCGGACGGGGCTGTCAGGTTCGCGGTCCGACAGCTTCGTACGTCCATCGAGGGCGCATGATGGAACGTACCGATTGGGTCCACAATCCACGTCGGGGTATCCTATCGAGATGCGCAGCGTGCCAGAGAAATTGGCGAGAACATCGGTTAGCTCGGCGGATCGCTTTCCTTGGGACCGTGCTCGAGCGAGAGGTGGAGCCCAGGAGGCAAACGCACGGTGAGATGCACGACCTCGCCACCTGCAAAAGATTCTTCGCCAATAAAAGCATGTCCCGGGTACTTGTCCGAGACGGATTGCTTGATGAAGGCTTCAACGGCCTGGTCCGTCTCGGTGACGACTTGCAATATCGATGTGGATGGTGGTGTGGTAGCGGATTGATACGGTAAATGAGTCCTTCTCAAGTGGACCGTTGGAGAAGACGAAGCTAATTAAGAATACCTACGATCGACTCTATTCTTCTTGCTTGAATCTTGGGCGGTGTTGGTGTGCTCGGCGAAGCGCGACTCGGAAGCAGCCTTGATCATAGCACCGGCTCTTTGGGCGAGTGCGATGGCAAAGTCATGGATGGATGCGAGGTCGGTCGGAGAAAGCATCTTTTCGGAGAAGCTGAAAGGTGATAGAAGGTCGATGCGGTCTATCGGCCAGAATGCGCCGGCGGAGTCGAGGAGGCGACCAGCCTCGCAGAGCTCTGCTAGGCTCTGCTAGGCTCTGCTGGGCAGTTGCTGGGCAGTGCGGTGCTGGGCTCGGAGACTCGCGCCAGCCTACGGCAGGCCTGGGCTGCAGCTCGCGCCGCGATTCTCCGTCATTCGTAAGTCATCCGGCAACCCTTGGCAGCGCGGCGTCGTGGACCGGGCTTCTCTTACCTCGTCCACCTCGACTCGCTGACTTGCTTTGCCTTACTCACCCGACCCCCGAGCCCTTCGCCAACGCTCTTCGACCACTGATAACTTGCTCTCGCATAGTTGAACATCGCTACTTACGCTGGGTGAGTATCCACAATGACCTCGGTTGCCAAGCCCGCCGGTTCGCCTGTCGACACGATGGAACAGCAAATCGTCGATGGCGAGATCGACACGACCGAATCCTCCGCTCGGTATCTCGGTACGCTTGTTCGGGATCTGGGTCGATTATCTCGACGTATGCTTACAGACGAGTGCTCATTCCCACCATCTCGCACGACGTGCACCCGTAGCTTACCTCGCACGCATTCGGCCCGTGCTCCAACCCATGACTCGCTATCTCGCCGTAGGTCGTCGGTCCCGTCGCATGCAGCTTTTGTCAGCTTCGCCGCAGAAGCAGGCGTGGTGAACCATCGTAGCACTAATTGGATCGTCCATCCCGGGATTCGCGCAGTACACTTCCGATGTAGGCGAAAGCGTACGACCGATTGTCAATCCGAAAATGGTCACCGGCGCGTACGGCGTGTCGTGGGCGTACCTCGTTGGAGATGTGGCTTACGAGGGCTACAAGGCGCGGCGTGGGTTTGACTTACCGTAATCCGGATGTTTTCAAGGGCCAGTATGCTAAGGGAAGCTTCATTTGTCCCACATGCGAAACTTGCGCTCCGCCAGTCCGCGCAAACGAGCACTGCCCCGAAGCTGTGTCGACAGTCGTTGGGTTGAATGTCGCCAAACGAGCCATTTTTCAAAGGTGTGTGCGCGCATGCCTTTGGTGCTTTAGGCCAATTCCCGAAACCATGACCTAGAGGGAATCACGCCCTGTTCATTACCTGGCCCAACGTTGACCCGAGATCTGGACCTCGTTTTCATAGTGTCGCTTCAATGCTTTTCCCTTCCCTCACCATCCATGCCATCGTACGATATACTGCAATAGCGGTCAAGAAAGCCAACGTGAAGAGAATCGCCGTCCGTCGGTGGCTTCCATCAGCTTTGGGTACGTCGCATCTTCCACAACCATGCCCGGGCTCCGGGGTGTTTCGCTAAGCGGCGCTCTCGGCGTGCAGGGCTCGGGTTCATCCCTGCGCTCCCATTCATTTTCGACGAGCCGGTCGAACACGTTGTCGAGGCGGGCTTTGATCGCCTCGAGGCCAGATTGTATCCCGACGCAAACAGCGGCGTGCGAAGGGCGTTGAAGAGTATCGAAGAGCACGAGAAACACGCCAAGCCAAAGCAAGTCGTTATCGCAGGACCCGAGGCCAAGGTCGTCTAGAAACAATCGCAGTTGTCTTCCGAAAATTCGCTTTCCCATCGCCAGACGAAGAGGCAGCAGGCAAACGAGCAAGCAAGTGTATTCCAATATAAACATGATTACAAGGTGAAATAGAGTCCGTACGGGTATATGGTGTAGTAGAGAGAAGGGAAGACAACCCCGCAAAATGAGGCAAGAGGCCCTCTGCCTCGCGCTCCAACTAGACTTGGCCAAGGATTAAGCCAAGAGGGGACTCTTCATTGCGCCGATAGCCGGCGACTGAAGCGGACTTGGAATCAATCTTAGACCACCACCAGCCGACGAAGGGGCATCGAGTTCCCAGGCCGATCGCAGTCGATTGTACGTCGCTTTGAAGGTCGAGTGTGCACCCTTCTCCATAACGAGAGTTACGACCGTGGGGTAAAGCATGCGGTCGTGGTTCGGGTTCGGCGACGGGACCCCCATTGAAGGCGAGTGATGTCCGTGGCGGGAGATCTCGACGCGGAACTTGACCGCCTTGAGCGCTCCAGCTGAACCGTGTGACTCTGCGATTTACAGCAGGGTCGGATCAGTCGAGCCGTGACAAAGTCACGCACACCCCAACGCGAATGGGCTCACCTCGCAATCCGTCACCAGCAAAGCGACATTTAAGAATGGAGCTTCCGCCTTCGTTGGCAAGCAGCACTATTACGCCGAGGCTCTCGAGTATCCGCTTGCAAGTGGAGCGCGTCGAGTTGGTATCCTCAGTCGACATCAGTGTGTACGACAACTGCTTCCAGTGGAACAGACCGGCGAACCAGGATTGCTTGGGCGAGGACTGTGAGCCCCTCGAGATGCCCACAACTGGCGAGAATCCCACAGCTGGCGCGGATCCTGATGGGGAGATACCTCGCGATCCGTGAGCGTCGAATGACATAATACACACATCTGCGATTCTGCCTTTACATCACTCACGATGGTGCTTCTTGTCCGCCTTCAGCTTCTTCTGCTGCTGCGACAGCTTGAGCAAGGCGGTCGGCGATTCGGGCCGTTCAATGATCTCGAAGTCGAACGCAACGCTTTGAATTGCCAGGCCCTGCAGAGCGCTGCGCTGCTCTTGGCTCGACATCTTCTGTTGCATACGAGGTGCCAGAGGTGGAGGCGCAGAATTGCGATGGGGTGTCACACGGGTGTTTTCTTTGTCCTCGGTGTAAGAGCTGGCGACGCGGGACGAGCTCGGTCGGGACCCGTCGCTGACGGGACCCCTGGAAGAGCCTCGAACTGTAAAGCGCGGCCGGCCAAGCGGCATCTGATGTGAAGTACGCTGAGGCGATGAAGCGTTCGTAGACATCGACATGGCCGGCGAAGTCGCCTCATCGCGTGACCTGACCGTGTCGCCGACCTGAAACTCGCAACCGCTCATGAATGGCGAGTAACCGGTGATTGAGTTCGCGTTGTCTGACTCATCTTCCTCAGCATCTTCGAATTGATCGCCAGCCGATGATCGCCGCCGCGTATGCGCCGAGTGATGCGTAGTCATAACGGGGCCAACATTCGAGGTCGCGCTCAGGAAGGACTGACGGTGAGATGTTGGGGGAGACGACACCGGCGAGCTCGGCGAAGAGCCATGCAAGGACATTGTTTGCAGATGTCCGACGAGATCGTGAAAAAATTGCTGCATCGCCGCGTCGCCTGTTTGTGGGATCGCGATGGGCAGCACGGGGGGTGCCGAGGATGCAGCCAAAACCGCACCATCATATTTCTCGACAATCCGAGAAGAGTTGCTCGGTTGGACCGAGGTAACGGCAGACGCATTGGCCGCGTCTACGCCCGGGTCGAGGCTCGATCTGAAGGTGGAGTTGGCTAGTGGAGATGGTGAGGACGGCACGCTTTCCCATCCGGGCGATTGGGGCGGCTTTGGAGCGGACTTCGAAGCAGATGGCGTACCCGTCTCCGGGGTCGCATACTGCAACTGAATTTGCGGTACGCGGTTCGCCGAGGGCGTGGACGAGTTCGGCGCAGAAGGCAAAGGGCGAGGGCCGCGTGAATTTTGTGCGGAGGGCCCAGCCAAGGTGGCCGCCGTCGAAGTCATGGCCGTCACAGACGATGGGTCGATGGCACGAGCAGCCATAGTCGGGACCGGTGGAGCAGGGCGAGTTATGGCAGCGGCCGCTGTCGTGGCGGCACTTGTGGGTTTGCTCGGACGCTTACCATCAGAAGATGCGCCTGCGGCCACGTTGAACGAGGATGACCGTGATCGTCGACTGCGATTGGCGGTTGCGCCCGAAGAGACGACATGTTGCTGTTTTTCTGGTAAAGAGCAACAACCTCGTCAAATTCTACAAAGGCAGCGCTGGCAGGGCTGCAGCATCTGAAATCAACGCACCTCGATCGGCCTTCTTGGGTGGTCTATAGATTTCCTCGTCGTCCATGTTGAAGTTCTCCAGGTTTCGAGTGCGGTACTTGTACAGTAAGCAGTAAAACACTTTTTCCCACGACTTTTCGCTAGACAGCAGGGCTTGAATGATGTCCTCCTCAGCAGCGCCATTCCACAAGGTTTTGAGGTTGGCGAGAATTTCCATATCGATCTCTCGTCGGGATGCAACCGGATGATCGATCGAGTCGATGCTAGGCGGGACAAAGGTAGGTGCGCCATGGATTGACCGCGGAGGAATCCGAGTGACCCAAGGGTGTCGCTGAATTTGATCCATCTGCGGTCAGAAACGTGAATGGATGCCCAGTTACTCGCTGCTTCCTTGGAGAGCCCACGTCGAGCGGGTACACACCGTGATGCGCTTCTCCGGATCAACCTCAAGCATCTTCCTGATCAGGTCCTTGGCGCCATCCGTGAGTTCGGCTGGCATCGTGAAGCGGCCAACCTTGACCTTAGCCAAAAGGTTGCGAATATTTTCGTCGTCGAACGGCAGTCGACCCGTCAGTAAGGCAAAGAGGATGATACCACAGGACCAGATGTCCGACGATGCGCCATGATAGTTCAGCCCCTACATACGGCCGAACAACCTCGCGCATTCAGCAGGTGAGACCTAAGATGACAAACAGCAGCGCAACGACTCACCGCAACGATCTCGGGTGAGGCGTAGTGTGGGCTACCACAGCTCGTTTCGAGGAGTTTCCCGCCGCGTTCCAAGGCGGCCATACCGAAGTCCGCAATCTTGATGTTTCCATCGCCATCAAGCAGCAGATTCTCGGGCTTAAGATCCCGGTGGCATATGTTGAAGCGGTGGCAGTAGTCGACACCGGAAATGATTTGTTGAAAGTAGTGCAGTGCCTCATCGGCGTGCAGACTTCCCTTGGATACAAGGTAGTCGAACAGTTCGCCACCTTTAACATATTCCATGATCAGATAGCTGGAGACCGGTGATCGAAGTGGTTCCGGGAGTCAGTTCTTGAATCAAATGGAGCTTATCGACCGCTCGCGGGGCCAAGGAAAGAGCGTAGAGCGTACAGATCGTCAGGGGTCTCCCAAACATCCATAAGTCGGAGTACGTTGGGGTGTTCAATCAACTTCATGATCACGATCTCCCGCTCAATTCCGAGCAGCATCTGGAGCTCGCGCAGAACCGCCGACGTGTTAGCTCTCACCCCTTGCTGACGCCCCTCTAGTCAGTGGACCCACCTTGTCAGCCTTTGACGCCGATTTTGCGGCGGCACGAGGCTTGGGAACGATCTTGATGGCAGCGTACTGGTGCGTCTCCTTGTGTTTAGCTATCTTGACCCGTCCTGAAACATAGAGCACGAAGATGCGGAAACAAGGTCACTATCAGTGGTCGGGCTTGCGAACGAGGCGGCAGAAAGTAAGCCCATAGTTCGGATGCCTGAAGTCACCTGATGAGCCTTTGCCGATGGTTTTGCCGATACGCCAGGATCCCACGAACTTGGGGTCATCACGATCACGATCACGATCACGTGTCCCTTCTTGTCGTCTTTCCCTCTCGTGTCTTGAATGACGCTTGTCGTTGGTCGCCGCGGCCGAGTGCGGTTGGCTTGACGACGCGCCGCCGGCACGTCCGCCATGCGTGGGCGAAGGCATCAGACCTGTGCTTTCGCGCGGGCTCGGGCTCGATGATGCAAAGGTGGTGTGCTGGATATGGTCCCGACAGTATGGCTGCCCTGTGGTAGTGGACAAAGCAGACTCGTTGGCGATACCCGCGGTGCGTGCTGCGCCTTCGTGATGGGGAGTGCTGGAATACCGGCTCCTCGGAGTTTGTTGTTGAACGATTTCGACGCGGAACTGGCGCGCGCGCGTTTCGAATGTCGGAGCCCGCCAAAGAGCGTGATCGTGACGGCCCAGAAGAGGTGTCGCCGGGGTAATCGTCTAGTCGTGAGCTACCCAATTAGATGGGCCAAGTTGATGCCGTCGTGTCTGGCGTGTGGATGAGGGCGTGTTCGTTCGCACAGTCGAGTGTGCGCTTCTGTACCGAGGGAGCGGTGCGATCTCGTCGTTTGTACGGGACGGCGGAGTGCGCGTAGGCGAGGCGACCGTCGTCAAGTCGCGTGGTGGTCGTATAGTCTTGGAAGGGAGAATGGGCGTGGGACAAGGGCTTGGGCCTTGCGGAACTGTCGATCCCCAGTGATAGACCGGATCAGGGAGGTCAAGGTGTAAATCAAGAAACTGCAGTGGAATGGGATGAGACGAGAAGCGGGCGCAAAGAGACACTCGGGCGGCTGCTTGCCAGGTCCTTTGCCAGTTTGAGGCCCTTTGCCTACTTACTGCTTGCTGTCACCGAGGGAAATGCTTTTAGCGGGTCGCTAAAGGGGGTCGGTACTTGCGCCGTCGCCCTCGAACCCCAAATATATGTAATTTAGCTTCAAAAACGTTCGAAAGATTGTCTTGATAACAGGCTTTCGCCTTTGAGGCCAGAGCTTTTAACATTTTCAACCGTGTAAATCACTTGCCCCGGATAACCTTCCTCGATCGGCCATTGGCTGGCGCCCGCGGCACCGAAAGACAGGATGTCAGTATGTCCGACTTCGGCAAGCTCAGCGAGCGCGGTCGCAATGAGACACTAGAACCGCTCCGTACCGCGCCGGCATGCCCGTCGGGTCGTCTGTGGGCAGATCCTGAACCTCGAGGCGTAATGGTGATGGAAGAGTGGTGGGTGTCTTTAATGGCAAATCTGGGATGAAATGAACGACATTGCGAAGGTCATGCGAAACAGCTACTTTTCCCTCCCATGCGAAGACTTTCACCTCGCGCGCGGTTCCTACCGGCCCACACGGCACGATGGGATTCATACCGGACTCTTTCACCTCTCCAGGAAATCTTTGACGTTGTGGAGCCATGAAACATATTCCCTGAAAGGGAGCAAATGAAGGTGTAAGTGCCACAAGTTGGGCAAAGAAAGAACGCAGGATGGGTAGTCAGCTTTCGTTCGTTCAGAGCGCGATTAAATCGAAGAGGTTGGTCCTTACTTTTGCTCCCTGGGGTCGCGCGGATAGATTTGAGGGACAAAATTAGCGAGGGCTAGGGTTCACGTGCAGGCAGCAGATTCGAGCGACTGACTTGTGTTCGGCGAGCTCAGCAATGAAAATGGCCAGGTTCGAGTCGATCCCACGTTCTTCAAGGAAGGCCTCAAACTCGTTTTGAACACCTTCGTCGAGGTTCTCGAACTGCACGGGACCATGCATCAGTGTGACAGCTCTTCGGAAACTTGCATGTGTGCAGGAAGGGATCGACTCACCGCGGGGCCCATGTAGAGGCCTTGTCGAGTCCAATCTGCTTCTGAACTCATCGAGATGGCGATGTGGGCATCCTTGTAGAATGTGACATTGTTGATGGTGAAAATACCATCTACCGCAGAAGATATATGCAAATCCTTAGCATCCGACGGGCAGATGGCGCGACAGAGAGCCCATTGTATCGCTCGGGGGGGGGCAAGCAGACAAACCTTGTGCAACGGCATCGATACTGAGAGCTCCACCTCCTGGCTTGGTGATGGTGATGGCGGCCTGGATGGAAATGTCCTCGTCCAAAGGCGATTCCGTCGCCTCGTCGCCCAACCCACCTGATCCAGCATCGGGCGATGCGCCCGTATCAATGTAGTCTTGTTCTTGGGGCTCGAGCTCCGGCGGCTGAGGTGCATCAGCGTCGATGTCCGAGATGGAGAAGATGAGGCGGATCCTGCGGGGTAAATCGGCATTCGAGGGCAGCAATTCAGCCGTCGTTGAATGCTTGAATGTGCTTGCTGCGCCATCACCCACGTTTCTTGGCCGAATGTGCGCGTGAGGATGACTTCGTCAGCTCCCGGCTCGTCGATGATCTGAGGAAAAGCGTGCCGGCGGTGGTCAGTCGGTCGATTGATCGCGATCGTACCCGATATCTTTTGATATCAGGACAGAGAATGCCAACTCACCTCCCAGACACCTTGATTTTTGAATTCTTTGAGGAAGTCGGGCTCATGATTGTTGGTCTCGGCGGCTTGTTCCTGTTCGTAGTTGATCTCCTCGTCCAACTTGGCGGTCAAGGCGCCTGCATTAGAGCAGAGGGGAAGGCAGGCAGCACCACCGCAGTACGAGCACGGTTTTAGGAGCAGGTTTTTCGACGGACAAGGTCAGCTAACCTTGTTCATGGTGTCCTCACATGGGACAATCAAGGGACTGACTCTGGTCGAACCGAGTGCAGGTCTGGCTAAAGTTGCGAACCGACAGAGGCGACAGCAGTGCCGACGTGAATGGAACAGCAGCATAAGCACGGGAGCTGCATCCCAATCGAGCGACTGCAACCGTGGGTGCAGGAAGCAAAGCCTTGCATGAGCGAGGCGCAGATCGCGTGAGTTGTCGGGCGAGCATGGTGGACGGAGATTGATACGTGCGCGATGGGGACGAGGGCGAGGAAGGCAAACCTGTGGAATCACGTGGGGAACCTGAAGGCCTGAAGCGCTCAACCTCGCTCAGCGCTCAGCGCTCAGCTCAGCCCTGCTACTGCCCGCCCGCTCAGCCCCACCGCTGGAGACCGCTGGCGCGCTGGCCCCCGCCACCAGACCCGCCGAATTGGCTCGCGGCGCGTGGCGCTAGGTGGCGCTCTGTGCTCTGTGAGAACAGCCGAGGCGAGGCGCTTGGTCGCTCCGAGTCGTCGAGCGTCTCGTGTCGGCCAAGTAATACGACAAGCAGTCTCCGACTGAACGACGTTTGTGCCGACCTCCGTTGATGATATAGTAAATCTATAATAAATGGCTTGGTTTGGGCTTGGGGGCGAATTTCCCCACGACACGGCCCCGCGAAGAAACCGGCGGGGCAGCGCAAGCAAGGGGAGGCAAAACGGGGAGGCGGGCGGGAAAGCAAAAATTTCTGAAGTTCGAGCAAGCAACAAGCCATGTTGCGAGCGAGAACAGTTTAGTTCTAGCAAGAGGGAGTGATTCACACCCAGGGTTCCCCATTAGATAAGATGATCCCGTAGATATTAGATCTCTATCTAAAAAAATTGGGCTCCGGCCCTTATCTATCTATCTCCCATCTTAGTCAGATATCCTAGGTAGATGCCTAGATATCTATTAGATATCTAAGGGGGTTAAGATCAGATCAAGATAGATATCTTAGGAGATAAGATGCCAGATATCTACGCTTGGAGGCGATCGCTTGGGACTCGTTGGGAGTCTGTTGGACGGCAGTACCACATTTCTAACATTGCAAAAACTGGATGAACTGGCAAAGCTGGCTTTTTGTTCAATGTTTTCTGATTCTCTTGTATTGATAAGTGCTGGGAAGACGAATCATTGCTCAGTCAAGCGGGAGAATGCATTGATGCCGATCGTTGTGCTAATCCGTGTCGTCAGAGTCGTCCAAAATGACCACCTCCGCTGGAACGACTGCCATGACGTCTTTGACTTTTACTTCTTCTCAGCTGACCTAGCGAGCTTACCAGAGATCATTTGCAGCGCCAGCTCTCAAAAGTCTGTGCCTCTCTGTCGATGGCGCCGCGTATTCCGTACTCACAAGCTCCTCCTCAGCCGTGAGGAGGTCCGACTCCATACTGCTTCCGCAAAGACTATCGATTATAGTCGTTCGGCGAGGTGTGAGAGTGCGAGTGTGCAATTGTGCAAGTGTGTGACGAAAGAAGAGGACCGGGGCGGGTAGACTGCCAAAATTTCACCATTGCACCTCCTTTCTCTGTGCGATTAGTTGTTGAAGCACTCTGACAGCAGAAGCGTCTGAAGGGGTGCCAAATTGGCCCGTCGGCAAGCCGTGCCGCCTCACCCGCGGTCAGCGGTTGGGCCAAACCATGCGGCACAAACATGGGGATTGGGCCGAACACAATTGGAAATTCGATGACCTCGCTAGGGAGCACGAAGCTCCTTAGTGAAAACTACAACTTCCAGCGCAACAGGAGTCTGTACCAGACACAAAAAAAACCAAGATATCCAAAGATATCTAAGGAAACCCCCGGGGGCTTATCTATCTATCTAAGATAGTTGGCCCCTAGATAAGATGACATCTATATCTAAGGGAGATATGCTAAGATAGATATCTAGACCTCTAATGAGGAACCCTGTTCACACTGCACTAGCCTTTCGACTCGCTCGGCGCGCCCGTTGGTCGCCTTTGGCAACCGGCCTGCCAGCAGGGCGTGCCATCCTGTGCCATCCGCCGCTTGCGAAGGGGACTTGACTGCTCTCCACTGGGCCACCCCCCCCACCCACAGTCTCGACGGGGCCCTACTGCATCTCCCACGATCAAGCCAACAGCCTTCGCTGCAACATGCCCCACACGAACAACCCGAATGCAGCCTCTCGCAACGCCAACCGAGCGGGCAAGAAGCCCAAATTTCTGCAGAAGAAGTCAGGCCCGGCAGTCGCTCGCCAAAGGCACGACACGATCGATGAGGCAAAGGCCGCGAAGGACGAGCTGCACGACCATGACACGGATCGAAACGGGGCCAACGCAAAAGGCCAGAGTCGGAGTAAAGGCATGGGCAAGGGCAAAGGCAAAGCAAAGGCCAAGGATCAGTCGGAAATAGTTGCTGCTGCTTTTCCACCCGAGCAAGACTTGGACTCTCGCGAAAGCAAAGTGAAGCTCATCCGCGAGTTTCATGCAATCGAGAAGCGGCTCGCCGCAACTCAGGACCCGAAAGAACGAGCCGATTTGAGAGCCAAACGGGAGCAGCTCGGCGGCCTGCAAAAGTACCAGGACGCTTCCGTTCATGGCGGCGACAAGAGTCGAGGGGGCGAAACGAGCAAGTGGTGCGTCATACAACTCAAGGAGCTCAAGGTTGGCGTCGACAAGGGCAAACAAATGGAAAAGGGTAAAGTCGAACCCGTGGTCAACGCCGACGGGACGAAAACCTGGCCCAAGATTGAGAGGGAAAAGGTCCGTACTTGAAGATCACAAGTCGGCAAAGGACGCGGTATGTTGACGGTACATTGCACTGAATATGTCTTCCCCGCTCTCCTGTACCCCCACAGCTACGACTCTTGGACGTCGGAGCAATAGCTGGCACGGCTTACGCGGACTATGCGTGGATTGAACCCACCTCCATCGATCTCAACCCACAGTCCGAATCCGTGCTCAAGCACGACTTCTTCGAATATCCACCACCTCCCGCCTCCGGGCGTTTCTTCGACGTCGTGGCGCTGAGCCTCGTCCTCAACTTTGAAGGGTCACTCACTCGAAGGGCCGACATGCTTCGTCGAGCTCACCTCTACCTCAAACCTCAAGGTCTTCTCTTTCTCGTCTTACCCCTCCCCTGTCTCACCAATAGCCGATACATGAACCATACCCGACTCGAGGCGATTCTGTTGACAACAGGGTGGGCGCCTGTGCGGAGAAAGGACTCGGCCAAACTGACGTATTGGCTTTGCAAGCGAGTCGGCGATGGATCCGGCGACCGCAAGGGTTGGAAGAGGGAGCAACTTCGGGGTGGAATACAGCGCAACAACTTTGCCATCATCGTCAACGCACCTGGACAGAGCTCTACGGAAGAATCCGAAGCATCAACATCTTCCATGGCAGCCACAACGACGACAAAAACACCGATAGCCGAGGCACCAGCGGCAGCAACCGTCGACGAACCGAAGGCCCTTGCTGAGGCCGCTGAGGTGGAAGAGGATCACGAGATGATTCCAACGAGCGAGACTGCGCTTGATGAAGCCTACGAGGAGGAATGGGATGGCATACAGATGAGATCGGATGATGCCGCCGAGCCGATCTCGGCAGGGGTAGAAACACAGGACGATGCCGAGGTCGAGTGGGTGGGCATCGAGGAATGACCGTCACGAGAGGAGGCAGACCAAGAAGAGCCGAGGGGCGATGTGTAATCTGCCATGGGGCTAAACTGAAGTGCCCACTCTATTGTCAACTCGCGCTTAACCGCTTCATCCTTCCTGTAGCCTCGGACCGTTGTGCTTGGGCTCTTTTAGTACCGGTGCGAGCGTCCAGCTCATGCTCAAAGTTGTACTCAGGATCGCCTTAGCGAAGAGGGTCCTTGCACAGTCGGGGCCTCTACACATGAGCATACCTAGTGACCCCAGTAAGCAGTTCAGCCTTTTTCTTTCTTTCTTTTGTGCCGTTGCAGGGGGCCTGCGCGGTCGACGCCGTTCTTAAATCGGCCCGGAGGCCTCAGATCTGTCGCCTTTTGAGTTTGAGGGGCTCCCTTTGTTCGTGACCGACCGCGGCACGACGCGCCATGCCGCGCTTAAGCTTAGGCACCCGATCAGTGCGTTGCGGTTCAAGAAAACCGACCCAAGTGATGTGATCTCACGTCCCTTTGTCCCGAATCTTCCCCAAGAATAAGATGAAACATTCGCTACCCCTTCTTTGATCCCGTGCGTCTCTGCTCCCGATCGCGCTATCTCCGCAGTCGATCAGATCCTGCAGTCTCCCCTCAACATCGCTTCATCGGCTGATTCGAGTCGGTTCATTCGACGCTTGCTCGTCCAAATTTGTATCTGCTTCTTGAATTATCGCAAGTCTCACCAACATGTTGTCAAAGCTCGGGTCTCCCTACCCACTGTGGCAGTTGATCTGCTTTTTCAGCTTGCTGAGCAGGTGCCGAGCACGGCCCCTGTCCTTCGCCACCGCCGTCACTTCCAAAGGCCGAGTTCTGGGCCATCAAGGTCCGAAATTCCAGAATACGCTTCAGCTTTTAATACTTATTTACTGAAGACCTTTTCTGGTTAACCACATTACAGGGCGGCTTGCTAATCGCTGGACGATTCCTTTCGCCAAGGCTCCCGTTGATTCGCTGCGTTTCAGCGACCCAGTCAGCCGGGTGACTTTGGCCAAGTGGGTGACCTCTTTCATCCAATCAAACATTTACGGTCCTATAGAGCTGACCTCAGGCTTCTGCCTTTATTCTAGCCATGATGCTACCTCGATACCACCGGCGTGTCCGCAGCCGAGGGCGACGACGGCGACATCGGAAGACTGTCTGTTTCTTACGTGCATCTTTAACTCCCCTTACCGCATAGCTTTCGAGATATTGCTATGCCAATGACTGACACAAAGGCTTGTCTTGCTGCCACGCATCTAGTGTATACTCACCAAAGGGTGCCACCTCATCCTCCAAGCTGCCTGTGATGTTTTGGGTGAGTCCATCCCAATCGTCTCGCGATACTCCGCTCCAGTTCGACTGACTTTCATCCTGTTGGTCGCCTCAAGATTCACGGTGGCGCATTTTATGTTAGCCTCCTCACTTAAAACCTTGCCTCAGTTTAGCGGTGTACCAACCTCCTGCGACAATGTTCAGGCTGACTTTCTCAAATTGCATTCTCTGACCACAGACGGGGTCGTCTACAGCCTTTGGCCTGGACGGCTCGGACATCGCAAGCAATCAAAACATGGTCGTAGTTGTTCCCCAATACCGTCTCGGTATTCTCGGGTGGATGGGCAACTCGAATTTGAGCGTCGCCGGCAACTACGGTCTCAAAGACGTCATACTCGCCTTGCGCTTCGTTCGAGCCGAGATCACGGCTTTTGGTGGCGATTCGTCGCGCATCACCCTCGCGGGAGAGTCTTCAGGTGCCGAGATCGTCAAGTCACTGCTCGTTACGCCTTCCGTCTTTTCCATGTACGCACGAGCGATTCTGCATTCAGCACCGCTCGACTTTTCCGATTTTTCGCCAGCTCTCGCCGACACGATCGGAGCTATGACGGTGTCTCGACTCAACTGTTCCTCAATGACATGCTTGCGTAATGCTACCATCGAACACATATTGAGCGTACAGGCCGATATGAACAACGAGGGCCAAAAAGGTGCTCTTGACGGCGTGCGCGAAGTCGAACCCGTCTATCGAACTATCGTAGATGGGACACTTGTCCAAAACGAGTTTGGAGACACCGCCGCTCAAGGGATCGGCACCATTCGGAGCAGGGTGGCGAAGAAGATCATCTTGCTCACTACGATGAAAGACGAAGGCGCTTTCACGGTAGCAGAGATGTGAGTAGTAGGAGCTGTGGCGGATGGGAGCATTCTCTGGAATCGCGGACGGTCTCTGAAGCTCCATCAGGTCATCGCTTGCCAGATTCCCATCCACAGCTAGCCCGGCCTACTTCCCAATGGTTATTGAGCGTTTCTTTCCCGAGAGAGCCGCAGCCATTCTTGGTTCAGGACTGTACGATCCCTCGCTGTTGCCGAATGACGACGACGCTTTGCGAGATCAGTTCTCTCGCGTTGGCACGGATTTTGTCTTCACCTGCGCCACGCAACAAGTTGCCTTGAATCTCACCAGAGCCGGGTAAGTTTCCTAACTGGTCGTCGGCTTGGAGACAACAGAACTATAGGCTCCAGGGACCTGAACCCCACATTCTTCACCATTCTTCACTCTTCTCAGGTATCAGATCTACCTCGGACAATTCGACTTGGGCGTTTCGTACTACAACGACACCGCACCGTACCTGATCGGCAAAGCAACTCACCAAGATGATATCGGCCTAGTATTCCATCCGAACTCGATAATTCTGACGCGCGCTCAACGAGCCTTGACGAGTGAAGTTCAAACGCGCTGGGGCGCGTTCGTCAGGGGCGCCTCGCCTAATGCAAACGGTTACAAGACATGGAGCCCGATCGCAAATGAGGCTAACCTCAACCTCTTAGAGCTTGGTTCCAACGCGCACTATGGACTCTCGAACATCTCCAAGACGCAACGACCTGCGGTGTGTTCGTTATCAAGTGGAATCTGGAGCCGGGTGTAGGTAGTTTCGGCGGGGAGAGGGGGGGGGGGATGAAGTTGGAGGACCAAGTGATCGCTCCTCTGTGCCTGACTGATAACTCAAACCTTGTAATCAAGAAGATTTCGGCGATCATATCGGTACCTTGCACGGTTTCCGAGATATGCAAGTCCGTATTCCAACATACGAGAAAAACAGAGTTTGGACCCACGTTTTATTTTCCAATTCAGAGCCCACCCCCTGTTTCATCATGGCTTTGTCCTCGGAGCAGGGGAACAAACCCTTTCTTCGAGCATTCGAAGGTAATCGAACAGAAGGGAATCGTGGATATCCCTACTTCTCTGTTTATCCTACTGCTTTCACTTTGGCTGACTGATCATTCCACCATGTCGTACCCACTCTCCCTCCGCAGAACCCCCTCCCAAAGCTGGTTCCCCAGCCGCCTACTCTGCGCCATCGCGACCCTCCTCTTCTTCTGGCCGGATCTATCAACCGGCGCACTCACCGTGTCAACATACGATGGCACGCTGAATGGAACAGCGGTGTTGGGCGGCGCGGTCGCTCGCTTCACCGTCCCCTATGCCCGCCCGCCAGTCGGAGCGCTCAGGCTTGCGGATCCGGTTGCTTTCCCCAATTTTAGGCAGTACGAGCACCTACCTGTTGACCTTTCCGCTTTCGAAAAGACTCCCAAATCTGACGCGGTGGTCCGCATTCCGAAATAGCTTCGACGGATCCACTCTCCCGCCCCCGTGTCCCCAAGCCGGCAGAAACTATTCGGAAGACTGCCTGTTCATAACGTGGGTCAACGGTGACGAAGCGGGCAGCACTTTCCCGAGCGACGGATCACTAATCGTGTAGCGAAACTGTTTACCAGCATCTATACCCCCTCATCTGCGCTAGTGACCAGTGCCGCAAAGCTTCCCGTACTCTTTTGGGTAAGTGCGAACTGGGATTTGTAAGTTCTTTTCCCGGGCAGCGGTGACTAACATCACAGGTCTATCCCATCAGATTCATGGCGGCTCATTCTACAATGGGGCCAGCTCTGACATTGATGGTGCAAACTTAGCGAATCAAGAGAAAGTCGTTGTCATCACCGTACAATACCGACTTGGCGTTCTCGGACAACTGCGTCTCGATCGCGTAGGTCTCCGAGGCAACTACGCCATCAAGGATCTTATCGTCGCTCTCCAATACGTTCAATCCAGGATCTCGGCATTTGGTGGAGACAAATCCCTCGTCACTCTCGCCGGTCAATCTTCGGGTGGTGAGATGATCCGGACGCTCCTCGGAATCACCGCGGCGAAGCCCCTGTTCACCCGCGCGATCATCCATTCGGCACCTCTGGCCTACGGCGATCTCCCGCCCGTGATGGCGAACGAGATCGGTGAACTCGCTTCCATTAATTGCACGAACATCAAGTGCCTTCGCTCTGCTTCGGTCGAATCGATCCTCGCCGCTCAAACGGCGCTGCAAACCAGCACGTCCCCGTCTTTCGCCCCTCTCAACGTCCCTGGTCTCGATCCGTTGAGCGAATTCTTGCGACCAAACGTGGACGGTAGCTTGGTACCAATTGATTTTGCAGAGGCGGTTCGGCAAGACGTGCTTTTGCCCTCAGGGTACAAAAGCGTCATTTTCACGAATGTCAAGGACGAGAGTTGTTCGTTCGTCGCTTCGCTGTGAGTTCGGAGCACTTGGCACTGGGCTACACGTTCGAAGCGCAAGTATTTATGACCACGTCCTTTCTGCACAGCTTTACCGATCCTTTCTCAGCCAACGAATTAGGCGATGTACTGACCAAACTTCAGCCAACGAGCGCCGCAAGAATTATTGCTTCTCGCTTGTACAAGACAAATAACTCGAATGAGGATGGTCGAACAGTCTTCGCCTCGATGGTTACGGATGAGTCGTGGTCAGTCAGACCGTATGCTCGGACATGCATCCCTAATGCCCTATATTGAGCCTCGTTCTTACATACGTGCAGGATCTGCCCAATCCAACAAACCGTCCTGAATCTTTCCTCGTCTGCGGTGAACACGGGCTCGTACTGGCTCGCTGAATTCGACCTCGGTCTCTCGTACGATGAGGAGGAGAGCTCTTTTTGCACGGGTAAAGTCTCGCATGGGTAAGTGCTTCCCATTGCCCCGTCATCGAACGATAATGGGAGCGACTCCGCTATTTGGCATGCTGACGTCCTCCCCGTCTGTTTGTTTCCACTCACTTCCTTCCAATAGTGATGATATGTAAGTAATGCGAATGGCTCGTCCTCTGCTCCTACCATATCATCCCCAGTACTGAAATTATCCGTTCCCGGTACCACTCCTCCAGTCGTCTTCTCTTCAATACCCCTCTATTGACCCCCACCACCTCCCAAACTCGGCTGATCGCCGAAGTCCAATCTCGATGGGGCGCCTTCATCCGTACCGGGTCCCCGAACCCAGCTGGAGCTCTGAACCTCCCACGCTGGAAGCCCGCTACCGACTCGTCAAACCTGAACCTCCTCTTTTTAGGAGGGAGTTCCACCACCTCTGGACAAAGCTATGTTGCTCGCCGAAGGGAAAGCGTTTCGAGGAGAAGTTGTCGGGAGTTGTGGGGTGTTGGAGTCGAGTACGAGAATCAGAAACTGCAGGCGTACTACAATTGATTGGATGTGGAATAGGCGGCAACATTCTCCCTTTGTTTCCCGTAGCTTCGCGCAGCGCTCCCGTAACGACTCGGCGCGCCGGCGCGCTTGTGCAGGGAATGCAACATCTGACACGCCCCAACCCCAAAAAGAACGTATGAAAGACCTCTTTGCGCATTTCGACTCCCGTTCCTACTATACAACAAGATAAACCTCTCTTAAAGACCCTGCTCGACCATCACTCTTCTAACAAATCTCCACCTCCATCGCCATCCCCGTTTCCAACCCCTGCCCATTCGCGAGAGGCACCTCTTTCCCCCTCGCTACGGAATTCAAGATCTCCCTCCTGATCTCGGGTGTGATCTGCGGGTGGACCTTGACCTTGAGCGTGTCCAACAAAGCTCTCTTTTGTTCCTCCGTAAGGTCGGACTTGTACCTAGACACCGAAAGAGGAATGTCACTCGGTCAGCTTGGTCGTTTCTTTCCTCATCGCGCCACCTTCGGAATGCTGACCTCTGTACAAAGACCAAGAAGGACTGATGCCACAACACGGGCATCTCCCTCGGGTCCCGCTTGAACCGGATGAAGTGGAAGACGAGCGCATCAACGACCTTGTAAGGCAGCGCGTACTTCTTATCCAGGAGCACGCGGATGAAGACGCTGTTTGGACCTGTGGGATATGGAGGACTTGAAGACAATGTTAGCGTCGAGGGGGAAGGAGGCACACCTTGTGTACTCTGACGACTTGCCTGTGTATTCCATATCGGCTAATTTGAGCAATGCAGCGCCCGAATGCAGGACGGGCACGGATACTCGGGTCAAGACGGATCCCAAAATGGCTGCTTCTCGCAACGTGCATGTTTGAGACTGTGAACGAAGTCTACAGTCAGTCAAGAGACTCTTGTTCTGCGTTCTTGGTAGAGACCCACCTCGCACAGCGGGAACAAGATTCCCTTGAAGAACGCGGCCGGTTTGTAGATCGCCTTCTTCAGCGCCATGTACGTATGCACGCTCAGTTTGTGCGTCTCCTGAATTTCTTCCCTGACTTTCTCTAACAGAATCTCCTTGTAGAACTTTTGACTCTGCTTGGGGTCCAGGTTGGAGGCGAAGATCTTGGTCGCGGCTAACGTGGCGTGAGGAGTCCAATTCTCCGGGACAGTCAACATGACGAGTTGGGGCCAGAGTCGGAGCGTGGGGAGAATCTTGAAGGCCTTGGGGAGCGGTCCGGACTTGTACCGACTCAGGAGACCTCCGACTCTGCAAGTAGGATTGCGGGTGTCAGCGAATCGGGTCTCGACCAGAGGGAGACGCGAGGCTTTCGGTGGGCGCTCACTTTGTGTAGACTTCGACGATCTTGGGGTTGTAGCCTGGTGGTGGTTCAGCGGCGGCTGTAGAATGTCGACAGACTTGATCCAGTCAGTACGTGGAGAGTTGTCAGGTTGACCCGCACCAACTGACCGACTGGGACGGCGGTCTTGTCGTTCTCTTGCTGCTCAATCTTCTCCATGATGAGATCGGCGAGGGTCCTCCCACCCGCCAGTCGACCCTGAGGCATGAACTGATCCAAAGCAGCATCGTTGGCGTCGAATTCCTGGAGCGAGTGATCGACGAGACTCGGTCAGAGCTCCAAATGTTGAGCTCGAGGGCGGAATAGGGGAGCTCACCAATTCCTCGTATTCTTCGTACTCTTCCTCATTGTCATCTTCCTTTTCATCGTCGTCGTCGTCGTCGTCGTCATCGTCGTCTCGATCTCCGTCGTCGTCGTGTTCGTATCGAGCAGCTGTTTGGCTGTAAGAAATGAAGCGCAATGCGAGTCGTCGGTCAGCGCTCAGCTGCGCAACTCTCATCGCGTGCCAAATTCGGGGCGGTCAGAGATGTCTGCTCGCTGCTCACTCTAGGTCCTGGTCGAGCTCATCGGCCCACTGTTCCTGCGCGAGTTCATCCTGTTGGTCCCTAGCCATCTCGAGCACCCTTCGCGAGACCTTGGCGTCCAGAGTGGTCTAGCGAGCATTCGGCATTCGGCATTCGGCATTCGGCATTCGGCATTCGGCATTCGGGGGATCAGCGCTCAGCGCTCAGCCTCGATCAAGTTGGGGGAGAAAGATCGCTGCCCTGGCAGGGATGCAATTCGCTGACCTGAGCGTGTTCCTGTTCGGATTGAGCATTCTTGTGCTTGTTCTTTTGCCTCTTGCCGGGCAGGGACAGGTTGCCACTGTCGACGAGCGACTGCTGGGTCATCTGCACCGAGAGCGGGTCGTGCTTCGCAGCCGAGCTCGAGCGAGAGGTCGACGCTTTGGGCATGATTACGGTTGAGCTAGGGTACAGTGACGTATTGCAAAGTGGTTGATCCGTCTGATTGGTTTGTGAGGGGGATGGTCTGTCGAAAGGCGCAACGTCTTCGTCGAGGGACAGAGTGGTGGGATCGCGTCGGGCCTGCAGAGTGGGAGGTTGCGAAGTCGTTGCTGCCAGCGCGCCAGCCGCTCAGCGCTCAGCGCTCAGCCTCGCTCAGCAAGCCCGAGTGGCTCCGAGTGGTTCCGAGTGGGCTCGTGCGCTGCAGGCTGCGCTGCGCAATTCAAGCGTTAGCCGTTAGCAGGCGTTAGCTAGCCTTAGCGCATTACAAAATGATCATCAAAAGCGCCAGAACCATTTCTACATTCGATCGCCCACTTGTTCGCTCGAAGTTAGCATTGCATCTCCACACACGCCTCGCTTACTCTTTTCAGTCCAGAACGATAAAAGACCTACGGATCAGACCTACGACTTGCACACGACACCTCGTCGCACCGCCCCACCACACCACACCACACCACGATGGCTCGGAATCCGACCGCCTCCACGTCCACGCCCACGCCCACGTCCACGTCCACGTCCACGTCCACGTCCACGTCCACCTCGAGCTCGAGCTCGCCACACAAGTACAGCGTCATCCTTCCCACCTACCAAGAACGACGCAACCTCCCCGTCATCGTATATCTCCTCGCCAAAACGTTCAAGCAGCAGTCAGTATACACAGACCTGGGCCCTGTGCTGATCCCGGACTCGGACTGAAGCGCGCTCTCTCTGCCCCTGCACTTTGAAAGTGACTTGGCATGGGAGATCATCATTGTCGACGACGCGTCCCCGGATGGAACACTCGAGCTCGCACAACAGCTGCAGGAACTTTACGGAGAGCAACACATCGTCAGTCACACTTCCTCTTCGTTGGGCTATCGAGCCGCACCCCCACACGCGCAACCTGACACGTGATCCCCACCCCTTGTGCAATGCAGATCCTCCGGCCAAGAACAGGCAAACTTGGACTAGGGTCAGTCTCATCTTCAACTTGGGACACAACGCTTCTGACCCGCAGGAACCCTCCAAGATGCTCACACCCCACCTTGCATCCATCTCATAGCTCGGCCTACGTCCACGGTCTCAAGTCCTGCTCCGGCGATTTCGTCGTCATCATGGACGCAGACTTTTCACACCACGCAAGTCCAAAATTGCTGCTTCAAACGCATCGTCCCACTCAACCCTCTTGTTTTCGTCTCGCTCGAACCCCCACCAGCCTAAATTTCTACCTCAATTCATCGCCAAGCAGAAAATTCGAGACGCCGACGTTGTCACGGGCACACGCTACATTTCCGGGGGAGGTGTATACGGATGGGACCTGAAACGCAAAGTCATCTCCAGAGGTGCGAACCTATTGGCCAAAATCGTCTTGTGGCCTGGCGTATCCGACGTGACGGGGTCCTTCCGGTAAGGTTTCACGAATAATCTCCTCCCTTCCCCGGCAAGCTCGTGACCATTGAGACCCTCTCAACGATTCCCCTTCTCAGACTCTACAAACGCCCCGTTCTCGAACGCTTGATCAACGAGACCGTTTCAAGAGGCTACGTCTTCCAAATGGAGATCATCGTACGAGCCAAAGCCACGGGGTGCATTGTCGATGAAGTGCCCATCACGTTTGTCGATCGCGTCTTCGGGGAGAGCAAGTTGGGGGGTAGTGAGATCGTGCAGTACGCTCAGGGAATCTGGATGTTGTTTCGGACGGTGTAAGGGGTATGTTGTTCCAAGAGGTGTGTAGAACCTGGTATCATGACTCTGTATCAACATAACGACCCACACCAGACTGTAACCACCCTACGTCTTCTTGGACACCAACAACTTTTTCAACATATCGAACCCATTCCCGTCCGGTTGTAAATCGACGAAACCCCGCCTTGGTTCCCTCCCCATTCCCCCACCAAACACTTCTCTCCCTTCTCGATCGACGTCAATAGGCACGGTCCTCAACAGACCATGATCAGGTGTGATGCCGATTATCTTGACAATCTGACCGGTCGCTTCGATCGTCACGCGTTGCTCGCTGCGAATTGAAGCAATCCCAGACCATCAGTCTCTACTCGATGAGATTCCACGGTTGTGGACGATTTAAAATTACTTACGAATGGATCCAACACCCCAAATACCGGTTCACGAACGGTTCGAAACCTTCGTTCAAAAAGACATCCCACATCCCTCCGAACTGATGCAATACCCTCGCCATGAGCACCTCGGGCGTGAAAGGGGCTAAGGCCGTGCCGTATTGCGCGTTGTGAGCTGCTACGAGCTCGTTGACCGATGTCGTGGGTAAGGGGTTGGAGGTGTTGATCCCACAACCTATTTGGGCGGTCATCGACGGGTGGATTCCAGAAAGATGAGCAACGACGACCACACGAACCTTCAGCCAGGGTCATGACATGAAAAGAAAACTCACCCACAACCAAGGTAAACTCGTCCCCCGCATAACTCGAGTTGACCAAGATCCCGCCAATCTTTCTCAACTCCTTCCCCTCCCCAACTCTCCCATACACATCATTCGGCCACTTCAAACACACCTCGACGCCCGCATAGCCCGGGGTCCCTCGAATCGCCTCCACGACAGCCAACCCAAACAAATATTGCAGGAACACGATCTTGGACGCTTGGTTGGAAGCGAGTCGAAGTACGAGCGAGAACTGAAGACATCCTGCGGGGGATACCCAAGAATTGCCGCCTCGTCCTCTTCCGGCGATTTGGTGCGAAGCGATGCAGGTTAGTCCGAGGGGGAGGGCCGAGAGGAAACGGTCGTTTCTGGTGTGGAAGGGATGGATCAGTTCTTGTTCCTTTCTGTGCCTTGCAGCGAGCGAGCATCACTCACTTGTCCATCATTGTTTGCGTACTCGTTACCGTCTCGCCATACATCAGAATACCTCCGATACCCATCCCCTCCGAACCTGCGGCCAAAGCTTGCTTTTGCTCGAAATATGCTCGCACGTCGAACAAGGGCGTCCATTCTTTCGGTGGCAATCCCTCGGAACAGACCACGATCTCCTTGGTCGTCGTTCTCAGTTCCTCGACGTCAAAGGTCCCCTGCCTCGCTCGATGAGCATGAATGACCTTGCTCGCCACCTTCGACGGATGCAAAAGGAACGAATCGTTACGATCCTCCAGGGTCGCTTGGGATTGCTGACCCGCGACTCGTTTGGAGCCTATCGCAATCGCAGTCCGCGTGACGAGCTCCAAATCCGTCGAGGCCAAGAACAAGGGCAACAACTTGGGTGGGGGAGCGGCTTCTTCAGAGACTTGAATGTCGAGTAGAGCCAGAGTCGATCGGAGCAACGCACTTCGGAGTGCTTCCTTGGCGTCATAGTCGAGCGACGAAGAGGCCTTGGACGAGTTGGTGGCCAAGGATGGGTGTTCGGGATGCACGGACCACAATACGGCTTTTCCTCCCTTGTTGCCGACGTCGCATACGACGCCAGCTATGGGTCGTCCCTCGATTTGTTCGTATCTCGCCAAAATGCCGATCCGACTGCGCTGTTCGGACGTGATCGAGTCCTCAGCAAGTACGAAGTGCCCTCCACCGTTGTACCATACGTCCAACTTTTCGGGGCTCATGGACCAATGATCCCTCCACACGTTCCTAACCAAGGCGATCGAGACCTCCCTTGCACCGGCTTCGGAGTCGTACTCGAACCCAGCAAAGACGGCGCCTTTGCACATTCCAGGAAAGAAGCCCAACTCCCTCTGTCCGACGACCTCGAGTCGTGTTCCGCGCTCGAATTCGATCTCCTGGGAAGCGTAATAGGCCCCCGCACAGAACCCGAGGTACTTGCCTCCGTGTTTGGTGACCCATTCCTTGATCCTTCGATTGGGCTCGCCTTGCAAATCAAACAGATACGGCAAATCCCTGCCCCCCGGAAAGACCAACAGAGCACAGGTCTCTGTCCAAGGATCAGAGCGTAGCGTTTTGGGTGATACGAGTTGGACGTCGTAGTGGTGCGAGGCGTAGGCTTTCAACGAGGCCAAGGTGAAGGCGAGCGAGGCGGCGGAGACTCCGGACCCGTTGTAGACGAGGATGTTGACCTTGTTGCTCATCTTTGGGGGAGCTTCACAGAATGAGATGAGGGCGCCAAAGAGGCTCGAATCTGGAATCGAACTTGTGGCTGTGGTCGCTCGTGCTGCTGCGCGGGTCCGGAAGCTCGAGTGGGGTCGGAGTCGAGGCTGGATCGTTCTTGTTGTGGTACTGAACGAGCGCAAGGACCGAGCAGTCGCGGATGAAGCTTGACGAGCGACGAATGAGCTAACTTTGCGGATGACAAGCGTGGCAACGATGTTCACCCCGCGAGGCAGTGCGATGAGAAGCAGCCGGCGGCAGTTGTGTGCGAAGGTGCAGCGCAGTGTGGGGGCTGAGCCAGGCTGAGCCCTGCTGAGCCAGTCCGTGATCCGAGCCTATCCGAGCCGATCGTATCGGAGCAGATCTGAGCTGAGCCTTCGGCAAGACCAGTCAGCTCAGTCAGCCCGGGCCGGAGCCGGATCTAGCCGGATCGAGTTTTCGACTTGAACGTTTCACCCGTGTTTCTGCGAGCCTGAGCAGTCAACTAGTCAACGCCAACGGCGCTCGCTCAAGAAGGATACGGCATCTGCTCGACCTCGAATGCTCTTTCGCCGCTAGATCTAGGCGGACGACGACCGCAGACCGCGACAATTCTCGTGCGCCGACGTGCTCGGTGCACCTGACCCGACGTGAAGGGAGCAAGGGAGCAAGCCGTGCTTTCAGACCCGATCATTCGGCCATCTCCTCCAACCCCACTCTCGAAATCTGTCCTGGCTTGACAGTTCCAAGGCCACCTCATTGTCCAGGCCAAGCAGTAGCTGCTTGCAGTAGCTTGCGCCCCACTGACCCTCTAACCGGGCCAGCTCCACCACTTCGGCTCCGCTCAGTCACACGCTGCCTACCTAGCCCAGCTCGACCTCGTCCTGTGCACGACTCTTACCATGTCGTCTACGGGATCACCCGAGGCCAGTGCCTCTTCGACCCAGGTCAAACGAGGCGCACGAGCGTGTAAGTGCCATCACCTACCGAGGACCTTCTCGGCCGACCGTCCCATCCACTGCGCTCTCCGCCATCGCTGATGATCGTTTCGCTCCCTTCACAGGTGTCCGCTGTCGAGCCGGAAAAGCACGATGTGTCGCACCCTCGGGCAACCCACCGCAAGTTCTCTCCCTGACCGAGTGACCCGAGCTTCGGCAAAGTGGCCGAGGCCAGCGCTGAACCAGGAAAGCTCGCTTACCTTTCAACGACCTTGCACTCTTCAGATGCGAGAGGTGTAAGAACTCAAACTCGGCCTGCGTGTTCGAGACGCCCATGCATGCCAAAGCCGTCGACGAGGAAAGGATCGAGCGCATGGAATCCAGTCAGTCCAAATCCCCAAGACTTCTGCTTGAAGAACCTCTGCCTACTAACCACTCTTGGCCCCTTCTGTTCTACCGCGCACCGAAATAAAGCTCTCAATGCGCTTTCCAACAACGTCGAGCGGTTGATGGAGGCTTTCGGCAAGCAAGTTTCGTCGGCTGGCGAATCACCAGCAGGAACCACCTCGAGTCGGATCACCTCCGAGTTCGGTGCCGTCGCACCGGCGTACCCCCCCACTTTCCTGCCGCACCCCAACAACCCTGCCCTTCGACTCCCCGCTGCTTGGAACGCCCAGTCACCTTCGAACCCCATGGCCTGGCCGCAAGACCCCAACGCTCCCGGCGTCGACCCACTCGCGAGCAACGCCATGTCGATCCCGATTCCGATCACCACCGCCGCACTCGAATCAGGGTATCCCTCTAATACTGCGCCAGCACCACCGACGTTCGCTCACATCCCAGCTTCTGCGAACTCCCACAAAAGGAACAGTGATGGTTTGTTCGATGGGGAAGCATCAACGAGTCGGAGGGCAACGAAGTTTCCTCCGTTGCCCGGATATCGAGCTCCCCCACATCCAATCTCGACATGTCAGTGAATTCACTCTCTCAGTTCGGTGTAAGGCACTCTCTGATTCCCGTTCTTACACAGATGGCATCATTCCCTCTCGAGCGCAGTCCGAAGACGGCGAAGACGATGCCTTGCCTTCCGAGTCGCTCACAGCCCCATTCGAAGCCCTCGCCCAGGCGGCAGCCGAAGCCTCGGGGGACATGAACACGCGAGCTACAGGAAGTGGCTACCTGACCCCTTTGGTCCACAAAGGTCGACCTCGGAAACGACCTCGAACTCAAGTCGTACCACCCCCGAACGCCTTTCCTGACGTTGTCGAAAAGGGCCAAGTCGAGGATTCGACCGCGCGCGACGTCTTTGACATCTTCATCCAGAATTGTCTCCCCTTCTTTCCCATTCTCGACCCGGATTACGATCAGTACGGCTCGATTCGAGAGCGGACACCATGGTCCCTCAATTCCATTATTGCCGTCGCCGCGACGAGGATGGCCCATTCGACGCCGGCAATCCGAGCCGCTGCCGAATACGGATTGGAGGAGTCGCAGGGCATTGCTCGATCGTCATTGTTCTGTCCGACAGTACGAATCGAGGGTTGCAGCTCGATGGCGATCCTCGCGGCGTGGTCTGAACCAGGTTATCTCGCAGGAGGGCACGCGCTACGCATGGCCGAGGAACTGAACCTGCATCGCGCATTGGAGAAGCTCGTCGACGGATCAAGAGAACGGTCCCTCACCGAACAACGCAACCTCGTCATCTCGGCCAGGATATGGCTCTGCCTCTCCTTGCTCAACTACACCCTCTGCGCCAGCTCGGGTAGACCCCATAACTTACAACATGATCTCGTCTCGTCGGAAAAACTCGACGCCTTCTTGGACCACCCCTTCCATATCGAGTCGGACGCTTGGCTCGTGGCCCAGTTCGAGTTGATCGAGGCAAGGAGTAGGATCGAGTCGATGCATGTGGTGAGCATCACGTCGCAGATTATCGAATTTGCAAGGAGGACGGCCAAGGATCTGAGGGCATGGCACGTCAAGTGGGACAGTATCCTTGGTGAATTACAATAAACGGACAAATCACGTCGAGGCTTTTGACTGACATTGTGGCCTTTCCTCAGCGCGAAAGCAATTGGACGAATCCGTACAACGGCGTCGACTGCAACTGTCGCTCAATACGACACTCCTCTTCCTCTACACAACCCTGCTCAAGAGACAAAGTCTCGGATCCGCCGAGTCTCTGCCTGTGGTGAGCTGGCTCACTAAACTCCTCTCCCTCTCGAGCAGCTAAAATGGCTGATTCAATAAGCGTTTCTATATCCAGGACGCTCGAGAGTTTGCCATGTTGGCTCGTCAAGCCGCGAGTGTGATCCTCAATGTCGCGGCGCTGCCCTCATTCCGCACGGCTATCCGATTCGCCACTCAGGACGTCTTCATCGAGATCAGTTGTGAGTGAAACTCGGTACAGCTAGCGACAATGAGTACTTTGGACTCACCCCTCCCCTGCCTTTCCACTCTAGTCGCCTGCCTGCTCTACCTCAAGCTCTCTCGCCTCTTCCCCGAAGGCTTGGATCTCTACGCCGTCGCCAAACAATGCTGCGACCTCTATTCTTGGCTTCGAGAATATCAAGCCCAACGCTTCAGTCTGACGATCAAGATCGCGGTTGAACGGTTCTCTGCTTCCGCCGGGTTCGCCAGTGACATCTCGGCACTGTTCAACAAACTCGAGGCTTCGTCGAGCGGTGGAGGGTCAACGCATTCATTAGCGACGACGTTGAACGCCGCTTTGAATCATGCCGGCGGCGCGATGTACGGTGCTAGAGGAGCAGCGACCAGCGGGACCAGCGGGAATACGAACGGACCCAATCCTGGTGGAGGAGAAGCCCAGAACGGAGCTGGCTTACTCGGTGACCCGAACGGGCTTCCCAATTCGGCCCTTGCGGGAATCTGGCCCAACCCCGCCGGACTCGGCTCCGTTGATGTGCTTTCCCTCCCCGTGTCGGATAGTAATTGGGTCGGATCCGAGGTCTTGCCCGAGTGGTTGCAAGGTGATGAGGTACGTCGACTTCAACGCGTTCTTTGATCATTGGTAGTGTGAGAGGAAACTGACTCGAGCTTGGCCAACCTTTGTAGGATTGGACTCTGGACTCGGCTTTCAACGACGGTATCGATCGCTTGTTCTTGCCCCAGTAAGCTCTGGTGACCGACTCTCGACTATCATGTCGATCATCCGGCACTGACTGGCCCTGCTTTATATTGGAACAGGTGGATGACGTCGATGGCACCGGACACGTTCAACCACGAGTGGTGATGAGATGAAGCCGCAAAGTGCTCGATTGCATCGGCAATCATGAAAGAGAAGAATAGCTTGTACATTACGGCGGGAGAGGTAAACACCTGTTGTATCAGCATCTCAATAACAATCAAGGTGAAGAAAGCTTGTGATCTTGTATTCGCTATCGATTTCTGAAAGCTCAAGCATAAACTTGCTCACCACACTCGGCTCGGGGTACCCACCGCAGCTACTTGCGGAAGATCATTCTCAAAGGTCAAGGGCAAAACACGTGCTCGGTCTGTACAACCCCGCGAGATCAAGAACGAAGCGCCTAGGCTTCCTTTGGTCATTCTCCCCACTTTGATCACTCTCATCGACTTGATCAAACTCCTCGCCAGAGACTTGCCTTTTGTCGTCATGCATTAGATCAAGACAAAACCCTTGCATCACTCATCAAAGCGATCGAGTTCCCCTCGTCTCGTTTACAATGATCTTGATGAAATTCCGGTGCTGCAGGGGCGTTTTATCATGATGGGCGCCAGCGGGTGTGTAACCGAGTTGACAACAGTCTTGTGCCGTTGCACAGCCCCGCGGCGGGGTCCAAGTTTCTGAGGAGCATGACGGGACATCCCACTTTGAATTTTTCAGCGTGCAACGCCATCCCGGCGATGTTGAGACTCTGAAGGTACTCGATCGAGAATAGTGATTCGTCTTCGTTTTCGACCCAATCCGCGCTGTAGAACGTTTGAGCGTCACCCGGCAGCAGGTCGAGCACCATGTCGTTGATCTGACCCACCTGCGAATTTTTGGGCGCCAGAATTGCTCGATCTCGGAAGTATTCGATTTTTTCGCCTATTGACATATTGTCCAGTTCGAGCGCGGGGACGGGATAAACGTGTCTGATCAACCCGGATCTGTTCGTCGTGGTCACCGGCAGGAGAAACTCGCGTGGGAGCGCGATAGAGTCTTCTGTTTTGTTGGCCGAGCCGTCTCCAACTCCTAAGAGCCAATCTGCAAAGCCCTGTGCCTTTGCCCGTTCCGTTTCGGTCATGCGGTCTGCAGCGGCCAGAAGACGCATGTTTGTCTGCGCTCGCACCGTGCCGTTGTTAGTATAGGGTCTAAAAGTCAGGCAAGGACTACTACTTACAGAGAGATGCAGCACCTCAACTTCCCCCCAGAAGTCAGCATTCATGATGCAAGCGTCGACAATTTGTGTAGGCGATGACTTGGGAATAACGGGAAGGCATTGCTTCGGATTCCCTGTGATGTTACAGTCCAACCGGTCAGTTAGTCATGCTGCCCTGCGCTTTGCTTTTGAAAGATTGGCACACACCTGCCAACACGACGGTCACTCCACCGAACCGAGCCGTTGAGGATCTGCCACGGGATGGTGAGCCGCAATTCACCCGACCAGAACCGGTTTTCTGGCGTGATTCGTTTATTACAACTATCAGTATTCTTGCTGTTGTCCATCTGTAGCAATGGCAGTGAAGACTCACATTTAGTGTCCCATGGACCCGGATTCTCAACCGTACGAAGTCTTCAACTTCATCAAGAGAAATAGGCACGGGCGGCGTTCAGTCGGAGCACTGCTCGTGATATTACTCGGCCTTGGCCAACACAACTTGACGCTCGACGAGCGACAGATTATAGGGCTTCGAAAGGAGGTCGAGTACAAAAAGATGAATGTGGTTGCACATATCTTGTAAGAACAAAATGCGGAAGGTTCCGTCCCACCAAATTTGGCAAAGGTACTACTTGCAAGAGAAGAGAACATGCGTATGTGTTTACTATGCTATGACGTTCTTGAAGAAACGATGTGTGAAAACTAAATGCGATATAGGGTGATGATGTCATGTCCAGCGAAGAAAGACCCTAGAGGATAGGGGTCGGACTAGCCGAGGTCGGCTTTATGAGAGTATAGGCTTGATGATGAGGAGAGACGGAGGCTCGCAAGAGGAGGTCCAGAAGCGAGAAACAAGAGCGGTTTATGTCTACAGGAGGCGCGCGATTCGCTGTTGGGTTTACTTGGGTTACTTGCGACCGCCGACAGCGGATGACCGTGATAAACTCGAACGAGTCTCGAGTTCCCTTTTGAAGTCCGCAAATTGAGCTCGGGTGTAATGGTGAAGACTAAAAAGAAAGCGAGGACGAAGGATGACGTGGTCAGAAACGGTTGTCTCTCGCCTAGCGCACTAGACCCCTGCGCCCAGAGCCCGAACGAAGAGCAGCTACTCACCCGACGCGGTATAGGCGAAGAGCATCATCCGACTCTCCCAGAGATGATCGTCGTTGAGGCTCCAATTCACCGTTGGAGTTGAGTCCAGAATCGTGGTCTTCGGATGAGGACGAGTCTTGACCAGGAAGTACCGAACCGAGAGTTTGCGCGAGCGAGTCGAGCGGTGAGCTGGATGATGACTCCGGGCTGCTCGAGAGCCGCGATGACGAGTCGACCATTGACGAGCTCGAAACCGAGGTGTCCAATTGATGGGGCTGCGTGGACATGTTAGCTCAGGTGGAGTGGTTGTTGGTTTTATAAGGAGATGATTACTGAAAATTGTGAGGACGAGCATGTGAAGACAACGTCAACTCATGCACAAAAGCAGCCTCCGCTCCTGATTACATCACCACCGCCCAAGCTTCGGAAATCTCCCGGAAGCGCTCTCGCTCAGAGCGCGCTGCCTCGCGAAGGGACAAAGACGCGGACGAGGTCAAGGAAAGCACTTGACTCACAGTGGCGCGCACGGCAGAGGCAAGGTAGGATGTTCGGTTGTTTGAGTGATTGGGATGCAGAGGAAAGAAGGAAAGAAAGGCTGGGGGGAGAAGACGGAAAGAGGTGAGAGGGGAGAGAAGGAGTAGAAGATCAGGAACCAAAACGCCGAAGCATTCGACGAAGAAAAAGGACTCGCGTCTACTCGCGCCTACTCGCGCCTTGCCGTGCCCGATGACTTCATCAATGACGTGAAACCCCTCTCTCCTCAGCCTATTTCTTTTTCTCACGGATGCGCCTGTGCGCCGCGCGGGCGCTCGCGCGGGGCCAGGGCGCGCTAGTCGGCAAATTGACAAGCCCCAGGTGCCTCTGGGGCTTGGGGTTGAAGGCCAATGACCATGCAGAGCTTTTGGTCAGGTATGTAATTAACTTCGCTGGGCACTTCATTGGATGGCGCGCTCAACTGCGCCTTATTAGTCGATCTTTCACTAGCAGATTCCTCGCAGCGAAGTCACGCACAATCAGCATTCTTGTGCCCGCGCCAGCACGGGGGTACGGGGCGGCGGGGCCCCTTCCCTAAGCTCGAAACCCTCCACTCTGTGGAGGGGCTTGTACCTTATCGGCGCGTTTGGCTGAGTTGCCTATCGAAATTTGGCCCAGAAAAGTACCACCTTGCTGTAGCTTGGCAAATAAAATCACCTATACAATATGTAGAAAAAGGCGCATTCTTATGCTATTTTTACGAGCATCTGCCCAAGGGAAGACTCTTGCATGTCCTATTCATTGAGCTACAGCGGTGAGAAGTCGTTAGTTTCGACTTGGAGCTGGCTCGCGCACGGACCCAGAGGGACGGTTCTTCGCGCCGACGTGAATCAGCCAGCCGCGCCTCACCGGCCTCACCTTCGGTCCACAACGCCAGTCCACGACGTCGCTACCGCCCTCATGATCCACCATGCCCGTACAAACGCCAACGCTTGTCAAAGGCACACCTCGTCGGTCTCCATCGATTGAGTTCAGAGAGTCGCCCTTACGATCAGCTTCGAGGGCAAAGCCAACGACATCAAGGGACCATCACTCAACCGACACAAACCCCGAACTGCCTACCCGTCGCTCTCCGGCTGCTCACTGGAGATCACAATTAACTCAAGAAGATCGAGTTGACCCGATTGAGTTACGCAAGAAGCTCAGTCTCCTTTCGGTCGACAAATTTGGCGAGGACTTCGTCCCCCGGCCGGTGCAAATCGAAGCTCTCGCGGGACTTTTTCAGCTCGAGCGGTTCAAGACTCGAAATCAGTATGACGCTGTATTCGTCATTGCTCCAACGGGTTCAGGGAAGAGCTTGATATTTCAACAAGCCATGTAGTTGGTTTACGGACGCCGGGCTGTGACCATAGTTGTCAGTCCTCTGACTGCGCTGAGCCAACATCACGTAGGTTTTATTCGGTTGGCCGTTGAGCCGACGCCGGTGCTGAGTCCCACGGTCTTGATACCTTTACAGGCCGACAATCTCAATCAAGAGCGAAAGAAAGCGGTTGCCATATGCAAGGAAACATGGGGTGACGGAGAGCTGTACCAGCAGTTGAGTGATCCCTCCCATACTGTCTCATTCATCTTCATCGTACGTGTCCATTCAATCCGCCGCAGGTTTTTGCATGCTCACAACCCCCGTACTGATATCTTGCTACTAAAAATCTCCGACAGTCTCCAGAGATGCACAATGGAGACGAGCGCTGGGCCGAGCTGATATCGAAGGACTCCTTCCGAGAACGAGTCAAGCTGCTTGCCTATGACGAGGCAATCAAGATTGCCGAGTGAGGATTCAGCGAAAGGGAGCGCGCCGGAGCTATGAGCCACTCAATGGAATGGAAGGCTCGACTGCATTTCGCCCCGTATATGGGCAAGTTGCGGAGCGGTGTCTCATACTTGGCTGTCAAACACTCTTCCTCACCGCCGGCGCTCCACCCTACAAAATCAACAAGATCCTAAAGGTATCCAGTCTCTCCGAATCGCGGACGTTCTTCGCCAAAGCCGACCTTTTCCGACCAAACCTACGCAATATTGTTGTCGAGATGAAACCAAGAACAAACGGTACGATGGGACATATCAGGGATCTCCTCAACCAGCGGCCAGATCCCAGCACCTTTCCCCAGTCCACCATGTACTTCGACAGCCGGGAAGCGACGTCAAACGCTTGAGCTGGGTCCAATTACTGTTGAAGAGCTTTGGCCTATGATTATGAACACCATCGTGTTGTGTTGACGGGCTGAAATACCACGAGAGGTATTGACCTGAGGTATTGACATAGTGAGAGCTTGTGAAGCCGAAACCGAGCGAATAGATCTGCCTGACGGCGGCGATCCTGGCGAGTCGTCGAGTCATAGCGTCTGCGGTTGCGCGTCGTTCTGAGATAAGCGTGGTGTTCCATCGAGAACAAGCGAAGAGCATAGTACCGAGAAGATGAGTGATGCGGAATGGACGGGAGAAAAATCGATGCGCACACGCCGAAGTGCGCAAGCCGGCGGCTGCAGCAGTGTGTTGCCGCTCGGACCACTTGGGACCGAATTGACCAAATTTACACACTTCAGATCATTATAGCTTCGGCTACAGATGGGGTATCCTCTTGCCGTTCGGCACAGGCCATTTTTTCTAGTAGAAGATCAATAACATCTCTGCGTTTTGGATAATTGTAAGTACTTGCCACGCTACAGAAAACCACCCCAAAATGGCCCTGAAATTTCGGAGGGCAACTGGGCCAGGCGCGCCGATAAGTCCTAAGCCCCTCCCAGAGGGAGGGCTTAGTTGAGCTTACCCCTTCCCCAAACGGCAGAGCTCCCGGCGTCGTCATTTACGAATTCGCTCTCCTCGACGCCACACCTTTTTTTCTTGCAGAGAAGGTACCTATATCCGAGGGCCAAGCTCATTGCATCATCTTGTGCTTTGGGTACAAATGCTACGCAATCTCCCCCTCTTCAGCCTCTCCGTCCGTCTGTGGGCAACCAAAACGAAATGATCGAGTGGCGCCTCGTTTTTAGCGTCGTGTCGTGTATCGCGCCAAAGTCCGCGGCCCACCGGGCATCAGGCACGCCGACACAGCGCTTTTGCCTTCGTGGACTCACCATGACAGCATCCATTCGCTTGCCATTACTGGACTTCTCCAACCTAACTTGTTTGACCTTTCTATCATCCTCCTTGTCATGTTCGGCACCGGCGGTCCTTTTGTTTGCCGAGAAGGTCCTCGTCGTCGTCGAGCTGGATTGGAGAGGAGGTCCTTCTGACGTATCCCTCGCCGACAACTCACGGCGCGTGCGCTCGTGCCGACTCGACCGACTTCCATGATCACGCTCCCGGTCACGTTCGCGTTCTCGTGATTCATGCCCGCCCCTCGCACGTTCACCCTCATGTCGACTCGGTCCGCCACTCCCTTCACGTTCTTGCATCTTCTCCTGTTGGGTCGCGTCGTACCGTGCAAATAAAATAAAAGTCGCTTTGATCAGCTTCGTCATCGACAGGGGAGATCCGCTCGGGTCTCACGGGGATTTGTCGGAGGATGACGTAGCGACGACACTGACCTTGAGACGACGCATGAACTTTTCGTACGCCAACCTGCGCTGTGCTTCGTCCGTGAGCGCAATGAACTCGGGCGTATCTTGAATACGAGGCAAGAGCTGTCACAAAAAAGGAAAAGGAAGACCACGCGGAGACTTAGCCCGCCAAGCTGCCAGGTCCCGACTCCTCGCCGCGCGTCCGAGGATGGCTTACCTCTTCGTATGTTGCGTCAAGTTCGACCGGAGGATCAAGCTTCTTGTAGGCATACTTGAGATCATCGGCTAAGATGCGCACCTTTCTCTCGGCTTTGCGTCGTTCCTCCTTGTTCTGGCGCACGACGCGGGTGTGAAGCTGACGAGGCCCAAGCGCAGCACAGTCAGCATGACGTAGTGTGATATAGCAAAAACGACAGGAGAAAAAATAAAGACGAAAAGAAGTCTGGAGCTCACCTTCTCATATGTGACTTGAACGATTTCTTGATCAATCTTGTGTACGCGCTCATCGCCATCGATCATGGACCTGTACTGCTCGTACGTCGTTGACTCCTCAATCTTGCTCTTGCGTTCCGAAAGGATCGTCTCAATCATCCTCTGATGCTCCTCAATCACTTGGTCGAGTTCGTCGATCAGGTCCCAGAACAGTTCGAGCGGCGACGAGCCCGTCTGTCCAACGAGTTCGAGGTAGCGCGGGTCGTTCTCGATGACGGGGTGAATAGAGTGCCACGTCGTGCCTGAGATGATGTGGCCCGACTCCTTCAGCTCATTTAAGAGTTCCTATGGTAGTAGAAGATAACGTAATGAGTATCATCTCCGGCCAGCCCAGAGCATCTTGGTAAATCGAACCTTGAATTCATCCCTGGCCTTCCTCGCCCTCCTCTTCTTGTCATTGACCTGCCTGGCCCTCCCCTCAATCGCCTCCTTCTCGGCGATCTTGACCTGCTCCTCAAACACCTGGAGGATGTCGATCGGATCGACCTTTTGAAGCTCGGGATCGCGGTGCCATTCTGGAGTGCGCACGATCGTCGAACGCGCGTCTTGCCAGCGTAAAGGTCCAGCAAGGTCGAGGTTGAGCGAGCGCAGGATCGAGGTCAGCTTCTCGAGGTTCTTGGTGCGCACTTCCTTCCTCATAGTCTGTTGAATCCAGCATCAGAACGAATCAGGTTCCACAGAAGGATTCATCATGCATAGCTCCAAACTCAAAAGACCAACCTCTTCCTTCTCCTTGAGCGCCTCGATAAACTCTTTGAACAAGGCCTTGCGCTCCTCGTCGTTCCTCGGCATCCCCCAAACATCCGACGCCTTGATCTCCAATTCCTTCTTGGCCCTCTCAAAGCTCCACCAACTCTTGACCCCATTCTCCATCATGGTCCCGCCGTTGAGCTTCTCCAGCACCCTACCCCATTCCCTCCTACACCTCTCCAAGCTCGCCTCCCTCTCTTCCTTTTCCCTCTCGACGGTCTTGACCAAGTATTTTTCGAACGCGGCCTTCCTCTCCGTCAACGTCTTGAGCGCCTTGTAATAAGGATCGGTGATGGTCTCCTTCATGACCTGTTCCCACGTCCACGAAGCATCGACTTTGAACGCGCTCAACATGTCCATGAAGGCGGCCTCGGCATCGTGGAAGTTACGAAATCGAGGGATCCCGTCATGGCCGAAACGATCGTGGGAACGATCTCGTTCGTCATGACGATCACCGCGGTGATTCTGATTGTGGTTGTGGTGGTGGTGGTGGTGGTGGTTGTTGCGATGGGTAGGATCAGGACTCATGGCGTTCGCACCGGAGGGGACGAATCCACCTGGTCCAACGAGCGCACCACCTCCGACGAGGGGAGGGCCAGACACTTGGGGGTGAGGGGGCGACATTTGATTCATCGGTGGACGCATGGGCATCTGTCCAGGTTGGAAATTGGGGTTGCCCATGTGTCGAGGGCTCATGGATGAGAGGGCGGGTGGAGGTGGGAGAGGCGAGTGGGGGATCGGAGGAGGGATCGGAGAGCTGCGAAGAGGGAACGAAGTGAGAACTGATTCAGCAACGGTGCTGGACATTGAAAATATCTTCAAGAGGTGCTTACTTGGTGGAATAGCGATGAAGGATGTCTGATAGAAGGCGAAATCATCAGCTCGTACATCCCCACTTCATGACGAGAGAGGCTCTTTCGCAACTGACCTTGAACAACGGCAGGGATTGTCCACGTCGTCTCCTTGGTCTCGGCATGAACCCAATCTGAAGAAGCAACGAATATGAGATGCACGTCTCAGAAAGGGATCCATCAACTGGACGCACAGGGTCTGCCATTCGCTTCGTATTCCTTCCACGGTGTCTTCTCCGCCTCCAACTCGGCCGGGGTCTTGAGTTCCGATGGTTTCTCCCATACGGATTCTTTGGTGATGGAATGGTTGTAGAATGGTCGACCGTCGGGACTGATTGCTTTGGTCCAGAAACCTCCTCCTGCTGCGGGGGCTGCTCCTGCGGGTGGACCATGGAGGGTGGAAGCGGCACCTGGTGCGGGTGAGGCGAGCGCTGCCACGGGCGATTGAGGGGTAGGAGGAACCGACATGGCGTTCTTTGACCACGCCAACAGGATCAAGTCGTGGACTGGACCGCACGGGACGCGTGGGGTGAATTGAAGGAATCCAGAGGGTCGCTTCTGTCGCGCGTGCCCGTTCTGTGCTCGCCCAATCTGACTCGCACGGACCTCTCCTGAGTCAACCGGACAAAAATCTTATTGCGAGTTTTGACCCAATTTCGTCCATCGTCGGACTGGCGCGCGCCGCCCCCCCTCGCGCCGCCCCCCCCCCCCTCAGGCAAAGGCAGGCGGGCGGGCGCGACAGGGCGCGACGCCAATGATTTGGCAGGATTTGGCTGGGAGAAGCGAGGCCAAGCTGGTTCGCGCCGGTCCGAGTGGCCCTCTTCTCGACCGTTGTCCGTCTCTTCGTCAACGTCACCAATCGACTCCCACCCCGACCCTTTCTTCCCATCAGGTACATTTCATCTCTGTCTCCTTCTGCTCTTTGATCTTTAATCTTTGACGACTCGACCTGCGACACCGACGCTGAGCAATGTGCGAGCGACATCCGTGGCCTCTGGCCTCTGCGCTGGGCTCGAGAGGAGAGCGTTAGGCAGGCGGGCGTGGCGGCCCAAAAAGCGTGTTGCGGGCGAAAGACGGTCGCAGCGCTGGGGCTCGGCCGGGCTCAAAAAATGGGCCAGCCCAGGCTGAGGGCTCCTACTCGCTCTAGAGATGACGGGATCGTGGCGGATGAGGTTGCATGCTGCGTTTGGACTGGATGAAGGGCGTGGATGCGGGAGATGATGAGCGTAGTAGGCACTGTGGGACGGACGGTTTCAGTCGATGCGACGACGACGACGACGACGCAGCCCACGACCAGCGACAATCCACGACCACGACCACGACCGATCATCAACTACAACTGCCTCGAGTCAACCTTGCACGTTGAACTGACCAAACACATTCTTCTCTGATCCTCAGAATGTCTGCCGAGCAATCCACCTCTTCCTCCGTCGCCACGTTCAAGCGTTACGTCGAGGTCGGCCGCGTCGTCTTGCTCAGCGAAGGCCCGCAAGCTGGCAAGCTCGCGACCATCGTCGAGATCATTGACCACAACCGAGTACGCACCGCTTCTCTTTATGCATTCCAACCCACCCGGAAGGACACTTTTACTCATACATTCCCTCCTCTCCCACAGGCATTGATCGAAGGCCCCCTCACCGGTGTCCCCCGCCAATCGTTCCCTTACCGCCGCCTCGTCCTGACCCCCTTCGTGTTGAAGAAGTTGCCCCGCGCCGCCGGCACCGCGACCGTCAAGAAGGTGTTCGAGGCCTCGGGCGTCCTGGCCAAGTGGGAGGCATCGGCATGGGCCCAGAAGCGTAAGGCCGTCGAGGCGAGGAGGAACACGACCGACTTTGACCGATTCGAGATCATGCTCCTCAAGAAGCAACGCCGTCGTTTGGTGCAGGTACGTCTTATGAAATGGGATACTCGGCTAGGGCAATTCACTCACTCGTTCCCTTCTCTCTTGTAGGTCGCTGCCTCCAAGGCCAAGAAGTCCGCATAAACGTGTGGTTTGCGTGAGAAGGCTCTTGTCATCGTAGAAGGAGGAGTACGAGTACGAGGAGAGAGGTGGGGAGGGGCGGCTTTTTACTTTGATATTGGAAAAGAAGAAGTCAATTCTTTCGACAACACCTATACACATTGGGCGAGGGACACGGGGAGAGATGCGCCGTTTTGGGGGTGGATGGAAGCACGTGGGAGCAGCACGGTGTTCGTGGTGTGTGTGAGAGCTGCACGCATGGTAGGCATGGGCGAGATGCTCCTTGTCACGATGCTCTACTCGTTGTTTCCATGGAGCTCATCGCCTTTCGGTGCCTCGCGAGCTCTCATCTTGCACTGAAATTATCTCGCGCGAATGCGAAACAATTGCATTTGGCTAAATCACCACGTTACATCATCCTCCGCTCCCCAAAGCTTCTATCTATCTCTCTAAGCCTGATCGGCCGGGTTGGCGATCAAATCCGTTTCGTTGGCGCCTTTTTTGATCATGGTCCAATCGTCTTTGGGGTGCCACACCTCCCTTTGGAAGACGCAGTACTGAAAATCAATGAAGCAAAGCGCGATGATAATCAGCTGAAAGCTCCCAGCGCAGATTTCACCCCCCGGGAAAGATCGTCGTGCACAGACTGACCTCGATCACTTCTTGAGGTGCCTCATGCGACCCATTCCCAATCAACTTTCCCATCGGGTCCCGCACTTCCAAGCTCTACGAACCCACCAACAGGAAGACCAAATAATCAGTGCACGTCCCATCTTCTCCTTCACTTTCCTCCCATCTCCATCCATTCAAAACTTACCTGCATCGTGACGAACCTCACAGCAATCTGCGCGTACCCCTCCCCGACCTTGTACAGCTCCATCTGCCTCGAGCACACAAGCGTCTGCGAGACGACGTCGTGCAACTTCCACGAGAGGCCGAGGCGGGGGGAGAACGATCGAACGCGCGTTGCTTTGATTTGGTCGATCACGGCTCGGGTTGCGAGAGGGGTTAGCGCGTCAAAGTTGCCACTGGAGAGGGGGGAGGAGGTGGTAGGATATGATGCTTTAGTTCTCAAGTATCGCTTGATGCATCATTATTTGCAGCTTACGTCGCCATGGCTTGGTTCGAGATCTTGTAGGCGATCAAGGACCGGTCCTGGAAATGGTTGTACCAGCCCGACCCTAGCACTTTCTTGAGCTTGCGGCGGCTGTTGAAAGCGATGGTACTTCTGGTGAGTTGGTGACGACATTCCACCGAGCCCTTGGAAGTATCTTACACGTCTAGTGATTGTACTGTGTTGAGGGTGTCGTGCCACATGTAGCGCATCTTGACCGAGAGCCGAGTCCCTTTCGCGAATTGACGACCATTCCGAGGTGGGATGTGGTTCGCTGGGAAGAGGGAACGTCAGTTTCAGTGATCGGAAACTGATCTGTGCAGACGAGCAGGTGCTCACCAAATACAGGAGCCGAGATCATCTGTTTGTTGTGTTGCGCCCGAACGAATGCACGTTGCGAATCAGCTCACCAAGCAACTGCCCGTCGTCGCCGTTCTCAACTGAACGTACCTGCCCCAGGTCTTGCTTCATCCTTCCCAACTTGTCAGCCATCTTGCTCTGCCTCCTCTGCAAGTCCAACCGAGCCTGATCGACACTATCACTACTGCTCGAGGCGAATCGTCGTGGCTGGGAGGAGGGGAGCGAAAGTGCGCTGGGCCGGAGGAGGAGCGAGGTTGTTGGTCTTGATGCTGATGCTGAGACGAGCAGGTGAGAAGAGAGGAGACGGGCGAGGGGTCGGGATGTTGACTGCATCGTGGTCGAGGGTGGTGCGGAGTGGGGAGTGGGGAGAGCGGGAGGAGCGGCCGAGCGCGAGTGCGAAGCCGATTGACATTCATCTCAGCGAGGCGATCTGAGGCAGCTTGGGTATAATAAGGGCATCCAGTGCATTAGTAGACGGCTTTCAAGCATTAGTAGTGAGGCATTACAAAAAATCTTAGGCCAAGCGGAACGAGCGACATGCACAAGAAAATATGTTACTACTGAATGACCTCGTATCATACGAGACGGGGCGCAGGTTGAATATTCGGCGATTCGAAAATTAGCGCAGTGAACTTGAAGAGACTTGAAGCCTGTGAATACGATTACGCAGTCGGGCCCGAGTGGGGGACAAGTCGACAAGTGGCTCGCTCTGTGCTCTCGACCCGTCCCAGGTCACGTGACATTGCCGCCTTGTTCACCCGCCGTGTGGTCGTCCATCGTTTCCATCAGCACCCTCGGGCAAGAACACGTCAGTCGACTCCCTTACTTTCTGACTGGAGCCCCACCCTAACTGATCGCTCCAACCTGTTATGCCTCAATCTACAGAGCTCGGGCCTCGACGAAGCCATCCGCATCTCTTCCGCGTCCCTGCGCAAGCATGGCAACGTCAATGCCCTTGTCATCAGGGTCAATCCTCATCGGCTCAACCGTTGCTGCTCTCTGCCTCGCACGCCTAGGCCTCCACTTGATGACGGCCTTGTCCGACCAGGGAACCCCCGCTCAAGGAGTCGTCTCGCCCAAATCCGTCTCGGCTAGTTCAGTCTCGTACCGCGTCAAGATCGACCCAAGCTACTGCGACGAACACGGTCGAGTCTACGGCGGCGAACTGCTCAAACTGATCGACGTCACCGCCGGCGTCGTCGCAGCCAAAGCGGCCGGAGGACCTTGCGTCACCATCTCGGCCGATCGGGTCGTCTTTCTCTCCGAGATCCTCGTCGGCGATGTCGTCCTCCTTTCCGGTGCGGTCAATCGTGCTTGGGTTAGTTCGATGGAGATTGGGATCAGAGTCATGAGGGAACGCTCTACCGATCCGACTGGTCACCAATCCTACTGCTGTCACGCCTACTTGACTTTTGTCGCCAAACCTACCCCAGCCCCTGCACCGACTTTCATCACCTCCATCGCCCGATCCCTGGGCCTCGTCTCCCCGCCCAGACCCATCAAAGCCCAAGTCCCACCCATCGAACCGCTCACGTCGATCGAACACAAGCGTTACCTTTTGGCCGGTCGACGACGAGCGCACCGCATCAAAAGCACTTCCAAGAACGACTCGACCCTGTCCGCGTTCCGAGCCCAGGTCTTTCAACTCGAACAAGAGTCGAAACAAATCAGTCCACCCGAATCAGAGGGCCTGACGGAAGCGGTCTTACTGGCATTGCAGAAGGAGATGATTGTCGACGCTTGGATGAGGAAGGATCCCGAGGTGCAGATCCAAGGTGAGGATGTCGTAGTGGCGATCGAAGGCTTCACGGATACCGTCAAGATGCCACTCAAGGAAGTCGAACGAATCAGCCAGCTCAAGGGTCATGGCGGCTATCGACGATTGACCGTTGGGAAACCCATCTCGACGGCCAACACCCGACCTCAACCGTCCCAACTCCGCAGCTATTACGACGATCGATCGCAAGGCACGGATTCGCAAGCCCCCCTCGAGATGATCGACACCTTGATCATGTGTCTCTGGATCGTACGAGCGCAATTCGTCAATTCTAAAGGTGTCCTCTTCGGCGGTTACCTGATGCGATGGATCGAAGAAGCCTCGGCGATCGCGGCGCGTTGTATCCTCCCTTCCGTTTCTTGGTCTTCCGCTTGCATCGATTCCCTCACGTTCAAATCGCCCGTCATTCCGGGCGAAGTCGTTTACATCCGCGCATGCGTCATCAAGGTTTTCGATTCTTCGATCGAGGTGTACGTCGTTGCTACGGCAGAGGATAGGAATTCACCCAAACCGGCGATCCGCTTGGTCAGCGAAAGCTTCTTCACCCTCGTCGCTGTCGATCCTTCATCGGGCAGACCTCTGAAAGGTAGGTTAAGACGAGTCATCGTTCCTCCAGGCCCGGCCGAAGAAGTCGTCAAGGATGCCGAGAAGAGGCGCGAATCGAGGTTGATGGACAAGATGATCTTGCAAAGGTGGATACAGCAACGCGCCTGGTCCTGGAAGGTTTCTAACCTTCACTGACCTTGGGTCTCCTTCTTCCACAGGGTATACGCTTGATCCAAAATTTTGTCTCGCAACATTATGTATGGTCGTGGTATGCAAAAGATGCTACAAGTTTCAAGGTTGGACCATTGAGATAGGGCTACAGAGAAAGGAAGTTGAAGCGCTATCAAAGTACTGAACAGAGATCCGGGACGAAGAAAAGCTCAAGAAAGGAGGGGTGCCCCTAATATTGCGCAAAGTCGTGGCTGTTGTAATTGTTGGAATCGCGCTGCATGACGCGATTGTACTCTAGCAACAGGCGGTAGAGGTACGCCTGCATGTCCTCCCAACGCCAGTACGCCGCGGCCCATTCCTTGGATTGAGCCGCCATCGTCTCGGCGAGTTGGTCGTGCGCGCCATTGCCATCAATGTCACCTTTGAAGAAAGCCATGATATTGAACAGGTCCGTATAATCGACGTTGACGGGGACGTAGTGGTACCAAGGTTGAATACGATCAAAGTACCATTCAGGACGAATCGTCGACTTGAGCACGAGCGAATTGGAGCTCATCAAGGTATGGAAACGACGTGACCATCCGTTGCCGTCGATATCCATCGTGTACTTGTAGAGGTTTTGTTCCTCGCGCGTCATGAAGGGGCTGAAGCGGTGCGTGGATTTGAACTGGTCGCAAAGCGCTTGGTCCTCGGGAAGGCAGTTGGAGGAAATGTCGCCGACGAGAGCAAAGTCGAAGTAGTCTGCAGCGAGTTCACGAGCGGGGACGGTATAGGCCGTCACGGGGCCGATCGTGTCATTTGTGTCGCTGAGTGAGAGTTGAACAGTCACATTGCCGTTGACGTCTCTGACTGTCGAAATAATCAAACCCGAGCCCACAGGTCAGTTCTAGCGAAGGCGCATAGAGAGTCTCCAGGGCTCATCAACTCACACTCGATCAATCGAGGTCGCTGCGACATCTCGCGGTTGGTCTTGTCCGAAAGGTTCAAGTTGGACGCCGTTCCATCGTTGGTCTTTTCGGCCCAAGTCGGGTCGTCTCCGGGTGGCACCTCCCATTGCTCGAGCGAAGGGAGCAAGAGGTCGTTGTGCATGGTCGTGGTGGCGAAAGCGAAGAGGGGGAACAAGAGAGCCGGTCGAGGACCCTCCCTGTGGACGTAGGTCAGTCAAGCTGAAAATTGGCTTGATCACTTCTTGAGTGAAGCGCTACTGACCAGGATGTGTATCGATGAAGAGGCTGGATCTCGGGATGGTTGCACATGTTCATCGCCTCCTTGTGGTCCTCGATGAAAGTGATTTGCTTGCGCTCGTTCTTGGCCAGCCGGTCGGCGATGTGAGAGACGTTGCGAATGGGTGAGCCGCGGGGACAAAGAGTTTGCCAGCCACTGGGAGGGTGTGGTAAATGAAGCCATCGGTCAGCTCGCCAGGAGAGGAACAGAAGATACGGATTCCCGACGCGGGATTTACTCAAGAGTCTTGTTATCGTCAAAGTCCATGAGCTGGTCCTCAGTGAGGTCTGATACAGTGAAAAAAGAAACGAAGTTGATCAGATGCTGGCCGTGAGGAAGTATGAAGACGATCTATGACTTACATCGCTTGGCCTTGGCGGCCTCAATGTGCTTTGCCTTCATGTTGGCCGAGGCGACGATGTAGCCCGAATCGTGTCCAGTCGCGGTCAAGTTGAGATCGGGAAGCATGGGCAAGATACCCTCCATGAGCAACAAGAGGTTCTCCGCGCGCGAGTTTCTTTTCGTCATCGGGCCCTCGAGGGTTGCTTTGTGGTTCGTCACGTCGATCGTGAAACTGAGGTTGTGGACCCACAACGTTCCGTCCTCTTGGAGCATATCCGATCGCTCCCGACTCGGGATCGAGGCGTAAGGGAAAATGTTCTCGTAAATCGAGTCATATTCGTCGATGAGCTGGACGTTGTTGTCCATCGCAAACTGGTACCATCGATCGAAACCGACGGGAGGGTTCTGGTTGTAACGTCGCTTGTACTCCGCAACGGCTTGGACCAGCGAATGACTCTGCTTGGCGAGCTTGGCATTCCATTGTTGCTCGGCGTCGATGATGAGCTTGTGGATCAGAGAAGGGCCGGTCGAGTGGGACGGCGCCGGCGGCAGTGGTGTCGTTCGAAAGAGAGGCGGTGGTGTCGTTGATCGAGACCATTCCATATGCGTAGCGAAGCGTTCCATTGTAAGGATCGACCTCGTCTTTAATTTTGAGGCTATGATGGCGAAATGATCGAGGTCAGTACAATCGGGAAGAGGCGGGGCCTAGTGCCAAATTTTCCTCACCAGTAAGGAAGGGTGGGGTACTGCTCGCACAGCGCCATGCCGATGCGATGATTCTCCTTGGCATTCTTGCGAACATCCTCGTAAGCACGAGCACTCAACGCAACAGCGACGGCAACACCAGCGACGACGAAAAAAAGGATGGCCCAGCAGCGCTTCTTCTTCCAGATCGAACGATGGGTCGTCGAGGTCGCGGGCACGCCGGGCCAACTGTCGCGCTGGCGGCGGTTGGGTCGGTCATTGCTCGTCGCAATCGATTCGTCGTCGTACAACTTTTCGGGGCTCATGATCGGGTCTTCAAAAGGGTTTTGGAATTCTTCGGGTGGGGTCGAATAGGGCGTGGTTGGGCCCATCGACCTGCCTTGTGGGATCGCGTGCGATTGAACTAGCTCACAAGCGACAGGAGGCAGAAAGTGAAACCGATGTAGGTGTGTGTAAAGGAAAGACTGCAGGTGAGGCGTGTGGAGACAGACAAAACGAGAGAACCGACGTAAGTCCTGACCACCAAATAATCAGAGATGGCGCACACGGAGATGAAGGTCAGAGGCGAAGCGGAGCGAGCAGGGGTGAGCAGGCCGAGGGCAGAGCGGGCAGGCGCGCAGATTCTGCTCGCTCGCAAGCGGAAACAGTCTACCTTTGGGCCCTTTCCTTACTCAGTTTTCTGGAAAGGCGATCAAGAGCGTCAATCCTGCTCCTTCTTCCGGTATGGGAGGCGGCCAAGTCGATCAGGGTTCGCGCTTCGCTCGAGGCGTGTAGGATCCATACAGTTGGAGCCACAGGAGCCCCAGGGAGCGACTCCTTGAGAACCGGCCCAGGCGCATGCTTGCAGGGCCTCCTTCCTGTCCCGACAAGGATCGCTCGTGCGCGCGCTAAAGTGAAGCCGGATGCGATCTGTCCCTGGGCCCGCTTCCCCCTCGCCCATATGTATATCTACATGCTAAAAAGCCGCAAAAGAGTCAATGTCATCAAATCCCATCCAAGATCTTCAAGGGCGTCCTCTCGTGTACACAGGACTTGCTCAAGATTTACTGGGAGCCCGCACGCTTCGTTTCGGCTGCTCCGCCAATCCGCAACGTGAGGCGAGGCGTACAGGGTATACAGGGTGCACATGGCAGGCCACTGACTATAAACTAGGATTCTAAGGAAAACGCAAAGCACATTCCCGGAAAAATCACTGAGCCACAAAATACACTTAGTAACTGAAAAATGAGAATATCCGGCCTGGCGCGAGGTATTGGGAGGGTAAAAATTGCTGACAGGGGTTCATGGACCAGCCCCCTCAAGGAGCCGCGGGTGCGGACGACGATGGAGATGCCGCGCAAGGTTTCCGGTGCACGAGATCGATACCCTGCTTGATCGTCTTGAACGTGCGAACCAACTGCGACTTGTCACCTTCGTACGAGTCCAGGCCGAGTTGAGCTAGCTTTATGAGGAACGCCGCATCAGCTTGGAGCGTTAGCGGCAGGGACTCGTTGGCGCGCATCTTGCGCTCGCGCGCTCGGGAGGTCGTCTCGAATTGACGCGAGATGTCGATTGCGCGTTGAACGAGCGAGCTGAACACATCCTCAAAAGGTTTCGGGGTTAGTGAAGTGTGCCAGTTGATCCAGTTGTACAATGATGGAGCAGACAACTCACTCGGGCATACCCGCCATCGCCGCCACATGGGGTCCGTACGACTTTGGCGCCGAGCCGTTGATCTACAGTCACCCAAGTCTGGTGTCAGGTTCTAGCACAACGAACAGATGGAAATTTTCGCCTGAGCTCACAAGTTTGTATAAGAAAACCACTGCTCGAGTATCATCCGAGACCTGGGTGCTCATGTTGCACAGTCGAATTCTGAGCAGCCAGTTGGCGGTCAGCGAACTGTCGTACAAGAACATACTCGGCAATGCAGCGGGACTCACTGAGGATGGTACTGTGATCCAGAGATTGCGAAGAATACGACGACAATTTGGTCAGCGGCCATCAACTGTGGTGATCGAAGATGTCGTTGTCGTCCACTCACCTCAAAGTCCTCAGTGAGCGACGTGAAATGGGTAGCAAAGAAGCCGACGCAACCAACATGGGTCGCCAAGCGATGCAAGACCGAGTAGGCAATCGCCATCCCATCATACGTGCTGGTACCGCGTCCAAGCTCATCGAGAATGACGAGCGATCGAGGTGTCGCCTTGGTCAGGATCTTGTTGCAGTCGTCCATTTCGACCTTGAACGTCGACGCGTTCGCAAAGATAAAGTCGTTGGCACCCATTCGAGAGTAGATGGCGTCGACGGGGGCGATGCGCGCTCTGGCAGCCGGTACGAAGCAGCCAACTGTGCGACGATGGACAGTTAGTCAGATTGGGACGGGGGTTTCCACTGTGGTGCCCTTCACACGCACGTTGAGCCATGATGATGGCGGCACAGGTCATGCGCAGTAGTGTACTTTTACCCGCCATCTGTGAAGATCAAGGAACCTTGTAAGCTTCAATCAAACAGTCCCGTGGGCCAGAATACTCACATTGGGACCCGTAAGCAAGATGAGCTGCTCGGCGTCACCGCCGAGAGTGACGTCGTTGGGGATGAAATCGACCGAAGCACTGCGCAAGGCTCGACTAAGTACATGAACAAAAAGAACTTATCGTAGTGAATCAACTCACTTGAGTACGCAAGGATGGCGCAGCTCTTCGAACTCGAGCACAGCGCGATCCGAATCGGCCACGATCTCTGGCCGGACCGCGGGCTCACCGAGCGCCGCCGAACTCTTGGACAGACTGAACAGACAGTCGAGCTCGGCGACTGTCTTGACGACTTGTAAGAACGTTGAATAGTCGCGGTCAAAGGCAGCGTAGACGCGCAAGTGGAACTCGTTGACGACAGTTTGCTTGCGCTCACGCGCCTCCTTGAGCTTGGTCACCAAACGCGTCACTTCGGGCGACCAGTAACGATTCACATCCTGAGAGAGTCGAGGAAGACACACGTTCTGCTCAGCGCAGACTCAAATTGACTGTAATTGAGCTCGGGCTCACTTTGGTGCTGGACATCTTGGTCCAATTGGAAGGTGCTTTGATCTTGACCGGGACTTGGATCTGGAATCGCAGCAAACAGATCAGCACTCGTGTCATTGTTTTTTTCGACGACACGGACGAAAAGTGATCACTGACCTGGAAGATATCCTTGGTGCCAATATCGCGGTAGATGATTGCGGGGCAGCTGTTGCAGACGAGAGCGTGTACATTCGGCTCAGCAGCTGAGGAAGTTTGCTCCATCGAGAATAGCCCTCGACTCACCGTAAATCCTTCTTGGCTTTCTCCAACTGCTCATCCAGCTGTTCCTCGATCTGCTCGACCTTCCGCCGAACAACCTGCGGAAAGATGGCCAGAAACATCAGTAGACAGCTTTAGACCGTGCCCAGGCTACCCACTCACCTCATACTGCTCGTCCTTGCCTTCAACAGGCAGTAACTCGTCCCCGTCATACATCGCCTCGATCTCCTCCAGCAAAGGTCCCAGATCCGGCGCACTCCGAATCAACTGCGGGATTCCAGTCGAAACGAACTCGTCGGCGAGGTTGCCGAGCACCTCGAGCGTCCTCGCGACCTTGCCAAAGGAGGCGACGACCTTGAGAAAGTCCTGCTTCTTGCACGACTTGGCGTGGATGCGCGAAAGCATGCGCTCAAGATCTGGCATATTTTTGGCCATCGAGTCAAAAGTCGAGACGAAGTTGGCGTGAGCGAGCAAATCCTCCACGGCATCGAGGCGCTGGTTGATCGCCGCGGCCTCTCGCAACGGAGCGCATAGCCAGACTTTGAAGAGACGCTTGCCAAAGGGGGTGACGCATCGACTGAGCAGCTGCAGCAGCGTCCCTTCGATGCCACCTTGAGAGTTCTGCAATACTTCGATGTGAGCCAATGTTTGGCCGTCGAGCACTAGCGCACGGCCCTGGGACAATGGGTCGTAGATGTTGAAATTGTTGTTGGTCACGAGCTCCTTGTCGAGGTTGAGCTGCTCGAGGTACCAGATCATGCCTCCCAGGGCCGACATGGCGAGGGGCTTGTCGTACATTGAGCGGATGCTCTCGGGTACCAGCGCCACCTCTTCCTCCTCGGCGGCCGTCTCGACATCGATACCGTCGTTGCTCGAGTTGGCCTCCTTGGCCTGTTTGAAAAGCTTGACGAGCGACTTGCGCGTGTCGTCGGCGCGTTTGAACTCGGTGCCCGCCTTGAGCGCGGTCCACTGGGTGTCGATGCTGAGGCAGGAGCGCAAGAGGCGCAAGGTTGAGACGGTCAAGTTGCCTTTCTCGTGGATCACCTCCTTGGGCTTGAGCTGACGGATGAGTGTCTCGAGTTGGGTGCGTCCCGTGTCGTCGGCGAAGAATGAAAGGTCGAACTGGGCCGTGGAGGCGTCGAGCACACATACCCCGAAGGTGGGGATCGACGATGCGGTTGGGGTGTCCTCCTGTGTGAGGTCACCAAAGCGTCAGCTTCTTCATGCTGAGACACCTGCTCAGGTCTGCTCCTGACGCTGAACGCTTCGAGACTGACCTTGATAGCAACGCAGTGACTCGACAAGTCATCCGTAAGCAGACTGCCATCGACGAGCGTACCCGATGTCAACACGCTCTTCAATTCACGGCGAACAATCTCCTTCTGGCTGCCGGTCTTTTTCGCCGCGGGCTTGCCATTCGCCTTGCCGTCCTTGACTCGGATCTCGGCGCCCAACGCGGTCTCGACTTGGTCGACGCGGCCGACCTTGTACCCCTGGGCGAGGAACTTGGCGGCCCAAAAATCGAAGCTCGCCTCGGGCACTCCGACCATCTTCATCTTGACGCGATCGGTCAGCTTCAGATCAAATTCGCGATGTCCGATCGCGGCATCCTCCTCGTACTGCGATCACAAGTGGAGGGATGAATCAGCGGGCTACAGCAGCCATCCGATTTGAAAAACAACTCACGAGCTCGAAGAATTTGCCTTTTTGGAAGAAAAGGACCGTGTCATAGTGATTCTGCTTGATCTCCCAGAACTGACGCTCGAAAGGCGTGAATGTGTTCCACGCTTTCGTCGGGATGCGCAACGTGCGAGGATCGTAACCCGGCTCTCCAGGACGAATGCCGTCGGCCTGAGCAGAACCATTCTTGTCAGAACGCACATCCGTCTCTCCGCGTGCAACATCTCGGGCATAGACTCACATCTTTGGGATCCACAAGGAAGCTGAAGGTGGCCTCGTTGGCGTTCTTCTGCTGCTTCGCTTTCTGTATCGCCAACCACGGTCGTCAGCGTGAGCGGTTGCGCTCGGCACCGGCACGACTAACCTCTCGCGCCACTTCGGCTTGCGTCTTGATGCTTGACAGCCCGCCCGAGCCCGAAGCACCAGCGGATTTGAGGGGTGGTCGTGACGCAGTCGGGGCCGCCTTCTTGCTCGTTGAAGGGGAAGACGAAGCGACGGATTTGCCCTTGCTCTTGAGCGCAGGCTCGAAAGCGTCGCTATCGACCTCGTCCATGTCGATGTCGTCCTTGAAGTAGTCTTCACCTACAGCACAAGGCAGGCGTCAGTAATATAGATGGACCCTCTACAAATTCGTGACTCGCGACTGACTGTCGCTGTCGGCACCCCCACTCGCTGAGAAATCGTCGTCGTCGTCGGCCTTCTTGCCCTTGCCCTTTGTCGCCTTTTTGCGGGGTCGGACCTCTTCCTCCGATGAGCTATCATCATCAAGGAACGCTGCAGGGCTCGGATGCGCAAGCATCAGCCGACGCCAGTGCCCGACTTGATCCCAGACCGTGGAGCAGACCCACCTCGCTCATCTTCAGAGTCAGCAACGGCCGTGGCCTTGGCTCTGGTTTTGGCCACGGAGAACTTCTTCTTAAAGGCGACGATCTCGTCCTCGGCTTCGTCATCTTCCGAGTCGACGACAGCAGATCGTTTGGTAGGCTAGCGCGACAGTGAATCATGAGAGGTCAGCTCTGTGCAAGACGCGTGTACGAAAGTTCCGACCAGCGGACTCACGATTTTGATCGAGGACGGCGCCGAGGAGGACGAAGGGACGACCGCGTCGGCTTCCGAAGTGAGAGGAGGGTGTTGGTCATGGACCCGACATGCGCAGGCGCGGCTGCCGACGACGATGCCGACGACGAAGGAGCGAGGCGACGTTCGGTCAGCGGTGTGCGGTTGACATTCTTAGTGCCTCCTAACGAAGACGAGGTGGGGGCAGCAGCGGTGCCGGTCGCGCCGTCCTCGGCTTGCTTCTTGGTGCTGGCAGTCCAAAGAGACGATGCAGGCTTCTTGCTGGCTGTCAGAGGCGTCGAAAACTGCTTGGTCCCGGACGAGGCGGCGGCCGAAGTGGCGGTGGTGCTACCGGTGCTCCGAGCTGTAGTCGTGGTCGAGGAGGGAGTGGCCCGCTGCGACGGCGCCGAGGACAACGGCGTGTCGCTGCTCTTCTTGAAGAAGGAGAATAGCGAGGCTTGGCCTTTGATGGGCTCGTTATTTTGCTTCTTGCTCATCGTTCGTGGATGATGCCTCGCCGCGGCCTGTTCGTGCGATCGTGTGCTGTGAATGGGCTTAGGGTGGTGAGCAAGCCCGCCTGCCAACTCTGACGCGCCATCGACGTCGTCCCCGCGCGCCGACCAAGTGGGCCGTGGCTTTCACGCGACGCGACGCGTGATGACTCGTGATGACCGATAAACGCTGATAAACGCTCCCCTCGCGCGAAGTCATTCGCCGCTTTGACCTCTTCCTTCACGCTCTCTCACATGACGCCGAGGCGATCCATATCCCCATGACCCGACCCCTAGCCGCTCCAGTGGCGCACTCACAGACCGCACTAGCCTTACTTCAAGAGTCGCTGCACACGCCTCGGTACTCGTGTGCATGCTCGGCGATCGATGATCTCGTCTCGCCCGCTCCGACGTCAGCCAACCCCGCCGCGGCCGTCGCCTTCGTAACCGGAGCAGCTGGCGATTCTTCTGCGACAACATTTACATCGACAGGATTGGTACAAGCATCGGTGTTGGAGCTGGTTGGACCTCCCGGATCGGGCAAGACGAGGACCGCGCTAGGCTATGCACTGCATACGAGGTTCAACGCGATCGCAGCTTCGAGGGACGACGACGACGACGACGACGACGACGACGACGACGACGAAGACGACGAATCGACTTCATCAACGGGCGAGGAAGTTTTGCTTGTGGGTAAGAGTGTTCCTACTTGGTAGAACTTTTCCAACCTCGAGGTTCTCACACTAATCTTTGGGGAACGATCATATTCTTCCAGACGCCGAAGGATCTCTTCTGCCTTCATTGATCCACAAAACGGCAACACTATTTGCCCAACATACAGGAGGTGAGTCACTAAAACGCTCCGAGAACAGGATATTCCTGAATGGAAAGTTTACCTCCTCCAACAGGTGATGCAAGCGACGTCCAAGCCGCGCTCGACGGACTGCACTACCAACGGATCACCGACGTCTCGCTCCTGATCGCATTGCTATATTCGTTACCGGCATGGCTCGAAAAGCACCCCAAGGTCAGTGAAGTTCCACTAGCCTAAGCTTTTGAGTAGGAATTCTCCTGACTCAACCTCCGCTTCGCCCCCGCGTGTCCTCTCAAACCCTACGTCTCACCCGCTTCGCAGGTCACACTCCTAATACTCGACTCGCTGACCTCGCACCTGCGACCGACCTCCCTCACCCCTCAAACCCGAACCTACATCCTCGCCCAGTTGCACTCCCTCATACACCGCCTAACGTTCCAGCACAAACTCACCATAATACTCACCTCCGCCTTGGCACTCAAGCTTTTCGACCCGAATGGTGAACCGACCACATTCGGGGGTCGAACAAGGATGCTGAGGCTTTGCTGATCCCTCAACTGGGGGAAAGTTGGATCCCCGTCAATGAAGGGGTGCAGTTCTATAGGATCGTGTTGTACTTTGATTTGGAGGGAGAAAGGTGGATGAAAGAATCTTTTCCCTGTCTGACATGCGGTTCGCACAGGACTGATCTTGTTTCTTTCGACGGATTTCAGATTGACAAAACTCTTGGCCGCGCCTGGACCGACACGGCGGACGAAAGGAGAGTTCACTATGGATGTCAGTGCTTCCTCTCTCGCACAATCGACAGCTTCACATTCTCGAAAAAATGCTCATCCCACTCTCTTCACATTGAAAAGGCCCTTGGTCCCTGCGACCACCCAACATCGACAGCGTTCGACGACGTCGCTTCTCAAAACTCACAGATATGATCTCGATACCCGAGTAGGACAAAGCTTGTTGTAATGAATGGATGCAAATGGGAAGGCACAGGAGCGCCTTTAGTGAATTCAACGATACTGCTAAATTGAAGTGAAGAAATGGAAGACACAAAGCATGAATGATGACGGGGCGGGGAGTGGAAGTTGTAATGATGGTGCGAGAGACCGAATGCGAGACGATAGATAGCTCGAGACAAGGGACATTATGCGATAAAATCCGACAACATAGCGCAGGTGTGATTAAAAGAGTCGTAAAATAAGTAGCACAGTAGAGATAACACGAGGACAAGTCGCTGGAACATGGGGGAATTTGTACAACATGGTAGGGAAGGGCTCGAGCACTCAGTTTCCTCCTTCTCGATCCTCGACGACGACATGACGACGACGATCCCAGAGTCAGGGCATGAGGTCAAAGCTTGACCGCCTCGCTTGCGCACCAACGATCGTCTTCTCCTTGGTCCCGTTCGCGCGCTCCGTTACGAGCATCTTGTTCGCGAGCTCCTTCTCCTTCTCCTTCTCCTTCTCCTTCTCCTTCTCCTTGGCGGTGAAGGTGAAGTTCCTGAACAAACCATCTACGTCCTCGTCGGGGGTCTTATTCCCATTCCCGTTCGCTTCCGACAACGAGCCGCGCGCCGAGTGGCAGCCCCTGATCTCGTCAAACATCCAATGACCCGACCTCCCCAGATCGTGATAATCGCATGCGTCCTCGTCGGCATGAGTCGGCGGCTTGAACGGTGGGGAGACCTGTCGCAGAGCGAGGTTGGTCCAGTCGATCGATTCAAAGAAGGCATGGGATCGGATTCCGTCGGTGGAAATGCGTTCACTCGGTTCACGCGTCAACAGGCGCTGCAACAGATCGCGACCCTCGGGCGAGTAGCCCTTCTTGGCGGGGATCTTGATCTCGCCCGACAGGATGCGCTCGTACTCTTCGATTTGGTTCTCAGCGTAGAAGGGGGAGAAGCCATAGCACATCTCATACGCGAGGCACCCGAGGGACCAAAAATCGCACGAGAAGCTGTACTCGATGTCGAGCAGGACCTCTGGAGCAGTAAAAGCCGTCGTTCCGCACAGTGTGCGAGTCGTGGCCTCGGGTGAGTCGAGCAGCTTGGATAATCCAAAGTCGCACAAGATGACGTGGCCGGAGCCGTCGAGGAGGCAGTTCTCGGGCTTGAGATCCCGATAGACGATGTTCTGGCTGTGCAGATACCTGTTGAAGCAAGACACGGTTCAGAAACTTTGCCAAGTCAGAAGCAAGGCCTTTCAGCGAACGATCGCCGCAGCTCCACTCACGCGAGTCCCAAAACGATCTCGGCTACATAAAACCTGGTTTTGCTCTCCTCGAACCTGCCACCATCTTTTGGAGGTGCTGAAAGAGCTCACCACCTGACTTGTAATCGATGACGAAGAAGAGGTCCGTAGTAGATTGGAACGAGAACTTGAGACCGACCAGGAAGGGCGATTCCAGGGTTCGCGCCAGGACTTGACGTTCGGCAAGGACTTGGGCCAACGCCTCACGCGAAACGACGTTTTTCTTCGAGATGACCTTCATCGCATCTGGTGGTGGGTTCGGCACGTTCAGCATCGTATACCTGAACTTACCACAACAGTAATTATAAAGAGGCCTTACAGATACGCTTGGTGTCCCTCTTGCGCACTCGGAACACCTGACCGAAGCTGCCTTGACCGATCCTTCGCAAGACTTGGAAGTCGTCGACCGTCAACTTGGGCCTCAGCTGCGAGGCAAGAACACAAAAGAGTTTGTCAGTATGCAGAGCACAGACAGCAAAGTCTGCGATAGCGTAGAAACTCACGTGAAGGTTCTCGAACAGGATCCTCAGGCGAACTTCTCCACCCACATTGGGATCGAGCGCACTCGTGAGCCTGTCGAGTAAAGGTGCTAGGCTCATAAGCACTCAGCGGACAGAACACGTTACTCCGATATATTGACTCACGGAACCCAAATATCCAGACCTAGGCCATCTTCACCCGTCTCGGCACTCAATGGCGCTTCAAAGACCGAGGCACCCAAGAAGCCTGGGCCGGGAACCCGCCCTGAGGTGCGAGCTTGTCGTAGACGCAGATAAGGATCGTTCGGCCCGGAGCAATGACATCGAAGGAGGCGTTGTGGTTCCAGATCGGATCGGTGGGCGTGCCAATGTCCTTGGGTCACCGACGGGGGGCGAGTCATCAACGATCCTGGTCGAAGTCGACATCTCGGTCGTACTGCGGCGATTCAACTTCGGAGGCCGCGCGCCGAGGGGGAAGTTGGGTCGTACGGGTCAGAGCCGTTGCTGTTGCTCCCGACGCGTCGTACACTGTTAAGACCCTTGCCATCAAGGCCCTGAGGATGTCCGTTGAGGCGGTTGATGCCCCCACCACGCTTCGGGACGCCGAGCAGCGGCTTCGCGTTCGGTGGTGGGGCTCCGTATTCTCGGCCGACCGAGTCCGTTCGGTCGTACTAAAGGAGGCAGGTGCAGCGCGTGCCAAACCGTGGAACATGATGAGCACGAATTAGAGTATAGGACCAAGTATATGTATACTCACCTGCAACAAGACGTAGGGCTTCTCCTTGCCCGACTCGACTCGCAGGTTCTTGGCCTCGACGACGACAATTGACAGCTTGCCCATCAACTGGGTTGTCGGCAACGCATGGTGACCGTGTTCATCCTCGATCGAGTTCGTCTTGGACAGCGCAGGAGGCAGAGAAACGAACGAAGAGCGATGAGGTGAACTCGGTCGAGAGAGGTGGGGAGGTTCGGGGTCTGCACAAGCAAGGCAAAGAGAGGTTCAGCTCGGAATCAGTCGGCAGTCGCTCGGCGTCGGGGTGGGAGAATCGCGAGCGAGCCAACTCGAACTCACAGAGAGCGCCAAATGATCCAGCAGGTGAGAGAGGAGGGTCATCAAGGGCGTGGCGATCCTACTCGAGCGCCCATTGAGACCATTGCCGGTGCCGTGGCCGTAGCCGTGGCTGTGGCCATTGGTGGTCGAGTTAAAGTGGTCGTGCAGCGCCTGAGTGAGGCTACACGAGCCGCCGCTCTCGCGCAGGTGCTGGTCCAAGACGCGCAGTGGTTTTGAGGGTCCAGTTCGGGGTACTGCTTGATGAAAGACGAGGTACAAGATAGAGGAGCCGTCGACGTCGGCGTCGGTTCCTTCATCATCGTCGCGGTCGAATGGTCGCCCGTCGCGGAGGAGAGAGCGAGCGTCACGCGGCGGGGTGGTGGGCACGACTAGTACGACGACCAGCGCGCCTTGAATGTTCATGAAGCCCGTGTCGTCGGGTTGCACCTTTGACGAGTTCAAGTCTAACTTCAAGATGGAACAGCTAGAATGCAGAGTCAAAGTGGTTCGTTGGGCTGAAATTGTGGGCTGAAATTGTGGGCTGAAATTGTGGGCGACACTGAACGAATACGGCGATTCCATATACAGCAGCCTAGATCGAGACGTGAGGGAGGACAAAGTCGGCCGAGTGGGCTCTTTTGAGCTCCGCCGCCCAGCCCCGCCACTGCCCGCCCAGCACGCGGTCGCCCATGGCCGTTTGTATCGGTCGGGATTGGCCGGGATCTCACGCTTCTCCGCTCTGGCCGGACGGAACCAGAGGATCGGAGGGTTCAGGGCAGGGCTATTTCATGTTCTTCATTCGCGACTCCTTATAACAACGATGGTGGAATATCAACTCCTCCTCCTCCTCTTGAAGCCTCAAGAGTGTGCTCCTTTCAGATTTGGACTCCACCGAATTCCCCTCATGATCATGGTCCTCACCTGGCAGTGGACCGCATACACTCAGCCGAGACAGTCGTCACACGCCCCTTGGGTCACATGAACGGATCTAGACGGCCCCGACGTTCCAGTCGTGTCCATCAATTGAGAACAAAATAGTTAGATTTCATACAATCGTCAACCACAGGTGTTCACAGCAGTCCGGCATCAAAAAGACGATCATATTCCGAGACTGCGGAGCTGTCAAAGATGCAGGCCGCGACCGGCAACATTGTCTATTGAACATATAGTTATCCGCAAGCCAAGCACACTTTATATTCAAATGAAACGAAGTCCCAGATTTGCTATGCAATCAGCGGCTGGCTCGGAGCTCGGACTCGGAGGCCGACGCCGACGGCACGACGTCATCGAAGCCATTGCGGGCTACCGCTGAGTTTCCAGGCTCCTGTTGGCCACTCCGCGAAGGTATTGATTCTCAGAGATATATCCGGATAATTTGCGCTTGGTCAGATGTCATAGGCACCATTTAAACACCGAGATGTGTCCGCGCAAGGCTGGGACCCGGGGTATCGCGTCAGGCCAGCCGCACCCAACGGTTCTCGATCGTAGGCACTTCCCGAATGAAGAAATGGTGGATGGCGCAGAACGACCTTTGTGGAGTAATCTTCAGCCTTGCAATCTGATGCTTCCCTGAGCAATACCACATGTAAGCACCTCCACTATCCGGGGAATGTATAATAAAACTTGCTCGATCGTTGATGCCGTTATACTGAAAGGCACGAGATCGCTCTCGAGCCTCACTGGCGACCTAAGCTGACAGGTGCAAGTTATATGGATGCAACTAGCTTCTGGTGTCAGACCGATGAGCTACGAGAGTGCTGAGAGATGGAACACCAGTACTCACCTAGCTTCTGGTGTCAGCCCGATGAGGAGGGAACTGAAGAAGCTAGGTGCGCGCGATCTCTATTTCTAATGCCTGTGGCCCGTAGTAAGGCGCGCGCCTTACATATACCTCCTAATCCAACCCTGAACCCACCTTGAGCACGGTGCCGCGTCAGCTTTGCCTTCCATGGAGGAAGGGTCTCCGAACACACAAACAATTCGCGCCGAATGCGCACGTGGGGTGAAAGTACAAAGGGAGCTAGGGAAGCGGGCCTCGGCCTTCCGATCAGTCGCTCCGCAGCGAGACTTTTCAGAGGTCCTTTGTTGGTTCAATCCCCCCATCATAGAAGGAAGTGCTCATAATTCCGCCCTGTTGAAGGACGATTGAAGTTGTTGGAGGATGGTGGGTCGACTACAAGAGTGGGGCCCCGCCGGTGCCGCCTCGAGGTGCTTGTCACGTGATCTAATCCGACATCCACGCTCAAGAAACATTCTAGAGTTGGGTCGCATACCTTCGGTTGGTTGGGACCGCTACAAGAATAGCCAAATTATTTCTAAGCAATGACGATAAACGATAGAAAGTTAAGCCATTGCGCGCAACTTGAGCGCCGCGCAGATCGAAACCCGCCGAGCACCTGGAACTCCTTTTTTTTTTTTTTTTTTTTTTTGTAGAACCTGTTCATCATATTGCCCCCAGTTCATGTTCCCCTATTGGCCTACAAAAAACTAGATGGAAGTCGACGATGATAACACTTTTTTAAATTTTTTTACTGGGGCTCATAAATTGCAATCCTTCGGTTGGCTGGGACCGCTAGAAAAAGAGCTAAAAGAGGTTATAAAGCAACGACGGCAAGCAATTGGGTGAAAGTCAAACCCCTGCGCGCAAAGAGCGCTACGCAGATCAAAACTCGCCGACACCTAACGCGGACTCCAACGGGCGGTGATACTGCTGCCGTTCACGTCCCAAGAGCGGGAGGAAGATACTCGAAAACCAGGCAAGAGCGCCTAGAGAAAGAAAGGGAGAATATACAAACATTCACGACTGGAAACACGGAGAACCAGGAATACTAAGACAGAGAGGAGGGGAGGAGGAGGGGAACACACCCGAGGGCCAAGGGAGGGGGTCGAAGCCAGAGCTAGAGGTCCCCAGGGACTGACAGGCGCAGCCAAGCCCCAGCTACTCGTCACCCCGACAGCGCCTGATGTCCCCTTGGCTGAGTCTCGAGTGCTGGCTGTTGAGCCGTCGGGCCGAGCGAAAACGATCCAATACAACGAAACGAGCCTCGCCTTGAACGCGAGGATATTGACCAAAAAAACGAGCGACCTTTCTTCCCGATCCATGCCGTAGATCTTGACCAACGCGAACGAACGATCCATTCGACGGAATCCAACACACGACTTAGGAATAAAAGGAGAAGTGGCTGAAGCGTAGTCAACAACCGAGCAACAGGAACGAGAAGAGGAAAAGGGAAG